TAAATTAACCCGTACTGCTTTAACAAATAAAAACAACTTTAAATAATCCTTTTAACGAGATATATGTACTTAAACCCTAGGTGGTTAAGGTAATATTAAGTTACTTAAAGCTTTATTAATAACTTATACGTTAAAACTTTTATAACTTTACTAATATATAAAGGTAAAAATATAAAAGAAATAATATTTCTAGGATAACTATATTAAATGGTTATATTAAAAAGTCTCGTTAGTTGAAATAATTAAGAATTAAAGGTTAATTTCGTCGGTTAAAAAAACCAAAAATTAAAAATTAATCTTATCGATTAAGGAAATTAAAAATTAAAGGTTTTAACCACATATATCTCTTAACCATAAAAAAAATACGTTACGCTTAATAAATATCGAACTAACGTTAAATATATTAAAATAAATTAATATATTTATAAAGATTAGTTAAATTAAAAAAAAATAGTTAAAAAAATATCGATATAATAATGAATATTAAATATAATTAATAAATAACGATATAATTAATAAATAAAAATAAGTAAATAAAAATATAATTAATAAATAAAGATAAAACGGTTATTAATTAACCCTTTAATAATTAAAAACGTTAAAAAAAACACATAGCTATAATTAACAAAGTTTAAAATAATTAGCATAAAAAAATATAACTAATAAAAAGCGTTTACTTTAAAGGAATATAGTTAATAAAAAGCTTTTAAAAAAAACGCATAACTATTAAATAACTAGCGTTAAAAACGATTTAATTAATTTTAATTTTCTTACACGAGTTTTTTAAGAATTATAAAAGTATTTAATAACGTAATTAATTCAATAATTTCCCATAATAATTTCCCATAATAATTTTTTAAAAAAGTTCTAACATAAAAATATCCTCCGGATGGATAAAAAAAGCAACACTAAATCCGCAGTAGGAGTACATGCATTTCGTCCGCAGTACTACCTGGTCTCCCATACAAATTTAGGTGCGCGCACAAGTACCTCTGCCACAGTCAATTCAACGCCACTTGAAACCCACTCCCATCCATCCAAACAATTTTCTACAAACCCCCAAAAACATTCATCTTTGTCGCCTCGACGAGACGGATTGATTGATATATGTTTCAGATCTCAGAAAATTCAATTGATCGAGGTATTGATTGATCTTTGATTGATCTCATCGGGCCCTACTGTATGGTGTCCTGAATCAAGGTGGTAACGTAGGTGGCCCATGCGCGGTACCGGTCGCAACGTCGAACTTGAATAACTTGGGCAGTTCGGGCCGTACAAACGTGCAACCGGGATCAATCTGCTCCCTGAATTGAGACCTTCAAATTGACGTCTTCAATTGAAGATTTGAAGATGGTTTGGATGGGTCGCAATTGACTGAGAGCTTGGTGTGTACTGGAGCCACCGGAGCTGCGCTACTAGCGCCATACTGCGGACAAAAAGCTAAGTACTCCTACTGCGGATTTAGTGTTGCTTTTATTTAAATTTAATAAGATATAATTATTAAAAAGGGAAAATATAATTATTTAATTATTTCTTAAATTATATTAAAAAATACGTTAAAGTAATTATAACTTAATAAATTAGGAAATTACCTTTAATTATAATGTAAAAATTTTAATATTAAGGAACGGCGCGTTTTTTAAAATTTATAATATAACTTTTAAAATTTATGGCGTTTTTGCCGTTATTAAAAATATAAACCTTATAAATTTATATTTAAAACGTTTAAGTTTAAAAGATAAAAATTTTTTTAAAGAGGTTTTTATTATGTTAACGTTAAAAATTTTAAACGATTAAATTAAGTGACGTTAAAAATTAATTTATTAACGTAAATAATCGTTTATTTAACCTTAAATTAATTAATATATTATTTATTAAAAAATAATAATATATTTATACTTTAACTTTAAATAATATAACGTTAAAAAAATAAAAACATTTTGTTAATAGGTACGTATATATGATAAATTAAATAATAAGTAAAGTAAGAATAATAAAGGTGAGATTAGTGTAATATTAATGTTTAAAAAGGGAGGTTTAAATTTAAATGTAAGGAGGGGATTTAACTTTTTATATAATTTAAGTTACATGGGTACCTCCTCCAGCTATATACGTATTATAATGGTACGTACCTTTATCATATAACCATCATATTTAAAACTTTTATTTAATATAAAATAATAAATTAATAACTTTAAAAAATATATAATTTATAATATTTAAATTTAATTAATACACTTATAATAAATCCTTATTTTTAATAATAAAAACTATAACTTAATAAAGATTTTAATAATTTAAAATTATTATAAAAGAAAATAATAATAATAAAATAAATAATAATAATAATAAATTAAAAAACCCTTTTTTAATATAAAGCTAATAAAATAAAATCTTAATAAATAAAAAATAAATAAGCAAAAAAAATAATAAAAAAAATTATAAACTTTTTAAAAAATTTAAAAACCTTTTTATAATAATTAAAGTCGTTAATAAAATAAAAATAAATTTAAAAAAACAAAATAAAACTATTAAATATTAATCTTAATTAAATATCGTAAAATTAAATTAAAAAAGCTTATATTAAAAAAATTAACTAAAATTTAAAAATCTTAATAATTTAATTATATATTTAATTATTTTTAATAAAAAAAACGTTTAAAAGTATATAATAAATAACTTTATCACTTATTTATTAATGTTTAATAATTTTATATTTTATAAAAAGGGATTACATAATATTTAAAATATTAAAGCTTATAAAGCTTATAAGGCTTAAAAGGTTTTATAAAGTTTTAAAGCTTTATATTTTAATTTAAAAATTTTAATTTAAGAATTTGTTAGGACATGGCCATGGACGTGGATAGCCACTCCCGTGGTTATCCATGGCTACTGCCATGTGGGCATCCCCATGGTTGTTGTTGCCATAGCTTGTTAAACCTTATTAGTGTATATAAAGCTAGCTTAAGACGTTAAGAGCTTAACTTTTTTTTTCTTTTTTATAGATCTTCATTAACTGATTAACCTCTAAGTCTTATTAAAATTTTAATTTAAAAATTTTAATTTAAGAATTTTTAATTAAATCTTAAATTATAAATTTTTATTTTTTTTAATTAAATTTAATTATTTATAATTAACTTTATAATTATTAATTAATATTAATTAAATTAAAGTTAAATTTAAATTTAATATTAATTATTATATTTTTCTTTTTCTTAAATTAATTTATAAAATAATCATTATTATTATTATTATATAAAAAAATAAAAAAAATAATTAATTAATATAATATATATATAATATTTATATTAACGTATAAATTATTTATTAAATTATATAATTATAACTATTTTAACATTATAATTTTTATTTATAAAAATTCTTACTTTTTTAAAAAATAACGTTTATAATAATATTAATATTCCTTAAAATTTCTTAAATAATATTATTTTAAAAAATAATTTTAATTATAATAATTAATTTAATAATATATTTTTATTAGTTTTCGTTTATTATAATATTAAAAACTTTTTATATATTAATATAAATAATATTTCTTTTTAGCGGAAAAAAATAGGATAATTTTTTAAATAATAATAAAAATAATAAATATAAAGAGTTTTACTATTCGTACCACCTCTTTTTTCTATCGGGGCTTATCCGTACACCCAGTACATCCCTTAAAACCTTAAAACCTTAAGTCCAGGCCTAATCTAGCGCCCCTAGCGCCCCCAGCTGCCCCATCAATTCAATCCAAATAACTTTTCAACCACATGTCGTACCATAGTGCAACCAAATTCAATTGAAAGCGTGTCCAATTTCGAATCGATTGATGTAGCTCTCAAATTGGGGCGATACTCGGTCGCAGAGTTACTCAAGAAAGTAGGTGGCAGCCCGGGAGGCACGTGACAGCCCTTAGGGCCACACTAAGGGCCCTTAGCGCCCTTAGACCCCTTAGATCCCTTAGACCCAAACCTTATTCAACAGTTTCAACCTTGAATAACTTTCCAATTACATGTCGCACCACGATGCAACCAGATTCAATTGAATGAGCATTCAATTACCAATTGATTGATATGAATCCTGAATAGAGGCGATATGTGGTTGAAAAGTTATCTTGGTAATTGTATCGAGGAGGGTCACGTGGCACTCCTTAGCGTGGCCCAGGCGGCTCTAGGGCTCTTAGGCGGCTCCAAGGGCCCTTAGCGTGGCACCCAGAGCTCTTAGTGTGGCTTTAAGGGTGATCACGTGCCACCCAGGATGCCACCTATTTACTTGAATAACTCTGCGACCACCTATCGCCTCAATTTGAGACCTATATCAATCAATCGGTAATTGAATGCGCTTTCAATTGAATTCGGTTGCATGTTTGTAGCTATATGTTTCAAAGAGTTATTTGGATTCGATTGATGTGGGCAGCTGGGGGCGCTAGGGGCGCTAGATTAGGCCCGGATTTAAAGTTTTAGGGATGTATGGGATGTATAGAAGTACGAATAAAGCCCCGATAGCAAAAAATAGGAGTACGAATAGTAACACTCTTAAATTTTATTTGATTTTATTTGGATTATTTAAATTTAAATATTACGGTCGGTAACTTTAAAGGTTTAATTCTAACTCCAAAAGTTTAATTCTGGAAGAGAATCGCAGGGGATGAAAAGATACATCCTGGACCCATATATTCTTTATGCATTTGAATGTACCTCTCCACTTTCTAAGAGGCAGTTTAAGAAAGATTCCGATCGGGGCCTAAGATAAGATAAACGTTTAACTACTTCGTAAGCTAAGAAATTATAATTATGCCCCTCCTACCCCTCGACCCCACCAAACTTAGCAACTATAAACCGATTTCTAAGAAAAAAATGCAGTAAGTGCAAAGTAAAAAGATTTCGAGATCAATCAATTATTTCCTACTATTTGATAGTTGAAATAGATACATAAATACGCAAAGAACTAAATAAATCCGGAGGATTTACCATCCCTGGTATTAGGGCTTAGGCGCGATGACCGACCACGTCAAGGATTTGGAAGTGCTTCAGATCACAGCCCTAAAAGACCTGAAAGGTTAACCAGAAAGTCACTGTCCCTTCGCAGCTTGGGATCTTATCTAACTTCACTATTTCTTACAGGAACCGAGAAACGAGATTCCCTGATCGCAGCCGAGAAAAAGTATCAACAAAAATGGGAAGAGCTAGGACTATTCAATGCCGATGCGCCATCGACGGCCGAAATCCCCCTCCACTCCATCACAGCAGCTGAATTACGCGAAAGATATCCAAAGTTTTTCGGCACCATTGCTTTCCCCTATACCAATGGCCGTCTCCACGTTGGCCATGCCTTTTCCTTTAGCAAGGTTGAGTTCCATGCTGGGTTTGCTCGAATGAACGGTATCAAGGTCTTGTGGCCTCAGGGTTACCATTGTACCGGCCTACCAATCAAGGCATGCGCCGATAAGCTGGTGAAAGAAGTTGCGATGTTTGGCCAGGAATTTGACAGATATCGCGAGGAAGATGAAATCGCCGAAGCAGCTGCCGCACCAGTAGAAAAGGAGAGGGAGAGAGAAGATGTCACCAAGTTTACCGCTAAAAAGGGTAAAATTGCCGCGAAGTCGGTCAAGATGAAATACCAATTCCAGATAATGCAAGCCATGGGCATCCCGATCCAACAAATCCACCTCTTCGCCGACCCAGCATATTGGCTCGAATATTTCCCACCTCTCTGCAAGCTAGACCTTAGCAACTTTGGAAGCAGAATTGACTGGAGAAGACAGTTTGTCACAACAGACGCAAACCCCTACTTCGACGCCTTTGTCCGTTGGCAGATGATTCGACTCAAGGAGTTGGAGAAGATCAAGTTCGGAAAACGGCACACCATTTACTCCATCAAGGATGGCCAACCTTGCATGGACCACGATAGAAGCGAAGGGGAAGGCGTAAACCCCCAGCTATACGTCGCAATCAAGATGCAGGTTCTCGAATTTACACCGAAAGCGCACGAAACCCTTCAGGCAAAGCTGCCTATCGACGCCAAAGTATTTCTCGTCCCAGCGACCCTACGAGCGGAGACGATGTATGGACAAGTGGCTTGCTTCGTGTCACCTAAGCTCACATACGGCGTCTATGAAGCAACGCCTGGAGAGTACTATGTCATGACCGAAAGAGCTGCCAGGAACATGGCTCACCAAGAAATATTCGCCGAGGAAGGCATCATAAAAAAGACAACTGAAATTCAAGGCTCCGATCTTATAGGGACCTTGGTCAATGCCCCTCTCAGCTTTCACAAGGACGGAGTTCGAGTTCTTCCCATGGAATCAATTCTTGAGACCAAAGGAACAGGCGTGGTTACCTGTGTACCATCCGATTCTCCTGATGACTACGCGACCATAGTGGACTTAGCTAAGAAGGCCGACTATTACGGCATCAAGAGCGAGTGGGCCCAGCTACAGGTCATTCCCATCATTCAAACACCCACTTCGAATCTACTAGCTCCGGCCCTTGTCTTGAAGATGAAGATCGCATCTCCGAAGGATGTCAAGCAACTAAAGGAGGCCAAGGAGTTGGCATATAAAGAGGGCTTTTACCAGGGTCACATGATCGTAGGTGACTTCAAGGGCGAGAAAGTAGCGGATGCGAAACCCAAAGTTCGTGCGCAGCTTATTGAAGCCGGTCTTGCCTTCGAATACGCAGAGCCCGAGAACAAGGTCGTCAGTAGAAGTGGTGATGAATGCACCGTAGCGTTGATGGAGCAGTATTATATCGATTACGGCGAGGACTCATGGCGCGCTGTTGTTACTGAGTATGTTGAGAATAAAGATGGCAACGGCCTGAATACGTATTCGAACGATACTCGCAACGCCTTCATGGGTGTTCTTGACTGGCTTAAGCAATGGGCATGCGCAAGGACATATGGGCTTGGCTCCCATCTTCCGTGGGCACCAGAGTTCCTGGTAGAGAGTTTGAGCGATTCTACCATCTACATGAGCTACTATACAATAGCTCACTACCTGCACAGCGACTTATTCGGACGGGAAAGTGGCCTTGGTAACATTGCGCCGGAGCAAATGATTGACGAGGTTTGGGATTATCTCTTCTGTCGTGCTGAGCTCACCGAGGATATTTTGGCCAAGTCAAAGATCCCGAAAGAGACCCTCGAGGCAATGCGTCGCGAGTTTGAATACTTCTACCCTCTTGACCTGAGGGTGAGTGGCAAAGATTTGATAAACAATCATCTCACCTTCGCTCTCTACAACCATATCGCCCTGTTTCCAAGGGAATATTGGCCTAAATCCATCCGAGTGAACGGACATCTCCAGCTTAACGGCGAGAAGATGTCTAAGAGCACTGGCAATTTTATGACTCTTGATGACGGTAAGTTTTATATCCTTTATACGCTTTATTTAATCCGAGGCTAAGTGTATTTATAGTCGTCAAAAAGTTTGGTGCGGATGCGTCCCGTATAGCTCTCGCGGACGCCGGAGACACGATTCAAGATTCCAACTTCGTCGAAGACGTCGCCAACAATACGATGTAAGTGGGGTTCAGCTAGCCACAGTAGTGTGATTAGGTTGCTAACAAGATATTACTACTAGCCTTCGGCTACACACTCTTCGGGAGTGGTGCGAAGAGATGGCGAAGAGCGAGGGGCTCCGTATTGAGACGAACGATTTTGAAGATGCACTCTTTGACAACGAAATAAACACTCTCATTGACGAAGCCAGGCACCATTACGAGGAGACAAACTACAAAATGGCGTTGAAATCATGCTTTTACGACCTGATCAACGCCAAGGACATTTACAGAGCGTCCTGTACGGCAGCAGGAATTTCCATGAATAAGGGGCTGGTGCTCAAATACATACGGCTTCAAGCGCTCTCCCTCACGCCAATTGCTCCTCATTGGACGGAGTACATCTGGCTCGAGGTACTTGGTGAATCGGAGACAGTACAGCTCGCTCGGTGGCCCCAAGTACCGGAAGCTAACCCGAGCCTAAGCGCGGCTCGTGCTTACGTGCTCACGACACAATCCAACATCACATCAGCAGAGTCGGCGCAGGTGAAGAAGCTGGCGAAAGGGAAGCAGCTCAATTTTGACCCCAAGAAGCCTAAAAGGCTCACTATCTTTGTGACCAAAGAATTCCCCAAGTGGCAGATGGAATGTATCAAGTTGGTGAAAGAGACGTGGGATCCAGTGGCCAAAACACAAACGTTGAGTGATAAGGAGTTGAGTGGACGTGTCGCCAAGCTAGGCAAAATTAAAGATGCGATGCCGTTTGTACAGCGCCTTAAGAAGCGGCTACGGGATGGAGAGCCGGCAAGTGTTGTGCTGGAACGCAGGTTAGCATTTGATGAGACCAGCACGGTAACATCAATGGTAGCTGGTCTTAAGCGAGCAGCAGGTTTGGTGGATGTGGACGTCTTGGTAGTAGCCGAAGGTAGCAAGACGGGAGTTGATCTTCTACATGGCGGCGAGGTGGATATCAAGTCTCCCATTGCTGAGCTAGCAGTGCCGGGCCAGCCGTCTTTCCTATTCGAAAATATGGAAGCATAGATGAAATACCTAGGTTAGATGAGATTAACTATGTTAACCATGAATTGCTAAGTTGATCTACCCGTCGGCTTAGCTTATAAATATGGATGCCATTGAATGGAACCTATAACTACTATTTGGGGTATGTTATTGGTTAAATACTTACTAGGGTATATGTGACATTATGTGTGCCGCATGCGACCTCGGAACCTACTGGCTACATACGAGGTTTTGTAGTTGGTAAGTAGGTAGGCCGAAATGTTCCTCTTGCACTACTAGGTGAATCGACATTTCCAATTCACAAACCAAGAACAAGATGGCTAGTGACCCCCTGAGAATTGCCGTTATCCCTGGAGACGGTATTGGGACAGAAGTAATGCCGTATGGTATCCGATGCCTCGAAGCTGCTGCCAAGGTGTTTGATATTTCGTTGGCTTTCGAGACGTTCGATTTCGCTAGTTGTGACTTCTATCAAAAACATGGCGATATGCTGCCACCGGATTGGAAGAAAACCCTCACTGGGTTTGATGCCATTTATTTCGGTGCGGTTGGCATGCCAGATTTGGTTCCCGACGACGTGACGCTATGGGGTAGTCTGCTAAAGTTCAGGCGTGAATTCGACCAGTATATCAACCTTCGCCCATGCCGGCTTTTGGCCGGCGTCAACTGTCCTTGTGCGTATGAAGTATATTTCAAACGTGGCTAATCGAATTTAACTAATGAGGGGCACGCAAAAGTGGCTGGCCGCAAGCCAGGAGACATTGATTTTTGGATCGTCCGCGAAAATACCGAAGGCGAATACAGCAGCATAGGGGGTAAGATATTCGAAGGGACGGAGAGGGAAACCGTCATACAGGAAACTGTTATGACGAGGACGGGCGTGGATAGAGTGCTTCAATACGCCTTTGACCTAGCACAGAGTCGGCCACGAAAGCGACTTACTAGCGCCACGAAGAGCAACGGCATTAGCATCACGATGCCCTATTGGGACTCTCGCGTGCGTGAAATGGCAGCGAGCTATCCCGACGTATACGTGGAGAAGTATCATATCGACATTCTCACTGCTCACTTTGTACAGAGACCTGACATTTTTGATGTCGTCGTCGGTAGCAACTTGTTCGGAGACATCCTCTCTGACTTGGGCCCAGCTTGTACTGGCACCATTGGCATTGCGCCATCCGGAAATATCAATCCGGGCGGACAGTTCCCCAGTCTCTTTGAGCCAGTGCACGGGAGCGCCCCGGACATTTTCGGCAGAGGCATTGCCAACCCAATTGGCATGATTTGGGCGGGCCAGATGATGCTTCAGCATTTCGGGTACCAGGACGCAGCTGCTGCCATGCTTCGGGCGATCGAAGCGGTCCTCGCTCGAGGAGACCCAAGTATCATCACTTTAGATATGGGTGGTAAAGGGACGACCCAAAGCTTAGGAGAAGCCGTCGAGAGAGAGATCCTTTCAATCAAGAAGGAGGGGCCATAATGTTATATCTAGTTCTGTGTTGTTTTAACATAGGAGAAGATCTTGCATATCTCCGTGCGATTCGCGGTTTGCAAGGAGTCTCGAGATGTCTAGTAAAATTATCATTTAGGGATATTGCCTGCAATTACGGGCGCGCATATGCTATAAATTGATTCGATACATGCATGTATTGGTATCTGTGTCTCATTTCCGATCTTCGCCATCGAGGAGCTAAAGAGGGCCCCTATCTGTCTTGTTGCCGACGTAATTGAAACAACCCAGGCTACCATTGTGGTTCCAGACCACACGATCTAAAGATAGGGTTAGTTCTGGCAACCTAGCTGTCTATAAAAGAACAAACAGGAAAAGAAAGGGGGGGTCGAGCATACTGAGGTCATAGGTAGCTGGAGTAAAGTGGCCACCAGTGTTGAGACAATCACAGCTGAGGAGAAACTCGACGTGGCTCCCGCGAACGGAGCAATTCCCACATGTTGGCCAGTAATTACCACTGGGTCAAGTTCCAAATTCAAATTAGCAACACGAGTAAGATATTTAGTGGACTAGATACTAACGAGAAATACCTACGCTCCGCGAGGATAGAGCATGCCGCCGTGATTGGTTAGGCAGGCATTGGTGTCAAGCCTTGAGGGTGCTCCCATATTAGCAGGGCTTTTTCTCGGGAGATCTGAGACTTAGAAGGGAGGAAGAGGGCACTTGCCAGGTCCAGTCGTAGTTAAATCGTTCCCAATCATCGTCATGACAATACATGCCTAGGAAGCTGTCTGCCAGAACACCAACCTGCCAGGAGCAATTCGCAACAAAACCCTGAGCACTAACTAGTTGACCAGTGCCCAGCGCTGCAGCAAGGATAGAAATGAGCATCATGATTTGGCTTCTGCCACTCTCTCTTTCTGTGAGTGATGATGAGATATTTGCTTTAGAGGTTGAGTTGCCACCTTAAGAGAAGTTGGCAGTTGGTGTTTGAAAGAGTTATGGTAATCCACCTTTGTAAGTCGTAGTCGGTTCACCTTGATGTAAAGAGATAGTCTAAGGACCAAACGAAAGACAACAGACGTGATAAACTGGGTACTAGGTAGTCATGAAGCTCTTGTTTTTGTTCTGCACAAGGACTGGCCTGGTGTGTGAAGTAGGTAGACTTCGTATATGTAGGTAGTATTTGCATTTGAGGGGCTTTTTTTTTTGTTTCCATTCCTCATGCTGTATAGAAAGAGATCAGATATGGTATGTGAGTAAATGGGAAAGTGAGTGTGTGGGTATATGAGACGGAGAGAGAGAGAGGGAAGAAGGAGAAAGAAAAGGGGAAGGAGAAGGGGAATGGGGGAAGAGAAGAAGGCTTATTTTCAAATGTATGGACACAAACCTTCAAATTACTTCACTATTACTATCATGATGTACTTACTTCAATGTTATTATTCAAGTTACTACATACATGTACTATGTATGTAGGAAGTACCTAGGGTACATATATATATAACGACAAGGAGGACCGGGGACACCTGCCTAGTATATTGCCATTTGATTCACGCCTTCCTCGTCGTTTAGCATGATACTACCTACAGGCTACATACCTACTACTAGGTATGTACATAGTAGGGTACCCTAACTTCCCTAACCTAAGTATGTATATTGTACATGAGCTTGCACCTGCCAAGGAGCACTTGCCAGCTGTCTCTACCTACATACAGCACCAGGATACATTACATTAGCGTACCTCCTATACATAGTACTAGGTTGGCCTGTAGGTACCTTAGGTAAGGTAAGTTTCTAACATGATAACATCAAATCCCTATGTACCTACTATGTATTCTAATTCAATAGTTTTTTGACCTCCATATCGATTAGATTAGATGCGTTGCGAATAGTAACAGCATAATGATTAAGGATCATGCCTTTCTATACAAAAATAGTTGCTGAAGCTACAAGACTTGGTCACTTTACATGGCAACGTTGGACGGGGAAGAAGCTGCCGACCCCGCCTTTATCACCTACCCGCCCACTACAACCGTTCAACTGTGTGACACCGATCATAAAACCTTTTACTACTTCATCTACTATGCTGTCTACGATGGAGGAAAATAAAGGACAACCAGCTAATAGCTGGCTTGGACATCGAGGCGCCGCCGCCTTTGACTTTAGAAGTGAGCTAACTTTTCACCCTTTTCACTTTTCCCTCTTGTCCCCTTGTCCATTTCCCCCTTTTTGCCCCCCCCCTATCTTGTTTGATCTATCTCTCACGCACACGCTCTATCATAGGCGATACCATGACCACGCCAACACAGGATATGCTATCCGCCATCCAGAACACAACTCTACTGGATGATGTTTTCAAAGAGGATCCCACTACCATGGACCTCGAGGCCCACGTCGCCTCCCTGACAGGCAAAGAGGCCGCTCTATTTGTACTTTCGGGTACTATGGGCAATCAAATTGCTTTGCGTTCTTTGCTCACCCAGCCTCCCCATGGCGTGTTGGCTGATCATCGTGCGCACATAATTCGATATGAATCTGGAGGGTAAACGCCATTCCCTCTCACCTTGTTATCCTCGGGCTGAACTGATCGTACATTGCCCTAGCGTTGCATCACTATCCGGCGCAATGACTACAACAGTAATACCCAGCAATGGCTTCTACCTGACTCTCGAGGATATAAAATCCCTGGTGGTGCTTAGTGATGACGACCATTCCTGTCCTACACGTGTCATCAGCCTTGAGAACTCGCTTGACGGTCTCATTATGCCCTTGGACGAGGTGAAGAGGATCTCCGATTTCGCACGAGAGAACGGTGTCTGGATGCACTGCGATGGCGCTAGACTGTGGGAGGTCGTAGCCTCGGGCGCTGGATCGCTGTTGGACTTTTGCCAATACTTTGATACCGTCTCACTCTGCTTCTCCAAGGGCCTAGGCGCCCCGATTGGCAGCATTATCGTTGGTACTAAGCCTCTTATCAAACATGCGCGATGGGTGCGTAAGTCGATCGGAGGGGGTTTGCGCCAATCTGGCGTCGTTACGGCTGCTGCCAGAGTAGCAGTCGACGTGACTTTTGGAAAGGGCCCAAATGGCGAGGGTGGACTCCTACGAGACACGCACGCTAAGGCCAAGCGCGTTGAACAGTTGTGGAAGAACTTGGGTGGGAAGATGCGAGTCCCAGTCCAGACAAATATGTGTTGGTTAGACCTAGAGTCCATGGATTGCAATCCCTCTAGGTTTGCCCGCTTAGGTAGTCAAGTCGGGTTGAAATTGGCAGGCAATCGCCTCATCACGCACTACCAGATCGGTGAAGAGGCTATTCAGCGACTGACTAGCGTTTTTGAGAAAGTAGCAGCGGAAAGGGGGCGTAACAAGTGTGAAGAAGACTGCGATCTCAGCCGCCAGGGCCCTTATTGAAGCAAACCGCTAGAAGCGACAAAGTTCGAGGGATATAATGAATACGAAAATGAGCCTGGAAATTCCAATAGTTACAGGCCTTTTGCCGAAATCGTAATATCCATTGAGATGGAAATCGTAAAATTCTTCTTCTTTCGCCTGAAGGTCTTGAAGAGCCCTTAATGTCTTTGGCTAATTCTTAGCAATACCTTATATGGCTTCTGTACAGAGGAGGTAGCTATCAGGTATATACAATGCACCTTCGTGGCCCAAGAGTCTGCTCCGCCCGGTTCAAAAGTGCTCTTCATATATACGACCAGTCCGGGTATTAATGCTCTTCTCCTGCACTTTTATGCCTCCTGACATAAGACAACACCTTCTAAGATATACCTCTTCGAGGCATGCGTTGAACGGGGCTATAGACACTAAACGCAACCTGACGCCTAGTAGTCATGATGGAATGATAATCTGCTGCTTTTGATGGAGTAACACTGCCGCCAAACGCCGGTAAGTTGAAAATGATACGAAGCACAAGCACAAACACAACCATAGAACCTTCTCTTCATCATATCCTTTATGCTTTCTTGCCGAAAATGCCCCTACCCCTCGATTTGCTTCGGGCACGCTTCGATTTGGCATTACTACCATCGTCGCTATACTTTGCCTTATGTATCCTGTGGCACGTCAGTCATGAAGGTGACATTTGGTGGCTAAAGAAGAGACTCACCAGCTATTTCCCGGCATACTCATGCCCTTGGCTTCGGCCATGCGGTAAAACTTGGCGCTCTTCTTGAGATCTTTTTTGCAACCGATGCCTTGAGCATAACAGAAGCCAGCCTCGGTAAGAGCATCCACATCCCCCCAGCCTAATTCTCATATCAGTATGGTTTTTTTGTTTGGTCTGTTCTTTCGGGATAACTACTCACTTCCAGCAATTTCAAAGCATCGTAACGCGAGCGTCTTATCCTGCTCGATCCCCCAACCATTCATGTGACTAACACCCAATTCATAGATGCTCAGAGCAAACTGGGCCTTGCGGGTTTTTCGGTCCAAAACATCAACAGATTTGCCTTCTTTGGCATGTTCTTCATCCTCAGCAATTTCTGCGCTAACAACCTCAGCAGCCTTCCGAAGCCACTCAACACCTTCGCGTTGATTTGGCCGCATGCCCCACCCGTGCCGACAAGCTAGCGCATATAACAGCATTCCTGTCGGCTCGCCAGCCCGTGCGGCAAGTCGCAGGTGGTAGGTAGATTCTTTCACAGAGCCCTCCTCATGGCACTTGATCCCCTTGGCTAAATGTTCCTCTGCGCTCATTTCAGTAGCTGTGGACGTGTGGGAATGTTGCGATTTCGGTGGCCTAATGGTGCTGGTAGAGTCACTTGTAGATAAAGAGGTCGGTGTTCGCCCTCGGGCTTGGTCATGAAGGGGTGATGTTCGGGCTCGACCTCTAGGGACATCCTCAGAAGGCTTACTTTCACCAGTCGATGGGCGACTTGGGCCTGGGGAAGACTGTCTTGCATCTGCAGACATTTCGTTCGAAAGCTTGCTTCGTTCCAAAGATGGCCGTGCCAAGAGAGAATCGGCCATATGCTGGCCCTCCTGAGATTTTGAGGAAGAGCTTGAAGGACGTGTGGGCGGCGATGGCGGTGCTTGACCACCTATTGGGAAAGTCTGAACATTACTTGAGAGGCCTACCGGCTGCTCCCAGACGAATGTAGACGATGGAGCAGTATCACGAAAAATAATCGAGTTGCGCTGCAGCGACTTGCCCCTAGGCAACGAATACTTAGAGTATATGTATGAAGGAGCGCCTCTGCCGTCATCTGGAGGACCACTCTCTGGAAAAGTCTCGCTGTGCATGCTGACTGGAGTGTTGGCTGTGTCATCAGCAAGCATGAAAGATGGCTGGCTATCTGACGAAGCTTGCCGAGAAGGCAAATCCAAACCTGGTGTGCCTGACCTACTTAATGGGCGGGAGAAGTTGAAAGAAGGTCGCGGCAATGGCGCAGAAGCTTCAGAACTGATCGACGGCGATCGTTGGTAGTGAGATATAGGGGACGTAAGACCTGGCCCCGAGAAGGCGCTACCAGAGGAAAGCTTTCGGGCTGGCTGTGAGTGAAAAGAGGCACTTAAGGCCTCGTCATTGCAAGATTCTGGAGGCGCTGACATTATACTCGAAGAGCGCTTGGGAAAGACAGGTCTCGGTGGAACCAACCCAGCAGATTCGTGCGATGAAGTCTTAGTAAGTTTATCTGGAGACGGTGGAAAACGGTTGCGATTTGGCGAATTGTCCCTGGTATCAGCGTCATGCCCTGCCGACTTGTGATCAATCCCTCTATCCATCGCACCGTCTAAGTCACCAGGTGATTGCTCCCTACGGGCACCATACAAGCCACCATGCTCGTCGAGTTTCTCAAGCCCCCGGCCGCGCGAATTATCAAGAAATGGATTTGGAGGCACGGGTATCGATTGGTCGGGCGTGGGTGGTATACGGCTCATCCGTGGGTGCATTGAAACAGGTCGTTCAGACGGAGATTCTACCTCTGTGGTCAAACCAAGTCCGGTATTCTGGTGTGGCAGCTCGGGCAGGTCTTCAGCGGAGTCGTGGGACATAGAGCGAAAGTAATCAGAGCGACCTTGAACGATCAATGGGCTCTCAGTTGTCAATGGGGGAAGACGACTCATCCGCCTCCCAGCCTTGGCACTCTCCTCCAGTTGCTTGGCAAGCAAGCGACTCTGAGCAGCAAAGGCATCGAGAGGAGACAGGGCAGGAGGAACTTCGCCTGCGACATGTAATCGTGGCGATTTAAGAGGACGGGAGGAGCTGGCGACTGAATTTGAGGAATCTGCCCTCAGGTCGATAAAACTAGGCCTATTCGCCATGGCGGCGCAGGACTATCGAGTTTGAAATCAACTAAGGAAGGGATATGGCGGAGAATATGGTAATATCGAGTAGTCCGATAGTATCGGAGGGTTGGCCAGATGAGTTACACGCAATTTGTTTTCTATTGAGATAGGCCGACTATCGGTTTGAAACTCCAAGGTAAAGCTCGTGCTCATTACATCGGGCGGGCGCATGGAATACGAAGCTGGGTTTCGAGGTTTAATCGGCGAAGGAATGGAATTGCGACAGGAATGCGGGATCGACGTGATGAGAAGTTTGGGACCAATTTCACAGGGCTGTGATTTCCAACGTTCTTCTCGCTGGTGACGTTGTTATAAACAAATACGATATCGAATCTTGTTTTGTTTAATCGATGTCGCGCAATTGCATGCGTCGTGAAGAGTTAGGAGGAATAGTGTAGATCAGGTGTTTTAGAGGTTAATAGAACAAAAGGGGGAAATGCGATTCAGTGATGGAGAACTAAGCTGGCATAAAACAGTAAGACAGTAAAACAGTAAAACAGTAAAACAGTAGCAAAGAACGGACGATGATTAATCACCAGAGGAATAAGTAACATGTAGTCTCGATAACTAGGATAGAGGGGAAAAGAAGAGAAAGGAAAAGAGAATAGAGGAATAAAAACATGAGTTTGGGTTGCGCGTGTGTGCGTCTGCGTCTGTATGTATGTATATGTACGTATGTAAGTATGTACTGTACTATTATGTATGTATTGTTATAAGTGACTGGGAAAAAGAAGGAAGGAAACAAGAGGGCCGATCAAGGTTCGATTAAACATTGCCCTGGCGCTCATCATGGGAAGGAACATTGAAGTGAGAGAGAACCTTGAATAGAACCAGTAATATTACCCATTCAATGGTGTAGCCCATCAACTGATGTACCTAGTACTTGTACATGCAGTCCCCAGGGCCCACATCCAACTTGGAACATTGAAGTACATACATAGTTACAGGGTTGTACTGTGTATGTAATAACTTGAACTTGAAGCAAACTGGTGGGCAGACACCTTACCTAAGCTAGCTAGACATGGGGATCGTTTCACTTCCCTCTTCTTGTAACAAAATATAATTAATATGTAGTAACTCCTCTATGTAACTACATAAATGTTCCAACATACTTGATGTATGTACCATTAGGTTTAATAGAGAACTTGAAGTTCATTAAATAATGAAATAATGAAAAGCAAGAACCATTAAGCTCAGAGGGGCCAAACCCTAGGAACATTGAAGACTCTCAACTTGTATATAATAATACATACCTATATATACGTGCGACTTGAATAGAATACTGAGTGTTGCAATTCGCACATGCGTATATAAAGTACATAGTACCTACCTGCTTACATATGTAGTACATATATACATCCATATATATCTTGGTTAAGACATGGAAAGGCATTGATGGATTTCCAAACTCGCCAGCAACTCCAATGTTCCAATGCATTATGATTGTAGTAAAGAGCCTAACGCGATCAAGTTTTGTGTTTAGTTTACAACTATGTTATAAGATACCCACCACCTAGCCTAGGTATTCTTTTTTTTTTTTTATAGATTCTTGGACTGGAGCTTCTTCAGCCGTGTTGCGCCCTCATACACTCCCCTGTCGACAGCCGCGGCTACTGTGAGTGTACCACCAAGCACGGCACAGAGACCTGTTAAGAAACCACTAAAGGTCTTAGCACGCTCCTCGCGGTTGATAACCTTCATGGGCGAAATATCCTATAACTAGTTAGTAGGTCGCGTGTTGCGATATCCAAGGCAAAAATAACTTACATAGGAGAAGAAGACGCCTGGAATACCACCCCTCGCATGCATTCGTTCCTGATGGCCCTCAGCTGCGTCGTCGCCACCGGTCAGACTCCTCTTGTGGCTCGTAACTGAATACTGATGCGTCTCCATACTACCATCCGTCCCATGGCCCAGGCTCCCTAGCCAGAAATCTTCGTCAACAGCTTGATGGCCACTCCCACTGGAGCTTGACCAGCTTAGCGGGAGATACGCGGTAGGAACAACTTTGACGAAATACATGAAGTTAAAGTTGGGGTCATCGGTAGTCTGCTTGACCTGGTCGAGCGGATTTATGTGGTGGTTGGTCCAAGGACTACTCTTGGCATGCTTCCGGCTGACATCTTCGGGAAGCTGAGGACCGAAGCGAAGTTGGTGGATCTCGTGCTCGAATGAGTGACGGACAGGACTGTCCCAGTAATTCTTCAGGTCGTGAACGTGCATGTTGCCATTGCTAAAACTCCGGCCTGGTGCAAAGTGAAAATTGCCAATAACCTTGTTAACACGAATGTCGCCTTCGATGCGACATCCTTCGTGTCGCTGCTCATCCAACTTCTCACCATAATGTTCCCGCGAGCATTGTTCAATCCCTTCTCCCTTACCAAAAGCCCAGGATACCTGTGCATAAGCTTCTCGGACCTCGTCACAAGTATTGCAGCAACCGGGTTTCGCAGCGGTGGTTGGGGCAGGTGCGCCAAAGCATCCACCGCAGTAGTTGGGATCCAGATGGTCGGCGCTCTCATCCTTGCTATGACTACGGCTGGTTAGTAGAAGGGAAGGACGGTGGAACGAGAAAAGGGGGGGCAAACTTACAGAGATAGGGAGGTCACATCAATGACGCCGCCTCCTTGGGAGACAGGCTGCAACCTAACTTTTCTCACTCCATGTAGCACGCCGTGTTGTTGTTCGCCAGAGACATCCATCACGTCAAGGGTTAAGAGCTCGCAAGGAAGCCTAGGGAAAGTAATGTTCATGTGAATTTCCATTCTCTCTCCTGCAATTGAAGAGTGAGAAAGCTTGAAGCGGAATAAGTGGGTTTTTGGGTAATCCAGCACACACCTCTGCCCTTGTCGACGATAAGTTCGGGGTGGATAACTATCCTCCTATAGTCAGACCATTCTCCCCAAGCTAGGTAAAAAACAACAAGAAGCGATACGATGGTGACAATTCCACCAGAGGTGGTTCGTATGCGCGCATCCTCGACGGTCTTCGTGAAGGCATCTAGCCTCGTAAATCTAGACTTCGCAGGCATGTCGAAACAATTGCGCAACCCGGGAGGGGGTTACAAGTAAGGGTACGGGGAACTCAATGACAAGACAAAACCTAACAGGGGGAGATATAAAAGTAAGTAAAGTAAAGTAAAGGAAAGATGAAATCACCGTAGACGCCGCATTGGAATATTCAAGTTATGATGGTGTGGAGTTAAGGAATGCGAAGAATGATAACGAGGTATGTATAAAGGTCGAAAGGCCACCTTCGCCTTTCTGATTTTAATAAATAAAAAAAGATGAATTGAACCGAATCCCAGAGACTAAGAGCATGCAGCTGCATGTTTCAATGCTACATAATACTACATGTATTAGTTAGTTACTAGGTACGGAGTATGCACATACCAGGTAGTTAGTACTAACTTCCTACTTAGAGGCTAGTGTACGTAAGCTTTAGCGCAAACCAAGTACGGGAGAGTGGGCCCTATATATACATATTCATATTACATAGTAAGTATTCAAGGTTTTATGCATATGCATAAGTATCATCATGTAGATGCATATGTGTAGATGATATATATATAGTTATATCCAATATGTAGTTACATATATTAAGTGCATACAAGCAAAACAGATTTCCATTGCTATGCCACTTCATCATCTCTATCATTTTCCTATGCCTAGGTATTATATATGTGATGTTCCGGCTTTTTATGCTACTTGACTAAACCTGGCTGTCCAACGGGCATCGTAAGGGGAGAGCTCGACTGCTCTCTGACCTAAGGACTCTCTCTTTCTCTTTTCATGGCTAACATCTGCTGCTGTTACGTTCCCGCAAGTTGGTCTGTTCAGCCTGTTGCCAAATGTGTCGACCGCCCAGATCAAGACACCATTGGTCCAGCCGAAGCCCTCAACAACTTCGTACTCACCTCCTCCACCAGCAACATTTGTTGAATTATCGGCATCTGCTGCATGTTAATACATTTCGTTACGCCCTAAAACGATTGTCGTTCGGGGAGACCTCTGTTCAGACATATGACGAGAGAGGAAGGAGGAGGAAAGAGGAAAAGAGCAATTTAAAGGTCGTGACATACTATTGATTTTGTTAGTCGCAGTAATAAACCTAAGTTGGAATTGAGTGCATACCATTTCTCAAACATAATTCCAACATCCTCGGGGCCTAGGCCCTGCAATTGAGGAGTCTCGTCCGTCGTACCCCCTGTCGCAAACCAAGTACAAAATGTGCTGTCGAGGTATCGCTGTGCCAGACGAAGTGAAAGATCTTGGGTTTCGATATAATAAGGATCGTCCTCGCCGAAAGTTGCTGGTGTTTGTAGAAGGCCCTTCATCAACACGTACGTCAACGGGGGCCAAACATTAGGTTGATCCCACTGCTGGCCAGTTGCGAAGTTGGTAGCGGCAACAGCTCCGGCTTTCTCGGACAAAAGATCTGAGACACGCTGAAATACGAGCTTCACGGCTAAGGGGTTGTCTTTAAGCTCTGGGGGCGCAGCTCCCAGCCAAAACGGATAAAATTGGGCGGCGTGGAAAAAAACTTGGTACCCATCAGGGGCATCGGCTTTTTGCGCCGGCGTGGTGTCCGCATCCGATGGTATATATATACTCTGCGACCCGGACGTGAGATTGTAATCGAAATAGCTCAGATATTTGTCATTCCACATTAACACATACATGGCTGCTGACCGATTGCGAGCCATGTCCCTAAACTCCGCAGCTAATCCCTCGTCTCCGGTCGTATCTAAATAGCCTGCGATTGTCATCTCGTTGGCGTACAAGATTGAGTTTAAATCTACGCCGATTATATTCGCGGTATTAAGAGAACGTAGTGGGAAATAATTATCACCGGCAGCATCAGACGGAACGGCGATCCAGCGTGAACTGTAATCCATTCCAGACTCAGCCCCTCCAGCAAGATTAGCGTAGAGCTCGCCCTTCTCGCTGTCATTCAGAGGACGTGACTCTGGGTAGATAATACCGGAGGCCGCATAATAAGACATGTTGTTGGCCGTAATATAGTCTTCGCGATACGACTGCAGTTTTTTTTGTTAGTTTCTTGAGCGTGCAAGATAAACTCCCATCATAAAGGGAACGGCTGGAAAAAGTGATTTTTTTTTTTATATGTATGGCTAGGTATGATCCTGTACTTATTTGAGTCTACATACCTCCGGACGTGGTTCGGTATTCTTAACTCCATAGCTATTTCGTGTCCGGCATTAGTTACTTCTCGATTCCTTGAAGGGAGACAGCTTACTGAGCTAGGTGGAAAGTTCTATCACCCGATGCGATCGCTACCGTCCGGTTAATTATCCAAAAATTATGCTCCTTAACTAGTAAAGGTAATGCACGGTCCAGAATGCTCGTGTCATTGGTATAGTCGACGTATATCTTAACCATTTGGGCCAGGAGTGGCGGTTGAGACCGATTTAGGTAATCTGTTATACATCAGTACGGTTTCTGAAAGTATATTCATATTCAATGCGTTCATATCCTGCCATTTCACGCAGGCAAAGCATGTCAAGCTAGAAGCCCGTGAGGAAAGATAGATATCGTAATATGAAAGCGCTGCCACATACTGGAGATAAGTTAGCTTTGGCATGAGATACTGCTTCGAGAAGATCTTAAAAAGAGAACCGGTACTTGATAGCGCATAAAGTGTAGGGAAAGATATACCAGACTCGTGCACCATTGGGTACAAATCCAAACTGGTCGACAAAGTCGAGGAAGTTCTCAATGATGTTTCTAAATTACATTAGTAGGTCTGGTATGCGCTGTTCCAGGACTGATAGGACAAACCTGGAGATCTGGGTGAAGCTACCACCAGTTCTCAGCAAGCCTTCTATGATCCAGAATGAATCCCAATAGTAAGGTTCTCTGAATCGGCCACCAGCAACAACAAAGGTGCGATTGACTGGAATGAAGCTGTCAACACAACCTGTACAATTAGTAGCACCCACATCTATACACAACTCCGCATCAGTATTTCAAAGATTAGAGCCGTTAGTTCTGTAAGAAGCTCACATGTCCGAGTTAGAGCAGGCCAAATGTCGATAACCTTCTGCACAAATTGCTTGATTACGGAATCATCGATATTGTCTAAGAAGACAGGGTCGGTATGCAGTTGGTCTCTGGGGACCTGGGCTAATTCAGACCCGGCTTCACCAAAACAAGTTGACAGGAAGTCGTTAAGCTCGGTGTTGTTGCTGAGTGGCTTGATAAGTTGATCGAAGGCAGCAAGGACTTGGTCTAGGGGCACCTTTGTTGGCCTGCCCCCCTCATTAGCTGATGTGGTAGCAACATGGGTGTGTGTGCACAGTTACAGATCTACGAAGGTCTTGGAGTCAGAGAAGGGTCGGGCAAGCTCGATCTGCTTCAGAATGTCACCTTGGCAATAGATAGGTGAATCGCAAGGAGAGAAAAGCGAGCCATTCTGAAAAAGGCCGTAGACTGTATTAGACAAGACAAAGGCTGATATGACTGTAAGGCGTTGTATGTTCGTCATGATGCCCTCTGATCATATCAAGGCTGTACTGACAACTGTACCAGGGGACGACGATGTATGGAAACGGGTTTGTTGTGGTCTAGGGCAAACAATACCCTGCCCACACATTTGAAATACTTGTCGATGAAGACCTTCTGAGTACAGTGAGTAGTATATGACCTACATTGCCCACTAGGTAGGTACCTACACAACATTGATAATAGTATGTTACTGTATGTAGGCATGTTAGCTAAGGCATGTAGGTATGTAGGTATCCCTGCTATAGGAGACCATACAAAAAGCTTGGAAGCTGATTGCTGCTTGCGGGGTAGTTTGCTCATACCCCCGGTCAAGCCGGGCTAATAAGCACGGCCATTGTTCTGAGGCTTTGTTATGCATGATCCGATGCTTCTGATGATGTCCTTTATCAATATGTGGATGTAAGTCTGGTAAATGCATACGCCTACATATGTACCTAAGCATAGATACTACACACCACTGCTAGGTACTATGCATGTAAAGAAGGATACCTACATAGTAGGTATAGGTGCCTATGAATAAATTTGGTACACCTAGGTAGGTAAAACCTTTTCGACCTTCTTTGCAGGATATACACCAGGTTGACAAGAGGATATTTTCACATCTTGAGATCGTGCTATTATGTATGAGACGATGGAATAATAATCAATCTTGATTATCACAACTTATCGATACACAAGGGTCAGCGTCGATTCTCCTTCCCCAAGCCACTCCCTCTCCTCCCGCTTCTCAGGAGTCAACGTCCATCTTCTCCCCCTCGCCTGACTCTAGCTCTTGCACGCTGACATACTTTCCAATTTCGTCCTTGGTGATTATCTTCTCGTTTAGTACTGCTGTAGTACCGCGCTTGAATTTGTAGTTCTTTAGCTTCTGGCTGCGCTCGTTTGGTTTGATGAAGCCGCGGTGCAAAGTTGTCTTGTCTGCTGTAATTACGGCCAAATCCACGTTAGATCCGGAGCCCAGATCGTTGAAGATACCAGACTGAATGGCTTGAGAACAGAGCTCCATGGCGTCCTCCTTGGTGCAGTTTGGCTTCCATTGGGACTCGAAAACAGACATGGCAGCGAGCGATCCCGAGCCCATAGTCACGTAGGGAAGTTTGTCCGTGCTACCGTGAGCATGTACGGTGAACAGATGGGTTCCTGTTGGATCGACACCGGCAACAACCAAGTAGGCTCCGATATGGCCCTGATACCGGAAGAGATGCTGCTTGAGGAGGGTCATGCAGGTCACCACGCGGGGTTTCCGGCCAGTGGAGAGAGAGTGAAGCTCGAGCTGAGAAGATATGAGGGCGGTTGTAAACTCGGTGTCCGCCGCAGTACCGGCACCAGCGCACCAAATTTGGGGCGCAATATAATGCAGCTTCTCGCAGTTCTTGTCAGCGACGATGGGACCACTGGTGGCACGGGTGTCGGCTGCGATCTATCTCGAATTTGTATCAGTGTGATGGTACTTGGACTTGGGCGAAAATTGTATATTACTGACCACAACGCCCCCATCGTATATACATCCGACGATGGTGGTACCTGTGCTGGTGGCTTTTGGTAGCGGAACACCTCGTGCGTGTAGAGCCGCATTGCGGTTGTAGTTTGAAAAGTCAAAGCCAGGCATACTGGCTGATTCAAATCGGTGTAGACGAGTACCTTTCTTCGTGGACGTAAAAGGTCAAGGCTGGAAGGACCAGAATGAGATTTCAAAGTGGTTATGCGTTGGATGTTAATATCGTAGTAGGAAAACCTAAGTTGTTGGCGGTAGTGAGTGGTGGTTTGGTGGTTTGGTGGTTTTGTAGTATGTAAGTATTAATCAACTAACATTATGTTAGGAATTGGATACTACATATGTACATAACTTACATAGGTGCGATGGATGACGACCAGGAGCTAGCTGCCTACTGGGTACATAGTAGTATGTATACTAGGTACTACACACATCATGGATACCTAGTAGGTACCTACATGCCCAGTGTACTAGGTACTACCTAGTAGTACATACTATCACACATGTACTAGGTACCTGTAACTATTAGCTCTGATGAATTGGCAGGGATACGCGAGCCTACATAGTACTAGTACCTACATAGGGTAGGCATGTAGTAGGCAGGTACTACATAACTACCAATTGCAATCTATTGCTTACCCTTCATCTTCTATGTAACTACATAAAAATCCCAACTAAAAAAAAAAAAGTTACTGCGCGTCACAATACAACAATTCACATTCTTGCAACCCCTAGACGGCGTTCTCATGCTTTTTATTGTGATGGTATGCCCGTTTTTTTGATCGCTATCACTGCGTATCGACCTACTGCCCATCGAGATCTTATTTGAGTTCTCTGCCGACCAGCCAACCGACTAAATCTCATCTTACAATCGATTCCACCTGTCTACCGATGTAACCAATTCCTTTCCATGAACGCCTCTTGCTAGATTTACAACCCTGCCACCGTCATGGCGTTCAGCTTTGGAAATGCCGGAAACACCGTTGGCGGCCTCGGAGGTGTTTCCCAAGGTCCTGATCTGGGGGAGGTCCAGACTGAAGCTCTTGGTTTTTTGTCACTATCCGGTGATGCTAAGCTGCGAATTACCTCACCATGGTCTCCGCCCCCCGCCGAGTATGCTTCCCTTATTAGCATCGCACCACGATCGGGTCTGGTTGCTGCAGCTGGCCCCGATGCCATCATACTAGCATCTACCGAATCTGTTAGGAAGGCTTTCGATGGTCCCAAAGACGGAGAGGGGGAAACTCCGACATTCGAGCCACCATTGAAGTTGCCTTTACCAATACGAGTATGCCAACTCGCATTTACAGCCGATGAAGCCTACCTGCTATTATCAGCAGAACAAGGTGGAGGTTTGGCGGTATACCAGGTTGAAGCACTCCAGCACGGCACAACGCAGTCTGCCTTCGAGATGCCCACGAATGGCGAGTCGCTAAGAGCCCTAGTACCGAACCCTCGCACAGAGAAGGCTGAACTGTGTGCTGTCGTAACCAATGAAGGCAAGCTTTTGATGGCCAACATGAAGGATCGCAATTTCGTATCGGGCCCTAACGGTCAAATTCTGAAGGATCAGGTTAGCTGTGTCGCTTGGAGTAACAAGGGAAAGCAGTTGATAGCAGGGCTTGGTGATGGTACTATACAGCAAATGACGCCCGAGGGCAATGTCAAAGCTGAAATCCCGCGACCACCAGATCTTGATTCAACGTATTTCGGTACGGCCTCAGTTCATACTCAATTACCAATATTCTAAACTAACATCTACCTAGTTTCATGCCTGGTTTGGCTCGAGAACGATGTATTCCTTAGCTTTTACGTTTCTACTTCGGAGCAGCCCCCTCCAATTCGGTGTCGTCTAATCACAAGACAGGGTCAGAAATTCCTATCCCAGAAGCTCATTAACCCTGTAGAACCCTACGACCCCGACTACAAAGTTCCGCATCTCACAATCATGCGACTGAAGGATTTCCCACCAAACCTCCAAGACCTTCTTATCTGTTCTTCTACCGTTACTCCTGATATTGGCCTTTTTACGCGGTCGAAAACGCCACTGGGACCAGACGGTCCCTCAAATGCCTTTACGTTAACTGAATTGGCCGACGATTCCAAGCGAGCTACTCTACCAATGGGTGACGGCTTGGAGAACCCAGTAGCAATTGGCACGGCTCTCGACCTGTCTAGTCGAGAGAACGTCTATAAACCTATACCTACCGATGAGTTGGACCAATCTCCTGGCCCATTGCCAGGTTATTGGGTTCTCAATTCCGAGGGTATTCTCTCTGTTTGGTGGGTTGTATATTCCGAATCGATTCGAGGAGGGACCACGTATCCAGGGCTTGTAGTCGTGGAAGATAATGCTACAAGCTCAGCCGAGACGACAGCTCCTAAATCTGCCCAACCGAGCCCCTTTGGAGTCCCGTTGGCTGCGCCAGTGGCAGCATTTGGGGGCCCTTCAGCATTAGGCTCAAAAGGCTCTCCCTGGGGCACTCTTCCATCTACCTCGAGCGGTGCTGGTGGACCTACGTTCGGCTCGAGTTCTTTTGGTATGGGGGCTGCGTCCTCAGCGCCAAAACTCGGTGCACCATCCTTTGGCTCGTCGACTCTAGGCACAGCCTCTTCGCCTTCATTTGGGCAACCCTCTGGGAAATGGTCTCAGTCTTCACCTTGGACCTCTGGATCTACATCGTCAACCACTCCGGCTTTCGGTCAGTCTGCCTTTACCAATAATACCAACAATACAGGCGGACTTGAGGGGCCATTTGGAAGCGCGAAACCCAACCCAACAATTTCGAGTGGCGGGTTTGCTAATTTTGCGAGCAAAGGCGGCTTTGCATCCCTTGGGTCAAACAATATTACTAGCGGGTCCAGTATATTTGCATCTTCGAACGCGGAAGCCCCTGAAGTCTCTATGGATACAGATAATACATCTGCATTCCAGGCCCCAAGTACTAAGCCGAGTATAGGCACTGGAAATCCCTTTGGATCGCAACCATTCAAATTGAGCTCTAGCTTTCAACCCGACCCGAACGCAAGGGACGACGATACCGATGGGAACTCTTCGAGTACTGTGAAGCCCATGTTCGGTACGAATTTTGCGGCCACGATAGATGAACCAGCAAAGGCAACAGTCTCAACCCCTATTGCTACTGTGCCGCAAAGTGCCTTTGGTCGGTTAGCGCCGTCGGCGAATGTGGAATCAACTACACCGGCTTCGACTCCAGCTCCATCCAAGGTCCTAGCTCCAACTTCCCCAGAACCACAAGGCAGGGGGCTTTTCCACTTCCCACCAAAAACCCCTAATAGCCAGAGCAGTGTTTTTGGGTCTTCCACTTCCCAAACACCCAAGGATGACCCATCTAGGAAGGTAGATGCAGCGACCCCTAACCCATTGAAATATAGCGTAGATACTCCCCTACCCCCAGAATCTACTAGTAAGGCCACCTATCCATTAGGCGATTCATCATCTTCGTCTGCTGGCACTGTAGATTCTGCGGACCTCAAGGGAACGTCTGCTGGTGCTAAGGATGTACCTTTGCCACCTAATTTAGCCGACTCAACGCCTAAGGCGACAACGAGTAGGACTCTCGTTGAGGAAGTACCTACCGTTGTGGAGGACGTGCCTTTGCCACCTGACGCAATTAAAAATAAGAAGGCATACAACGCCCCTTTACCCCCATTGCCTGGGGTTGATGCGAAATCTAAGTCCCTCGATGAGGCCCCCTTGCCTCCAGACCCTCTGAAACGCTCGAATGCGTACGAAAATAGGCCTCCTGCTCTTCCGATTGCTAAGCTCTCTTCCGAGGCTGCTGGGCCTGGGTTTAAATTTCCTACAAACCCCCTTCCTATCCCATCAGATAGCGAGGATGACGAATTGTCTGAAGACGAAGAAGGCACCGAGGCCGTTAGTGAGGGTAGCGGTGTCGACGTTGCTAAGGAACTTAGTCCGGCCAGCACTAATGTGAATAGAACCCCTGGGTTTACTCCCCAGAGCTCCTTTGATGGCCTGGCAGGAAGCTACTCTACAATACCCCGTCCAGATCAAGAAAGGCGAGGCTTCTTTGGCGAATTAGGCCGTAATGCCCCTGTGTTCCCCCAGCCAAATCCTGTCAGCCCCCGTTCGCCGAGTCCTGTACGAAGCGCAGTGCCTACTAGGCTTGTCGGAAAAGACCAACCACGATCCTTTAGTGCGCCTGGGCTGGCATCTCAAATTCTTGGTACATCTAGAAGGCAGCAATCTCGGGTGGGATCTTCAATCATTGGTAAAGATGCTTTTGTTGAAGATGCGATTATGGAACAGCAACGGAAAGCAAAAGCAAAAAAGGAGGCTGAGGAAAGTCAAGTGCTTCTCGACGAAGAAGATGATGCTGTTCAAAGCTTGCTAAAGGCGGAAGTGAAGCCAACCCTAGAGCTTGATGAATTCATTGCACACCCAGGCGTGACAGCACCGGCTGGTGATAGCGTGCCGGCACAGGTTGAGGCCGTATATCGTGACATCAATTCCATGATCGATACCCTTGGACTTAATGCACGGTCCCTCGCAGGCTTCACCAAGGGCCATAAAGTGCCATCTACTAGGGACTATACTAGGCAGGATTTGGCTGTTTCGGATGATTGGATGTTGAATGGACTGGAGAGCTTAGCACATATCATCGATCAGGACCTTGGCGTTGCCCTTAGCGAAGCAAGGGTCGCGGACGTGCCAGGGAAGCGTGCAGAATGCGAAGACATTCAGCGTGAGCTTGGTCGCGATCGCAATAAGCAGGCTGATCTGAAGAAAATCATCACCTCCCGCCTAGACCCCGACCAGACTGCCGCAAACCGTGCACTACCTCTCAGCGCGGAGCAGGCAGCGCAGCAGAATGACCTACGACGAGAATACGCCAAATTTACGAGGCTTCTGGCAGAGGCCGAGGAAGGCTTGACGCTGCTCAAGGCCAAGATGGTATCTGCCAATAGCGCGAACGGGAGGGGTGGTCCAACGCCAACTATTGAAGCGGTCGTACGTACTATTACCAAACTCACAAGTATGGTTGAGAAGCGCAGCGGCGATATCGATGTTCTCGAAAACCAGATGAGGAAATTGCGCTTGCAAGGCGCAAGCAGTCGCGAAGGCTCACCTTTAGCTACGCCAAACGCCAAGAGACTATCAGCATCCTCGGTTTTTTCTCCGGAGCGGTCCATGCGAGAGGGTACACCGCAACGTAGCAGCATCTTGCGCCACTCGGTGTCGGGAAGTATTGGCGGGAGCATTTTCTACACACCACCGCGCAAGAAGCTAAGTGGCTTTGGAGACATGGAGAGAAAAGCCGTGAAGGAGAAGCAGCAGCGTAGGATGGCTGTGCTTGGAAAGCTCAAAAACAGTCTCCAAAAAAAGGGTCCCAGCGTGTGGGCTGTGGACGAGATCGAATAAGCCCTTGATGTATCAGTAGCAGTTGTGCTCGGTTAGGAGACGAATGACGAATAAACAAGGATTCCGGCAGATTAATGCCTTTCATACCCGAGTAGGCGCCTATGTAGGTTAGAGATTTCGCAGACATGTTTTACGAAGGAAAAGGGAGAAAAAGAAAGGGTTAAATTCTATTACTCTAGTACACAAGAGGTAAATAATCATGCGAGTGGGGAGTCAGGAGTCAGGAGTCACTGGGTATTTCCCATCTTAGGGTAACTTATAGTTATAGTAGCACGATCTGAACGTTTAACTGCTAGGTAGTCAGAAGGTACCGAGATATCCTAGTTTCAGTTGGGAGCCAACACCACGTGGACTATGTGATTCCATCGTTTGACAAATGCCATTGTCAGGCAGGGTATAATACGTAGACGCATACAGTGTAGCCACTCCTTAACACATTGAAGCTCACAACCAGAAGCAAGCAACTCTCAGTAACTCCTCTCCAAACTTTAGAACCACGTAATACACCCCAGACCTCTTACGCAAAGCCGACGACACCTCCGCTTACGGCCTCAAGCCTTGCGACGAGCTTCTTGACGTTTGTCCACTCCTCACTTCTAGCCGCCTCCTTGCCACCCAGGTCGGGCCCAACCTCAAACACACTCACTACAGCATCGATACCCCCCGTAGCTAGTCGCTTACCCTCACTACCCTCCCATGCGACCTTGTTCAGGCTCTTGCAGAGCAACTGGCGGCCATCCTTACGTGGAGTGGGACTGATTTTGGCTACGGGGATCTCAGTCTCGACGGTAATGTCCCAGAGTTCGAGAGATCCAGCCCCGTCAACGAGAGCAAAAACACCAGGGCGTACGGGGGACCACGCGGCATCATATACAACATCCTCACGCACAAACTCGAGGAGGGGCGGAACAGCAGTGCCTGCGCTCTCGACAATAGTGCTCGTGGCGGCCGGGGCGCGCACTTTCCACAACTTGACGGACCAGTCAAGAGACGAAGAGAGCACTAGGTCGCCTAGATCTACGAAGCCGCGCGCCGGGTGGAAGTTGACACTCATGACGGGGGCAGCGTGTCCCTTGTAGGACACGCGGGAGTCAACGCCGGCTTTGGCGCCAGCACGGTCGTACCGATGGCACGGGTAGATCGGCCCTTCTTCTGACCCGACAAGGAAATACGTTGGGTCTGCCTGGGGAAACGCCATGGTGGTGGGCGCGAGGTCTTCAAACTTGTTGGGAGGGGGGGTGGTAAGAGTGAGAGATTCTTGCGGCTGAGAAAGCATGTCGACGCTCCACACACAGAAGGCGCCATCAGTAGAAACTGATATGATATTATTTGCATTTTGAGTACCGACGATGTCGACGGAATAAACGGGATGCGAATGGCCAGAGCCTGTCAAGGGCGTTTTTTGTACAGGAGCGGATTTGGCGCGTGTATCCCAAAGAAGGACCTGGCCGGAATAAGTGCCGCCTATAATTAGATTAGGGTGAAAAGGGGAGAATTTGGCCGTGAGAATATCAGACTGGGCATGAAAGAGAAACTCGGATCGATCGTGAAGGTGTTGGTTCCACACTTGCACAATGCCATCAGGGTCATGAGGGGCAGATGGGTTTTTGGTGTAAGAAGCGAGAAGAAGCTCGGGAAATTTTGGCGAGAAGTCGATGCTGCTGATCATGCGCTTTTTAGACCATCGATCATCGTAGAACTGAACGATTTCCTTGACTCGCCGGCGACCTTTACCACCAGTGTTGCCCGCCTGCTCATCCTCATCTTCGATGTCATGAGCCTGGAGTGAATAGTCCGTCAAGATATCATATTCGTTACTGATATCGAGGGCTCGTTCAATAACTTTGGTGGAGCGCTCGACGAATTCCACGAAGTCATCTGACGCCACGACAGCGGCCAGCTCCTCGTTATTCAATGCCCTTGCAGGGAAGTTGGATGTGGCGACAGAACTAGACTGCAATGGTCCGTCGGTAATCAGCTCACGGGCTGCCTTCAACTCCTCCTCAATTTCTAGCCGTAAATTCTGGCGCAATTCCTCTTCTCTGTCACGTTTCCACTTGCTCAGTCGCTTACTAGGAGTGGACGTTGTGGCAGGAAGATCTTCATCATCAAGATCCGAGAAAGCTCGAGGTCGGGAGGTCGGAGGCGTCCAATCATCGTTGGTTTGAACACTTTTACTGTAGGATACTACTTCTTTGACCGGAGATGGCGGACACTCAAATATAGTTTGAAGAGGCACAGTGGTCAAAACCTGTGGATGGGAAGAGGCAAGCTGGGCGTTTGCCTGGGAGGCATACTCGGAGTGCTCACCGCTCAGTTCATCGGTACTGAGGACGCTGTTGGGTCGACTGCCTCGAAAGCCGGGAGAGGCAGCACCTGTTGTGGAAGAGGCAGGCCTACTGTCACCTACTAGACTATTAATTAGGGACTCGATGACCTTGCGATTGTCGCGGCCTGGGGTGGGGGAGATGAGCTAAAAGAACGGTTAGCAAGCAAGGAAAGGGGAAATATGTATACAGTGATATATATATATATATATATATAAAGAGAGAGAGGGAGAGGGAGAGGGAGGGAGAGGGAGGGAGGGGAAAAGGGGGATGGAAGACCAACATCACTGGATCCGCCGATGCTGGGTCTAGCAGCAGTGGCAGCCTGGTTCGCCCTTAATTCTCGTTGTCGCTTGAGCTCGGCAAGCTTTGCCTTCTTCGCTAGAATCTCATCTCGTCGTTGTTGCATCTTGCCCTCCACCAAGACCAAGGCCCATGTCGCGGTAGGTGCTCTGTGCCTTTACGATTGATTGAATATATAGAATGTGATGTAATTTTTTTTCGTGTTGTGGTATCCTATCTGAGAGTGGCGCAAACGAGCTCGATGAGTTGGAAAATGTGCTGCAAGATGTGCTGCTACTATTAGCTACCTAGGGTAGGTATTGGGTATAGAGGTGTGTAGAAGGTAAGAATTGCTAAAGATGGGTTTGGTCATGTACTTCAAGTAGATACCTTGTGTATTGTGTGTAGATAGTATGTATGTACTAGTAGCTAAAAGTAGCTACTGCAGTCTGCGCGTTTCAATCTTCTTCGTGCCTTCTTTGTCGGGACACCGCGACACCGATGGGATAAGGATTGTCTCATTTAACTCTAAACGGAAGTTACATAAGTACCTCTACAGGAGGGATACGTAAATATATGTATTTATGCATAGTATAGTACAGCATTGAATGCACTATGTACATAAGTGTGACTGCCCAGTGCCTACAGCGCCTAGTACGTACTATGTGTGGGTTAAGTGCATGTACGTACCCGAAAGGTTAAGAAATGGTACATTTTAAAAGTAGAAAATAGGAAAAAAATAAAAAATCAACGTATGCGAAATTTCCCGACGCTGCCCATACATAGTACGATCTCATCTTTCTAAATTTCATTTTTTATCCCCAGCCACATTCTTCGACAGCCTCTCTATCTTTCTTCCCTCTAACAGGGCCAATTGGCATCTTATCCCCTGCCTGCGCATCGCTAATTGATCGCTCATTTCGTCCAAGAAAGTGTTTGCGCCCTAAACTGGCCCAATGTCTACCTCTTCAGGAGTCAATGTATGTGTCGCCTGCCGTACACCCGAACTACCTTCACGATAGAGCTTAGAGCTTAGAGCTTAGAGCACTTGGTCCCTAACAACGTTTGGTGCAGGTACTCCGGTACTCGGCTCTTGCCTTGGGCGTGTTCTACGGGTTTACACACCAGCGATCCATCACTGCAGCACAAAAGGCCGCAGCCGCACAGAAGGAATACGAACACAAGCAACAATTAATAGAGCAAGCCCGAGCCGAATATGCGAGATCCAAGAACCCGGCTCCCCCAACGTCCGAGAAGAGTGGTTGTATGTTGACCCACCCCCGAAATGACAGGAAGATGGTTGGACTTTATAAATGTTAACGACATCAGTAGTGAATCAAGACCCAATGGACCCCAAGTTTGACCTGGAAGCATACTTCAATGCCTTGATGTCACAGAAGTCGTAAAGCCGATATAGTAGTTGGGAAGTCATTGCGCCGGGAGTCATATTAGAAGCTGAGATGGAGACAGAGAGAGGGCCGCAATCGAGCTCGATGCCCAATTTGGATCGAAGCTTTTCCTCGAATGACAAATTGGCGGGCTCTGTGTATGACTAGGAAGCCATGCATAAAAACGTCTGATACATAGATTTCATTTGGCTTTACTCCGTACATGTGTACAATACCAAGATTTCATGCCAACCTGAACTCGTGAGTATGACCAGAGCTGACATGGCATTCATGATGCAGTTTCTAACGACCCAGTTCAAGATTCTGTTGTGAGATTTAATTTCATCATGCCTAGGTACATATCCTTTCACATCTATATCTATGTGTTATGTTGTTGAAGTCTCTCAACAAAAAGAATACCACATATATAGATAGTGTGTAGTAAAGACTATAGGCGGAGAATGCTTATAACATCATAGTAAATGGCAAATCAGAAATCAGAGGTGAGTTCTACATTAGTATGTATGTATGTATGTATGTATGTACCTATACTACTAGGTAGTATCCTAGGCATCAAATGTACATACTAGGTACTGTACATAGGTTCACTCAAGCACGTGTTCAACATCGAATGTTGTACATACTGAAGCCTACAAAGCTAACATACATAAGTATATTATGTATATACTAGTGCCTATGCAGTATATGAGGCTATGGTACCTGGAATTGAGTTTAAACCCCTGCAACTTCAAGCATGGAGCTTCCTACTTTCATGTTGTACTGCAGAACTGCGACGCGCGGATTGCCAAAGCTCCAGCTGTCCTTCTCAATTCAAAATTATTTCATAAGTGTATTTTTGTATTTTCGGAAATATTCACACATACTGTACATATAATACACTCACTACTTACACACATCGCACACTGCAAACCAAACTACACTTTTCAAATGTTGACACCGTCCACCACCTAGTTGCATTGTCTCTCAAGGCGATAGACAGTACACAAAATGCCTGTCGCAGCTAGCACATCGTCTGCGCCGGTTGACTTACTCGTCAATGTCGGCAAGAATCAGAGCACCAAGACCTTATTGAGGGTCATTATTCTCTGCTTCATTGCCGCCGCCGCTGTCGCAAGTCGTTTGTTCTCTGTCATCCGTATGTTTATTCCACCCCACCCTCTTCTCTTGTACTTTGACTGTATTGGTATCAACTACTAACTAGGTGCCTACCCACCTTCACACAGGTTTTGAGAGTATTATCCACGAATGTAAGCCAAATATCTCCTACTCTATCTAGTACTCCAGTGCTCCAATGCCCCTCCCTCTCTCCCTCTCTACCTCTCTACCTCTTTACCTCTCTACCTCTCTACCTCTCTAACTTGTATATTGCAATAGTCGACCCGTGGTTCAACTTCCGAGCAACCAAGTATCTAGTTGCTCATGGCTTTTACGACTTTTGGGACTGGTTTGACGATCGAACATGGCATCCTCTCGGACGAGTTACTGGAGGTACTCTTTATCCTGGTTTGATGGTCACCAGTGGTATTATTTACCATATCCTACAAGCCCTGACCGTACCCATCGACATTAGAAACATTTGTGTTCTTCTCGCCCCTGCTTGCTCAGGTCTGACTGCCTTTGCCACTTATCTCCTTACTAACGAGATGACCACCTCCCCATCTGCTGGTCTTCTCGCCGCAGCCTTCATGGGCATTGCCCCAGGTTACATCTCGCGATCTGTTGCTGGCTCATACGACAACGAGGCTATTGCCATCTTCCTCTTGGTTTTCACCTTTTATCTCTGGATCAAGGCTTTGAAATTAGGTTCTGTCTTATGGGGTGCTCTTTGCGCACTATTCTACGGTTACATGGTGGCCTCGTGGGGTGGATATGCCTTCATTACATGCCTGGTGCCTCTGCATGCATTTGTGCTCGTCTGCATGGGCAGATTTAGCATGCGCCTCTACGTCTCGTACACTACGTGGTACGCTCTTGGTACCTTGGCTAGCATGCAGATCCCGTTCGTCGGTTTCCTGCCTGTCCGAACTAGCGAGCATATGCCCGCCTTAGGTAAGTGTAGAATAGCTAGCAACTAAACTCAAGATCATAGTTTTGTTTGCTGATTTTGCGTCCTAGGTATATTTGGCTTCCTTCAACTCGTCGCGTTCCTCGAGTATGTCCGTTCAGCCATCCCAAGCCGTCAGTTCCAGACCTTCCTCTATGTCGCGCTGGGTGGTATATTCGGCGTATCTGTCCTCGCTTTAGTTGGCCTAACTACCCTTGGATACATTGCCCCTTGGTCTGGCCGATTCTACTCCCTATGGGATACTGGCTATGCCAAGATTCATATTCCCATTATTGCCTCTGTTTCAGAGCATCAGCCCACTGCCTGGCCTGCCTTCTTCTTCGATCTCAACATGCTGATTTGGCTCTTCCCCGCCGGTGTCTACCTCTGTTTTCAGAGACTTGAAGATGAGCATGTCTTTATCATTGTGTACGCCCTATTTGGAAGTTATTTTGCTGGCGTCATGGTCCGATTAATGCTTACTCTCACGCCGGTGGTTTGTGTGGCCGCTGCCATCGCCACTTCTCAACTCCTCGACACGTATCTTGTCGTTAAATCTCCTGAATCTCCGGACAAGGAGGAGGAAAGCTCAGATGCTTCTACGAAGAAGGCAGCGAAGCATGGCTTGCTACGGACCGCATCTCAACCCGTGGTCGGCATCTATAACTTGTTGTCAAAGGGTTTCGTATCCGGATCCATGTTGTTGTATTTGCTCATCTTCGTGCAGCACTGTACCTGGGTCACCTCCAACGCATATTCGTCCCCATCTGTAGTCCTAGCGAGCCGGATGCCGGATGGAAGCCAGCATATCATTGATGACTACCGTGAAGCTTACCAATGGCTTCGGCAGAATACGAAGGAAGATGCCAAGATCATGTCTTGGTGGGATTATGGCTATCAAATCGGCGGCATGGCCGATCGCCCCACGCTCGTTGACAACAACACCTGGAACAATACCCACATTGCTACGGTGGGAAAGGCTATGAGTTCCCGAGAGGAAGTAAGTTATCCAATCATGCGCCAGCACGAGGTTGACTACGTTCTTGTCGTATTCGGTGGTCTTCTCGGCTATTCCGGTGACGACATCAACAAGTTTCTCTGGATGGTCAGGATCGCGGAAGGTATTTGGCCTGATGAGGTCAAGGAGCGTGACTTTTTCACGGCTCGGGGCGAATACAGAGTGGATGGAGAGGCGTCAGAGACCATGAAGAACAGCTTGATGTAGGTTCCCCCTTCTTGACATAATTTGGTAACGTTACTTGTCTTCTAACCATATTTGCTTTCCCCCCGAAATAGGTACAAGATGTCGTACTACAACTACGGCTCTCTCTTTCCGCCTGGACAGGCTCAAGACCGTGTCCGGAATGCCCGACTACCCGACCAAGGCCCAGTTCTTAATACGCTAGAAGAAGCCTATACCAGTGAGAATTGGATCATCAGAATCTACAAGGTGAAAGACCTTGACAATGTAGGCCGTGATCATGCGGCAGCCGCGTCATTCGAGAGAGGACACAAGAAGAAGAAGTCGACAAAGAAGCGCGGGCCTCGAGTCCTCAGAGTGGAGTAATTGACTTACGAAAGGGGGTAGGGGGCAAGGTAATGGGGCGGTAGGTGGATGGATGGAGGGTCTAGGATGGCAGGATTGCCATGCAATTCATATGATTAATTTATTATGGATTTGCTAGCTGGTTTGCGAGCAGCAGCTGTTGATGACTTGTGATGTGTATACGTACTAAAATACAAAAGTCAGGGAAGGCGGGAAAATAAAGGTCAAAAGACAAAAAGTGGACAGACTCGAGATGCATCACGGCCATTATAATTGAAATGCATGACATAAAACTCCACGTGTATTCAAAAGGAAGTAAAGTTCAGCACTAAATGACTACCTAGGTACCTAACTTACGTAGGTAATCAATCAGTCACCTTGTGAGTATATTCGTACATAAGTAATATCAATAGTAAACAAATCATTAAAATGAAAGCAGACGATTTGGTGATTTTTTTTATTTTTATATATATATTTTTTTAGAAAAAAGATTTGTCAAGGCATTGCCCACTACTGGAGTCGAACCAGTCATCTCCTCATTGCATTCCCCAGTAGATTACAGAAAGTACTAGTGAGGCGCATTACCGCTGTGCCAAGCGGGCCTACTGTTGGATTTGTAAGTCCTATGTAAGATTATATCCCGGTAACACTGCAACCTGCAAGTTTTCCAGGTTGTCTTCACATTATCTCTGTAGAGTCCGTCTCAACATGGGCATATGCCATCATATTTATTCACTTTTATCTGAGGGTATGCAACTCGATGCTACTCATACTAGGTACTACCTAGGTACTACCCAGGTACATGTTCAATTCCGCAATCAACAGGCCCCTAAAACCATCTAATTCATCATTTTCACATAATACCATCGTAATCTCGTAGCAGCGCAAAAGACTGGTTCTCCAAAGTCTTCCTTAGCTAACCTGCCGGCTACGGGACAAGACATCAATTGCCAAGTAGCAGAAGTGAGAAGGCCGGAACATAAGAGGGCTTCGTGATTGGGTACCGGCTAGAGAAGTATGTCAACCAAGACACATCGTAGGTGCTCATACCGCGACAATTATCACGGTGATTACCGTAGTATATATTGCTGGTCATAGGATATGCCGAAATTTCCCACGTTATGAGTATTTGGCTGGTCGAGCAACAGTCAGTCAAGTCGAAAACGCCTTACGACCGCGAAGGTCGACGGGTACGCCGGCGTATACCAGCTACATTTGCCTTGGCATCATCCATGAAATCGGGCGAGAGATATTCCATCGAATGCCCTGAGTGGGCAACTGTAGAGAGCCTTGCTTCTGGGCTCATCAGGTCCGACGAACTACTCAAGTCGTTACCAGAAAAACTATATATGCCATTCTTGTGTTGCGGCGTGGAAGGGGTAGGCTGGGTCCTGTCTCTTTGAGCCACTTGGTTTCCTAGAGAGTTATACAACATCTGGGGACCATGTGCGAGTGGCTTCTGCTTTTGACTCCCCCTGCTAAAGAAATCTATAGGGGCAGTTAGTTTACCAAGCCAGTCTACGCGGCTTGCTGCTTGTGGAGTATGGAACGTACCGAGCATTTTAACCGGCTTATCCATATGCTGGGGGCTTTTATTCGTACCCGAGCTCTCGGCCAGTGTGTATGCAGCACCGTGGTTCGTACTTTGAAACCCTTCGTAGGAACTGTACGAATCTATCGAGACCTCAGTGCGCGTCGCAAAACTTTGCGTAGGAAACGTTGTAGTGCTCGGATTGCCCCAAGGTGTCGTCGTCTCGTTGAACAGCTTGCTAGCCGATAGCAATTCCTCTTCGGTCCTATTCTTGATTTCCTGTTCAATCCTTTCCGCTGTTTTCTCGCCCCCCGCCATGCCATTATCCCCAATGAACGGAACGGAGGTGCCATCAGTAGACGTTTGCCGTAAACCCCAATCCAAATCGGGGTCAGCATCATTCTGTATGTTCCACTCTGTCATTTTCATGTGGCTTTCAATTCCTTCTGGTTCGGCATTCTCGTCATGAATAACGTTGTCCCGATGTCGTCGAACTCGCCTACGATCTGAACGCGCTACCTGTCCTAGCTTTCGATCTCTGACAGCTCGCTCAATTGTTGGGGTTTCCCGCGAACCATATGTCTGCTGATCATGAGTGCCATATTGTGGCCTACTCTTATGACTTTGTGGAGTTGTATCTCTAGTAGAGACCTCGGCCGCGATATTGTGGGGGAGCTTAGACGGGGCCGGACGGGGTATTCTAGAACGCCATCTAGAGCTGGTAGCATTGACCTGACCCCTTGCGTTGTTCTCCTGGCTATCCTGTTTGCAGCTATTCGGCCGACAAGCATGCATAGTCTCTGCCGGCGACTCCAGCTCATAATCAGCTTCTAGGGCATCATGTTTCGGATCCAGTCCATTGACTTGGTTGGAAAGCTCTTTGACAAATGATGGCAAGCGTATACTCCTGTCATGTTTTACCTCCTGACTCGGGCTAGCTGTTGGGCCCCTGACCTCCGACTTCTTTAAGGAGGCTTGTAGCCGACAAGTTTCATCACTATCTTTCGCAGTTGCTGGACTAGACACCATAGTCGAGAATGAGCTGCCCAGGTGGCTCGACTTTTTCACTTCACCACCCGTTTGGCAATCATTTGCATCCGTCTGCGTGTCAGTCTCTGTCATGTCTGCACGATGTAAGCATTTGCGGCAATAATCCTGCACTGGTATTTGGCCTCTCTTCAAAGGATGTGCTTCTTCATATCCCTTAGATCTTGCCTTTCCACAGCCTAAACAGACATGGTTGTATTGGATCTTAGCCCCCGCGTCATGTCTTGTCTTGGTCTGCCTTTTTTTCTTGTCTTCCTTGTTTTTCCTCTCAGTGGTTGTTTCCTTAGCCATTACTATAGCACTGTAATGTTCCTCGCATCGCTTTACTTCGTCAAGGCTGAACTGAAAGGGGGTTTTCAAGTTGGGGAAGCTTCCATCGCCCTGTGACTGACTAAAAACTGGTCGCAATGGTGTGTGAGAGGTAAGAAAACCCGATATGGGCCTATACATTGGGTACGTAGGAGATTTGGATTCCCGGCAGACAGCAGGAACTTGGTACTGGTGGGTAAACAGAGGTATTGATGCCGGCGGAGGGACGATAAAGGCTGATGTGTGTGTGTAGTTTGGGCCAAGTACCTTGTAAACTTGAGGCATACCCGACTGTAGGATTGGAGCTGGGGGTTCTCTGAGGTCTGTAGATGGGTTGACACTGACTTGTAGTACATTATTAGGCACCAGGGTAGGCGGCCGTAGCGGCGAAGACAAAATCTGGACAATTGTAGGACTTGTTGGTGAATTAGATTTTCCCAAGATGGAGCTCAGGTCGCTTTTCCCCGGCGTTGCACCTGAATAACTGTTAGTGCGTGTAATGCCTTTCAGAAGCCGAATATGACTGGGTGTAGAAGTCGAAACGGATCTAGTACTACTCCTGCCAGTGGGAACATAGGAGTCTTTACCCTGGTGATTTTCACTGAATCTGTTCAGATTGTTGCCCGAGGATTTGAGGCTCAAAAAGTCGCTTTGCTGCTTTTTGCGAGCCAAGGCTAGCTTTCCATCCTTTGTCTTTGTGATGTAGACATCTTTGCTTCCAGGGAGGTAGAAGTTATTAGCACCATGTTTGTGGGCTTGATGTGGTGTATGGTGTTCTTCTGGCAGAGAATGAGCACTCCTGTTACAATATCAGTGAGAGTTTGACGACGGCAGAAGTTGTTAACAACATATAAGCAGAAAGACTTACCTGGAACATATTCGACTACTTGGTGAAGCCATTTTTCAAAAGAGACAGTAGGTGCTTATAGCACTCGTGGTTTGGAAATATGAACTTCACTAGTTATTCGATAAAAGTGAATCGATACTACCAGCGTTGTGATCATACGAGATGAAAAGAGCAAGACAAAAAGGGGGAAAAGAGACAGAATGGAAGATAGGAAGGGAAGAAGGAGAAGCATGTTATGGTTGGGGAGCAGGTAAGAAAGTAAATAACAAGAACGCCGTTGTGTTCCTGAGGTTACAAAGCTAAACACACTTTTAAGGGGTTAAGGTGTTAAGGTAAGTACGACCAATTCATCCATACCATCCATACCATCCATACTGTGCCTACTGTACATGCTCGGTTCTTGTCGATGCTCTTTCCAAGTGGATACATAGTACATGGTATGTGAATAACCTCAACAATGGTACCCAGCCATCTCATCTGATTACTCCCCCTTTAACTCATGATATGTAAAATGTTATCAAGCCTACCTTGCCTTTCATTTCCTTCTCTTCCATGCTCGTCGCGTACTGTTCATAAAAAGAAACACCAATATCTCCAATATCTTTACTCTACGCACGTGCTGTGGACATGTTTGTGAATACATAGGACATTACCATTACCCCCCCTCCCCCCCTCCCCCCCTTTCCCAAAATTTCTTTCTTTTAGGTTATGGTTTGGTTTTGTTAGATGTGTTGCGACTATACTGAAATTATACTTCTTTCCATAATCTCATAAAACTCGGAAATGCTTTTGAAAACTATTAAAGCTAAGAAGAGGAAGCTTCTACCCGCTACTTTGAAGAGATGATGACGGTATATTATGTCTGAACTGAGAGATCGCTCTCCCAGTTATAGGAGGCACATTGGCCGGCGAAGCTCGGCGAGCAACATGAGAGGCTAGCATTCTAACTGCCTCGACACGCTTTTCTTCAAAGATTCGGCTGCGTTCTAATTCTTCCCCCATGTGGCGCATCCTCGACTCTTGATCACGCTGCGCCTCAGCCTTGATCCTATCGTAGTGAAGCGTAGTGATAGCCTTGGGCCAAAGCCGATCAAGCTTGCGAGCCTGCGCCTCAGCCACGTACACCGGAGGCTCGTTCGCTGGTCTCACGCTAGAAGACCCACCCCAATAACACTCGAAAGTGAGCTTTGCCTGGCTATGCCTGTTCTCGGCCCCCCAGAAGACTATGGTGTCGCCGTGGTACAACTTCATCCAGTACTTGCAGGCTGCTGTGCTATCCTTTGGAGCATTGGCCTGTAAGTGGCTATTGTTGATTCGTATTCCACTGGTGGCTTTGGTTGATATGTAGAATGCGTACGAGCCCGGCTCCGGCGAAGCTCGCATTGTACGGCTAGTCACTGACCGAGAAGGTTCCCATGGACGGAACTCGCTAAGAGAGGCAGTGTAGCCGTCATTCCATAGCAGGACCCTGAAAGCATTTTTGGGCACCATGGAGTCCTCGACAGGCTCGTACACAACCGTGTTGTTGGGGTACCGTCCCCACGAGACAAGCGGGTCATGTATTTGAATTGATATCCCTGGTACCAACGAGCCTTGGACCGAGTAGAATGCTGCAACAGGTTTTGGCAGCCCAACAGTTTGTGCGTTGGCTTGGGGTTCAGGGGGAAGCGTATCGGGGATTGATTCTAATTCGGTTTCGACAGCAGGCGAATCTTTGGGAGTCGCCTCCCAATTCCGCTCCTCGTCGGTCAGTCGTCCATCGCGTTTGAGCCGGGCTGGCCGTAGTACCAGTGCCCTACCCTTCTCAACAGTTGGATGTCGGGTGTGCGTAGGTGGAAAATTCCGCATGGCGAGGTCCCACAGTCGTGACTTTCCGGGACCAAATTCTTCTTTTCTTTTTCCAGCAGCTAGCTCAAATGCGTTATACTGTAAATGGGTCATTTCAGGATAGTCCAGGTGCCATGTGCTCTTGTTTGAGCTATCCCAAAAAGTAGTTTTAGGCAGAGGATAATCGATTTGACGGCCCGATTCATTCTTCACGACCTGGGGCACACCGGCGAGTAAGCGATACTCGTCATCCTCCGAAATGCTTGCCTCAATCTCGCTTTGTGATTTGAGTCTCTTGAATGAGGGCTTGACCTTGGCCTCTCCCACATCATACTCGTCGCTTGTGTCGTAAGCAGGCTTTCTCTTACTTGTGCTCAAGTCGATAATTCTAGATTGTCGGTTTGGATGTCCGTTAACTACGGACCTAACATTCAGGTTCCCTAGGATCGAAGACGCACCACCGAGGCTCTGGGAATCCATCGCTAGTATAGTGCTACGCGAGTTGTCCTGTAACATATCCTCGCTAGTTGACGACAGAATGTCGTATTTTGGTTGGCCTTTTTGCCTTGGCGTAGAAAGGTTTTCTGACTCGAAACTATCCAGAACCTCCGTTTCCGGGGTATCGTTCTGCTCATAATCTGCATTAGAGACTGGTAGGTTCAGACGATGCTCCGAGATAACACCGGAACTGCCAATCACAGAACTGTTCACCTCTCCAAATAGTCTATTTGGCTGGGAGTTACCAAGACTGCAGTTCTCCTTTTCTGACTCGTCATCTACGAAGTAGTCAAGCTCTGGCCCTCGCAGAGAACTTGCACCAAGGGATTCATCGAATTGCGTCGTTTGCCTGTCGTCGAGGCTGAGCTGTGATGCTTTTTGTCCCAACTCTTTATCATCGGAAACAGCACCGGCGGGGCTCGCTTCGCCTACTAACCACGGATGAGCTTGAAGCTCGGGGACGGTAGCCCTGGTTTCTGGCCGGACGTGGATCATCCTTGATAGGAAGTGAATACCAGCACTAGATACGTTCGAACGCGACAGTGGCAATGTGTTGACCGGTATCTTGATGATATGGTCGAGCAATTCCGTATACGTGACTCCATTCTTGACTGGAAAAGGTGGATTGCCGGTGAGAGAGTAAAACAAAACACCGCCAAGTGACCAAATATCCACAGCGTGGTCGTACCTCTCTCTGTCTACAACCCTGTGGCCCGTCCTCTGTGTCCGCCTGCCAGTGTCGTCGTAGGAAGAATACTCACTGTAAACTTCAGGCGCACAGTACAAAAGGGTACCACAGAACGTTTTCAGATAGGTTTGCTCTGTGTCGATCATCTTGGACAACCCAAAATCTGTTAGTTTAGCCACCAGGGGATTAGTTGACTGGATGAGAATATTGTCGGGCTTTACGTCGCGGTGCGTGATCTTGTTGTCATGTAGATACCCGAGTGCGTCAAGCATCTGCTCGGCCATTATCTTGACGTAGGGTTCCCCTATAGGTCCATATTCTTGAATCAACTTGCCGAGATCGCCCCCCGGAACATATTCCATGATGATGAAGAACTGATGTGCGTCCCAATCAAAATGCTCAATGTATTGAACTATGTTGGCCTTCACCCAAGTTAGAGAGTCTAGAGATGGGCAAGGAAAGGAGAGAAAGATGGGTACTTACGTGGTGTACTTTTTGCATTATCTTCATCTCGTTCTCGACTTTCTGATCTAAAACACCATTCTTCATAAATCGTCGCTTATCAAGTTCCTTCGCCGCATACGGGGAGCCATCGTATTTTGAAGTCACTTTATGAACCGTAGCAAAAGCTCCTTTCCCGATCACGCCCACACGCGCATACTTCTCGCCACCACGCCATTCTCTCGGCAAACGCTCATGGGGTTCTGATGTGATGCCCCAGGGGTCAGTAATAGGGACGCGCCTGTCCCGTGTGGGCGTAAACAGGTGAACCTAATCAAAGTCAACATCGATGGGTATACTAATTGACTCTGGGATAACTTACATGACCACCTGGTCCAGGGCCGATGGTCTTATTGGCATCGTCATCTTGTCCATGAAGCCGCCGTAAGTAAGGACCGAGCTTTCTCTTATACTCAACGTCGTGATGACCGTCGCGACGGGGGATGCGAACAAGAAAGACAAGATCGCTTTTACTGTCCTGCATCACGATCTTGATGGTAGAGCCGCTCTCTAGAGTCCACTTGGGAGTACTGCTTTGGCCAGGCCTCGGTGGGCCAGCCCTCTTTCTGAGTAACTTGCTATCCACAACTGTGCCATTTGTCGACTGGTCTTCTAGCATTACCGTGCCATACTTGTTGACAAGGATGCAGAAGTGAATATTGCTGAGCCGCCTGCCTGGGTCGTTATCAAAGTGGAGATCGCATCTGTCCTCGTTACGACCAAAGGTAAAGCCCAGGCGGGGATTTTTGAGGGTTGATGATAACTTGATGACAAGGGCATGGTCGCCAATGCCTCGGGTTCGGCCAAATTCCTTAGCGTCGTCTTCGCGATAAAGGTCGGAGTCGATGGCATCGGCTGTATACCTCCTAGTGGTGTGGTGCGCATATTGGGGCGATTCGGCAATTTTGTGAACTTCGCGACTGGCGCTGTCGGAGTTGGGGTATAGCAAGCATATGATATCCGAAATGTCCTCGTCAGAGAAGCCCGAGTTCTGCTTCCCGAACCTCCTAGGATCTAAGGCATTCTGAGTAGCTATAGAAGGGAGTTAGACAAGAAGCCCTAGTGGTGTAGGTAGGAACAGAGTGAAGAAATGGCCTAGGACTAACCTGGTTGAGTAGCTTGTGAGTCATCATTCGGATCCATTGGGAGTAGAAATGTGTGCTGCAAGGCCAGCAGGGCTAGCAGCATGCGCCGATGAGGATTGCAGGGAATGGCTGTTCAAACCGACTGCGAGACACGTCGTTCAGGCAGCCGGCTGGAGTCGATTTGCTTTGAGTCCCGGCACGGCCAGCTAGCGCAAGAGCCTCTATGTATAGTGTGTTGTGGTCATTCAAATGAGGGCGAATGGTCTTATCAGTCGCATTCTTTTGCGAATGAGGTTGAACGGTCAGCTGTATGATTGTACTGAGACGTGAATCAAGATATCCGACAGGTGATCAAGTACCAGGCCTCGAAGCCGTACAACAATTGGATGTGAATTGGATGTGGATTCGATATATACAAGTAAAATATGTATAAGATACTGAAGTGGGCGTAGTCGGTGTTGAGGAGTGAAGAGGGTCCTTATATCAGATATCATAAGAACTTGAGATAAACATTGAAGTTGGAAACTTTTTGGATACTATTCGTAACCTATCGTGACCGAGTTAGCAACTGGAGGTTACGAAATTGACCTTTGAGAAGTGCACGAAAGCCTCAGGTGGTGGAACGCACGCGGCAGGTTGCATCAGGTGCGTCTATACCTATGTACTAACTACACTAACCTACCTTAGGTAACCAACTAGGTACAATACAGTACCTACCCTACCTAGGGTAGTATATGCTAGTAATGCTACTACACTATAGAGATAGGCACATTGACCCCACGGACCACTGAAGCCAGGGATAGGTATGTAACTACTAAGGCACGGTATCAATGATAACATTGAATTCAATGTTGTACTAGGTATAATACATACAATACAGTACGTACCTTTCGCTAGAATCGCTACATATGCATGCAGTGCATGTGCGTGCTTCTTTAGGGTTGCCTTGGGCCGGGTAAGCCCGTTTTACCACCAATCCAACGCTCCCCTTTAGCTTTAGACCGAACCAGTATCCTGGGATGACAGTAACTAGTACTAACTATGTAAATATCCCAAATTCCCAATAACTACGACTACGTACTACTAGGTACCGTACTACTACTACTACTATAAGTCTACTACAGTACTACTACTAGTATGAGTAGTAGTTATATATGTATGTATATATAATCCATCCGGAGGATATCTTATATATGTATGTACCTGATCATCGGAACTTTATAGTACTGTACATATTCAATGTTGACATAACACATACATGTGTAACAGTTTAACTACATACATGTGCATACATCTCATCCATAAAAATCCTCCAAGTCCCATCTAACGGTCCATCTAACAAAGTTGAAAGCCGCATTCTTGACATACCTATACAAGTCATATGTCCCATCACCTGGTGATCATGATTTAGATGGCCTCTAACGCTCCAACACTCTAACGCTGTGCAAAAAGACAACTGTACATACATGCAGTACTATGTACAAAAATAAAATCTGGTTCACATATTGCCAATTGTACCAATGCTCAAAACCACCTAGGTACTCTATGTAAATATGTACTACATCCATGGATGATGTGTTATGCAGGTGTAGGTAGGGAGGTATGGTGATACCGGATTATATGAGTGCTATTGCGTATGATTTTCCCGTATCCTTTATATGCCATTGTAAATTCAGTCGATCCTCGATCGAATGCTGGAGAAAGCCAACCTCTCCTACCCCCCCTTTTTCTGACCAAAAAATTGAAAAAAAAAGAAGAATTTTTTGAAAAAAAGAATTTGAAAAATGATAAGCTGATATAAAATATAAAAATGACTCAAGTAGCAAATCATAAAATTCGTGAGTTGATTACTAAAAGAAGCCTTTCTTCTTCTTCGGCTTCTGATTCATATCCTTCAAAATGTCGTCAAATGTGCTCCCACCAACAAAGTCTTGCCGCGAACTAGACCCCGAGTCCGCAGCTGGTTGAGCTGGAGGGCCTACAAGGCCCTGTAAGTTACCTGATGAGATGCTGCGGTTCATCACCGTGCTGAGTGGCCGCTGTACCGGCGAGACGCCCCTCGCACTCGAGATACGGTTCCCCGGTATCGACATGCTGTCCGTAGGGAGCGGGACCGGCTCAAGCCCCAAAGCTATGCTACTCCGGTAGTTTCGTCTGCTGCCGGGTGACACATTACTTTGTCTTAGTGCCGCCCCAGGGGGGGCAGCTTGGGGAGACTCGCTGCGATTCATCAAGGTCGGGCTTGCCGATCGCCCACTGGGATCCATGTCCGTAAACACGGACTGCGGCGGGGGTAATGGTGATAAGCTCTCTTGCGATATAGGAGGAGCAGTGTTCTCTCCAAGCGCCCAATCTTTGGCTGCCAACCAGCAGTGGCTGCGGTGGTAGATGCCCTCGATACTGAATTCCACGGCATCGGTGGAAAGCTCCACCAAGCCCCCGCCGCCAGCAACCTCATACCATCTTTTGCGCACAGATGATATGTCCTCCATCCACGGCGGGTGACCCTTGGCCGGCTGGCATAGGAAATATTCGACACCTTCTGTGAATTGCAGGCCGGGCGCATCTACCACCAGCATGGGAAGTGATTGAATGACTACGTAGAGGAACAACCAATAGCCAATACGCTGATCTGCCATTTCCGCTGCTGTTTTCCCTTTAGATTCCTTGCATTCAAATTCCTTGAACTCTTCGAGGAATGGCATGCTCAGCTTGAAGGTTTCAAAGTCATAGGCCTTGTTGAGTATGAGAAGCATTTGATACTCTTGCAAATTCCTCTCTAGCCGCGCTTGTTCCTTATGCGAGAGCTCGTAGAAGTTCTCTTTGACGCTCGTCATGTCCGGTAGCTTAGGAAGATCAAAGGGAATGGGGGGGAGCACGGGGGGTGACGATTGATCGAATTCTCCGAGAACTTTACGTAAAGCTGAGAGATGAGTGTTCTTGTGATCGTTGGCAATTTCTTCCGCGCTTTGGTCAATCACTCGTGTCGTGAGCGACTCACGATCAACGAGGAGGTCATATAACGCGCAAAAGTCCGAGTAGAGTATTTTGAGAACTTGCCTGTTTAGGCCGCTCTCTGTGAATGGGTTCTTCTTGCTGCGGGCCTTCGGTGGCCAGCTCCCAAAGTTCGCTTTATAATAGTTGAGGACAAATTGTCTCATTCGACCGAAAGACTTCCTCCAGGTGTGAAACTTGACATCCTTATAATCCGAATTCGACGTTGAGCTAGCGACACCAGAAAACAGTGCTGGAAAGTCAAATGACTCGAGCCTATTGTTCACGTTGTTCTGGCGGTTCACGAGGTCAAAGTATGCGCGCTCCAGTCGCTCACGGGTAACGGAGGATACTTGACTCCATAGAGGCGAGTTTAGGTCCCGAAGAGCTGGGTATTTGCCCACAGCATGAGCGAAGGCCTCGTTGAAGAGATCCATGGAGCGCATTCGTTCACCTAGGATAAGTGATTCTATCGTCTTCTCCCGGCTATGTCTCACGTCCGCGAGAGCCATCTGGTCCATGAAGAAACCGAAGCTCATGTCCACAGCGTCTCCAAATGTTGACCCATCCATGCTAGTAAACTCGAACTCCTTTAGCAGACCCGAGATTTGAAGAAAAACAGCGAAGAGAGTTGGCTGTTCCTTAGTACACACCAATGGTTGGCCAGTCAGAAAAGCAAACATATTCCGAATCGATATCAGCCGTTCCAGGTCAGCCTCCGATCTATGACCTGGGGTAGACATGGATACGGGAAGATATAGGCGTGACTCTCCTCCGCCACTCTGGAGTTCGGGTAGGATGGGTGACTGAGCCCTACGCGTTGCATCGTCAACAGAAAGGCTGTCTCGTCCCGTAAAAGTAAGGCTTTGACTTCTTCCCGAGCTTGTTGGTGATGCCATCTCAGCCTCAATAAGCTCGTTGAAAACCAGAGAGTCATCGACGACAAATGAAGGTACTTTGAAAGACGGTCCCGCGCCAATCCCCTTAGGGTCCAAGTATATCAACACGTTCCCGCCCTCGTTCCACAACTCAGGTACCTTTTCGCCGTTGGTTAGAAAGGACGTATTATAATCCACATTCTGCCCAAGGATCCAGGCGGCCGCACCAGTTGTCTTTGCTGAATTGCCTTGAGATTGAGACCTTGACCTGCCCCCACCAGGAAGCCAACTCCTTCTCAAACGGCCACGCCGTTCCACGTCACGAGTCGGGCTTTGGCTTCCATTGCTCGACCCCGGGCGAGATACGACAGCAGTGGATGTAGATACGGACAAATTCGCCAAAGGCGGAGGTGGAGCTGCTCGAGTAGGTGGATTTGCAGACGCACTTCGAGCCCTGGGGTCGGATGTGGGCGAGCCTTGTCCAGGTCCTAGACTTGATTGAGAGTTTGATTGCTTATGGGCACTGCTATTCACGGAGCTACTTCGCCGTCTGTGCTCTTTCTTGAGTCGCGGAGATGATTGAGTCTCGGTGAAATGAAACGAAGACACTCGTGGGGGAGAAGGGGGGGTGTCGACTGGGGCGGGCGGTTCCGTCTCGGGTGGGCTTTTTTGCAACTTCCCTCTCCTATGACTGGTCGTGCTATCTTCAGATGGGTTACTACTATGGGTAGTAATAGGCTGGGCAGTAGGCGAATGCTCGGAAGTGTTGGCGGCGTTCGATATGCCAAACTCCTCCGTTTCCTCGGATAAGCCAAGCGGTAGGCAAGGCAGACTCGGAGGTCTGTCCTGGACTTTATTCTGGATTGGAGATTGGGCAGTAAGCGGTTTGCGGTGCAGAACACCGGTGGGATCTGTAGATTGAGTACTGATTAGTGACGGAAAGAAGGACGACAAGCGGTCGAACCGCGACTTTGAGAACATCGAGGCTAGTCCTTTAGCGTTGGCGGACCGGTCTGATGAATCTCTGTTTGGTTGCGATTGGCTGTCGAGGGATGTGATCTCATCTGATGACTTCTCCTCTCTACTGCCATCTCGGGAGTGATCAAGGATCTGAAGAGAAGAAAGAGAATGGGAAGAAGTATGAACGGAGGCTTGGCCCGCCGACTCACTTGAAGAAGCCATGTTGAAGTCCGGGGACCGAGGGAACGAACGAACGAACAAACAAACAAACAAGCAGGCACAGCACAGTCCTTTCCAGATGTCTCGTTCTGGGGCAATTATGTGTACCTAAGTATCCGTGGATAGGAAGGAAAAGATAGATGTCTTAGGTAGGTAGTCGATACAGTACAACCAGACAGGGGCTCCACCAGCTAATATTAATGAGAGGCATTGAGAGCGTCCATAGTGCCGAACGCCTCGGTGGGTAAGCGGCAAGATTGGGTTGGCTGTCTTTGCTGAAACCGATTATTGTTATTTTATTTTATTTTCTCTCTCTTGGTTCTTCGTGTTGAGTTAACCCCCCTGGTTTTATTTAGTTAGAAAGGGGATTTCCTGTCAATAAAAACCCGAGACAATGCTACATTGCTGCTATGTAAAAAGCAGGAACGAGAATGGTGCAACAATATTACTATTAGGTAGAAGATACATACTACTTCAATCATTCAATACTAGGTATATGTTGTTAGGGTACATATGTAGTGAGTACTAGGTACTAATAAAAGCTACCTAGTACATCGTTAAATACATCTACATATTACTACTTAAATCCTCGCAGTTTGATTTGAGCCGCAGGATTACCAGTACATATATATATATATATATATATACCTTCAAGTTATATATCTTTAATGTTATACTTATATAATTAATACCTACCGAACGATTAGAACCTGACCTACATTTGTATATCAATGTTTAAATTGCTGTTATTGCTTATTATGTTACCACGAACTTAATAGTACATACTAATGTTAAGGTATACTTACATGTACCATAATACATATATATGTACGCACACACGCACACACGCACATGCACACACGCACATACACACGCACACATATACGCACACATACGCTATTATATCCGATGTACCTATGTACATGGCACTACGTAATGTAATAACATCAATTTGCCGTTCAAAAATGAATGTATTATACAATGTACTCAGGTACTTTTTTTTTTTTTTCCAAGAGAGGGGTTACGGCCCTTACGGGTGACTTTGGCTTGGCTACTAGTCATACATGCTAAGTTTCCTCAACAGGTATTTATTACATCTTCTTGTGAGTGTTTAACAATAGTGACTCTTTTTAGTGCTGGTCTATCATGTTTATGTCAAATACCTTGGTTTGTCAGGTATTGTCGATATCTTATTACCTAAAGAAATCCATTCATTGTTGCTACATATTATGTGATAGTCAAAATTTCTACTATCATATGTATATGGTACAGTGCATGTGAATGTGTATGGAAGCTTTGTACGCAGACGTACCTATTCAACTATGTACGTTACGTATGGTAAAAATGGGACATCTGAATGACTTACGCGCAGGCCCCTGAATTAAAAAGTATTCTTATTCTTATTCGTTACATTAAATGCCATTAGGTCTTAGCTGACAGGAGCCTAATTCCATCGAGAGTTTATCGAGAACTCAGCCTTACCTACTATGTACTGTTGTAATTTTGAGGATGCACACTTAACATCAATAATGTATAAGCATTAATATATTTTGACAAATACATTGGTATAATCAACCGATGCATATGTAAATTTATTCATACCTACTTCGTACTATGTAAATTATGAGTGTTCTGGGTTTCTTTTTTCTTTTTTTTTTTAAAAAAAAATAAAAAAAAATGAAGAGTGGATAGTTAAATGGAGCCCGCCGGACCAAGTGACTAAAAGTTTGATCTTTGATTTTCCCTTCAAGGTCCTTCAACTTCCAGACAGGCAGCAGGTTTTTCATGAATGGCTGTCATAAGTAACTAATACTACATGCTTGCAAATTCTCAGCTGGTGCTTGGTGACGTATGCGTCTGTGGACGACCTCGGAGCTGCAGGGACGGATCAACATCATTCCTTGAACTTCGGAAGCTTCAACGTTGCTGACGTGAGGTTTCTAAGGAGAGTGCTAAAATTACCATTGTTGGTGACAACACAGTCGACCTCCACCTTTCCTTAACAGTTTTCTGCAAACTCAGCCCAAGACAACCAGACTTTAAAGAAAAAGGAGCAATGACAAAATACTTTAAATGCCCTACTAGTACCAGGGCCTGCTTGTCTGTATGTACTTCGGACGTTCCCATAGTTAATACAATATAGAATTTTTCGGGCCGGTGCGGAAGTCTGATTTTGCACATACCTAGGTACATAACATACTAACCTAGTATTAGTAAACTACCTATTTTAGTAAGGTTAATCTATTCTTAGCATTCAACTTTGATTGGTTCATATCGTTACGTATACATAGTAGATGTACATACTACATACACATACGAATTCCAATGACCGCTGCTTCTATTCACTCGTATTCCGATCACACGTTGCCATTTCAGACAATAATAATAGAATCAGCCCGCTACATAGTGGCGGGTAACCAGTGCACCTAAACCTATGTACTTACATCTGCGTACATACTCTAATTTTGGCATACTACTACTCCATACAAGCAGCAGCTTAGCAGCTGGGTACCTGACCGTAGGGTACATACATACATAAGGTACACCGTACACAGATCCATATGCATATATCAGGTAGGTAGATAAGATTAGATTCACATGCATATGTACATACACACATACTTGAGACTTCCGATTTTTTTCTTCTTCATTTGTATGATTATTGATACACCTATGTGGTATCCAACGCCGACCTTTCGAGACGAATGATGGCATTGGTTTGCACTCTATTGCACTTGACATGTTAAGATTCATTAGAGGCATCATGGGATCCGAACTGAAAAAGGTACCAATTCCTCGTAATGGTGTCGACTACAGAGGCAAGATCGTCCTCGCTCCCATGGTTCGTTCTGGGGAACTACCCTCGCGTCTCACGGCCCTTCACTATGGCGCTGACTTGGTATGGGGTACGCTTTCTTTTTTTTCTTTCCGTTTAATTTCCCCCCACTTAGAAGTAGAGGCCGGTGACTGATTATTATGATAGGTCCTGAGACTGTGGATAGATCCATGATTGGGACGACGAGGCGAATCAACCCCGATACCAAGACCATCGACTGGACAAGAAAGCCCTCTCAAGGAGCTAAAACTCCCCCGACCGAGATCAAAGACAGCATCATCTACCGCATCCACCCCGAGAAAGAAAGAGGGAGGCTTATCTTTCAGATCGGCACTTCAAATCCCGACTTAGCAGTACAGGCAGCCAGGCTTGTCGCTGCTGACGTTGCAGGCATAGACGTGAACGCCGGGTGTCCCAAGTTCTTCAGTACCCATGGCGGTATGGGCGCTGCATTGCTCCGAACGCCGGATAAGCTTTGCTCCATTCTAGAGGCTCTGGTCAGGAACATCACCCCCGAATTCGAAATTGGAATTAGTGTCAAGATCAGAATCCTCGAGACTGCGGAAGAGACAGAAGCTCTCGTCAGGAAACTTGTCGCGACAGGGATCACTGGGCTGACCGTCCACTGTCGAACAACTCCCATGCGACCACGAGAACGAGCTATTCGCGATCAGCTACGCATGGTGGCCAATGTGTGCCGAGAAGCTGGCGTAGCATGCCTTATGAATGGTGATGTTGAGACAAGAGACCAGGCCCTGGAGCTGGTTCGGGAATACGGAGTCGATGGAGCCATGATCGCAACGCAGGCAGAGAAAAACCCAAGCTGTTTTCAGGCTAAGGCCAACGGAGGTATTCTACCGTGGGATGAGGTTGTAGAGCGGTACATATCTTATGCGATGGAGGTCGAAAACAAATTTGGCAATACCAAGATACTACTTTGCCAACTCATCCCAGGCAAGCAGTCGGCTTCTCGCACCATCGGTAGCTGCAAGAGTTACACTCAGGTCTGTGGCATGCTCGGTTTTAACCACTTAATGGAGCGGGCTCGGGAGGTTGATTTCAGTCTTGACATCGACCCGGACAACCTGGGGAAGAAAAGCAAGAAGGATAATAGTAGCGCACTCGCAGCGGGAGGTTGTACGCCCGCATCACGGCCCAACAAATCGCAAGCTAAGAAGGGTTTATCGGAACGTGGCGTCACGGCCCAAACCACCGCAAAAACGGATGCACACCCAAATGAGGTCATGACAGTACCTGTTTAGGGGATGGTTGTGTATATTGCGTAATAGGGTTGGTTGAAGATAGCATTTCAAGGCGTTCAAGGTACTCTCTATATTACTGTTTAAATAGGCTTGGGGGTAGGGAGATGAGAGCATTTACATGTGTGCGCCAAAATCCATGGCCCAGGCCAGGTAACTACCTACCTATGTAGGGGGGAAGAAAAATGTGACTTTTATGACATTGGAGATAGTCCACGGTAAGTAGGCTAAGTAGACAATATGACTACATAACAACCATATTAGCAATACTTGTTGAATGTGCTAACTGTTCAGTCTACAGCTAAATAAGTAATTGTCCATTGCTCGTTCTTCATTGTTCTGGTAATTAAACCTTCTTGCCTTGTTTTATCAGGTCGGATACTTTGGGTGGGAGTACGAGAGCACTTCTATCATTCCGCTTATAGAAATCCACGAGAGAAACTGCTGTCTTCTCAGGCAAATCCTCATGTATGAAATGGCCCGCCTCTGGGAATACTTGCAAGGCATACTTCCCTAAAACAGCATCTGAGTTAGCATGACAGAAACTAACCGAGAGAGATGGGATATAGGGAATTGGCACGAACCTTGCATCTGGCCAATGGTCAGCTCCGTGTCCAATCTATCCGTCCCGGCCAGGAGGAGTAGCTTCCCGCCCCTAGCGCCCAGGAACTTTTTGCTTAGACCCGCAAACCAGTTTTCCCAGAATGGCTCGGTTGCGCCGAGGTCTGTCTTCCACTTCCAGGGCCTCGAGTCGCTCGCATTGCTGCTTAGGGTGAGCAGAGCTGGAACGCTCGTACGTGCGGAGAGTGAGTTGCGAATTGTTCTCGATCTGATATGCCAGTCGATTCCAGCTTCCAAGGTGGCGAAACCGGCGGGTCGTGTTGTAAGATAAGAACGCATGCTCTGAAGGGCGTCTATAGCGGAGCCCTCGACTACGTCAAGGACGGCATAGCCTAGCAGCGCATTACCAAGGTTCCCGGTCCTTGCAACCTCGGTGACGACGGCGCCTCCTAAGGAGTGCCCAACCAAGATAATGGGAGGCAACTCAGGCCACTTCATCTCTTTCTGGGTCCGTAGGATGACAGCGATGAGATCAGCAGCTAAGGTCTCAAGACTTAGGCTGTTTGCTTCCGGCTCTGGCGTCTTCGTTGAACCATGGCCCCGCGCATCGATGGAGAGGATGCCGGCAAATGGGAGGCGCTTTCGAATCTCATCTCCGACCACGGCAAAGGAAAGGCCGGACGAGCCGGCACCATGATGCATGACAAACAGCGGGCCCTTTCCGACAGGGGATGTTAGGTAGGCATGTATGCTTGGGTTGGCAGGGCTACCTGGATCGTGGAGGAATAGTTCCCTCTCGAAGTAGGTAGTCCATGGGATCTGCTGCAGCGATCGTCCTCTCGGCGCGCTGTGTACCAAAATCAGCCGCCGCGGAAATGAGCGCGCACTTAATAGAGGCTGAGAAAGAGTGTCTACCCCTGTGGTCTGGCAAATAGGTTCTGACTTGGAGAAGGTATGACGGTTCCCGTGGAGGAAGCCGACGAAGCTGAGGACGAGTCGTCGTCGACATGCTCCGGAAGTTCAGAGACGGCGTGACTAGTCTCATCTTCCTCCCGCTCGTCGAAGCTCTCGGGAGATATAGCACTTAGGCGATTCTTGGCCCAGGCTTTCTGAAGGTCACTCATCACGATACGACTTTGTACTCGGACAACTATGTATTTGGGATGAAATGGTTAACAGGCCAATCGGCGCATTTGATACAGCCCGGTCAAGATGTAAATTGCGCAACGTAATAATTCATAGAGGAGACGAGGGCAATTTAAGATGAATAAGATGAATTATATTCTCAGTCATTACTCAAATGACTAGATGTAGCATAGCAACAGCTTGAGGCTCAGCAAGAGATATGCAGGATCTGCATAGATGATATAAAGTAAGTACTACTAGTAATGTGTGTGTGTGTGTGTGTGTAGTTGGAGATTTGAACAGTTACTGTAGAAAGGAATGAAAAAAGAAAAAAAAAAAGAAAAGAAAAAAAGAATGCGGCTCCTTTCTTTTTCTGCTAACCTAATTCTTTTAGTTATTATTCTTTTACTGGGGAATGCGTGCTTTCAAGTACTGGATAGGTAGATATTGTAGACCTTTATGACATCACATGCATGTATGCATGTATGCATATACACATGTGCAGTTGAGAACACCATATCTCATCTATGTATAGAAGTCGGTAGAGATTAATAATCCATGGATATAATCAATTCTCCATTATCAGTTCATTTGAATGTCTTGCGTTTACATAGGGTAGACCGTTCCTTAGAGGCTAGCTCATACATAGAAGGTATCCATGGGATAAAGAGCAGAGTGCCATTCACCATGATATGACCTTTTGTTCAAGTCTTGTAGAAGACATGCCTCGCATGGCGGCTAAAGCTATCTAAAGACTGTGTTAACAACTCTTATCATGGGACCATAAGCAGATCTGGCCGGCACAGCCTGTTTCAGGGAGATCCTTTACCTTTGCTTTGGCAACAGTGGCCGGTGCATTGGGGATGACTTCTTTGGAGTTTTAGGGAGGCAGTATCATCAAACTATTTCTGCCAGCCCGGAATCAACAATACTCTGAGCATCAGACCATCGCAAAATAATGATAGCTCCATTCTCGTATTGCCGATAACCGTCAGCATCAGTTCCACGGCCTTTGACGGGCGTGTCCTTGAGCAAGCGGATGAACACTGCTGTATCAAGATCCGGAGCGTCAATCATACTAGTATTCCCAGCAGTATCGTTCAGATTCTGTAAAGGTGGCGGGAAGGATGACAAGAAAGAGGATAGATAGTGATTATGGAGGAGAGCCTGGTGTCGAGTTGCATATGCTAGCTCGGTGGAGGAGAGACGTGCCCGGAGGACTGGACTAGACAGATAGTACAGCGTGTGCCTGTCAATCTTCCGGTCCGTAATTAGCACAATGTAAGAGGGGTAGTCATGACAAGATACTGTACTCGGGGTCATACTTTAGCTATGCGAGCCCTTAAGCAACTTCTGACCAGGTATTTGTACCGCTCAAGCTCAGTCTGTATAACGATCAGGGCAAAGTTGGTCTTGGGATCCATGTCGCCAGTCATGTCCTCGAGTTTCTCGATTTGCTTTTTTATGCGATCTGTGATTCGCTCAAATAGGCCATCGGCTGGCCAACTAAGTAGTTCGGGTGACGATCTTTCTGCCATCCAAACACGCGTTAACGCCTGAAGATCGCGCGTCTCCTCAGGAATCGAGTCGAAGGTAGGATCAACTTCTCGCAAAATGTCGTCGATGTCCATTTTTCATGTACTTTAGATTGACCATTATATGGTGAGCTTAGGGTGGATCTGATTGTCGCCTACCACTAACATTGAGAAGTTACTTGGGTAGGGAGTGAGGAAGGGAGGGAGTGAGGGAGGGAGGGAGTGTGAGTGAGGTACGGGCAATAACTCCCTGTACGTTTTTCGCAATTAACTAACCTTACATAGTTATGTACATGTAACTGCATACCTACCCCGCTAACCTGCATAGTAGGGTATTCACTTTACTAATGTATGACTCTAAGAGGTATTTATAGTAGGAATATAGTATTGTCATTGATGCATCAATAGCATTTGCTATTTTGATATTTTGATATTTTGATATTCGGTATCTACTAACCTAAATTATTCATTCATATCATATCGTATCGTTGACAAAAGCGATAACAACTTCAAACCCCGTCACGCTATTCGTCTGTCTTATAACGTATTTGATATCCAAGGCCTTGGTGGATATTCTGAACTTCCCTCAGTATACAGCCTGATCGACGCCTACCTGCCTACCTGCCTACCTACCTACCAAGGTAGCTTATATAATGTATAAGGGGGCATAACTCCCACAGCAACTTGCAATGAGTTGCTATAAAACGTTTATCCAATAAATTCCGTGCTTACCAATGTCTCCCAAGGCTTTTGTGTTTCCCAGACTTTTTGCATCAGGCGGCGTGCATTGTGAACCTAGGTAAAGGGGCGTTAGACGACCTTGTTCACAAGTCGATAGATAGCTGCATTCAACTCACCTGGGTCATCCCGTGGTTCTCCGCTGTCATAAATCTTTTGAGAATAAGAGCCCTCTGCCCTTCATCTCTAGCATCGCAACCCGCCGTAAACATGGGAAACAGCAGGCATGATTCCGCTGTCCCCCCTGATCGAATACGACTAAAGCATTCAATCATCTTTTGTACAGCCGTTTGCACGCTTCCATCCTCAGATGGTTTTCCCATGATTCTGCGATAGAGGTGGACAAGCCCAGCCCAGTGGAAGGCTTCGTTTGTGGCTTCCATCTCGCGTCTATCCCATTTCGCGACATCTCCTTTCTTATGTATGTGCTTACATGGCACAGGCGATTGAACCATGCTCTCGGTGACTGCCGCTTCTATTTTTGAGGCCTGCTCAAAGACTTCCTCGCTCGGCTCCCAATCCTGTCGCAAATTCAAATCGTCCCCGATGCGCTCGACATCGCATTTCCTAGCAAGGTCAGCAATCTTGGCTAGAAGATAGATGCAGCGCGTGGTGAATCCCATGATGCAATCTATCTCATCATATCCGTCCACAATATCATCTAATTCGTAATCAAATATCCAGGCTGATGATGAGCCTTTGGGTCCTCCGCTTAGGCTCCCTATCACATCGAGATATGCGGCCCAGCTCCACAAGAAAGAGCAAACTGGGTCATGACGGAAATTGGATTGTAGTCCACGGAGGCCACCCGGTCGTGCAGTGATAAGCTCTCTAGCCAGGCTCAGATGCTTCTGCCATGGTATGTCATACGCGAAGACCTTCGGAGATATTATCTCAAGCGAAGCTAACATGATAGCCGTCGCGAGGTTCGCATTGGAAAAATTCTTGTCAGGGTCGCTTAGTGCCTGCCGAAGGGTAGGGAATACATCGTCCACCCAAAAAGCAATCCTGAACATTGGCTCCGGATGATTCAAGACTCGTGCCCTATGCGAAGCTGCCCGGCTGACGTGAGCGAAAGTGGAACAAGAACAGTCACCAGCATATTTGACATTCTTACCTGAATATGCGAGCAGAAGCGCCAAAAGATTGTCGTTCTTGACAGCCATTTGCGGAAGAATTGTTCTAAAGGGATTGGCATGGGGGTCGTCATAAGGAACGAGAACTTTTCCGTGTCTTAGTAGTGAACAGAGCCTAATTAGGCAGTCTGGAAGGTTATGTAGCTTACCTCGAGCAGTGTGGTTTAGGAAGTGATGCTGAATTCCAAGACGTAAGCTGATGTTCACCTTCACGTCGTGGGGCACTTACAAAATACTACTATCAGTTAGATCGGGTCTGGCTATCTTGAAACGGAGTTACTCACAAGTATATTCATAGGGTTGTCTGTGAGTCTACTATGGTATTAGCACGTGCGAGGCGATATGTGCTTCCCCTTCAGCAAATATACCCGGTACTTACTTTGACGGGAGGGGCTCGAGGTTGCGAGGGATGTATATTGACACGGGGTTCGAATAGTACCCGCCTTCTTCATCATCGAACTCATTAGTTTCAACTCCAAATCCAAATTCGTTCCAGGCAAACTCTTCGCTCGGTTCTCCAAATGGGGTGTCTATAAATTCGCGCTGTAAGAGCGGCGATGAACCATTGATGGCTATCATGTCATCGTTTCTCCCCATGTCACGATCCGGAAACCCTCGATCAATGCCATAGTAGGTTGCCTCTGTTGACATGCGCAGCTGAGTATCTATCGGCGGCAGGCCAGTCCTTCCACAGCTATTGCTCTCGTCTTTGAAAACTTGCGGGCCCAGGGGAGCTGATAAAAGAGAATTCACAGAGAGCCTACGGCTCGCGTGACGCTGATCGTCATCGCTGTATGTAGACGATGTAGCAGGGGTCAGCGGAGAGCCAGCCGACAGCCCAGAGCCAAAGGTGAATCTGAATGATGCTACGCTTGAATCTAGAGTCGAGCTGGCAGCGGAATCATGCCTCCGCTCGTTCGGACGTGCTGATTGAAAGTCAAACGACTGGAGATCTGACGTTAGTTTTGCACGTTTATTGGCGGGCAAGGAGGTATCCGTCTCGTTGATACTCGTAGAAGATGAATTTTCTAAGGGGTTTGCTGCCTGAGAAAGTGGAGGAAGTGTTGTGTTGTGTTCAGCCCTTGGCTGGCTTGCTGGCTTGGTCAGAGGTTCAAGCCTCCGTGTTCCTGGAGCGTCAGAGGAAGGATACTGATGAACCAGCTTAAACCCTCTAGCGGGCAAGGGCGGTGATATAACTTCTTGGCCAAAGTCAATTAGGCCGGGCTCTGGTCGTTTCCCTCTTCGACCCTCCCAGTTCAAACGGATGCTATAGTCACATGCTTCACCTGTTCTCTGACAGCTTTAATAATGGGGTTATTAGTTACAGTAGAGCCTCGTAGAAATGAAGAGACATAGAATTGTTTTATCGGGTGAGACTAAAAAGATGAAAGCTAGAAGATGAGGCAAGGGGGTGATATACTTTACGCAATGAGGATGTTCCTCGCCGCACTTGATCTTGCGGTTTTTACACGGCCTGGATTTAGTCAGTGAGAGAGAGTCAGACGGGAAAGAGGGAGGAGTGGCCGGTTGCCGGCATACCAGCATCCATTTCGACTTCGCCGTTTCGGTTCTGGTGCGCCGGGTCTTTTCGGACGTGGCATTATACGCCGGCGACTCTACGAAGTGCGAGATAATGAATGACCTAAGTGTGGGAAATTGCACGAGCACAATATCCCTCGTTCCAACGGCGACTGTGGCGCATATTTGGCATGCAGGACTCTCAGCTTGAGAGGCAACTGGGGAGTTTTTTCCCCGGGATATATTGTTACACGGCTCGCGGAAGGATGAGATAATGGACACAATTGTGGTCCCGAGGCGTTGGTTGCGAGATTACGAGCCAAGGTTGGATTTGTTGGATTTATGGTGTGTGATGTAGGTGATAGGCGTTAAGTATATGGTGTGGGATGTGGGAGAGCAACGGTGCTATGGTATGCTGTGCTGCGCTGTGCTGCGCTGTGATGTGTTGTGTTGTTAATGTGTTGTGCTGTTGATGTGTTGTTTATGTTGAATTCTGTTGGGATGAGAGATGGTATAGAATGGTATAGGATGAATTAGGACCAGATCAAATAAGGATAAGACTGGGATTATGATTGATATATATAACTCTCTAACTTATGTCTTAGCTCTTTTTACGTCGTACCTCTCAGACGCAAAGTGAGGAGTTTAAAGCAAGAAACTAGCATTTGAGATAACTACCTAGTACCTAACCTAGGTAGGACTTGGTAGGTAGCCTGCTGTCTGGCTATCTATCTTAGGTCTAGGTCAATAACCTTGGAACCAAAGATAAGGCCAAGGCCAGTGGAATAACGGGGGGGATGATTTGATCAGAACGAGTCACGACAAAAGGCGACAATGGGCGACATGGTAAGCCAAAAAAAGAAAAAAAAAAGAAAAGAAGGGAAAAAAAAAACAAGCAACATTTTCTGTAATACCCCGGGAATGCGAGAGCCGGAATCCCATGCAATGCTTGGAACTGGACCAACATTTCCCTATTCCTCTTCGTCTTCTGCATGGAAACCGGGATGGTTACGTAGACTATCACAGCCAACACAAGTCCAACTTTGAAATGATATACAGTATGAAATCTGCTCTACAGAACACTGTACGCCTTTATAGTAGTACCTAGGTTAGTGTAGGGTAGGTAACGATAGCACACGTGCTACTAGGTACCCCGCTTTCTACATACTACATAGTACATAGTAGGCATTAGCAGTGTTATATCCGCTCAACTTCCGATATCTACCTACGAGATCATGTGTACAGGTGTATTATACTTCCATATCATATATGTATGTACATACTACATACATCAATAAGTACCAACTCATGTTTCTATACACTATTAATCCAGCTACAACAGGTATACCAACAAATGGTATTACTACGCTAATAGTAATTCTATTCAGTGTTAGGGGCCTCCATGTCCACACATATTAGTATGTGCGCATATAATATGTCATGTATGTATGTACATCTAATATCGTTCCTCGCGCATTTGTCATCTTCAATCATGGAGGTTTTGACAATCGTGGGGTCGTGTTATTAATACGTATGTATGTATGTACATACCATCAATCTGTTAAAGTTCCGGAAGCGTGATGCGATAGGGGACCGGCCCATAAAGCTTTCCGTTTGGTGTATCTTACATCGTAAAAATCTTTCCAAGTTGCAAAGTTGACTATTACATATGTACACTAGTATGAGCTGATCTAACTGCATAAGAGCTAGTAACTGCGGGGGCCGGGGATCTTACTGAAATACATTAGTTACATATGCAGGAGGTAGATGAACCCAAGTGCCCCCCTGTAGATCACCTCAAACTCCCCCCATTTTAGGCCTAGTGTCCCGCTATAAAGCCCACGTAGAATGGGGCTCGGTCACACGAAAATCCGGAATTTAGCGGGCTGTAATTGGCCACATGCTTTACAGGGGCCCACCTGATTATTTGAACTTTCGAGTCTTATTTTTTTGAGTTTTGCCTTTGCACCCAGGTACAAAGAAAACGGGCTGCAAAAAGCCCAAGCTTCAAACCTTCAATCAGCCCAAGCTGCCGCTTTAGTGCATCCTATATCATTGGAATCGCCTCAATTAGAGCTTCCAAACAATATATGTTTCAGATTAATGCGATATCTGAATCTGAAGTTATTTGAATTTAAAGATTAAGAAGCACCTGAAAAAAAATACATCTGTAATCGGTACCTTGATCACGTGATGGCCCTCGGCTAGCGTTAAAAGTGCTTACTTCATTCAACCCCGAATAACTTCGCAACCACCCGTCGCATTTCTTTGAAACATATATCATTTGGAAGTGCTAATTGAGGCGGTTCTAATGATACCGGTTGCATCAAGATGCATCCATTGAAAGAAAAGTTATTAAGGATAGTATGTTAGAGGCTAGCTGGAGAGCCCGGACCAGCGCTATGTACTAGGGTGCGGATAAGCCTCCGATAGCAATTGATTTTTAATTAATTAATAATTAAATAAGAATTGATTAAGAATTGATTAATAATCGATTAAAAATTAATTAATAGTTAATTAATTTAAAATTAAAATATATAAAATATTAAACTTAATAATAATTATGAGATTATTTTTTAAAGTTATGTTTATAATTAATTAATAATTAATTATGAATTTTTCGTTTTTGAAAAAATAAACCTTAAGAGATAAAAAGTTGAACCCAAGTGCCTAAAAAAGCAGTTGAGCCCAAGTGCCTGTCCGAATGAGGTATAGTCGTCGGCCCAAAATGGGGGGAGTTTGAGGTGATCAACAGGGGGGCACTTGGGTTCATGTACATCCTCGTTACATATGTAGGTAAGGTAAACTAGTTGATGTTATCGATAACCCAAATCATTTGAGCTCAATTCAATGTTGTTTTGAATGTTTACCACATGCAACTAGGTTAGTTAACTACCTAATAGTACATACCTACCTACTTACTATTTAGGTACATATTCTTTTGAATGTCGTCGTCCCCTTCAGGCGCCATCGACGCAACCCTTATTCGTGGTTCGCTAATGATTTTTTAGCTTACGGGTCATTACGAGAGAATAATTAATAACCAGCCATCATAATTATCATCATCATCATCATCACTAAGAATGACAGAATCCAGCAATAACAAGAGAAGTCATTCAGACTTCGCCGAAAATAATGGCCAAGGTAAACCTTTGCATACAATTCAATGTGCGCCTAGCAACAAACCGCTGACTCCTGACTGCCGACTGGTAAGGCCCGGATAGCTCTTCAGATGAAGATGATATTGGACCTCAGTTGCCCTCAACGGCAGAAGCACCCAAGAAGAAACGACGCGTACTGCCGCATGAAAAACTCTACATCGAAGCGCTCCCCAAGTCAGCACGCTATTCAAAATCCTTAATGCACAAAGAGCAAGTCTCATTCGTCAATGTCACCCGATCCGAGTTCCTCATATCGACTTCCGTAGATGGCGTGGTTAAGTTTTGGAAGAAAGTTGCCCAGGGAATCGAATTCGTCAAAGAGTTCAAGGCCCACCAGGACGAAGTTCGATCCGTTTCTGTTAGCCACGACGGACGAAGTTTTGCGACCGCTGGCGCTGATAAGACTATCAAGATCTTCGATGTCATAACCTTTGACCTCCTTGCTATGCTTTCTCTCGAATATGCGCCCCGATGTGTCTGCTGGGTGCACAAGATGGGTGCTTCATTACCACTGCTAGCTGTCTCGGACGATTCGAAACCCCTAATCTACATTTACGATGGGCGAGGCGAAACTCAAACACCTATACACACAATTAAGGGCCTGCATAGGAGTGTGGTGTCGATGATGGCTTTCAACGACTCTTATGACTGCGTGGTCTCTGCGGACGATGGCGGTATGCTCGAGTACTGGTCGCCGAGTACCAATTACGAAAAGCCGGAGAATGTTTTCCAGTACAAGAGCTCTACAAACCTTTTTGAATTTAAGAAGGCTAAATCGACTCCTGTCTCGTTGACGATGTCGCCTTCAGGGCATCAGTTTGTCACATTCTCCGTGCCCGATCGTAAGATTCGGATTTTCGAATTTACCTCTGGTAAACTATATCGGACCTACGATGAATCACTGCAGGTGATTGAGGAGATGCAACGGGCGGGAACCGCCATGCAGAAGTTAGACGACGTTGACTTAGGGAGAAGGCTTGCGGCAGAGCGAGAAATTGAATCCAGTTCACTTCGAAACAAGGTTAATGTCATCTTTGACGAATCAGGCCACTTCATCCTATATGGTTCTATCTTTGGTATCAAGGTACTCAACACCTTTACTAACCAGGTTGTAAAGGTGTATGGGAAAGATGAACATCTTCGTCTAGTCAATTTGGCTCTATATCAAGGGCAACCCCAAAAGAAAGGCGTGACAACTGTGGCGATGGCAGCGTCGAGTAACCCTCTTTTGCAGGAGTCCGAGGCAAGAGATCCAATGCTTTTTGCAACGGCTGTGGGGAAAGTTCGGTTTTACATGTTCACCAACGACGAAGAGATATCAAGATCTGAAAGAGACATCCAGAATGAGAAGCCGACTATGCTGAATCCTAGGAAGGCGGCGCAGAAAAAGACGGGTGAGACCGGGACAGCAGCAATTCTACACACTAACTACGGGGATATCCACATCCGGCTCTTCCCAGATGCTGCGCCGAAGGCTGTTGAGAATTTTGTCACTCATTCTAAGCATGGCTACTATAACAACACAATATTTCACAGAGTAATACGCAAATTCATGATCCAGGGAGGTGATCCTCTAGGTGATGGGACGGGTGGTGAAAGTATTTGGGGGAAAGAGTTCGAGGACGAGTTCAGTACTCTCAAGCATGACAAGCCGTACACGGTAAGCATGGCAAATGCAGGTCCAAACACCAACGGGAGTCAATTCTTCATCACGACTGAGAAGACTCCATGGCTAGATAACAAGCACACGATATTTGGAAGGGCGGTGCAGGGTTTAGATGTGATTCATAAGATCGAAAATGTGCGAACTTATAAGGAGAAGCCGGAGGAAGATATCAAAATCCTCAATATCGATATAGTTTAGCATTGAAATGACTAAGCGCCTTAAAACCACAGCAACGATGTATATAGTGGCATCTATCATTCAAATTTGAATGTTCGATGTTGTGCTTAATTTTAATTGGATCAAGCTGGCTGCTGGAGACTTTTAAGCTCTACCTAACCTTAAAGCGCCCCCTTGTACTACCCCCTTGCCGTTATCGTGCATGTTGAACATTGCAAGTCTCGGTAGCCCGCATGGACTTGTGCCTCCAATGCATAGCGTCATTGGCAAGCATCTATTGTTATGTACGAAGTACATACAACTTGGAAGTACAATACCTATTATGTACCATTGTACCTAGGGTGCTACTATTAGGTACTACCTAGTACTACATGTAGGTATTGTACAAGTACATATGTAGTAGTTAGTACTCAACCCTAATGTTTGCTGTGATCGTTCCGGGAGCTCGGGGTGGCACCAACTTCCCGCTGTGTATCTACTAACTATGTAGGCACTTACATAACATTCAACATTATTATGTACGGCGTATAGTATGTTCGAGTTGCATCTGTATCCATAATCCACGTATGTACACATGTATTTACATGCTAATGTTACTTTCAAGGGAAACTGCTACACTACATTTTCGGATTTCGGCTTTCTTCTTGTTCTTGTTCTCCTCTTATTAGTCTTGCCTCTATCCCTCTCTCTATCTTTTTTCTCTATGTTATTATGTTATACGAGTTGAAGCTATTCGATTTGCGTATCATCAATTGTAAAACTGAGTTGTCAAGCCAAAATTATAAAAAAAGCCACCAACCGTATCGTGCCGTATTGTGTCATTCCCTTTCGTGGCTACCTGCCTAGTACCTAAAAGCATGGCTCCTCGTCATCCGCTGCAGAGGCTTGCATCTCCTTCAAGACAACTATCCATGTTACTTCACTTAGCCGGCGTTGCATCCTTTACGGCGTCGTTCAATTTCCTCAGAACATGGGATACTCCGATGTCCGCTGCATTCGGAGGAAACTTTCAATTCCTTACTATCATTGGCCTGGCCCTTGCACAATGTACTTATGCTGTTGGCTTGTTGGCTGATGTTACCCTCTCCTCCCAGCTATTCGGTCTCAAGAACGTGCTGTCTGTATGTTCTGCGCCGTTGGCGATATTGATCAGCATTCTGTACTGGGGCCTTTGTGCCATCGATAAGAGTCTCGTGTTCCCCCCCGACTTTCAGCTCGACCTTCTTCCGGATCTCGGGTTTCACGCGGCGCCGGCATTGTTTCTTGCAATAGACCTGCTCTTTCTCAGCCCGCCTTGGACTATCAATGGCTACTCAGCACTAGCTTTGAGTGAATCCTTTGGGTTTTTGTACTGGTTTTGGGTGGAATATTGCTTCTCCCATAATGGCTGGTAAGCTTCTTTGTAGGCTCTCAAAGAGACCTTGCTAACCCCCAATCTCTTTATGAAGGTACCCGTACCCTATCATGGACATCTTGAACACTTGGCAGCGCGCTATCCTTTTCGCAGGCTCTGCCTTCTTAATGACCGGAAGCACGGTGGTCTTGAAGTGGGTATATGGAAAGGTCAACGGCATCGAGCAGTTCCAGAAAGAGGCGATGGTCGATCCCGCTGGGATCCGAGCCAAGAAGGAATGAAGAAGTGCACATCACATCACCTCACATCACATGATAAAAAGTCAATACATACTACAAGTCGTTTGCGAGGTATATAGTAGGAAAATATCGGTAATTAGGTACTTAAGTACTATAAAGCAAGTGTTGAAAGCCTGATAGTTAGACCACGGTTGCAAGAAAGACAGTCCTAGAGGTAGACAATGATATCGGGATAGCCGAGATTTCAAAGGGATGTGGAATAATGAATATTGGGGTCCCAGCATGCTGAGTATTAGGTACATAAAGTATATACCTACATATGTAAGTCATAACAAAAGCTTCTTTGAGTTCATGTTGCATTTATAACTAAGAAGAGATCCTCTTAGACACGTGCAATGTTTCTTGCCTTTCTAACTTGATCTTGACCTTGATCCCGACCTTGATCCCGACCTTGATCTCGCGATATATTCACTTGTCAGCCTCCCTGCTACATACTTTAAGCATACATGTATTAGTACACATATGTAGGTATTCTGTTACTTTCAATGTATGTACACTCAACATTGAATATTTGAAGTGCTAATCTTAGGTAGGTTTAGTACTACATAACCACGCTATATAACTTAATAATTAAGTACCCTACATACCTGACCTAGGGTAGTAGACTAGTAGTTACTAGTAGTACTACTGTAGTAGTACATAGTAGAGTAGGACTCAGTAGGTATGTACAGAACTATGACCCCGCCATCGGACTTGGTGTTTCCTTATGCTTAGGATCCATGCATCTCACTAAAAATACATAAAATTTCATTCGACACAACATTGAATCGCTTACATACGACGGATGACTCTTTTACATGGGCTAATACTTTGACCTTCTTCTTCTTCTCTTAGATACATACCTACACAAGGCCTACACAAGGCAACACAAGACAAAAGAATCGCATTGCATACCAATTAGCCAATTTGTACACAAATCTTGTACACAAATCGACTAAGATCGCCCATATTGGCCCATCATGTCTGTAAGTGCGCCTAGTTCAAGGCCTCTAACTGGCCGGCTTGGGTAGCTGACTCACGACTTGGCAAGAGCTTCTACATCGAGAACAAGAACGTGGGTAATAAAGCCGACAGTGAAGACTGGAGAAGTATGTGTCAACCCTTGAGTGAAAAAAATAAAAAAATAAAAAAATTTTTACGAATAACATTGAGACTGATTGATCGTCGGAAGCAGTTCGCGGTTACAATCCTTTGACACCCCCGGATCTCCTACAGCATGAGATCCCCCAAACAACTAGTTCAAAGAAAACGGTGCTCGAGAGTCGCGACGAGGTTGTCGCTGTAGTCAATGATAGGGACGAGAGGCAGAGACTTCTGGTCATCATCGGACCATGCTCCATCCACGACCCCAAGTCAGCCCTCGAATACTGCGACATGCTGTTAAAGGAGAAAGAGAAGCACAAGGATGAACTGCTTATTGTTATGCGCGCTTATCTTGAGAAGCCAAGAACAACAGTGGGCTGGAAAGGTCTGATCAACGATCCGGACATTGACAACAGCTTTAAGATTAACAAGGGCTTGCGCATGTCAAGACAGTTATTTGTTGACTTGACTGACAAGGGGATGCCGATTGCTAGCGAAATGCTAGATACCATCTCACCACAGTTCTTAGCTGATGTCCTCTCAGCTGGAGCAGTCGGCGCCAGAACAACTGAGAGTCAGTTGCATCGAGAGTTGGCCAGTGGTCTATCGTTCCCTGTGGGTTTCAAAAACGGGACTGACGGAACGTTGGGCGTTGCTATCGACGCAATCGGCGCCGTCAGACACCCTCATCACTTTTTATCTGTCACCAAGCCTGGTGTGGTGGCCATTGTTGGCACTGTTGGCAATGAGGACTGCTATGTAATCCTCCGAGGCGGAAAGCGCGGCACTAACTACGATGCAAAAAGCATTGGGGAAGCCAAAGCGGCCTTGGAAAAATCGGGGCTGCGGCAGCGGCTCATGGTGGATTGCAGCCACGGGAACTCGTTGAAGAACCACAAGAACCAACCCAAGGTAGCTGCGGATTTGGCAGAGCAGATCTCTAAGGGGGAGAAGGGCATCATGGGCGTCATGATTGAGAGTAACATCAATGAAGGTAAGTTTCTTTTCCCTTTCCCTTTTCCCTTTTCTAGGTTTCTTAGCTTGGCCGAAGATTGTTGACCATTTGCTCTCTCAGGAAGTCAGAAGGTGCCCAAAGAAGGGAAGGACGGATTGCAGCACGGTATCAGCATCACAGATGCGTGTATTGGATGGGAAGATACTGTCTCGGTTCTTGACAACCTTGCAAACGCTGTCAAGGAGCGGAGAAAAGTGATCAACACCAATGGCCTTCAGTAAACAAGGGGTAGCTGGAAAGAAGGCAGTTCTGTTAAAAGGAATAAGGGATCTTACAATTTGTAATGGAAGGGTAAAATGATATATATTTCAAAAGGAGTGAATAGGAAAAGCAAAAAATGGTGTGTATGAAAAAATGGTGGCAGTCATCATTGATATATTATATCGCATTGAGCAACACACTTAGGTACATAAGTAGGTAAATGCCTACTATGTATGTAGGTAGGTAGTAGGCAGTTGAGGTCTTTGAATGTTCAGATTCTTTTTAATGGCATGTAGTTAATGAAATATGTATGATAAGGCCGATAACGGTATCTTACCTATGTATGTATGTACCTAACCTAGTCTGATCACGTGAATGGTTTTTTTTTATTCCAATTTTTTTTTATTGGAAAAATATGTACATAGTAGGTACATAACAGCCCAGTAATGGTAACCTCGGGCCAATAAGAAGCAGGTATTTCCAATTGCTTCACGGCCTGAGCACTTTTTCCCTTCAACCTTGTCGTCTAATCTGGTTCGACCTCTTCCCACCCCCAACTACGAATCTCACCAAACCCCCCAATTGACAAGCCCCAACTACCCGTCCTAACCCATCACGAACGGGTAGAACTTCGCCCTACATGTTGGCAAGATCTTGCCTGCGCTCTTCGCGCATTCTCAACGGCGCCAGAAATGGCGCGACTGCTTTTACCAAGGTATGTATTTCATATTTAATACTCCATCAAATTATATAACTTAGATGCTTACGATCCTACTCTAATCTACAGCGATCTATCTCGACGTCTGGCTCGGGTGCCTCTATCGAATCCCCTACGAAACTAAATGTCGCCGCCGCCGCTTCTACAGCCGTCGCTATCGGATCTGTGGCCTGGTACTATCATCTCTATGGATCCACTGCGCATGCCATGACGCCTGCCGAAGAAGGGTAACCCACGCCCTCTTCTCGTATACCCCAAAATTATGATACTCATACATTCCTTTAGTCTACACCCAACAGCGTACCCTTGGGTTCACCAACAATGGTCCAAGACTTTCGACCATCAAGCGTAAGTACGAAGGCTCCTCTTTCCTCTGGCTGTCGTCTCTTACTAGTCTTTAGGCTTCGTCGAGGTTTCCAGGTCTACCGTGAAGTCTGCGCAGCATGCCATTCACTTAGTCGAGTTCCTTACCGAGCGCTCGTGGGAACTCTGATGACGGTGGATGAGGCCAAAGCCTTGGCAGAAGAGAATGAGTATGACACCGAGCCCAACGATGAGGGTGAAATAGAGAAGCGACCCGGCAAGCTTTCGGATTATATCCCCGCTCCTTACAAGAACGACGAAGCCGCTCGAGCCGCCAACAATGGTGCTCTGCCCCCCGATCTAAGCTTAATTATCAAGGGCCGACACGGCGGTTGCGATTACATCTTCAGCTTGTTAACCGGATATCCCGAGGAGCCTCCAGCGGGTGCTCAGGTCGGCGCTGGTCTAAACTTTAACCCTTACTTCCCAGGCACGGGGATTGCCATGGCCCGTGTTTTGTATGATGGTCTCGTCGAGTACGAGGATGAGACTCCGGCATCTACGTCACAGATGGCCAAGGACGTGACGGAATTCCTCAACTGGGCAGCAGAACCGGAGATGGACGATCGAAAGCGAATGGGTGTGAAGGTCTTGACGGTCACCGCAGTCTTACTCGCTCTCAGTGTTTGGGTCAAGCGATACAAGTGGGCAACAGTCAAGGCGAGGAAGATTGTTTACGACCCGCCAAACGCAACCGACAAGGTCCGCTTGTAAAGATGTTTGCCGCTGTATGTATTACTAAGTCATACCTACCGGTCCTTTTATCATGGCAAGGGGAAACAGAAAAAGACGTGAGGCAGCAAGGAGGATAAATTCATCCTGATTCGCGACTCTAGAGTGTATATCAAGTTCCTAAATCTTAGACGTTCTCCCATGTTCGCTCCAAGTAACAGGTCCGAGGACGCAACGGATCCTTGTGACGGACTCTTCTTCCTCTTCTCACCTTTTCACCTTTTCATCTTTCCATCTTTCCATCTTTCCATCTTTCCATCATACCTTACCATACCAGTGCCCTACATATAGGTATGTATTTTCACTAGTTGATACCTCCCTAGGAATATATCTACTAGGTAGGCATGCCAGATCTAAAGTATCTTAACGTGAAGTATAATCTACCTACCTCTCTACATTTGTACATATGTACATACCTGGATTAATAGGTACATGTAGGATGACGGCCCCTAACAAAAAAAAAAGTGGTCATAGCGATGAATACGATGTAGATACTTACTATGTAGTAGTTATGTCAGTACATAACATATGTACATGTGTACATGGATCTTCTTTTTTTTTTCCTCTTTTTTTTTTTTTTTTTTTTTTTTTTTTTTTTCTATTTTAATTTTAATTTATTTACGACTTTCAATGTTGACGTTCACTCACCACACCAATCTGTTAGCATTGTTGATCATTTCAATTTCATAACCATCTCATAGATACTTGGTCTGGATTCATATGCGACAATGGACTGGATGAAGATGGAATATCTGACTAGGGCAGAGGAGGACAAACGTCCTGACAACTTAGCCGATGACTACCTCTTTGGCTTCGACACGGGTGATCATTTTCAACACTGGTACCTAGGGACTATAGTTGTAAATGGGTGCGCACCCAGAGATGACATGAAGCATTTCACCTGCCTCAGCTTATTGCGTAGTGTCGAACAATGGGACCAGATGCTTTGCTGTGCAAATGCGATGAGAGAGAAGGCATCGTTTGATGACCCGCTTGACGGACAAGACCTCCTCACATTCCTTACCAAAATCCTCCAGCCACAGTCAACCTCCAGCTCATTGGACAATGACACAAAGAGTGAGATGCCAGATATTGGCCACAAGGGTAAAGGGGTTATTGAGGAATCGCAACTTTCTCAGCCTAGTAGGAGCCTGGGAGAGGCGAGCGAAAGGAAACGCAAGAGAAACGAAAGCCCCCAAACGCTGGACAAGGAAATCTCTTCTAAGAAGAGTGGTAAACACCTGGAATCTCCATTCTGGGCCACTATTCACAGTGAGCACACCAACAATCAAGCGGTTCAGTCGGTAGTTAACAAAAGGCGATTGAGGCGGGAGAAGAGAAAGGCGAAGAAAAGGGAGAGAAGAGCGAAAAGTGCCGAGAAAACTTGCAAGCAACAACACTCCGGTGATGATTTAAAAGAATGCCGCTCATAGATGGCCAGGAATCTATGGGTGGTATATGCATCTCACATGATGACCCATCATCTCGTGCGTACATACATGCTGAGGCAGGCGATTCACCACGGTTAGAAGACTCGCAATCGCCACCAGCAATCCCTGGCAGCCATACTAAAATATCACATGAAACGGAGACAGGCTTGGAGACATCGGTCAAAACAGACGAGCAGGAACGACACAAAGCAGTATCTCAGGAGCCAGGTAGCTCGTCTTTGGCGTCGCAGAAACCAACTCAGACACTAAAGCGTCAGTCTAAATCTCCCTACTTTGACAACCAGATTATGCCCAGCCCGCCCAAGACGAAGATTCCACGTCCTCCTCGGGGAACAGTCTCTTGTATCCCCTTTCCACGTCTGGATGCACCGGAATTCGGCTTGATCCAAGAAGAGCTCGCAACCGAGCCGTTTCGTCTACTTATAGCGGTAACTTTTCTAAGACGAGTAAAGGGGCAGCATGCAATCCCTGTGTTCCGTGCGCTCATGGATCGATACCCAACTCCCAAAGACCTGGCGGAGGCGGATATGAGCGACATAGTGGCGATGATCAAGCACCTGGGGCTCGCTGCCGTCCGAGCTACGGCCATTCAGAAGTACGCACGTTTGTGGATGGAGAAGCCACCACAAGCCGACATCCGGTATAACGTTAAAAACTATGATAATCAGGACAATGGTGCCGACATCCGTACGAGAGGGATCTTGGACCCCGACGATGTGAGATCGTCAGATTGGGAAATCGGGCATATGACACAGGGTCGGTATGCTATTGACAGCTGGCGGATCTTTTGCCGGGACGTCCTTCTCGAGCGTGCGGAGGACTGGCGAGGCAAGGGACGTGAAGGAGAGTTTCAGCCGGAGTGGATGCGTGTGTTGCCCGAGGACAAGGAGCTCCGGGCCTGCCTTAGATGGCTTTGGATGCAAGAAGGTTGGGCATGGAATCCTAGAACAGGTGAGAAGGAGATCTTGTCTGATGACTTGCGCAGAGCGGTTAACGAAGGGCGAGTTGGCTATGATGATGCTGGGGAACTAAAGATTAACGAATAATGAATAGGTATTTTGGGGAGGAGGATATGCCCTTCGAGTATTATGACTGTCACATGCTACAAATACCTGGCTGGGTGTTGTATTGGTAGAATTGCCCACCAAGTGTATAAGTAGGTACAGTATACTCGGATATGTATAAACTGTCTACATCTGAGCGCCGATTCACTTGTCTATAGTTTCAGCATGTTGCTCCTACCGACTAGGGGGCTATATCATTGACCTAGACTGCCGAATGAGTTGAATTCGCGCCAAGTCCAGCAGTCCAGGGTAAGCCTGACTATTGCCCCTATTTGTACCACTCGATGAAGTGAACAAGGTCAGCATTCGGTAGAATAGTAAAGCATATTTACACAATTATATCAACTCCGAGGTCACTCCTCCTTGTCGGCAGGTAGCCCCTTGACGGCCTCCTCTTTGACGATAATGTCAAGGATTAGGCTCGTCTTGCGATCGTGTATTTCGTCCAAGGCAGTCGACGCACTCTGCCAGGCGGCGATAAGGTTTCCTTGACGGGCGAAGGTGCTCGTGATCCAATGCTCGGGGCGTAGCTGATATCCCCGTAGGTGCTGGTAACCCAGCCAGGGGAAATTATAGGCCAGATGCAATCGCATGAGGCGAGGGTGCTCATCCAGCGAAGCTAGCGCCTGCGCCAGACACATACGATAGTAATGCACGGAACCACCCACGAAGCCCAGGCACGACCCCAAGAGGAATCCCAGGCTCCCGCTGCCAGTGACTATACCGGAGGCGGCGGCGGCGGCTAAGCCTACGAGTGCCTATGTTGGGTAGATAGGGGTTAGGGGCTGAGCATCTAATGTCTGGAAACCAACTCGGCATATTTGAAAAGGGAATGGCAAGAAGAGGGGTTGGCCTGAGTTGAAACATACTGCAGTTGAAGAAGCTACAAAGATAGAACGAACCATGTAGAGACCCTGGCCACTGTTGTATGTGTGTGTGTTTGCTTAGCGAGGCCCAGTGCTTCGGATGTCAGATCACTGTAGTGTAGCATAACTTACCTGGGTCTACTCCAGTTTCCCATAGTCCTTAGCAGTTGGCCAACATGGCTTCCGACACTACTCACTTCGTATTCAGCCTGGCCAATCGAGTTAGTGTTCCCTGGAGGATGTATGAGATAACTTTCAGGTATTGATCCCCTTTACCATGTTGAGCGAGTCATCACTTTCAGATATTCGGTTTTCCTTCCGGTGATATGTACGGTATATGAGATGTTTGTGTATTGGGAAGGTTAGGTAACACCGTAACATCCATAGCAATGAATTGAATAGCCTAAGGTTAGGTACTTACATAGTATGTATGTATGTATGTATGTATGTACTAAGTTGCATAGCACTTGCTCCAACACTTTAAATGTACAGAACCCAAACACTACCTAGTACCTATATGCAGTACCTAGGGCATGTATTGTATTGTATATATTACTAATTGTAGGTACTACATACATAGTAAAAGCCAAAAAAATAACCGGGCACCTTAAAAATCTCATTGAAGTTCATCATCATCCAACCTTATTCGATACCATATATATTATACATAGTATGTACATAAGAAAATATAGCCCCGCGTATCACGGCACCACAACATCACAGCACCACAGCACCCAAGCACCACAGCACCCAAGCACCACAGCACCCAAGCACCACAGCATCCAAGCACCACGGTATCATTACCTAGTATCAATAGATCGGGATGACTTGCAATATCAAAATCTCAACGTAGCATTCACAAGGGGCACGATGCAGCACTAGGTAGCGTTTAAGCTGACAGTTTGAGCATAACGTCAGATTATTTATCCACTCAGGTATATGTAAATCATGAGATAGCTAACTTAGACTGTTACCCCTCCTGTAGTATATAGTCAGGCACTTTGTCAACCCCGTTCTCAAACTAGCCCGCCAAAAGGTCTTGGTCAGCAATAGTCTCGATGGGTTCACTTGACCCGTCCAAGGACCGCGAGCTGACCGTCTTGGTCACCGGCTTTGCCGTGAGTCTTTCTCTCTCTTCTATTATTCTCTCCAGCTTTTTCTCCCTTTCATCTATCGCTGCTGTCCCGGATCTACGGACTAATACCTTGTAGCCATTCAAAGCCGAATATCCCGTGAACCCGGCTTGGGCGATCACGGAATCCTTACCGGATTACCTGCCATCTGAGAGGACCAAGGATCCCGACCGTGGAAGGGCATCAACCTTACCCGCAGTCCGTATATTAAAGCATGGCCCCGTCCGTGTAAATTACGAGGTTGTGCGGGATCTGGTGCCCAAGCTGTGGGATAGTGCCGAACAGAAGGTCGACTGCGTCATTCACATAGGCATGGTTGGGCCGCAACAGGTCTATTCCATCGAAAGGCGTGGTCATCGTGACGGATATGACAAAAAGGATGTTGACGGCCAGCTTCTTGGGGACGAACAGAGGCGGGAGCAGGAAGGGGATCAGTGGATATGGCAGTAAATACCGCATGCACCAAGGCCTGTAATGTGTATCGATCGCTGACTTGATGCTCTGTAGCGATGTCCCGGAGGAACTCCTAACAGATCTAGATATTGAAAACATTTACAAGCGATGGGTTGAGCGCACGCCGGTAAGAGTCACAGCTGATGATAACTTCTTCAAGAACATGTTTGCTAACGAACACACTGATGTGAAGGATACCCTCAGATTGCGGTTATCTGAGGATGCTGGACATTACCTGTGCGACTTCATGTACTTCTCTAGCCTGGCGCATTTATATAAGCAGCAGAGAGCCAAGAGAGTGCTATTCTTCCATGTTCCCTTGCATGCAGACGAAGAATCTGTGAGTCGGGGAAAAGAGTTGGTGTTGGAATTAATAAGGTCGATATGCGAGGCTGGGCTTAGAAAGGGGGTTATGTGAATGATGGGAAGCAACTTGAACTGCTTCGAGAGAAGATTGAAATTGCCATGTGGTGATGATTTTAAGAGTATGTAGATAATAATCATTATGTACATATATGGTATAATCACTTGAAAGATATGACTTGATGTAACTACTAGTTAGGTAGGTAACATTTATAAACATTTGTACCGTTGATCCTATCATTAGATTCATTACTATTCTTTCTGTTCAGACCATCCCATCCAAGTCACCCCAAATATTGAACATCTCAAAATGTGCATGAAAGTAATGTGCTACCTATGTAGTTAACAATATATAGGCAACCCTTCTCTCTCTTATTTTGTGCTCTATCTATTTAGTCTACCTCTACACTAGGAATAGTGTTTGTCGTTCATTCATCATTTTTCGTATCTCTTCATATATGTGATCCCTATCTACCTAAATCTTCTGACCCTTCTGCCATTCCGCCCGGCTATACTGAACTGGCCACTTCACTTCGACGCCTAGCTGCTGGGCCACTCGCAGAGGAAATTCAGGCTCGCGCATTAGCTGTCGCGCCACTAGCACTAGGTCGGCCTTGTCTTCTTGCACGATCGACCGGGCCATCTCGGCGTTGGTGATCATTCCCACGGCGCCGATAAGCAAACTCAGGCCCTCCTTCTTGAGCTCGTCCCGGATCTTGCTCGCGAGGTCGATCTGGTAGTAGGGGTGCACGTCGATCTTCTGCGTCTGGCTGTTGCCGCCCGAGCTGACGTCTAAGAGATCAACCCCGGCGGCAGGCAGTAGTTTGGCGAAGCGGATGGACTGCTCGAGATCCCAGCTGGGCTCGCCAGCCCACTCCATCCATTCCGTGGCCGAGATACGCACAAGCAGGGGCATGGTCTCGGGGATGACGCTCCTGATGGCTGCGATGACTTCGAAGAGCACACGCGTGCGGTTCTCGAAGCTGCCGCCGTACTGGTCTGTACGCTGATTGGTGCGCGGCGACAGGAACTCGGAGATCAGATACCCGTGAGCGCCATGTATCTCGATGCAGTCAATGCCGGCAGCGACAGATCTTCTTGCAGCATCCTTGAACGCCTGTACGAGCGTTTGGATGTCCTCGATTGTCATGGCTTTGGGCTCTGCGAAACCATGGTCATATTTGAGGGCGCTGGGGGCCCAAACGTTGTTGGGCCAGCCGTTGTTTTCGAGAGTGGCAACGGCATTGGCGACACCGGCGGGTTTGAACCAGGGGGCGAGACTGCTAGCCTTACGGCCGGCGTGGGCGAGCTGGATACCAACCTTCTGGCCCTGTGAATGGGCGAAGTCAACTATGCGCTTCAGGCCGGCGATCTGGCTATCTTTCCAGAGACCAACGTCGTCAGGGCTAATGCGGCCATTGGGGGTCACTGCGGAAGCCTCGACGATGGTTAGGGCATTGCCGCGGATGATGAACTGGGCCAGATGAGCGAAGTGCCAATCGGTTAGATGTCCATCATCGGCGCTATACTGACACATTGGCGAGACGGCGAACCGGTTCTGGAGTTCCATACCCCGGATCTTTAGCGGCTGGAATAGTGTCGGAGCTGCTGCGGGGTTGAGAGCGGTGCCGACAGGAGGGTCCTGCTTCGGGGTGTAGGGGGGGTTGGAGTTATTGGGAGCACCATTGTTCACGATGAAGGATGTCATTGTTTTAATTTTGATCTAATATTTTTGATCTAATAATGATTTTATAAGATTGAACATTGAAGCTAAGCGTTGTCTACCACAGTCTACCTACCATAGCCTAGGTCTCGGTCCCTATGTAGGTAGTCAAGGTATTTATAACTAGTTAAGTCTTCCTAATTAGTAATTATGGTTGGTGAATGAAGATGGCATCATGCCTTCCTGAAAAAACCCTCAAGAGAAAAAAGAAGAAAAAAAAAAGAAAAAGAAAAAAGAAAAAAGAGTTCGTCCAAACAGGCTTAGAAATCAAAAAGCATCTGATATTAGTTAGTGATAATTGCTGAATAATTTAAAATAGTTAGCACCAATCATGTTCCTTTACCGCATAATCTATTCCCCTCGACTTACTACTATGCCGTACTATGCAGTACCTTCAACTTTATCTCTTCTAACCCATTCCCCATTCCCTTCTTTTGGCATACACTACATAGCAAAAGCAGATCCCAACCTCGCACGGAGCTTCAAGGTTACAGTAATGTAGCTCATTCCAGAACGCCTTAGGGATCTTAAGAAGGATGACCGTGCAGCTGCCGTGACCCGTGACCCGTTGACCCTTGACCGGCGGGTAAACAAGTGCCCATTATTGTTTCTCATAATGAATCCCATTTATCCCATCTAATATTATCCTAGTTCTCGGCAGTGCAGCCGAAACAAGTATAGGGTAACATGGTCAAAGCTGTGTATACTTACTATACTACGGTATTACTACCTATGGTCCTATGGTCCTATGTAGCACCATTGCACACCAGACCACCCTAGGGCCTACATACTAAGTATTACTAACAGTAGTTAACTACCTAGGTCCTAGCCTACTATCCTAGCCTCCTAGGTAGGTACTGTACACTAACGCAACTTATCACAACATCTATCTTCCTGGTTCACACAACCCGCGACAAGGGGGTTGAATCTGAAGCAGTCACTTAGACCCCATCCACTCCGATCCACTGACGATCCGTCGCAAATCTCTTTTACCCTTCCTCCCCCCCCCCCCCCCCATCCTACCCCCATCAGCCCCAGTATACCCCATCGTAAGGGCACATACCATACTAACCATAGTATTATAGTACTATCATAGTACATGGGATGAAAAACAAACCTCCATGTTTCGTATCTTTCCCCCCTGGTGATAGCTGATACCTTACGATGCAGCTACATAGCACTACTATGTACGGCTACTACAGCTACTACAATAGTATGTAAAAGTCTCTGTAAGATGCCATGATGTAACCGGCTCAGACACCGCCAGTGTGGTACAATATTAAGCTTGAAACTCCGCTGATAATCACACCCTACAAGCTAACCTACCCAGTAGGGACATACGATACCATGTATTATAGCCTCGAGCATCCATCTGGCCCAGCTTCTCGGGTGTCTTGGGTCAAGAGGGGCCTACTCTAGTAACTCTATTATGTAGGTAGGTCCATGCACTTCAAATCCGAGCATCATTAATTCACATGTTTACTGTTGTTATTTATCCTCCTTCACCTTCAATCATCCTTCTTAGGTGCTGCGTGCTGTAAGAATTGCTGGTCTCTCTTTTTCTTTTTCTTCTTCTTCTTCTTCTGCGCCGTTCGTTCGCTTCATAAATATACCCCCTTTTTATTTTCAATTATATATATATATAGAAGTGTCTTGTTCGTCTTGCCAAGATGCTGAGAGGAAGATTCGCTGATAAGAGAGCTTCGGGAAGCTCGTAAGTCGCACACTACCTGCTTATCTTGTAACCCTTCTCTTGCGAATATGATGAAGCTAACTTACCGCAAAGTTCCCCAAGACTGGCCGGTCCAGCCACCGTCAAAATAATAGTCGGGCCAGACAGCCAAGAATATTTCATAGCCAGAAAGTCCCTCATCGGATCTCCGTACTTCCGTCATTGCTTCGAGAATGCGCGCGTGGAGTTCGAAAAGGGCGAGGCGTACCTCGTCGTAATCATGGAAGAGCAATGCCCCGAGATGTTTGAACTATTCGCGTACTGGATGAATGAAAGGAGGAATTTCGACAAATTCATCGACGTGGCCGAGCTCGATAACACCTGCACCGAGCTCCACTGGGATCTGGTGAGCCTGCACATATTTGCCGCCCAGGTCGAACTGCCCGCCCTGCAGGATGCCGCCATGGACGCTATACAAGATGTATACCTGCGCTGTAACTGGGACATCAACCCCAAGCTCACCAGCTACATCTACGAATCCTGCGACCCGCAGGATAGCTGTCGGCTTCGAAAGTGGATTGTCGCCATGACGGCCTGGACGCTGGGCGGCGTCGTAGGAACCGAGATGTCCAGCAACATCCAGCGCCTCTTCGACCTGTACCCCGACTTCTTGGCCGAGTATCACATCCACACCCGTAAAATGGCCCAGTCCAGGCTCGAGTGCCACTTCAAGAACCCCCAGCTCCGATTACCCTCCAACAATCTTCGCAACGAGGAGCGCCAGTTCGGCTTTCGCCAGTGCTCGTTCCACACCCATCGGTCTATCATCGGCCAAGGGAGTTGCCCCCACAACGGCTTCCTCTCGCCTTACTCCTTTGCCCTACACACGGACCTTTACGCCGAATCGGACTCGGAACACACCGAATCGAGGTTTGGCTCACGCATGGTTTCTCCGAGCAGCGATACGATTCCCGAGTCCGATTTCGAGACCTCATGAGAAGCCTCCTAGTGTCGGGAGGTTTTTTTTTTTTGCTCTGACTCTAGGCAAGAGCGTATGAGGACGGACCTCTTAATACTATCTATTATTCTTCCTTCCCTTTTTGGACGGAGGGAGGAGTCTGGATGCCGATCGGGACGATGGTATGCAATCAACGTACTACCTTTATGTATCCTCGCGGCCTTCCGCTCATTGGACAAGACCTGTCACGATCGAGTAACGTAGGCTTATCGATCGTCGCACTTTGCTAGCTTAGTGTGTGACGGGAATCTTTAGAAAGTCCCCCCTCCCTTTCCAGAAGATGGACATTCCACGAAGAGGACCATCTGAGGTATAATTCCTGACCTACCTACCTACTGGGTACTCCTCCACGCACCCATGGCTGGGGTTAAGCAGTCCTTTACCTAAATTAATATATCAATGTACTTAAGAGCATGAGCCCATGTAAGCCGTTGACGGCTTATGTCTATAATTATAATGAACACATATCAAAATAATCTGTTACCTATCGAATAATACGTGCGCACAGCCGTGACCAAACATTACACAACAACTACATGTATTCCTCAGTCTGTAGGTCCCTTTTTCCTATTCGGTAAGGTATCTAGTTATGCATATATACGTGCCTCATTGGACTTCAGTCCGACGGGACGCATTGAGGCTCAATTCGATAGAAGACCAATTTTGAAATGGATCATGTCGATTTGCTATCAACATTATCTGTGAAGGAGCTTGTCCTCATCTAAGCTTTAAAATTGCAACATATAGCTGTTACACATCGCCTGCACTTTTCAGTCCGAGCCAGGACGCCGAGTTCTAACCCTAGCCATTGCATATTCGTATTGCACTGGCAGGCCAAGAGATATTTCAAGTCGTAACCGTAATCCGAACAAGAAAACACTCTTGTTATCTCATATCTGCTCATATCTGTCGTGATACTCATAAGAAAAAGGAAAAAAAAAAGATGGTGTGTCGAGTATTTCTCTCGTAGTAGGGTGAACCCCTTTTGATAAATTGGTCTCCAAACCGCTTATCTCCAACCAGTATGCCAAGAGAAAGCTGTGTGCTGCGCATTTCGCTCATCTTCTACCGGAGAGATTGGAAAGACTTTAGTTTCGGGAAGGAAAAAAAAAACAAGCAATGGTTATCATGTGCTCTCATGATGCATAATATCGGCGGCATAGAGATGTCGTTCAAATCATAAAGGAAATCATAAGGTCTGGTATAGTCGTATACAAAAGAGACGTATCGTGATGGTATCAAAGTAGATCGAGAAAAATGAGATCGAGAAAAATGTGATCGTGAAAAAACGGGATCGTTAAATTTCATCATAGTGGTGACTGGGACCGTCGGCGTTCATTTCCACGATTTCGTAACTCCCTAAGCCTTTGGTCTAGGTAGGCTAGGCGAGACGCCAAAGTGGACCGAGGAGACTGTGTCTGCTGACGCTCTTGCGTCGACTGCTGAACAGTTGCAAAGGGGCGGCGAAAAGCCGTGAGATTAAAGTTGATTGGTGCGGACAATCGGTTGGGGAAACTATGACTCGAACCGGCACTTGAGAAGGGAGACCCCAAGCGACGCGGTGGTATCACCGGAGGCGATTCGATATCATGATTTAGAGAGGTGGATGGATACGTTGGATTGCTGTCAGGAGTTTTGGGAGTGAACATATCGATGCTCTGGTCACGCAATTCAGAGGGCATTCCGTGTAAGAGACCCAAGTGTGTGTCTCGTGATAGCTGCTCCAGAATCTCGGGCGAATCTTTCCAAAAATCCGCTGATAGACTTGGTCGCTTTCGTGGTAGATCTTCGTTCTTGACAGACCTACGTTTTTGTGTTCCTGAGCGCGATCTAGTAAGACGAACAGGTGACTTGAGAAGTTTTCGAGAGCCTAGAGTGTGTGACTGTCGTGGTAAAGTAATATCGGCAGCAAGTGAAGATGATGAACTAGGCCCATAGCTCTTGGCCAAGACAGGGGATGGAAGATAAGAGAGGTCGGTGGCCAACGGTACATCCTGGTTTAGACTTATGCCCAACTCTGTATCGACCTTAAGTTCCGGAAAGGGTTCGGTTTCTGAACTGGCGAGCTGAGCTAAAGGCCCTTCAGGGTTCATAGCCTCGGAAGTGCTCATTGCTAAAGACAGAGCCATATCATGGGCAGAAAATATTGAAGGTGATCTAAATGGTGCCGATCTTCGGTTCCAACGACGATGAGCTGCCTTATGGAAGGGGGCAGGGCTTGGAGACTTGTAATGTCCTGGACTAGTTGCCGTGTTGAGTCTGCAAAGCTCGCGCAGATGAGCACGGGTAGCAGCGCAAGTATGAGGCCATTGAATATAGGGTTTAGAAGATTCGGCGGTGGGGGTGGTGCTCCCACTATTCACATCAGCTGTTAGATGTGTCTTGGAGCCTTTCCAACTTCTTTTCGCCTCTCGTGCTACGCGCAAGCAAACTCCGTTGGGTGGAATATGACTTCTACCCAGGCGTATCGGAGTCACTCGCGGATCTTGCAAATATAGCATATAGGTTGACCATAAATGTGAGTCCATAGCTTTGGTCCACGGTGCCTTTCGTGACCTCTCCTTATGTGACACATGTGCGTTACCAAGTGAGCTTAGCTGGTGTAATTCCATAGGCTTGCGCTCTGGGCTGCCGCAATCGCCATCATCAGAAGCCTGGGAGAATTGGCTGAATAGTGAAGCACTCGTCTGCGTAGAGAATGCCGTTGAAGGTCTGCTAGATTCATATTCCGGACTTGATTCAAGATCCGAACAGCTCCAATCAGAGCCAACAGACCAGTCTGGATACTTAATATTATCGCAGGACGACACAGTTTCGAGTGCAGGGGTTTTTGGTGGCGAGAATCTTTGCGCATGCAAGTGCTCATAAACTTCCACGGTACCCGAGTTATCCACTTCAATACTGGGAACTGGTACATCTGCCGCGGCGACTGATGCTAGGAAATGTTGAGTGGGCGCATTGAGCTGGTGCGATGCTTGTCGCCTCTTCAACTTCAATCGAGGTCGTGGAGGTGACGGGAGTTGTGATTTGTCGCTAGGAAAGGATGGCTCGGGTGTCTTGGGACCTTGCCCCATGGCACGGCTGCTAGCATTGCACGGGAGCATTGTTATGAATTATGGACGACGCATTAACAATTCCGAAGCGACCTGAAATTTCGCATTCTCTCTTAACCCGGCCACAGTAATCCAAAATTTATCGGGCAGGCGCATTCATAATCAAAGAGGGATATCCACCTGCAAAGTGATATAGACAGGCGACCAAGATGTATCAAGTATTAGTACATTGGCGTGGATCTCGACATTTGATGTTGCGGAGCTATATTGTTAAGGCGTAATTCGAGATCGTCGCACGGTTCAACAGTCTCCTTTTAAAACTTGCGGCTAACTTTCTCTGCTTGGTTGATTGCGATACAGCTCATAATTAGATTTTGATAGGAATAAACTAAGGGATATCGTAAAAGGCAATCGTGGATTTTGCAATCAGCAAATAGGTCTAATTCTTCGAGTGGTGTATGGTGTATGGTATATGGTATATGGTGTATGGTTCGAGTATGTGGTATACCACAAGAATAGGTACAGTACCAGTAGTTTCCCTCCACTGTCGATGGTTATTAGAGAAGGGGGCAAGGGGCAAGGGGGGAGGGCGAGGGGAGAAGGAAAATGAAAGGACGTGTTGAATCTTGAAAAGAAAATAGGAGGTTTAGAGATTGTAATCAGGGAGGATGCGAAAGAATAAGAGTAGTTAAGGCAAGGGTACTGAAGCGCAAGAGAGAAAGGAAGAAAGAGACCTGGATGGATCAGTCAGTGGGCGAGTGGGCAAGTGGGCAAGTGGGTGAGTGGGTGAGTGGAATCACGTCGTGCTGCAGGTGCAAGTGCAACAAGCAGGGGGACGAGAGTTGGTGGGTATTTCTAACTCGATCGCACACAGATAGGGAATTGCAGAAGGTGCAAATCGAATCGGCGAGCGGGTGTGGCACTGGCGTGAACCCTGCATGCTGCTTATGGCAATCCTAGCAGCACGAAATACCACACTAATACTACCTAGGTACACTAAACTTTTAAAGAATTCAAGGTTTAGCTAAGCCCCACTGAGGGAGGTGGAAACATTCAGGCGGTCAGTTTGGGTTCCTTGCTATATATATGTACTTTACACAAGTTTACAGTACCTAAGTCTGTATTAATACATGTATGTAGGCGCTAGGGGGATTTTGATGTGATCTTGCGATTTTGGTCAAAGCTTTAAAGTTTAGTACATCGATGTTGATGTGCCTGAGGCCCTGAGCATCTGAGGTACTTACATCTAGGTAGTTACCAGGTAGTTAAAAAGAGATTAAGAGAGGGAAATGGGAAAATTTCGAGCAGGGATATCCAAGATCAACCACAAAAACTACGTCGCGTACCTTTTCACAGAAGGGAGAAAACTTAGAAAAGTGGTTCCCTGGCTATTTAAATTTTAGGCATGTAACTAGGTTAGGTATGTATGTACCTACATATAGTTAAGTGGTTAAGTTATGTAGTTGAAATTTGAAAGTTTGGCTGTTCAACAACTTTGAACGTTGTGAAATCTACATAGTACATGTATATAGTTCAATTGATGTTGATTGAACGATTTAACAGTTGAACAACATTGAACGGTTGAACCTACTATAATTGAAGCACTTGTACCTACTAACCTTAAATGTCAAGCTTGGTGCGCTAATGTTCTGCTTGCAACTGGACTGCGAGACTTGCTCCTGCACTCCGGATGCAGCTGTGGCCAGCAAAGGGACACGACAAGAGTGCATATGCAGTGATCGCCAAGCAAGAAGGATACCTAGTACTGATAGGTAGTGGGTTTATAGTGGATTTATAGGCTGGGGGAAGGTCTTCTAGGCGCGAATGTAGAGTGATCTAGTTGGATAGAAGAGAGTCTTTGAAAGGGCGTATGAATTCGTAGTATATTTACTGTACGCGTTTGAACAAGAGCGCGAAATCGAGTGGACGAGAATGCTTAATGCAAAGCGCGAGTTCACTCGCCTGATTTAGCTGTTTTATTCGTTGGATTCTGCTGCTTTCTACGTATGCGAACAACACACGAACAACACACATAGACACATATGGACATATTCACATAATACGAACCTGATCATAGCAAGGAGGAAGGGGAAGGGGAAAGTGGAAAATGAGGAATGAATGAATGGATGGGATGTTCAATGTTATTGTTCGGGTACCTAGACTAACGAATGACACTTGGCTAAGGTTGGTAGACTACATGGACTAGGCTGCTCACATCGCCTATAGACCCTGGATGTGATTCTTTTAGATGGAATGCAAAACATGTACTTCTATGTAGTTAGTTATGTAGTCGAGAACCGTTGAGAGCGTGTCAGTTTAGGTGGAGTCTCATTAAGACTGTACCAGTACCTAAGCATAACATACCCCCCTACAATGGACAATTAATGACTTACTTTCAATGTTGCTCAACATTTGGTAGCTTATCCTAAAGAACTTGTAAAGAGAGTAAGTACTATATAGAGGATCTGTGGTACGGGTGAGCCCAAGTAAGCCTTTAACGTGAGACAACATGGATTGCGACGTGATGCGATGCGATGCGATGCGATGCCACTTACATAAACGTTTGACCATCCTATAAAAGTCAAGGCTACTTAACAGGTAACCTAGGTATATTGGGTACTATTCATACCTATTATGATATATATATTTACATATATATGTATATCTAGGATACCATGTATAGGTTAATATTGGAGAATGAAGTACATAACTTCGAAGGCTGTATATAAGTGGTACATATTCAAACATGCCATTAAGCCAGCCCATTGATTGTCACAGGGAACTCGATACATCATTTAAGCACGGGTGTACATATGTAATTCTCTATTGCATCAATATGTACTTCAAGTTCCTACTCTGGTACATGCGTAGGTACATATGTATATAAGTCCACTTATATCGTATGTACCTGTAAGTATCATAAAACATTCCAATGTTAGAATTAGTTAGATAATATCATAACTAGTATGTGAAGAAAGAACATTGAAGACGCGAAAATAACGCGACTTGACGCGTGAGCTCATTTGTGGAAGCGCTACATAATCTCCGCCTTATACTACCCCACGTACCGGATGGACTCTTAATTTGGTTCCCTCCAATACATACCTAGGTACTTGGTACATAATAGTACTAGCACTATAGTACTATACATATAGTTACATAACAGTGATAACACAGATATCAAGTCAGTCAAATCAGTCACATGAAGCGATAGGAAGATTCGTTTTATTGCGTAATAAAGTCTCATGTTAGTTCTTACATACCAAATTATATCAATAATATTAATAGTATTTATGGTACATGTGGTTAAGCAAGTGTTAGGAAGTACAAATCATCACTGTCTAGATAGTAGATCCATTATACGAAGTACCACGTCACACATAGCAGCACCAATTACATGTATGCACATATGTAGCGCTTAACTGGCTGGGCTGTGCTCTCAAATCGGCAAAAGCTTCCATGTAGTATTGGAGTGATACTTAACGGATCTCGGGTTGGTAAATGAAGGATAGGTAAGCCACATAACATGAAGATCATGCGCCATTGAGCTGGGTTTGATGCCTTCAACGTTGACGCAGGTTATGTAGGTACAGATGGGTTTAAACTTGTCCGCCTTGCATCTTACCATGCCAAAGCGATTATACTGCTATGTGCCTGTCTTACAGACTCTTACTAGCACCCAAACCCGATTTAGCTGCAGGGACTCTTCACGAACTCTTACATAGAACATTACATAGAAAATCCACGACGGGTTAGTGTTACACAACATGCATACATACCTACATATATCATATATATTATACTCAGCCTCAAGAGTCACTAATACTATGTGCTCGTTTAAATCGAAGTGTTAGATGAAACCCCAGCCTAGATTCCCGAATTTGTATGCCACAGTGTGCTACCTATAGCCCGATCCTCACAAGATTCAAAGTTCTCTCTACTTGATTTGTAAATACATACCTAGGTGAAACAATCTTTTTCGGAATCGACCCGATAGTGACGGTTTCACCGGTAAGACGAGTACATACCAAAAGTTAGGGTAGAATGATGGATATTAACATTGATGATGATATGGCAGTAATAAGTATGAGTATGCACCTTACTAGTATGTACTGTCCCGCTTTTCAATTGGACAAATTTAGCTTCAACAAATCTCTATAAACTTTAGACTATCCATGGATGCCATTATTAAAGTTTAGATGCTATTCACAACCCCTAACTAGGTATGTATGTACAGACTCCAGAGAGGCACCATCATGCCTAGGGTACATAGTTCCAATTGAAGATACCCAGGTAGTTTCTATACATATGTAATATGAAAGCTTACATAGATCAGAGGCTACGTACATAGTATGTACTATAGGTCAAGAGATATCACTAGTAGGTATGTATTTGCGTCTGTAATAAGTGAAGAGATATTGAGGCCCGTGCTTACATAATCGACATGTACTGTACTGTAGATAATAATTGCCTGGTTTATCGATTAGCCGATGGGGGAATTCCGTGTCATACAATCATGGTACATTCAATACATAGCCGGGCATATGTTTGACTTTTCAAATGTTGAATTATATATGTTTTGTACATAGGTAGTAGCAGGTGCGCCGTAGTGGAAAGTGCGCCGCACTGTAACATGTACTATGTATTGTTACAATAGGTACCTAGTACAATACTAAACTAGCCTAAGGTATGTCAGCGTTTTTGCGGGGGTCTTCTTTTAGATCTCGAACCCTCCCTTCATGTTGATTCCACTCCTACATACATCGACCTACATACATATCATGCTGGGTACATAGTCTACATTCTACATTCTACATAGCTTCTATGGCTTCTACGACTTCTGCAACTGGTATTGTTACCCTTGATAATTTCGCGTCAAGGCTACCACAATGGGATCCCAGCCTCCCCAGCCACCTCTATGCCCTCGTTGATATGGGAAGGTTTGTTACATTGCCATTTTCTTCATTTCAAGGTTGAAGAGCACGGCAGAGTTCCAACACTGAAACCTCTCATCTTCATCATCCTCCTCGCTTTCCTTTCCTTATTCCCCTATGTACCCTTTCTTTAATAACCTCGATTAGCAATGGTATACGCTTCTCCATCTCGGACTTATCACCTCCACGAGCGCGTCTCCTAAAATGTTTGTACCACGAACGTGCCGCCGTCTCCTTGTTCGATGCACTGAACAAATCGGCCTCAAGTGGGCCCCTTACATTTCCATCAGATGTAATTGCCCAGGTATCCAGAACCTTAGCTCGGTTCAGATCAACTGCCAATGATTATGGTGTGCCATATGAGCATATATCTGTCTTTGCTACAGAAGCTATGCGGAAAGCTGAAAATGCTGCGTCCATGCTTGATGCTATCCTGGCAAGCTCCGGACTCGACGTCCATGTGCTGGCTCCAGAAGTCGAGACTTTATTTGGCGCCATGGGCGCTAGAAGTCAGTTTACTTCTGTGAATGGACTGTTCCTAGATTTAGGAGGCGGCTCCGTTCAGATGACCTACCTCGATTCTTCTGTGAATGGCCATGAATTGGCAGCTGCCCAAACCGGGAAGAGCTTGCCTTTTGGTGCGGCTAGGTTGACTGATGTTCTAGAGAACGGCAACGTAGAGGCTCAGGCTACTTCTGCGAGCACTTTGCAAGAAGGCATGCGAGATGCTTTTGCTAAGCTTCAACAGCAATTCCCATCGTTAAGAGATGCCCAGAACTCCCCAGAGAATACCGGCATTGATATCTACCTTTGTGGGGGTGGGTTTAGAGGTTACGGCAGCATACTGATGCATGCTGATCCTATTCAACCCTACCCAATACCAACCGTCGGGGGCTATACTGTTCAGGGCGCTTTTTTCAATCGAACCAAAGATATGCGCAAGATCAATGCCGAATATGAGGACAAGATTTTCGGTATGTCAAAACGTCGGCGGCGGCAATTCCCAGCTATCGTTACAGTCGTGGAGGCACTAGTCGCTGCTATACCTCGAATTCGCACAGCAACTTTTTGCAGTGGCGGCAACCGGGAGGGAGCTCTTTCCATGATACTTCCAAAACATATGAGAGAAGAAGATCCTCTACCGCTTCTTTCACAGGTTATCGACAATGGAGAGGCAGGCATCCTGCGATCGGTAATACATCTCGTGCAATCATCTTTGCCAAGCAACTTTGACATCTCCAGTATTCCAACAGTCTTCTCTTTGGGACTCGGTACCTGCTTTATTGGTAATATGTGGGCGCGCATAGGGGAGTCAAATGATGTCAACGCCTCACTCGAATTGAATCAAGCCGTCACACGAGACTCAAGCACACCGGGGTTGACTCACTTGGCACGAGCGGTTTTAGGGTTAACCCAATGCTATAGGTGGGGAGCTAACTTGAGTCCTGCTGATCGAGTTCGTTTTGTAAATCTACAGAAACTTGTTGGCCAGTCGAATCCTGAGGCTAATTTCTGGGCTGAATACATCGGCACAGTCGCAAGCTTACTTACCATTGTCTATCCAGCAAAACCCAGTGCCTCGGATAGCCTGAGGACGAGCGTCAAGTAAGTGAATCGTTGTGCACTTGATTCCCTTCCTAACTGGGCTGCAGATTCCGCTCAACTTTGAAAAGGGGTAGCAAGAAAGAGCAAGTACAACTTGACATCTCATTGTCTCCCGCGATTTACGAGTCTCTAAACGTTGCAGACCTCCTAGCAAGTCATTTCAAACACGTTGGGAAGCAAAGAGACGTTGCAGACAAGACCAAAAGAAAGGTCGAAGTTGTTGTGCATAAATTGGTTTATTAACGCCAGCTGCATCACCTGAGCCAGACTCCAGCCCTCGATGCCTCGGGTACAGCACGTATGCTTGCTGTGACTACAAGACGTTACTATACCCAGCTATCCAATAGAGGTGCATACAGATCCTTAGACATACAGAGTACGAAACTTCATACATATCATAACCAAAACAATATCCCTCGCAATGCTAGCTAGGGAATGCAATGACCACGCGACGCTGATCCCGGCAGCGAGTGTCCTTGAACAAGCAATGTGCCTCCTGAAGCATTGCTCCTATCATTACGAGGCATGATGCAAGCTCAAATGCGGTGTATGGGTATCAGCCTGTCGCTAAACTCCTTCGCTAAATCATCGATCTCGTATCGCCTCTCTTACAAACCTAGAACCCAACCTTGAACAAAATGACAAAGCAAGAAATGAAAGCATTTATGGTCTTCCGATTCCGATAAGATTCCTATCGTTTGACCCGCTTAGATGCTCGAGCTCCTCCCCGTGCAGTGCCTCTTTGTGTCCCAACTAACAAGACACGCAAGAAGCGGTCGAGCATGGACGAAGGCGGATAAGCGATATCATCAGGGGCGATGCTCTTGTCTAAGATTAACAATTAGCTTATCAAGATCTTCTCATTTCAACAAGTTTTGGTGCACATACAGAAACTATCTCTGTAGATTTCCACCCTCTTAAACTCGGCATTCAACTCCCTTTTAACTGGGACAGTGGCCGGATTTCCATCTTCGGGCATTGCCTCTGGCTTCTTTTTACCAAAGCAAATCTCGCACATCACAACCAAGTTTCTAAAGAGGCTTGTCGATACGCTTTCCGTTTGCTGCGGATCCCCACAAAGGCCTAGGAGGAAAGTTAGCCAGGTATCGCCTTGGTTCAGAATCCCAGTTTGTTATTACCTTCTGATCGGCTGAGCTCGAATATATCACGGTACATGAGAATGAATTGCATCATGCAGGCCCAAAGTGGCAAGCGATCCTGTGGTTTTAACCCCATTTCCAGCTTCTTCCAGATGTCCCCCAGAATGTTAGACTCGAGTGTCCTCATCCTATATATGATAATACTCTTCAACTCCTGGCAAATCTGACTCGGGAGTTCTTCCAAGCCGGAACCTGGAAATCTCTGGCAGAAGAATCTTTCGTGTCGCCAAATTCTATACATACACCTCATGCCATGGACCTGGCGAACAAGTGAATGCTAACAAGGTGTTAGTATATATATAAGTTTCAGAAGAAGTCGGCATGAAGCCTACACATGGTAGGAAGGAATGTTCTTCCTGAGCGTATGTTCCAATCAGAACATCCAAGGCCGATTGGAAAGGAAGGCTTTCGTCTTGATACGTTTGCCATGATGCCCACCTGATGAACTCGATGTCTTCAGGAAGGTTATGCCGGTCCAGGACATAATGTTCATAAGGTTGGGTTGCTTGCCCGGGGTTGTTTTGGCCCCTTTGCCATGTCTGCCATTGGTTGTTGCTCTCGTCGCGCCCGACGGTAATGGCCAAGGGAAGCTCGCTAGTGGGACACGCTTTGAAATATACGTTCCACCTTAGTGGATTGCCCCTCTGCGACGGCATGGAGGGGTTTACCCTCGTTCCTATGAAAGTCAGTTATCCAAAACCGGGCCATAATGCATACATAATAAAGTGAATGCGGCTACGAGATCAATTGACATACTCCAGATTGTCTGAAATGCGAAGTCACTGCTAGCAGTAAAAGGTTTGCGGAAACACATGTGCTTAGCTAGTTCGCTATCATCGTTGCAATACTTTGCCGCATCCTCTTTGCAGCGCGAGCATGGCATCTGCTGGTCACACTTCTAGTGGGTTAGGGAAGGGGATCAACAAATCGGCCGAGGTTACTTACTGTAACTTTGCGCATCTTGCACCTGAAGCAGGCACCGATCTTGCGCATTTGGGCAACCTTCTCTGGATTGTCTAGGGGACGATGTCGCTTCCCGCGACTGAGTGGAGAGTCAGCCGAGGGCGAACTGTGGCATGCGGGCGACGACGATGGCGACGACGAGGTCCCGTTGGAGGAGGAGGCCGGGGAGAGCGGGCCAGAACCAAGGAGACCCGTAATATCGGATCCATTGGCAGGTGAGGTGTTGTCTATTTCCATATGCCATGGGTAAGACTCAATGCCATTAGGCCTAATCTCGCGGGCGGGAACAGTAAAGCGATCATCGTGCTGTTTGATCTGCTCGACGGCTTCTTTGAAGTGGAAAGCATCCTCGGTGGACCGGGGGGATGGTGCGCCATCCTCTTCGGACGGACCAGAAGTTAAGCCCGGGATGGAAGAGGCGTCAGACCGGCTCCGCGAGTCGGCATCAGCGGCTGGGGATCCCTCGTAGAAACGTTTATAATCAAAGTACTGGTCGAATTCATCCGGTGGGGCAGGAACCTTGGGTTGTTTCCTCTTGGGTAGCCCTCCAATAAAGTCAGGGATCTCGGAGGTGATCTGGGATAGGTCACTGTTGCTCATGTTGGCGGTTGCGTGGCTCGTGTAAGTCGCTTGTATATGTAGGTACGTCCCTTTGTCAGACCGTGCACGAGACAAATCAGCAGTCGCCAGCGGGTCGCCTCGGTACCTGAAGTGGGGGAAAACGACGATAAGTGTTGTTGAGGACCAAGGGGCACGAGCGATGAACTGTCATGAATTCATGCTAAGACATCGTCTCATGTCGAGGTCTCGATGGCCCAAGTCCGCATCTGCGAGTACCTCTTGAGGGTGCGCATTGTAGCCCTCGACTCTTATTGGCTATGCCCCGGAGCCAAGCCACTCGATTGACCTATAGATACCCCGGTTCATACCGAACTGGTAGTCTGACGGCTTGCGAACCATTATGTCGCACCCAAGGCACTGGGTCCTTGGATCATGTGATAGATAGGTAGCCTTGAACGAAGTTCTGTTTACTTTACCCACCAATTTCGACCGTTTTTTTTTTTGTTTTGTTTCTTAATTGGAGGCTGACAAAATGCATGTCTCCAAACTATTATGTTTGGAGTTTTGGATAATCGCAAAGCTTTTTAGTAGAGTATTTTGGAGCTGGTCATATCAACTATCAACTACATATCATTGATGTATTTCCAATTCTATACATAGTACATAGACATGTACCATAGACATGTACATGCTGGTAACAATATGTATGTAACAATTGACAAGTGACGGAATTTACCAGGGCTCAAGTCCAGGGACCGTGCATACCTAGTAATTTACTGGGGTAGGTTTGTATGTTTATACATACACTATTTCTATCATTGATCCATACCTAATACATATACCTATGAAGTAGTACCTACATAGTAGTTATTACCTACATGCCTACATATGTAATGTAATGTCTACATGTAAGTACCTAGGTTACATACATAATACCGTCACACATACAACTTGAAGCTTTTACAAGCCTACATACATATAGTGTATACATATGATACAAGGTCTTTATGTAAGGTATAGATGTATTGGATCCCAGGTAGGGTACCTAATGCACCAACGGGTATTAGCTGCTGGTAGTCTCCTCCCTCCTTGTCCATCCAAAAGCATCACTTGTTCCCTGATCCATGATCCTCCTCAAATCATATGTCCAGACTCCAGACTCTCACCGAATTTGTAAACATGGTTGCATAATCGTGTCGTCTCCCTCGAGAAAGCCCCCACGCAACCATTTGATCGAGCAAGGTTAGGTTTCTATTTATGTATACATATGGAGGAGGTACTATGTCCCCGGCCCAGCTATTTATTGCTCCCTGTTCCCTCCTCCGGGCTTTCGAACTTGTTCTTCCTTTTCTCTCTCCACTAGAGCTAGGCGAAGAACCTATTCCAAGTGGAATACTGGTCCTCGCTCGCGCTCTTCCCTCTCCGTTGAGCTCGAGGGGTAGACATATTCAGCGCACTCGGGAACGAGGCTTACATATTTCTACAAGCTACTGTGTTCGCTGTAAGTATCAAATGTTCTCCTAGCGCAGTTTGCGATCTAGCAATGGAGAACGACTAGGTATGTGTCTGGTTCCAAAACAGGTAGTAGTAGCCAGAATCAGTATGACTTTGGACATGCTCACGCTCATCCGAGCCTACATACTTCGGTTCGACGACCGCTATTCAGCTTTACGGTATATATCAGGTAAGTGTCCCGTCCCATTACATTTCAGTCAAGAGCATCGCAAAAAGACCACCAACTTAGGTAATCATATTTGCGGTGTCAAAAAACTCTCGAATACCCGGCTTTATCTAGCTTCTTGAGAGCTAATTTTTGGTTTTTCCAGAAGACAATCCTCAACCCCCCCTGCGAAGAAAAAAAGAAAAAAGCTGTGAACATCACAAGCAGGAAAGGACGAAGATAATGTATGACTTCTGACTTATTTTCGGTTTCTAATTAGTGACCTATCTGGGTTACTAATCTCTCTCCGCCGGTACCTACCTAGCCTAGGTAGGTAGGCAGAGATCGGTATCTAGGAGCTCAGGTAATTCATTCGAAGCTGACCTTCTTCCGGGATGGACATTGAGAGATGTGGTAGGCACTTAATTGGGCCGTTAATGTGGTTAATTAGGGATCAGCTAGGTGAAAGCCATTTGGCGTCGACGCCAACTTACTGTCGACTTCCGTCAAACCCACGATCACCACGACAATGTGGAGCGAGCAACTCGCCTTTCCAAGACTAGCATATACTTAGATACACATTATCCAAAGACGTTACTTATCCCAAGCACCTATAATCATGGCCAAGCATGGACGCAAAACATGTATTTGATTATTGCGATCACGTGGGCTCCTTAAGCCAACACCTCTACGTATAGAGTCACGGCAAGTTTTTTTTTTTTTTTTTTTTTTTTTTTTTAAAAATCGGGCGATCAACTGATGAGATTTTCTGATTTATTCTAATCTCGAGGTTCCACATCTGCTCGACTCTATGAGATATGAGCGTCAAGATAGGTGCATATATGAAGTACTTTGGATTGTAAAGTCATGTGATAACATATTTTATTAGTCTTCCCAACATCAATCGACATTGAATGGATTGAAAAAACTACCTAGAGGCTAGGGTAAATACGGGATCATGGATGTACTTATTATGTACATGCAAGTACCCACTCAGCCACATTACTAGTTACAATTTGAAGGGATAAATCATAAAAGAGAAACATTATGGTCCCGAGGTTCTTTGTACTAACTATACCTAGACATACCTGGGCATACCTGGGCATATCTAGGGCTTCTAGGCACGTAAATGATTAAAAAGTTGGACAAGAGCTTAACCCGTTCCTCTTTCTTTCTTTCTTTTTTTCTTTTTTTTTTTTTTTTTCCTTTTTTCGCCTTCAATAGACTTCTAGATCTTCTCCTAGCCCGCCTACGTATTGATATAGTTAGTACCTACTAACTTATACCTAGGTTAAGGATAGTTTCAGTTGGTTCTCATGCTGTTTCGACATTTCGGGCAACAGGCTTTTTTACCCTTTTTGCGGAAAAGACCTGCCAAAGGACTTGTTTCTTATCCTTATCCTTATCCACTTGAGCAACCAAGGGTAGTAGTAATACAGAGACTACACAATTATCAGACCAATCAGGTCTTTTCTTCCGTCAAGCTGGCGGGCCACTGCAGAAATTCGACTCCAGCCACGACCCCTCCCCCTCCTTTTTCTCCCACTCGTCCGTATTCAACTACTATTACTACTACTGCTATTACTACTTCTACCATTACTACTCCTACTCCTACTCCTACTTCTTCTTCTTCTCCTTCACCTTCACCTTCACCTCATCACCCCCCATACTCATCAACTTCATCCATTTCCTCCAAAATTGCGTCCCATCGTACTGCCCAGCTAGCTCGCCACTTTTCGAGCTCTCCTCCATTGTCCAACAAAAGTAAATCACTCACGATGGCCACGCCTTACAGCGTCCGCAAGGTTGCTGCTCCCAACACCTTGGAGCACCGAGTTTACATCGAGAAAGATGGCGTCCCTGTCTCGCCTTTTCACGACGTCCCCCTTTACGCCAACCAGGAGCAGACCATTCTGAACATGGTCGTTGAGATTCCTCGATGGACCAACGCCAAGCTCGAGGTAATTTACTCGCCTAAACTGACCACGTAGCCCTGGCGTATATTATTTCTATCGTGAATCATATCGCTAACCATAACATTTTTTCCCTCGAAGATCTCCAAGGACGAGCTGCTCAACCCCATCAAGCAGGACATCAAGAAGGGCAAGCTACGATACGTTCGTAACTGCTTCCCTCATAAGGGTTACCTATGGAACTACGGTGCCTTCCCTCAGGTAATTTATTCCCAGTTAATATCTATTACCCCCAAAAAATCTATCCCTTTTTTTCAAATTTTTTTTTTCACTCTTAGTGTACATGCTAATACTCGGTTTGCTGTGTCTAGACCTGGGAAGACCCCAACTCCATCCACCCGGAAACCAAGGCCAAGGGTGATAACGACCCCCTTGATGTCTGCGAGATTGGCGAGCTTGTCGGTTACGTTGGTCAGATCAAGCAGGTCAAGGTTCTGGGCGTCATGGCCCTGCTTGACGAAGAAGAGACGGACTGGAAGGTCATCGTCGTCGACGTAAACGACCCCTTGGCTTCCAAGCTGAACGATGTCGAGGACGTCGAGCGACACCTCCCGGGTCTCCTCCGGGCCACCAATGAGTGGTTCCGTATCTACAAAATCCCGGATGGAAAGCCCGAGAACCAGTTCGCTTTCACCGGCGAATGCAAGAACAAGAGGTAAGTTGTACAAAATTTTCTACGATTGGTAATTTATATCGATTTGGGTACTAACGTTACGTCTAGCTATGCCATGGATGTCATTCGCGAGTGTGCTGAAGCTTGGGAGAGACTCATCACCGGCAAGACACAGCCTGGGGGTATTTCAACGACCAACTTGGCCGTTGCCCACTCTCCGAGCCGTGTTAGCCCCGAGCAACTACCTCCTCTACCAGCCCACGAGGAAGTAGCCCCCGAGAAGATTGATAGCTCAATCGACAAGTGGTTCTTCATCAGTGGAGCCGCTTCGTAAACTGCTTCGCAAACTGCTTTAGGTTCAGGCTCAGGCTCGGGCTCGGGCTCGGTAGAGAAAAGTTTGGCGAATCTATAGTGTAGAATTCAAAAGCCTTGTTTGAACAGCACAGCACGTATGGTGCAATCGTACAATGCAAAGCCGTTTGTTGCGTGTGTTGGCCTAGTACGAACAGCATGGCATGGCATGGTTTTGTGAAACGGGGATAGCAAATATGGCCCTGCTATATTCGCGGCGTAGATGTGTTTGCGAATGCGCGAATGCACGACTAAAGAGGGGCGTGATGGTGCTGCTGCTGCTGCTGCTGCTACTGCTACTACTGCTACTACTACTACTGCTGCTGCTTGAACCCGCTGAGGAAAGTGCCATGTATATAGCTCGAGTAAGACCAAGGAATAATAGTCATAAAACTAAACGGATTGTTATGCAAGTAGTGTGCAAGTAGTGTGCTCAGCCATCTGCTAGATCGGCTTGCTTCTGTAACGTTCGCGAATGTCTATCCAACTCTTCGATGATACCCTTGATACCCAGTGTTTCGCCGTCTAGATGCATCTCCTTCCCATCCTCTTAGCATATGCAGTTAGTATAATACAGAAGCAGAGGGCGAGGATGAGGACGAAGACTAGACGCACTAAACTTGACGTGGAGAGTGGCTGGTTCGGTGGAATTGCGCGGTAAGAGAGTGGTGTTGACTAGCATGCCATTTTGTCTTACGTAGGGAGGTAGGTTGTTGAGGAGTAGCCTCGTGGCTCGGGAGCGAATAGAGAAAGGGTTGAACTTGGTGTTCACTTCGGTGATGAATCGGGTTATCATGGTGTATTGATTGTCTGTTTGTTGTGATTGTTAATTATTATAGTTGGATTACATTGTTCGGATGCAATCAAGTAATACATACGTACGAATTAGTTGCGCAGAGGTGATGTGGGAATATTGAAGTTGAAATGGTGGTGGTGTATGACGGCGGGGAGAGAGATGTAGTATGTATGTAGTTATGTATGTAGAGATGCTTCCGAAGTTTTTCTTGCATGTACATACCACACATGCATAGGTACATAGTTATGTAGGTACTTTGTAGGCTAGTACTTCAAGGTTTGAAGTACCTACACGTGTAGTAGTACAGATGTGGCTAGGGAGTGGAGACTTGGCAGTGCATATTCGATTCAATATAAGTGGCCAATGCGCAACGGTTTTAATGTTTTAATCAACACATATCCATTCATGATGCACATGTAACTCTTTTATTAGCACCTGCAACGTCACTAACAACTTATAGCTAATTACTTACCTACAATGTCCTACATACCTGAGATACATACCTGAGATAGCATACATATTACATATCTAGTGCCATGTCACTCGAAATAGCTTCGGCTTAACATCAACAAGATATGTCTCCGGACACTTTGGAAAACCGATTTGCTGATCTACAAGGCCGTCTCGCCGCTTTGCAAGATGTGACGAATCAGCTTAAGGAGCTCATCGACCGTTTGGCCAATTTTAATTTCCAGCCCGGTTCCATCCCCCTAGCCGCAAACGAAGACGATAACATCAGCTCCGAACTTAGCTCTGAAATCAACCAGATACTACGAGATCAGGAGGAGGAACTTGAACTATTGCTAGAGGAAATAATAGATATTCGTCCAGCCAAATCAGGTCGCGACTTGCAACATGACAAGGACAGGCTTAAAGATGGCGCAACACGTCTCGGACAAGAAGTACAGAGGTATGCAACTTCTACACCACCGCATCTCATCATCTCATCATCTCATCATCTCATCATCTCATCATCTAACCCGTATGTTTTAACCTACAGTTGTCGAAAGGCCTTTAGGAGAGCCCAGATCGAAGCGAAGCGCAACATACAATTAGCCCAGCGACAAGAACGAGAACTCCTCTATGCCTCCTTCTCGAATGCCCGATCCGGTGCATCTTCTCCTGCACTCCCCGACGCTGCTGCATCGCTGCCGAGCCGACGCAAACTACCCCGGGCTCGCCCCGAGATGACAAAGGAAGAGCAGATGGTCAGCGCAAGCAATGACGTGACAGAGTCGATGAGAAGGACCCACGATCTAATGGCGGCCGAGCTATCCAAGAGTGATTTTGCACATAACACACTCAAAGAATCCACCGCGTCATTATCGCAACTATCCGAAAACTACTCAAGTCTAGACGTTATGCTGTCTAGCTCTCGGGCCCTCCTGGGGACCTTATTGAAGAGCCAGAAAACCGATACCTGGTATCTCCAATCAGCCTTCTACATTCTAATCGTCACCATTGCATGGCTGGTATTCAGACGCCTCCTATGGGGCCCCACCTGGTGGTTGGTCTGGCTCCCTCTCAAGCTCATCTTTCGGACCACAGTTGGTGTGTCCAATACGATTATCCAGCGCGGCTCGCAACCAGTCGGTTCTGGGTTTAACCCAACAACTCTACACTCTGCAGCAACTCTAGTCCAAATGAACAACGAGGGTGTAGAAACAGTCCAGGTCAGGCATGAATTAGAAAGGTCACAAGATCCAACAGAGTCTATTATGGATGAAATCGGCAAGATTATCAATGAGTCGGAGCCGGTGGACGAACCCCCCAAAGTAGATGACATACAGGCGGACCAAAAGGATGAAACTGTTCTAAGAGAGCGCAATTATGATGAACCTCCTAATCCAAAGAAAAGGATGATGGAAGAGGACGGTGGCGTCGAGCAAGGGGAAAAGGATGAAAGGCTCAAGGATGAGCTGTAAAGTCCAAATAAGACGTATTATTATGCTTCTTCTCCGTCCTTTATTGTGTCCACTCCAAAATAGTGACAAGTGTAGTGTTCTGTCTGTTTCGATAGATATTAACTTGACCCCTTAAACTTCCCATCTAGCTAGATCGTCCCTTTCAACTTTCCCCCGCGGATTTTCTCGTGTAAGTAGCGGGTTTCTTTGTTCCTTGACGGGAACTTGCTCGGGCGCCCCTCTCCCTTACCCCCCCTCCTCCTCCTTTTCTCTCCTAGTAAAGGGGCATTCTAAGTTGAGGAACGAACGACATGACACAATGAAGAAAGGGGGAGAAGGAATAAGGCGAAGTCACTTGTTCGGGCCCACGTAGGTTCTCTCATATTATTATTACAAGGGATAGATACATTACATCGGTAAATACACAATCATTTTCTTTTCAACATTTCTCTCTTTCTTTCTTCGTCACCAGCTTGGAGCTTTCTCGTTTACTTCTTGACTCAGGCCCCCTCCCCAAGTTCGAATTTATATAATACCTAGGCATTTATATTTCGGTCCATAGTATTTTGTTTTTTATTTTAAAAGCTATCCTCTTCTTTCGTCAATCAATCTTCAACAAAATGGGGCAGGGAATAGGGAGGGTATCATCGTTATCATCATGATCACCTTTAATCACATACACCACGCACAGAAGAAACCCCTCCGTCAAACCCCAGTCAGTCAAGTCAAGTCAAGTAAACAAAACAGTACAGGAAGTTATCAAATTTTCTATTGTTCAATGAATAGAGCATTATATTCATGTTATGTTTGTTTATTTGCTATTGCTGTTGCTGTTGTTGCTTGCTTACAGCTGCATAAAGTAACCTCGACGCCCCAACCAAAGCCCCTATTCCCATTCCCAAAGATGCGGCTTATGATAGCATCACCACGGTTGATGGGGAAAAAAAACCATAAAAAAAGGAAGGAGCATGAAAAGGATGGCTAGGTGGGAGGGAGGAGGCAAAAGGGAAAGCAGAAAAAACGAGAGTCAAGAAACAAAATTTTAAAATACATAAAAAGTAGGTACCTAGGGTCTGTCTAATGTCCTCCCTTTTCTCATTGCCTTTGCCTAACCTCCCCCCCCTTCTCTCTCTCTCTCCCCCTCCTAGCATCCTTCCATTCTCTCTTCCGAAAACTCCGTAAGCACTTTGAAAACTCAACGTTATTGTTATTCAGCCCGACTAAACTTAGGTAATAATTGGATCCGTGGATGGGGGTATTACTTGTTCCCATCCAAGTTTCTAACGCACACGCACTTACTTCCTCTCACTTTCTTCGTCTACGATCCTCCGTACTCCGTTCTCATTTAACCCCCCGGGCTATCCGTGGTTCCCAGAATCCCGTCGATATCATCGAGGTTGAACTCACCGCCCGCCGCGATCGTTTCCCAGTCGCTGTCCAGCTTCGTCATGACCGGATCGTCGTGCCACGAGGGCTCTACGTCGACCCCGCCGCCTTCGCTGGAGACCTGTTGGAACGCTTGCTCGAACTGCTGCTGCGATTGCGATTGCGCGTGGCTGTTACTGTCGCCGGCCCCACTGCCGTGCCCGTTCAGTGATGGCATCTGGTCCAGCGAGTACGATCCTAGGCCCCCATCGTTTTGATCCAGCCCTTGCAGAATCCCCAGCGTGTCAAACTGGTTGGCTCCCGGCGGAGGCCCCATGAGCGAAGGGTCTATAGGGTGAGGCTGGGGGTGGTGGTTGGAATGGTGTTCGAGGACGCGTGAATGTGGCATGGCAACTTGCGGCTGCTGGGGTTGAGGCGTCGGGTAGGGAGACCCTATCAGGTCGCCGTAGTGGTCAACGGGTGAGCTGTGGTACGAGCCTCCCGGTGAGTTCGTCCTGCCCACATACATGTTATCGACGTACTGCTGCTGACTCTGCTGCATGGGTGCCCCATACATATGGGCTGGCGGGTACGATCTGTAATCGTTCGTCTGCTGATAGTACTGATTTTGTCCCAGGCTCGTGCCATACTCGGCAGGCCGGGGTTTTCCAGGGTTGGGGTAGTGATAGGATGACTGATTAGGTGGCGGATAGCCGAGCCGAGGGTTATGCATCATCGGCGATTGATGATGGCGGTGATGCGACGGTGGCGGCGGCGGAGGTTGCGGTGGGTACTGCGCGTATGCCGAACGCATCCCCGGTGGCCGGTATTCGGCATCCGGGTGGTCGTAAAGAGGTCTAGCGGTCCTGTTCCCGTTCCTCGATGGTGGTACACTAATATCCCAATCATAACCCTCCAAGTCCGAACCGTCTTCTTCCGAGTTGGGGCCTGCCCCCCTTCCGGCAGGGGGAACTTTCTTGTTCTTGGCCTTGGCGGGAGCGAACTTGTAATCGGGGAAAGCAAGTTTGTGGTTTGCTCGTTCGATTTTGGCCCAGGTGTCGTATTGATCTCGCAACTCCTGGCCCTCCATGTTCCAGCTGGTGCCGCAGAGTTGAGAGATAATCTGGTGGTTATCGTACTTCTTCCACTCCTTGGTACGGTTTTGGTAGGCTTTTCGGTACAGCATGAAAGCGTTCATCGGACGCTTCACCTTGCCCTCCTTGGAGTTTTGTACTTCGGCCTGCCGTTCCGCGGGGGAGCGGTTAACGTATTCTTCGATATTAGTGTCTTTCACCGTCGTGATATCCTTGACCAGCACGCTAAGCGGCGCTTCCAACACCACCGCTGGTTCGTCTCCTAATCCCTTTCCTCTCCGCTTCTTGTTCTTTCTGGCGCCTGCGCCTGATCTACTTGGTTTCGGTGATGATTTCTCTATGCGTGAGGCTTGAGGGCCCAGCACGGATGCGTCACCATGCGCTCGGGCTAATGATCGTCCACTTCGTGTCATGATGCCGTCTGTCTGTACTGGTGTAGGTGGTGAAGTTGCTGGAGTACTATATGCATTGTGCGGTGTCTTCATTTAAATAGAGAACATAGCCGTTAGTAAAAGAATCGTGCCTGTCTCTCTTTGGAGAGGAGAACAATAGAAGACAAAGGACAGAAAGAAAAAATCAAGCCGATTGTTTATCCACTCAATCGCTTCCTTTATGCTAATTCTAATAATAAACATACCAGTGACGAGCCTGTATCGGGCAGTTGCGGGTACGGGCTGGGTTCCATGTGGTAACCATGCTGTTGATATGCGCTACCATACGTAGAAGCAGGAGGAGGGCCCGTGGCGTAGGGTGACCCATGGTCGTAAATGGGCATATTCATATGTTGCTGTGGTGGCGCTGGGCTGGAATAGCGAGAGTGTGGATTAGAACTTATCTGGCTATGCACGTCGGCTGGTGCGGTCGACGCGTTGTGCTGGATGAGCTGCTGAAATTGACTGTGGAGGACATCGTCGGCACTGGGGGGGAGATGGTCGCTTTGGGGGGGCGTTGGGGATGGTGAGTCGGCCTTCTCCATCTCATCGGTTCTATCTGATAAGGGCGGAAGGTTGGAATTGATCTCTACGTGGAAAGAGAACAGTTGCGATGGTTGTCGTGGGAGTAGTAGCGATGGTAGCACGAATAGAAAGAGGTCAATAGCAGTAGATACGGAGAATGGGGATAATCTTGATAGCTTTAAATATCAATGCTTAAAGAAGCGTTCCGATCCGTATTAGAGAGACGATGCTGCCGCTCTGCTTTTCCTTTTCCCTTTTGATAAGTAACAATCCACCGCAGTCCTATCAATCGTAGTCAAGTCAACTCGTTAACAGGTAACGTCACCAAAGCGATTATTCTTTCCCGAGACCAAGATATGTACCAATCCGGACCATGTGGTAGTAGTATCGTGGTCAATGATATTTTCGAAGATGAGCGAGTAAGTAGTAAGAGATATGGGATGGAATATAGGCACACACAAATGCGGCTACAGTGTGCGTATGTTTCTCTATTCGCGTGTGCAGTATCTGCCGGTGGTGATATGACGCGGGCTCAAAAGTTCGTCTCTGACTTGTCTATCAGGGCTTGTCTCTGACGATGACTAGTCTGTAGTTTCGCCGTGGCCTGTACGTGGAATTACGGCCGCGAGTAGGATGAAATGATATGGGAGAGATCGAGAGAGAGAGACAAGGGCATAAAAAGGAGGCAGGAGAGGAGGATGTGATACAAAACAAGAATCAGTATCTCAGTGATTCAGAGCTTCTGGAAAAGTATCGAAAAAGTATCTGTCAATTGGGAACTGGCAACTGGCCAGGGGGTACGGCTTTTTTGAAGTGTTGACAGAATTCGAAAAAATACCAGGGTTTTCATCTGGAGTTTCTTTTTCTAAAAAAAAAAATCTGTGAGTGAGTGAGTGAGTGAGTTAATTCTCTAATTTCAGACGCTTGCCTTGCCCTCCAATGGCTAGCTGGAAAGACGTCTATCCCTCTCCATCTCTCTCTCTCTCTCTCTGCGGCTAGGGAAGCAATGTGCTCGGCTAAGCAGTATCAGCCAGCTAGATAGCTAGCTGCCAGCGCAGCTCATAGCCACAGGCAGAGAGATCTGTCAGAAACTGGGGTTTGTCTTTGACAGAAGTGCTGCATGCATGAGAAAGATGAGATGCAGCGGCATTCAGTCATGTGAGCGGCAAGGCAAGAGAGAAAAAGGAAATATGGAAAATCAAGGCGCACGAACCTATCGTGAAAGGGCCGCCTATGGTGGAATATTGACTGCCTGCACCGCTTTTGTGTTGGCGATGCCTTGTATGATACGGTTGCTCTTTTCTTCCTCTGCGTATATGCGCATATGTAGCATGCGTTACGTGCGTGGTTTCTCACCGTGACAGCTGGTTAGGCCTAGAATATCAGTACCAGGAGCCGAACCAGAGTCTTGGGATATGAGAGGCGTGCGTGGGATCCTGTTCTAGGGGGGGTGAAGTATCTAAGTGATTGATGAGCTCACACCCCTTTCTTAGTGGTTGATGCAGCCTCCCTGACTTACAGTTCGCACGAGCTTCCTTTACTTTTCTTTGTTCTTTCCTTTTTCACTAAAGGAACTCAAGCCACCCATGGGCTATAGCAGCAACAGGAAGCAAGATCGGTGCAGGGTTGACGATCGATATGACCAACTATTCTTCTCCCTTTCTCATCCCTTTAAGATCCGTTGCTGGTCTTCTAAGTTGATACACCGATAGAGTGCGCCCAAGTCTGGTGGATGCTTGTTAGGTACGCCAAGTTATTGAATACCGTTGGTAAGGCTGTATTGTCATCCTCCACTGTCCCTGGTATACCGTATAGTGTGGCTAGAAAACGCATAGGTTGATGGATAGGCGAAAGGGAGCAGGCAAGATCGTGGCCTACTACTACTGGATGCGGCCTTTGTCAATCGTACAAGGGCGGCAAGAGAGAACAGTATCAGCAACAAAAAAAGGAAATCTTCTAGCTTTCTGTGAGAAAGAAGTACTATTGGAACCATAGTTATTTGTATGGTGGCTTTCTTTTTAGAATGCGGCCGCTGGGTTATGCATTACCGCTTTCGGAAAGTAGAGAGGAAAACGCGAGGCACTCGATACGGTGTCCCAACCTAGGAAAGTCGCTCTAGGTCACTTACGGAATTATTCCTAGCCGGGTTCGGGGACGATAGAGCAATATAGCAATAGAGCAATAGAGAGCGAGAGCGAGAAGACCAGTGACACCAGTGACCATATCTTATGTGCTGGGCACGGAGCATTCCGACCCAGGTGGAGAGAATGGGGGAAGCAAGCTGCTGGCACTGTTGCTGTTATGCTATGCTTTGCTGTTATGCTTTGCTATGCTCCCGAAGTAGGTATACATACCGCCGTATACCTGAGAACACTCTTGCCTGTCGACCCTTAATCAACCATCGCCCACTAGGGTAAGACATTCGCAGGGAATGAAGAAATTGTCCCCACATCACGCCGATGCTTTTAGATCTAAGCAGGCTGCAGATGATATGGAGAACATCGCATAAGAGATGCAGAACGAGGGATCGGGGAGCAGTATTGGCTTGGTTCCCGGCTGGCCCGACTCTTTGCCACAAGTACTAATATACTTTGAGTTAGAACTCTTCTCGAATTGCTCACTATTACTTCTCCCTTGGGTCGGCTTGATTCGGTATTCGAAAGTTCCGTCATCACGGTTTTTTTTCAACCTTTTAGAGCGTTGCCTGTAATTGCTGTTGGCCAGTGGAAGGCATTGGAATGCTGGTTCCTGAGTATGTCCCGAAAACGTGCTTCCCGCACCCAAATTCTCCAGTGGCGTGCACAGATCAAGCCTTTGACATTCCTTTGATGGCCTGCCGAGATAATTATCCAAATGCAGACATCTAGACGTGTACCTCTCTCGCCCCTTGCCTACCTCCTCTCCCGCAACGGCATTGCGGCTCAGCTGCAGTCCGACCCTTCAACCCTAATGCGTTTCTGCTAGTTATGGGCTGATTCGAGGGACATATCTAGCAACATCAGATGAGAAAAATTGCCTCCGCATTCTCTATGTAGCAAGCTCGTGTCGCTGTATTGCCAAGGCTAGATCGCTAGTTCCATCTATGCCTTTTCAGAGGTGGGCCATTTTCTCGATAATAGTTGCTCATCAGCCTCGTCGAACTGTATATGATATGTCGATTACAGTGCCCATTAACCGCCGATACTATACGTGCCAGTGAAGATACATGATCAGCTGAGTGTACCTGAGTATTTGTTTGCGGTTGTATCCCTGTAAGGACGGCGGGTGGTTGCATTAGCTTCGCTGGCTGTTTGAACGTCAGTCGTATAGGAGGCCAAGGGGAAATGTCCAGTTAGTACACAATCTTTTTTGGGGGTTTTTGAACACGCAGGTAGGCAAGCCTTCAAATTGATCATGGGTCCTGGTCCCAGAAAAAGGCAAGTAAAGAAACATATAAGGTATACTAAAGACTTTAGGGAACCCCATTTTCATCGTCTCCCCTCTTATGAAGACGGACGCTCGGTAGATGTGATATAGCGGAGGAAGGCCGATGTGCAGCATTTCATACATGTCGGTGTCTATATAATAGCTATTTCGCTGAAAGACCGGTTTGTGTTCTCGTCTTTTCTTTCGCCTTTTTAGACTCGGAGCTCGTCTTTGAGGCCATCACGTAGGAACATAATGGCACTTTTCTTTTTACTTTTCTTGCAATCCACTGTCTTGCTTACGCTTAAGTCGGAAAGGCGTAGAGCTTTTAACAATGAAACTTGCCAAAATCATTCAGTTGTTGTACCCTGACGCTTGCTTGTAGTTTATAGGAAGCTTTGCTCAAGATCAGAAATGTTAATATCAAGGGATTATATCTGCCCTGCTTTTTCTCCCTCCTTCCCGCCCTTTTTTTTAAAAAAAAAAAAGAAAAAAAAAGAAAACTTTACTATTCGCTCGTCTGCCTGCTTTCTTGACCGATAGGTAGCATCAAGCAGTGTAGAAGCAGAAGAACACTGCGATATCCGGACGTTGCTGATGGTGTATCCACTCACACTAATATGCGCCTATCCTGTTTCAACGCTCTGGCCAACAGTTCGTGCGAACGGTCGGGACTTGTGTGACAGCTCAACTTCGACAGCATTGTGGTTCACCCAATGGTAGTTGTCCTGGATTCTGGGCTTGACTAGGATGCTGTCCCCTATCCATGACATATCTAGACTAGCTAGTGGGTTCCAGACGGCGGAATGTGTTCTGGTTAGAGACATCTGCACCCGCTCCAGCTGCGAACTCCTGTGCGTCTCTGTATGCCGCCTGTCACCTGCCGACGAGAAAACGTGGAGTCGGTGTGCTTGTATACCACTGAACGAACTTTGATCTATACACTGGGAAATAACATGATCGGAGATGTTTAGACGATCTTGTGTTAAGTTGTAGTTGCTGATTAACTCAAGTTGTTGGTGATTATGTACAGCAAGCATTAGTTATTGAGGAGAGAGAAAGACGGAGACAAGAGACCAAACTGATAAAATAATAAAATGACAGTAGCACCAACCTTAAATTACCTACCCTAGGTACGTGTACCTAGGTAGGTACCACTTACCTTAAGTAGGTCAGATACTAGGTACTGACTGGTATCTATTGCAGAATTATTATTACATACATTACATACTACTAACCTAGGTAGGTGGGTAGGTATGCACGTATGTAGTAGGCACTTACCTAGGTACATATGCAGGCATTCAGTATTATGTAGGCGCTGAGTAGGTACATATAAATATACCTATCAGCCTCACCGCAACATCGCAACATCTTCATCATCGTCACTATCATCACCCTCTCCGACTTATTCGTCACCAACGCATATAATTGCGCCTATTATACTGTACTGTCCCTTCTAATCTACATGAAGTCCACCTGTCTAATGCGCCGTGAAATGCATCATGTGTCGTCGCAATTATCTAGCATCCATGACGGAAACCTACGCCCCCCTATCTATTTATTCCGGCTTCGTCACCGCTCTTGCCCCGTTTACTCCCGAAGGCCGTCCGGGCCAAAGGGCTAGGATCATGCCAAGAATATGACTGATCGCCTGCAAACCATGCGAAAAAGGGGTCTCTTCTCAATTGCTCATAGTCATGTTGTGGCATGCTGTGGCAACAAATTGCTCCAATAGGTTACAGCTTATCCGTCCCCAGCGACACTGCCTGAGTGCGGTGATGCTGGCCGCGTATTGTCAAATGACTTGACTGGTGGTGTTAGAATTTGCTGCGAGGGCGAAGGCGATAAAGCTCTCACTGGGGGAAGAATCGCTGGTGTTGGTGTTGATGTTATTGCGCTACCTGGATGTTGGTTTGGTGGCGGCGAACGTTTCAGTGGCGAAATCCCATTCTGAGTGGGTGGTAGACTAGGTGTCGTGTCAAGCCTTGCCCCTGCCTGGTTAAACCGGTTAAGTTGGGGAGTAGCAAGCAATGCGTGTTGGACATTGACATCGCTACTTTGGGGGCGTGTTAGAGTTGACAGCGACACAGCTGGAGGTGAAAGGACTGGCAAGCTGTTGCTTGCGGCATCCAGAGGTTGTTTCAAAGGCGAATCAGACCTAGCAGCGACAGGGGGCACGTAGGCCTCGGCATGAGGAGGTAGACTGCTCGACGGTGGTGCTGCCGCACCATTGGCCTTTGGCGAGATGTGAAACATGCCTTTCCGCGGTGCCTTATGTTCTCCCGGTTGGTTTCCGGAAACTGGTGAAGATGGATTGAATAAGGTCGAATAGGCCCTGGCTTTATTGGGTGACTGCTCTGGGGGTGATAAGTTGGGATGTGGCGAAGAGAAGGGATTGGCCCCGTCACTAATGGCGAATGGTGAAGATGGTTGAGGCATGCTCGGCTGGCCTGCTTGCTTGATAGGAATGACGGGTTGAGCAGTGGGCTGAATTTGTAAGACAGCTTTTGAACTTGGCTGCTGAAGCGACTCTGATCTATTGGCTGGGTGTGGGAGCTGGGTATTGTAACTAGACTTTGTAGGCATCTCAACCATTATGCTGGAGTGTTGTGGTTGTCGGGGTTGCTCTAGAGCAGAGGAGTTGTCCGACTTTGTGCTAGGAAGTAACGACGAGCCATCAGGTTGGTTGACCTTAAGTTTGATGGTAGTCGACTTGGGTGTTCCTGGGCCTGAACTCTTCTGGCGACAGCTCTTGCAGATGAAGTGGAAATCATCACGATCAGCTTCCTCTTCGCTAATGCCGACGCACTTACTATGTTGCCAGACATTGCATTTCTCACAAGAGACACTGTGTGTGCCGTCATCGATCTGGCCATAAACACCGCAAATGCAGTCGAAAATCCAGTCATCCTCTTCATCTTCAAGTTCCTGTAGCGCTTGCCTGTTCTTCTCGATTTCTGCCTGTAGCCGTCTTTCAGAAAGTCGACCATTGGCAGAACTTAAGTTCTTGCTATCTTCAGATAGTTGCGCCAATTCCTCTTCATGCTGAAGCCGCCGGACCTCTCGTTCTCTAAGTCGTTGCGCCCGAGATACCATGCGACGGTCACGCTCTTTCTCCATCTTTAGTCGTTTTTGTTCTTGCTTTCGAGCTGCGACCTCGTCTGCGCGACGCTTTTGTTCTTCCTCTTTCGCTTGCTGCTCTAGGCGCTGTTGCTCAGCTTTATTGGCAAGGCGACTGGATCGTTTGGCGTGAGCCATCTTTTCAAGGTTCAGCAATTCCTTTTCCCTCTGTAAGGCTTTCCGCTTCCGAGACTCCTCTTGCTTCTCAAAAATGGGTAGAAGATGATTCTCAATAGTGCTTCTCAGGACCTTCTCGTTCTCATCCCGCGTCTTCCGAATAGTACTGAGAAAGTCCTGTACTTCAACAAGGTTTGATGCGACACACTCCCATTTTGCACCTCCAAGACCATCATCCTCTGGTTCGGCAGGTTGATCGGCGTCTGAGTCATCGTCAACATCCTCGCCATCCTGTGCGGTAGATCTTGATACACGACGTCGTTTAGCAGCTCTTGCGGCCGCCTTGGCCTTTTTAGTATTCTTCTTTGGTTTCCACGCCGAAGGGGCCTGTGAAGCTTCAGTCATCCGATACATGCGGTTATCATCTAAGATGTAATAGGTGCGGTCATCACTATCCCAGCCCGCGGGCTCAATTCTCTATTATATTGTTAGATTTTGCTTGCTGGCTAGTTTGAATAGAATCCGTACCCATTCGGTTTGGTCGCTAGGCTTCTGCTCATCCATTTTCTCCCTAATTCTTTCGGGATGTAGCATGACCCACTGTGTGAGTTGATGTAGAATTTTGATCTGTAAAATCAATTAGTTTAGTATAATACCCCGGAGGCATTACGTGACAAGACGGACCTTGGTAAAAGCATCAAAGTCATCAAACTTGGCAGGCGTCTCGTCTGTACCGAATGGGTTTCGATCAGGCGCCTTGGCAACGTACTGTCGGCGGGTGTACTCGTCAAATAATTCTGACCTAGGGGGAGGTTAGTAATAGTCCAGTACTAGGAGACACACTTTCTCAAATGACATACGTCAAGCCACGATGCGACGATACGAATTTGAGTAGGGCAAGGCCAATGTCGGCTAGAACCGTTGAATGGGGTTTCATGAATTCGGCTTCTAGGTCCTGCAGAAATAATGAGAAGTCAGCGCTCCCAGCCAGTTCCAACATCATTGTAGTAATTCCAGAGGAGTTCCGGTTGATCATGGATCATGAACACGTACATCTATGTCAAAGTTATCATCGATCTTCACGACCTTGCCAAATAAGTAGATCCACTGGAAAATATTCGCGAATTGCCAGGTATTTCTGATACGATGAAGCAAAGAGGGCGGGTGGTTCTGCTTGGGAGGTTCTGGCATGTCGGCCTCGGGTTCGGCCTCGGGCTCAGTGTCGCGCAAGGCGCGCTTTCTTAACGATACCATTGTGACGAATATCAGATGTGTTTGATATTTTAATTAATGTTTTTGCGACTCGGGCTCGTATACTCTATGAGGATTTTCGCAAATGTGTTGTAAAGGTAAGGAGTATGTTGGATATGGGTGGTCGGAGTAGAGGGATGATGTGTAGTTGGGATTAGGTGCGTATATCGGTTTGGCTGGTAGGGAACGACGAAGGAAGGATATAAGATAAGATTAATGTTTATGAGGTAAAAAGAGATAGATTAAATGTACCATGTACTAGGTAAGTACTAAGTGGGCAAAAGCTGAAAGAGAACTATCATCATTGATGTCGATGGCACAAAAAGTAGTGGAAAGGATGATAAGTTAGAAGTAGATTGGCATCAGTTAGTTCCAGAGTTAGCAACTGGAAAGACGTATTATTAGGCAGGCTGTGTCAACCATTCGGAAGGGTGTCCAGCTACTGGTTGCATTCAGTAATTTAGCAAGAGACGTAAAGCTATGTAGAGATGTGAATGTGGCTTTCAAGCTTCGTACGTATTAAAGTATTGGAGGATTAAAAATCATAAACCATAAAAGCATGGGGCGCGATTTCGGGTTTGCATTTTTGACGTTTGGACTTTTTTTTAACGCGACGCAACTTCTTCGTCAAATGGCATGTGGATTCCACTTTAATACATTCTAACGCGCTTACGCGCCGTAACCCACCTGAAAGAGGGGACCCTTACCAGTGTCTACATAATATACCTGGTATATGCATATACACGATAGTTATATATTATATATAGATGAGCGAATGAGGCTGGTGTGGCCGTGGTCGTGGCACCTACTGTATATATAGCCTATACACCAGAATGGAGAGGATAGGGAGTCGAAGAGAAGTGGATGGCTCATAGGCTCATAGGCTCATAGGCTGGCAGGTGGGTAGGTGGGTAGGTAGGTACTCGAGCTTCAATAGTAAATAAAAATCAAAGTTCGTTCTTTTACGCAAGGCAATCCTCATCAATCCAATTCCATTAAGTGTTTCTCTCCTTCCGTCAGGTTCTGGAAAGACGCCTAACCTGAACGACTGTTTCGCGGTAAATAAACATGGTCTCGGATAGACTATACAACACCTACACCTCTTTTTAAACGCTCTGCTAACTAAAGTATATCTGATCAAGATGCCTGGGACTCAAGAACAGTCATCTCCATTCCATTATCATTATCACATCTTAGCTCTAACAGCCGCATTGCTTTATGTGTTTTGTCCATCCTGCCTACATCCGTGTATATAGGAGAAGAAGTACTGCTTGAATGGCGAGCAAATTCATCATCATTGATATCGCGTATCTTGATTTATGCATAGCAATGTAGTAAATCTGTTGAAGTTGACTTCGTGAGTGAGTGGCCGCAGTCTGCCTTCCCCAAACCCCGTCTATGCGCAGCCCTAGGATGGATTCTTCACATATGCAAGGTTGCCATCCCATATACTCCAGTCAAAATCGTACCAGAAAACACGACGCTATCCCTCTAAATTCAAGGTGATTTTCTCTCAAATTCGTTCGTCCAAAACGCCGGCGGTTCCTGAACTTTCCCCGCGTGATGGATCTTCCCCCTTCCTCAGTCGCATGCCCAACTCGATATCGTCTATGCGTTGTCCAGCGTGTCCTTCTGCTTCATCGCCGGGCCTAACCCAATGTTTATTGTCCGACGCATAACTCCAAGACCCTAGACCAGCCCAGAACGACTTGTCGTGGCTGCGAGGACCCCAAGCCCATCCAGCGCCAGATCGGATCGGCATATGATAATACCGGAAAGCGAACCACGCTGTAATGGTGCCTATTATGAACCCAAAAAGAATATCGAATCCGTGATGTCTAAAGTCAAACCAACGCGAACTGGCGACAAATATGGCAGTGAAAAATGGGAGAACGGTTATGACGAGGAGGTAAAGAGGCGGCGCGGCCGCTTGTCTGCGGATGGAAATGATGGCCGAGTTATGTAGCCCAATCTGTCTGACAGTCGCTGGGTCAGAGAAAGACCCTGACCCATCTGTGTGCTCGCGTCGCACTGCTTCGTAGGATGTGTCGGTAGTACGGTTTCGCAGCCGTGACGGGAAGGCAGTAACTGCGCCCGTGTCGCTTGATGCCGCGTCATGTGGTACGAACGGGATCGTGATGGCAAACTTGCTAGCCAAGAAGAATGAGAGGTAAATCAATCCTGCGGCGGCAGAACTTGCATGTCCCGAAGGGTAACTGCGAAACCCATCGTCGAGAAAGTGTCGGTCTGGATTTTTGCAGATATTCGCACTAACTAATTGACCATTATATATGCCATTCAAGGAACCGTCATCGGCTGGGGTATGGAAGCCGACGATATAGTCGGCCACATTGAGGATGTCGGGCTGACATCTATCTAAGAGATCCGGCCGCGGTTTTCCAAAAAGATTCTTCATGCCCTGGGTGATGATCCAAGCCGAGATCAGAGATAAGGCCAAACCCAGCCACCCCGTATGTAACTCCCATAGCTTCCGCTTCCAGATTAGAGACTTGGGGGTGCCCTTCGGTACAGTTGGTCCGGGGACGAAGATTAAAACGACGATTAAGATAACTGCGATCGGAATGACAGCATTGCAAATCAATAATAGAGCCGAGTTTACGGTTTCGTGAACGGTAACTGGAAAACTAATTGACAGTCAGGCTTGAGAAATTGATCGACGACAAGAAAAGGGGTGGAGATGGCAATCATGGCAATCATGGTAGTCATGGTGGTCATGGTGGTCGTGGTACGTACGATATATTGGGGTCTTGTAAACTAAAGGGTCTTTTATTGGGTGTGACATTGCCTAATATGACACCAACGACGCCGACAACGACAAGTATTATCCAGTCGAAAACATAGGAACCGATGACGAGGGCGCTGAACTTGGATTTGCGTACCGGTAGACTCGGGGAACGATGGTCGGGCATTTTGCTGTAAGGATGAGCAAGTAGAGGGGAAATGGAGTTTAAAGCTGGGATGTGACGGTCGTCCTCGGGCATATTTGAACCAAAGCTTTATCGTGTAGCCTTATAGGCTTTTACGTATTTCGGCATCAGATGGGACCAGAACTAAGGGGCGTGAGGTTATATGGGGGGAGGTCGAGAAGGGGTGAAGGAAAGGCGCGAAAAGAGTGCAAAGGTGTACAATAGCTAAAATAGTGCGCCAAAGGGATACGGGTCTTGGGTGATTCGTTCTTTTTCATTTACCACCAAAGTTGTATTGTATTGTATTGTATTGTACAGCCCATACAACATGCCCTAGGTAGTACAGTACCGACTAGTAGGTGTGATGAATCTGATGAATCTGCTGAATCTGATGATTAAAGAAAAGATTCCTCCAGGGCTCTTTGTCTTTTCAAATTCAACTAACCTTACAATGTTGTAAGAAGTGCAAGAACCAAGATTCCCGACGCAACCTGGCAACACCAAAACTCATGCGTCTCGCTGCTAATGAATGCCAATGTTAGATCATCCTGTGCCGCGCGCCCTGGAGAGTCCTTGGAGGTAGGGGGGTTTGAGACGAATAAGTTGATAAAACCCAATGAGGTGACAGGTTGCGTGGGTCTGGTGGCTTGGCTCAAGTTTTAATGGATGCATAGACGTCTATGCAGTGCTGGAGCCTGGAGGTGTTGCTAGGTAACTACACTACATATGTACTAGGTACCTAGTTAGTTACTGCTGATAGGAATCAATCATTGATTGCAATTGCTGCGGGCCACTAAAATCTGATCCATGGAGAGGCTATGCATCACTAAATTAGATTTTACTCACCTACTAGGTAGGTACCTAGTACATATGTAGTTACTATTTACCTAGTAGAGTTTCATACGTACATAGTACCTGTGCCGCTGTGCGATGCAAGTCACTGGTCACTGTTATTATGTCACAGATCACGAGCAATTGTGGCTGGTGGCCATTAACTAGTAACTACTATGGAGAACATACGTGGCTTGGATTTATAGGAGAACTTGCACAATGAACCACGAATTCTGCAGATCGACCGTGGAATCGGCGTGGATCATCTTTATCTTCCATCTATTCAGATCCTATGGAAATCTCATCCAGGTGTAAAAAAAACCTTATCGAAAAAGGAAGATGGCCATAGGCTATTAAATTAAGAAAAAAAAGGGGGTGATCGACTCAGTCAATCTATTCAGAGACATCGTTAATTATCTCGTTATCTCGGACTCCAGTCGATTTCAGATTCCAGCACCAACACCGCCACGCTTTAATAGTGCTTCTTACATAGTTAGTACTCAATTCGAAGCATTCGCGTTCCACCTAATTCGTAACAATCTAAATAATCTAGAAATAATCTAGCAATCCTAGTTTAAAGCTTTGGAAATCAACTTGCGAGTGAGTTCCCTGTTGTTGGGGGCGATCTTGCAGCTGTTGGCGCACACGAAAAAGATCATGAAGATGAAGAACTCTGCATATGCCTGTGCTACTGCGGCTCGGAGTACGACCCGGATGAGCCCGAGCTACGAGCTGTGCCTTATACATACGTACCTTGTAGACTAATTGGTAATGTCTTGTGCCTTACGAACTATGTGTAGCCTTCAATGGTCTTGAAGCAAAGTCCGGGTACGGTTACTCAATGTCCATACATCTAACCTAACCTAGTACCTACCTCTATAATAGGTACACACTTACCTAGTAGGTACTAGGAAAGCCATGGCTGGTCCAGCCTTCTCCAGTGTCTTGTAACTCGGAAAAGAAAAAGGCATGGTCATGCGCGCCATCTACCCAGGGAACGATCTATCTTACCCTTTGAGCTCAGTGCCTCGAACTATTCGGTTCCTGAAAGAAGAAAAAGTAAAAACCAGGGGAAAGGGGGGGAAGCTCCAGAAGGGAAAAGCATGTTGTCGATTGATTGACATCAGCTATATTCCAAGGCTGAGATGTTTTTGTAGACACCCGCAAATTTCCGTCCAAAGTGTTGCTATCGTCGCAATGGTGAGATAATCTCCAGACTTCATCAACTCAGCTCCGGTTCCCATTGCATTGTACTACCGTGATAGAACAGTCCGGTCTCGTATTCGACAACTGCAAGAACGGCTTGGCAAGCCAACAAATAATCCACCGCTGAGTCCAGCCTGGCTAGCTGTAGGAGATTCTTTCGCCTCATCTACCTGACCAAGCTTCCTTCGTACAACCGTGAGACCTGTTTTGTCTAGGATTGTTGGAGGATCTCCACACAATCGGGTCATAAAAATTTCAAGATCGATCTGACATCCTTATTTCACTTATTGCTTTCTTTTTCCTAAATGAAAACGTGGGGAGGAGAACATGGGCTTACGGGCTTGCGGGCTTGCTTCGTGCGATTTCATTGGCGAAGAATGCTTGCATCTAGCCCAACCCAGGTCATCGTGGCATCGTGGCTGCAGGTCATTTTTCGTCCCCTCCTCGCTCGTGCATGAGCCTCTATCGGAGCGGGCTGTCAGCTCTCCTGTCCTCTCCTGTCTAGCTGTAATTCCCGTAAATTTCTGCTGTCCTTGAGGTAAGCCGAGAGCCCCGTTCTATCCGAACCTGTACTGTAGTTGTGATACATATATCATGGGCATCCGGCTCCTTGCACTTGACTCTCCCCGTTCAACTGCCAGATCTGCCCGACTGTTCACTCGTTCCAAGGCGCATTCGTTCTAAGCCAAATTGTACATTCGCTTGAGATATCTTCCACCATGCGTTCGTGTATCCTAGTGTCTCAAGTTCTGGCGAGCCAGCTTACTGTAAGCTTCGCCTTGTCGCTGCCCCTGTGGCTTAGACCGCGCGTCGTCTCCCCTGACTTGACGTGTGGGAATGTGGGGGCAGGGACAGCGGGATATACCTGCCCTGACAGTCTTTGCTGCTCCCAGTACGGCTATTGCGGCAATACGACCAATTACTGCTCGGCCGGGTGCCAAAGTTCATTCGGCTCTTGTGGTGGATCCGGCGGCGATGGAGATGGAGGGTCCGGGGATGATGGTGATGGGGGATATTCCCCTGATCTGACATGCGGCACAACGGGGGCCGGAGAACACGGTTACATCTGTCCCACTGGCATGTGTTGCTCTCAATAGTTAGTACTCGGGAAACTCGACCCTCTTCGGAGAACCAAAAACTGATATCTGCATTTAGCGGCTATTGTGGCAACTCGACAGATTATTGTTCGACCGGGTGTCAATCCGCATTCGGATCATGTGGAACCAGCAGTGGAGGTAACCAAAGTCAGGATTCTAGCGATGGAAGATGCGGTCCCGACTACGACAATGAGGTGTGTAGCGCTACCGAGTGCTGCTCGGCTTCTGGGTAAGTTCCATCACCGGTTGTACAAGCTGTGTAGTCGTTGCTCATGTCTTGGTGTTACCAATAGTTACTGTGGTACTACCGAAGACCACTGCCGCGCCCCGGACTGTCTCTTTGATTATGGCCCGGCTTGTGATGCGAACAAGACTCCTGCAGGTAGTAGCACGTCGACGCTGGTACGGTCTTCTCTGGGCAATATAGCGGTCGGAGGCGCAGGGGTCTACGACTGCGAAAATGCGGGAGATGTTGCCTTGACTTTCGACGACGGTCCAGGTCAGTATACAAGCGAGCTTTTGGATCTATTGGCGAGATACAACGCCAAAGCCACCTTTTTCATCACCGGCATCAACAACGGCAAAGGGGAGATCGACAATACAAGTCTTGCGTGGCCTTCGATAATCCAGTAGGTTCCTTCTATATTGAATAACTGCGTTAGCCCCTGAGCTTACCCACTATCGTCAGACGCATGCATACCGAAAACCACCAGATTGCCTCGCACACATGGTCGCACGCCGACCTGAGCGCAGTCACTTCCGCGCGGCGGCAAGATGAGATAATCAAGAACGAGATGGCACTGCGCAACATCCTAGGCTTCATTCCGACGTACATGCGTCCTCCATATAGCTCGTGTACATCAGCCAGCGGATGCGAAAGCGACCTAGCTGCATTACGGTACCACGTCATCTACTTTGACCTGGACACAGCTGACTACCTCAACGACTCACCCACCCTTATCCAAAATTCCAAGAATAACTTTGACAATTATTTTGTGGGGACATCACCCGACGACGACGACGCGCTGGTTATCTCCCACGATATCCACGAGCAAACCGTACATAATCTGACCGAATATATGCTCCTAGGACTGCAGAGCCGCGGGTATAGGGCTGTCACAGTTGGTGAGTGCCTTGGCGACCCGGTTGCGAATTGGTATAGGCAGGTTGCGTAGACGGTATGTGCTTGAACATATTCCGCCGATACCAACGTCGATACCAATGTGCCGCGGGCTGGTACGATCACCTGGGTCACAGATGGGCCTTACCCAGGAATGCATTTTGGTAACATCAAGAGTGATACGAGACACCCTGGGCACAGGAAGCTTCGTGGTTATATAATGAGAAGCAGGATGTGGAATGAAGTCAAATGAATATAATTGATAATTCGTATATACATACTTCGAGTTAATAGTACATTACTGTCATTACATGTAGGTGCTTGCTACATATGTAGTAGTATGAGTATGTATCTAGGTAGTTAATAACCAACAGTTTTCCCTTTTCACCTTTTAAATTTAGAAAGTGATAACTAGTGAATTTTGCCTATTTCGTTGTAGATCCACGCACTGTTTTAGACACTACAATTATTACCTCAGGCATTTGGTTGGGATTGGATATAACTAGATAGGGATGGATAGACGTCGTACCCAATGAGTCACTGATTGATACCTACCAATGGCTACCATAGCAATAATGTCTCGTAATAATCATGTGACGAAGATGATCCTGGGAATATACTACGTAGTAGTTTTATATCCTTCTAGTGTAAATACCCGGGAAGCTAACCAACGAAATTAAGGGGTTGGACAACTTGGACTTAGTTAATCAAGCTCTGCTCACCTTCATTTTAAACAAGATTTCCACTGGAAGCTTGGGCCTACTTCGTATATCACATATTGTCATAATTAATGAAATGCTTCAGGGTTAGATTTGATTTTCATAACTGTACCCGAAATCTTCGAGATGTGGCGTATTCGAGAAAGCCAAGGGGAGTGGTGGTCGGGTGGCTGGATTGAGGCAATACAAGTGTAATTGGATACACCATGCTAATAACAATCATTACCTAGGTAGGTAGTAGACATCGAGAGTGTTGCTCTTGGGCTCAGTTTCATATAGTACAATTCGATATAAAAGTCTCGTTCTGCTCGCCGAGACTCCAACTAAGATGTACATATAGACAGAGTATACAAGTTCAGTTTCGAGGCAAACTGTATCATCACGATCACTTGCTGTTCTTGTCTCTCCGTTTGCCCATATTTCGTACTCGAGGAACCACAACCCATTTGTTGGGATTGTGCTTTCTCCGTGTCTTGTAACCACCTTTCGACTAGTATTGTCAGTTAGCATTTAGCATTGAAAACCAATTATCTCTCAAGAGATGGACGAGACGCACCGGTGTACCCCAAGGACTAGTAGGGTGCCTATTTCCCTTTGATTTACCACGACCACCACCGTGAGGGTGATCCACTTGAAATCGGTAAGTTAGCCTCATGTTCGGTATCATCGTTTCCAAAGCTTCTCATCACATATCATACCTTTGTTCATTGCTACACCACGTACTGTAGGCCTGATATTCAGCCATCTACTCCTGCCGGCTTTACCAAGTTGTCGGTAATGATGATGAGGGTTACTGGAGACACCAACAGTTGCGCATGCATCCTTGCTAACTCTCCGGACTTCTCCGCTCTGTAGCCGGACAGTGACATATTTACCAGTCACAATTCTGATACCATCAGCTCCAACCTCCTCGTCCTTGCTTTCAACGACAGCGAAAGTACCGGCACTTCGACAGAAAACGGCACCCCCTTTAGGGTGAGAACCAACATTGAACACAGGCGTGCCAACAGGGATAAGATGCAGTGGTAAGCAATTCCCACGATGGGCTGTCTTGGCTGCTAGAATACCCGGGTCGATGACTCCACCCATGCTATCGAGAAGGTCCTGAGGGATCCCTGAACGATAGCTCTGAAGTACGTCTCCAGCTCTCATCCCCTCGGCGGCTATGATGTACGTCTTGCGGCCGGTGGCTTCCTCGGTGAGTAGCGCAATATGCGCGCTTCGGTTTGGGTCGTATTCGATTCGTTCAACAAGATGAGGGCCAGAATTCCATCGGTGGAAGTCCACTGTTCTAAGCCTTCGTTTAGCACCCCCACCACGGTGTCGGACAGTGATGCGCCCATTATTGTTGCGGCCTCCTTTCGCCATACCCTTTTTGGGGAGGGTTAATGGGAGGAAGGGCCGGCCTTTCCATAAGTGATCATTGATAGGTCGCTTCAGATGTCGTACACCAGGCGTTCTAGGCTTATAGGTACGCAAGATCACAGTGGATTGCCTTTCCGACTTGGACACGGAAGGTACATATTCCTTTGCTGGCCTTGGAGGGGCCCTGACACCCTTGGGGATCGAAGGGACACGATCAATGACTGGATTAGGAGGACGTGCAGCTTCGCGATATGTCGCATAGCTTCGGAGGGGTAAGTTGGAAGAGCATTGGCAGGCAGTCAGCACCCTCCGAGTGGAGAGGGAGAATATCCGAGGCTGTAGCATCATGTCATGTCGCAACCTGCAAATCGCCTATATGTCAATTGACACGAAGTCGGCGATGGAAAGAGGTGAACCAGAAATCAGAACAGAATCCGAAGCTATCTATTCTGGACTGGACTGGGGCTTTGGATTGGGCTGAACTGATCAACCTTCATATCATTCAAGTCACTTTCCATAAAATATAAATCTTGGCGTAATGGGATGGATGATAATTGGGAATTGGGAATTGGAAAATTCACACTGATTAGATCTTCCAGAGTTTTGCCGAAATGCTTACATACTTCGTACTATGTACATATCACATAGTAATTAACTATTACCTAGTAACTACATATGTAGTGTGTACGGCATAGTAGTACTAAAAACGGATGCGGCTGAAATTCAATGGCTTTTTATTTTAAGAAATGCGCAGTGGCGATTGGATGGTTCAGCCACATCTTAACTACCAACACGGGATCACGTCACTGGATTGGCCGAGGGCAGGCAATTCTCCGGGTCGGAGCGACATAGCCAATCAAATCTGCGTTGCCCCGCGGTTGCTCTTGTTTATTTTAACAGGGTATGGTGGGGCTTGTCACGTCTCTAAAGTTTAAATAAAAAAAAAGCAAAAGAAAAGCAGTTGCGGGCGGGACCGTTGTCGGGTCAATGTACTCTGGTACCGTGTAGAATCCCAAGATCGCGTTTATAGAAATCCACTCTTCACATTTAAACCACTCTTCTTCCTTCAATGCCCACTGTCGATGAGGAAAATAAAAGGCACCTACAACTTACAACCAACAACAGACAAACATAAAAAAAAAAAGGTTGATCCTTAACCGTTCTTCCTTTCCCTGAATCATTACATTCGACCATTAGACCATTTGTTCACTAGCATCCAGCCTTTCTAAGAGGAACCTTGGGACTTGTCGGAATAGATCCAATATCATTCATCAATCTTTGCTCATTGATCCGTTTGACTGACCCGATTTGAACGATTCAATTAACACTGTCTGACTTCCGTCTGACTCTAGTGGTAGCTTGGACCAAGTCGCGTACAAGGGGTTGGTACATACGTTTGTACAATTGATCCATTTGATTGATCCCTCACACGGTATGTACTTACATCATACAGTAACTACAGCACCTACTGTACCTGCAGTTAACCTTGGAACTCTAAAAAAGCAAACTGACCAGCGATTGACCAGGCCCGGAGAGTCGGCGGAGACACCTAAGTTTTAGGTGCCTACATACATAGTACAATTGAGCTTTTTAGCTGTGCCCCATTGACTTCAGTACCTTGCAACTTGCAAGCTATCGAGGTACCTCGCTAAACCCATTTCGGCTACTCATCCATTCATCGCGGTCATATCGCGCTAAGGAAAACTTGCCCAAGGAAACCGTGTATCACTACGTACTTCGCACATAGATAATACACTCAAGCAGCTAGGTACAGTACCTCCTCTTCCTTCAATGTTTCTATCAAACCAGTCCTATCCACTTCAAAGTTAGGGCAGTACATAGTACTTCCAAACCCCCCAAACATTGCCTACTTTTTAGTACCTTGCCCAGTACACTCAATGCTCCCTCAAAAACATTGAACATCACTGCTCCTCTTACCCTCCCTCTACCATATCAACAACCCATCAACAATAACAAAACACCTCCTCCTCACCTTAACCCACTCTCCAATTACTTTCTCTATTCCTCTTCCACACTCTCCATTACTTGATACCCTTTTATACTTCCAATTGCAACTTTACATCTTTCTTCCACGAACTTGTCACGTCTTAGCACAAGACAAAACACCATCAAGACCATTGTAATAATAGCAGTACGCTGATGCTAAACGAACCTTATTAGGTATTGACATAAACAGGCTTGCTTGTTGAAGCTCTACCCAAGTGAATCCAAGTATGTTCCAATCTACCTTTTTACAAGCTCTCTCAATCACAATCTTTCACTGGTAGTTCTGGTGTTTGGTTACTATTGTAGCCTTCCTACATTCACATCACGCGTGTTTGGCGAAAAACTTTCACAGTGCCCCATTACCAATGACCCAAAAGCGCATCTTAGGTTATTATAACTAATCTTTTTATTTTCTAGTACTTGTTTTTCAGTCCAATTGTGTCAATCAAAGCACACAATTAACTAACAATATGCCTCCCGTAAGTTTGACCGCTGTTACTTGCTGTTACCTGCCATACCCGCTTACCATAGCTACGCTTTACCGCGTTATTCAATCCTGACTAATCTAATATCCACAGGGACGCCCCGCCCGACAACGCGTCGTTTCCAACGAGAATGATGAGAATAGTTCCACGCGTATGACGCGTGCGAAGGCCGCTGCCCTTGATGTCGATGTCACGACCCAGGCTACAAAGCAACCCTTGCAGTCCAAGAAGTCCGCAGTCAATGCGAACCCCGCCGCCCAGCGAAAGCGCGCCGCCTTGGGCGATGTCAGTAATGTTGGAAAGGGAGAAGCTGTAGAGGGCAAGAAGCCCGCCGCCAGTAAGGTTGGCCTCGTCTCCAAGGCCGCCCAGCCTACCGGTGTTCAGAAAGCGCAGACTCGTGCCGCATCAAGCCGGCCCGCCCTCGCTACCAAGGAGACTAAAAAGATAGAAGTAAAGCGCGCAGGCTCCGGTTCTGGTGTCATGGGTGCATCTCACAAGCGAAAGGTCACCTCCACCAGCCTGAAGCAAGGCATTCTTGCCGAGGACGAGCCTGTTCGCAAGAAGGTTCATACTACTGCCGAAACTGAATCAAAAAAGCAGGACCGCCTCGAGTCGCAGTCCAACAAGTTAGCCGCAGCCACCGAGAAGGCATCTCTTAAAGAGCAGGAGCTTAAGCAGGAAATCAAGCAGTCAGAAGGAGAGGTGGAGCTACCTGAAGGTGTCAAGAGCTTGGAAGAAGATGGAATTGATGACCCTTTGATGGCTGCCGAGTACGCTACCGAGATTTTCGAGTACCTCCGCGATCTTGAGGTCAAGGCCATCCCCAATCCTCAATACATCATACACCAGGACGAGCTAGAGTGGAAGACGCGAAGTATCCTTGTCGACTGGATGATCGAGGTTCACACACGATTCCACCTTCTCCCGGAAACTCTATTTCTTGCTGTCAACATCATCGATCGCTTCCTATCTCAGAAGGTTGTTCAGCTCGACCGCGTTCAGCTTGTTGGCATCACTGCCATGTTCATCGCTGCCAAGTACGAGGAGGTCATGTCACCACACGTTTCGAACTATAGATTGGTTTCGGATGATGGGTTTAGTGACGCGGAGATCCTTAGTGCAGAGCGCTTCATCCTTGAGACATTGAACTATGACCTCAGCTATCCTAACCCAATGAACTTTCTTCGACGTATCTCGAAAGCGGACGACTATGATATCCAATCCCGTACGATTGGAAAGTTCTTGATGGAAATTAGCATTGTCGACTACCGATTCCTGGCGTACCGACCTAGCCATGTTGCTGCCGGTGCCATGTACCTTGCTCGCATGATCCTTGACCGAGGTGAATGGGTATGTTATTAGGACAAGCTCGGGGTTATGAATTTTGCTTTGCTGACTCTTCTTAGGATCCTACTATTGCTTACTATGCTGGATATACGGAAGAAGAGATTGAGCCCGTGTTTGAGCTCATGGTCGACTACCTAGCACGTCCCATATGCCATGAGGCCTTCTACAAGAAGTATGCTAGCAAGAAATTTATGAAAGGTGATCGACCCGAACTCTCGTATTTGTGACTTTTGGCTAACGATATAAAGCATCTCTCATTACCCGCCAATGGGCTAAGAAGAACGCACCTATTTTTGGGATTACGGATACGAAGCTATCAGTAGATCAGATCTCGGCACTAGAGTATTGATTTCGCCGAAAGGCATACACAGACTCTTACATGACAAACCGTAACGATATCCTTACATTGTAAACCTTGTTCAGTGTCTGGATACTCTAGATCCCTGTTTGGATGATGGCCTTACGATAACTTCTATGATGATCGCGGCCTATGACTCTCATATTTTATTGTGCCTGGATCCTGCCGTCTAAGCTCACGCTCCACGACATGGTCAAGATCTCTCGCTGATGCTGATGGTCTATGGAATATATGGCCGTCTTGCTGGTGATGCGAGTGGCCATTTCATTACGCCATGGGTCCTTTTTCCTTTTCGCAGCCCAGCCTGCGGCTGTTTATTGCATCTCTGTTAGCCCTTCATTCCTTTCTCTTTATGCATATGGCACACGGTGACCGCATGAGGGTGGTCAGGCGTTGAGAGGTGGTGGCGTCTGGTCTTGTTTCCTATAGTTTCCAGAATCGGTCAATACGCTGCTATTGGGGGTTTTTATGCAATGCATTGCAATGCTTGGTCGGCCGGCCTGGTCTCTCTTCTCTATGGATGGGACTCCTTGCCTGTTCATCTTGGCCAAGTCTCCTCGGGGGGTTTTGCTGGATGGATGCCGGAAGCTAATGGTCAACCTCACGGTTGAGGGAGGATTACGTCCTTGTACATATTATATTGCTATGCCGTTACTGGAGTAGGACATGGACAAAGGTGGGGTGGCAATAAAACTGCGTTGCATTAATCATAATTTTGAACCCTTTCTGAGTATTGCTGCCCTTGCTCCTGTCCTATTACCACTACGTACTGTAAATTAATGGTTTATATCCACGCCTACTAATGTGAATAGCATCCTCAGGGCGTAACCCTCTACTTGCTAGTTTTACTTCTCACCATTAAGCTTAGGTTCGGTTATATTGTATAGACGGTAGGGTATAGGTATAATTATAATTCTAATCCCGACCATCCCAACCACTACTACCACCACCACCCCCAAACCCACCGTCATCATGATCGCCGTTTCATCCAAAATATCCTACCCACCCCCACGGGCCCCCATTCCTCCTCCCAGCGCCTCAGGTACTCCCGGCGCTCCTCCAAGGCCCGCTCTCGCGCCGCCGCCGCCTCCTTGATCTTCCGCGCCGCTGCGTTGCGCTCGCGCGTCATGCGTAGGAAGTTGCGCGCCGTGGGCGGTCGTTGCCCGAGCTTGCCGCCGACGAGGAACCAGTAGGTGAGGGGGGTGCGTTGGTTTGCGTCGGGCTTAGGGTGGGGGGTTTGGTGGGTGGGTTTTGATTTTGGGGGTGGTGCTGCTGGTGATGATGGTGCTGGTAATGAGGGGAGAGGGGGAGAGGGGGAGGGAGAGGGTGTTGTTTTCGTCGCTGTTGTGGCGGCGACGGCTGCGGCAGGTTGGGTGGGCTCCGGGGTGTTCGGGGGAGGCACTGGTGGTTGCGGGTCGGGGTTCGCTCCAGGCCCGTCTGCTGCTGCTGCTGCTGCCTCGGGTGCGGGTGCGGCTGTGGCTGCGGCTGCGGCCGCTTTGGGCTTCTCGTCGTCTGGTTTGTTGGGTTCCGGGCTGGCGTTCGCTTCTGCTTCTACGGCATCTGGTTCTGCGGTCTTGGGCTCGACGGTTTTGTCGTTGGTGTCGGGGCTTACATTGCTGTCTCCGTCTGCAGGGGATGGATCCTCTGAAGACATGATATGTTCTGGGGGCGCTTATTATGTAGTATTATTTTAATAATTTATTGGAGACTAAAAGCACTTGAAGCCTCAAGTCGGCAGCACTACGAGGCGAGGTAAAGGGGCTTTAAGAAGAGCAGAGGAGGCTCACTGACGGCGAGATATTCTACAGTCTGGTGGCATGGAAGTGACTGGCTTAGCACGGTCTCCGAACAGTAATGCGTAATTCCCAGCTCACTAAATGAATCAGAATGGATGTGTATTTGCTCTCATTTTGCTCATTTTGCTCGTTTATGAGATAAATATATTTCCCCGTCCGGGGATCATGGGCTCTATCGTCATGCTCCCTCCCCCCCTTTTCCATCATGTCTAAAGTGTATATACTGTCAGGGTAAGAGGTCTTCCAGCTTTTTATATATTATTCAATACTCATCGTACGTCATACGGATACACAAGTAGTTGATGATAAGATATGTACACCGTTATGCCCTGTACGCTCTATTATTCATATACGTACCCATAGTAGGTCCCATACGTGTTGGGCTCGTGAAACCTCCAGTATGTGGAGATCGTGTCTGGCACATAGGTGAAGGTGCTGTAATCGACAGCGCGGGCTTACTACGGTCTATGCAACCCGTCGTCAAGGATGGCTACACGTACGTTGTTTGTTTACTCTAATTTTTAACTCTCGAAGGTATCCATAGATACATGTAAGTTAGCAATCATTTAATTAATGGAGCTTGTATGTGTTGGTGACAGTGTTCACTTGAATGAACTGTATACCTACCTACCTAACCTAGAGTCCTAGACATCCTTTTCCCCCCTTGTTTAGTTTCGGTGGCTTAATAGAGATATATGGTTTGATGGTCCCCCCCCTTTTTTATCGTCGGCCACTAGTTAAATACGTAGTACAAACCTACCAGCTGTTTCCCCTGCCAACCACGATACACATAACACTCTATTAAATTAAACAAACAAACAAATAAGTAAATAAACAAAACCCTGCTTCAATTGTGCTACGATGGATGTGTTTGATTAATGGCTTACCTTAGGGTCCTTAGCTGCTTGGAGCCTGGGTAAATACACAAGTGGAAGATGGTTACAAGACAGCCAACCCTTGTTGTTGTTGTTGTTGGCTTTGCCAGTTTCTGTGCTGCGCTACTACAGTACCTATCAATCTAATTCTCTGTATAATAGCTACATGCCCAGGAAGGTATCTACGAGTATAAATAGCGCCTAAAGATAGCCAGCCGGCCGGCCAGTTCACAGCCATCTTCCAAAGTTTATCCAGCCAGGCTTCTTCCCATACTTCTGAGCGAACAGAGGGTGCACCTTCGCGCGCTGGTCTCCCTGACCAGGGGAAAGCTCGTCGTCCCTGCTATTACTGTTATTGTTGTTTTGCGGAAGCCCACCCTTGCGTGCCTGGGTACTTCGCTTGTGCATCTGTGCCTGTGTCTGCAGCTCTTTCACATCCCTTCCCAAGTCCACCCACTCTCCGTCGTCCTCGTCCTCGTTTTCCTTTTCCTTCCCCGCTGCTCCAATCTCTGTGTTCATCTTCTTGCGTATAATCACCATGGACCCGCCCGAGGTATCCGAATGTTGTGTTTCATCGTCGTCGTCGGGGTTTTCTTCTACATGCTCCCAGCTACTGCTGAGCGAATGACCACTATCCTCATCATCTGATACCTTCTCGTCATCTGTCGGAGCGATGGACACGACGCGAGGATAGGAGGGGGAGGGGGAGGAGGGGCGAGCAAAGAAGTTGCTGTCCTGTGGTTGTCGGAAGTCCAGATGGATCCCCAGGCGGGCGAGGCTGGCGGCGCGGTAGCTGGGAGAACTACGCTCGGGCTCGATGGTCCGCTGTTGATGACGCGCTGAGTCGTTGGAGGAGGGAGATGCATGTTGGGGTAGGCTTCCGGGTCTGGCTGCTGCGGATCTGGGGTGCGGATCAACTGAGCTTTGGTTCATACCGACTGTGTTTACCGTGGGAGTGCGGGGTTCATATCGTCGGTGGTACTGCTGGTAGTGATAGTAATAGCTACCACTATGGCTTCCGTGATCGCGGTGGTGCCCGAGACCTCGGTATGGTGGTGGAGAAAGAAGGGGGGTAGACGAGTCTCGAGGTTTCGGAACCAACAGTTCAGGTGCTGGTAAGTCGGCTACGGGCTCTCGGACACGACCCGGCGTAGATGATCCCTTGGACAGCGGGGAAGACATTCTCTCAGTTGCCTCTCTTGGTAGAGATATCAAAAGTTGTGGTGATATGATAGGTAGTATGTATAATGGAATGTGGAATTTGTTCCCGTATGTAGTGAGATTGAGGTTGTTCTGAGAGCAATATTTCGCCTTAGAAGAGCTTTTGATGTAATGTAATAAGGCTGTAAAAATATCCTATAATATAGGAAGATTGTAAGGGTGAAAGTGGGAAGATCGAAGATGGAAGTGAAGAAAAAAAGGGGAATGAAAAGCAAAAGTAAGTCTTCGTTATATAGTCAAATGCGAAGAGTAGGAATACTAGAGTTCTCTAATATAGCTCGAATCTACTCATGATATGAGCAGGCGAGGTAACTTTTCCATATAACCTTTGAAGTGTAATCGATGCCACTAAGTGGTGTTGGCCGAGTAACCTCTCACAGCCCCTAAGTATGGAAGGACTTAGACTTTGTCATGTTTTCATCTCATTCTGTAACTAAATGTCTACCTGGGTACTCTGAACAACGTTTACCGCTAACAACATAGCGCCCTGTCAGACTTTCGTCCATGCTTGCCTTTTTTACCATTTCTTTTTTTTTCACCAAACCCCCCTCTCACCAACACATAACCCCTCCGTCAGTTTCTCCCAATGAACCAGGTGACCTCTCTTTCGGCGAACCCACGCCGCGTACATGATCCAGCTCAGCCACACCGACACCAGGCTCGCTAGTGCTAACCACTTGTACTGCTCTGTACGAGGAAAAGCAATAGCAGCGCCGGCGCCGAATAGCTCGAATATGTTCACGACCGAGTTCTCAGTGCCGGCGAAGCTGGAGCGTTGGTTTTCTGGGACGAGAGTTTGCGTCAGTTGCTGGGTGGTGAGATCGAAGACCCATACCCCGAGTCGCGAGCAGGCGAGGAACGAGAACAGGACTATGCTCCAGCCCACGTTGGGCGATGCTTGCTGCTCGGCGGTGATGCTGCGGGCAAAGATAGATGATAGGCTCTTGATTTCGTCTTTTTGCGTAGAGATTGCCCATAGGGCTATAACCACTGGTACCTGATGCGTCATGTCAGCTACTCATTTAGGTAGGTATAAAAGGGGATAAGGGACGTATAAAGACTTACGGTATTGACAAGCTGCCAGCTGATACCCCATAACCCAAACCGCTGAAGCCCTACCACGGTCCGCACATCTCGGCCTCCGTCCCGGTTGCCGGCGATCAATCCGATCTCCGTTTCAGCGTCGCTATCCAGCGAGGGGGACGAATCATGATGATGGGCTTTCCCCATGTACTGGATACCGCGGGGGGTGATGACCGTACTGCTGATCTCAAACACGGAACCGATAGCTCTCGCAATGGTAATGGTGTTGAGGGAGTAGCCTATGTTGATCAGGTACGTGATGAAGGTCGCCCTCCACGTCAGCATGTTGAAATGTAGCAGCGCTAGTGCGACTGAGGGAATCCAGACAGATGTGCCAAAGTACATCTCGAAGTTGTGGAAATATTGTCTTGTTTTCGCTAACCACGACGTCGGCGCTGCTTGAACTGGCTGGGGTGGGTGCACCACGCGCGGAGCCTGGAGTAAGGGGCTGTTATTCCATACTCTCTTGGCCGAGAATACTTCGATTGGGATGCTAAATAGGCTTGTGAGGCCGGCGAATACGACGCCCAACCGGACAGAATCCAGGGCCGAGATGACTGCAGCGATCAGGATGGGCGAGATCAGTTTACAAACGAGGTCGATCCTTCTCATGACCGCATTAAGGTGGGTCAGGTCGTAGGGTCTACCGGCCGGAGCAGCCACGGTGACCACCCAGTCCCGCTCCATGGAGATCAGATTGCCGGAGGAGCTCAGACGCTCGATGATGCCCAGACTTACCGCAACGGCGAAGCCAATGCCTTTCAGGAGAGTATTTTTGGGTAGTACGAATGTAGAATGAGGCCCTACGAGGTCCTCTTGACTTAGTATGAGGATCCAGACGAAAGAGCCGAGGATTACAGAGCCTCGGTTGTAGATGATGGTGGAGAGTAGTGTGCGCAGCCGGCTAGGCGATTGTTGGACCCAGTGCCCTACCGAGCTGGAAAACAGAATCATGGCAAAGTATACCAAGATCATACTGCGATATTGTGTTAACAAGAACTCTTTGGATAGATCGGAGTCAAGAAATAGAAGAGAAATAGGGGTAAAGGGGGACGAAAGTTTACCGGAGTGCAGCAGCCACGAGGGTATCTGGATATGCGGCTGCGGTAAAGAGAATCTTAGTTGAGTTTGTCCGTTAGCTGAAGAGGAATTCCATAGAGGTTATCTTCATTCCTTTGGGTTGGGCGGGGGGAGACGAACTGCAGCGAACTCGTAGCCACGAGCATTCCAGGTAGAGAAGGCATGGCTAACATAGAGATTGAGGGCTTGTGATGATGTGAGACCTTGGTGGTGATCTTGATCTTGTAGATGCTCATTTTCACTAGATAGCTCAAGGCCATCTTCGCTACCGCTATCACTATCCATGCTGTCCCTGTTATTCATGATGTCTAGACATGAATCATCTCAAGATCCATCTAGACCTATATGGAGGGTACTAAGTAGGTAGGCACCATTCATATACCTAACCTACTTACTACATACCTAGTACCTAGATAGATGGCTACTCTTATGAGTTTTTGATTATCTTTAGATTCATTAGGATGGATGACCAATGTAGCTAATAAATACACAATAGCTTGTACTGAATTGTCCAATGAATGAGTCAGGCCGATGTAGTATAATAATGTGAGTTATAATGTATATAATGTATATAATATATATAATGTATATAAATATGGACGGAGATGTGATTGGCAAATGGTTATGTCGTCAGTGGGGGATATCGGGGAAATCGGGGAAATCGGGGGAGTGGCCGGGATAGGAGCGCCGGTCACCGGAGCTTTTCTTCTCTTTTCTTTTTTCCTCTTTTCTTTTTTTCCTTTTTTTCCTTTTTTCCTTCTTTCTATTACTTCCATCTTTTATCTCATTTGTTCTTATACTTTTTCACATTCATCTTCACCTTTGATTTCGTAATCTTCACAATCTACAATCTCATTTGTAATTGGTAATAGGTATGTAATGCATTAAACCTCCGTAAGTAAGCGCCATTTACCCTATTCCCAAAACCTTTCCTTCGTATCCCCTCCAAAGAATTGCTATAACAGTATCTCAAGTTCGGTCGTGTCCCGTCATCATGGGAAACGTCCTCAATCAATAAGTCCCGTCCCAACAAAAAGTCGTGCCTTCTAAGCTACCAGTGAAACTACTTCCTCCAGGGGGGTGCCTCTCTCGTATTGGCAATATCATTACGTGCAGCTTTGCCAGCGCCCCGTAGGCCTGACAATGTATATGTCTATCTTCATAAAACACAAAGTTTTACGGTTCCAAATCAGAGAACCAACTTTAGAAGTTCAGCGATCCCATTCGCTCCTCAACGCCACCCCAGTAGACGATGGGCCTGGGCTCGAGCATGCTGAGCTCTGGACCTGAGGCCTTCTTCTCCGCTTCCAAGTCGACGATTGATGGCTGTCTGAACAATACCGCGTTGATCGTGCTCACTGGCGACGATGTGCTCGAGCTGCATGACCGGTAAGAGCTGGTAGAGCTAGTAGAGGCTGTAGAAGAGCGGCGGAAGGATGTGCGGATGCCGGCCGGCGATAGGCGCGACCTGATGGTCTGGAATCGAGATGCGTGCATTTTGCCTGTGAGGGGGTAGAGGGGGAGTTATGTGTGGTTTTTTTTGGCTTGCTTCGGTTGAAGGGGTAGGGAGATTTTGGATTATCTCAATACACACAGCAGGCGTATATTAATTAAAGACGGCCGTTGAAAAATAGACTCAGCCGGTGAGTTGGAAGAAGGTAAGAAGCGAATGCAGAACCAAGCTGGTGGAAGAATATTAAAAGATAGGACGAACTATTCCGCTGGGGATGAATAGAACAAGTAGATATAAGCTGTCGTAGGTTGGAGGGGATGAGGCGGACACCGAAGGAGAGTCTGAAGGATAGTAGGAAAGATGCACGGATGAGGTGTGAGTGAGGGAGTGTTAAGTAGTATGCTGGTATGAGTGTCTGAGGTCAGGAACGATCTGTCTAACGGGATCTAACCCTGAATCGAGGCTGGATACCTACATAGTACCGAACCTATACCCAGGAATGTACCAGGAATGTAGGGTGTCGATAAACATCCGATCCACTTCGCTATGGCCTTGAACGTTGAGAGGACAGGGAGACATGACAACCTTGAAGTCATGTTACCTCGTTAAGGCACGCACACACGCACACCCACCCGCATACACACACATCTCCGATTCAGGGGTGAGTTCTAAAGGGCGATCTTTATGCGACATGGACTTTTATTGTGGCTGAAAACCCGTTACGCGGTCCGCGATTGACAGCGAGCGACGGTCTTCTGAAATCTCCAATGTAGCAACTACAGCTGCAGAAGTTAGTTGTGATACTCGTGTGTACTTCAATACTCCCCGTAGTTACATATGTAAATACCAAAGCTATTACTACGTAGTAAGTTTGGTTGGTAGTGGCGACAAAGATACCTTACCTACCCAACCTACCCAGGAAATAAGATTGTGTGCATCACGATGTGTGTAGTTAGTGTGGTGTGTGTACGTCGTATTGTATCTAGTTACTACTAGTTAGTAGTAGTAACTTAATGGATGTGAAACATCTCTGCTACCAATCTGTATCTTGCCTGACGATAAAGTCTTGCTGTTTCGTAGCCCTGCAGACAGCTATGAAGTATGGTACGGCGTAGTACTATCGTCGGCCGTTGTTCGAACTAGGTAAAGCGAATGCTTTAGTTTGACTTATTCTTTTTCTTTCGGGTGTATGATCGACAACCAGGATTAAGGGGCCACCCCTCAGATGGGTCACTTTTAATGATTCAGGTTGTTTCATGACAGGCATGTTAGGCATGACATACCTTAGGTAGGTAGTGTCCATACTTATGATACTGTTGATATTATCGATATTTTGGAGACACATGCAATATTCATCATATTATGTACAGTAATAAAAATCCACGCATAAAATACATAGTACCTACTAACCTACACATATGCATGCATAGTCCACGACGAGGCAGGCCAAGAAAAAGGTCTATTCAGAATTCTGGAAACATTCTGGAATTCCCAAGGACGGGATGAGAATAAATGGTGAGACAAGGAGCTTGAGAACTCATGCGATGATGGTTTTATCATGAGAAGAATATCGAATATCTCATACTACTAGTAGTAGTATCTACTATTACATGATTGAGTAAAATAGCCAACTACATACCACATATGTACATCATCCTACTGTAGTATCACATTGACATTGACGAGGATGGTATGATGAAATTGGAAAAGAAGATAACTATCACTGATACTGTAGCTCGGACTTCAGCTTTATCTTGGCATCCTGTGGCTGAGTTTCTGCACACTACGGAGTAGATGCTATCTATGTACTCACATCACGAACCCTTGGCATCGCCGCACCATTAGCATAGAGCTGATCAAATACGACCATTTTACGCCTTATAGTTTGGTTCCCCATCCCTTACTATCATATATATATAAAGTTGTACCTAGGTATCTACTAACCTACATAGTAAATGATTATTCAGAGCATTCAGAGTATTATTGAGAGCATTCACAGTGTTACATACAGCAAGTGTAAATTGACAAGTGTAAATAACTACTTGTAGCCATCGGGTAATGTGTAAGCTTCTCTTCGCAGTAAAAGCATCAAATCTTTTTTTTATCACCTTTTCTACCTGGGCTTTTCCCGATCTTTGCTAGGTACAAACTCGGAGAAAATAAACAAATAAATACAAGCAGGTCTGTCTACACACACAATGCCATGTGTCTTCTCCTGTATCTTCGCCTTTCTAATGCCCTGAGACGTCGGCCCGCCCAATGTCCCCCTGCTACGGGAGCAAAATACGTACATACAATGCAAAGGAAAAAAAAAAAATAAGATTCAACTGATTTATGGTATAGACGGTGACCTCGCCCAATGCAGACCGCTATGTGCCAAGAACGCCTTTTGAACTCATCCAATTCATTCCCCTCTTCGTGACATAGATTCTAAGGGGGGAAAGGATACCCTGGGCCGTCATCGGTGCCTCTTCTTCCCCCCCTTTTCTAGAGCGTATCATTTCATTATGTAGTGAATGTGTAATCACTGTATCGACCACCAGCTAAGGTGGATGTCGTATTACCGCGGAGCGCTCCAGTCCGATCGTCGAACCGATCTTCGTATAGTTGCGCTTCGCCTAATGCTTTCCACCCAAACTGAATCGTCCAGCAGCTCTCTGACCTGCGCTGGACTTACTGAGCTGCCGCGCCTGCTGTTTTCGCCCGAGGCCGGTGCAGATTCTTGCAGATCGAAGCTGAATGCAGAAGCCTGAGACTGATGCGCAGGCATGGATGGGCTTGCTCTTGGTAAGCTCAATGGGTGTGCTTGCGAAGAGTCGTAGGCCGCAATATCCGTGCTGGAAGACCAACTCTTGTGCAGTGGCCGTGAGGCGTCCGACACGGCAAGGAAATCGGAGGATGCGGACCGGCCTAGCGGCACTGCTAATGTCGAGCGTTGCTTTCCTGTCTTCTGCCGTTCGTCTTCGTCGTCCACGAAAATATCGGGCACATCTAGTTGAGGAATTGCTGTCATTCGTGCCGACCGCTTCGTCTCCATGTGTTTCTTGAATTTTCGAGACCAATAACTGGGCAAGAGTCAGTAAAGGGGCACACATCCATATGTGTAGATAATTACTTACATTGTATCGAAGAAACCAACCACGACCCTGCGACGAACCTCTTCTTCAACACGCTGCAGGCGCGCGCGACGGCGTAGGAACTCCTCGAGCCTTCAAAAAGGAATGATGATTAGCCACGAATGTATAAGTTTTGAATACGGATATTTGCTTACTTTAGACTCTTGTTGTCGCTGATGATCTTATAATGCGCCATGATCATGAGTACCGTCGTAAAGGAGATACCTTGAATAGGATCCGCGGATACCATCACCTCCTCGTAAAAGATGTTGAACCGACGGCGCTGCTCTTGAACTTTTCGTACATCAATCTGAGCAAGTCTTTGGTTCAACCTCCGGATATCCACTCCGCCGAGGTTGCTTCCAGTAGCCATAGATGAATGCCTCATAGGCGAGTCATCGCTTCGAATGTCTTCCAAGATGTGATGAACAGAGTCTTCTGAATCGTATATTCGCATTTCAAAGATTCCTGAGAGCTCTCCCAACAGCCTTGGAAATGCTTCTTTACTGATAAAGCCTGAACCATTAGGATCAACGCTGCGCCAAGCCTCCTTGAACCTTCGTATCTCATCTCGATCTATGTGTGCCATTCCGCTCGAGCGCTGGTACACGTAACTGAAACTCTCGTAGATGAGTGAAATAAAGAGATTCACGAAAATATACATGCTGACCAGGTTCCAGGCGATGAACAAACATCTAGCCCAGTTTTGGCTGCCACAGTCGCTATTCAAGAATTCTGGGTCGTCTACACAGAGCGGCGGCTCGATATTCGCGTAGTCCTCCATGATCTGATTCCACCCTTCACCCACACTCATACGGAAGAGAAGGAGGAGGGCATTTGGAACCGTCCTGAAGTTAATATTAACACCTTCATTTTCCCCAAAGCGGGTCAAGCTGAAGGTTTGGGTTAACGCGATGGCGAATACAAGGAAAAATACCAGCCAGGTGGCCAGTAGGTTGACAATGGTTGTCAGACTTGCAGCCGCTGTTTTGAAGAGCTGGTCGAGTGCGTCGTTTCTAGGAATTAGCAGGAGGAGGATGCTGACGAGGAAATATTTATGTAGCTGAATAAATGTTTGATTATCCGTCTTGGTATTGAGTAGCACAGTGGTCACAAAAGTACCAAAGACAGATATCAGTGAGTAGACGTCCCAAGAACTTCTTCTGAAACGCCTCCAACCAAGGCCGACAATGCGAATGACGATATTGGCAATGTAAACCAGGGTAAATACTAGGAAGATGAAATCCCTCGTACGGGACCAAACATCTGGCTCGGGATAATACTCCAACATCAGCAGTATTAAGTGAAGTACAAGGACGGCAGTGATTCCTGTGTACCACTTTCCTCGTTTCTCGATTGCACGCTTGTGACACCACTTCTTCCACTTATTCTCAGACTCATCATAAGAGCTTCTGGACGGTGATATTTGGCGTAGAAGCTTTCGCAGCTCGAGCCATGACCTCTGTTCCGCTGTCAAGAATGCAACCCCCGTCTGTTCTGTGTAATTCCGCATAAACACGGAAATGAACAGCGTCAACACGAACACCGTGCTAAGCAAGTTAAACACCACAAAGAACATGGCATTACCTTGCGCTGCCATTGGCTGAGGCTGCAGGGTTGGTCCGGTAATCGCTTGCACAGCAAACGATACGTCCACCCAGCCCTCTTGCGAAACAATTTGGAAGAGAATGAATAGAGAGGAAGCAAAGTCATCGAAACTAAAATACGAGTTGTCCGCAACCCGTGGAGCAAGCAGTGGCCATGCCGGGTTGGATGGCGAGCTTTGATATTCGCCGAAGCAGTCGGCAAGTTTCGATATACCACCATCGTTACATTCCAAGAGTTGCCCATGAAACAAGTTGAGAGCGTAAATGGCGAACGGAATTAGCAAAGACAAAGAGACTAGGGCAGCCTGAAGTATTGAGTTAGCAGACAATCCAAAATATTATCCCCAAACAACGCAAAATCGACTCACGCTGATGATCTTCCACCCTGCCACTATTATTAGGGAGTGAAAGGTATCTCTTGCGCTATTGCTAATGTTTAGGAGACGAAGAGCTCTGAGCGCTTTGAAGGCACCAATGGCCCTGGAGACAGCCCCATCATTGAAAAGTAGGGTGAGCACGTTGACCCAGAGGGTGATGAGAACAATACCGTCTATAGTGCCCCAAGAACTTCTATAATAGGCATTCGGAGTGAAGAACCAACCATCGGCAATGATCTTAATCCCGGCTTCGATGGTAAAGAGGATCGCAAAGCCGAGGTCAACCCAAACAAACCAGCTAGTAAATCGGTTCGTATCCTTGTGCTGCTCAAGGTATTCCTTCTGAAATAGGGGGGTAGTGATACAAGCTAGGAGCACCATGGCGATAATGGCCGCATAGATGAATACCGTGAAAGCGTACCAAGCGATTTTGTTCGGCTCCACGCCATCGAATCGCTCGTTGCCCCTACCTGGTCCGACGAGTCGCTGGCAAAGACGCCTGATAGGATTCGTGGGCTTGAAAATGAAGAGTGAGTTATTGTAAGTGGGGTGGCGGGCAAGATACTCGCGCTGAGCTTTACGACGCTCCGCGGTGGCCGATACTGCCTGGCGTGCCATCTGTCGGGGGTCTAGGGTATTGTTGGGTGCATTGAACCGGACGTTGGAATAGAACGGATTAGGCTCTCGGCTGGTGAACATGCCTTTGACCCGTCCCCATATTGTTGATAGAATGCCGGGTCGTATGCCACCGCCAGCTGCTCCCTCCCGAGCCGAAGGGTCGTTAGTCGTCTCTTGATGTAACGAGTCCAAAGTATCGTCAAGGAATTCTCGAACGACGGCATCTTTCAGTAGCATTTCCATTGTTGCCGGGCCGTAGTCAAGAGGATCTCTTGTTTTGGCTTTTCCAAAAGAGAAAACGTCTGATAGCGTGATAGTGGTACTCGCGTTACTGCCTAGTTCCTTGCGTTGTAGGAATGCCTTGACCTGCTCTAACCGCTTTTCATCTTCCGACACGTCAAAGTTCTCCTGAATGACAGCAATAAACATGTTGACGAGAATGAAGTATGCTAGGATAAACCAACCGATAAGAAACATTGCATTGTACCAGGACGTATTATAGATAGTGGTGTACGACGTCACATCGTATAGAATACTCGTCCAATTCTCGCTGGACAGAATCTGATACATGCCGAGAAACGAGTTGAAGATGTTGTAGAACGATATTCTGACGAGTTCTCCTCCGTCGTCATATAGGGGTATTTCCCCCCGGAAGAGTTGGACAGCGAATATGGCCATGATGAATGTGATGAGGAACACAAATACAATAAGATTCGCAATACCAGTAGCATTTCCAAGAACCAATACAATTAGTTTCCTCGTTATTGGGATGGCCAAGACCACGCGATACGAACGCAAAATTTGAAATATCGTGAGCCATGCATATTTTTGACTGTCCCCCAAAATCGGCGGCAGAGCTATGATCGTGGTTGCTAGCGCGAGGAAGAAATCGAATAGATTGCGGGTATTTCGGTGAAAGGCTCTCCAGTTGGCCGCAAAGCGGATGACAATCTCGATGTCTAATAGGATCGTAACGATTAGACTATTTATGATGATGACGGTTTCTCGCTGAAGCGACATATCTGCACTTCTCCAAGCTTGGGAGATGAGATCATAAGCAATGAGTAGCACCCAGAAAAGCCAAGTCTTATTGTATGTCTTTTGCAATGACGAAATCTTTTGTATTCGTTCGTCTTCTGTACCCTGAATCTGGAAATCCTCATCCGCTGTGAAGGCGCTCGCCTTGCTATCCTCTCGGATGACTTGAAAGGACGAGGTAATGACAGCAATGAGCAAGTTCGTCAGCCAAAGCATCATGATCATGATGCCAGCGCCAAAGAAGAGTGCAGCCGGAAGGAATTCCGAGTAGGTAGTGTAATACATGAGGTCGGACCAGGTGTTAGCACTCATGATCACGAAAACTAGCTCGAGAGAGTGATAGATATTATTGAAATTGACAGTATCATTGTACGGACTTGTCTGCTCGAGGCAGATTGACTGTTTGGGACAGATAAACCCCTTGGGCGATGAAGACGGGCTGGTGAGATTTTGTAGAGACCCGGGAATTGGACTCTTAACCCAAGGCACTTCGCGGCCATTTGCGTCCAAGTGCCCACCGCAGAAGGTATTGTCATTTGTGAAAGCCGCAGAGAAATTGGTAGGCTGCAGGGGATCCAGCCAGACACATTGCCGGCTAAGACTTGCTTTGAAGCTCTGCACGCCAATGATGGCGAATAAGAGCCAGAAAAATCCAATGAGAAAGGATACCCGAACGAGTAGTGGCGCTGCTTTTTTCAAACTTCGCAGTATAATCTAGAAGCACGATTAGCACTCCATGCTACCTAGAGGCCTTGTGCAAGTGTTATTAGGTACTTACAGCTGTTCCATTAGTGAGGGCAAGCAGTCGAACGATTCGAAGACAACTAAGCATTCGAAAGATGAACAAATGGTGTGTCATTTCAATACCCGTTATGCTAAGGACGAAAGCAATCCAGAATGATACAACCGCGATGAAGTCCAATCTGTTGAACCCATGCCTGAGAAAGGCTCGACGTGCTAGTTGCATTCTCAATTGTTCCTCAATTGTTTCGGGGACGCTACCATGCATCATAGTGAAAGACCGAGCAAATGTGGAGGGCCCGAAAGACGGCTCCCTGGGTGATTTGACCGATTTTTGGCGCTGAGGACGAAATACTGCATTATACTGATCAGATATAGCACCACGAAGTCCCTTCTTTCGGTCAATGGTGCTATATTCCGCGGCGTTCAATATGAAACCCGACACAATGATACGAGCTGCTATTTCAAGCGTGAATATAATAAAGAGGATAAGGATTGCCCAGTTTATTCCAGAGGTAGGGTCCCATAGAGCTGGTCGCTTGTTTCCAGGATCGTAAACATTGTTTGCGGCTTCCACAGCAAGCAAGACGGCTTGAAGCACAATTAGTAGGAGGAGGATAGGCTCCATGTAAGGATTGACCAGAACATCGCAAAGCTTTCTTCTAACAAGGTTGTCAGGCCCAAATATGCCGAGAGAACGACCTTTCAAGGGATTTGGCATGGGTCTCCCGCGACGGGGTGGTAATGCTGTTTCCGATAAGGTCCATTCGGGATCGCCCTTCTTCTCGGTATTGGAGGGGTTGAGCTGAGACGGGTATGATGTATCGACACTCGTATGCGTAGAGAGATGGCTTTGGGGCGCACGACCGTCGACACTCGGTGATCGCGACCTCTGCCGTCTTTGCTGTTGCTGTTCAAATGTTTCCCCCTCACCACTGATATTGACAACACGCTGGGACATGGCCCTAACAATCGACCCAGCTTTGTATAGGGCTCCAGGCGCCCGCGAAACCCGACTATCATTTGGCGTGAGGGATGCTCCATAACTCTGATGTTTGCTGGGCGCATAGCCGGTTTCCAAGTCGAATCCGAGCATCTGAGCAGATCGTTCGCGCGGGCGGGAAGAGGTGTCTATGTCCGAGACAGTCTGGAAACTATCTCTTGGTTGCGCCTCGACTTGCGAGGCTAAAGCGCCGGAGATTGGCTGTGCAGACGATGTTAAAGGTGAGCTATCTGATTCGAAGTAATCGACATGACTTGTCTCGTCATAATAGGGGGTTTCGTTGTCATAGGGATTAGCGGTCGAGGATGTAACAGGCCGAGGCACGATAGGAGGCGGAGGATGGATATCTGGAGGGAGGGCAAACTGCAAAGCGGCAGCATCTATTGGCGACGTGGGGCTCGGATCGGTATCGTTGCTGGGTGGGTAACCACCCCAATAGGTTGATATGCCGAGTAAGTTACGATCGGTAGGAGGGCCCCTCTGCCCCCCGCCTTGCGACTGAGAATCATGCTGATGTTGCTGGCCAGCAAGGTCCTGTAATGGAATGGATTGAGACGAAGATCCGGAAGGGTTCTGTTCTGAATGTCGAGGCGAAGCGGAGGACCTAGTCATGGTGATATGGTGTCATCCAGATGACACTCAGTTATTACCTAGGTGGGTATGTAGACGGGCAGGAAGACCAAGCGCAATACGCATAATACGCAAGTAAGCGCACTAGCGGGCAGGTTGGTACAGCGATATCATCAAATGGCATCTCATAGGAATGAGTAATTCGGTTCGAGAATTGTGTTGGGGAAACTAGGTTGATTACGAAAATGGATGGTTGGTAGAGTAGAAATGGAATTGAGATTTGGACTTTGTCTTGGATTTGGATTTGAGAACGAGAGACAGGGAAAGCGACTATGAAACACATTAATCGGGAGGGACGCGTGGGTCACAAGAGGTGCAGCAGGTTGGAAAAGAAGGACAGGCAATTGATAGACAATAAATAAAACCCCAGGTGTTCTATCACCCCCAAAGTTCGTCGTCGTGGGATTAATTACGACAGACGGAGAAACAGAGAAATACAGTTGTTAATAGAAGAAGAAGAAAAAGAGATTGGATATTGTAGGTATGGTAAGGTTCAAGGTTATTAACATTATTATTAACATTATTAACAGTTCACCCAATTAACTTGCCAACTTTAATTCGCTACCGACTTTACCACTTTATCAAAAAGAGGTCTCCAGCAGAGTCCAGCTGGTCATGGCTGCCACAGGTTGACCATGCTCAGCCGCTTTTCCGACTCATTGGCCCATGGGACTTAATAGGTGGAGTCTGGAGAGTAAGATAGCCTATCAACCTAAGAGATTCTTACGAGACTAAGCCTTATGCATGCCTACCAGGTACTAGGTACATAACATAGTAGGTACGTACCTACTAGGTAGTAGAATTATTACTAGAATACCTACCTACCTTTCTAGTAGTATGTATTGAATAATTCTTCAAAATTCACATGTCTAATGCATAGGTAAGATACCTAGTAGAGATATGATATAATACTACATGTAGATGTCGATACCTACATAATAGAGTTCTTTATTGAATATTATAGGTATTATTTGATTCAACTTGTTGATTCATTGGAATACTTACATGTATTACCTATCACATGTTTTCAAACCTCACCATGGATGGTTCAAGATGGTTCAATTAATACATATGAAACGGTATTAATAGATACATAACTAGTTACCTGTATGTACTATGTAGTACTATGTATGTACAGAATCTTAGGCTATCTTCGGCCGATTTCACGGACAAACCCCCACACATGTACTTGAACTTGAAGGTATCCATAAGTAGGCATGTATACAGCTAATAAGGGTAGATACCGAGGTGTACCAAATATAATTATAATCAGCCAATATCTTTCTTCTAGATTGAACAAGTATCACTTCCATTACTTAGTATGAGGTTGTCGACTAAACGTAATAGGCACCTGACTCTATAATATACATACCCTACGTATAATGTAAGTTCACTCATCGCAAGAATGGGCTAATGACGAGAGGGATTTCAGCAAGGTGCTTAATTAACATCCTAGCTAGAGTTATAGACGAGCCACGATGCTAGGATACCGTATACTTGGGGAATATTTCGTCAATGCCGTAAGAATGAACAAGTTATCCTTCTCAAACGCCCGCGTGATGCCAAATTTGTCTCTTCATTACGAACGCCGTCCTACCGTCCAGTTTGTACTCATGCCCTATAATGATCCGACTAATTAGGAATAGGCTCTTAGCCTGCTTGCCGAGGACGAGCGGCATTACTGATCTTGCACGGCTCCTACAGGTATCAACCGTGCGATATGTATTGTGATTCTGACGCCTTGGTCGTGTTTGGAATAGCATTAGCCAACAACGTGCATGGCATCCCCCTCAAGCTCGATATCTTCTTCTTCTTCCTCGTCCTCTTCCAAATCATCATCGCCACCATCGTCCTTGAATCCACTGTCTATCTCCAACTTTCGCAAGCGCCGTACCATGTCTGCGCGTTGACTATTTTGCCAACGGATTAGTGCGGCGGAAGAGTGCACTTTAAACCCGTAGACTCGAGGGATGTATCGGTCTGCGTTCTTCGGAGGTACCAGTGCTGGGTAGACCTGGAACATGATGTTGTGAAAGGAGGTACCAAAGTACGCGCCATCGATGGCAGCATGCCGCGAGGACTTGGGGTTATAGACGTCTTCGCATCGAACGCAGTAGAGCTTAACGGGCTTTTGGTGTGGGATATCAGTCTGGCCCATCGGCAGTAAGGGGTGTGAATGGCAGAAGACACGTGGGCATTTTCCAAAGTCGGCCTTCTTGTATTTGTCGAGCTAGCATATGATCGTCAGTTTGTGAGAAGTCACGCAGTAGACAAGAACCTGGCCATACCATCTTAGCTAAGCCGCGTGTGGTAACAATGTAGCGCGCGTGTATTAAGCCGTAGAGATGGCGAGCCGACTTCTCGATGGTCTCTCTCATTTCGTCATCGCAATCGAGGTCAAATACGTCGGTAATGAGGTCGAGGGCATATTGGTAGTACTGGACTTCTGTGTTAAGCCCAGTCAGGTTGAATCGATCGGTGAGGTAGTCCTCGTCGATCTCGCAGAAGTATTCGTTTCCGCGCGAGGAGATAAACTAGGGACACGCAATTAGCTCTGACACGAGAAGAGTGCTTGATAATGTGTCCAGACAGTCCGACTCCACCCCATATACATTGACGACGTAGAATGCGACTTTGGTGAATGAGTAGCCGAACCCTCTGTCCTGGTTTGTAAGGCTGATCTCGAGATAGGCAGATCGTGCAGCCTTTGGGCTTGTGTAGATGGGGGAGGGCGACGAGAAGACCGAGGTGGCAACTCCGAAGGTAGATTCTCCTCCATGACCAATGCTAAGTATAACTTATATAGTGTATGTATAAAGATAATCTTTATGGTCCTTCAAGGGAGGAATTGAAAAAAATGCTACCGTTTGAAGCGACTGTTTGAAGATGGCCTCTTTGTTGATCAAATTCGGAAGATTGGTAAGAGGGAAGGGGGATAAACGACAGAGGACACGAAAGGTATCGCGTTTTGGGGATAGAATGCGCGTCGGACACGATCTCGCCTTTCCCGAAATTTGCTACCCGACTGGCTGACCACATACTATGTAGTACTAGGTATGTATTGCTGGGTTGAAGTCCAAAAAAGTGCGTGCACTTACCCAGTCTCGCCAATAGCTAGTGTAGTCGCTATCGGACTCTGAACCGAACTCGTCCATCATGGCTGCGGGAGGCAGTCGTGATAGGCTGAATAGCTTGTTGTCCCTTCGGCGGCCAAATAAGAGGTGACGTGTCGGAGTGTGGAACGGAAGAAGAATGGGGACGGGAGGGTAAATGAGGCCCGTGATGGGATGGCTCTTGCAGTTGTTAGGGGGAATGGACTTAGGTACTACTAGGCAGGTAAATCAGGTGCAAACAACCTTAACAGATTTAAAAAAAAAAAAATAGTTGACGAAATGGCCGTGAATGTCTGCAGGGCAAGTGGTGGGTTGGTGGGGTGGGTTCGAAAGATTGGGTGGATCTAACTATTTGAGCCTCAACATTTACAAACCTTGATTCAAATCATTCAATCCATTCAATCCAGCAAACTAATAGGTATATGTACTTATTGAAGCCTCAGCCTCAGTTTCTAAAATATATTTTCTTCCAAATCCGGGGGGACGGTGGATCTTGGATCTTGGATCTATTAGCCGGGGATCTACCGACAAATACCTACATAACCTAAGCGCATACCCCCTTTATACTACCTAACCTAGTACACACCTCTATGCATGTCAATATAGTATCATATACTTATGTAGTGCATAGTAGCGAGTGTCTGAAAAAGGTATACTATGTTTATAAGTACCTGCCTAGATGCTAGTAGTAGGTAGGTATCTAATCATATGGATTTTCCATTTATACTCTCCATCTTATTCATCTAAAGTCTCCTTGAAGACCTAACCTACATAACTTGCACATACATAAGCCTGCATTCCAAACCCCCTTCTACTCCCAACGCGGAAGAATGCAAACGGATTCCCTCCTAACCTCCCTACCTCCCATACCAGTATCCTAAACCATCTCTCTATTACTTACTAGGCTATTACCTAGGTAGTAGAGCATTACATATTGGATGTATCATATGGGACTGATTGTACCAAAGCTGCTACCGTCACTTGCCGAGTGCCCATCAGAGCTAGCCTCTGACCCTTGCCGTGTTAAACGGGAATTGCCATTGCTTTTTCTCGGCGGCACTTCCAATCTAGTCATTATATCCGTATCGTCTGTTTCTTGCTTAACTCGAATATTGACCAGCTCCATCGCCTCTCTCAATGTCTCCCCGCTTTCATCCATTGCCGCTAGAAACCGAGCCAATTCCTTACAAAGCTCCCAATCCTCTTCCCGGATCGCTCGAGAGAACAGCCGCACTGATTGTTCAGATGCCGCTCCTAGCTCTTCGAATGTGTGTAGTATCAATAAATAACCTCCCGCCGTCTTCAAGGACCCACGCTGGAGGGATTCCTCAAACAACTCTTGCGGCGGAGGCAAGTATGCAAATAATGTCCTCCAGGATCGGACTTCGGTTTTCCTCGTACACTGCACTACAATATCTAGGTATTGCTTAAATGATGATAATAGCGAGAGGACCCTGGGTAAGATCGCAGCTTCCGGCGCGGGGCCTGAATCGACCTCCTCATCTAGCACGTGATGGAGAAGTACTTCCAAGCCATGAGCGAAGTACGCGAGGTTTTCGTATTGTTGTGCTAGTTTGAGCGCAGTAGCGGCATTATTGGCTACCAAATGATATCGTAGGATCTCAGGAAGGAAGAGATGAGTCTATGAGTTATTAGCTTTACACAGCACACACACGTACGTGATGAAAACGAAGATGGGATGCACTAACCCTAATAGAGAAGCGGAAGAAGGAGAAATTGATATCTCGGCGTTGAACCAGTTCAGGCTCAACACCCAATACAATCCCTTTACTTAATAAAACAGATAAAGGATAAAAATCGATAGGCATAGATACTGTAGGGGGTAGTTCTCTTGATGGCTCAGCCAAAGTTGCTCGGAGCACTTCTTGGATGTCGGGCCAGACTTTCAGCTCATGCCCCTCGAAAACCCACAACGAATTCCGAAGGCTGCTCTCTTCTGCCTCCGCTGAGAAACCCGTGCTATATTCGTTCAGCATGTTGATAGATAATTGATCCCTCATACTTGCGTAGAACTCTACGTTGTGAGATATGACACGCATGTCGTATTTGAGCTGCCCCTCATTACTCATCGACGGCTGGAGGAGTACAAGTTTCCCATCCACTAAGAATAGCACCGAAGCGAAGGCGACATCCTGTGAAGGATCGCCATCAGTCATTTGATTCTCGGGCAGTATCCAACTAAGCCCCCTCACTCTTGCGGGAGACCTGACAATGCCATGGAAAGCTATTTGTCCAACCTGTATAGGTCGCACCGCGCCGGAAACGGGTGCAAAGACGAAGTGGTAAAGGAGGTTCTCGTAAGTATAGACAAGCAGAGAATCCTCCCCCATTGGAGTAATCAGAACAATAGGAGCTGGTAGTTGTTGTGTGAACATAACTGTCGAGCTCTCAAGAGCTGCTTCCCTCGAGTATAGGCGGAGCTCATATGATCTGTTGGCCTCGACAGCTGCTACTAGAATGTGCTGATACCAGCACATACCGCCCCTCACTTGAAACTCGTTTTCCATGACCTCATTCGCAAACGTCTTCCACCTACCGCTATTAACACTATAGTGTGCAAGCCCACGCTTACCTGCCACCGCAACATATCTACCATCTGAGGATATGACTGTGCATTTGATGGGCCATTGGTTCAGAAGGTAATTAGAGGGAATCCTAGCGTTATGCCAAAGGAATGGCTCTGCAGAGATGCTAGTGAGATCTGGGAGGTCATAGCCTCGATAAACCATGATAGTCGACGAACTTTGTAACACAGTACGAAAGAGGTTTGGGGGGGTATAACAGCCAGTCACGGCACTTCGCGCCATCTCGAGCAACCAGATGGCCTCATCTTGGCGAGCAACAATCAATATTTCGCATGCGCCGCCAACCCAGCTAGCTTCAGTGACACCGCTAAGCCAACCCTCCTTATTGACAGAAGTGATGGTTGGATTTGCGTTGAAACTATGACTGGCGGTCTTGCCAAATACGCTCCATGTCACCCACCCGTTTTCATAGCCGGCGAATAGACAATACCCATCCGGGGAATAAGCCATGGTTGTTAATGTACCGGAAGACCCAGACGAGACAGGTATTCTGTGTACATGAGAAGGAGGGATATTGCCCGCGTAGTCTCTGGCGGAATACACACGGATACTGCCATCAACGCATCCCACTGCAATGAGTGAGAATCGAGCATTGACGACTGCTCGAACAGCACGATCCCCATTCCCCTGGGGAGAATGGAAGCAGTAGCCCTTAAATAGCTTTTTGGGGTCAAAATCCGTGTCAGTGGCTAGACGAGCTGAGATCCGTTGAACAGCGTAAGCTTTGCCGTCGCTTGTAACCCAAGTGGAGATGTTCATTGGCCGGTCATGGGTCATTTCCCTGATTGATACCTTCTTTTCCAGCCAGCCCATACGGCTTACAAGTTCAGTGCTCGTCTGGTTACCTGTGCTATCGGGTATCCATCGAATGCATTGGACCGCTGCTGGCTTCTTGGTAGCCACAACCAACTCTTCGTCAAGAGCAATGGCGCACTCAATGCCGGCGTCAACTTTGATTACCCTACGAAAGCGAACGCTTATATCACGAACCCCAGCCCCTTCGCCAGGCCCTAGCAGAATCTGATCGGGTGTATTGTTACCAGGGCCTCCGAAGTGGCTTTGCCGCCGCCTCTGAATATTACTATGGTCGGAAAAGTGAGGTTTATAAACACGTGAGTCGGCATCAGTCGCAAGCGAATACGTGATCAAGTAGCCTAAGCTTGTCTGGACAACGAATATAACGGAGTCTGGTCTTAGTAGAAGCGCTACATTAGTACCGTAGGATCTGATTGACGTTTCGGAACGGACGACGACAGCTTGGATTACAGTAGGCTATAGGGAGGTACCAAAGTCAGCACATAAAGTAAGCGGTTCATCCTGCCAAGCACGAACCTTGGTCTGCCATATCGTCATAGAAGAAGCAGTGATGACAGCGAATAGATGGCCAGTCCTAGATACTTTCAAAGCAACGACCGGCTCTCCTGTCGGAAGGCTACCTCCCTCGGCGCTAGGAGCGGCAAAGAAATGGTGAGAATTGGACCCATTTCCATCATGATAGATGTCATGCTCTACCGAGTTTATAGCTGGGGTAGCTGGAGTTCTGAGACCTGGGGTGAAGGGTGGTAAAAGGTTATCAGAGACGACTCGATCCTTCTCATCAACGAGTATGGGAGGCGGCGGGAGGTCAGAACTGGATAAAGAGTCATTGTCGGCAGATGAACTAGAGGCGATGCCATCATGAGATACGACGTGGTTCGTCTTGGCAGAGGTTTGGGTGGTAGTTGTCGCATAGATTCTAGGAGTTCCAATGGGCCAGTACATGGCTAAAAGAGGCCCCTAGAGCCTTCATCCGTGTGCCTAAGTATCAGTGGATCATGGACAGAATGTAGTATAAAGTATGAGCAGCCAATTATGCCGCTATCTCCGCATTCTGTTAGGGTGCAACATAGCGAGATGTGAAGGTAGAGAGCTTTCGTGGAGGAAGGCTGTACAAGGTGGTATGTAGGATGAATGTATGTACAGGATGTAGTTATGTACTACTAGTAGTATGTGCAGGATGTACAGATGTGCAACATCCAACCTTGAATCAATTCAATCATCGATGTTACATAGTACATTAGTACATTAGTACACTAGTGTTAAAGTGTAGGCATCTTACGTACCTACGTCCCCACATATGCATCTACTAATAGTACCAGGTAGGCGCATAAATCAGGCACGGATGTTAGCCCATTGGATAAATTCATTTCAATATGGGGCATTGTTCTACTTACACTGGTTATTATGATATCCACTAATCCCTGCATATGGACTTTCCGTTTGAATCCCGTCAAGGATGCAAGATTACGTAACATGATAACAAACACCCATTGAATGTTTACTTAATACTGTGTGGCATTTCTCACATGTACCATACATTAGGTACACATATGTATGTAGTTACCAATGATCAACATTGATTGATCTTGAATTCATTGTCATGTACAACGTTCATTCATCTTCACTTCAATCCTTTCTTTGATATCTTACTATCAAAGTTTTCTTTGGGCAACCTGGTTATGCAACATACATAATCTGGAAATGCAAGCTTTTATTTGCGCTCCAACAGGTTTCCGTCATGGCGCGCATTGCACCTAGAACGTCTGTTGCGCCCGAGAGGCTCAAGACTCTTATTCCTTCTTTGAAGCCAACCATCTACCACGATCCAGGTACCAACAAGACTCCAAACAAGTAAGTGAAATAGTAGTCTCACCTCACATTCACATATAATTATATACTCTAGTATACTCCAGTATACTCTAGCCTCCTTACAGACTCTCAAACTAACCTTTCTTTCTTAAACATAGCATTCGCACAATCGCCTGGAACCCCTTGGGCAATTATATTGCAACGGGCTGTCTAGACAAGACACTACGTGTCTGTATGTTCTTCACTCTCACATTTCGTGATGATTGGACGACTAATGCTAATATGTGTAAGGGAACGCTGACAAGCCCAATGTTCGCCAATCAACCGAGTTGAAGGGGCACACGGCGTCCATTGAAAAGGTCGCCTTTAATCCCGTCAAGGAGCTCGAGCTGTGTAGCGTGAGCAGTGATGGCGTGGTTAGATTCTGGGATGTCAAATCCAAACAGGTCTTAAACGAGATCAAGGGCCTAGGGGAGACATTCACCTTGGCCTGGGCTCCCCACGGCGGATGTGTCGTCGTTGGTAACAAAGTAAGATTCACCCATCTAAACCGGCCTCCCTCCAACACACGGAAACTTGGAAAACTGATTGTATTAGGAGGACAAATTATTTGTTCTTTCGTCAAAACAAAGCATCCCAATCTCGACTCACCAACAGCCTGTGCAGACTAACAACATTACTTTTTGCTGGAGTAGTGAAAGGATCTTTACTACCACTGGAGATGGGAAGACGAGGATCTTATTATTTCCTAGCTTTGAGCCTGCCTATCAATTCGATTACAAGGACGAGCAAGATGCCGAGCTCCTGTTAGCCGGCCACACCTCATCTTGCATAGCCGTTGAGCTGCATCCGTTTAACCGGTATCTAGCCACAGGTGGTACGGATTCGCTGATTGCACTCTGGGAGACAACAGAATGGAACTGCGTCAGAACTGCGACTAAGATGACCGGTCCTGTTCGGAGTTTAAGTACGTGACTGATTATTGTGGCTCGTTAGTTGATTTATACCAACTAACATTCTTACAGGTTTCTCTTTTGATGGCCTTTACATAGTGGGCGGAAGCGATGAAGGTATGTTCTCAACAGAATTACGTTTATATTATGTGTATCACGAAATTCACATCTAATTTTTGCAGGAGCTGGTATGGAGATCTTCAATTCCGAGACGGGGGAGCATCTCTGCACTTACAAGACCATGACGCCTTCTTCGGTCGTTGCATGGGCCCCGAATCGATATGCAATCGCGTACGCTGATTCAGGAAGCCTACGAGTAATAGGGGCTAGCACCGGGGGTAAATAGGATTCCCTTATGTCCGCACCATAATTCCCCACGAGGTGAATGGGCTTGCAACAGCGAGGGGTAATATCGAACATACGTATGATACCTAATTACTGTAGGTGTAACTAGAGTCCTGACATCTAATTAATCAATTGGTTTACAATGCAACATAACGCAAGATGTGGTAGTAGTTATACAAGATTGTTGTTGCTTGGGTGTAATCCATCATAGGTAATAGATGATAGTATTCATCTAATAAAGGGTTAAGATTCGCTAAATGGCCCTATGTGGTTTAATTGATCTTGACTACGTTGGCTATGTACTTGTCCCGTCCCCTAAACATCGTAGATCCACTCAAAGAGTGTAGGTAGCATCCATCTACATATCACCTGGGCATGTACCTACTACTACCTACATAGTATGCATCTTCAGCTCAGCCCTAAGAAGATATATTTTTATTACTATGTACACATGTATGTATGTAGTACTAGCTGCCTACATCGTAGTACATACAATGTCATACATATCACCGCATTATCACTACGCCTGCCCAAGTTGGGTAGGTACTATGTACCTAATGTGTACAATGCAATGAATGCATACATATGGCAGTGGAGGATTACTAATTCTATTTAGGATTCGCCCTGTAATATTGTATCCTTGTCATTGAATGTTTTTGTTGGTTGTGAACACGCTTTCCACCCTGCTGCCTACAAGTACGTGCAACATTGAACTACACCTACATATCTTTGACACACTGTAATCTGCATGTGTAGAGAAGTTTCTTACTTGCTGACAACATTGAACCGCGTGGCTGTGAAGTTGATTCATTCATTACCTAGTACCTTTCGGATTCCCATCCAATCTATGTCTACCAGATTACATACCTACCAGACTACCTATACTTACGGTAGTAAATACTCAAAAGGTCATAATTCAATTCCACTTGAAAGGCTTAGGCTACCTACTATCCACGATTTTACATAGGTTAAGAGATAACTAGATCCCCGTCCCCAATTCTCCATCCTACATTCTCCACCTTGTGGTGCTTTAGGCCCTCTTTCAAATCTTCCTTTGATCTTCTACTTTTATTACTACTTCTACTTCACAGGCTCGAGCTCAGTCGTGAGATCTATTAGCCAAATGAGTAAAGCTGAATCTTATGACATGAGACAAAATTAGAAATACATATATGCATATATATATATTTGAATATCGAATCGTATTCTCGAATAAGGGGGCGAAAAGGGAAGATAGGATAGGCCACTCGTGGTGGCTAGAAGATTGAAGCGCATTCCGAAATACCACCATTATTCATCCTGGCTCTCCCATCAGCCTATCGCGATATATTTCGTTCCGTATTGGCTTACTAGATGATGTCTACTTCTAACGGCGCAACCTCTGGTGCCGCTGCGAACGACTCCGGATCTCAGGGCGCCGACAACAGTCCGATCGCCGTAATAACCCCTCCTGCTGTTTCTCAACCACAGAATAATGGCAGTATTCCCAGACCGAAACGACTGGCATGTATGATATGCCGGAAACGCAAGCTTAGATGCGATGGCGTCAAGCCTAGTTGCAGCACCTGTACGAGACTAGGACATGATTGCGCCTACGATGAAGTGAGACGAAAGAGCGGCCCGAAACGAGGTTACGTTAAGGCCTTAGAAGAGAGACTGAGTAAGTATTAATATGGGAGAGTTCCGTTAGAGTAAGGGTTATAGATACTAAACCACCACACTCTCCGATGTAGAACAAGTCGAGACTCTCTTGAATAAGACACAGGAGCCAGCACGCACCGCTGGACCCGAAGTGGACAAAACGCCGACCGCTGCTTTCGAACAGAATCGTGGTCAGCGACCGGCAACGACCCCAAATTTCAACGTCAACAATGCCTCCATCGGTATCGCAGCAGATCGTGATATGGACAGATGGCAATTTAACGAGGAATCTCCGCAAGCTGGCAGTGGCTTAGACGAATTCAATTTTGGCGGAAATATGTCAATAAACATGAACAGTAACATGAATAATATAGGCAATATGGACAACAGCTTCACGTGGGAGATGATTGGCCTCGGGCTAGAAGAGCCACTTCCACCTCAGGATACAATCGACGAATTGTAGGCCATCTTATCACACATCCAACTCTGTGGAAATGCATTACGATTCTCTACTAACGTCGATCTCTAGACACCAGATATTCTTTGAGAAAATTCATCCATCGTTGCCCATGATTCATAAATATCGGTATCTAGCAGCGATGAATCTGTAGGTTGCCTCTCTTCCTCCTATTATTCTAGATTACTCTAGATATCTATGCTCAAGCTTTTATTTCTTCACTCATGTGACCTTCTATTCTTACTCAGTTTCTTAGGGCACCGAGTCAAAGGCCGCCCGTCGCATTACGATATGCCATCTGGACCCAGGCTTGTGCCGTGACGGACAAGTATACGGATTTAAGAGACCTATTTTACCAGCGCGCTCGTAGGTATATGGAAGCGGATTCTGTCAAGGGCTACGGCGAACACATGATTTCAGTTGCCCATGCTCAGACTCATGTGCTACTTGCCTCATATGAATTCAAGATGATGTACTTCCCAAGAGCATGGATGAGCACCGGTGCAGCCGTGCGCCAATGCCAGATGTAAGCCACTTTCGTTGAAACTGGCTCGAACTTTTATGTGCTGACAGCATTCAGGATCGGATTGCACAGGCTTGATGGAACAGGCCTTGACGTAAAACAATGCCTTCCTGCACCCCGTGACTGGACGGAGCGAGAGGAGAGACGGCGCACATTCTGGATGGCATTTTGCAAGGACCGATATGCCAGTATTGGCACAGGCTGGCCCATGACAATAGACGAGCGTGATATCATGACCCATCTACCTTCCTCGGAGGAGGCGTTCGAAATGAGCCGGCCGGAGCAGACACAGTCACTTGCAGAGTCAATGAGTCCGGCTGGAGCTGCTAAGCTTTCATCATTTGGTGGTGTCGTGTTAATGGCCTGCCTGTTCGGCCGCAATCTCATTCATCTTCACCGTCCAGATGAAGATGATCGCGACCACGACCTCAACGGGGAATTCTGGAAGCGCCATAGAAATATGGACAACATTTTGTTGAACACCTCTCTCTGTCTACCAAACCACTTAAAGCTCCCCGCTGGACTCTCTAATCCCAATATCGTGTTTACTAATATGAATATCCATACCTCAACGATATGTCTCCACCAAGCAGCTATTTTCAAGGCAGACCGGAATAAACTCCCACCATCTGTGAGCGCAGAAAGCAAGGTTCGCTGTATTACGGCAGCAAACGAGATTGCTAGCATCATGCGAATGGTGTCTCATTTGGACTTGTGTGCGGTGAGTGCTCCTCGTGTTCAATCAACTAGACGATGATATGCTAATTTAACACAGATGAACCCTTTCATATCCTTTTGCTTATACGTGTCTGCACGGGTATTCGTTCAGTACCTCAAGAGTCGGCCGGATGATGGCCAGACGGCGGACTCATTACGATTCCTCCTCGCTGCCATGAATGCGCTGAAACGAAAGAACCCATTGACCGAATCATTCCTGGTACAATTGGATGTCGACTTGGAAGCATTGGGGACGAGAATACCCAAGCTCAAGTCGGCATTTCCAAGAAGTGCGGATAGTGTATGTTCCCCCTTCCTCAATATCGCATATATACCATTAACTCATATTTTCACAGCCCGGCTCCGGTTCCAAGGTACCAAATATGTATCAAAGGTCTAACAGTAATGCGGCGAAATGTGATACTCGGGACGGAGGCAGTGGCATCCTCGCATACCGGGATGCAAATGTGGGAGGTACCGATCCCGAAAACCAGAGTTCGGCAACTGGCGGGGGAAGACCAGAAAGCTTCTCTAGTCAGAGCTGGCAGCAACTCTCCACAGGCGAGCAAAGTTCAGGCCCAGACCAATGTACTCAAGGGGTAATGCCACCGGTAACGTATTCGGGATACGTCGACGGTACAGCGAACGACGCAAATGGCATGTCTACATCGTCAAACACGGACGGACCATCGAATGGACCGACGCCTAACTCGAGCAGCGGCAGTGGTTCAGACAATCGGCAGGGTATGACAGGGACGGGTCATATGGCTAACTCGAGCGGTAGGACGTCGTTCGATACCAGTCCTGTCCATTCTCGTCAGAATCTTAGCCCGCAGGAGGAGCTAGACGCGGCTACGGCAGCCTTCTTCCAAATGGGCCCCGGTAGTGGCATAGCCCCTGAACACAACTTCGGCACTACTGAAACGGCTGGGAACGCGTTCTCGATTCCGAATGGGTGGCCCGGAACATCCGGCATGACACCAGTAACCGACGGTGTGCTTCAAACACTCATAGATATGCGAATGGATTTAGGGTGGGACTCGAGTACATGAAATTATTCCCACTTAGTTCGGTAGACATGTCAATGAGGCGGGGAAAATGTTAGTAGTATCATTCTGGTGGATTTGATACTTGGTGCAGAACTGGTTTTGCTGGGACTTGGATACCTCTTGAGATATATATATGGATGGATCAAGCTACGAGAAAAGGGCGTTTCTTGGTGCTGGATGGGTTGGCCGACTCTAGCGTGGAGGAGACATACGAAATAAGGATTATATGTACTATATATACCTACTGGCTAAATGCCGTGACGTGGCCTATGAGTTATAGTATTAGATACGTTGGCGACGACAAGAATCCCACTTACATCTATATCTACATGCCACATACCTATTACCTGCCCACTTGCTTACTTGCTTACGTGCTTGTTTACTAAGTATGTAGGAATATATACTAATACTATGTATAGTATTGTATACGTTAGGGCCTACTGCAGGATCTACTGTAGGGTATATCCTTTCTTATAATACAAAAACTAAAAACAAGTCGTCATACATTTTGTCTATCACGGGACAATTACAAAACACGGGGCATAAGCTTCTTCGTATTAGAAAGTACTAGTTCATACTAGTCTGGACCCAAGGAAAGTCAACAAAAGGGATACTATTCCGAAGCTTCAACGTGTTTGATAATAAGAGGCAATGAGTTAAAACGGCGCAGTTGGAGTTGGAGCAATTTGTCGGAAAGGAGGGGCAAATATGTATTGTTATGTACCCTAGGTAGGGTCACTGCGACTCAGTGGTAGATAGTGCGTCCAGATCTTAGATACAGTAACTGCCTGGGCAGGCTGGGCTCCTAGGTCCCTAGGTAAAAAGTAGCTAGGTTAGGTTAGTAAGTATCGTCAGGGTCCATTTCCCATTGTCGGTGGTTGCACTGGTTGCTGCAGTTCTACCAGGATAAGTCTAGGATGAGCCCAGAACAACAGGCTTCAAGGTTTAAGAGGTGGGACACTAGCATGATAAGGTAGGGCACTACTTAGATACTAGACCAGGATGGATCAGACAGGTGTTCATTTGCCACTTCTGGACTAGACTCTCCGTTCTGTCCGCTCAAGGAACCAGGTCTGGCCGCCCTGGCAGCCTAACAACTCCCTAAAGCCTGCTGGGTCTACTATGTAGTTATTATGTTGTAAGCAAACTTGGGGGGCATTTTGGGGGGGAAAGACAGGGGGGGCAGGTTGGAGATTGACGGGTTGGTGGGGCAATTGATGAAGTTGCACCTATTCCTTCTTCTTTTTCAGCTTCTATCGGCGTTTTTTGCACTTTCATCTGACTCTATTTCCCTTTTCCAACTTATTATTGTTTTTTTTTTTTTTTCTTTTTGCCTTTGTACATTCTGGGCAACTCCCGAGTCTATTAAAACTACTAAACTACTAAACTACTTTCCGCATTGCCGGTATCGTCCGATTCGATCAAACCTAATTGCTCCTTTTTTTTTCCCTGCTCTTTCCCTGGACAGCCTTGACAGCGCAATTCTCCAACTAAAACAAAGCTTTCGAAGTCAAATCATGACGGCGAAGATACTTCGCCTACGACAACCAACTTGAGAATGGGGTAAAACGAGCTGCTGGGCTGCGCCGAATATGTTCAGAGGCACTAAGAAGCGGAAGAAGAAGAAGCAGTAGTAGTAATAGCAGCAGCAGCAGCAGCAGCAGCAGCAGCAGCAGCAGCAGTCGCAGCAGTCGCAGCAGTCGCAGCAGTCGCAGTCGCAGCGAGAGTATAGAGGAATGGGAATGAGAGAGAGAGCCTTGGAGTATTATCATCAACAACATAATGGACCCCGCCTCGAATCCTTTCCCACCGCCGCCGCCACCACCACCTCCTCCTCATCCGCCGCCTCTACCTCCTACTTCAAGGACGAACAATTCGCTGTCGCACGAAATTCACCATCACAACCATCACTCCCAGCAAGCGCATCACTTCCGTGTCCCGAGTGTGTCGTCACATCCGAACTTGAGTTTGCCTACTCTTGATACCAACGATCCCGCCGTCTTCCGACGACATCTCCAACGCTTACATGGTGTACCCACTGTCCCTATAATACAAGACGACTTCGTTCCTCATGCCCAAGATGGTTTCGATCGTGACCCGAACCCTGCCCACATGCTTCAGCAGACTCATAACCAACCCACCGCTACCCTTCATCACACTCCTCGTCAACAACGTACCTCTCTTCCACCCTCGTCCTCGCATCCAGCCCCGCCCTCGCAGGGCCAATTCGGCGTTCTAACACAGAATCCCATGCCTCAACCGAGTATAATACCTCAGCTTCAGCATGAAGATGATGTCTTCACCCAATCGGCCCAGATGGGTTCCTCGGCCCCTGATACTTCTGATCACAGACCGCACGGCCAATTAGTTAATCGAATAGTCGTTGACCCACCTGATCTCCAAGCTTGGCGCGAGAAGTTGTTCAATGTTGACGATACTATTACCCTGACCAATGACGAGTAGGGAGCAGATTTTGCCTTGGGAGTTGAGTTGTTAGACTAATATTAATCTAGGTTCGAAACTTACTTCCCTCATATCGACAATGTTTATTCGCATCGCTCTACGCAGAAGTACAAGCGCAAACCTTTCGTCTCGCATTATTGGGACTGCCGAATGAAAGGGCGACCGCCCGGAACCCCCAAATCAGATGATCCCTCTAAGAAAAAGCGTAAACGAAGCGCGCGCGAAAGAGATCTTTGTGACGTCAAGATTAAGATCACTGAATATTTCCCAGGGGCGACAATACTTCAAGGCGATGGAGACACGAACGTCAACTTAGCCCAATCAAGCGCCTACCAATCCCCGCCACGCCAACTATTCAACGAAGGGCTACCACAGTCAGTAGACCCTCACCTGAGTGGTGAGAGATTTTGGACCATACAGCGAGTCAATGGAAACGGTGGGAATGGGAAGGGCGACGGCGTTGCTGGCCCCCACAAGCATAGCTTGGAGAAGAGCGATGAAATTAAGAAATCTACCGTTCAGAGATATATCGCCGCGCAGGAGAAAGAGTCAAAGAAGATTCAGGTGGGTCGTTCCTTGTATCATAGACACATGGTTGCCTTTGCGCCCTGTTTTATATATGGGAATCATCTTTCAACATCTAGGCGATTTCGGTTATTTGTTTTTTATTGTCTTCCCCCCCTGGACGCAGCGCGGTGCAGGAAAGGGGGGGGAAGGGAGTACTATAAAACTGGATCACCCCATAAAGCATTCGTCTACATTATCCTTATGGTTGTCTATTACCTAGGCAGGCCCACGGCAACTTAGAATACATGTCGAGGATGTTTGGATACTAACTCAATTCCGCTCCAGAAACCGTTACCCAGGAGGATTTCGGGGGCCGCGCTTGCAACAGCGAAAAAACACTCCAAGGAGCATGATCTAAAGCTCTACGCTGCTTGCTTTTGGTAAGTCTTAATTCTAGAATCTTGAACGCCTCGAGAGCTGATAGGCCTCCTTATTAGTCCCTTCTCCCAGCGAGTATGGATCGCGCTGGAAGCAAAGGGTATGCAATATCAGTATTGCGAGACGGACCCGTTCAAACGGCCAACTCACTTGCTCGAGGCAAACCCACGAGGTTTAGTTCCAGCTATCCGCGAGGGAGATTGGGCGAGCGGTGAGAGTACTATCATCTTGGAATATGTAAGTGATCGAAGTTATATGGTGAAGATGTTCCCCTGATCACTGGCCCCCCCCTGACCAATCCAGCTTGAGGACCATGACCGAACTGTGCCTCTCTTTCCTACAGATCCGAGGCTCAAAGCGAATTGCAGATTATGGATTGACCATGTAGGTTATCTGTTATTGTTATTGATTTACTAGGTACCTACGTAAGTACATTCGCAATAAAGGTAGCTGACTCGTGCAGATCAATGCGAAAATCGTCCCGGTTTTCTTTGCTCTGGCGAAGACGACTGATTTCGCCAAGCAGTCAGAATATACAGATAGACTACGAGGTGATATAACGGCTCTCGTCCAAGCCGCAGACGAACGGGTTTGTTTACTTTTCCAGGGGAACTCTCTCAGACACTCGTTTAACTTGTTTTGCAGGGCCCATATTTCCTAGGGGGAGATTTATGTCTCGTGGACATCCATTTTGCGCCGTTTGTCCTTCGCATGTCCCGGATACTTCGCGAGCTTCGTAACTGGGGAGACCCCATGCCGGGCACCCGCTGGCAGCAATGGACGGATGCTCTTGAACACAACCCGCATGTCCAAGCTACAACTAGCCAGAAGGAGTTGTATATTGAGACCCTAGACCTCTTTTTGAACAGTCGTCAGCCTCATGGCGAACACTTTGGATCTTGATATCACTCTTTACCGACGCACATTGTTATAGCTTATTTCTTATGAATATATATATATATATATATATTTACATATATATATTGAGAGACCTACGAATACGTATAGACTGGGATGATGGAGAAGTACATACCTAGGTATAGAAAAGGATGTGCGGGGAAAATAGGGGCTGGTTTCTGACTTGTTTTCTTCCTCCTCGTGCCTGTTCGCCTTTTGGCGATAAGCAAGAAAATCGAGGTTTGGGAGGGAAAGAAATTGATAAATAGCATCTTGGTATAGGAGTCGCGGATTTGCAAACGGCCAACCCCCCTTATTACTTATTTTTGTTGGTCCTTGGAGTTTCCCAAGGTTTCGAATACATATACATATTACACACGAGGCTCCGTGTATTTGTACGTACGTACTGTACTGCATGTATCCCACTATTGGACGAGATTAAATATATACATATACCTACTCCGTACCTACCTATGTATGCATCTATCCCCCAGCCACTCTCTCTCTGTGATGTCGCTCCCTTAGACCCAGGCCATTGTCACAGCTAGACCGGAAACCCTCGCCATTACCATGAACTCTTCCCATATCAATAGACGACGGGGCTATCCTCCTTGGATCGCGGCCGTCCATTGGAAAGCTGCTGTATTACCTATGCATCTGTGAGGACATCAACCCAAACAAGTATGTCTCGGGCAAAAAGATGTACGACCTCTCAGTACCTACGTAGGAGTCGGTCCGAGAGAACGAGCTCCGTAGACGCAGGCTGAGGCTTCAGGAAGAAAGGGCAGCAGCCCTAGCCACTTCTTCGGCCACCACCACCACGGAAGAGCCGCCGCCTAGTCAGGATGAGCCCACGGCAGCAGAAATCAGAGATATATATTTAAAAGGGAGGAGGAAAAAGTACCGAGTAGACATGATTCTCTCTACGTGGCCCGCAACGTCGGCTTGCGCGAGATCATGAGATAGTTCGAGGCGACGATCAAGAGGGAGATCTTTCTCGCCACCGTGCTTGACATGAAAGTTACCTTCCCCGTCAATGAGCTGTTCTCGGACGAGGAGATTCCATGACGGGTTATCCACGTTTTGGTGCGAAAGGAAGGCTCTATCTATCTTGGAAACTTCCCATGATAGCGCTCCAGCTCGAGGTACCTATCGGGCACTTTCAGGGGGGGCTCTATGTTTGGCTGGCTCGTATTTCTCCTTTGCCTGAAATCTATTATATATAGGTACTGCCAGGCGTGTCTGAGAACGAAGACACACGCACACAAACACATCGCGTTTCCACGTCCCTGGCCTGCCTATACTCAGTAAAACTTAGTAACCCACTAGGGAACATGGAAAGGCGTAGGAGTTGAGCAGGCCATTGCATGATCATAGGAAGTGCTCGAACCAAGTACCTACGTGGGATACAGACGTAGCTGGGCGTACCTAGTTAATGTAGTTTGAATACCTAAGAATAAGAATAAACAGCAAATTACATCGTTCACAGCCCGGCCTCTACATACATACAACTTCTATGCCATCGAAGTTTCGATGTAACCCAAATTACACACCCAGTACCCAACGACCTATGATGAGTAAGATAAGATATAACATAACACATGAGAACACATGTAGGGAACATCAATTTGGCTCAAGAGAGATGTGCTACCTACCGATGTTGGCGTCTACATCGTTCAAGTAGGTACTATACTTCATACCTATAGTTAATGCGATTTCGCAAACTCATCCATCAATCACATCCGAGATCCTCAACTTTCCAGTCTAGTAGAATAGAACGAAGGATGCAAAGTGTACATAGTTACATACATACAATAGAAAAAGAAACAGACATTTATGCACGCCAAGTAAACCAAGCAACCCCAAGAATCCCATAGAAGAAGAAAACAAAACCAAAAAAATATCAACTCAAAAAAAAAACCCAACCAAATAATCACGGGATACGGCACAAATGCCCATCGGATAGCGGCGCCGCGTGTCGTCCGAGTCCGGGGCTAGCGAGTTTTGGGGAACCCTTTTTTCTTGTAATCTACCCTTTTCTTAACGATATCTTCCGTTTCTTTTTGGTCAGGCCATTTTTCAATTTTTTTTTTTCAATTCACTAAAATTATTTGGTAGAACGTCCGTCATGGGTTGATCATGCCATGCATGATACACATGCCTTATGCAGGAGACACACAAGACAAGACAAGACAAGACAAGAAAATAAAATAAAACTCGTGACAGCGCGGGGTTGGTTGGCTGAGGGTTGCCTACCTAACCACTAACCACTGCACTGGGTTCTTATTAATTTACTGTGTAAAAGAGTAGGAAAGTAGAGAATAAAAAGGGGGGGAAGGTATCGTAACCTTTCGTGTTTTGACGAGGTTGCAATCTTTGAATAACACAGTAACACAATCAATCGACTCATTATCATCACCAATCAAGGAACCCACAAAGGGGATACACAGAGATCATGACCAAGATCATCTTATCCATCAACGCGGGGTCCAGCTCCGTCAAGATCTCGGCTTACTTGGCGAAACACCGCGGAGCCCCTCAGCAGCTTGCCGAGGCTCAGATTAACGGCTTGACGGCACCGCCAGTGCAGCTTTCCTATACGCGAGGGGACGTGAACGTTTTGAAAAACCAGGAACAGGAAGCCAAGATCGAGGATCAGGACGCTGCCTTCAAGTTCCTTCTAAACACCTTCACCAGCGATCCGGAACTACCGGAACTATCCACCAAGGCTGACATCTCCGTCGCCTGCCACAGAGTAGTCCACGGCGGGGACTACACCACCTCCAAAGTCATAACCCAGGATACTTATCATCACCTGGAGAAGCTTACCGATCTAGCGCCTCTGCACAACGCTAATTCATTACACATCATCAAGTCATGCATGGATGAGCTGCCCGGGGCTCTCAATGTAGCTTACTTCGACTCGCAGTTCCACTCGTCCATCCCCAAACACATATGCACATACCCCATCGACCCCGAAATCGCCAAGAACAATCAGTTGCGCAAGTACGGCTTTCATGGCATCAGTTATTCCTTCATCACCTACTCTGTCGCTAGCTTTCTTGGCAAGGACCCCAACGACTTGAGTATTATCGCTCTGCACTTGGGTAGCGGTGCGAGCGCATGTGCTATCAAGAACGGGCACAGTTGGGATACCAGCATGGGTCTAACGCCTCTCGCGGGACTTCCCGGTGCAACGCGCAGCGGTAGCGTCGACCCCAGCTTAGTCTTTCACTATGCGAGCGACGTGGGGAAGCTGTCGCCGTCGTCCACCAAGGACCTGCACATCTCGGTGGCCGAAGAAATCCTCAACAAGCAAAGCGGCTGGAAAGCACTGACGGGAACTACTAATTTCGGCGTGATTGCAACATCGGACAAACCCGAGTGTAAGCTAGCCTTTGACCTGCTCGTCAACCGCATCTGCGGCTACGTTGGGTCGTACTATGTGGCGCTTGAGGGAAAGGTAGACGCGCTTGTGTTTGCAGGCGGCATTGGTGAGAAGAGCGACAAACTGCGCGATGCCGTGGTTGGGCACGCTGCGTGTCTGGGGTTTGAGATCGATGCGGAACGCAATGCGGCAAAGATCCAGTCCGTTGTGCAGGATGTCGGCAAGCAAGGCGCCAGGCACCGAACTCTTGTGTGCCTCACGGACGAGCAGTACGAGATGGCCCGGGGATGCACCGAAATGGACGAGTTATGGCAATAGCTGAAGTTGATTATAGACATGCATACAGACATGCATACATTCATATCATGATACCGGAGATGGACATATAACAGGCTAGAGGCGGGTGGAGTTGCAATGGCTGGTCGTTTACCTGGGTAGGTAATTATTTAGACGAAACATACATACCTGCCTTAGGCTGTCTATAGTGACATTCGGCTAGATCTTACCGAGAAATCTTGTAATCGTCAATTAACATTTTTTTCCGATCCGCGTTGTGAAGGCCGATCTGGAGAAACGACCACGTAACTGGTGAGCCCCATTTAGCAACCAACTATGTACCCGCCTAGTTACCCGCCTAGTCAACCTAGACGGCGCATCCAACAGGGCCATCAGAGTGAGGGGATTCCCACAACATGACAAATAGTCCGATAATTTTTTTTCCTTCCCGCCTAAAGAAGAATGATCGACAGGTACGAGGAGGGGAGGGTAGACCCGCCAGACCCGCCAATTCACCTTACATAGTAAGGCGGTTCAGCTGACAAGCGCGAGGTATGTACGTAATAGTGTAGAAAGGATTCTTATATAATCCATTGGCAACGAGTGCGTGTGATGGAATGGGGATAGGAATAGGAATAGGAATAGGAATAGGAATATGGGGATGGGGATAGTGGAGTTTGAGTGCTTGATGCTTTGAACTAAAAAAAGTAAATAACATATATGACATAAATAACATTAACAACATACCCCGTCTTTTATGGAACCGGAGGTCTTTCTTCTAACAGGTAGCCAGAGCCTCCGCCGAGAGGGGACAGAAGAAAGCTGCAAGGTAACGGAAGGGGGGAGACAGACAGTGGAGGACCAGGATTAGGGATAAATTGAGGGTTTGAGGGTTTGAGGGTTTGATTGAAAAAGTATGGGGTGGACCGACGCAACCCTAAATGATCTAAAATGATGACGACGATATGCTTGATGCATGATGACGTCGATGGGGAAGGAGGAAGGGGGAAGAGGGAAGAGGGGGCTAAGGGGGTTGGACTTTCCACGATAGAGCCAACATTCAACTCGGCTCAAACCCACAAACGACACTACTCAAACTTACATCAATGACCCTCATTCTCTAACTCACAATCGAGACTTGATTACATACAATTGTGGCGTATACCTAAACCACAAAAAAAAAAAGGGGGGGGGGGTTCTTCACCATCTCCAAATTAAAGCGGTGCCCAATGCCCATGTGTTTGTTGTGTTACCCTGAATTTTTATATATACATATTTCTTAGGTAACTTGTGGCACAAATTGCCGCCGCCACACGATCCTTTTAGTCTATTATCCCTATAGGGCCCTACTTCGATATCCAGAATGCAAAGGGGCGGAGAAGTAAGGCTCTGGATCATCAGGGTCTTTGCCAAGAGCAAAGGAACTGCCAGCAAGCCTGATGCAGACATCGTGGCCCCGAGGTGAGCTTTAGCGTTTGTTTAGTTCGGCCTTCGTCGACAAAATCGCCGAGCTTTCGAAACGTTTGGCTTTCTGACGCCAATGTCACGCCATGTGCCAGATATCTTGTGGATAGAGGTAACCTAAGCTAATTATAATTTTTATAAATTTTTTTCCCAGCTTAGAAAGGTAGGGCTACCAAGATAGGGCTCAAGGATTAAGGAGGAAACCATTAGAAAATATTTTTATCATTAAACATTGATTCTCATTTTTCGTATGCAGTCCGCCCCTTTTAGGTTTCGGGCGGATGTTGGTATCTAATGCCTTAAAATCCCCCCAACGTTATGTATATATCCAAATAAATGAGAAATGCCACCAAAACTCAAGTCCTGGGACCCCTGATGACAAGTCCTTGGACACAACCTCTCTTTATGCGCCTGTGAATGCGCTCGTATATGCGAGTATACATGTACTCGCCGTCACTGTGGTTTTGTACAGCTCTTCCGTCTTTTTCAGAAGTGGAAATCAAACATCAAGGCAGTAAACCAAACAGCCTTGGTCTCCGTGTCTTGAACAGAGAAAAGCGAAGAGCACTTTATGCTCTTTGTTTGCGTTTCCTAGCCGCCTTTGAATATACAAAAAATAAATACGGTGCACCGTCGTATGCTTTGCCCGCCATGGTATCGATAATATAACCCGTAAAAAATGTTCCCAAATGTACCGAAACGCCATGTAGAAAAGACAAACCCCTTTCGTGCCACTCAGCCCCTGGCAAGCACGTAGGGCACAATATGAAATGAGCTCATTACCCCTTCATTAATACCATCTTGAGCGCCGCGCGGTGTCATGCTGACATCAAAGAAAAAGGAAAAAAAAGGAGAGAAGGTAAGATGAGGGAAATGCTAGGCACCTTCCTGACAGGCGATTGCCGCGAGCGCATCTAACCCGCTACTGGTCCTTGCCGCGCTTGGACGACTCATGAGGGGAATGTTGAGGCCACGCATGTCCCAAGCGCCGCCCGGAGACGGAAGTGGTTGTGCGTCAGAGCTGTATTGGTCTTGTTCCCACATGTGCATATCGGGAGCGGGTCCACTGTGGTGCGAGGACGATGATTTGGAAGATATTGAGCCCCGCTTGGAAGAGGAGGAAACGGACGAGCTCTTGGATTTCGACGAAGTGGAAGATCTCGACTTATCCTTAAAGTGGGTCTCGAGGTGTTGCTTCATGTTGTCTGCGCGTGTGAACTTCTTATGACAGCCAGGGTACGTGCATTGAACTGCTTTCTCGGCAGTATGAATCTTGGAGTGACGAGAGGCATGTCCCGAAGTGGTGAAGGTCTTTTCGCAACCGTGACTATCGCGATAGCGGCAGGGATAGCGTTTGCCAGTTTTCTCAGGTGCGCCGGAGCTAGCGGAGCTGTCGTCTTCATACGAGTTGGACCGACTGGCAGTGGCATAGACAGGGCGCTTCGTAACAACCTGTTGATCGCAGTAGTAGTCGTCGTATAATTGTCGCGCCGGGTAGTCGTACAGACCGGGCGTCAATGGAGAATAGGCTTCATAGCTAGCGTTGGAGTCGTACGAGTCTGAACGAAGAAGCTCCGGGGTATGAGGCGGCGGTGACTGATCGCTAGCAGTTTGGTAGTGGGTAGCTGTTTGGTATGACTGGTGGCATGCATATGGGTCGTCGTTCAGGAGCGAGACCTGACGACCGGTAGCGTCTCGGGCGTGCATTGTAGCTGTGAAGGTGGCTTAAATTGTGGTGGCCGTTGATATTGAAGCGTCGTCTCACTTTTCTCGGTAGTTTTCTTTCTTAAGCCCAAGTATAAGATTGGTAAAAAAAAAAAGATATGAAAATTGAAAACCACTGGCAATGGGAATATAGGCGACAGCAGAGCAGTATTTGTGCTCAATGGAGCATGTAATCAGGTTCTGGAAGATATATAAGGTTTTGCTGGCGGCAGCTAAAACCGGCACAAATCGGTAAGAGGGATTGTGTGAAGGTGGGTATATTTAGAATCTAGATTAACCAGGTCTAGTTGATGGGCGACAGGGAGGTGGATGAGGGGATTAATGAGAAAAATAAGGGAGAATATTGTTGGTTGACATATAGGGATGTTGGGAAGGAAAAACCAAAGGTTGAAAAGTGAGGGCGGCTTCTCATTTTCGTGTGTGAGATACGACGGGAAGTCAGTTGGTTAAAAAGGAACATGGGAAAGGCAAGAATCCCATCGAGTTCCAGTTTCCTCCACATCCGCCAATGCGTGCAAGTACCTCTGGTGGAGCATTTCCACCAGGAGGACACTAAAATGTACAAGTACAGGAGAGGAGCGACAAAGAGTGTTGCATAGTGGACCCAGGCTGACAGGGTCAGGGGTCGCTGTTACGTAGCAAATGGTTCCAAAAAAGAAGTAGAAGCGGGGGACTCGGCATATTGTACCTGACCGAGTATCACAATGTACCCTTTACGCATTGAGCTTTAACGCTCATGTACTTTACATATAACCTATGTATCATTTGTACTTTGTAGCAGTAGAAAGATCGTCGTCACCGCTTATTCCTGGCCTTACCGACTTACATAGTACTTGAAAGTAGGTATACAAGGGATATATGTATAGCAAAATTACATATAACTACTTACATGAATAAATATACATGAAGATATCCATCCATTGAAAGAGAAAGAGAAGCATTGATTCTCGTATAAACGTATAGCAGCATACATGCCTACATATCCCAAGTCTCCATACTATGTACGTAGTAAGTATAAAACCTCAAGTGCTATAAACATAGAGTTGAGCTGACGCGGAGTTTGGAACTTAGTATCTATAGTATCTAGGAAGACCGTTTATAGCAAGCCAACATTAAAGCCAACATTAAAGCCAACTCAACTCAACTCAACTCAACTCAACCCAAACCAGGCCAGGCCAGGCCAGGTATGTAGGTTGCCGAGTTTAACTTAATTCTCAAGTCGAACGTGAATATGATGACTGATTCATCGTATCCGGACTGTTCTATGATTGACACGAGGGTCTATATCGATATCCATTCCATAGGGCAGAGACTCAAGGGCCAACCTCGTGAGAAAGTACCCAGGTATGCAGGTTGAAAGTACATACATACATACATACATAGTAGTCGACAAAGTACATACAGCACGCTGAGACAGGTACATGGAGGTTCGTCTTGATATGCACGGTACGTACTACTGATCATCAGGCACGTTTGAATGTTGCATTGCTGAGATCTTGTTAGCATATCTCGCTTGACTTCCTCGATGGGTGCGAAGTGTTTATCTGCATAAGTACCGCCAGGACTATCTTGGGATACTAATCACTAGATGCATCGACGTATTACCTACAGTAGTCTAGGACCCTGTTTAGCATTCCGTTGTTTCGTGCCTTTCTTAGCATGGTATGTCCGCAAACTGCCCATAAGGAGAAACAAAATTCCAGAAAGGAGAACTTATGTTTTAGGTCACGCAGGTGTGGCGCTGATTTTGATGTCAACATGAATGATGACGTTGTGAGGCTTGGAGCTACATGTATGTACCCGAGTCATCTTGACCCTTAGGGTATCGTCCCAATCCCTTACAGATTTGCGATACATATGTATGTATGTATGGCATTGTTGAAACTAGATAGTGCTACATGTAGGTAGATATGTGTGTATATGTATGTATGTATGTCAGCCGTAGATCGAGTACAGAAGCCCTTGGTTATTGTATTTCAATAACTAGAGCATTGTATGTGATATCGATCAATGTTTATGGAAGTACATAAACTCTATCGATTGTCTTATATGTAATTCTTGCTACACTTAAGGCTACACATGTATGTTGTACGCATTGGTATACCTAGTCTGTAGGTAGGTATGCTCTATACAAGGCTTCACTACCAACATTGAAACAAAGAATAAAAGAATATTACAACAACATCGAAACTCGATCTCACGTAGGCAGTTACCAAACTCAGGGTTCTCGGAATACCCTTGGTGCAGCATCAAATCCCAAGATTTCTTCATCGGAATTCGATTCGTCGGCTTGCGCCTCGGAGGCGTTTGCGTCGAGGATGCAAGGTTTGGGGTACATGCAGTAACATTCATCAATTAACATACGTAGCAAAGGTACATACCAGTGACCTTGGTGGGACAAAGAATTGAAAGAGACCATTTTATGGTATTCTTCGTAGGGGTAAGGGTAACATAGTAAGTTAGTAACATACTAGGTACCCTACTACTAGTAGTACTGTACAATACCTAGGGTATGTAGGTAATTCAAACTGAGCCTCTTTAACAGAACCGCATCTTCCGTCAAAATATTCTCTGTCATGAATTGGATAAATTATGAACACTTTTCTTATTTTGGTTTTATTGTTACATCTGTAACATTTCTATAGCTTTTCTCACTCCCGAATCTCGTAAGCTGCAACTAGTGTCCGCAGTTAAAGGTGAGATAAGTGATAGTGGATATGTAGAGCTACCAGTCTGTAGTACCAGGTAAAGAGTACTAGGTATCAATAGCAAGGTACCTTTTAGTTCGAATGCTACTTTTTCAAAATGCCATGCTTCTCTTAATCCCCACTCCACTCCTCTTCACCCATCTCGATCCCCGGCTATCTATTTCCCTTTTTTGTTATTATGTATGCACACATTAAGCACATTAAGCCACATTTTGTGTTTGGGTCTCACAAGACACAAGCTCGGCAGGTTGATCTGCTATGTGAGTATGTATGTATGTAGGTACGCATGGAATAAGTTGCAAGTCATTGACTCATTATTATTATTTTTTCATTAGTTCCATCATTTTCAGGGACCTGAGAGAGTAGATATCCAGGATTGTGGTTGCACAAAATCGGAGAAAAACGACCTGACAGTTTCGCATAGTCGACCAGTTCAATTCAATGTTAGGTTGACATGGTCCAAAAGGGAAAAGAAAGCGGTGGAAATCATAAGAGAGAGTGATGTCATGAATAAAGAAGAATGAAAATATTTCGGGGCGGGTCAACATAATGTTTAATATCAATTGTCAATGCTTTGATTATTATTTCATTCGTTTTGATTTTCTTCTTTTGTTTTTGTTAAAAGAAAAAAAAAAGATAAGGGAGGAAAGAAAGAATTAACAACGACATCTGCGACATCTGCGATGTCCACTATTCTACATAGTACTTGGTACTTACGCCGTATGGGGTTTGAAGGAAGATCGAGATTTTCGCAAGCGATCTGAAATGACCACCACCAGCGGTTCCGCCGACCCACTTCAAGTATTGTGGATCTCGGCAAGGGGCCGGGTCACTATCACTCCCACATGGATTATGGATACACATGGGTTTGGGTTTGGGATTCCCACTTTCCATAAGTACATGTACCAAGAAACAATTCTGAGAGGAAAGAATAAAGCAGGTTCAAAAAAAAAAAAAAAAAAGAAAGAAAGAAAAAGAAGAAGAAAAGTTAAAAAAAGAAGGGTCTTCTATCCCGAAAAGACGGCGTCAGGGCAACTCCTTCATAATTAACATTCCATAATATTATTATTAGTCATCCTGAACCTCTCATATTTTATATTTTATTTTATTTACAGTAGTTATCTAGAAACTATCATCAACATATACAAAGCAATAAAGCTTAGGTGCTTAGATGTATCTTACCCCTTTGACAATTGACAATTGACAATGGACAATGCGATACCTTCAATTCCTTGTATTTTCTGTGTACATACCTCTCATCCATGAATAGTGTACTTTGGAGGAGTGCAATGCCCCACGTATCCCCCCTCGACGATGGTGCATCGACATAATTAGGCGACGATGTGGATGAGAAATAATAAAAAGGGCAGTTATTCCAGTACTACCTAAACTACCTACCTAAACGGAATGAATTGGAATTCCTCCAGTCCGCCGCGCCAGTTTCTTGTCTGCAAGTCGCAGCAAATTTTCTAGGGCATCCGCAACACAAAGATCTGAATAATGTTAGGCAATCGGCTGATCGTCAGCAAGGTGTCCACCGGGTTTCCACATTACTGGAACACCCCTCTGCTCTGTTATCTCCTTAGCTCCCCTTCGTACATATATCTTGGTATCTTCGTATAGCGATCAAAAGATACATACTACCTACCGAGCCTAGCGAGCCGCCTATGTACTTCAAATGTTGCTAGATCATCAATCATCAATCCAATAGGCACTCGTGTTCGAGTTCGATGTTTTATTGAAGAAGCTTACATGGCACAGGTAGGAACTTGACGATATAACTACCATGATGGAAGCGGTGCAGCCAAATCGACTAATCTTTTCAGGCAATTCCATTATTAACATTGAGAGCATTTAGCGATTCAATAATTTATCGAATATCGATATCCATATCCATATCGGCAAGTCATCATATTCTGATCAACAACTTTAGTGTCGCTGTTGAAGATGCTGAGTTTCAATTGGATCATCTACGAAGCACACTTCACTACACATTTCCGATGAAATATCCTTCCCCTGGATCTGAAATCTGTACCATAGTAAGGAAAAGAGGACTCTACCTGAGTCTAGTCAAGTTTGTATTGCTTCAAATCGGTACTATTTACTATGTATAGTAAACCGTAATATCGTGGAGAAAGATCAAGTTTATTTAGCTTGATAGAGATTTCCGCTAATTACTCAACTACCATGGCAGTCAAAATATCACTAACCTAGAAGCATAAACCAATCTGACGCAAAAGCTTCCGATCTGTGGACGCACATGGTACATACCAGATATAGCTGTGGTCGGCCTTGGTGTTGAGAAGGATCCTTGTAGAAATTGGTTGTTACTAACTTGGTAGATGGCATCATTTATCATTTATCGCGGGGACGAGCTCTCGGACCTTTAGGTCCATTCTAATGATTCTATAACTCGGCCGAAGGTGCGGAAAGTGGTTCTCCCCCCATACCCGTTTTCAAGTCCCTTGTTTTCCGTCTCGGTAGCTTGGCCTAGCCACGACTACCCTTAGGGCCAAATTCCAATCTAGGGGCACATTCTAAGGCTTGGGAGTTTCGGTATTTTCTCGTTCTGAACGGGCCTGGGCCCGTACCTGATAGTGGCCTGTTTTAGTAGGCATTTCCCTATTGCGAATAAGTCAGGCCATTGGATCCCGGATGGAACCCCGTACCCAGCAGTCCAGCTAGACACTTAAACCCCTGTTATTGTATTTACGGATCGTACAATACAGTAATTAAGGGTAGGTACCTTAGCGTAGGGAAAGATGCCTACAACGTAGTAGTTAGATGCTGTTGAACTTGGAGGTCTAGATGGTGAGTATGGGAAAAGGAGGAGGACCCACACATTATAATCGCAAACGTTCGAGTATCAGTCCATTAAATCGAACAGAAAAGCCTCACAGGAAGAGATATCGCGATAGAGTTCCAAATACCCAATACAGAATACTCAATACCCAATACCCCCACATCCATCACGTTATGATGGCCTTTTAAATACTGCTTCACCTTGCTTATCTGCATGTAAGAAGATCGAGTCACAACTCACACGAGGCTCTTGGATCCCAATTTATGTATGTATACATACATATACATACAGTATATGCTGCCTTGTATGTATATAATATACCAATCCAGGCATATATATGGCTAGAACCTGGCAGGTCAGCGATAAGATTCACATTTACAGATACGCGCGTCATGATAATCTCATCTCCTGGGGCTAGAACATATTCTTCTTGCCCTCATTGCAACCTACCTACTGCACACATCAAAATGTAATGAAGCCAACGACGCGTGCGTCACCTTGGGCCGAGTATAGCTACAACAAAGCTATAACATACATATCTACAACCAACTCGATCTTATATGTACATAAATGCAGGAGTACTTGGGTGCTTGCTTGCCTAGACTGGGCTTCCATGGGAATCGTGACGGAAATACGACGACAACTATTACAAAACCAGTAGGAATCAAACAATGTTGGCCTATCTTGTGAGCTGAATAGATGGTAGGTCTGCCACGAAGCAATTTATATACCCATCCACATGATAAGGTATTGTTTTTTTTGAACATAGTATTTGCATTAGAAGCCAGTAGGACATTGGCCTTGTTAAATATATTGACCTTGAACCGCGCCCTATTCCGGGGCACCCCGTCCATAGGACTTAGGTCCGGAGCTCCGCGGCCGCAGCAACCCGACCACCACCGGTCGTTCGGCAAACAGGAAGCCAAGGCAATATACCAAGGAAGCCAGACCCTTGGGGGCCTCCTGCATGGATTGCATTCCCACATTCCTCGACCCACAGCAAAGGAGCTCTCTCGTGTTCACGTTTTTTTTTTTTTTTTCGTTTAGGACGGTGCAGCCTTACCGTCCCCCCAAGCGCGCGCTGCAGATCCTTTTACCGGTAAGCTTCTTCCTTGGTACTGTAGCAGGTTTAACTTGCTATCCGGAAGAAGCTACATATGTACAGTACCAAGAGCTCGTGCTAAAGCAAGCTCCTCCCTACTTCATTGATCGACCGGAAACCGGATCCCGCATGCTTCTCCAACACTCATACATATATACATGCATACATGCTACACATACTACCTACATGTACTACACACTACACACTACACACACTACACACTACACACACTACATATACGTACTATGTAGGTACATATATATGTAGATACATACATACATATCATAGCTAGGTTAGGTATGTATGTATGTATGTATGTATGTATGTATGTATGTATGTATGTATGTATGTATGTATGTATGTATGTATGTATGTATGTATGTATGTATGTATGTATGTATGTATGTATGTATGTATGTATGTATGTATGTATGTATGTATGTATGTATGTATGTAACGGTACCACTGAGTTGAATGTGTATGTGTTATTATTAGTTGCATGAACCTGACTCGATACCACGCTCTGTATGCCGAGACCCCATTATATGTATGTAAATATGTTCTGTATATGTACAGTCTACACGAATATACATGGATGTAATGCCTCCTCCCGTACTTGTACATACATTACATTACATGCGCACACATATGTAAACTTCTCCTTACATACCTACTCTACTTACCAGCTACATAGGTAACTAACCAGCAGGCCAGCAATTTTTACCCCGCGCTGTGGGGAGCGGATCCTGTGTCCGAAGAAGAGCTACCTACCTATGCCTTGTCACTCTCGAACGTAGCTGATCTGCGATGACGAAATCCTGTTTTTCTTGAATTGCTGAAAAACCTTCTACGATCTGCGCTTTTTTGATATATAGGTATATTTTTTTTTCTTGCGACGTGGCCTATTGTGAGAGCTTTTCTTTTTGGGAGAGGTGTGGGAGGAACAAGAAGAACAACGAGGAGAAGGAAGAAGGGAAGACGGATAAGAAGGAAAGCAGATAAACGGTGAGTGGCCAGTCTTGCTTGCCAAAGCCCCCCTATTTTACTCGTTCACCAACATCATGAAATTATCCAGGGAAGAAGAAAAAGAAAGAAAGAAAGAAAAACATTTTCTTGTGAATGTGACACATACACAGGGATATTTAGTAGATGTATCCATAAAATGGAAGATGGAGAAGTTTTTTTTTCGTTAATTCTCCTCGGTAGGTAGATAGGAAAGTCGAGCGAGGGGAGATGGGGAATCATCAAGACACCCATCCCGCAATCTGGAAATCCCATCCTCGAGGTAGTGCGGGTTCCACCACATTGCCATCCTTTTTCTTTTCTTTCCCGTTCTTTTTTCCCCTGCCCCATCCAACATCCCTCACCTCGGACAGTGTCCTCCACAAAACCCACCCCTCTTATGCGACGTGGTACTAGTAGTACAAAAAGGCAGCTCGGCTCGAAGCTTTTTTCTTTTCTTTCTCGAGTCATACCAACTGCGGTACGTAGGTAGGTAGGTAGCTACCGTAGAAGGTAAGTTTAGGAGGCAGGCTTGGGTACGTAGTTACGTCACGTTTGTAACGCTGTACGCAATAAAGTAGGTAACCTGACCTGACCTACCTATCCATACATAAATTCTCTACATACTTACCTCACATATACCACTACATACATATCACCACGTTTTTACCGTGTAACCCACGCACACGTGCCCTTACCTCGGTGCCAGGTGCCGGCGTCACGACAGGCAACACAGAAACCCTGGGATTACATAGCCAAGAAAAGGGGTTGCGCGTGCTTCCTTCTTTCCATCTTTCTCACCTACCTGGATCGAGATCTGTGAGAGGTCCACTCCAGGGTCCTGTTCCACCTCGGTGTAGGTCAAAACCAAAAAGTAAAGAAGAAAAAAAAAGAGATTATAAGACATTTGTAACGACCACGCTCAACAAGCACACGCTATGTTTCCGTCGTCGTTACGTCTGTTATGCATCAATGTCTCTTACAAAGGAGCACACGCAACTCTTTCCCTTCCCTTCCCACAACCCGGTTTCTCTTCTCCCCTTCCCTTACTACTATGAATTAGTACAAAGTGAATAAGGGGGAAAAACAGAAAAGGGAACGGGAGTGGCCAAGGGATACAGAATCCAGAATCCAGAATCCGAATCAACAATAAAGTTCATGTTATTACATAGTAAGTGAGTAAAGGGAACAGACCAGAAAGCCATCACAAACCGTATTTCCAAACAAGAAATTTAGTTTTTTTCTATTCTTTTTTCTCGTTGGAGATACGAGTTTGCTTGCCTGCTTTCAAGAAACTATTGCATGATATTGTAATATGCTGGCATGATATTAAGTTCTCAACTACGCAGACTCAGATATAGCCCTGTCCTCACTTCCGAAGAAAAAAACGCCGTTGACCATGCGACCTAACCCTTACGCTGCAATGAAAAAAAAAAAAAACTGCAGGTGACTGACTGACTCCATCATCCTTCTAGACGCCATACCTTATTAACACTGGATGTATGCGTTAGGCACTAGGTAGGTAGGTTGGTAACGTTTGCAGAAAACCCTCCTCTCTAACGACCTAACCTACACGAGACCCCCTCCTTTTTACTAGGAATGGTAGCTGCAATACATCTGCCGCCGCTTTTATCTCTTAGTAGGAAGAGATGGAGGTCCCATATTACCAGTGCCCGTGTTAACTTTCTTATTTGGAGGCTGACCAGGAACCTTAAAGCCACCGTTGGCATTGCTAGCGGTCCCGCTGCCGCCAACTTGGGTAAACGTGCCTCCTTTGAACCATCTATCTTCTTCCGCCTTTCTCTTGCGACTAAGCTCTGCCTGGACCTTGGGATCCACGAGCTCTAGTCCCTGGACGGGTGTGAAAGCTAGTGAAGAGGCTGTCCCCGCACCTCCTCCGATCGTGGATCCTACCCCTGACGTGCGTAGACCCTTACCACGTAGATCAATATTGTTCCCTGATTGGCCAAAGCCACGTAAAGAGGAAGCTGAGCCGCCAACAGGTGTAGCTCCTCCCCAGCCTTTATGCTTTTGACTAAGCTTGGCTCGGGTCCGGTTGTCAATCTGTATACCCCGGATTCGTCCATCCTGTCCCTGACCAATCATCCCCAAGCCCGAAGTAGAGTCTCCCACCCCGTAATCTGTCTCTCTCTCCTCCTTACCGAACACCATGCGATTCTGGGCCTTACGTAAATCTGTCATCGCCGTGGCTTCCTTGGCTTTGCGCGCGCGGCGACCACCTCGCTTACGGGAAGGCTTGTCATCTGGGGCTGGTAGGGCTCGCTGACCTTTGTTGGGAGGTGGCTCTGTCATTTTGTCTAGGCGCTCTAGGCACTGGCCTCGTAGTTCTTCGCCGTACGATCCATCGGGGTTGGTGTGACCGGTGTCCGCACGAGCAGCTAGAACGAGCTTCGCGGCTACTGCCTTCATAGCCTTCTTCTTCAGATCGTTCGGAATGCCGCGGATGATGGGTGATTGGAAAAGGTAGCCTTGCTGTTTCACACCTACATTGGTAGCAAAGGCGGTGTTTCCCGTTCGCTTGGAGCCCCAGGCGGCCAGATTGCAGGCGGGCGTTCGGGAGAGATTAGTTAAGCCACCGGCGGTATTGATCAGTTGTGCAGCGGTCAACGAGCCGATCAACACCGTCAGGTTGGGAGCGAATATATTCATCCGAGACTGCACATAGTCTGTGAGTGTCTTCTTGGCCTTGTCCATCTTGATCATCATGTAGCAGGCCCGGAGGATGCGGTCCAGCTCGTCTTGACTGATTTCATGCCCCTTGGTCGTGGTGGCTTCAACCGTAACAATCATCAGGGATGGGCCGTCCAAAACTGACTTAAGTGATTCGCCAAGGGGATTGTCAGCGGAGCCTTGCAGGGCTTTGATACTATCCGAATCCATGGGTCCGTTTCCGAGGATGGCGACGACTTTGGCATATTCAACAGGGCTTTGAATAAGTGTTTCTAGTTCGGGGAATCGAGCCGAATAATGATCTCGGATAAACTTATGAACCTTCATGATTTCGCCGTCGATTTGAGTGGAGAGGGTGTTGGATTCGGTGAGGATCTTGTACTCGGGGTTGTCCTCGATGTTACCGATGTTTGTGGTATGCGGTGCGAGAGGTTTCGATTGATAGTGGGCGATATCCTACAAGGCGGTAACCAGCCGGTCAGGTCTATTACTCAAGCCAAAAGATGTAAACAATTCATAATCGTTTGAAAGGAGGTATGCAATAAGGGAATAGAAGGGTAGACTAACCTTGAGGAGAGGATCCAGTCTGTCCATGACAGTAGTAACCTTTCGAATATCCTTGACTCCGCCCAACTGCATCTTTTCAACTTTGGCCTTGGTGGTTTCTGCATCTTCCACACGTTCGGTAGCACTACCATTCATGCCACCCATTTCTTCATCTTCGTCGGGTTCTTCTTCCTCGTCGCCATCGAGGACCATATCATTATTATCGTCATCGTGGGTTGGTAGAGGGCCAATAGCTGGGCCTTCGAGATCTAGACCACCATCATTCTGATCTTCGCCATTCTCGGAACCGGAATCTTCGAAATCTTGTAGTAGCTCTTCCGCGAGAGTCGACATGGTGTCGGCTTCGTGCGTGTGTCTGTAGTGTGTTTGTGGTGGTAGGGTATAATGTTGATGAGAGGAAAGAAGGGATTTGAGGTCGAGCGCCTCAAAATCCTATTATTCTCCTAGTATTCTTTGTTTCCTTCGTGAAGTATTTTTATGCGACAAGTAGATAAAACAGGTGCAACAGTGACCTTCAAACAAAAAAAAAAAGACCAAGAGAAGTTCATCGCAACGTTTTGGTCGCGCGACTGCAACTTAATTATGGAGCCACTAGGGTCTAGCTAGTTAGTATCCAATCATGTAACTACTTTCTCAAAGCTTTTTATGTAATCATTTTTATGTAATCATTTTTATTTTACGCGACTGCTGTTGCTGTTGCTTTTTTTACTCTTCAGCCTTGTCAACCAGCCAACCTTCTTCTTTCTGATCATTCAAATTGTTTTTACTTACTACTACTATTAGGCACACTTGGTTGGCAAAGTCATATTGCCATAAGCCCTTCTTTCTTTCTTTCTTTCTCTCCGTCTCTACCCTCCCCCTTGGAGATATCATCCATCAACTCACCATGGAGTCTTCACGCGGCCCCCCGAGGGTCAAGAATAAGGCCGCCGCGCCTATTCAGATCTCCGCCGAACAATTGCTAAGAGAAGCTGTCGACCGTCAAGAGACCTCCTTGCAAGCACCCACCCAGAGATTTGGAGACTTGGAAGAGCTTCATGAGTTCCAAGGTCGAAAGCGGAGGGAGTTTGAAGATTATGTTCGCCGCAACAGAGTTAACATGAACAACTGGATGCGTTATGCAGCATGGGAACTTGAACAGAAAGAGTTTAAGCGCGCCCGTTCCATCTTCGAACGAGCCTTGGATGTTGATTCTACTTCTGTTGTCCTATGGATTCGATACATTGAAGCCGAGATGAAGAGTAGGAATATCAACCACGCCAGGAATCTCCTCGACCGTGCCGTTACCATTTTACCCCGAGTCGATAAGCTGTGGTATAAGTATGCTTATATGGAAGAGATGTTGGGGAACATCCCAGGCACGAGACAGGTCTTTGAGAGGTGGATATCCTGGGAACCTGACGAGGCAGCGTGGGGCGCCTACATTAAGCTGGAAAAGCGGTACGGCGAATTCGAACGGGCCCGCGATATTTTCCAACGTTTCACCATAGTTCATCCCGAACCACGGAACTGGATCAAATGGGCTAAATTCGAGGAAGAGTACGGAACTAGTGACTTGGTTAGAGATGTCTTTGGCGCTGCAGTTGAAACACTGGGCGACGAGTTTGTCGACGAAAGACTCTTCATCGCCTACGCTAGATTCGAGGCCAAGCTCAAGGAATATGAGCGGGCCAGGGCTATTTACCAATACGCCCTTGACCGTCTGCCTCGGTCCAAGTCTATGGGACTACACAAAGCCTACACGACCTTCGAGAAACAATATGGTGATAAGGATGGCGTGGAAGAAGTGATCCTGTCCAAGAGAAGGCGATTATACGAAGACCAGATCAAGGAGAACCCCAAGAATTATGACATATGGTTCGATTACGCCAGGTTGGAAGAGACTGCCGGAGATCTAGACCGAGTCAGGGACGTTTACGAGCGAGCCGTGGCCCAAATCCCACCCACGCAAGAGAAGAGGCATTGGCGTCGTTACATTTATCTATGGATTTTCTACGCTATTTGGGAGGAGATGGAGGCGAAAGATGTCAGCCGAGCACGCCAGATCTACAAGCTGTGCATTGACTTGATTCCACACAAGAAGTTCACGTTTGCCAAGATTTGGCTACTGAGGGCGCAGTTTGAGATACGCCAGGGCGAATTAACGACTGCTCGCAAGACACTGGGCCAAGCCATTGGCATGTGTCCTAAGGACAAGCTATATAAAGGCTACGTTGAACTAGAATTGAAGCTGTTTGAATTCGTGCGATGTCGAACTCTATACGAAAAGCATATCGAGTGGAATCCAGCCAATTGCCAGACGTGGATCAAGTTCGCCGAACTGGAGAGAGGGTTGGATGATCTCGACCGAACGAGGGCCATCTTTGAGCTCGCCATCAACCAGTCTGTCCTAGACATGCCAGAACTCCTGTGGAAGGCGTACATCGACTTTGAGGAAGAAGAGGGTGAGTACGAGAAGACGCGCGACCTGTACGAGAGGCTGCTGGAGAAGACGGATCACGTGAAGGTCTGGATCAGCTATGCGCACTTTGAGATCAACATCCCAGAAGCAGACGAGGAAGAGACGGGAGAGGAGGAGGAGCGGCCGGTTAGCGAAGAGGCCAAGACTAGGGCTCGTAGCGTATTTGAGCGTGCTCATAAGCGGATGAAGGAGAAGGAGCTCAAGGAAGAGAGGGTTTCTCTGCTCAATGCCTGGCTATCGTTCGAACGCACGCATGGATCAGGCGAGGACATAGAGAAAGTGCAGAAGCAAATGCCACGGAGGACGAAGCGGAGACGCAAGCTCGAAGACGACACTTTCGAGGAGTATATCGACTACATCTTCCCCGCCGACGACGAACAGAAACAAGACCTCTCCAAGATGCTGGCCATGGCCCAAGCCTGGAAACAAAGCGGTGGGGCGGTCACTGGGTCGAGCTAAGTGTCATGTTTACTCTAGCCTACTGATTTTTAAGTGTCTTAATTTAATGCTCCTTACTCCCAAGACTCCCTCTCCAAGTATCACGCCAAGCCGCGAGGGAAGGAAGCTTCCTAGATCTACCTATGTACCCAGTAATAGGAGGAGGATGAATGCGGCTCGGGCCATGCGAATAGCTTGCCTTGCCTTGTCCACCTGTCTACATTGCATACATACGTACATACATACTATCCTCAAGTCGGATATTTTCCGATACATACCTTTCCCCAAATAGAACATTGACGACAAGACAAGGAGGGGTCGTGGGATTGCATGCAAGTAAATAAGGCGGTCAGCACAATGACATCATACATTTTACCACCTACATGTACCGAGGCATGTTTATCTAGGTTAGGTACCTAACCATAGGTAGTTACCTGCGTTAGCACATACCTATACATATGTACCTAACACCAGGTATTCGGTCCACGCATGCGTGATATGTACATGTAGCGCTAAATTAGAAAGAAGTTGGACCCTAGGTAACCTGTCGATTTCTATGCGTTTTCTCGATCTTCGCGGGGTATGTATGTATGTAGGTAAGGTGGGTTGATGGGTAGAGTGGCAGGTGGCAGATGCAATGGTGATCACGACGACGTAGTGTAGTGTGTTGGTACAGTAGTATTGTGCGCCGACAAGTCTCATGACAGGTCGGTAATCGGTAGCACCAACCCGCCCCAATGGGCTTTTTCCTTTTCTTATACCACAGAGCGCATTGTATGGGATATTTTCTTAATAAAAAAAAAGAAAAAAGTCTATGGTATTACTACCCAGGCAAGCATTGAAAGATCTGCTTATGAAAGCTAGATGAAAAGTACTACTACTATATAGGAGACAGATACTAAAAAAAAGAAAACAAAAAGAAAAGGGGGTAGGTTAGGTAGGTAGGTAACAGAATAAAGAAAGTAGCAGTAGATTTGACTTTCGTGATTTCATCCAATTAGAAATTCGTCCCAGCATAGGTCGTCATCATCGTCATCATATCCAAGCCCTCCCTTCTCTGGAATATCGGTACCCAAGAAAGAAGAAGAAGCAAAAAAAATAAAAATAAAGATGGGACAATAGGCGTTTCTCTCTCTCTCCCCTCCATCCATCGTCCATCCTCTTCCCACACATATACACACCGCTTCCCTCCCAGATACATATTCCTAGTTGGTGATTAGTAGATCGTTAGCGATCCAGTTGCGGGCCATGTATGCATGCATGCATGTAAGTGTTGTTAGCGGCATGCGTAAGTAAGCCCCCATTCCTCTTATCCCTATTGCTCCGGTTGGGGGAACATGTGTTGCGTCAAGATCCTTTATATATATACCCAATTCCAGTCCAGTCCAGTTCCCCCATCCCCATCCTAGTAGTCCCAAATCCCATTAAACCCCCCCTCCCCTTACAACCCGGTTCCCCCATCCAACGAACCCTAGTCACAGTCGGGAACGACCATTCGGGATGGTATGAAAGATAAGCGATCGGGGGCGTTAAATTTCCAATGTGATCAAAAGTCGGCTTTAGTGGTGATAGGTACAACGAGAGAGCCCATGTCCGTGGTATCCGGTGGCGAGGCGAACTAACCATTACCATAGGTGGCTGTTCCGCGCTTGTGCTGCATGAGGGCCCAGTGCTTTCGCTCCTAACGCCGCAACCCGTAGTTCGGGTAGTACGAGCGTGAGAAGCGAAGTGACACAGAAAATCCTCAAATTTGCATTACAAAGCTGGATAAAAGCACTCCCTTAATGGTCGTGGTGGCGGCGGCGCCGATGCCCATCTGTCACAAACCACACAAAATCAGTGAACAAGCTCCAATTTTAACTCAATAAATCATATAAAAATTCTGCGTATCGTAGGAGATTCAGATGAAGATTAGAAGATAAAAAAAAAAAACAGAAAAGGAACCAAGAAAAGGAATGGGACGAGCGTAAACGTGAGATTTTGCTGTCTTTTTCTTTCTATCTCAAAAACCACCACGGGAGCAAGGCAATGGCAAGGCATGGCATAGCTCATCAAAGGTAGACAAATTTCCAAGCTATATTGCAAGACGCCATCTTTTTACGTGCCACTCTTCCTTTTCGTCATCCAAAATCATCATATATCATGACAGATCGTGAAGTCGTAACGAAAGAATTTAAGCAGACGTGTATGCTGCAAACCATACAACCATACAGATAGTTTAGGTGAAATTGGTGAGAGAACCGGAGAGAAGGGACCCATCATGCATTAGGTGGTGCAGGCAGGGTGTGTCCCTATTCATCACCTCCTTTCGTAGCCTACAGGAGGCGCAGGTAAGGCGGCAGAATAGGGGTTCCCATCCGTGTAATGAGGTCCCTCATCATACCGACTTTCTCTTGCTGGTGCTGAAGAAGACCAATTGTCAGCCCGTGACCTGCCACCATCGCTGGAATTTGCTTTGCGGATCCGCTCCAAACGTCTCTCGTGACGTCTCTGCTTCTCCTCTTTCCATTCACTAACTTCTTTGGCTTGCTCTCGGGCCTCCTTGAGTTCCGAGAGGGCGCCCTTGACACCTAGTGCCGCGATGCCTACCGAAGCGGCATCTTGTAGTAGCGCCTTAGTCTTAAGCTTCTTAGCCTCCTCCGGACTTAATTTGCCTTCCTTGACTGCCCTGTGCCTTGCGTCGCGCTGCCCCATGCTACCATACACATTGTTGGCAGCGTGAATGGTAGCAACAGCTGCTAACCCCGTAGTGATAAGTTGTTTACGTCGCATTTTCGACGTCAATTTCTTATCTTCATCTGAATCTCCAAGATCGCTACTAGAAGCGGAACTAGACCTACCTCCACGTGAACGCGATGAGCTGCGAGGTCTTCCACCCACAGACCTTTCCTCCTCATCATAATCATCATATCCATCATCATTTGCTGGACCTCGACCACCTCTCATGTAGCTGCGTGACTTGTAATCATCATCATCGGAGCGGTCATTTGATGGACTTCGGTGACGGCGACGGCGACGGGACTTGTCATCGTAGTCATCGTCTCGACTATCTCTACTCTCTTGGTCATCAGGGGTGTTACCCAGACCAAGCTTGGCAAGACTACGCCGGGCCCCGTCGACTATGCTGCGGCTACGGCTGCGACGTCTTCGTGGGGATGGGCTTCGACTATCATACGAGTCGACGCTACCTCGGCGGGACCTGGATCGGCTTCTGTTGTCGACAAGTTTCTTAGCGCCTAAAGCGCCTAAGCCAGCTGTGGCCAATGCTGCGAGTCCGCCTCTCCCGTGGCTCTCGGAGCGAGCACGGGAGCGAGATCTGCTCCGGCCTGTCTGCCTGTCTTCTTCGATATCTTTCCTGGAACCGTTCAACATGCGGTTACCAAGAAGACCACCGATAACAGCCTCCATAAGATGACGTCTGCTGTCCTTGGAAGGGTCGTGGGCAGCATCAATGGTGGCAGCGCCAGCAGCAGCGGTAAGGACCCGCTTCATTTTCTCTCCCTTCCAGTCACCCGGCTCCTTAGCAACTCGGAAAGCTTCTGCAGCGCCAGCGACTAGCGAGGCCTTTGCGGCCTTTTGCATCCTAGTCGCAGGAGTGTCGCGCGAGCTTTTCTTGCTATCTCGTGATCTGTACGAGTCTGGGCTACCGCGGCGGCTTCCGTGTCGACTTCTCGAGTCTTTGTCAGAACCGGCGCCGGTCAGAGCTTTGATAGCGCCCCCGAGACCTGCGGCAGCCAGTGCATTCTCAAGGAAAGACTTGTTTCCCTTGCGACTCTTGGGGTCCTCCTCCTCTTCATCAGAATAATACTCAACAACACGGCCGTCTCGGCCCTTGTGGACAATATAAGTTGACTTCTTGTCCTCCTTGTTGGAGTGCTTGCTGTAGAGTTCAGCGCCTTGGTAACCGGCAAGTGCGCCAGCAGCGCCGAGAGCTGCGGAGGCGGCCATGTTACGGTGGACATCAGCTCCTTCCTTGTCAGCCTCGCGGCGATCCCAGAGCTCCTTAGCGCCAGCGGCTAGAAGGCCACCGGCGACAGCAGCGATGATCTTTTCTTGCTGGGAAAGTACACGCTTGCGAGTCTTCTCCTCCTCCTCGTAGTAGACACTGCCAGGCTTCCTACGAGGACGGTCATGGGAGCGATGAGATTCATAGTAGTAATCATCGTAGCCCGGTTCGGCTGATCGGGTCCTACGGACATCGCGGGAGTAGCCGGGAGGAGGGAAATCTCGGTGGACTTCTTCGACAGAGAGTTGATCGGTATCTTCTCTGGCGCGAGGAACAAGCGCAGTCTTACTAGAGGGGTTTACTCTGTAGTAGGTTTCCTGTGTCTCGGCGTAACGAGGACTGTGCCTTTCCCGGCGGTCTTCACGGTAATGACGTCGGGAATATTCCCGTGGTGGGGCGTCATAAGGGTCGTATGTGGACATTGCTTTAGCTTTCAATAGTGCGCAGGTCTGTGATATAGTTGATCTATAATCTATGTAGGAAATAAGATGGACAAAACTCTAAAGACGACGAACTGAATCGAAAGATGTTAAGGTTCGGAATAGAGATAATTAGTAGTAGTAAAGGATTAAAAATATGCGGGGAGAGGGGGGGAGAGAGAGTAAGAGGGAGGGAAGGACAGGAGGCGAAAGAAAGTTAGGCGCAGATGATACATACCTACTATGTATGTACTTACCTACATATTACATGTACGTTGCTGTTGCGTCGCAGCCAAGCGGGGCAACTGCAACTAGGTAAGAAAAATCTAGGCCGCCGAGAAAATCAAGCTTGAAGCTCTGTGTAATCTGACGTCAACCCCTCTCTAACCAGTCCAACTGTCCAACCCTTGTAACCCGATCGTTAGGTACCTAGGTACCTACATACTAGGTACCTACGGCATAGTACAAAGAGATCCATCACCCGATCGCCGAACCAGTTCAACTTTACGAATGGTACAATACCGTAGTCTGGGGCGGGCAGGGCTGAAGACTGGAGGGCATTTACAAACATGTGTATGTATCTACATACTTCGTACTACTACCTAATAGTGTATTCGTATAGAAATATATATTTTCCATGTCTGGCCGCCCAATTCCCAACAAATCTATGTCCAACCATGCACATTGGGTTTCATATCAATTTGTTGCACTACACTACGTAGGTACCTATCCATCTTTATGTTTTAGTATCACGTCATCGCATGAGTTCATAAGTAGGTAGGTCAAGTTAGGTATGCATCCTTTTTTTCTTTTTCTTTTTCTTTTTCTTTATAAAAGCATTACTGTACATGTCCATGACAAGGCGGAACAAGCAATATCTGTATGCATCAGATGCATCTCTCGAATGGAGTTATCACATAGGTAGTTGCGGGAAAATGGGCGTATAAGTCAAATAACAGCCTTTAGTTGCGTTTTCTCTTCTCTTTTCATTTCCTACTTATACATGATATAACCCTAAGACAACAGCCTTTTGCTTCTCCCTTTTTTTTATGACGTCGAAGTCTATTTGTGAAGATTCCGATCCATTAACATCCTCTCCTATGCGAATAACCCACGTCGTAAATGTACGTGTGCGAAAAGGAGAAGTTTCAATGCTCTGTAATTTTATCTAGCAATCCAATACTGATGACTGCGAGCATGCAGAGCCTGAACATCAGCGAATGCGGAAAGACCGAGAAATAAACGAAACCGAGAGAGAATCGCATCCATTGCGCATCGTTGGAGTTCATAGCAGATTCTAAATCCCATGCCGCCACGAAAGGGTTTGGGACTGCATCCCTGAATTTGCTTTTTTACGAAAACTACCATCAAATGTGGTAGCCAGCTATTATGTAAACAACCGTGGAGAAGAAAATGATAGCCACTCAGGCTTGTAATGACTTAGCCTCTCGGGTGGGAGAAAACTGATGATGCATTCCTGTTTTCTTCATTTGATACGTGATGGCCGCATTGTCCATGCGATCGTAAAGTCGTGATACTTCGTCCTTTCCATACCAAAGGTATCGACGGCGTTCCGTTGGCCTGTGGGGGTTGCTTTTTTTTTCTTAATTTCTGTATTCTGTATGCTATCGTTCATCATTCCCGACATGGTAAGCCCTTTGGCCACAAGCCCGTGGTTCGTTAGGACTCACGGTATATTTTGTTCCAACGTATCCAGGACGCTTGCAGCTAAAGTGATTAGACATCGTGGACTGTCGATTGTCCAGTAACCACGCCAAGGAATTTCATTTGGCCGAAATGTGGCATATACCACCTTAGGTTGATTCTTTTCCGAGGCTCAAAAAACAATAATAGCTCTCGGTGATCAAGCCCCGAGAATTTCATCTCCCTCATTTTGCGATCGTGTTGTTGTGAGTGGCTGAAGCACCGCGTATGAGCTTTGCCTGTATGGTAGTTCAAGGAAGCAATGGAATCAAGTGGGCCTGCCATAGCAGTACACCTAGCAAGCCCCCCTCCCACAGTCGATGAGCTACCATTGTAGCCACGTCGGCAAAATTAACAACCCTCTGTTTCATGATGGCCATTGATTCCGTTCGTAACGGGGCCATCATGGTCAACCTTCTCTGCACTTTCAAGTTTTTGGGAGCCATTCGGGAGAAAACTGGCTTGTTCACTTGAAGACGGCATGTTATTCTTCTTGGGGATGTTGTCCGTTGCTAGCCCACCATCAACAGAGCCTGACGGTACTAGGTCTGGTTGACTCGCTCCTCCCATTCCAAAGTTGACTGTGGGGGAGAATTCCGGCACTGCTGCGGAAAGTTGTGAATCCGCGGGGCGGGGATGACCATTAACGCCATTGGACGTTGGGGAAGTGAGGACGCCTCCATTCACGTTGTGTGCGAAATGGTTATCTATTGTGTTGGGTGCGAACATGGGAGCAGCGTCGCCAACATATGGCATCACCTGAGGCCAATAAGTCATTCGATGATCAAACGGGCGATAGCCGACGGGACCGTCGTGTTGGGCGGTTGGGTGTCTCATGGACTTTTCAAGTACCCAATGCTCCCATTTCTCTCGACGACGCACTTTGTCGTGTCCATCCTCTGTGACGATAAATTCTATGTGAGGAGAACTGTCGCAAGCTATACGAATGAGCTGATAATCCTGTGCAATTTCTTGCATGCGCTTGAATGAGGCGATGATACTCAAAGGTACAAACCCTTGAGAATCCATGAACTTTCGCAGATAATAGTCCTTGCAGAGATTGTCGATGGAGAAGTAGTATTCCACCTGTGATAGCACCACATGTAATATGTGGTTGGGGTCTGCAGGATATGGGACAAATGGTCCAGCCTGTGGATATAGCGCAGGATCATATGGCATGCCCATTATTGGGTATGAAGATGGTCTCGAAGACTGATGTCCTGCACTTCCGCGCGAGCGGTTGTTTCCCGAGCTTGGTCGACTCCGATGGTTGCTTGTCGTCGAGATCGGATATGGCTGGCCATATGGCATTTGCCCATAACTAGCGGCGTATGAGTGGTTAGGCTGTCTGGAGTTTGCGTTGGCTGAATAGTTGTATCCAACAGGGTTCTGGCTAAACTGAGACTGCGGATGAGGAATTCCGTTCAAGGCAGAGTGACCACCGCGGCCGCGTGTGTTGCCCCTTATGCGATCGTTGCGGCTCGAATTGCTCTGTCCTTGAAAACTAGAGTCTTTCGCATTGTGCACACCATTGTCTCTTGGTGTAGGCGACATTTTCACAGACTCGTCGGTTCGCTGGTTAGAGCTCATACTACGAGCAGGAGTATGCTGACTTGAAACTCCATGACTTAAATCAACCGGGCTTTGCTTCGATGCATCGATCTTCGCGCTTGTCTGTTGGCTTATTAGAATATGTCCAGAGAGTTGACTACGCAATAGTTGCTGCTTACAGAAGAGAAATCTCCTAGAACCTTTCCTGATCCTGCCTGGGATTGCGCCTTACGGGTGTCACGCGATGCAGAAACGTCAACAGACGCACGCTTTGACGACAGTGGGGCAGAGGAAACCCCAGTGGTGGTACCGTTCTCTTGGGTACGATCTTGCTGATTGTTAGCAAAATTATTGTGAGCTGCAGAGAGGCGTATTGGTTTACCAGTTGATGCACTGTTACCGTGATTGCCTCTAATAGCAGTGTCACGTCCACCTCGGGTGCCATTAATACGGCCACCTCTCGAGCTTCTCGTTGGTATGGGTGTCTCGAAAGTCACTGATGGCACAAATGGAACAGGAAGCCACTTGTCTTTTCCCCTAGGCTTGCTTGGGCCTGATTCATCTTTTTCATCCTTATCAATCCTCTCGGCCTTCTCAGTAGTTAGGGGTTTCGAACCGTTCGCTGCCGTCTCGGGTGTCGGCCACGACAAAGTATTACTCGCAACCGGGCCTGGGGTGCCCCGCGAAGCACCCTTGCGAGGAGCCTGACCACCACTGCCCCGCGACTGCTCAACATCCTTCTTGGGGGGTCTTGCGCCTGCCGGTAGCGACTTGCTTTGCGCTACTGTCGCATCGATCCCGTCATTCTGCGATGCCTTTGACTTATACTCTTGAGAGACAGGACCCACTGCCCCGTCAGTTTGGCCGGCGCCTGTATTATTCGAGCCCCGCGCCGGCGTGGATGCCGAAGGAGTTGTCTTGACCTTAGCAGCCCTGGCTGCTTGTCGCTGTGTCCAAACGTTAACCGCCGGCACTGGCGCCTCGGATAATTCCACCTTGGGAGGCACATTCTCTTTCTTATCCTGGCCGCGACCCTGATCTACATCTTGATCCGACTCTTTCTCAGCTGTCTTGCCTTTCTTACCCTTCCGGGATTTCTTGCCATCACTGGCATCCGTAGCCTGGGAAGTCAAGGTTTGGCCTCTGCCGCGTCTCTCTGCGGGTTGCGGTACATTGTCGCCTAGTACCTTTTCAGCGGCCTGGATTGGAAGGTTCGACAATTCAGCCGCCTTATCGCTAGTAGAAAGGATATCTGAGTCGTTGCCATTTAAACTGGCACAGTCGGGCTTCACAGAAGAGCTTCGGGTATTTTGCGAGCCATCGAGTTCGTTCGACGTAGTCGAAATCGCGACCGAAGGAGCCCTCGTGCTCGGGGTAGGAGCGGCATCTCGACTTTGTGTGCTAGTTGTTGAAGGAGCTTGACTTTGTGTCGTGCTCGACTGAGATCCAACGGACTGCGCCGCAGACTGGCCCTTGGCAGCCTGGGCATATGAAAATGTCGCAGAATTTGACATTTCTTCGAAGTCTGAATTAGGGACGTTGGTGAGTAAGTCCCGAAGTTGGTCTGGCATATGCAACAGAGGAGCCACAAAGTTGGCGACCTGTTGCGTGCGTTGAATGGAGAAGGGAATGGTTTGCCCACGTCCACCAACACGCTCAACCAACCCTAAAGCACCACACCTGTCAAAGGCGGCCCTTTCGAGGTATGAATTGAGGTTGGTTCAAGCGTCAAGAGTCGCGTAGAGCTCGAGTCGAAAACCGAGTGAATAAATCCGTGCGACAAGTAGTAGATGTTGGAATCTAGAACACGAAGAAAAAATAATTATTGGCAAGCCAATGGTAGAGATTCGCGTAAAAAAGGCAGGTAAAAATTCGCGATGGATGGGCGTCGGGACGGACGGCCGGCAAGGAAGAGATTTTGTCGAGATGATCCAATTCGCAAAAAAAAAACCGATCAAATTTTTTTTTTCGGAAAGTGAATGCGGGGTGTTTATCAATAAACCTCTCAGTAGCAACTAAACGAAGGGTGCCTGAGGATTCCTTGAGGTACAAAGGTAAACCGTCTCGAGAGTTGAAAGACTAGAAGCTGAGGAAGGTGAGTTTCTCGCTTGTAGTAGAAGTCGTGAGAACAAACACCTGCTAAAATAATTGCTGGATGATGAGTGGCCGCAGTTATCGTTTAAGTTTGAAATGATTGAAGAGGGGAAATTTTTATTGAGGAAAAACGTGACAGTTATCCAGTTATCCGAGAAAAAAAAAAGATGACTGTGCTTGTGTTGTGCTATGCGTTTTTTGCTCTGGGTCTTGTACCGGATTTTAGTTTGGGAAGCGAACCCGATGTGGCCTGACTAAATACAACCTGTCAAGGTAAAAAAAAAACCGTATATGTAGATTTTGACCTAGGATTATATTAGTGACAAACCTAGGCTTAGGTAAAATGTTGTTGTGGTGAGGTGAAATTTGGAGGGGTTGAGCGGTTCGGTCCGCAAAGGTCGGTCACGGGTTTGAATATGCGAAATTGGCGGATTTGGCGAATATGCGAAATTTGAGAAAAATAGAGAAGGATGTGAGAAATATGAAAAATTACCTTGGGTGGTGTAGCAGCAGTCAAGTTGCCAGTAAATCGATAGGTGAATAGGCTTTTTTGGGCGCAAGCTAGGCGCAGGCGCAGGCGCAAGGTGTAAGTAAGGTGATGATAACCTTGGAGGGGGAATATGTAGGTAGGTAGAGAACCCTCCGTGGATGCTTGCGAAGAAAAACGAGTACTAGTTGTAAAAGTACTATGTCGTATGTAGGATTGCACAGGTTCGCAAAGGAAGAAGCGAAGAAAGCATATGATGGTTTCTTCTAAGATGCTTCTTCTGTGCAAACTAAGTGTACACAAAGTATTGCGAATTTAACGAATTGCAAGGTAATGAATGAGAAAGTGTGTTTGCAATGTTCCAAGGCAACTTGAGTTGTATCTATGTGGGATTGCGTGTGGTTGCAAATAGGAATTATTTGTGTGCAATGGAAAAAAATAATTTTCCTGCTCCTTCTGCCGCTGGTCCCTTGCTAAAGAACCTAAAAAAAAAAATTTAAGAAAAGAAAAAGTAACTAATGTGGTTTGATTTGGACTTTGTTACATACATATGTACCTACAAATACGGTAAATGCCTAGTACCCAAGGCAATAATGTATGTACTACTGTCTACTAACCTACACATGTATGCGGTGCATGTGGTTCCTCTTTAGCTGGGAAAGCACCCCGCCATTGATCGAGCATGCTACTATGGCATGCTAGAAACGTTCTCCTCAGACTCCTCTTTCTCCTCCTCATCACCCGGACACACAAGGTACATATGTACAGATGGGGTACCAACTTGGTCATCGATTTATATGGGAAGGCAGGGAAGAATAAGCGAGAGAAATGTACTAAAGTATTACCCTTACACGCAGTAACAGCTACCTAACTCGAACACCTTACATAGTAGTATTAATGTTGTTCCTTGATCAAAGCACCTTCCAACATCAAAGTTAAGGTTGCTGCTATTTTCTTATTCCTTTCTTACTCTTTTCTTACTCTCTTCTTACTCTTTTCTTTTTAGACAGAACTCAAATAATAATCATAACTCTCTCAATAACAATAATACACAATCAACAATACAGCACCTCCCCTAGTCAGGTATGAGGCATCACCTTTTTCAAGACCATTTTTGACCATTTTTGAATGATTAATTATATGTACATATGCCTAACATACCTACCCTAGGTAGCATAATCCATCCACGCCAACAGGAATAATATTGTGGTCTAACATCATGAATACAGAACACCCTCTTACATTGACGCATCCATCAATGATACATGTCTAGGTTAGGTCAGTCAGTACATACAGAGTACACACGAGAAGCTACCAGCCTACCACATCTAATGCGTGCGACCAAGTACCAAACATCTGTCATCTACATGTAGGATTCACTTTCAATCATTTCACCTCATATTTGATTATTCTGTGACATCTAAACAGTTTTAATAATGACATAAAACGAAAAAGGGGGAATACAGATGTGTTGTCTTGTGGCCGGTGGTGTCGTGTAAGTGTTAGAATACTGTTAGGTTGGTACTTGGATGCTGTTGTATACATACATACCTTACCTAGCCATATGGATACTACATACATATGTGAGTATGTATGTATGCCCGCCCCTGCAAAATGCACCTAACTGGAGTCTAGGTCAAAGTCTTGAAATGTCCAAGAAAAACCCCTCAGAATCTCCCACGCACATTCGGCTTGACCGGCCTGATCTAATGACAAATTTGGCATCCATATTTATTCGATTACGTAGATACTGTAGGTTCCCAAAATAGGGTTGTGATTACTACATGTATGTCAGTACTACCAGTTGACCACTGGGCAGACATGCGTAGGTAGGTAGATATCCAGTACCAGACGGGTTTACACAGTTTTTGGTATTATGGAACTACATATGTATTCAATATTGACATAAGTTCAAGTTCAAGTTCAAGTTCAATACCGAATCATTCCCCAGTCTCAAACGCCAATCAGCCGTGGCTTATACCAACTATCCATATGCGCCCCTCGTGTTTGTCAGGATGGTCGATGGCCCCCTATAGCATCCAACATAAGTTGAACCTAGGTTAGATATGTGCCTAGGTATGTATGTGTGCGAGCCAATCATGAATATGAATCAGCTACATAACCTCTAGTACAGTCACATACATGTCAGGCTGAAGAGGGGCGCCGACCCCAATCCCTTTCCAATGTTCTTTTTTTAATTTGTTCCTTCCATCCTGCCCGCCTCATATCTGAGAAGGGCATAATACTTTTATTTATTTAGTTATTTATATCATTACTTTTCCTCACCTTGCCTGCCTGCCTGCCTGCCTGCCTGCCTGCCTGCCTGCCTGCCCTTCAACCATTTTCTATTCCCGATGCCTCACATGCACCCCTCGTCTATATATTTTATTTTATCTATTTTCATATGGGGTTACATGCCTACCTATGGTTATGGTTGGGTGTCGACGCCTCTACCTAGTATTGAACTAAACAATCATCATTATGGATCGATCGTATTACCCCACGCCGAGGCAGCTTCCACTTTCAGAATAAGGAATACATACATGCAACACCTATGAGTATACTACTACATGCGTACCTCCAGTACATAACCTACAGCACATTTAAATACCCCTTTCTTCCGGATGGCCATATTTGCTACGCCGAGTGTGAGTTAGCAAGTGCCTGTTAATAAATGCCTTTAATACCTGCCCTGTCTGTGTCACATTGTCGGCCAAACATAACCGTGAATTGAAGTCTTCCGTTTTCTCCATTCGGCCATCTCCCGGTTCTGCCCTCTACGCGTATAATAATTACCCAAGCAAGTAGTATGTTTGATAACAAGTCTGCCTCCTATTCGTGTCGCTAAATACACATTCCCACGATCACTATATCTCCATCCTGACCGAGTTCCAGGGCTTGCTGAAGCTTCTTATAATATGTTGTGCCCGTATGTAGGTGCCTATTATCTACCTACTACATACACACAAGATTTGTCATAAGTATCCGGGGTTTCTGGGCATAGCGGGAGACGGGTTCCGGGTATCTTGGCCGAGGTTCGAGATATTGAAACGGGAAATTTTCGATCTATTCAACCCCTGAACAGCCAAGACTCATACGTATTAGTGCTGGTCGAGCATCTAGAACAGCTCCAAGGCGGCAGAACAGAATTAAAATTAGAATCTAATCAATTTGCATCTAGTTACTCTAGCTACGATTATTTCATAGCACAGACCATCCCAGGATACCATTCTGGGTGAGAGTCTTGACTATGATATCGATGAACCAGTGTCGTTCTCATTATGTATGGTGGGCATGCCAAATAGAAGGCCTAACCTGTATAACCATAGCCAATGCCATGAGTGGTTGGCTTTCAATTTTGACACGCAGAGTGGCACTAGGAGACATGGACAACATGAAAATCTTAGGTACTCTTCTCTTTTCTTGATTTAGTATGAAAGTCTGATTATCGCAACTTACAACTAAGGCCAATAAATATCTAGCCACGGCGTGATGGAAACATCCTAAGATACAACAAGGAGGGCCTAACCAGTCATCCAAGTAGCCGCCCTCCGTGCGCCAAAGTTCGTGGCAAGACGGAGACCGCTTGAGCCCATGGGGAAGTAACTGACAAGGTACCAGAGTAGGCATGCCATCTGGACGATAGCAGACAATAGAGTAAGGATGGTACTGTGTAGCTGGAGAGGGTTAGCATTTCCATTCCGCCTCAAGCTGACGTATTACGTGACTCACCCCAACAGAAAAGTATATAGTCAAGGCAATCGAGCCAAAGTAGGCAGCAGTGAAGGGTAAACGCGACCCGGAGATTAGATGCTGGAAGTATGCCATAGGGCCCATCACAGCGGCAAAGGAAGAGAGGAACAAAACCGAGCCAAAGGACCATCTATGAAGCGAGTAGGCGTTAGTACGTCATCCAATGACGAAGATGATCAAGAAAGGGGAAGGGAGAGGGTGTAGGATATTTAGGATGTGGTGTAAAAGGTGTCGTAGAAAGAAGGTTAGATCGGGTTGATCAGCCGTGTTATCATGCAAGATTGATACATATGCAACGACGGCTCCTTGCAGAGATCTTCGTCCCATCAACAGCCGGCAGAGGAGGGCTGCCTCTGGCCACGAGGACAAGCTGGTGGCAGGGGTAATCGATAATGGGAAGCTAAGAGAGTCTCGGCCTTACAAGATAACAAACTTGCGAGGTTTGGTCATGAGAACAGGCCATAGAGCAAAGCAGAGCACGAAGCATGCAAGAGCACCCAGATTACAAGCGCCGAATATCAGTAGTCGGTCCCATCGGCTCACTATATGGTATATCGAGATTCTAAGTCAGTCTTTTGTGGAAATCCATAGTGAATCATAGTGGACTCTTTCGTTCATGTGCAGGAGTGAGACAGAGCGCGGGAGATGCACATGCCACCTGTCCAAGGTACACCCAAGGTACGCTCAAGGTACGCTCAAGGTACGCTGCAGGGGAAACCACATGGTGCTAGGAACTGGAAACAGGGACTGGAAATAGGAACTGGAAACGAAGAGCGATGGATAAGACTCACGGATAAACCAGCCCTCTTCCTCTTCGCGACGGGTACTAGCTGGTAAAGGAGCGCCGGCACTCTCTGTGGTGGGTAGTTGTACATATCCACGATCTCCAAAGGGGTTCATCGATTGTATTGAAGAAAGAAGCCCGGATCGCTGTGACGTATTGGCCGTATATTCCCTGTCACGTCGCGACCATCCTAAGGAATTCATCGATTCTCTGAACGAGGAGGATGCCATCTTCTATGTTGTTTCCCCCCTCTCCTTGTCAACTGGGCTGTGGTAAGAATCGGCTCGTAAGAATCTGGGAAATGTCGGGTGGCTTGGATCGCAAAGCAAGGCGATTTCGGATTCGGCTTGTTTGAGTGTAGTATGGAGTAGTATGGAGGTATGATGGAGATTACCTAGGTGCTACTGTATGCTACTGTATGCTACTGTATGCTACTGTATAGCGTGAGCACCTAAGGTGAATGGAACGGATCGGAATGGATGGCACGGAATATGCGACTTCGTAATAGTTGTTGTCGGGTGTGTCGAATGACCCCTCCCCCTGTTAATTGTGAGGGCTGCGACTTTGATGGAAGATTGGATAGATGGATGTGTGGTGTGGGTGTGGATGTGTCGCGTTCAAAAGTTCAAAAGGCTCAGGGAGCACTAATTTAGGTTAGAACTTGAACAGAGTGACCAGCCACACGAGAACTAATAAGGATTATGGTCTGTGCGAGTGGGGCGTTAGTATATTTATCTAATCAATCCTATTGGCTTACATCTTTGCATGTGGCTTCGACTTGATCCTGTAGTATGTCGTAGGTCCTAGGGTACTACTAGGTACTAGGTAGGTATGTATGTGCTAGGTACCCCAGCTTGAATGTTCGACATTGAACATTGAAGTTCCAGGATTAGCCAGTTGACGTTTATAATCCATGATACTTCAAGTTGCATAGTTCATAATCTTAATTCTTAATACCTTATATAATACATACCTACCCAACCTACCCACCAAGGTAGTATTATAGTAAAGCGAGTGTTGGTTGACAGCTGCAGGTAAGACTCCGGAGTCATGGATTAAAATTAGAGAACCTTGAATATCTTGTACTCTTACTTCAATGTTCTTTTGCAAGGCGAGTATAGCTTCAATGTGTAACAAGCTTTTCTGTCTTGGTGCCTAGATAGGTATCTATTAGACAATAGCTATTGTACTGTACATAGGCAGATAAATACTCATATGGACGCGTACATACTTTACGAATAGTACTCACGGCAGCCTTAGTACATTATTACCACATACAGATGACTGGTATGTATTTGCTCAAATACATCGGCGCAACACATATACCGAGTTTCTATACATACCCACACCACCTTGAATCTCTGTCTACGGCATAGTACTCCGCAATAAACATGTCTCACCAAGCAGGAATATCGGAACCCAGACATTGTTAGTATTGTATACTAACGTAACTTATGCGCAAGTTTGGACGATCGCGTATCTACGCGCTTGCGCATACCACTTTGCCGCAGTAATGATACCATGGCATACTACTTACACATGCAAGTACTGTATAATAGTGTGAGGACCTGCCCACCTAGTAGCTTATCATCAAGTACTACATGTAGCTGCCTAGTACAATGTCTTGAGAATTTGACATCTCATTGGTAGAAGCGCTTGGGCGACTGGAGTCTTGGAGAAACCATGTCCTACATGCATAATAGTGGTGGTTGCAAAGCTACTCCGAATCCCAAGTGTTACTATGTAAGTAGGCATGTATGAAGCGGCGGCGAACGCGGTTGCGTAGTTCTGGAAGCGGGACTTGAACAAGATAGAAGCAAGACATACAAGACGGGGAAAATCCGAATATGCAACTACTATATTGCAAATAACTATGCACCATTGTTCTAGCCAGCATCAACTTAAAGCTTCCCTGCTTGCCCACTTATAATGCCTGCCTACCCGAACTAGGTCCTACTACATACTAATAGGTCTAATAGGTAGTGTTAGCTATAGCCTATAGGACTATAGGTTGGTGGCTACCAGGTAGCTACTACTACTAGGTTACCTCCCTATGTATGTGGTAGCTAGGCAGTTCTATGTGTTGGTCTTACAACATAACCTTGGAAGTTGCTCGAAGTTCCAAGGTCCTTGAAGTGTAGTGCTTAATACCTGCTTACCTAGTAGATATGTATTATATACCTACCTAGTTATATCCAGCCCTACCAGCCCTTATGAAGCCGTCAGCTGGTCCCATCATCGCTAAGACAACTGAGATTACCAATCACGCACCGTGCCGAACGGGCGCTATCCAAACTCTATCGACAATCCCGCCCATGCTCCTGGATGCGCTATGAACATGATTGGCTCCCTTGAGAGATACGGCAGATGCAGAAGCCGTGGATCGTCATTGGGGAAGGAAACAGTTCAACTTTGAGCACCTGCAGCCTTGAGTTACATCGGAGCGGTCGCCGGCCGACATATGCCACTTTTCTGGCAGTTCCACCCACTGAATCCACCCGCTCAACATCAACCCTTTGCTATAGAAATATCAGCTTGTTCCAAGATCTACCCCTCCATTGCAGACACATCATACGACGTAGTATGCTGCGGGTACTCTACCTAAAGCATTATGACTTCATCGCCGCGAGATTGCGATGGCCAAGGTAATCAAGACATGTAAATACTGTATACATCTATGATATGTTTAGGATCGCTACAACCAACTACTGCCCTGCTTTCTCGAATATCAAAGCCTCCTCCATCCAATATTCGCCTTTACGTAGTGGCAAAGTTACAGGATTCGTTTTGCTTTGCTTGGTAGGTGCCGTGCCGCGTCTGAATACACCCGTTAGTTCATTTATGTATTGTACGATGAGTTACCCATAAGCACTCGTTCCAACCGTTACTTATTTTGGGTAGGCAAGTTCATCGCACTAACCTAACCTTAGATACATATCTAGCCGTGGGATGTAATGTATTGTACATACTGTGATTTTGTAAGCGTGGGTTTCAAAAGTGGATGCTTCAGGTATGATGATAGGGTAAGTTAGCTTAGTCGAAATGAGGCATGGCCTCAATATGGTGAGTCACCAAGAAAAGACCATTATTAGATCCTTCACGAATGCTCTTGTCCAAAATCCCATGTCCCTAACCGCAATTTCCCATAACATTTTTTTTTTATGCTTCAGGTCAAAAAAGGTGGTACCCTGTCTCACCTAGGTGGGTGGGTTGGCTGACTTTGGCCGGGTCACGAGTACCCCCCCTTCCCTTTTCATCATCCCGAGCAGAGCCCTCGTCGTTTTGGTGTCCTGACGATAAGATAAAGCTCAATCGCGGATCGCGGTGGAGTGAGGTAGCTTCGTAGGGGTCCGGTGAGAGTGTAGAGAAGCATAGAGGTAGAGAGATGTCTCCCATTACTGTCTCTCTACACACCACACACACCCGCCCAATATGGGACCTGTCCAAGTTCTCGTAAGTCATCAGACACACCAGTATCCTGCCCGAGTAGAATGAGATTTTGGACTGGGGTCTGCCATCTCGCTTTATGTATTTTTAGATGTATACAAGTATTTGTATATAAAAGTCTTGCACCCCACGGCCATAGCCCAATAAGAGAAAGTTGCCATCATCTTGATGATTGAAAATCAACCCAGAGAGCTGACGCGATCAACTTACCTACCTATACCATTATAATTGTGATATTCGCCGTCGATCTGGCCAACGAGTTTTAACGCTGTCTCGGGAACCAAAGTTGCAGTGATACTGTGATACTTGGTTCACAACCAAAAACATCATCATTATCATCAACAACAACAACAAGGACAACAAGAACAACGAGTCGGAAGATCGAAGTTACCTAACCTAGCAGGTTAGATACCTAAGTACGGATCAAGAAAGGTGTTTTTGGCTTGCTCTTCTCTGGTGGAGCTGATCGGAAGTCGGAACTAATACATGCTACCTGCTGCATGCGCCTGCCTACCTAACTACATAATCGGTTAAGGACGTACACGCCAAAAGCAACATATCGCTCCTGCTCTTACTTACTATAGTATTGTATTACCATACAATCAATACAAGGGATTCGCCCCAGGGATTTCTCCGAGGATTCCAAAGGTTGTAGGCAACCAATCAATTTTCCGAGGATTCTAGGGAAGGCACACAAACGGCGCTCTTGCATTGGCTTTTGCACTACGAAGTACACTGTCCTACCTGCCTATTGGGTAGTCTTCTTAAGTAGGTATGTACATCCATCACCTACCTGCCTTGCCTGTTGAGTATCGGATCTCAGCGGACTAAAACTGTCAGACGCTTTCTGTTCGCTCACTTCACTTTACTCAACTCAACACACGTCACCTTACTTTACCTCACTTCACTTCACTTCCCCTTTACTTCACCTTACTTACACGTATTCAAGGCTGCCTTTAGCAAGTTCAAAACTAAGCGCAATTTCTCTTTCTCTTGGTTTTACATCTCATTCATTCATATGTCTCTCGGCTCGCTTTGTCGGATCGATCTGTTATATCCGTTCCAAATTGCACCCGATTGCCTGTGGCCGGCTTTGCCAAGTAAAACCTAAAATCCTGAGAGAGATCCTCGTATAAGACCTCGCCAAAGTCAGTCAGCCCCTCCATTGGTACCCCCCGGCGCTCTCGGTTCGAGCTTCGCCCACACAGCTACGCCCGCTTCGTCTGGAGAGTTGAAAAGAGCTGGCAACATTGCCTTGCTGGCAACTTATTATTACTTTGCCTTACTTACGGAGTTCACCCAACCCACCGGCTAGGCTACCTACCTAGATCCTCCCTTAAACCCCTAATATAGGACCTTTACCGCCTCGAATCCTGGTAATCCCATCCTAGAGCCTTATTGCTTGCTCATATACAATAACCGCATTCCCAACCATTTTAACCCTATCCATTTTCTCTTGCCGGTTTTTGAATTAATACAAATCCGACATACGCCCTCGTGCCTCTGGACGTTATTCTGATATACGATTCATCACCTACTGTGCAACCAGTCGCTCTTAATAAGGGCCGACTAAACCCGGCGTCACCTCCGTGCTTACCGTCTGACAGGTCTCGTCGTTTTTAGCCTCTGCCTATCGTACTCAGTACGACCTACCCTGCATTTGGCCGTTGCTTTTAAGGCCAGAATCACCGTCATTGAGGGCCACCATCCCCTCGGCCATCTACTTGTCGCCTCTTACTGGTGTAGGGATTATAGCGGCATACCGCCATTCAGACCCGGCGAAGCGACTATAACCATTACTTCGCTTATCCAACTCCGAGGAAATCAATCTTGACTTCCTTTTCCTTTTTCCTTCCTTCTTCCTTCTTCCCTTTTCCCAAAAGGGCTTACGGACGGAAACCAATAAATACCACCAACATTTTGTTGTTGGTTGTGCGCATTGACTCTAGAGTCTAGCCAGTACGTACATTTCTAATCATTAAATAAACCCTCCGCACCTCGGACTACTGGTGTCGGACGGACCTCAGCATAACAAGGGACGAAAGCAGAAAAAGGAATTAGTAAAAGAAAGAAGAATTCGGCAGAACCCTTGGTCCAAGTCAATTCAGCTTAACTTGGTTTCGTTCTAACCCTCCACTTAACAGAACCTTCGCGAGCTTCTTCCACCTATTTACGGAGCCTCGCTCTATATACCGTTTTTTTATCACCTATTTGTTCAACAAGCCGGCGCATTCCCGCAACGTCGTTTACTACCTACCTGCATGGCTACGTAATTTGTGGCCGACGACAAACATCTTGACACTGTAGAACCTTTTTCTCAACCGAGGTAAGAGATACTGTATTTTCCCTTTCATTTTCAGTGTCGCATGAATTCCCACAGTATTACCCAGTTTCTTGTTTCCTTATACTGTACCTACACACTGCGGCGCTGAATTATTTCAGCGCACTATTCAAATACACCGTACCCCACAGTTACCCACTACCCTTGGATCCCTCATTCTTAAGTACCTACCTATAACTTTTATAATACCCACTCGACGACGAGGTGCGGGGCTGACTTTGCTCTGTCCGCCTACAGAATAAACCCTTACACTGCAGATACTCCATTTTCGACCATATTATTAGATCCAGTATTGTTGTAGATCGTTACGGCGACCACTCATACTCGGTTCTTATTTTATTTATATATATTACGCTGGCACTCGTCTTCGATCCCTCTCTTTTTCTTTTACCCCGACGCCCGCCGAACGCGATGGCACAACACGCCTTCAACCAGTTTGGCAGCGCCCAAAACCCAGGCGGCGCAGGCAACAACGTCGACCCCAATGATCTGACTATGTCTGGCACCTATGCTGCATCCTACTCCAACAACTTTAACGGGAACAACAATTCCTCGAATTTCTTCGGCGATGATGAATTACTCGACACTCTCGGAAGTCCGACAGATCCTATGCCCAATCAACACGGTATGCACAATCAAGGTCAGGAGTTTGGCGGCATGGGCGAGATGAATATGGGATTTTCGCAAGGCATCTACCATCAGAACAGTCATGGTTTGCCCATGGACCAATCGCATATCAATGGCTACTCCAACACCCCAGACGGAGATCCTATCCAAAGCCCATTCGTGCATAGCTTCAACCAGGCACAATTCCACCAGATGCAGCAGCAGCACCAACAATTCGGAAACTCTTTGCAGTCGCCGATATCTTACTCAGGTTCTCCTCTAGCCGGTTCTGATTTAAACAACGAGAGCAACGATCCTGGTTATTTGAACACAAAGTCTCGACCCCAATTGTCTCACACCATGCAGCGCAAATCTTCTAACACCCGAGGTCCACTTACACCAAAGTCTGCGGCAGCCATGTCCAACTTGACGGTGAGCTCTCGTGAAGCATCAGGGTTCGGCCCCCAACCCATACGCACCACAAACAGTCACCACGAGAAGTCTCCTTCTGGTCAGTGGATGCACACTCCAAACAGCCTCTCCTCCTTTCCCGGGTCAGGTTTCTCTTCACCTATGCAACCTGGTATGCAAAACCCGCAGATTGCAGATGTGTTACTGAAGGGAGGTACCTCTATGCCTGCGAAACTAAACACACCGCCCAATGCTGTCTCATCGCAAGAGATGAAGAGAAAGAGGCGTCGTGAATCACACAATCTTGTTGAGCGACGACGTAGAGACAATATCAACGAGAGAATCCAGGACCTAAGCAAACTCGTGCCCACACACAGACTGGAAGACGAGAAAATCCGAAAGCTTATCCAGAATGGTACGCCTTTGTCTCCTAGCCTGACCGGAATTTCCCTCCCGGCACAAGCTACATCCGCACTGGCGGGACCAGGGGCGAAACGGGCCACTGGTGTCGGTAACATTACCACCGGGCTTCCTCTCGAGGAAAAGGACAAAGGTCCCAATAAAGGTGATATCCTCAACGGCGCAGTGAGTTGGACGAGAGACCTAATGTGGATGCTCCACTTGAAACTCCAACAGCAGGAAGAGCTCGTCAACACGATTGTGGAGCTTGGCGGCACTGTTCCTCTCGAGCTCACCGAAGATGAGAAGCGAATGCAAACAGAGCTGATGGAAGCAATGACTAAGAACGGCCCACACACCTTCTCATACTCTCGCTTTGCTGGATCTGGGCTACGAGTACCTCAGCATACCGACTACAGAGGAGACTCGGTAAACGGATCAGACAGCGCTATTGCTGGAAACTCTGTGAGTCCCGACGGTCATGATACGGTAGACCTTGGAACAGATATAGGAGATGCTGGCCAGTACTGGAACGACCCAGACGATGATGGCAGTGGCCCTGCATCTATCAATTTTAAGGAGGAAGACGAATTCGGGATGGACCTTTCAAACGACTAGCCAGTGTTGTGCATCAAGCATTTTTCTAGGCAATAGCTGAGATCTTGTTGCTCCTTGACCCCTTTTTCATCGTTTTTGACATTGAGGTGACACCTCAGTCGCAATCTTCAGTCAACTTTTTTTCAGTCATTTTAGGCATCCGAGTCAAGGGAAGGGTGACTATACTGCATAGGCGGCTGTTTAGGAGAACCGGCGTTCTATCTCATCCCACCAGCTGGTGGGATATTGGTACGGGGTGGTCGGTCATTTGGTGGTTCTTGTCCGGTAAATCCGGGTATGGTGGGACTCTCGTTATTTTCCACACCCCTTATTCATTTTTCCTTTATTTTTATTCATTTTTTATCTTTTCCCCCGTCTAGCATTTTCATTGCGGGCCGGGCTTGTTAATTTTCAATGATACCTCGAGGATTACGGAGTTAGTTGTCATTTTCACAGATATAGTGTGTGCCCATTGATTTTCGCATTTGCATCACTGTCAGCTTTTTCCTTTTACTTTCCGGGCTCCTGCATGTAGCCGTCACGACCTCCGAGGGGGAGGGTTCGGCATTATATATTCTGTGTATTCGTGAATTTAGTTGAGGGGAATTGGGCTCGAGGTCCGAGGCCTCGTGGGAAATGAGTAGGGAGGGCCATATATACTCCAGCAGTATATGGGAGTAATAGTCATGCACACAAATTACTTGCAAACCTATATTTTTTTTTCCTGTGTACCATGCCTGTGTGTGAATTGCTAGTTCCCTGATCTTGATACATTTATTGGAATATCTAAACATAAACCAATCTCCCTCCCCCTTCTCTAGGTGATAGCTATAACGACTAGGGGGTTCTATATACCCAGTCTCTACTAGCTCTAGTCATGTTCTAGTCCTAGTTCTCATCCTCGTTCCCCTACCTAGGTACGTACTCACATATCTAGGTTAGGTACATATACGATGCGACTTTCTTACACACTCGTTTGTCTATCTAACTACTTAATTACCAGGTATAACATCAGTACCTAGTAGGAGACAGACCTCCCCCCCCTTTCTCCTCTTTCCCCCTTCCTCCCCCCTCTTCTCATTCTACCAATGCCTGACACAAACAAGATACTCGCTCATAGAATTCAGCAAGTTCCACGCATCGCGGCGCTTCAGATCCTCGTGCAGGGCGACGCGCTCAAGGGCGCTGCGGCCGTTGAGGTATTTCCAGAAGACGGGCCAGGCGGCGCGGGGGTTGAGGGTTTTGCCTGCCCCTCCTGAACTTGCTGTGCCTCCGCTGCTGCTTCCTGCCGTTGGTGCTTCTCCTGATGGTGATGCTGCGGCTGCTACGCCCACTCTAGTTCCTCCTACGCGGGTTCTTCCTCTTGCGGAGAGGGTGGCAACAGCGGTGGTGGTGGTGGAGGAATGCGGGATGCTCTCGGGAAGTCGGCGGCCGATGGCGGCGAGGTAGCGGGAGTCGCGGTCGCCGACGCGGCCGGCGTCGACGATGACGTGGGGGCTTAGATGGGAGAGGTGCGGGGCGTCGTTCATGGAGGGGTGGTCCGTTTGTCGGGGTGGGGGGCGGCGTGCGTGAGCGGCTGCCTTCTCGGCGGCTTCGCGGTGGGCTTTGGTGGCGAGGCGATCGAGGCGCGCTTGTTCTGCTGCTTGCTCGCCGGCCGTGGTGGTGATTACTGGGGATCTGATGGTTGCGGTCGAGGATGTCATGGATATTGGCATTGCTGTTGTGGCTGTGGCTGCAGTTAGGCCACTACTGTCCGCATCATCGGTTATGGTGGTGTCAGTAGCGGGGATTTGGGGAGATGAGGAAGGGGAGTGCGTATCAGAGGAGGATGAAAGGGCGGGAGGCGACGATGACGCGTGGGACGAAGAGTCGGCGCCACTATCGCTAAATACACGGGCTTCCTCTTCTTGCGCGGCCCGTAGCTCCTCTGCTTCGATCTCGTAATCAACCTCGTACAAGATCTCAGGCCAAACAACGACATAGGCGAAAGTGCAGAGCTGGGTCACCCAGCCGCCGCGCATGAGCCAGGCTAGCATGGCCAAATACGTTGGGCGGTGGTTCTTGCTAGGGGCAAAGAGCTTGTAGGAGCGTGGTGCAGCAGATAGGGCCGCAAGGAATTCTGGTAAAGGGGGCGCAAGGGGGAACGCACGCGCCCAAGCCTGACTAGCCCGTGGCAACCGGTTCATATCGCTGTTTGGTGATAGAATATAGACGTCCCGTGCGTGCAGAGGCGGGATCGCAATCGCTCGCCGCCAAAAGATGAAGTGCTGCGCGTATTTCCGGACTTGGGCTGGTGAGAGTGCGGTACCTTGACCGATTTGGTAGAACCTATTCCATGGGTGTGAGAAGGGTTCACAAATTCATTATATAGACTCAAGATAGGGGATGTACTTACGACATTGTAGGCTTCGAAAGTCTCACAAATTCGATCATTGCTGCAGTGGTCTCGTCCGGGTCGGCCTGAAGTTCCCCTATTATCTTCTTCTCATCGCTCATTAGGAGCAGGGCAAAATTCTTATCGAGGAAGCTTGGGTCGTTTAAACTATCTTCCTCCACGAATGAATTTGCCGTCGTGATCCATAATCCCTTTGACCCACTCTCGTCATCAGGAGGGAGATCTGTGAGGTAGAAGGGCACGGGTATCTGGACCGAATGGGTGACAGCGCCTTCTGGTGTTTCTAACTGCAATGCTGCGATCCTGTTATGAGAAACGGCCTCGTATATGTCTTGCATAGATGCTGCCAGGGATGAAACATCGAGAATCTCCTTCCATAAGGTGCTCATCTTGGTTTCTATAAATAAATTATTAGTTTCATAACTAAACGCCAGCAAATATGATAACCAGAAGACTACCGCGTACTTTCTTCTCGCCCCTTATCTTTTAAGGTGAGAATTCGTTTCGACTCCTTCCAAACGAAATCGCTCTTCTGCTGGCTGTACTTGTAGGCTTTGTTGGTTTTCCGGATGATGTGAAAATACAGATTCTCGGCCAGCTCCTTTGCCTCGTGCTTCTTCGGATTCAGGATGAAGACAAGGTTGAACATGGTCATGCCACTTTTTTTCTCGTCGGCTTCGTCCAGCAAATTGCTGGATGCGACATCTTCTGCGGCCGTATCCTTAACCTCGACTTGCGGTACATCGCCTCCGATGACCGAGGATTCGCCATTCTTAGTAGCCGAGTCCGGGTTCTCTGGCGATCTAGGGGGTTGGTACTTGGGTTGCTTCCTCTTTGTCCGCCATATGCCATTCTCGGGAACGTATATGGGATAGGAAGCGAAACAGAGCTGGTCTAGAGAGACGTGGAATAGTTTCTTGTGGAAAGCTCGGTTGGGGGTGAGGAGACTCTCAAGGTCCTTGGTGGGATAGCCGGCTACGTGCTCCCATGGGACTATCTGAGAGCCGCTTTCAGTCTCCAGATGGTCGTCGTGATTCCAATTCTGTAGATCAATGGACATGGGAAGCGAACAAGAGGGCGCTTCAAAGGAAGGGATGGAGGAATTGGTAAAAAGATCGTCATCGTCGTCTAACTCGTCCCTGGGCATGCGATGACGGGAGGGCTGGGCTCCTGGGCCTGGCTGTAGGATCCGGGGCGGGTAGTGAAAGACAAACAATGGCCCATCGCGTAGCCGGTTGACGACGAGGGCGACTCCAAGGAAGTTGGATGTATTTGGTAGTATGGGGGATGCCATCCTGCCGAGATCTGGTGATACGTATGGAGGGCGACACAGGTCTCAGGTCCGATTTACTCGCCAATTTTCCAGACCCGAGCTCCAACGAGCATCTTAGCCGTCACAAAACTCATCCAACTACGATAAACCCATTCCAAGTATTTCTCTGCAGCACAAATTACTCAAAACCGAAGCTGTTTTATCAATATTGGGGTTGTATTTAAATACATTGTAGTACGTGGTAGGAATAATAATAATATTGTAGTCCTCGATGTTCAAACAGTTCAATGCTCTTGTAAGTTCAAAATTGGTATGTACCTAGTACCTACCCATACTAGGTACTCAATGTTCAGGGCCTATCAAAGTTAAAAGAAACTCGGACCTGTATTGTTCCATTCTCTTATAAAGAGGCGCTACTGTTTAATATCGGGGTATTGCTATAACGAGCTTATTCATATTCTGAGTTCTTCATGAGCGGCGGTTTAGATAGGTATCTCGGAGTTGAAGTATGTAGAGTGTTATGTGATTTCTTTGTTGCATTTTTATGTAACATCATTCTTAGAACCTAAACTAAGCCAAAGCAGTATAGATGCCTCAGAAGAATCCATTCTTTCAAAGCACAAACGCGCAGGTACCTGAATGCACCTGAATGAGATCCCTATCTCCATACCGTTCCTCCTAATGTCCAGAGTACATAGATGAGAAACCTTTCCTCCGTTTGATCCGATTCTATGTACAGCCCCGGAATACTACGCATGTGCAAACGAGAGACGACATATCTATAAACAACAACCGAAATATACACACGCATTCAGAAAAAGGGTCATGGCCGTTCGTAACGTCGTTCAATCCACTTCTGCCTCTCCCCTACTTCGATGTCATGCCCATTTTCGTAGCTCGATGAGCAGTATCATACCCAAATATCCTCTTCGTTGATTCAGATCCGATTCGATTCAATGTTCATATGTGTCCACCCATAAGCCCTAGTCCAACACCTGCAACAATGCCAGCCACACAGGCGGCCGTAGGCCGGGCTGCGTTGTTTCCCGTGCCGATGACGAAACCCCCCGTTGTGCCGGCTGCGGTGCACTGGCTACTCTGCAGGTTATAGCAGGCCTCAGACGAAAGACTCGAACAGACGGATGTGGCTGTAGCCGCGGGTAAGCCGGTGGCCTGGGTGGCAGCGACGGTGGTCCCACCTCCGCCCGGGACCACGATGGTAACGCCCCACGCGGCGCCGGCACTACTATCGGCTAGGCCCGAGACGCAGGCCTGGTAGTTCCTGGAGCACTGGCTGACGGCGGAGGTGCACGCGACCGAGTTGGCGAACGAGGTTGGTATGTAGGGGAACTGGAAGTACGTGTTGCTCACAAAGGAAGGCGTGGGCGTGGCACCGGTAGGCGCTACTCCGGTACACGTAGCGCTGCAAATTTGAAGGGGCGTGTAAGTTATAAGCGATGGATTTTACGACATTTACGAATTACGTGGGAAGATAGGTAGGTTACTCACGTCGTAGGGCAGCACGCAGCCTGACTTTGGGCATCTAGTGCACATAATTGACCATTTTCGCAACAGGTGCCAGAGAAGGCGGGACCTCGATCCTCGCAGCTAAAGTAGTCGGTAGGGCAAGTGAGTTGCCTCCTGTGGATAGGAGCGAAGTCCTCAAAGTTTCCGTATGCTAGTGGGTTGACAATTGGATCGGCGAGCGTAAGGGTCGTCACGGCTATATAGCAGACCGCGGCATATCGGTAAGAACTTAATCGCATCTTTATTTCTTCTTTTTTTTTCTTCCCTCTTAATTATTTGAAAGCATCAAATTTGTAGATCGCCTGCGGGGCCGTACTTGGCGCTGATAGAAGTTTTATAATGAAACAATGAAGACACCGAACAGACCGAAGGGACGAGAAACAATTGGACAGAAAGGCTATGCAGTACGTGGTGTGGAAATACACCGCCCACGACAATGCAGACACGAGGTGGGGAGAGCTGTTTGGGTGGCGGCACGTTACAGTATGTTACAGTATTGGACTCGTGGGCGTTAAGTACCTGGAATAGGTAGGTAGGTATGTTAGAATGTTAGGAATTGAGGAGGCATCAATGATATATACAATTTGTAGAAGGATAGAAAAGGCGATGGAGCAAGTGAGGCTTTGCTTTTAACATATGTAAATATCAATTCGTAAATTCGTATTAAAGATGAGGCTAACTAGTAAGATGTAAGGTAGGCAATCATGTACAGTAAAGATGGACAGTAGTTACATATGCAAGCTTGTTTGTAGAGCACATGTGTAGCAAATCAGGTTTAAAGTGTGTGCTAAGAAGAATGATGATTTGTGCGAAAGTGATGTCAAGTTATCTCGGCAGTGGTTGGTTCGCCCAGCAACCACTCAGGTACTACCTACATGTAGTACTTACCTCCCTAGCATGTAGTTACCTAAAGGTCACTATGTACAATACATAGTACTGGTGGGGGGAGGGGTAGAAACTTCAAATGTACCTAAGGTTAGTACTGTAACAATGTTCAATTGACATCCATGGATGTATTGCGGTACCGTAGTTCTCGAACGAACAACGAACCACTTTTTACTATGAAGGAACTTAAACATCAAGACACACTCTGAGTCTCTCAAATTCGGCCACATATAAAACAAGGAACGAGTTCGGTATGAGTTCTTTTGGCAGCCCTGGCTCGGGTCCATATGCTGGGAAACCTACCCCGTATGTTTTTGAATACATTTTTACCTGTATGATAACTTCATCTCACAGAGAAGACTAACTGACTGGTTTTGCTCAATTCGCCCCCAGGCCACAGCGCGGTAGCTTTCCTTTAGATCACGATGGTCAGTTAATAACGAAGCCTCTTGTCTGTCTCTATATATACTTATCATAGTATATATGCATCTGTTTTATTAGGAGAATGCAAATCTGTCATGACTAAGTATCTCTCATGTATCAAAAAGGTCAAGGGACTCAACGACGATGAATGTCGAAACCTCGCCAAATCATATTTGGCCTGTCGCATGGATCGGTAAGTATTCCTTCTGAAGTGTTTGGATTCTACTTGACTTCTTGTTCTTTCTCTTTCTCTCTCGCATTCTAATTTCCTAATTCTCTTAGCAATCTTATGGCGAAGGATGACTTCAAAAATCTCGGCTTCGGTTCGAGTCCCGAAACAGATACGACATCAAGTTCAAAGTCCCAAGAACGGTAACTTAGAGACAGAGGTGTGCAATTAAAGGTACATACTTGGTAATAGCCGATTATAAGGTATTGGTACATAAAACACATACAGAATTATACAAGAACCGGGGCAAACCTCCTCTCCATCTTATAACCGTACAGCCAATCGATGTTCTTAACTTTATTATCACAATCACTTCTACACGTGCTTATATATATATGCAAACTATCTTTCTTTTTGAAATGGAATGAATTATCGGTTATATTATTGTATATTTTGTCTGAAGAGAACAGACTGAAAGGTTCCAGGTCTCAAAATTCCTAATATAAAAGCAGGAAGCATGTTACGAAGCGCTGGCCAACTGCCGAGATATCCCATCTTCCGCATTTCCCCTGTTCGCCGTTACTTATCTTACGACTCAACTCTAAAGAATCTTAAGATTGGGAGTCATACACGGGTTATCTTCCAGGGGTTCACAGGTTTGTAGTATTTTTCTCAGATGCTCAACCTCATAATTTACGTAGGCTGGTAAGAACATATACTTACACATAGGCTTTAGGAAAACAGGCAGGTCGACCCTGTCACCACAAATCCGTTCTCTAATTCATAACTCATAATCCATAAAATCCTGACCTATTGAAATAAAATAGGCTACGACCAATGCACGAGAGTCCTTAAAATGGGGAACCAATATAGTCGGGGGCGTGACGCCAGGTCGCGAAGGAGAGCACCTAGGCCTGCCCGTCCTGCCTAGTGTTCGAAAGGTAGGTACGAATACATATTTTGGGGGGGGGCAGATTAGGAGTGCAAAACGCAACATTATTTTAACAGACGAAACTTCTCTGTAGGCTATGGAAGTCCTTAGACCCGATGCGACGGGGATCTACGTAGCAGCTCACCAGGCTGTTGGCGCAATCGAAGAGGCCATCGAGGCCGAGGTCCCCCTTATCGTTGCCGTGGCGGAACACATTCCCCTACATGACTTTTTTCGAGTATGTACACACCTATGCCTATCATCACGTCTCACAGGTAAACGAAAATAATGATGAAAGGGGAGCTAATATTTCATATCCCTTTCCTTCTTTTCTGCTAGATTTACTCCATGTTACAAACGCAGTCTACCTGCAGACTGCTTGGTGCGAATTCACCAGGCATCATATCAGCCGTGGGGAAATGCAGGATCGGTTAGCAAGCCAATGCCTTTTCCTAGGTATCTATGTATGTTGTAGAAACGGTCAACTTACCATCCCTTGCAACGTATAGGCTTCCATCCTATACCATGTTTTCAACCGGGACGAATAGGGATCGTGGCTAGGTCAGGGACGTTGAGTTATGAGAGTATGTCTTGTCCCATCCTTCTTCCTACATGTATCACTATTTCTCTCAACGGCTAAATACTACTCTGCATCAGCCGCTGCCTCGACCCTGAGAGCCGGTTTAGGTCAAAGCATGTGTATAGGCATTGGAGGCGATATGATCCCAGGCACGACCTTGAAGGAAGGCCTGCAAATTCTCGTCGAGGATGACGATACCGAGGGTATCGCATTCATAGGAGAGGTAGGGGGCTATGGCGAGCTCGAGGCTGCCGAATTCATCAAGTCATACCGTGCTCAAAATAAAAACCCAAAGTAAGTATTACCACAAGTCATATAACAAATTGCAGTGCTGGCGTTGACCCATTTTCTCGGGACAGGCCAATCGCTGCCCTTGTCGCAGGCATGCAGACGGTCCCAGGACAGCCAATGGGCCACGCAGGAGCAGTATCTCTCCTTGGCGAACCATCAACAGCGACTAAGCTCGAAGCTTTGAGGGCAGCTGGAGTAGCAATAGTCGGCCACCCTTCCAGATTCGGGCCGGTGCTGAAGTCTATGATAGACGCCACCAATGTAGCTGCTTCAGGCAGCGGTATTTCCCAGAGGAGAGGAATTCATACCGTAGCCCATCGGCCGACCTCATCTCAACGGGCACTACCCAGGAAAACTTGGTGCCAACGACGAAGCTTTTACCTATCAGAAACGGCCCTGCGTCTCCTCCGCAAACGAGGTCTCCCCATCGCGGACAGTACCACTCGTCAGTCCAGTCTCCCCCTAGAAGAAGAAGAAGAAACATTTTTGGACCTCCCTCAACCACAAGGCCCCGACATCGTGGATACAAGTCGGCCTAGACGTCTGGTAGTGACATTCAACCGATCCGCGAAAAACCCTTGTATAATCGCATTCCACCCCGACAACAATTCCGAGTTCGAGAAATTTGATTTCGACTATGGCGCAGCGGCGGAAGACATCCCGATCGAAGACATAGCATTCTTCCAAGGTCTGCCCCTGTCCTCAATTCCCTCCCTAGGGAAGATCGTTACCGGACTCGTGCGTCTTTTTAAGGAGAAGGAGGCCTTTCAGCTCTCGGTCGAGATCCGGTGCAAAGATAGCAAGGATGGCCTGACGATGGTGATCACGGACGCACAGCTAGGTTTCGATGACGCCGCGTTCCGGAGCGGTGGGCGCCACGCCGATCTCCAGAAGCTGCGGACCAAACTTCTCGAGCACACGGTCGAGAGTGACGGGATCACGTACATGAAACTGGCGCCGCCAGGGAACATCGGCACGCTGGTCAACGGCGCGGGCTTGGCGATGAATACCGTGGATGCGCTCGCCGCTGCGGGGGGCCACGCAGCGAATTTCTTGGATACGGGTGGGAAGGCTACGAGCGAGACGGTGAAGCGGAGCTTTGAGCTTATATTGGAGGACCAGGATGTCAAGGTATGATGAATTCTAATTCTTTCCCCTTACTTATTTCGTCCCTAGTATCTAATGAAGTTACTAACTCCCACGACCCTCTCCTTCTTAGTGCATATTCGTCAACATCTTTGGCGGCCTAACCCGCGGCGACATGATCGCCGAGGGTATCGTCCTAGCCTTTAAAGACCTGCGCATCCCTTTACCCGTCGTCGTCCGCATCCGCGGGACGAACGAGCGGGAGGGCCAGCGCATCATCGCTGAGAGTGGGCTGCCGCTGTTCGCCTTCGATGACTTTGATGAGGCTGCTGCGAAGGCTATCGAGCTGGCGAATCAGGAGTAGATGGATAGATCAGCATGTATGGATCTGATGAGATATACATATATAGAATACTTTTTTATATAACTATCCATGTACCTGCATAAATAATACTAACTATCATTTAATACTATTTTCACTTTTACTTTTTTTCTCGGAGAATTCAAATATTGGTTAGTTCGGCTTACATACGGCCTCGCCCTCGCCCTCGCTTGTCCGCTTGCTTGCTTGCTTACTTACTTAATAACCCCGAAAAACTAAACTGCCCTACCTACCTAAACTAATGCACCCCAAAGGCAAAGAAGAAAAAAAAAGGCAAAAGCGATATAACACAACATAACAAGCCCAAATTTTCAACAACCAATGGAAAATCAAAACCAAAAAAAAAAGGTGGTATAGTATAGTGGAAAGTACGACACGTTGTGGATATACAGAAATTATTATACTAGTACCGTGTAGACCTGGGTTCGATTCCCAGTACCGCCAGCGGTGTTTAACTTTTTCTTTTCGTTTTTCTCTTTTTGTGTTCTTTCCTTTTTTTCTAGAATTAGGGACTTGGTTTTGAAGTACAATACACATATAATGGTATCAGCCAATTTCTTTTTTGGCTTTCTTTTTTCTCTAGTTGTCTTAATGCTGGTTCGCTGTGAATGACGTAGGAGTGATGATGTATGCACGTACTATAGTATTGAATTACATCTATTAGGTAGGTAACTAACCTAGTAGACTAGTAGTAGTATATCCTATGCGTAGTATGTATGCTACATAACCTCGGTAAGTTCTATGCAATGCAAGATAAGGTTGTCTTATGTACAATATTTCATAAATATCATCTATCATTAGCGTCTTGACATAGTTATACCTAACTGACCTCGTACGGATTGCGTTAATTCATATGCAATTGCCATGCATTATCATTACACACGTTCTATGACCCATAGTCCTTTGAGCATGGAGAACCGCCGCTGGGCAGCAGTAGATTGGGGGGCATCAATCCGCGGCTCTTGTTCCAAGGCTGATGCCAAAACGCCGTCGTCACGAATGGCCAATTCACGCTGTTCCTTGCTGAGCCGCACTTGCTCCAACTCCCAGACCTTCCAGGCTCTAAGGGCCCAGCCTATATTGTTCGAAGCAGTCAGCCAATCGGATGTTGAGCAGGGAAAGGCGGGAAAGGATGCCTTCTGGCTCCGGTCATTTCCCGGAAAGGGGCTACCGAAGCGGTGAGACTTACCAAATACGAAGGCACCTAGATAGAGAGATGCGGTGAGGAGTTGGACGTGCAGGTAGCCCCGCGGCCCCGGACCTCGGAGGCTCACAGCTATGACTTCGGCGAAGGTGGCCGGTAAAACAAGCACGAGCCAAGTCATGGACAGTGCTAGCAACTAAGCGTTAGCAACTACCTATAGCGAAATTGCGGTAGCTGAGGAAGCCAACGTCCAAGATTGACAGGCTTACCTGAAGGAATAAGAGCGAGCCCGACGACTTCGGCGCATATCGGGGCAACAGTAGCCCATATCACGCCAGCCACGCAACCGCTAAGAAGGGCAAATACGATACATGCAGCCAGACTCTTTGTCCCAAATGTCCAGACAAACATGCAGAGAAGACCGCAAAATAGCGTGCAGAGGTTGGCGATGTTGAGACGGCCAACAGAATCGCTCGACAATCCTATCATGGGTCGTCCAAGTCCTTGAGAAACTGAGCAGTGATGTTAGCCTCGGATGTGTGCTAGCCCCTGACTTGCTTGGGGAGACATACGATTAAACAGCGCTCCAACTAATGAAGCTTGAGAGGCAGACAAGCCAACAAACTGGCAGTAGTCTACGATGCTAAAGACGAGGATGATGTATGCGATAAGAGAAAGGACCATCCAAGCCTGAAACAGGAGGAACGGAGGTCTCCTGAAGAGCCCCCAGTTGAAGGCTACATGGATGGAACCAATAGCTTCGTTGCGGTCTCGTATGAGCATGACAGCGACACTGTTGACTACAAAACATATGATAGCCAAAATGCGAAAGGCCCATGGCAGGCCGACATGGGCGATCATGGCATTGGTTGCTAAGGAGTAGCAGAGACCGCCGAAGCCCGAGCCTGACACGGCAATGGCGTTAGCAAAGGACCGGCGCTTCACGAACCACTGAGGTGGCACGGAAGCGGAGGCAACGAAAATCAGGCCCATGCCAAATCCAAAGGCCACGCCCTGGCTTAACAGCAAGTGCCATAGTTCAGTAGCAAAAGAGGACCCGATGAATGCAATCCTATCATATATTAGTCAGTGAATGTTGTATCAGGCTTAAACAGACAACCCACGTTTGGAGCACAATCCCGATGAAAATAGTTAGCCGCGTACCGCATCGTTTCCACCCCACGAGGGTTGTTGCCAGGGGAGAGACCAGCAGAGCTATAATATTATTGTCAGTTAAGGTACACTACATGGTTCACGAAACCCCCACCCAAAACAGCCCTGAAGGCTCTGAAATCAAGAGAGGCACACACCGATAGAGATGGAGAGACCGCCGACGAAAGCGTATCCGAGTTGGCTTGTTCCGAAAGTGCCTGTTCTTAGATAATAGGCGAGGAAGACAGCAAAAGTCTATGGAATAGCACAAGATGGTTAGAAATGTTACATAGTACACTAGGTTAGCTCGCTGGTGTTGAAACAGGGCTTACAGAGTTGAGTCCCCAAGTGTGGGCGTTTAGCAGCCATATGCTAAAAATGACCACCCTGGAAATAAAACAGTTAATAACAAACAACTAATTATTAGTGTAGTGACTCCATGATCCTATCCCTGAACGTACCAACCATAACCGCCTTCTTTAAAATCCCCTTGCGATTGTGGATTCGTCTCAGGAGCATTTTCAATGGATGAGTCATTACTACTCTCGTTACTTTCTAATTGCTTGTCAGATTCAGCCATATCTAAACTTGTCACAAAAAAGACTTATCAAGGAATAGTAAGAATAAGTTTATGGAGAGAAACAATTGCACGAAAGTCTCGACATGAAAACTATATGTCAAATCATAACCCTCTTATATATATGAAAGTAGAAAAACTTCGTTTACCGTAGATCTATGATTTATCATCATGGTGTGCCGGAAATAAAGGCTGTCTTTATAACACTTATTATGTAACTGCTGACCGGAAATAAGAAAAAAATTGAGTACAAAAAAAAAAGTGAGGGTGGTATTGCTGGGTTGGTAATAACTACTAATAGCCCAACCTTATTAATGGACTTCAAAGTGAATTTGGTGGATGCGTCGAGTTCGCTCGGCTAGAAAAGAGGTAACTAAGGAGAAAAAGCCCCCGGTTCCGACCCGTGTTACCCGCCCCACGGGGCCGTGGCCACTTAAGGCAATTGGAACTTGGCGTTCTCGGATCTCATCTGCGTATGTAATACATACATAGTGTTAAGTGTATAATAGGTATAAGTTAATAGGTATAAAATAAGCATTCTCCCGAGACGGAGGTGCTCATTCACCTATCATAGCCATCATAATCAACATACCCCCTTGAAGGGCATGTGAAAAGACCTAGTACTAATGGTCATACCGCGAAATCATTATAGGTTGCCAAGAGTATACTTATCGGAGACAAATCTCACTAGAATCCTCCATTCCACTTCATTAACCATACTACCCCCTGCATCATTGGTCACGGCCTTGGAGCCTGACTTATGGATGCTCTGGTATAGTTAACTGTGAGTTCTGGAAGATCGGCGGTGGGCAAGAGTTGCCGGAAGAGCCTCAGAAGCACGTGCTGAATAGTACCTGCATGCAGCAACCAAACCTATTCAAGTTCGTGTTGCATCCGTTGGGTGGATTCACCGGATTGATGCGAACTTGGGTATGTTGTACCGAATTGACAGAAATGAGTGCTGGAGAAGTTTGAATTGAGAGGATTGGCTCTTTTACCTAATGTTAGGAGTTAGTTATTAGTACGTAGTAACTTAGTACATGTAGCACAGGTTGACAGACAGGCGGTACCAGGAAGGTGTTCAAGTGGAGACTACCCTTAGATGGATCTTCACAAGGTTCATTGAATGTTAAACAGACAAAAGACAAAGTTCGGGTAGGTGCAATTTGACCTCTTGATGGTCAGCTGACTTACATATGTAGTACATCTAGGTATATGTAAAACATGCAGAAAAGAGAAGTCGCAAACTGAATTTCAACATGGAACTTACCAAGTATTATGTAAACCTTGAACATGATATTTATGACTACTAGGTATGTATGTATGTATGTATGTATGTATGTATGTATGTATTATCCAAGTGGCTTCAATCTTCTTGTTCTTCAAATTGCAACACCGCCTGACAGACACTTCATCAAGGCTGTGCATCGTTTAGAATGCGCTGACAGCAGAGACTATTCTTTCGTGGCATAATTCTGTTGGGCCAACATGGATAACTCGATTTACCATTGTGTGCTTCTCCCAATTGACAATATCCTATCTGCAGGTGGTTAATCGTCTCTGATACTTACATCGAAGGCGATATTTAATACCTGCAACCTTGGAATGGATTGATATATGTGGAATTGCATGTATTGTATTACATACTACTAGGTACTAATAGTACGTACATGTCTACTTACTTACATGTGGTAGGCTGGTAGTACGAACTTGGCGTAAGTAAATCAAGATAATCAACGGTAAAAAACTGTTACTATCGATTCCAACCTCTCGCAAGCCCTCAAATTCAAGGCTAGATGAAGACGACGTTGTCTCAGACTCTCGGCTAGAGAGATTTATATGTTAATTAACAACTTCCAAGGTTGCTTCTCTACACCAAATAAGTTGCAATTGTGGTAGTGACCGCCTTACATTTAAACTTTCTCATGGATATCCCAGCCAAGCTTTCTTCTTAATTCTAGAAAAACCAATCGCTGTAGCATCATAGGTGGAATCAGTACGGAGTACCTACCTGGTAGGTAGGTACTTAGGTACTTGTAGTTATATATTACCTAGCAGTCCAGATGTCGTTGAGTCACTGAGGTTAGCCTATTTTCCGTGATCATGCAGGCCCTGGAATCGCAATTACTCACATACAAACTAGCACTACTACTATGTAAGTAGCACTAAACACGCTTATCCCGGTCTTCGAGCTTCATTCATCACCTACCGCGTCAACAAGATATTTCGGTACTAGGTATATATACATATCAAGGTATGGATGGGTTCGCTACGATTCGCATACCTCGGCTCTGTATGCATTGTGTAGTAGTACACTCATTCGTACTTACCGGATAGATATTGGATGATATGTAGGTACATACATATAAATAAAATCAGCGTGGCTCAGGTACAGGGCATTCATGCATGCATATGTACCTAGACATGTACCTAGACATGTCCCTAGTACGTACCTAGATAGTAGTTTGAACAACTGTTCTAGGTGGGGAAACAACTGGGCCCAAAACCGCCAGTTGTCCTACCATTGATGTCTCTTAGATTCTCGGAAGGCTCAGAAGGCGGTTGCTTCCTTGCAACTTCCTGCCTCCCGTCCTACCTAAAATCGGCTGCCCCGCCAACAGACCAAAACATTGGGAAAATTGGGTAGCGGTTAACCCTGCAACCAAACCCTGCAACGATAGGTACTCACCCCATTCCACGCTTGGCCTATAAAGGGTCTTGAGTGGGAACACATCATCAATGCACTATCGCTTTCTGCTTTCTGCTCAATGTTTCTGTGAGACATTCTTCATTCTAGCCCATAATAATAAATACCTACTTTACTTACTTTATTATTCCTTTCTTCCCTTGAGACCTCATAGGTAACATATGAAGAATTGATATTGATATTTGATATTTGATATTAATATCCTTGTTTAGCAAAGAATTAGTCTTACGAAGTGTATCGATATAGAAATATTGGCCTATTATAAACAATCCCCATCCGGCCTACACTATTTCGTCAACAATCCTAAAGTGCTAACTAGGTAATCTACCTAACCTACCTACATATTACATATTGAGCTGAATCCTGCACAACAAACGACAAACACCACCTCTGCAAACATGATGCGAGGCAGGTCCAAGGAGAGGTCATCTTCGCCTAGAAAGGTGACGCCGCCTTCGCCAACTTATATGGACAGTGAACAATTTGGTTTGTAGAGCTTCATCCAGCATCATTGTCACATGCTTCCAGAAACACTAACGTGGGGTCTTTCTGTAGCGGCATATTTGGCAGGGCTTCGAGATAATCGCGTCAGTCGCCCAGGAGGGGCACGGCCTCCACCACCATCCACAAGACAAGCTCGGGATTCTACAGAACGACTTGCCATGGGCCGTCCATCACCTGCGAGCGCATCTGTGTTATCTGAAGCCTCTACTAGCCCAAAGAAACCCCACTCTGATGCTCCTAAGCCACGGGGTAGTCGCCATAGTTTTGCACCAAGCGTGGCATCTCGTTACACTACTAATTCAACTGCGACTATGTCGGGGAGGGACTACTACCCGGAAAGTACCGCCGCCGTTTCTCCTTTGAAACCAGGCGAGGTTGTCCCTAGCGCCACATATATCGAGCGTGGCCAACGGTGGATGGAGAAGGAAGAGGCTGTGTCGCTTCGCGAGGCCATGGATGCTATGGATGCTGTGAATCTGAGGGGGGAAGATAAAGATAGGGAAGAAGGTGGGGAACAGGACGACGACGAATCTCGACTGTACAATGCCGCTCTCGACGAGGCAGCTGAATTGGTCTGGCGGCACCAACACGGCATAAAAACACCCGAACCTGGCGCACCCTACCGCTACAAGCCACATCTACGCAAGAATAGCTACGCCCATGCACGTGCTGCTAGTGTCGGTATGTATGGCGATGATATTGGCGCGACTGGGCTTGCACGAGACTCTGTTCGATCTCTCTCCGGGAGTTCGTCTGGTAGTGAACGGGCGCCCTCGCCGACTAGTGCTCGTACAAGTATGGATCAACAACGTACATATTCTATGGGATCAACTAAGTCGAAATCGAAATCGTACGGCACGGTAGGTGGTGCGCCACGTTCGAGCTCGGGCAGTCGCCGTCTCAGTAGTCTGAAGCGTAACATTAGCGGAGAGATAGAGAAGCCATTCTCTGGCGATCAAATCTGGGAAGAGCCTGAGTGCACTACCCCTGAGCATAGGAACCCAAGACAACCTCGGATACCCGAGGAACCGCAACCCCTGGGATTGAAAGCGAGAGGGATTCCTAACAGGGTCCAGTTCGCGCCCGATTCCGCGCCAGAGGCTGCCGCGGCAGCCCCCCTACCCGCGAAACCATTGTCGAGATATGAGATTCACAAGAATCCGCCGACGCAATCCCGTAATCCTACCTACACAAAAAATAACCAATCTAATTCGCCGCGGACACCGCAAGACAGTCCCACCAAAAATGGCATGGAGATCCGCAGTGATGACATCAGACTGGCTACCAGCATGCGGCTCAAAGATCGCAGTGCCAAGCTCCCCACTCCGTCGGCCGTCAGTGACAGCCCCGGACGTCCAATCGTAAGCTTTGACAAAAACTGGAAGCCCTTGGAGGAGGGAGAGGCGACTGATGCAAAGCCAGAAGAGCCCAAGCCTATTAACACCCAAACCCATACCAACTCCAACAACCCAAACCTCCCAAGCAACGGCAACAGCAACTCCAACAGCCCTACCAATACCACCAACCGCCGAGTCGGACCTTTCGGGGTCCTCGGGAAAGAGCGTCAGGGTTCACAAACTGCGCAGCCGAATGTCAATGTCCCTACTATCGCAGTTACGCCGGGCCCTCAGACCCCGGTTCCATCGTCCTCACGGGCACCTGGCAACGCGCCGTCCATCCCAAGTATTCAGGTAGATGGAGCGAATGATCGCCCAAGGGTGCCTGCTATTTCCGTTTCAGGCGATGGACCCACTATCCCTTCTATTGTGCTACCCGGTGACGACGACGACGACCATAACGACTACAGGGGCGGCGGCGGCGGCGGCGGTGGTGGTGGTGGTAGCCGCAAATTGCCTAACCTACCAACGATTGTTACCCCCAACGCTGACGCTAATCAAAGCAATGCTAGTAATGGCAACAAAAGGCCCTTGCCAACTAGACCGCTGCCTACCCCTAGGACCCCCACCCAGGCGCGAGGAGATCGTCCTCGAAGTCACTGGTCCCCAGCACCGGGCGTCACCGGTCGCCGCGCAACAGCCACTTGTCATGAATGCGCATTCCCCATCGAGGGTCGCTTCGTCGCGCTCGCCGGTGCCTCTGAGCGCTTCCATCCGCAATGCTTCCGATGCTACACTTGTGGCACCGCCTTGGAGGCGCTAGAAATCAGTCCGGAACCCGACAATTTCCGTTCTGAACGCCTAGCTCGGATCCGGCGACGGGCAGCGGGTGAGTTGTTGGAAGAGGAGCCCGGACAGACGATGGCGGAAGACGGGGACGAGCGTTTACGCTTCTATTGCCATCTGGACTGGCATGAGCAATTCGCGCCACGATGCAAACACTGCAAAACGCCGATCCTGGGCGAGCACGTGGTAGCACTTGGGGCACATTGGCATTACGGTCACTTCTTCTGTGCTGAGTGTGGTGACCCATTCGGCCGAGGCGACACCCACATCGAGAAGGACGGGTATGCGTGGTGTGTCAACTGCCAGACGAAGCGGACAGAAAGGCGTGCACCCAAGTGCCGCGGATGCCGGACTGCTGTCATTGGTCAGTACATCCGCGCCCTAGGCGGCGAGTGGCATGATGAGTGCTTTCGATGCGCCACGTGCGGCGGTGGCTTTGACGATGGCCAGATCTTCCCCATGCGCGAGCGCGGCGACAATGTTGTTCTCTGTACGCGGTGCCGGTCCGCGGAACTCAAGATGTGACGAGAATGAACGAAGAATGAAGAACGAGATGGAAACGGAAACGATGACTTTTTACGATTACGAAGACGGAATTACACTGAAGATGAACGTTAGGTACACACACATACGAGAGGCCTTTTGCGCACGAGAATCCCGCTCGGCTTAAGTATCACGATGGATGGATGGATGGATATCTTACTCGCACACAAGGTAAGACTGATCTGCTGATACGACTGTGGATTTTCCGCGCCTCCACAACACGAGTTTGGCGACTATTGCATTTTTGCGTTGTTTTTCGGGGCGTGCGTTTTGCGTTTTGCGTTTTGCGTTTTGCGTTTTGCTTTTGACTTAGGGTTCTGGGGTGCTGGCAGGTATGGCAAATGGTAGGGAATAACTAATCGATGGAGGATGGTGGCGTTCAGATTGTGTTCTTGTTTGAGGGAAAGAAAGAAAGTACTTGTATTTGACGGAATGTTTTTTCGGTGGCAACAGTAGTAATTCCGAAATACAGAGGAAAAGGACTCGTGTGCTTGATCCTAAGAATACATACCTGCTTGCTCTCTACTTGACCTGTCTATACTAGTTACCTATCCTAGGTACACAACGTGACTTGTGTTTGTGTGTGTTACTAATACTGAATATCTTGAACAATCCTTTAATGTTATTCTCCTATCAGATTGCTCTTTAGGGGGGGGGGAGGGAGGGATTTACCTTTACGTGTTCCACTACCTACCTACTCATACCTACGCACCTACATACATACCGCTCACTCAGCTCAGCTTCAAAGCACCTATTATTCAATCTACCCAAGGTATGGCGGGTGCTATGTTTGTTATACATGCTGACACTTGATAGTAGTTGGATAGATGGATTGGACATTTACGGGCTAGATCGATCTATGCTTTCAGCTACTAGGTAGCTACTGTACCTAAATATGTAGTTTAGAGAGGCAACCTACCTACCTACCTATAGTTATTACTACGCACCTAGGCTAGCCTTGGCGTAATCAAGCTGGCTTTATTTATTTATGTATGATGTGCTTACACCGATAGGTATGTATGTAGTAGTACATACTTACCTGCTTAGAGCTTATATAGGCGTATTACTCCTACGTGTGTATGTAGGTTTGCTGTGAGCCTTGCGGATTTAACGTTTTGTACCTAGCTAGGAGGCGGGGTGAGGAGGAGGAGGAGGAGGAGGAGGAGGAGGAGGAGGAGGAGGCAGGCTCTAGGTAGGCATCTACTACTCTTTGGATAACTACTACTACTTCTGGGGTGAATCTTAAGAGAGGTTGGTTGGTGGCTTGATGTGAGGGGCTGGGGATGAGTTTATATGATCAAAAGGGGGGAAGAGAAGCGTAGGTAGGCGGGTGGCTATATCTAGTCAAGTCACATAGGTAGGTAGGTAGTCATTTGTTGCACAGGAGGAAGAGTAAGGAGAACAGGAAGAAGAAACATGAGACGGAGATGCGGCGATAAGAGGAGTTCTAATCCGAGATCAGCCGCCCACCTCGATTAATAGAAGAAAGTACTTCTGAAAGATTCACAAACGCAATAGTCTAGATGACAAGTGCCCTCCTGCTTATGGTAGAAGATATAGCGAGAACCCCCAAGTATCGGTCCTCGAAGGCAAGAGAGAGAAATCGTCCCGTAGCCTCTTGTTTCCTTCACTGTCACCCGATTTCAATTCAGGTGTATCATAACCCCCGACTCCATTTCGGCGCACGTTTAGCCACACGTCAAATTGGCTTCTGCGTCCAAGGTAATACTAGTTACTTAACCAGCTGCATTGGGGCTAGTTGTCTCAGCAGCGGTACGCTCCTCCTACCTGTTCCTGGTGGACTTCCAGGGTGTCGCCATCGGCCATCTCTAACTACGAATACGAAATACCAAGGTTAGTAACCAAGAGGTATAACCAAAGTTGAGTGCGGAAGGGTCGTGGATTAATATCAAAAAAGGGAAAGGTAGAGGAAGAAAAAGCGGATCTTGAATGGCGTGAATTGGGAACTTACCGAGTCAGGCGTATCGCTCTTCTGCACTCGCTGTCCCTCGAATAGAAAACGGACAGCTTCGACGCTCTTGCCCTGGCGTTCGCAGAATGCCGTCATCAGCTTCTCGAGCTTGGTCGAGCGCTTGATCTTGAAGAAAACTTCGTTGTTGTTATCCGTGACCTTGATGTTGAGATGCTCGCTTCCACCCGCAGGTGCATCCTGGCGCTCGGCGGCAGGGCTTCCGCTGTCGTTCTCTCCAGACATCTTTGGATGATATGTGATATGTGATTTACGAATGAGACGGTTTTTATTATTTGAGCGTCCTAGGCGTCAAGCTTGCCTTTTCGAGGTTGAGATCAGTTCGTAAGATAGCTATTTATTGCGGCCGCCGGAAGGCGATATAGGTTAGCGGGAGGGTGCTCGGAGTATATTAGATGAAAGGCTGCCTATTGGGCACTTTGCAATGCAGGCACGCAAAATGGAAGGATGGGATGGGGATGGGGGACTCACAGGTCAGAAGACTGAGAGTGACGGATTGCTGGAGAATGCGATGTGGTGATAGAAAGTTTTGAAGCGGAAGAGGATGGAATGCTCTTCGTGTAGTATGTAAGGTATTTGGTATTTGAGTTACGAGTGGTGGAAAGAAGGAGATGTGACAAGGAAAAAAAAGAGGTAAGAAAAAAAAAGAAGTGAAGTACCTAAAAAGTGATGCGATTATGGTTGGTGAAGTTTCAATGTTCGAATGTTAGAATCAACGCGAAGAAGTACGTGAGTTGCCCTTTAGGTGAGAAACAAGGAACCTCCAGGGCTGTGACTACGCTAGATGCGGGGCAGTTGCTTGAGAGTTTCAATACATACATATGTACATAACTACCTACATAGTATGTGTAGCGCTATATCTATGTACCTATGTACCTTACATACTCAGTGCGGCTGCTCATTGGTTTCTTTTTTTTTTCTTCTTTTTTTTTTGCCCTCTAGGCAGTCACCTACGCCGGACCTACCTTTCCTTTCGCATTCATACTCTCAATAGTTTAAAGTATACTTGACCTAATTATGCACTAAGTGCTGCCGTTTTCAGCCCATTTATTCAAGGCCCAAGCCTCTAACCTACCTAATTAACTATGTAAACCTACATATGCCATATGGAAGTGATTTAGCCTAGATTGTACATATGTATATATCATGTATACATACATGTATGTAGTGAACAAAGATCATGCAGAGCCTCATTCCACGCTTTTGTTAGGTCTATCATTACCTTGCTAATAGGTGATAAACAAAGCCTTTAAAATGCCATTACCTATGTATTATAAGAGCATGCAGATTCAGCGTTGCCAATGGTTACAGTAGATATTTATAATGCTCTGGGGGAACATACATGTATATGTAACTAAAAAGCGGAAGACGCAGTTTTGATTTCTGATATGCTCACTACTCGAGGCTTTACCAAACAATGGATATCAATACAATACAGTTGTAGCCCCGATAGGTTAGATCTCCCAAACTTGTCCACGTCATTTTTAGCCAACCAGTGGAACAGAAGACCTGTTATAGATCAACTTCAAATGCAAAAAATAAATGACAACATTAAGAATACCATAGTATATCCTACCTAGGTTGTAATTAACTGGTGGGTTTTCTTCATTGTGTATTATTCAACACTAAATACCTGCGAGTACATTAGTAGTTGACTTTGACTTCTCTCGTCAATCTATCTATCTACCCTAGGTAGTAACACGATCAGATCGGATCGATCGTATCACAAAGCCTTTGAATATGGTACGTGGGCAAGCTACATAACAACGAAATCCCTTCACAACTTCAGATTAATAACATCAAAAATAATTATAGGGAATGAAAGAGGACCTTGGCTCAGACCCCCCGTGTCACCCACGTGCAGTGAGTTACCGAATTAATACTATGAGTCTCACATTCGGGCAAGAATGGCTAATATAAGTATCAATGGTCCCCAGTGCGCGATACAAGGTAAGTGCACACAAACAAATCAGAATGCCCACGGTATATTTCCCCAGCATTCAAGGCTCTAACACACAAAAACAAACAGATTGCCTTGGGAAGAATGGATATAACGAGGCAAAATGTTCACATTTGGTCGATGCCCTTTACAAGTGTTGCGATGCCTTCTACCAAAAACATGGTGATTACGCAACTAGTGTCTGTTGCCCGAAAGCCAGTCTTCTACGATTGAAGATGAAGCAAAGACAGGAACAGCAGGATAAATAGAATCAACGATGATCCTGTGGTCTTCAACTGTAATCATATCATATGTATATAGTGGGAGTGGTGTATGTATGTTCGGTATTCAATGGGATGGAGGAGCGTGGTTATGTTCTACAACTCTTTATTCACGTCAACCTGAACAAAGAAGGCAGGCAACATTTACAGAGAGTAGAAATCGTTCTGGGCGATCATTGAGCGCGCAAGAGATCCGCATGGGACCTGGACAAGCATTGAAAAAGAAATATCTAGCTTGTCCCGAGACTCTAATATGAATGCCGGTGACATTTATGATGAGAGAAAAAGGAAAAAACATTGAAAATTTTGGGTGAGAATTTCTTACTTTGTACTCTGTGGATGGGCGGGTCCGATGGGGCTAATTCTCTATTGTGATTGGTTAAACTCAATGTGAGTTTGTTCTGTGGCTGTATTGATACTAGGTTAGTTATGTACTATGTACCCAATCGGGTGGCTGAGCCTCAACTACATATGTAAGCGAAAATTACGGACGCAAGCATTTTATACGAAGTTTAGGATACGGGGGTTTAAAACGGTTCGATTTGATCAATATATTATCATTCATGTTATGTACAATTTAATCTGTATGCCCTTTAAATGTGAGGCGACAAGACTAACAACCAAGTAATAAAAACTAATCAGAAAGAAACGTGATATCCTCCCAACTCTCGGAACTTCTATACGTGCTCAAATACAGAGTTTGGTCTAAGGATCAAAGCGCGGTTGTCAATATCAATATGAGAGGCAATTGCCAGTTCCACATAGTTATGCCCCTAAACAACCAGAAAATCAACGTCCCTGTTGTCCAATTTGAGGACAGCCAACGGGATCGCACATGAGCTGGATGCTTTCTCTCCTAGTCGATATGGATCAATTCCCGGCCATTATTTTGCATCTTCTATTTTTCACCTTGTGGCCAGTTACTTCCAGATCCGGAGGGTTGGGAAGAGCCAAGGTTGGTTATATGTGTTGAAGTTAAGAGTATTTCATGGCAAGATGAGAGACAAGGCCTTTGGAGGTACGGAGATTAGGGGTAAGGGCAAGTTTCGGATGTTACATAGTTGGCGCATATGGTGCTGAGTTAAATCTTTTCATTGGGCTTAAACGAGTCTTTGATTCTGGAGAGGGGGAAGGATGGGAAGAATGGAAGAATAAGGCCCTTGAAAGATGGAAGGACGACAGTCTGTTACAAGTCCTGTTGAACAGCAAGACTTGACTGATGAGTCTGTTAGACGTAGTTTTTACTTTACCTTGTTCCTTTCCTTTCCTTTATGTAGCACCTAGCAAAAAAAAGCATTAGGCATTTGGATCATACCAGAAGAAGAAGAGCCAATACTAGTATATATCGACTAGGTGCCTAAGCATGTAAAAGTATCGCTGACTGGTATGAGACTTGTCTGTTGACGGGAAGATAAACAGTGATATGTTAACAAATGGGGTTCTTTGTTGCGGCTGACTTCGGTTAGTAGAAAGTGATAACAGGCGATACCTAGTAACAAACAGATAACTAAGCCTATTTTTGGTAACATAATATTATGCATCTAAACAGATATCCAGTAAGGCTAAGGCTAAAAGCGGCAATAGCTTAGGTTACCATAACTTACCGTTTGGGGACGTCATTGGCTGTACGGACACGACCGAACCGCGTCGAGAACGTTGAAGCTTCAAAGCTCTAGTCAATCAATTCTTTTAACTAACTACATTTTTAACATTTTTAACAACAAATACGCAACATCGTAATAACACACACCACCAAACAATCCCGATATTCACGTACTTATAATCGCAGATGACCTAGAAATAAACCCAGCTTCATCAACTACAACAGCGAGACATTACAAAGGATGCTGGTTAGCAACCAGCTCCTTATACGAAGATAATAATTGATAACCCGCCTCGAAATCCATCCTCTCTCTAATCGACACAACGTAACGATGGCCCAAAGGCCTCAGCACACGTATGGTCTGCAATTTGGCGAGCTGTCACCTCTTTCAGATTCGAATGGCCAAAGTACACCATTGCTACCATCAATTAAATCTGAGGAGTCGATGGAGACTAATGATATTCCAGCCTTTTTCGAAGAACCCGAAATCGAATTCGCCCAAGATGCTACCGAATTCGCCAAAGGTCTAGACTCACTTTCTCTCATTCGCAAATCCTCAGCCGAAAAACGAGAAGACATATTTAATCTTGTCGACACTTACTATCACTATGCCGCCACCAAAGTTCATGACTTGCGCAGGTCGCAAGGCCAGTCGTCTAGAACTGATCTCCGTCCGTATGACGATCTCCGTCCATATGATACTTCTAGCCAAGACTCCATGGATTTAGACGAAGCAGATAAACTACCTGCATCGCCTGCCTCGGCCGAGAGACTCAAGGGGTGGGAACTTGAGGCCCAAACTTGGGACATGTTGCGCCGCCTCTTGCCGTTACGATACTCTCACAAGAACTCTCTTAAGCCAGTGCGCCACGACGTGTCGAGATTCCAACCCTCATCCGAACTCTGGGATGAGTTCATACAGACAGACTCTACCGCTCAAGAACGCAAGGCTATCTTGGAGTGTCTGCAAACCAGCGCCGATGAGTCGCGTACGGATATAGATGAATTGGTCCGGGATTACCAGCAGCGGGCAGAGAGGGGAGACATTATCGCTTACGGGTGGCTGCACACGCGATCTGCTATCAAGATGCACAAGAACGTTCAAGGTTGGTCCGGAGCTCTGGACCCTAATGCTTCCGACGTTAGCCATAAGCTCAAGAATGGCTCCACGCCACTCGTGACGCAGCTTGATCCCGATGTGGCGACAAGACAGAATAGGAAGCTTCAACCTCAAGATGAGTACTTTGAGCGAGCCATATGGCTCGGATGCTATGAGTTACTTCGCAGGGGACGAAGCATCGCCGAGATCCGAGATTGGTGCGTGGAAAGAACCGAAGTCTGGAGAGCGGTCAGTATGTCCGCCATGCCGTTGTCTAAGGACCAAAGCGAAGGCCGTCCTACATGTGATCCCCTATCTCTTCTTCTCTGGCGGCGAACCTGTTTTGCCTTGGCGCGACAAGGAGGTACTGATGACTTTGAGCGCGCCGTCTACGGTATACTCTCTGGTGACATACCCAGTGTCGAAAAGATTTGTGAGAACTGGGATGATTACGTTTACGCCCACTATAATGCCCTATTGCGAACACAGTTTGATGCCTACTTGATGAAGCGATCTCCGCCAGATGCTACCGCTACCATTTCCCAAAGCTTCTCCGCCTTTAACGCCATTCAGTTCCATGGTGAGCCTGCTTCGGTTGCGGAACGGCTTGTGAAATCTCTGGAAACAAACGTCAAAACCTCGGCAGAGGCGAGAACGCCTCTGAAAACCCTACAAGCAGCAATCATATCAAATAATATGGACCAGTACATGTACGAACTCGGTGTTGCGCTTGGAAAGTCAGCAAACAAGGATGGCAGTTCAGCATTGATACCAAGCTTTAGTACCGCTGGTGAAGATATAGACGATGCCAAATTTGTACAGCTAAGGGATCATAATGGTCTACGCGTCTTGGTCCACGTATACCTGATCATCTCAAGCCTTGAGCAGCTACAGGGCGGTCTGCTCGTAGAGCTTTCCGAACGTCTCAAGGTACAGCAGAATGTCATCTCTGCCTATGTCAGCACCCTGCGGTTGACTGGCCTAACTGACTTTATGTCTCTCTATTGTCACCAAATGCAGGGGGATAGGGCTTTCTTCACCCTGAGTCGGAATATTACTGGCATTGTCGACCAGCACGAGCGAGAGATGCAGCTAAGGCTGATGGAGAAGCTCGGCATAGACATTGCCGAGTTTGTCCAATTCCAGCCGCGTTCTCTTCTGCAGCAGCATCTCGAACCAGAGAACCTACAGCCCCCATTCGGTAGATTCACTGTTTTCTCCAACGATCCGCCTACCCTCAAGTACGGACGTCCTCTGAAGCCCGACTTCCTGGGGGAGCCTCCCGACGAGCTCAACTCTGTGGACGAACATCTCATCCAATCGCTGGAGTGGTTCCTTCTCATCGATGGCCTATGGCATGAAGTGTTTCATTACGGAACCGCCATTTACAAACGATTTCTCAGTAAGTCGAGTCCTTTGTCGCCCCCAGAAACCTTCTCACCAGTACTAACAACTCATTAGAGCAATTCAACTTCCATGCAGCCCGTGCCTTGTCTGAACGGGTCTCCTGCGCGGACATTTTTAGAAGAAAGGCAGGCATTGTCTACTCAGATTATTCGGATGTATCGTGGTTTGATGAAGTTCGAGCCAGTGCTGCGGCCGGCTCTTTAGAAGTAAATGGTCTTGGTCCAGACGAGGTCGCATCAGCACAGAATTTCTTTGAAATGGAGTGCTTGATTCGGGCTTTAGATGTGATGGAGACTTTGGCCTCAAGTGAATTGTTAGCCCAAGAGTAAGTTTCTATTACCCTATCTTTGATATGAAGGGTAATATCAGTCAAGCTAACTTGATAATACAGCCCGGCGGAGAAGTTAAGCCGAGATTTCTGGGCCAATGTTGGCCAGTCAATCAAGGCTCTCAAGGGCTACATGCGCCCTATCTTGAACAATTGGCTCATGGAGAGTATTGAAGGTGAGTTATGGCTATGACATCTACGAACATACCTAGGACATTTCTAACTATGGGGTTAGAAGATGATGATTTTGCATATCTTCGGGACGCGTATCTCCCAGAGATAATTCTTGGATACGTGAGCGCGTTGCACTTCGCAGGAACAACTCTAACTCGTGACAACTTGCTGGAGTGCATGGAGCTTGCCTCGGTTGTTGCAAAGAAAGACGCGGACGTAGCGGCGGTGATCATGAAAGCCGGCCGTATGAAGGAACTCTTGGAAGGCTTTGCCAACTGCAGCAAGGCGCTCGCGATAAGCAGCAGTGACAAGAAAGGGGCCAATGGTATCAACAGTAAAAGGATGATGCGAGAACACGGATGGACACGAGAGCTTTGGTCGGTCAAGAAGTGAAGGAATGAGATGAAAAAAAGGGGGGGCATGGTTGGCTTTATGGCCCTAACATTAGTACTGATGAATGTTGCACGCTTGCATTTCAGTGGGCCTGGCTTCGTTGGCGCTGGCGGTTCCTAGGGTTAAGAGGATGGCCATCAAAACTGCAAGGGCGTTTTGTTTTTTAGGGGCATATTAGGATGTCCGTTAACCTTCAAGGGGTAATTGTATTTCATGATGCACTAATCACTCTGAACTCTCTAATTAGGTCAGGTAGGAGGTAAGGCTATGGTCTTTGAGCCCAATTTGTAGACTATGGTTGCAAATTGGCCTCGGAAGATTTTAACTGGCTTGTCCACCGATCCTTGTTCATATACCTGGGTATGTAGTAATGATGAAATTTCACGATGATGTTGTCGCTGTTCTATGTATGGGTACCTATCCAGTAGTTAAGTTGCTGATGTTGTTGCGTAGTGTCGGGTGCTTCCTTTCTCGCCCCTCCCCCCCTTTTTTTAGAGTGATAATGACAAAGTGAGAATCGGCCTACGGATATTCGCGGGAGTGTTCTCAGAGTGGGTTTTCCAATCTACCTGACGGCAGGCTTTCAGCTACGTTATAAGGATCGTGGGTATCATGGATTGGAAGAAGTTACTAGGTGGCATAGGAGAAGAATCGACACCAGTATGGTCACGAGATGGCTACAGGAATGCAAAGAACAACATGGCAACGAATGTAACAAGATCATTGCCAACAGGGCACTTCCGCGAGGGTTTCGGGTAATCGATACGACGGAGTGGCGTGTTGTTAATGTTGCTAATTTATATCATCTAGATCGCTATATGGCACTGAGCTACGTCTGGGCGTTCTTTTGAAGAATTGGAGCCCGGATTGGAGCACGAACTTGAAATGTGGAGGAGTTACGGTGGCAGTGGCTTAAGCCTCGATGGGAAACTATTCTAGCATGATGATGCAATTAACAGATACTTGCAGATAACCCCAGACCTACCCCTCCCACGCAAAACCGTCTCCTACATATGTAGTGACATTGTAGTCTGAGGCACGAAGGTGATCGTTTGTATAGAGCATTCCCACATCAAAAAATCAAAAATATCAAAATAACCATTACAATCGAGAAATAAGCATTTAAATCTACTCCAATACAGATAATTAAGCTATTGCAAATTTAATACATTTTTTCTCGTATTTTTACGACGTTTCGTTGTTGGTATATTCCACAAAGATGGATTTGTCGTCTGAATTATCGTCACCCCCTTCATCACCTCTTCAATTGCCACAGCAAAATACCCTAAACACTAATGTCTCCCACGATACGCCGAATAATCCTCCTTCTGACGATGATATCGAGACGGAATCCAATACTAAAAGAGATTACACTAAATATAAACTCCCTTTGAATACGGTCGTCGACAACACAGTCGAGTATTGGAGAACGCAAAGTCACGTATTCGGATATGGCTTCGAGCGGTTTCTAGAAGGCTGGCTTTCATACCAGACTGACAATCCACGAAACTCTGGTGCGAAATTACGCAGTGTGGTTAAAGTGCTCCGAAAGCCTCATATAATAGCACGTTTGAAAACAGTCGGCGTCGATATCCAGTTCGCAAAAAACAATAGCGAGGATGAAGACGATAACTCCATTAGCCAAGAGGTTGATAAAGTATCTTCTATGCTAAGAAAAGAATTCTCTCTCTTGATATCCCAGCCGGCATTCAACACATTCAGCATAGAATCTTTTATAAACTCGGCCGACGGCGAATGCGCCGTTAAAGACGTCGGCGACGTCGAATGGATCAACGACGCTTTAACTAAGAGTTGGCCTCAAATACAAGTTAAAGCTCCAACGTTAGCTAGATTACTTGGTCAAATCCTCATCCGCGAACGAGCTGAATGGAATTCGTATCAGTGGAATTCTACATTTCCTACTTCTACGGCATATCTGATTACTTCGGTACTGCTACATTCATTCGCGCCGCGGCGATCTACCTTCCTACTTTCTACGATAGGTCTTTACCTTCATAATAGCGGCGTACCACGCCGCGTTATAGACACGTTGGCTCGCTTAGGCATCTCTTCTAGCTATAAAGTAGTGATGGATATTACAAGCAAAGCAGCTGAGCAAGCACGGGTACGTCATAATATTCAGGGGCATTAAAGATAGTTACTCTAATTCAATATATAGAAAAATCTTAAACGTGCTGCCCGTGACCCTACTGCCGTAAAATGCTAACGGGCTTTAGAATATCCATCAGTAGCCCTGACCACTTGTTTGAAATGTATTGGGCCTTTCGTTGCTTCGCTGTCGCTTAGTGGGGGTAGTTATTGGACTGATGTGGGAACGCTCAACGAATTCTGTGACTACGTATAATTTGCTTGCACCCTTACTATAACACAAAAGAAAGTAGATACATAGTTTATAATAGGGTATATCTACCCCCTATACTTTACGAATTAAGAATATTTATTTTATTCATTTAGTTATGAAGTTTTTGTTGAAAAGTACCGATTTTTTTGGTATAGTGTTGTGGGGGGCACAGCCAAAAAATCACCTTCGTGCCTTAGACTTGAAATTTTGACACGACACACACAGCCCCACATGGCACAGATACATTGGCACGGTCCATGTCTGTGGTGGCTGTGCGTGTGTGGCGTAAAAGATTTCAAGTCTAAGCTTGCTAAGATAAAGTAAGTTACTCCGTACTATTCTATACTTACCTAGTACTCCAAAGTCCAAACATCCAACTTACGCATAACAAATACAAATAAAACCCAACAAAATATAACAACAATGTACACCCCAACACCTCCACCTCCTGTTCTACCACCGAAACCAAATAGTCACGATGCTAGTCGCCTAGGTACACCTGCCGCAGCTAGCTCTCCCCGGCCACCACCCCCCATCCCCGACGATGCATTCACGAGGTCTATGGAAGGGAGGAACCAAGCATCCATCGCTACCGATGCTTCCGGCCTAATTCCTGCTCAGATACCCCTTCATGACCCTATACCAGATCCTGGCGAGCAGTGGCTACCCAGGATGCTAGAGGATAAATCGTACGTCCCCCACCTCAGGTATTCATATTTCGAGCTCACTATATCTAACTCCGTCATCCCCACATAGAAAACAAGACCTCGCCGAAATACTCAGCCAACCAGCCATTCTTGACGCCCTCACCCACGCCCCCGACTCCATCCACCCTTCCCTCGCCGCCACTCGCGACGCTCTGCTCTCCGCGCTCAACGAAAACATCCAGCTAGCGGCCCACTTGACAGATCTCGAGGCCCACCTCGGCGCCCAGCGTGCCGCCGCACAAGCTCAACTTCTGTCCACCCATGCGCTCGAGCGCCAGTGGCGCCAAAAGCAGGCCGAGATGGATGCTGCCCTGGCGCCGTTCGCGCCGGCCGCGCTGTACGCGAGACTCGGCCAGAGCTTGGCGGAGCAGGAGGCCGTGTGCCGGGCCCTAGAGGAGAGTTTTCTCGAGGGGGGAGGTGCGAGCATTCGTGAGGGAGGGGGGGAGGTGGCGACCGAGAGAGAGACGCTGGATTGGGCGAGGAGATACCGCGAGGCCAAGAAGTTGTACTATCTACGCCATGAGCGCAGGGAGAGATGGAACGAGCATCGTGTTGGTGGGTGGCGGTGATATCTTCTCGTCCTCATCTTTCAACTCTAGGGAAAGTGTACGGCTTTCCAAGTATTCAAGGTCCACCATCGTAGCAACAGCAGCGATGCCGACGTATCGTCCTCACGCCAAGTGTCTAGGCTGTACATTCATGGCATGAGCAGGGCAATAAATCCAGCGGATAAGCAGAGCAATCTGATACTAGGCCTTTTCGAACAAAATCTACAGCCACGACACTCGACACACATACTTGACTAATCAGAGCAGTTCGACCGCCTAAGAAGACCAATGAGAGCACATACGCACTTCTTTTCTTACGACCTTTACGACCTTATTGCGCCATCTACCACATGCAATGTACCTGCATTATTTTCTGGAGGGACTTCGTACCCCCCGGCACTTGTTGTATGCGCAATCGCCGCTAGGAACAGGATCATCAATGAGTTATCTAGGTAGTAAGGCCTTTAGAAGATAGCCCGTTCTGTTATTAGCGTTCATGGGCCGGATGGTGAGCTCGGCTATTGCGTATGAGACGCCATACCTACCATATCCGACGTGCCCAAGTCATCTAATAAGTCATGTTGGTGCCCTAGCTTGAGCCGGTCATGTCCTTAGGTATGTGGCTCAGCCCGGAGTTCTTAAACGGCCATGCACAAGCGGTAAGCTCCAAGGGTCCGGATGTGGCACGGTCGAAATAGGCAGGCCAGTGTGCAGAAGCGGGTACGGCGACGAATTATAGCGAATACAAGTTTTTTGCACCTACGAGGGTTGTTCCAAACTGCATGGTAGTGATGGAGGGTAAGAAGGTGGGAGGGCAGCAGCAGCATCCACATTCGGTCCGAACGATACCTGGCATATACGGGTTACAACATGTGACAACCACAACTTGACACTTATCTACATATGTCCGCAGTCACCGCACACACATGCGTCTTATATGTGTACATTCCGCGCCTTTGTAGCTTGCGTGATGGCGGAACTGCTGTTTCAGGTGTAGTGAACTGCGGCCGAAGCATCGTGGTGGAGTTGCGGATGCGGCTGTGGTGGGGCTCGGATGCGGGTTAGGGGGTTTAGAGTCCAGACAGGTAGGCAGGTATATTCATGATTATAACTACTCACCAAACCATTCGGGCTCTTGCACGTGTGCGTCCGTAAGTAGGTAAATAAGTATCTAGATGTAGCCCTAGGAAGTGTTGCAATCTTGGAGGGTCTCTAGTTACCTAGGTACCTATCATAGATCCATCGGAAAACCCCTTGGACAGGATCTCCCGCGGAAAAGGTCCCCAGCTGCCCTTGCATAACCTACCTACCTGATATAGGGGCAGGTACTAGGTACCTACATTTACATAACAGCCTTCCGCTGCGCTTGAGAGGCGTGGCGTGTAAGTGCTAAGGAGTAACTCCATGGCGTTTCTTTGGGGTTACGTACTTCGTATACCTACAGTGGAGGTAAGTACCTAAATATATAGGTAGGTAGGTAGGTAGGTAGGTATACATGCATAGAAAGTGTATCGGATACATCTAAGATGTCGGCAGAGGCTTTCGATCCTTCTCTTCTTCTTCTTCTTCTTCTTCTTCCACCGATATACCCTGTTGTCGTCGGTGTGGGTAGGGAGGTAGATCGGACTACCAAGGCAGGATTGCCACAGGGTGATAGTAGAAGTAGATGGCGGTAATACTTCCATGGCCCATTCCTCTGTTTTATTGGATACGTGTAGTTGTACAATATCTCTCGAGGTTTTTATATACCCTAGGTAAGTACATACGTAACTACTTACATGTATGTATCTGTGTTGTGTGTACTATGTAGGTAGGCAGCTAGAGGCATGTATTGGACTGCAACTTCCATATGCCCTGCCTATTCTAGCTACATGCTCTTCTTTAGTACCTACCTACTTGTTTACACACTTCACCTCTAATCTTCTCTTAACGTTCACTCGCAAATGTCAAGTTAACTTCTTAGAAGATAGGTATTTTCTTTTCTCATATGTATTTACCAATATATGTACCTACTCTTCGAACAACTCTCCAGCAGAGAGGAAAGAAGGGATACCTATAAGAAGAGGATGGATGGAAATATATGTTTTCCCCTCTCCTGATACCCAACTCGTCTACCCCCCTTGCTTCCGTCCCGATATATTTATTTATATTTGTTTGCTTGTTCCCCTTCGTCCCACTTGATGAGGTAAATAGTTATGTGTATGTACTTGGCTCATTATATTTTGACCCATTACTCTCCTGTCTACTACTACTATTGCATATTTCTCCTACTTCTCTTCGTCTTTTCCCCCATCTGTTTTCCGTCTCTGATATCCCATCGCAACCTTCTTCCCTCCCCACCTAATCGAAAGCAGCGAGCTCTTGGGTTTATATAGGTATGTATAAGTATAAAGATGCATATATATGTAGGTATGTATGGCATATGTGGTGTGGTATTATATGATGATCTGGATCGTTCACTTATTGAGCGATATGTAGAGGTAGGCTGGCTAGCTCCATCCAGCCGCAAGGCTTAGACAGATGACCAATCCTACGCCCAAAGGATCTCGCGAGGGAAAAAAAAATGAAGAGAAAGGTTCCCCTTCTTCTTTCATCGCTTGCTTCTTCTTCTTCTTCTTCTTCTATCATCCTCAGAAAAGCGGAACTAGGTGCTACCTCAAGAAGCTGAACGGGCTCGTCTTCATCTCGGGGCTCCGCGGACTCATCGGCAGCGCGAACAGCTCGTCCTCCGTCTCCTTGCTCTGGGTATCCGGCGCAGCAGCAGGGGCCTGGTCCCCTCCCGTGCCGAGGACGGCGTCGAGGGAGGCTACGCCGCCTGCGTTCGCTACTCTCGGGATTACCTCCGGTTTTTTATTATTATTTGGTGGCAGGGGGTTGGATAGGGTTGGTACTTGTTGTTGTGTTTGCGAGTATTGTGTGCCTAAGGGGGAGTAGTTTATAAGCTGATGGATTCATTTATGTACTTATGGATATATGTGGGGATGGAGGGGTAGGAATGCAAAGGGTCACAAAGAGAATATGGAAATAGAGGAAGACAGAAAAAGAAAGGGGGGAAGGGGAATTTACCTGACGGATTAACCAACTCCGACGGCGAAGTCGCCAGCTTCAAACCCCTTAACTTCTCGCCCAGGCGCCCACTCACCGGGGACCTCGGGCTCTGCGGCGCCTGCTGCTGCTGCTGCGAAGCCGCCGCAGCGCCGCCTGCATTCTGGAGACCTACACCCGCGCTCGCGTCCGCCGCGGGACGCAGCTCCTCGAGGCCAAAGTGCTCGATGATCCACAGGCGCTCCTGGACCGCCATCTCGAGCGCGACGCTCTCGCTGTTGTCGCGCAGCTCGGCGCGGATCTCGTCCTGCAGCTGCGCCGCCCGCAGCCGCGCCCACTTCGTGTGCAGCACGCCGCGGCGGCCCGCCTCCCGCGACCCGATCCCCAGCCCCGGCGCGAAGATCGCAGGCATCGATTTAGCGGCCAGCGTCGTTGCGCCGTGGACGCCCGAACCCGAACCCGAACCCGACCCCGACCCCGAGCCGGCGTGCGAGATCGTCACCATGGGCGGGATCGTCGCGGAGGACGGGAGCAGGAAGTAGATGCGCTGGCGTCGCTGATTGCGCTCCGCGACTTCCCCTTCACCTTCGTCGACCGCCAGCTTCTCCGACACCGGAAACGTCGTCGCCTTCCCCTCCCACGACACGGCCCAGCCGTCCTCGCCCAGCGGCGCGGGATCCCACTCCACCATCAGGATCTTGGACCCGTCGTTGCCGCGGCCCGCCTCGAACTCGAAGCGCGCGAGGGCGTTGGGGGAGGCGGGGGAGGTAGGCGAGTCTACTACCTCGACCTCCTTTTCATTCTGCACGGCGGCGGGGGTGAAGATCGGGGTGGTAGTAGTAGAGCCCGGGTCGGATGTCCGGAGGGGCCCGGGGGTCCCGGACGCGGTCGTCGGCTGGCTCGGAGCGGAGTCCATGGCCATGTGGTACTTCCTTGTTTGTATGGTGGGTCGCCCCCCTTCTTCGGTGGGAAGGGAGGAAGGGGGGGAAAAAAGTGTGGTTACTCTAGATAAAGAAAGTATATGAGTAAAAGTAGAGGGATGGAATATACCAGCCGCTAGGAGCGCATGGGAAGCCAATGGAGAAGGGGAAAGGGGGTTGGGTTGGGTTGGATGCGGACGAGAGCGCGCGTCTGGCGCAAAGACAATCAGACAAACGAGCCAATCTCCCTTGAACACACACCGCGTATCACAGGCGCATACACGCAGCCGCGCTGCCGGGGGGCTGGGGTGAAGAGGAAGAGGAGTGAAAGCTATCAAAAGCTGTATCGGGAATAATACCTTAGGGGGGGAGAGGGCGGATGAATCCGCTGGATAATATCAAGTGGGCGGCGGTACCAGCAGCAAGATAATGTAGGTATGTTGCTTTCTTGGCTACTGCCACCGTGCTTCATATATGGTATACATCGGCAGTTCAATCAAGAGATGGGTCCAGAGAAAGAGAGAGAGGGTGAAAGGAAGAACTGCGGCTTCTCAGATTATCGCAAGGTGAAGCGAAAGCGAAAGCTGCGTTTTCCTGCCAGGGCCTTCAGGCTCCAGGCTTCAGAAACATGCGGTAAATAAAGGACAAAAGGGGTTGGTGAAAGGTGAGTAATGAGTAATAAGCCAGAGAGTATCGGGTAATAACACAAGGTGTAGAGAGTATGTAGAAAACTCCCCTCACTGTCCCAACGCAAAGATCTGCTAGGCTACCAAATACGGCAAAATTACTTAACGGGTCCCCTTATATTGTAATTTTCGGAAAATGAGGCTACTACTGTACGTAGGTAAGGTAAGAAGGTGAAGAGTGGGCGGGGGTGAGAGGAACAAGATGGAAAGAGGGAGATGGGAATGGCTCGTTATTCTCCCAAGTGACGACTCTCCTGAGCAGAAAAGGGAATTGCTCTACGTCTTGGCGGCGACGATGATGGTACGTGGCAGGAACTTGCAAAAGTGTGCCGAAACTCCAGCGACAACGCCTGTGTTTAGTAGTCCGTCTGGAGCTTCATCCATGTATCTTCCAAGTACCTACAATAAGGGACGTCAGTGATAGCGGGGGCCAGGAACGGCCATGAGTGGTGAAAGCTGGACAGCCCGCGTAGCCCATGCCTGCATGTGGATGCTAAAAATAGCCTGCCTAGACTCAGAGCGTAACCGTTGGCTCGGGGCTTGTCGGTCGTTGACGATCTGCTGAGGAGAAATCCGAAATCCGAAAATTGGGGAAAAAAATAAACATATATACCCACCTACATACTTTCTAGTGCTGAGTACGTATAAAATAGACAGATACTGTATAAGTATGTAAGATATTAGGTAGGTAGGTAGGTACTGTAGTTAGGTGAGAAGTCGTCAAAGAAGCTGACAAACATCGCACCGAGCGAGCATAAGGCATAAGGCGAGAGCATAATGGGCCTAGGCCATTCCCCATCTTCTTTCACAACCAGCTTCCTTATCTGTTTGGTAGGCGAAACAGGAACAAGGGATGGGCATTGAGCATTGCGCATTGCGTAGGATCCCAGGGGCTTGGCTCAACCATTACCTTTAAGAAGGGGAAGGTAAGGAACAATTGGAATCATTCTAGAAAGCTTTACGTCGACCTCGTCTTCCTTGTCCGACGCGTACACAGAAAACTCGGGCCGGATCGACTCGGGGGGAATGAATGCCAATAGCAGTTTTACGATGAGGATTGTGTATTGGATGTAGATTCGCATCATTCATTGGTCTTGGAATGATGGAGTCTAACCCTTAATATAAAAGGATTCGAATGTATCCATAGATATTGAGACAAAAAAGGCAACAACTTACCAAAGCGACTAACCTAAGAACAGCCTTCGAGAAGCTGAAGATGATAGCTGTTACGGCAGCCACGTTTACCTGAGTAATCATGGTACTTGTTGATTCGTAAGCTACATATGTAGCTTGCGACGACGCCTTGCGTACCTAGGTACCTAGGTAGGTTAGGTAATGTTTCCGTTCGTCCCTATTCGCCAGCAATGATAATTATCGTGACATAGTAGCTGGCGAAACAAAGAAAACGAAACAAAATAAGAAACGAAAAAGCCAAGGCCTACCTCTTAAATCAGACAAACAGCTATGCCACTCTATTATATCATACCTCTTACCTAGTCCTATGACGATTGATACTACTATATGGTCAGGCAGGTACCCAGATTAGTATCTACTAATGTATGTAGGCAATCTGGTATTCCCGCAAAATGTGTACACACATAGAAGCAAGAGATTAATTAGAACAGGACGATCATTTAAGCGTTCCTATCAGAAGTGGCCGTGATGACGTTTCCGGGGGAGCTGCTCTGGTGATGTTCGGTACATCATTCGGCTTGGGCTAGACCAAAGTAAAGGTGCTTTGTAGTCACGATATCCACATATGATGCTTATTACATAGTAGAAAAGCTTCTAATTAACCAGGTAACTGTACCGCTAAAACGCTGCCCTCACTCAAGGGAGACTGAGACGGTACATAAAATGGCTGTTGGATATCGGCCATGACCGAGACCGCATCCGCAACTAGAATGTAGGTAATAATAAGTATTTCAATCTGGCTCACCACGAAAACCACGTTACAACTATGCAGTGCGATATGCTATACAATCCCCAGATTGGCAAATACTTGTTACAGGACAGAGTCAGGCGATTGAAGCACATCTACCTGGTCCTACATAGGCAAGACGGTGTTCTGAGATGGGCTTGTGGGAGCATCTGCGACGACGTTGCACTACTAAGTGCACAGTAGGTATATGTAGGTGCATGACTTATAGAGGGTTATATTCGTGAACATAAATGTTCCAATCTTCATGTCACTATAACGCAAGTAGAAGTAGCTGTACTCTAACTCATGAGATGGCATATGATATGGCATATGACATTAGGGTCTTTTGGAACTCGCCTGCTATAAATAAAAAGACGTGCTTGACTCTGTGTCTCAAAAAAGGCTGTAGATGAAGATGGAAAATAGTGCCTGTAGCCAATAGGGATGGGGTTACGTCGGATGCTGGGAGGACTGGGAAAAACGACCGCGGTAGGGCCGTGGCCCACATGGGAGGTCCTCCCCTTTGAATCATAGACACGACAGACCCCGGACGGCTCTTTCGCGGGGAATCCTTAGGCCCTTGTTTCTGATGGTCACATAGGTGGGCCGGTGGGTAAAGAAGGGTGTTCCTTTTTTTACTATGGTACGAATCGTGGTACTGGAAACACCGATATGCTATACCCATGCAATCACAGCTTGGCTGATGAGTGAAATCGAGCCTTGAAGATTACAGCTACACACTGAAAAGAATCCATGAATCCCTAGGTCAGTCAAGTCTCCAAAGGAGAAAAAAAAAAGAAAGTACCTAGACGCAGAGGGTGCAAGATGAGGAGATTATGTATGCCGGATAAAGAACCAGGCATGTATGCTGACAGGAACGACGTCGATGTGAGTTGAATTTATTGTGCCAAGATGCACGCAATAAAGGAAATATGTACGTATGCTTGTGGTGTGGGAGCATTGATGTATTATTATGCAGGGCCTTTTCTCGTCTTGCTCGTCGTCGATTGTCATCAATAAGATGAGCCCTCACGATTTCAGAGTGATCATGTGCAATGTCTCGCCAAACCAAATTGGAAAAAAAGGGGCCCGGCCTCATTGGTAAAAGTGGTGGTGTTTGTCTAGGTGGCATGTTACGCTGCAAGACCGAAATGAGTAAAGCAACCTAGAAGTGCCGAAATCAAGTGTAGATCTTTCCCTGAAAGGCAACTGATTCACTATTGTTGGTGAATCGTGAACAAAGACACAATAGCGGCGCATGTTGTTTCTTTCCCCTGGAGGACCAATTATTGTAGCTGGCCATTGCTATATTGGACTCTATCACATAGTCGTGAGACGGAGGCGAATCAGTCGTTCTCAAAATCTCGGTCTAGAGTTCTTGTAGGAGTTGAGGAATTCGGTCAATTCCCGCATATGCCAAGCGTGTCACCACCGTGCCGGTGGCGACTAGAGATGGTGAGGGTCCGGGTATGGTGACCGAGATTGCAAGCATCTTTCAAAAAAGCTACTACTATGTACCATAGTGTGTATGTACACGTGTAGAATGAGGGAGCCGGAGCTTCTCTCGGCTCTAGCCGCAGTAGATCCAGATTTCCAGATATCCACGAGATAGGCCTGGGCTGATGTTGAAATCTGCAAGCAATAACCGAGCCGTTAATAGGCTAAATTGCTTTCTTTGGTGCCTCACGCGATTTTCAATCTATAAGCTACCTGAGAAAGGTAGGTATTGGTTACGTGTATGAGACGATGAAATTAATGCGTGGTTTGGTTTGCATGTATGGAACTGCTACGTAGTTCCAGTAGAAGATGAAACGTTTTCTCGTCTTCTCTCAAGCACGCCGTATAGCTAATAAAGAAGGAAGATAAGTAAATACCTGGCTTTTTGATAGGTACGATATCAGTTTTTGGTAAAGGCCCGAGTACATAAGCTAAGAAGATGTTAACGGACACCCGATGGCCTAAAGGACGTTCGCGGCCCGATAGGTGGTGTGGCGTTTTCAATGGGTTCGGAGTCAGATGGATGAAAGATAGGAGGAAAAAAAGAAAAAAAAAAAAAGAAAAGCAAATGCGGCGCGAATCATATTGCTGTAATCCATCCTTAGTAAAAATACTAGAGCGGGTATGACTCGGCAAGCCGGCCGAATTGATGGCGAACATCATTTGACGGAAGCTATCCGACATTATCATATCATGATGATAATGGTAATAATGGTACCTATAAGCTTATGTTTAATGGATGTTTAATGTTTGAATAATGTTTGATGTCTGATGTCGGAGCCGAGGTGTAGGGATTATTTAGGAATTAGGAATTAGGAATCGGGACCGGGAATTGGGAATTGGGATTTGGGATTTGAGATTGGGAATTTGGGAATTACCTAGAACAACTTCCTTGTGCTGACTTTATCCTTCCTGACTTTTCTTATCTGAATAATCATGTACAACTTGTAGGTAACTAGATAGTCGTGATTTACATACACGTGGTAGTAGAGACAAGAGATTAGAACATCATCATCATCATAATTATCATCATCGTATGGAGATATTGTGTGGATCGTGAGATTTTGGGATTAAAAATGGATTGGTTTATGGATTTGCTTCGGTGCAAAGACAACAGAGAACCATGTTTAGCTCGAAAGTGTCTTTGGGCGATTTGAACGATAAGCACGTATAACGACATATCACTCGCTGGCAATAGGTCGGCAACACTCCACTATTTGGCCGGCCATATCGCCGTAAGCAGCGGAAGGGCCATCCTTGGGCATACCTAGTACCTAGTACCTCCGCTACCTGCTATGTGACTATGTAACTAGTAGTATTTTATAGCTCATACCACCATAACACCGAACGTCCTTTTAGTGGATTTTCCGTCTCCCCAGTGCCACCCACGCCCTTAGCCAGCACAACACCCCCCTCATACATACCTAACCTAGGTTACTACCTAGGTCCTAGTAGCCCTGCTGCCCTGGAGGTAAGTATGTATGTATTGATGTATTGTACACTGACTGGCAGTGACTGCACTTGCAGTTGACGATTAACTAAAGTCTTCCAAGGTTGACCCTTTTTTTCTCCACACCACCTTTTTTAGCTACATGACTGTAGGTACCCTAGATAGGTACTTACTTACAGAGTTACAGAAGTAAAATCCCCAAAAAGTTGCCTTGGGTTCCCTAAGTGGGAAAACCAAAGTGGGAAAGCAATTGAGGACCACTCTTATCCACTCCCGTACACTTCCCCGTCCATTCCCGTCCACCTTTTCCAAGTCTCCTCCCCCAAAGTCCCAAAAGTCGCGAACCAAGTTCCCACTTCCCACTTGGGTCTTACCTCTACTACTACCTTTCGGCTGCTTCGTAGTTTTGTAGTTTTGATTTTCTCGGCCTCATTCTTTCCACATCTCTTCAAACCTTATCCACTCCTTCTATTCGCCTGGTTAACTCCATGGGTCTCTTGTGTTCTTAGTACCGACCCTAGGCGTCCTGTCCTATCTGGTTGTCTGGTTGTCTGGTCTGGTCTTTTCCAACGTTACCTACCTACTTACCTACCTACTCTTCTTTTTTCTAACCATACACACTCATACACTCTTCTATTCAAACCTCCCCTTTTGACGCCATCTTGGCCTACTGACATAACCCACCATTTTCCTAACCTCAATCCCCATACGTCCAAAAATTACATAACAATCAGTCGGATTTCAATCAGCAACGCACGCAGTGGAATCCTTTCATCTTGTCGCGATTATCCTTTCATCCTCCAGTCGATCGCATTCGTATTGCCTGAGTTCTCAGGGTCTGTGACTATCGTCGACGAGGCATACTAACCGGAGGGTGGTTTAGGCGATAAGAGTCCGAGGCGCAGAGCGCTTAGTTGTCAAGTTGTGCCTAAACATCTTACATCTCACATCGTTCGCTTCGTCTCTTACTGCTGTAGTTGTGCTATAGTTGTTATTCATCGCTCTTTTACGTCTCCTCAATCGATCGCACTTACCACGGCCACACCTCATTAAGACGACTTATCACGCCGACGGATTCCACTCTACACGATCTACTCTACTCGATATATCTTATGCCTCAACATGATTGAAACGCCCCTGACTATCGCCGATAATAACGAGTCCGAGTCCACCGTTGTCACCGTCACCTTTGGTGTCTAAACGAGGGCAAGCGTGTATTGAAAGCATTGCCTGTCCTCTTCTTCGGTCTGGGCGTGTTGACCCAATTGCCCATTTTCTTGTCTGATGGATCCTCCACATATCACGGAATTCGCCTCGCGGCGGTATTTCGATAAGCTTAAGCAGCTGAGCGAGCAGAAAGAACATCACAACGATGCCGTTCCACATCCTCATGACGGCGCTGTTGCGGCCGAATCCTCGACTTTTATTCTACCCATTGGAAGGGCAAAGTCAATTGACCAATCTGCCCATGACATTCAAAGGAGCGAGAAACGCCGAACCAATTTTAGCCTCAGGACTATCTTACCTTCACGCAGCTCTGTCGATCACGATGCTCAGCGTCAGTCTACCGAGACACCGAAAAGAAAAATCACCCCTTTCGATCAATTATTCTTGGCGCTACCTAACGAGTTGAAGATCCAAATAATTGCCTCCTTACCTCTATCTGATGTTCTAAGCCTTCGTCTAGCGTCACGATCGTGGCACGAAATGATTACGGTTAATGAGTTCCCGATTGCTCGGTATCACCTTGAACATCACGTACCGGTATATGCGAAACGATTATATCCAGCACCTGATCCTTCTGCGATACGACTTCATTATCTTTGTGGGATATGGCATCGATTACATGTGGCTGCTAAACTTTCCTACTTAATAAGCGAATGGGTGACGAAGGAGATTTTTCTAAGAACTACCGAGGCACAACGCGTGGACTTCGAACCACAATACGAGAGAATGCGTCGCCGATTAATACCCTTACTCTTTACGATATTTCATTTCTTCGAGACATACCGGACATTACATATCGAGTATATCAAAAAGCATGGGCACGGTTTATCACGAGTGCCTCATACTCTAAATCCCATCGAGCTCAGGATTATGAGCATGTATGACGACCAGACTTTACTACGAGTACATCAGGTGTTCCCGTTGGTCGTGTCATCATTTTGCCGGCGCCTCCGGCCTCCCTCCTATGTTGGTCGATTGGAGCGTTCGCTCAGAGGTTACCTGAAGGATCGCCCTCCTGACGAAGTGTATGTGACAGCTCTATGTGTCGGTGGGCTTCGGCAGGTCGAACGGTTCTGGGAGATTAAAGGATATAACCTGAGGAGAGGCGCTGTCGATTCGTGGTACAATTCCGTTTTGAAAGAACCTACCGAGGCAGCGGCAAAATCGCGAAGAGGATTCATGGGTCTGGCCCGGAAAAAGTCTAGCGCGAGTGAATCTGATATCCATAAAGTCGGGGAAGCGGGTCGAGGGCGGCGAGGGTCAGAAACGGGTCGAAGAGGCAGCGATGTGTCAATGACTGGCGCGTGGGAGAATCTGGTATACAACACGAGCCTAGCTGAAGGCATGCCGATGGGTGACTTATCACGAGAACAACTCAAAATTTTGCTCCCCGACTCGCCGACGCTACAACACATATGGATGCCGACGGCTGAGGCCCTCATACTCGACCGGAAGATCGTCGAACGACCCCAGGATATCAAGCGCAACGCACAGGTCATGTTGGAGCTGATCCGCGAGGATGGCGCGGCTGAAGAGGATGAATGGTGGTACGGGCGATACGCACCCGAGTCGGTTCGACCACCCCTCGAAGCTATCGAGGAAGATCCTATTGAATAATTTACCACCTATTTACTACCTATCTATTAACCAAATGGGGGTTGGGTTGTTTGATTGATACCTAGCATTGGCGCTTAGAAGAGATATCCACGGTAGTCTGGCCAAATGTCTAGCCATTTCATTTTTTATATCATGAGCATTTCCAGGGCGTTTATATCATTGGCGGAAACTTTTATTTTCATGTCTTTTAAGGTGGTCGGTGATGGAAACTCTTTTCATCTTTGCTCATTTTGCCTGCTGTCATAAGCCATGGGGCCATGGGACAGGGGCAGGGGCAGGGGGCCAGGACGATGGAGTTTAGGATAAAACAAATTATAGGGGCTTGAACACCCGTCTTGAATACCAATATTTTTTTTCACTAGCTTTGCCTGCTTGCCTTGCCTATCTGCCAAGGTGTTTATATATCTACCGACAATGCTACCGCCGAAGAAAGAGACGACTGTCACTTCTTGACGATAACACGCCGTATACCACAACGGGATGTAACTCGTTTTTCTATGTATGAATTTCTTGTCGCTCTAAGCGAGTACCCCCGCCGCGTCTAAAATAGGGGAAAAGGGGAACCAGCAGTTTTTTTTATCATAAGTTTTTTTTTTAGAAGAAAGGGAAAGGGGTAAACGTACAGACTTTTAGTCATAGGATGAACAACTTCATAGGAAGGGCGACTTTAAGTTTTTTTTTTTTGCAAATAACCCCCATAACGACCGAGGCGAGCAGGTATATTCATACTGCCTACAGGAGCTGTAGAAGCCGAGGGCATAGATGAAGGGGGGAAGGGGGATTGGATTAGGTTCTGTATGAAGCGTAGGTTTCTAAACTAGGTACTGGGTACTGTATGTAAACAGGGAACCCCCCTGGGTGAGGAGAATGTGATGTATACCTAGGGAGGATACAGATGTCTATCTAGGTATACATCATATTCATATCAAATAGGTACTCGACGATATTCTGGTTCAAGCATCCTAGATGAAGTTGAGTGATTGATTAGTTACTGCATCTTTCATCGCCAGGATCTTCAAGGGAATCAGGCTATACTACTAATCTGGGCACATACCTAGGTAGGTAATAATAGCTCACTCATTACCCACCTCCCCCCTATTCAAATCCTCTCAACATATTTCTTTCACAATGATTCATACACCGCAGTAGACACACATATTTCTCTTCTTCCCTTTATTCAATAATAGGGGGTAAAAAGAGGGAGGGGAGAAAAGGCAAAAAAGGCCCCTCTTCAAGACGAGACACAACTGGGATATTGAAAGCAGTAACGACAGTAACAACAACAAAAGTTTTCCATTTGTACGTTCGTAACTCAAGCCTTGACTTTTTCATGAATTTTGCTCTCCCAACACTTGACTTAAGAAAATGAGAGCGAGGATAAAATAAATACATCTAGGTTATGTAGGTTAGGAGGTACTACTTCATAACACAAAACCACGAATAAAGACAGCAAAGTCCGCTACATGACTAAGGTTAGAAAAGGGGGAAAGAAAAGATAAAATAGGCAAATAAACGTCAGGACCCGACGACAACGTTTTTCTCGTTTCCCGATTGGATATCCCCCCTAAAGCCACTCCCGCCATGAAACCTGTCAAAGAATTCACATCGTTATCAGAAGATTAAAACAATTCCTGTCCGTCCATCCATCCATCCCATCCATCCCATCCATCCGTCCATTCCTATTTCCTTGCCCTTTCATCCCATCCCGTCCCATCCATGTTCCCATGGCAAAATATTCCTTCGTAAACCATGTAAACGCAGATTAAGAAATAAATAGAGAAAATGAGGCCCATTTTAACTATGTCCCCCTTCCCCAACTCAGGATTCAGATTCCAACGCCTGTTTATATTTTCCCCTCATCCATTTCCATATAACGCCACGTCCCCTCGTGTATCATTTGCAAATGGGAGCTCTTAGCGCCGCTCCTTAGGTATCAGATCGGGTAAATTCATTAGGGCCACCTATTCTGAGTGGCTCGGCCCACATTGGAAGAAGACAGATAACTGTTGTTCATCCCCGTAGCGGAGTAGAGGGACGAAGAGCTCGAGCTAGTTGTTCGCTGCTGCGGGGGTACGCCGCCGCCGCTAAGCCCGTACGAACTAGTACCGAGACCCAGCCCGCTATGGTTGCTACCGGAATCTAGGCTTTGAATATCCAAAAAGCTAGAGTCGGAAAAGGGTGCAAAGGAGGAGGGCATGGTGGGGTGCGACGTACTGTGAGTTGTGGTGGGAGTCTGACGCGCGCTGAAGTGAGGGGAGTGATTAGAGACGCCGTGGCTCGTTGTGCTAGCTGTGCGGTAATTGTTATCAAGCGGTGATGCCGAGGGTGTTCGACGCGGCGGGTAACCTGCGTTGTTGTGGACTAGCGAGGGTGATCCTCTATAATTAGTGTCCCCTTGCATCAGGGGCGAATTAGACTGGGCACTGAACTGAGGGGAGTTGGTCATGTGTTGTACAAGATTGGATCCTGGAGACCCAGTACCCATGTGTTGCGGCTGACGTTGATTCGTAGAGTACGTGGAGGCCTGTGTGTTGTAGGATGATCCAAGCGACTGCGTTTGAGGATAGTAATTCTGCGACGTCCTGGTCTGCTGGTGCGTAGTCAAAGTAGATGGCATTTGAGATGCTTTCGAAGATTGCGCTGGAATAGGTGATGCACTTTGCGCAGCCTGCTGTATCTGTTGACGAGGAGCCCCTGACTGCCTAGTGCTGTCTTGTCGATTCTGGAGGGCCGTAAAGCGCTCGTAGTGGGCTTCCAACCCTTCTGCCGTAGTAGAACCCGGATTCCCAATCGGACCAGTGGTTTGTTGCTGAAGCTGCTGCTGTTTCTGGGGACGGTTATTTCCCTGTATTGGATTTTGAAACGCGGCTATCCGCTCGTAATGAGCTTCGAGACCTTCAGGCTGCGTAACATTCTGTGCTGGTGTAGTAGCTTGGGAAGCTTGCCGAGCTGAATCCAGAGGGGGCGCTGTAGACGACACGGAGTTTTTTACTCCTGTATTACTAGGGGTTGAGCGTTTTCCTCCTTGTAAAGAGCCCGACTCCTGAGACTTACGGGGTCGCTTGGACTGAGATGGCGTAGCATTTCCACTACTTGAGGATTGCTGAATAGACTGACTGGCTGGGGGCTGCGGCTGAGGGGTTACAACTGGGCCACCTTGGGTAATGCTAGGTTGAGCTTGCTGAGAATTTGAGCTGCTGTTGATGGCATTATCGGGAACTCTTTCAGCCGGAGGGTTTGCAATGCCAATTGGAGCCGACTGACGCTTTCGCTTCTTCCCCACTATTGATGACTCTTTGACCTGGGGTGTAGGGAGTTGAATAGCAGGTACTGGGGGTGGAGGTGGCGGCTCGGTTCGTTTGTCCTGAGAAGCGCTACTATCGACGAGAGAGGACGCTGCCGTATTGCCCGTAAACGGAGCCGGACCCGTGGCCGCCATCTGACCTAAGTGCCGTTTACTTTGGTTGGCGGTTAGGTCGGGTTTTTGTTGTTGGGAAGCGATTCCGTCCTGGCTTGCTGACTCATTGGTAACCTTTGGCCGATTCTTAGAACCTTTTGGTCGTCCTGAGTTTGGCTTCTTTTTAGGCTGTTCGCTGAAGATAGGGACTGGTACAGGCACAGGAGTTACTTTCGGTGGCACCGGAAAAGCTGACGCATGATCGGAATGGTTGGAGACAGTTGCGTTTACGGGTGCGGGTTCAGCCGGTTGACTAGGCTGGTGTATACCAGGAATTTCTTTAGGGCGGTTCTTAGAGCCCTTTGGTCGGCCGCGCCGTTTGGTGTTAGACTCGGGACCGACTGTGGCGTCATTAATGGACTTAAAACCACCAGTCGATCCCGTGGCCGGGGTATTATTGAACTGCGCCGCATCCGGGACTGGAGGGGGCGTGCTTGGAGCATGCCGTGATGCTTCCCCAACTTCGACAAGATCACCATCTCCATTTAATTCCAGAACACTATCTTCGACGTCAACCCAACTATCGTCCTGAGGTTCCTGGGCGCGACTTATTGCCCCCTTAGTACCCTTTTTGATACCCTTGTCACTTCGATACTTGGTGGCTTTGCTACCTTTGGGTCGTCCTCTTGGCCGTCGCTGATGCACAAAAGTTTGTGTAGGGGGAGGAGGGATTCGCCTTCGAGGCTCATCGAGGTTGGGGAATATTTCCGCTATCCACCCTACAAATAACGAGCCAGAACCGTTTGCTTCGGCGCTCTCGGGGAATTTTCCATCAGAAGGGGGGGGAGCATCGGGTATGCCGCCAAAAAATGCAAGCGCTTTACACAATTGGTCGACAACAAGATTAGGAGCAAGTGTTCTTAGAAGTGTGAGAAGTCGAGCCTGTTCCGCCTTCGTTTCCGCCATAGTCAGAGGATGGTTTGGATCTTCTTCAACGACTGTAACTGGCTCGACAGAAGGAGTCCTCTTGGGGGGTGAAGTGAACTGTTTCAAACCCGGAGGCTTCGGGTAGTTCGCTCTCCGTTGGTGGGACACGTAGGTGTCCGTCTGGGCCAGCCTGGCCTGTAGAGCGGTGCTCTCGCTGGTGCGTTTTGCGGCGGCATCGCGGCCTTCGCTTGCACGATGACTGGCAACATCCATGTGCATAACGCTAAAATTGCCCTTCATTTGTTCTGTGACGTCCTTTAACTTGCTTGGGACAGGGTTTCTGACACGTCCATCCCGGGGATATAACCTCAAGTCAGCGTGCATGGATATATCGTTAGATATGGTGGAAGGTAGGAGCCCATTCGTGTTGCCATTGGTAGTAGGAGCAGCTAAGGATGGCGATGGTGCGGCTAGGCTGGGTGTAGGTGATTCGGAGAGTTGCTGCCCTGCGGTATTCGAGGCGCGGGCGGCGACGGAAGTTGGGGTATTTGCCAAATTGGCCGACTGCTGGCCTAGGATGTCGAGTCAGCTGAGAAGGACGAAATTGAAAGAGAGAGGGGGAGAGTAAAAGGAGAGAGACGTACTGGACGCTGTAGCCATTTGGTTGAAACGATACCGACCATGACAGAGCGGAATGCAGGCCTAAGGTCTGTCTTGGATGGCTACGACACGTAGAAGATTGAACTTATCTCTGGCAGGTGAGTATAGGCTCGTTGACGGCGGGATTCCATGCTCGTGGGCCGCAAATAACGGGAACAGAGAAGAATTACCAGCGCGTCATTGCGAGTAGTATCGAATTCGATGCGACGTAGTAATTAAGTATTGAAGGAATGAATTGAAATTCAATGGTATTGAATGCGCCGATGATAGCGGAAGTAGGTAACGTTCTAAGTAGAGAGTTGTAAAGACTTAGGAGGTACAATGCCACAAATACCACGATACCAAATACCAAATACCAATACCAATACCAAATACTAAGTAGATACAGTACTAGATAGATACTACCTACCTAATACAATAGGTATGCAGGTAGATGCTAAATAGATACTATGTAGGTAGATAGATCAATACCACTGGCAAGTAGGTAGGTATAGGTAGGTATAGGTATGTAGCCTGGAGCCCTGGAGCCCTGGAGATATGTATGTATGTAGCAGATACCACTCACCACACACTACCTGTACCTAATAACGAGAGCGAAAAGTTGGGGCGACGAATACGTTGCAGATTAAGTTCGAATGCTGATCTTCAGCCGACGGAACACAGGACAAATCAAAGTGGGCAGTGATTGATGGCGACAGGTGGTTGGGCTTCATAGGACTGGCTGACCGCTGATTTTGGTGTAACGGATGATAGGGAGGAGGAGGATTATGATTATCAATGAAGTTTTGGAGGAATATTAAGTAAATAAGTTGTTTATTGGGGGGTTTTTTTCTGGAGGGTCCTAAGGGCTAAGGGGGGGTCGCTGGGGATGTGGGAAAGTTTAATGTTTGAAATGATTGTCGAGAATGGCGCAGGTGGTTGATGTTTTGCTAAGTAAGAAAAGAGGGAGAGAGAGAGAGTGAGAGTTGATTGATTCAAATGATTAATTACGAATGGTTCAAATCGTTCTCGTGCTCTTTCCACGGCGGCTATTGGATTTACACGTTGACTGCCCCAAGCATTTTGGGGTCGTACTTTCTTCAGATGGGCTTAAGTAGCGGGTTACTTTCTTCAGATGGGTTTAGCGGGTTAGTGCAAACCAGCGACTACTAGAATAAGTAGGCCAAAGCGGAGTCGCGAAAGAAAAGGCTTGATGCTGTATATTATGTAGTAGTTAGGTGGTCCGTGTGTCCTGTGCAGTGTGACTGCCCGTGTCCCGCACCTTTCACTATGGGAACATTTTAACATTGAAGTCTGGACTGTCTCATTTCCAAATATTCAAGTTTTCAAATGTTTATCTTATCTAATACATATATATATATATGTAGGTACCTACATGCAGTTCAGTTCCAAGTTGAAAGAACATTGGTTTGTAGGCCCATACCCTTGACTATATGGAATTGAGTTCATGGACATAATTAGAGGATATCAAACATGGAAGTAGTTATTATTAACTACCTAGGTACCTAAGTTAACAAACATTGAACATTCAAGTTTGAACATTCAAGTAAACTAGTACACCCCCACTTACTACTTAAAAAGGCTGGACTAAAAAGAAGCACTGACGTTGACTCGTTTGTGCTTGTGTAATCGATAACTTTTACAAGCTCCAAACTCCAAACCACATCTCTCCAACCACTAGCATTGAAACCTCAATACCTACATATACATACCCAGTCTACCTACCTACATACATGGTGCATACTCGATAATCCACATAGAGCGCAGCGTTTATTGTCCAACATCACCAGAGCAGATATATCTTGGCACAACGTTTCCATAATCCTCACATACACCACTTACCTTATTAGGCAGCGTAACACCCGCCGAATCTACCAATTGAGTCTACGAATCGAGTAGTATTCTCCCATCCCAATCTCCCAGAGCTTCGCCAATTCCTCGGCTTGTTTCTATCTATCCAATTTTAGCTCTGAACCGCTGCCATGGCCCCGACTCAGGCCAAGTACGTCCTCGTATCGCTGCCTCTCAAGACCTTCGATACAGACGACAGACAAGAAGCCCTCGAGTCTCTAAAGACTACCATAGCATCAGAAAATGGGACCGTCTTATCTTTCCCAGTCCCAAACTTTAAGATAGGAACTCTGGATGCCTTGGTCCAACAGGCCGACGATTTGGCAAAGTTGAGCACCGGTTGTGAGGCAGTCGTTAGCAAGGTTGGCGAATCTTTGCGCTCTTTATATGAAGGCAATGAGGAGAAAGCCTCCGAGCAAAAGATGGTCAACGATAGTGCGTCATTCTCAAGTTCGCCTACTCTCGTATAACAGCAGCCGATTAACCAGCTTCTAGAGCCGACCGATCAGTACCTCCGCACTTTCTCCTGGAACAAAGTTCGCTACAGAGCCGACAGACCCGTTGGTGAACTGGTTGACATACTACAAAAGGTATATTTGGAGATTCGGCAGCATATCTAGTGACCACGCTGACTGGAAATATTTGCGCCGATAGGAGCTAGCTACGAATGACAGCGACGTCAAAAGCAAATTCAACCAATATAACCAGGTCAAAACGAATCTTGTCACTCTGCAAAGAAAGCAAACGTAATATGCCCCTTGACAAATATTACTATTTCGACCAATATCGAATCCAAATGCTGACTTTGCCTGTTGAATCCAGGGGTAATCTTGCAACCAAGTCGCTGACACCCATTGTCAATCCGTCATTATTAGTACAAGACTCGGAATACCTCGAAACACATCTCGTTGCTGTGCCTGCCAATCTTAAGAAAGACTATCTCAAGAGTTACGAGACCATTGCCCCCATGGTAGTCCCGCGCTCGTCTATACAAGTTGCCCAGGACGAAGAATTCATTCTGTTTGCGGTTACCACATTCAAGAAGCACGGGGCCGAGTTCCAGCAGAAGTGCCGTGAGGCAAGATGGACCCCTCGCCAATATAAGTACGTCGAGGGTGGCAAAGAGGAAGAGCAAAAGGAGATAGAGCGTGTCACGCGAGAAGAAAAGAAAGTCTGGGGTGAGGCCTTACGGTTGACTCGCACGGCGTGGAGCGAGAGTGTCATGATATGGGCACATGTCATGGCTCTCCGGGTCTTCGTTGAATCGGTGCTGCGCTACGGCCTACCCCCGGACTTTGTGTCCGCCCTCATTTCAGTAAGCACCACCGATAAATATGTTTCTACGAAAACAGTTTTCCACGTATGTACTAACTCGATCGCAACAGACAAACTCCAAGTTGGTGAAAAAGGTCAAGCAAACGCTAGACTCGTCTTACTCGTACCTAGGCGGAAACGCATTTGGACGGGACAAACGGGGCAGAATCACAAAAGATGACGCAGCATTGACGTCGGAGATGGCGGCGGCCGGGTTAGGGCACGGAGGCGAAGGAAACGAGTACACGGCTTACGTGTATTACGAGTTTGACCTGTAGAGCATCAAGAAATAGCAGCGGCTACGGCCACGACTATGGTTACCTTGTCAGGTTGGCGTTTTATAGGCGGAACCATAAATGTTCATGGCTAGCATCCCCCCCTCCCCCCTCTTTTGAGAAATAAGGGGGGGGGGGGGCTTTCGAAGTGTCATAACACATCACATCACATGATGGACGGGTGTGGAAAGGGGTGTGTGTGGTTTTTGTGTACATCTTTCAGAAGCGCCCTTTTCAGAAGGGGCCGAGTTTATTGCATGTCTAAGTAAGATGTCTGTTCTCGTTCCTGCTTCTATACGGTGATGTAGTTCCCCCAATCAATTGGATAGATAGATAACCCATCATGATTTAACTATCGGTTCGTATTTTTATTTTATTTTCAGGGAACTATGCCCATTTCTTCCGTAGTCTTCATTCTTCATCGTATACCATCTATTCCTTCGACCCCGTACCAACCTAGCTTAGTTAGCAAAGGACCTAAAGCAACAACCCTCACGAAGCAAGCGCCGCATTCCCCGAGATCCCGGCCGCCTCGGCGGGGGTCGTGGTAGGCACACCGGTCTTCTTGTCGGCGGGGATCAGCTCCTTCTCCTCGAGCCAGCGCACGATCTGGGCGACGCACTCCTCGACGGAGCTCTCGTGGGTGCGGATGGTGATCTCGGGGTGCTCGGGGGCCTCGTAGGGGCTGCTGATGCCGGTGAACTCCTTGATCTCGCCGGCGCGCGCCTTCTTGTACAGGCCCTTGGGGTCGCGCTGCTCGGCGACGGAGATGGGGACGTCGACGTAGACCTCGATGAAGGGGATGGGGTCGTCGCCGTTGGTGTTGGAGGAGGTGTGCAGGTCGCGCGCGAGCTGGCGGTCGGCGCGGAAGGGCGAGATGAAGGAGGTGAGGGCGATGGTGGAGGCGTCGGCGAAGAGCTTGGCGACCTCGCCGATGCGCCGGATGTTCTCGTTGCGGTCCCGCTCGCTGAAGCCCAGGTCCTTGTTCAGCCCGAACCGCACGTTGTCGCCGTCGAGGCGGTAGGCCGAGAGGCCGAGGTGCAGAAGGTGCTGCTCCAGCGCGGTGGCGACGGTGGATTTGCCGGACGCGCTGAGGCCGGTGAACCAGAGGGTGAAGCCGCGCTGGCCCCGGAAGGTGTTGCGCTCGTGGCGCGAGAGGGAGGGGTGCCAGGTGATGTTTCTGGTGAGGGTTGTTAGTATGTGTTTATTTTCTTTGGTCAAAGTATGTGATTCTATTTGCGTATTTTCTTGCTTCCTTTCTATTTTTCTATACTCCACGTCCATTGGTTTGTCATTTCTTTTTGCTTGGGAGTAGGCAAGACGAAGCAAATGATGGCGGGGGAGGGGTAAAAAGCTCGCATGAAGCTTGAAAATATTCGGGAGTGAATTCGCTATTCGCTATTCGCTGTTCGCTATCGACAAAAAGAAAACAATAAGTCGAAAAATAGGAATATACTTACGTCGCCATGATGTCTGATTATCTACTAAACGAGCTTCACTTTTCAAAATAGCACGAAATAATAAAAATTGGATATATGGTAGTATGAAAATGTTTGAGCAGAAGATGTCTATTAATAAAAATATCCATAGATATTCGTCATATTAGCTAACAAAACGTTCATGCCTTGGTACTGGACGTTACCGGCCGAACTTGTTAGTTTTTTCAATGCTATAGCTCTAGTTTGATAGAGCCGCGGCGGATATACATAGTAGTAGCTGGGTAGCTGGGTAAGTTACCTACATAAGCCGTGTAGGATATCGGTAGTCGGATGACGTGCTCTCGTCCACTTCTGATTCGTGGGTCCTTGCTCAACTAGGCAATTGCGTTGTAAACATTGAAGTTTTTAATAATTTGTAGCAAAGAATAAAATAAAAATAAAATAAAAATGAAAAGGGGGCGAATCAAGATGACTTCATGTACCTATAGAAATAGTAGGTACTGTCTTCCCTTGCGTTTAACCCCTTATTGCAGCTTATAAATCACTTGTCTTCTATGCTCAGCTACACACAATGTAAATCATGAAGGTTAATACTCTATAGACCCAATACGCTCTCATTGTAAATGACCCGGGCTTGATTTAGTTTGTCACTGTCTACTGCCAGACCATTTTGCTGAGATGTACCAAGGTTGTCTAATCTCTTCTGATAGCTCTATCTCGTCTACCTAGTATCATCCGCCATATCCCTAACCTATAAATCTAGGTAGACAAATGCCATTGTATAAGATCTAGAATCTAGGTTTCTAATCCCCTAACCAAGTCAATCTCAGGATCTCTCACGAGTCTGGGAAGTGAAAATCCTCGAAATAGTATGAGTCCCGATGCCTGTCAACTCCATGCTAGGGACAGACATGTTAGTCCATCCGACTCTAAAATCAAATCTAAGTAATCGTCGTGGCTTATACCCCAGACTTATGCCGTGGGATATAGATTCATCATCATCTAAATTCATGTCAGTTTTTATTATCATCAGAAATCCCACTCCTTGGAAATGAACATACCGCAGCCTGTTTAGGCGAAACGAATAGAGCCGTTGCTTCCGCTAGCACTACCGGGGTTTCGCCCTCGCCAACCAGAGTCTCAATGCGACCCTCCACCCAAGCCTTGCGTCCTTCTACTTTCGTCGTAGTTGCCTTGAGTACCACGTAGGTTTCTGCCATCGCTGGGGCGCGGTAGTTGATGTTGAGATTGGCAGTCATGCCCACCTTGTGCGGTAACGCCGCGAAGCAGCAACGCGCGAGGCCCTCATCGAGCATCGTTGCCAGTAGTCCGCCGTGAATTATGCCTGGGTGGCCGCACAGCTCGTGGCCTAGGTACGAAATCGAGACTAGGGACTTGCCGCCCGTCTCGGCGAAGGTTACTGGGGGAACGACCACCTTGCCGGGTCCCATTAACGTCCCGCCGGTAAGATTATGACTCCGGTACGGTGGGGGAATCTTGAGGTGTGGTCGCGATTCGTAGAAACCTTGCTTGCCTCGCATCTCTTTGGTGAGCGGGTGGTTGTTGATGAAGTTCTCGACCTCATGCTCTTGCTCGTGCTCTGGCGCAAACATGGATAGAGTATCCTCGTCTGACGGGGGATACAGGATGCCGTTCACGACGGGTGCTGCCGGGACTGCTGCCATTGCGATACCGAGAGTAGTGAAGACTAGACCAAGACCTAGAATAGATGCGGCACGACGTACGAAAGAAGGGTGGGATGGTTTAGCTGAGTCTTGAGTTGATTTATATGTTAGTCCGAGGTAACACTAGGCAGAAAAAAAGAGAGTCTATCCGGAGAATCATACCTACAATAGGGGCAGTGCTGACAAAGCGATAATGCAAGGATTGGGTCGGACGTAAGGCGATCTTTATATTCGACTCAGCAGTAAGCTGGCGACAACATCCCCTGGCTAGACCATTGGCTCGCATTCGTAGGGCGAACATGATTGCGATGAGAAAAAGTCGAGTCGAGGCCGAGTGGGCCTACCGAACCGGCGGGTTCTGCTTGGCTGTCCTAATTATGTACAATTATGTACAATACAGTAGCAACTGTGTACGAAGTATGGGTTAGCTTGTTGAGGTGCGGTAAGAATTAGGTCTATTCTTGTCAAATTGCGATAGCGAACTTCGGATTCCCAACGGATTTCAGTTCCTTGTTCCACCGACGCCCACTGACCGACCACTGACTGGCACTGAGACATTCGGAGCCGCTTACCGGATCTGGAAAGAACCTCGGCAAATGATAAATAGTTGTGAGATCTGCAAGGAACGAGAAACTTACAGCAGTCGTAACCTTGAAATGTTTATGAAACAAAACTATCTTGAGATCATGTTTCAGAGATCTTAATTAAGCTCAAATAAGAACTCCATTATGACGTATAATATCCAAGTATGACATATGAGCATAACCTAGCCATATCAACTCAAATCAGATTTGAACTTTAGCCAAGCCTTCATGATAACCTATTCGTGCCCGCAATTGGTTATGCTACAGTCATTTGTTACACGATATAGCCCACAGCTACGTATACACTCTCATCTATTTCTATCCATCTACTTAGCCTACTAGCTCTATGTAGCTACATGGCAGCATTGAAGTACCAATAGAATCACACCACGCTTGAATAATCATTTATATCCCCGTGCTGTCTATAAATAAGAAGGCTAGCTTGGATCTGCTCTCACAAGCTCCAGCGAGTTCAACTACCTACTACTACTAGTAGTAGACCACCACTATACGATTTATACTCACACATACACCCACGACTGAACCTACCACCTAAGCTAACACTTTACACAATACATTATAAACCATCCATATTTAATATCGAAACATCATGGTAAGTAGCAACCACGCATATATAGATTTCATATCAACCTATATGCCTTAGGTAGCTTGCAAACTAACCTGAAATATAGGCCACCGCCGAAACAGCTAACTTGGGGGCCCCTCACCCTCCAAAGGAGGAGGCTATCAAAGTCTTCGGCGAGATTGAGGCTGATCTGAAGAAGACCCTTCTACACATGAAGCACACATACCACAGTGAGTACCTACCTATTTCCCCCCACCCCAGCCCTCCTCATTCTCATGATGGAGTTCCTCCCCACCTGCCCCTCACATCAAACGTCCTCCCCGCCCCCACCTCGACAGCTCCAATAATTAACCACGTTCAACCTCCCCTTAGAACACGAGCCCGAGTACTTCGCCGCGGTCCAAAAACTCAGCGACGCGGACCTAACCGCCTTCACCTCGTCCGACCTGACGCAGGTGCGCGTCGGCATCTCCGCCTACGGTCTGCACTTGTTCGGCAAGCTCCGCATCCCCGCCATGCCCGACTCCGGCCCCGCCTACATTCACTTCCGCGCCTTCGTCGGCGGCGACGGCCACAACGAGCCCGGCGTCGCCTCCCTCCACAGCATCCACACCGAGGACAAGGAGGAGCCCGACGGCGGTCGCGCGTACCGTGCCATCTTCACGAAGGAGGATCCGCTGGAGTGGTTTGATACTTAGGTGCCTACCTAGGTACCTAGGTAGTTTGGCTGTAGATGCATGGGATGAATGAATCTGGAAACTACCGTCGTTGAAAATCTAGGAACAGACCTAGGTATCAGGGTAGCCAATAAGCATATTAGGTACCAAAAGAAAAAAAAGAATCACGTTTCATGACCACACCAGTGACTTCAGTATACACACATAAGCGAAATTAATATGTTACCGTCGGTACCTCCAGAAAGGGTATCTTGAATTGCAGCAGCATCATCTACTTCAAATCCTAATTCTTCCCACAACCCAACACAAAGTGAGAGCGTAGCCCTAACCCCTTTACTTCCCACCTTCCCACATATACACGGGGCACTCTAGAATCCTCCATCCTCATCCTGATCATCCTGCGCCATCATCTCTGCATAGTCGTCTGCAGACGCGAACATGGGCAGGTTCTTGATAGCCCTCCTCCTCTTCTTATGCTCCGACTCCTCCTTCTCCTCCGTCTCGCCTTCCTTCTTGGCGATCTTTGCACCTCCCTCCTCCTCCTCTTCCTCATCTTCTTCTCCGTTGTCTTCAGAGTCATCCCAGAACTCGACTCCGTCGCCATCTTCCGACACGTCGTCGTCGTCGTCGATCTCATCCATCTGCTTCTTGAACTCCTCGTCGTCATCGTCGCTCATCAGATCGTCGAAGTCGGCCCCGTCATCCGAGTCGCCTTCGACTTCGGGGCGGGAAGCGACGAGCGCGTCCCAGATCTCGTCTTCTGCTGCCTCCTCATCGTCTTCACCGTCTGCTCCATCCTTGCTGGCCTTGGATTTCTTGCGCGCTGCCTGTTCGGACTTTCCTACCCTGGCGAAGTACTCGTGGAAGAAGACGTCGTCCACGGCAACATCCTCGCTCTTCTTGTTCCAGAACTCTACCGAGTTCAAGGTGCTACCTACTGCCTTGACGGAGGGTCTGTTGGATAGTAGGATACTATCATGGCCACTGGCAGCCACAGGCTGCATAATGGATACACCCTTGGTTGTGTCGACAGCCTTGGCATTGCGGTACACGAATTTGTCCAAGAATGCTATAAGTGTGTGACTGGCCAATTCAGGCTTTAGCGCAGCCTTCTGCCCGCTGAGTAAGTTCGAGGCAAACACGTCGACAGAAGGATGGAAATGTCTGAGGAACGGCAGTAACTCCCATAAGCAACTTTGATGCGCATTACTGAATTCCGGATTCCTCTTTCGGCCATCATAAACGTTCTCGTTCTTTTTAGACTCGGGCTCATGTCCATCGATGGTTGTATCAATGGGCGCATCTGTAGCCACCCCTGGGACAACCTCGTCCTCATGTTCCTCTGGTTCATTCATCAATGTTTTTATGTCTGGAAACGTGTCGCAGAGATCAATGATGAGATACAGAATGCCACAAACAAAAGAGGGCTGGTGCAAATTCAGGACCTGCAACATCCTCTTGACAAAGGCCTTTACACGACGAACATCAACATCACTCTTCAGACTTCGATACAGAAGGTTGAGATACAGAGCTTGCTTTGAGGAAGTGATCAGGCGTGGATCCAGCAGCGACTCATAGAGAGTTCGATAGTATCTGTCTGTAGCAAGGTGTCGGCTGATTGATAGTTGCTGGATAAGCATGAGAGCTTGAATACTGGTGTTGAAATTGGATGAATGTGTAATGCGGAAAAGTGTATCAAGGTGAGTTTCGAGTCTAGTAAGTATTAGTATTGCTATGCAAAGACAGTGATTTTAGACGACAGGACTTACACAGACTGCTCAGCTAGCGAGAATGGCACTGCTCGATTCACACCAGTGAGGATGGCCGACACGAGTTTTTCGGCGGCCTCAGGCTCTGTTAAGCCTGCTTGGTTTTTTTCTTCCACTTTCTTTGGAAAATCACCCCCAGCTCTCTTTTTCTCTTTGCGCTTATCTCTTTTTGTAACCGTAGGATTGCCTTCATGCTGATTAAGCTCGCCGCTCTTGAGCAAGGCAACGAAGAGACCAAAGTAGATATTAAGTAGCGAGTCTGCAATCTGCGGTTCCTTGGTGCTCAATATAGTCTGATTTAACGTATTGATGGCGTAATACTTGGCGCGGATATGTTGCCCTGGGCGAAATAGAATATCTTGTTCGATGTTGCGTATAGCCACTGGCTTCATTCCGGGATGGGTGTTCAAGAGTTGAAGCAGTAGGTAAGAAGCTCTGGAGGCAATTTTGCGTTCGCGATCGCCCAGCTTGTTTACTAGAAGGCGTAGGAGATTGGATTCTTGTTCAGGTTTGTCGCGTAATAAGGCGAATACTAGATCGACGGCCTTGGTACGAGCATACTCGACCTCATCATCGCACCAGACCTCCAAGTTTTGTATCACCTTGAAGTAAGCATCTTTCAGCCAATCCTCAAATGCCCACGAAATCAAGTGCTCCTTGGTAATCTTCCCGGGCAATGCCTGACCTGTAGACCAAGTATTCATCTCGTATTTCTGTAGAGTACCAGCAAGGCCCAGCTGTGAGGAGAACAGACGTAGGCGTCGGTCTGATGGTAGAATCATTCCAGGCCCGAAAAGATCCACTAGAGCAGCCAGAGCGGAGAGAGCCTGCCCACGGCTTCGTTTTGCGGAGAGACTTATCAAGTTGTCGAGAGCCTTGATATTGTGTACGGGGGATTCCTGAATAGCTAGGGTTAAGGCAGACACTTTATCTGACATGGTACCTGAAGACATGATGGTAGACATGAACCTGTGAGATGATGATTTTGACTGGGACTTGTTGTATTCGGTGCTATCCTCGTCTAGGAGAGATTTGGCATATGCCTTGAGTTCTTTGATTGCGGATGTGTAGGGAGAGACATTTTCAGAGGATGGAGTCGGTAGACTTCTTAAACTAACAGCATGCCAGTCAGGACGAGGTTCAAAGATCTTGAATGACAATCAGTTAAGTCTTGCGCAGAGAATTGAAAAAATTCAGAAATGTCTTACTTACCGTCTTTCTCTTTGGGTCCCTTAGGAGCTTTTCGTCGGCCTCATTATCTTGCTCTTCCTCTTTCTCTTCGTCCCCGTCAACTTCATCGGCTTCTTCCATATCTTCATCGTAGTCTTCGGGCTCGGATTCTGGCTCTACTTCATCAAAGCCGAGACCAGCAGCGAATTTGGCCAATTCAGCACGTAGGGCCTTGTCAGTATTCCGCTTCCCTTTTTCATTGTCGAGTTCTTCATCCTCCGAGTTGATATCTCCCACCAGCTTCAGGTCCTCTTCATCTCCACCTAGAGCTTTTATCTCATCAAGAAGGGTATTGATACTGGTCTTTTCCGAGGAAGCGTTTGGTTTTTGAATCTTCTGGGGCTTGGGCTTGGCATCATGGCTCTTGTTGAAGTCTGGCTTTGCTGTATTCTTCCTCTTATTTGGTGGTGGTTGAACAGAGTCTACTGTTTGGTCTCGTTTCCTCTTGCCCTGGTCTTTTTTGCCCTGATCCTTTTTGCCCTGGTCCTTCTTCCCTAACTCCTTCTTGATTTGATCCTTCTTGGGCTGGTCCTTCTTATTTTGGGGGTCCTTAGGTTCGCCGAGCTTGCTCTCAATCTTTGTTGTCAGCTTCAACAGCGCTGCATCGTCAAAAGTCGCCATGTAGGGCAACGTCTATAGACTGCTGAATTCTCCTTGTCGTTTCAATGATGGGCAAATAGTTAAAATCTTGCAATCTTCGTGGACGGGAATCATCAAAATCTAGTGTAGACGAATATACAAGCAAATGCGACACACTTGTAAACTGATGCGACAAGGCTAAGGAAAATTTCAATTGGAAAAAAAAAAGATGAAAGATAGTTAGTTAAAAGATAAAAAAAAAAAGTTGGAGGGGCGAGGCTAATTGGATCCACTAGCTACAGCTTCTGCCAATGGAGATGCGCCGTTGCAAACGCTAGTATGCAAGGCTGACGATCCTGGAACATCACTTCCTTGTAATTACCTATACCGTTTAAATCAAAACTCGGTTTGTTGAATGTTAATGCTCATGATGATTGAAACTCGTCAATTCCTTCATTTAATTCATATAAGTTATCAAATACAATAAAAATAACTGGCAGTCCCTATTTCAAACAATAATACGCAATTGTTAGATTTTTTAACTGTTTACTTCAAGGTTCATATCTTCTTCACGGGACAACTCACGTTCTCTAAAATCTTTTCAATCATGTTGCCGCCAAGATGACGCTTTTATCACATATCTCGAGAAGACAACCTCGATTGGGTCTCTGTTACTTGAGAGTTCATGGTGTTCGATATTCAAGTATCTCAACTCCACCTACACATCCAACTATACATTCACCGGTTAGTCATAACATATTCACCTCATTTTGCTGATTTATTTTGTATTAACTCTGTGGTAGTCTGAACCCATCGTACGAGATAGTTTCACTCGCATTTCCAAGTTCTGGATACCTACTGGAGGAATCACCCCAACCGAGAATGAGGGTATGTAATACCCAGGCACTTATATCACTTATGATCCAAACTCAGTTATCCTAACATAAGCTCAGATGCTCATGCCAAGTTAATCCGGGCTGGCTATCTTCGTCAGGTTAGTGTCCCGATTAGGGGCTGCTCTCCTTCTTTTCATAGTCTAATGAGTGACATCGATGTCCCAGTCGCATGCAGGAATATTCCACATGTTGCCTCTCGGTCAGAGAGTGCAGGAGAAGTTAGAAAATTTCATAGACAAGCATATGTCACAGCTTGGTAGGCATCATCCAACCTGGTTCCTAATGCAATGATTGTCATACTGATTTGTGGTAAGGTGCGTCCAAGGTGTCTCTCTCGTCCATATCATCTCAAGCCCTATGGCAACAAACGAATCGATTGGAAGGTTACGGCCCAGAAGTAAGCTCAGGAAAACTACTTGTAAAATGTGACCATACTATTAACACGGCTCTGTCTTAGCTATTTCGGTTCACTGATAGGAAGGATGTTCCCTTGCTACTCGCACCGACCCACGAAGAAGAGATAACCACTCTTGTAGCAAAGACAACCAAGTCCTACAAAAGTTTTCCTTTAAGACTGTATCAAATTGGTACACATGATTTTGATTTACCCTAGGAGACATCAGCTTACTTTTACTAGGCCGTAAATATCGTGACGAGATTCGCCCTCGCCAGGGAGTCTTACGATCTAGAGAGTTTATTATGAAAGACCTCTACACCTTTGACTACTCCCTTTCATCGGCACTCACCACTTACGAGCAGGTGCGAGCTGCCTACCATCGACTCTTTACGGAGCTTAAGTTGCCGTTCTTGGTCGCAGAGGCTAGCTCCGGCGATATTGGGGGCGACCTCAGTCACGAGTACCATCTCGCAACCCCAATTGGGGAAGATAATATAATCAGCTGTAACAGTTGTGATTACGTTGCTAACGAAGAGCTTGCTTCTTCGCGGCTCAGACCTGCGGAGGGCGTCTCAAGTCCTAGTATTTGGCGCGGCGTCTCTAAAGATAGGTCAACTCTTATCAATGTTTGGTACCCTGATTCCTTCTCAGATGATGACATAAACACATATGCTATCAAGTCAGTTTTGCCTGAATTGGATTCAAGTCTGAATGACTCGACACCATTTTGGTCTTCTATTGCTCCGGGATCAGACGGCGCCCCTGAATCTAGGCCTCAACGATTAGTAAACATTATTGATTACAGGCTTGGTTCTGTCCACCAAGACACAAGTCCTGATGCTTTACTACCTGAGGACTCAAACCTGGACCTGTCTACTCTTACTACTGAATACATAACATCATCTGCAGACGGGTCCCCTCTCAACATTATTCGAATTCGCGAAGGCGACAACTGCCCTCGTTGTCATGCCGGGAAACTCAAGTTCCAGAAAGCGATCGAATTAGGCCATACCTTCCACCTCGGTACACGATACTCAGCTCCCTTGGAAGCGCAAGTCAGTGTACCATCAAACTTGCTTGAAGACAATGGCGCAGCTTCTACTAGCGCGGGGGAGTTGACGACTGTGACGATGCAAATGGGATGCCATGGTATAGGAATGTCCCGCATTATTGGAGCAGTCGCAGATCACCTAGCAGACGAAAAGGGGCTCAACTGGCCACGTGCCATCGCACCCTTCGAAGTGGTCGTGGTCCCAGGCAAAAAGGACGAGAAAGACGGTGTTATGGTATCCGAGTTCCTTGCTAACTCACAGGCCGCTCGCCCCCTAGACGTTTTGCTTGATGATCGCTCGGAGTCCTTGCCGTGGAAGATGCGAGATGCCGACCTGATCGGATACCCTATCATCGTGATTCTCGGAAAGGGATGGCATTCAGACCGACTATGCGAAGTCCAATGCAGGAGACTGGCCAGCATCTCCCACGTCTTGCTTGAAGATCTCCCCATACACATCAATAGGCTTCTTTTTCAGCTTTGAAAACACACCACATGTGATGATGCGTACCTCCCTAGGCTTTGGGATTCCTGCATACAATGGTGGGAGATGAGATTCATGTACATTAACACCATTAAAAAAAAGCCTACGTATATGTTGGTGGACGTGAATTCCACGACTGGGCGAATATGTACATACCTAACCTAGACACCTCCTTTCACTGAAAATTCTCTCATGATAATGATGAACATAATCACATTCGTCACGATGTTGACGTCCAGTAGCGAGGCGAGCCGTCCTAAAGCTGTATCACCGACGGCGTTTAACAAATGTGCCTAAGGTTAGGTAGGCTACCGAGTAGGTAGGTAGTAGCTATCATAAATACATCCAGACAGAATCTCCAACCGCCAAGTCCGACAGCCCATGAAATCTGATCACTAATTGTCTCTCTGTACCTGCCTATGCGCCACGTGCATATGTAATAATACCAAGCGCCCAAAGGCGAAGCCCCGAAGGCGCGAAGGGGCACAGGACATCCCCACACTGTCTCCGTCAATCACCCCCGAGCCCGTCCTAGGTAATTGCTTTGCGCCTGCATACATGTAGGGCTCGACTTTTTTCTTTTTGGATACGCATACATATCCCCGTCGCGGTAATGCGTTTAAGGGCGCGCGAGCTCGCGCACGTGTAGGGAGCCGTGCGCATTATCCTCTTGTCCGAGACATAGTTAGGTAGGTAGCTATACTACGTCTGTTTCATGAATTCTAGAGCAGGTATAGGTAGGTACCTACCTCCATCCAGGCGTATATATATGTTAAGTCTCATAAGATACATGCTAGATAGATCACTCAAATATATTGAGCGTAACACAAGTATCTCGCCCATCCCCCTTAAACCCAAGAAAAAAACGCATAACCATGGCGGCACCGGGAAACAAGTTCTTCATCGAAGAGAAGCTATCGCAGACGGCGGCGCACCACGAGAGCTTCAAGGCGCTGTGGGAAACGAAATGGAAACCTCTAGTACATACCTACTTGCACCACTGCTTACATATATCCCCCTTATTTCCTCCCCTCCTAAACTTAAGATGTGGCTGTGACCTCGAGGATTAAAAAAGTGCGCTGACCGGTCGGTAATAACCAGTGCGACATGGGCGTGTACCCGTTCATGTTCGGGGCCACGGCGGACTTCCAGCCCGTCGTCGACACTATCGTCAGTAAGGGGCTTCGGAGACCCTATGATTGGGACGAGTACGCGCAGTGCTTCTTCCCCGGCGCGGAGGCGCTTGTAGGCCGCGCGCAGGTCGCGGAAAGGGAGGGTAATCGGGAGAAGGCGGCTGAGTTGTATCTGTGGGTGCCCCTTTCCCCCCTTAAATGTCTGCCTACTTTCCCTGCATGTCTACTAGGTACCTAGGTAACTGTGTAGATATCTATGTAACTCTTCTCGAATATAGGGGTAACAAGTGAAGAAAGAGAATACTAACATAACCACGACCGCAGACGCGCATCAGCCCTCTACCGCATCGCGCGCTTCCCCGCGCCGCGATCCGAGAAGCAGCGGCACGCGTGGACCAAGGGCAAAGAAGCCGCCGCGCGGGGACTTGCGCTGAAGCGACACCCGATGGTGGAAGTCGCAATCCCGCACGCGGCTAGTGGCGACGGACCCGTGCTCCCAGCGTTCTACCACCTGCCGGCGCAGGCGTCTAGCGCACAAAAAGCACCGCTTGTTGTCATCTTCACGGGCCTCGATGGCTACCGAACGGACCTGGCCGTGTGGTACGAAGGGTGGGCGCAGCTAGGTTGCGCGACGCTGGTCGTCGAGATCCCGGGCACCGGCGACAATCCGGGGGCGCCGGACGACGCGGCAAGCGGGGATCGCGTGTGGAGCAGCATGTTTGACTGGATCGCGGGGCAGGATGCGATCGATCAGAGTCGGATTGTCAACTGGGGGTTCAGCACCGGGGGGTACTACTCGATCCGCGTGGCGCACACTCACGCGGATAAGTTCAGGGGGGTGGTTGCGCAGGGGGGCGGGGCGCATTATATGTTCGACCCGCACTGGCTGGATGCGGTGGATGACTTGGAGTATCCTTTTGAGTAAGTCTTTGAGAACATGGGTTGTCCTGGCAAGCAATCTCCCAAGCTCGGACTGAGTAGGTAAGGAAGCTAAGTTGACTGGGCTGGCTAACCACGATGTGCTCCTAAGTTTGGCCCATACGCTTTGCCATAAATTTGGCTATGGTGAAGACTTCGAACGGTTCAAAAAGGAAGCCCAAGACAAGTACTCCCTGCTGAGCACTGGGGTTTTGGATAAACCGTGCGCACGCCTTCTACTGGTGAACGGGACCGAAGACGAGATTTTCCCGATCGACGACTATTACTTGTGTTTATCACATGGGGGCCCTAAGGAAGCTCGGTAAGCTTGACTCTCGAAGGCTAAGAAGAGCGTGATCAGAGACAATCTAACTTTGTAATCTAGACTCGTGTCAGGAAGGAAACACATGGGCGAGCCAGAGTCTTTCCACATTATCCTTCAATGGATCTTCAAGGTTCTAGATATTCAGGGAGATGCGGGACGCTTTCTGTCTACCATCCCATTTAAGCCAAAATATTAAGACTCGACATAAATTGTCGAAGACTCGTGAGACCTGATAAGTGTTATAAGGCTGTCAGCATTTAGGAGCTGGATACTATAAAGTACCTGGTAATTAGGTAGTTAAAGGCATCTAGTTTATACCTAGGCGTATAAAGATTCGTTTATAAAATGCTTGTTCCCATAATATAAGTCCTCAATTCGTCTCCAAATCTAGGTCCGAGTCGAAGCGGCCGGTTCCGGACAGACGGCGGAATTGATCGGCGTAAAGTCTTGGCGGGAAGATACCGATATCTATATCTATGTCTATATCTATACGCCTGGCGTAACTGGTCGTTAGCATGTCGACATGATGAATGTAACCTTGAAGACCTTATAGGAGCTATAGATCCCTCCCATAAGGACGAACAACTTCAACTACACTTAGATTATCCTGAGCATTCAAACGAACAACTCAACCTACTTATAAAAACGTCTTTAGGAGCGGGAAATACTTCGTGAATCATTCATAGAACCAATTTTGTGCTTCGCGGGTTGCCGGTTATCTTCCCCTCCCCCGCACACTCGTCCTATCAATGTCGGCTTGGAGAAGTATAACAAGCCTACTGGCCGTTGAAGCTGTACAATGCTACTCATCATTCGCATCGGGAGCAGACCCAGTGGTCTCGGTGAGGAATGGCACGTACGAGGGCTTGCACCTCCTGGAGTTTGACCAGGACATCTTCCTTGGCATCCCATATGCGCAGGATACTGGCGGCGCGAATCGGTTTCGCATACCGCAATCCTTAGATAAGACATGGAACGGCACAAGGCCTGCAAAAGCCTACGGCCCTGCTTGTCCGGACTACCATCTTTCAGCTGAGGTGCTCCATGGTATGAGTGAGGATTGCCTTAGCATTAATATTGTGCGACCCGCCGGCATTGAGAGTAGTATACCGCTTCCAGTCATGCTATGGATTCATGGAGGCGGGTATCAGTATGGAAGTAGTGGGGAAGTCGAATATAACCTTACGTACCTGGTACAAAGATCGGTGGACATTGGGATGCCTGTAATTGGTGCCAGTATCAATTATAGGAAAGGCGGCTGGGGAAACATGTACTCCATCGAGATTCAAGTAAGAAAGAGATGGAAACCTCCGCTCATACTCACATGCTGACCACTGCTTAAAAGGGATCCGGGAACACTAACTTAGCTTTAAGAGACATGCGCAAGGCTTTATCCTGGGTACAAGAGAATATCCAGAACTTCGGGGGCGATACTTCGTCGGTGACAATATGGGGCCAATCCGCTGGGTCATTTGCCGTGGTATGTCGTGCTGTATGGAGAGAACTAGGTTATTAAAACTAACGTTAATACGTATAGGGTCAACTTCTCATGAGTTACGGGGGACGATCGGATGGTCTTTTCCACCGGTCTATCCAGGAAAGTGGGAGCGCGACCACTGCATGGTGTAATGGATCGGAATGGTATCAACCCATCTACGATAGAATTGTCGATCAAGTTAATTGTAGCTCGGCTCCTGATACTTTGGAGTGCTTGCGGACGATCGATTACGGTGTTCTTTACCCCTATTTGAACTCATCTGCGGTGTCTGGTCCGGGATTTTATCCTACAGTTGGTAAGCAATTGGCTAGCCTCTACCAACTTACCCCCCCTTAAATCTATTTGCTGCTAAGAACCCACCGTGCGTTCTTATGCTCTTTCGTGGGGAAGGATACCAGAGACAAGGGTGCTAATTCTGAACAAGACGGCGACGTGCTTCCCAACTATCCATCAGAACTCTTGCGTGCAGGGCGCTTTGCACCTGTTCCACATATCTATGGGACTACATCAGACGAAGGCACCGACAATGCTCCCGTAGGCATCAATACAGATGCAGATCTTCGAACCTACCTTTTGCAGCGCACGGGATTTGATTTTCCGGTCGCCACCGTGGATCGTATCATGGAATTATACCCGGACGACCCTGCTCAAGGAGTCCCTGTGGATACTGGAGCAGAGCGTTTTGCGGCCGAGGGCTGGCAATATAAGCGTGTGGCAGCCATTGTCGGCGACGTGTTTTACCACGGGCCACGGCGATATGATGTACAGCACTACGCTCCGCGCTCGCCAACGTATGTCTATAGATTCAATACGCGGCGATGGGACTACGAAGCTTCGAGCACCACTACGACGGCGGACAGTAAATCTACAGGGCAACTCACACCGGCATATAAAGGCGTGGCGCACTTTAGTGAAGTGCCGTTTGTTTTTGCCAACCCGACGATGATAGGGCCGTGGCCGGAATACCATAAGCTAAGCGACCAACTCAGCAGCCACTGGATTCGGTTCGCGCATACAGGTGACCCGAATGGTCAGGGTCTACCACACTGGCCGCGGTATGATGAGAGTAAAAATGGCGCCAACCTCGTGTTGCAGACAGAGGCACAAGGTGGCTCGTATGTTGAGGAGGATACATATCGTCTGGCTGGACGTGAGTATTTGACGGAATGGTCAAGAAGAAGGCATGTATGAATAGGTAGGTATAAGGATTCATTACTACTACATATGTAGTAGTAATGCCTACTTACATAGGTAGTACCTACCTAGATCGTTGTAGTGATTCCAGTGAACATGCAATGTGAGTCATTCGAGAAGGTTCAAATTAATAAAGTTGGCTTCGTTTAAGATTAGGCAACCCTGTACACTAATTGGATACTTTAAACGAGGGCTAAAGCGCTAAGGCGCCAAGTCACAAGACTTCGCGATGGCTCCAGGCTTGGTTCATTCTGCGCATAGGATACCCCTGTTATCCACTGCATCTTCCCGCCTTCCCCGCTGTAGCCCTTCTATCTAATAACTAACTATCTGGTACTAGGTAGGTGCCTACGGCCCCACGTAGTAACTACCTGGGAGTCTTGAACACTGAAGCTTTTCAATTTCTCCTTTGTTTTCCACCTAGGCTCCAATCCCACCCAGTCATCTTCAGTCTTCAGCTCTTCAACGGCGTACCTACTTTTATCGCAGTAGCATGAGCTGTCTCTCAACCAACATGGAACCATCTCATTTACCTGCCTCTGTAAAGTTGGCGAGGCTGCCTAGTTGTAGTCATCAAGTAATCACTCATCCTTTTTATTGTAATTGTAATTCTAACTTGGCTATATATCATATGGATATCTTTAAAACATTGATATGGTCCAGCTCGAGACACAGGTGATATCCTTGGAAACCTAGCATATCACATCGCTTTCTTCTTTTATACCTCTCTATTTCTAGGTATATAACTACTTTACTATCTATATGAGCCGAAATTAACAAAGTCAAGACTCATGGCTGTCGTGGACCTCCCCAAGTTACCCATGGCTCACGATGGGCTAGTGAACTACATTGCAAACCATCCTGAGATGCCCATGAGCGAACTAATCTGCCCCTACCGCCAATTCGAAGCCAAACTGCGCGAGGTGTATGCCCAAGACCGCAATAACCCCCTTCTCAACGACCCCTATCTCAATGTCTTACCCCTTTTTACCAAGGACACCCATAACGTCAAGACTCGTGCTCGGAACCTCGAAGCAGAGTCACCCAGTGAGAAAGAAAAGTACATCATGTCTCTCCCTGCCGATAGGCGTCGTGCAAATGGCTCACCTGCCGTCGTTGATTCGCTGTTCGAGTTCCGCTACAATTTCGGCATCTTTTCCGAGTCTTCACTCGCTGAACTAGACTGGAGTAATGTCGTTGCCGCAGGTTCTTCCGTCGTTAACTGTATCCTCCCCGTTCCTGCTGAATTTAAGCAATCCAAGAGAGCTCTTCGTCAATACTACCATGAGAAGTTCTGCCCAGCTTCTGATGTTGACTTGTTCTTATACGGCCTCGATGAGCAACAAGCAATTGAGAAGATCAAGAATATTGAAACTTGGATCCGTGACGCAATCCTCTCGGAAGTGACAGTTGTGAGAACTAAGAATGCTATCACTATTTGTAAGTTGGCTAAACCCCTTATCCATTGATGTGATAGGGATGACTAGGAAACCCTAACACTCGATAAATAGGCAGTAAATATCCTACTCGTCATGTCCAGATCGTACTTCGAGTGTACAAGTCTATCTCAGAAATTCTCACGGGGTTCGATATCGATTGCTCTGGTGCTGCTTACGATGGAAAGCAGGTCTACTGTACCCCACGAGCCCTTGCTTCATATATAACGCAGATTAATCCAATTGATCTCAGTCGGAGAAGTCCCTCATACGAGAACCGTTTGTCAAAGTATAGCCACCGAAACTTTGAGGTTCACTGGCCGGAGATTGACCGATCTCGTATTGACCCTACCATATTTGAACGCAGTTTCCAGAGGACCCTTGGGCTTGCCCGCTTGCTGGTCTTAGAACGGCTACCAACTATCAACGCTAGGGAGGAGTATTTGAGAAAGCGACGACAAGAAAGAGGCAGGCCGAATCTTAGATATCAGTTTCCAAACCGTTTTTATGGAAATATCAAAGACACTCATGAAGATGAGGTAGCCGATTGGGTTGACGAAGATGAAGTATCCAACTACCATACCTTTAGCCTTCCTTATGGTACTAAATTTCATGCCAAGAAGATCGAGAAGCTCTGCTATACAAAAGATTTGCGTAAGTTTTAATCGCTACCTTATTTTCTCTAACCTTTGCGTTCCTACAGTATGGCGTTTTGATTTCTTTCCCTATTTTTGTTTTTATTTACCACAGTGAATTAATTACAGTACAGTTCTTAATGCCGAATGGAATCAACCCAAGGAAAGGAAGATCTACCTCCATAGACATCCTGCCTTCTTTGGGAGGGTTGAGGACGTAGGTTACGGTAATCCTGTGTCCATTAGCCATTAATGACTGACGTATCCAAGGTCATTGGTGACTGCTGTGGCACCTGCCCAAAAGCTAAGACTCCAGAAGAGAAAGAGATGGCTGAGAAGGAGAGCGAAATTTATGTGTCTGGGAAAGTGTCTTTCCGTATTGACAACCCTGGTAGACAGGTAAGTAGCATTAAATTCTTGCTACCTAGTGTATAGGTATATGCGTGATGCTAACGCTCATAGCAAATTGGTTCGTTCAATCCTCTCACAGAGAAGGACTGGACTGAAATGGCCTATGTGGGCAACACTGCGCGTCTCTGTCAAGCCATTGTCGACGGTGATATCGATCATGTGGAGGATTGGCTTTCACAGGAAGGTGCAGACCCTAATACGAGAGATTATACGGGCCGAACGCCATTGCATCTCGCCGTTATAAGTTCCACGCCCCAAATTGTCAAGTGCCTGGTTGATCACGGCGCCCGTCTTGTGGCTCGCCTAGCTGATGGCCGAAACGCACTTCATCTAGCTGCTGCGCGAGGGAATGTTGAGATGATAAGAATTCTTCTGGAGAGGAGCGAATCCAACGAGGAGGAAGAGAATGAAAAGCAGGATCGCCGCCGCAAGGCTCTCCATGCGGCGCACAAAGATAGCCAGGTATACATGCTTGATACGAAGCCCGATGTTGCCGAGTCCGATGAAAATTCAGATGATGAAACCTCGGACGGGGAATTGGTCAGTGATGCTACATCTGATGACGGAGACGGGGCGAGATCTATGGCCACAGGTTCATTTGTCAAAATCAACAAAGATGATGGCGACACTAAGAACGATGATTTGGCTCTTGACGACGACCAGAGTGAACCAGACGTTTATGCTATCGACGCTGTTGCTTGGGATTCGAAATGCAGTGCCCTACACCTGGCTGTCCTAGGAGGGCACTGTGAGGCAGTGAAACTCCTCTGTCAAGAATTTGGCTCTGACGTGTTGATACCCGTCAAAATTGATGTTGGTGAATACCGTTCAGATTCTAAGAGGGTATTCTTACCATTAGTACTCGTTTTGACCCTCCCACTCAACAAGGCTCTACGCATGGCTGAAACGCTGCTGAGCCTAGGTGCTACGTCTTCGCAGGCCGAAGTGGGTGGTATCACTGCCTTTCAGCGATACATAAAGAATGGCAACGCGGAACTCTTTCAGTGTCTATGGGATAACGACAAGATCAGCCTCAATACTGCCATAAACCATGTGGCCATCGGAGGCTACTGGAATTGGAGCAGCACCACGACCCCATTGATGACGGCCATTGACAAAGGCGATTCAACCCTTGTGCTGAAACTCCTCGAAATAGGAGCCAAACCTACAACTGACTTTGATTCATGGATGAAGGGTCGAAAGCTCCTCGAAGCACCACTCCTAGTAAGTTCTGTGTATAAAAATACTCAAGTAGTATTTCTCTCCCGTTTCAGTTGAGCTCATAAGCATGATCTTCTACTTACTTAGTTCCTGCAGAGCTCTGAACGGGCCCTCGAAGCCTTCCAGTTAGACTGCAATCAACCTCTTATCCTAGCAATTAAATCAGCGCATCCCTTAATCGCTATCGATTTGCTAGAGAAAGGCGCCGATCCTGACACTATCACCAAATCAAGCTACAAAGTTATTATGCACCGCTGGGATCGTGACCGAGGGGGCGAAAGTGCCCTAGATGTAGTTCGTAATGTGCTTGAAGGGTTTCACAGATACAAGGAGGAACTAATTAGCTCGAGCCGACCAACTGAATCCGGACAGAAACCAGGCTTCTACTGTCACGAACGACATGAATATGTACCGCACCCAAGGGAACCCTTCGGGACGACAGAATTCCTAGAAAAGTTCAGTGAGGGCACATATCAGCACCATCTTGTTGTTGACGACATCAAGTGTCGACTAGATGCTTATAAGAGAGAGCTAGAAGAATTCGAGAAGCGCAGAGCGAAGAATGCCAGCTGGGAAACAGTGACAGAGAAACTTGAAGCCATCAAAGATATGATCTCGCAACTCGAAAGAGTAGAGAAAGCTCTCGAATCCAAGGGTGCAAAGACCTTCAAGGAGTTATATCCCAGTATTCCAGAAGTTAGCAAGCCCTCCTTGGTCTCGGAAAATCGTCCACCTTCGTCATACTCTCTCGAGTTCAACTTTAAGCATGCCACGGACTTGACAGATATACGGAGAGAAGGCTACATCAAGCTGTAAGTTACACATCCACATAATGACCTTTTCTACATTGCTAAAAAGGCATGTATCAAAGCTTCGAAGCGGCATGGTCCGGTGATTTTGCGGTGATACAATCTCTCACTTTAGCTATGTGGGGTGTAGATGGACAAGAATCGCCGCTCCAGATAGCAGTGAGTGATCAAAAAGGCAACAATCCATTCTCGATTGCATTTCTCCGCGGTCACTATGAAGTAGCCAAAGGAATCTTAGAAATCGCACAAGCTCATTTTGCACCGAAAGCTGAGAAGATGACGCGATTCACCATGAACAAGGAAGAAGATTATTCCGGTGAAGATTCAGAGTCAGAGGACGACAATAAAGTTGTGGTATACAAGAGGGTCATTGACGATCAGAACGCTATCATGAATGTTGGCCAGGTGGCTACACAGATCGAAAGCCCTTTTTCTGCATACTCACTTCTCAACTGGCAAGTACCAACATGGGCCATACCTAATTGCCCACCTTGCCGTTTTCGGTTCCCAGTCGATCTTATATGGTATGCAGTAGAGGCGAAGGACACGGAACGGTTCAACTTGCTACTTGACTGGAATATTCACTTTGCTCGCGCGGAGCCTGTCAACGATGACGCATCAAGCCAGTTATACATGCTTCCCCAACATGTATTCGGCACAGCCATCGAACATGGCCATACGGAGATACTCGCGGAAACCATCAGACGAACTGGTACTGGGATTCCTATCGAAGACCTGGTAAAGAAGAGCGGCGCAGAATTAAAAGTGAAGCCGCGTTACTACCAAGGACTGAATGTGTATGGCAAGAAGAGGGCGGACTGGGCGAATGCAGGCCGCAATCTTGTAGTGAAAGCTACGGGTAGTAAGAGGCCGCCATTACTCAATGCTGCTATTGAAGGTTCACTGGAAGCAGTGGAGTGGTTTCTCAGCGATGCACCAATGCGATATTACTTGGAATTCGGCAAGTCTAAGGCTGCAAGAGAAGATTCCAGATTGAGACATCTAACGGAGGTGTCTGGTGGGTTCGATAGAGCCATTGCTAAATGACTTGGAATTCAAAGTGAGTCTAACCATGTTCTCGGTGCTATTTCCTCTCTATCTTCTGCCATTTTACTAATATCCACCAGATGACCTCGTCATTCATTGCGCAGTGACGGCATCGCCGGGAGAGAAAACTAACCAACTCATCGAATATCTGCTTAAGGTGTGCCCGTCGTCTTTGGAGGCCAAGTCAGATCAAGGGCATACCCCTTTATACCTGGCTTGTCTTTTGGGGCGAGTCGAATTTGCAAAGACGCTTATCAATGCGGGAGCTGACCAGTCCGTTAAGGACAAGGATTTCAACAATATTATCCACGCTTGTCTCACAAACGAACCCAAGGTTGCCATGCTGCGAGGCCTGCTAAACCTCCTAGATCCGGATCTCAGGTCTGACATGTTTCTTCAGCGAAACAACCTCAGCCATGGCGGCGATACTCCGCTTCACTTCTGGCTCAAAACTGCCAATCGGCATGTAAACGAATATGACCGCGATTACGACACTGGCATCTACGGTCCCAAGCTTGCCAAAGAAAACATGGATAACATCGATATCTTGCGTCTGATTCTCGAGTTCTCTGGTGGTGGAGAACTCGAGATATTTAACGGTTCCGGCGATACCATACTACACACCGCAGTACTTCTCTTTCTTGCGGCCCATGCCCGGGTCCTTCTTACCCACAACCCCAACCTCCTGTGCCGCGAGAACGCAGTCGGGCGCACCCCTGCCGAAGTCGCCTACGACCTCTGCATTGCTTCCAAAGTCGACCGCCTGCAGCCTATCTGCATCAAATGCGACGACCGGAATCCAGTGGATGAGTTCAAGAGGCGGCACAGCAGGATACCCCAGGACAGAAAGGAAGCGCCGGCGTCCGCCGACCGCAGGCAGCTCACTTGGGCAGTCGTCGAGGAATATATCGACAAGAACACCGCCAAGCGCCGCCTCATCAGCCTGAACGAGGCAAACGACGTAGCCAGACGGTTGGGGGAGAGCTACGCCTGGCAGCGGTACTACCAGAAGAGGAGAGGTATCGACGCGGAGCGACAAGGAGCAGCGGCGCCGGAGGAGGAGGAGCAGCAGAATGGCGACAAGGAAGTCGACTTTGCGACGGCTAGGTACGAGTATATTAAGTCTGAGAAGGCGTGGATTCCCTATCAGGCTCAGAAGCCCGTTTCCGATGACGATGATGATTAGGTAGGAGCCGTGTTCACTAGGTAGCGTATGGCGCCACGCCTCGATGGTTACTCGGCGGTTGATACCAGAGCGTCTCTAGGTGTCTAAGCAGCAGTGATGAGATTCATGGCTTCATGGTATAATAGGGGGCGTACTTGACTATTGTTTGGGTATGTTCGGAGGAGTCGAGAATCTCATATTGGAGCTTCGGGACCTTTTATGAGGCGGCGACGAGGGATTGTTGGTGATGGATGGATGCTGACCCCTTTTATTCTAGGCATTGTTGCTTCAAATTTGAAAACGGCATCGGGACAAGACTACCTATACTACGAAAAGTAGATGGAACAATCGAATGGATGAATATGAAAACAAAAAACAAAAAACTTTTAGGTGCCATACAATTCTATCATTTCTAAGTACATACCAAAAGATAAATAAAACAAAACGTCCGGTGAAGTAACTCTAATATATGATGAGACACCGGGGTATATCAACTCTGTTTCTTTTCTTCTTATTCTTTTACTTTCAGCATCAGCCGTCTACAAATGCTTCGTTCTTGGCTTTTTGAGCATTTTCATCGGTGGATCCGTCCTGGTTGGTGGAAGGACGGTTGGCGATTAAGCGCTGCGTTTTTGTTTTTTTTTGTGTTAGTTATTTCTTATAACTCGCTCACCTCTTCATTAAGGGGGGAAAACTCACCACCAGATTCCTGAGCAGCACGGCGATGGTGACTTTTCCAACCGAGGGTACGTATATGGACGCCTTCTCCTTTATGGCGGGGCCGTCAAAGTTACGGAACGAAGAGAAGTTGATGCAGACCGTTCCATCGCGGATGAGCTCTGTCGGCACCTTGTACTTTTCTGAGGGAACACCCCCGATGATAACGTCGCTTATGGGGATGCATTGCTCGAGGGCCCAGCCCTCCTTGTCTTGGACTTGGTGGCGGGGCTGCTTGATACCCTGGCCACGAGTGAAGAGCTGGACTCCGGTTAAATCGACAGAGTACACCGTGGCGCCGTCGTTGGCGAGTAGAGCTGCCAATGGCCTGCCGTTGACCTCGGAGCGGTTGATAACTGTGATGGTCCGTCCGAAGAGCCGGTTTCCGGGGCGCAGGATGGAGTTGTAGATCTGGAGGTACTCTAGGATCTTGACCACGGCCAGCGGAGTGCAAGGGAGAATAGATTTCTTCAGGTTTTGCGGGGGGTCTAAAAACCTGACGTTGTGATACATGTTATATATGTGTTTGTGGCACAACCCCTCTACGTCCTTGGCGAGCGAGACTGTCTCCTGGACATATCGGTCGTGGGCTGGGTTGCCAGGGAAGATGGGATAGTAAACGATGATGCCATCGACTTTGTTGTCTTCATTGGCGTTTACAATTTCCTCTTCCAAATTATCCTTGTCAACTTGGCGCAAGTCGAAGGTGAAGCCACTGATATCTCAGTAAGTAACTCATTCCCACCTTTTACTGAGAAGCTATGAGCAGGATGAATATAATTTTCTTACTTTTCTTCGCAGGTCTTCTTTGACCATTCAGCATACTTGATAGCTGCAGGGTCATCATTGGCCAAAAAGGCAACCAATGTAGGCTGGCCTTCAGTTGCTTTTTGAATGGATTTCAAAGTATCTTTGACTTCAGTAAGGAGACCCTTGGCGATGGTCTCTGCTAATATGACCTTACAGGTCTTGTGTGCTTCTTGTGAAGCCATTGTTCGGATGAAACTAAACTTGGTGAAGTTTTTAGTAATTTAGATCCATACAATTATATAAATGGGTTTAGCAAAGATGTTTAGATATGAAAATGAATTTATGATGAAGATATCGTGAGAATATAAATGAGTATTTTCAAAAAAATTCACTGCTAAAAATTCGAGGTACGAGCGAATTTCAAGCAGCTCCAGGGTACGGGTAGGTACATACCTGCAGCGCCTTCTTCCCTTTCTGCCCCGCTACTCTTGCCCCGCGACTGAATTGGAAAAGGCACGACGGCGTCTGTAAGCTGACGTAATTAGAACAATGAGGTAACAGAGAATGTGAACGTGATGTAAAAAAAAATATCGACACGCCGAGTTATTATTAACTGAACATCTAAGAGTAGAGGGTGCAGAAGGTGCAGTGACTAATAATAACGGTAAATTCAAACTGACAAATCTCATCTCGACTGGGTGCATACTACTAGTAGTACTAGTTATTTAGCACCTACATGGCTACTAAATATGTAAACTTTTGATAAAACCCCCACTAACGTGAAATTCTGTAGGCTAGGAAAAAAAAAAACTCAGGCAAACCTGAACTACCCCTCCAACTCAATTCGTTCTAGTTCGGATCATCCTGCCGCCGCGGGGCACCACTTTCGTCATTTTTCTTCTTTATATCAATAGCCTTGGCACGGTACTAGGTACATTTACTAATACAGTGTGTTTATACATTCATGTGCATCTATGAAGGGTGCACTTCAAGGTTACATACCTATATACCAACTTGATGTACATTATTTCACTTTCACTTTCGCATTCTCATTCCTATTCTACCACAACCAACTTACATACCATTACCGTCTGACTCAATTCCTAATTTTAGAGTGCATATTTGAAGGGCGGTTCGTCCATAACTGCATATTCGACCAAAGTCGAATAAGTCAAGTGTGAAAATGGCGACCCCCAAGTTCCAAGATCTTGCCCTGCAGTATGTCCTCGCAGATGAAAGTGACCAAGCGCAGGCTATAGCAGAAAAGGCGGCTGCAGGTAAGCTCTCTCGTGATACGACATAGATGACTTGACTAGAACATCTTATACTAATATTATCTCTTTTACTCCAAAGCTATCGAAGAGGCTACCAACAGTCGAGTAACTGTCGGCCAGTGGGTCGCATCTATAAACCAATGGATTCAACCATCTGACGATGAGAACCTCATTTCGCGTGCCAAGGCATTGGATTTCCTAGCAAGCACCCTCGTCGTACTCAACCAGAGGAACGTCTCACTGAAAAATGACCAAGTGAAGCTCTTGGTCACTTTCTTCGGTTCACTCTTCTCGAGCGATCACCGCGCCGGTGTCGCAGCCTCTACTAAAGCTTTGAGGCAGTTGGTTGGCATGAAGTCATTCCAGCCTACCTTGGGAGATGATATAATCGCAAATGTCTGCAAGCTCGGCGACGACTTCAAACTACAGACCCCAGCAACCCGCCTTGAGCTGTACGAGTTATTCCTTGGCCTCATCCTGGATCCTGCTGTGGTCAAAGATCTTGAAAATCGCCATGGGGATACCTGCGCATTCATGACCAATTTCCTAGATTTATGCAGGAACGAGCGAGATCCTCAAAATTTGTTGAAGTGGTTTACGGCCTTGAAGACATTTCTACAAAATTTCTCACCCTCCGAAAATGTCACATTAGACATCTTCAAGGCCTTCTCGGCTTATTTCCCTATCTCCCTGCGAGCCTCGGCTTCCCCATCAGGCATCACAGCTGATGATCTGAAGGGCGCTGTGCGTTCCTGTTTCGCTGCCCACTATCGGCTTGCCAGTCATGCAATCCCATATCTCATCAACAAGCTTGATCAGGGCGATGCTGTTACGGTCGCCGTCAAGGTCGATATCTTACAGACACTTAATGCATGCCTGGTACAATATGAACATCCTCAGCAAAGTGTTGTTCCATATGTTGATCAAATATGGAGCTCACTCAAGTATGAGGTCCGAAATGGTGAAATCTCCGACATTATCAAGGCAACCCTTAAAGTCATAGCATCTCTAACAGCGCGACTTGAAGTGAACGAACTACGTTCTTTCATAGCTAACGCATGGAGGGACCTATTTGAAGACATATCTAGTCCAACATATACAGCTCAGGCCGGCCGATTGTTAGTTGCCATGGCCGGAGCTAGTATTCAGTCTTTTGCGTCTATCACTTCGCAAGCTGTACCTCATATTCAAACTACTCTCAAGCATGCCCAGTCCGCATCCCACAAGCAAGACCTTGTGGCCTTATTGAACTCCATTCTCGCTATACGATCGCACCTAGCCAGCACTTTAAAGGGTGATGAAATTATCGATAATAGTTCGAGTTTACTAAGGGACGAGCTCTTTGGCGATACTCTATTCTATGAGGTCTATGCTCCTCTGTGGGAAGAGAATTCGGGCGACCAGGTGACAACAGAACAAGCTGGCGTACTCAAGAAAGTCATGGAAGGACTTGCAACTCTCGTGGGCCAACAGTCTAGTGGCACAGGTCCTCACCAATTATGTTCAGCTTCGACTTGTGAGCAGATATTTGGCTGGCTAGCAGGCCCAGCTGTCATCCATCCCTTAGAAGGGAGGCAAGTGAATTCAGCAAACTCCGACAGTGATGCGGACATGGGTATCCGTGATGCTGCAGTTGCAGCATTGAAAGAAGCAGTGCCCTTATACCCCACTGCATTTCAGTTCTTACTTCAACAGTTCCTTTCATCCCTCCAGGTAACCTACCAGCGTCAGCTTATTCTACATGACTTCCCTTCAGAAATTCAACTTGTTGCAAGCACTCTGAGTGAAATCAGTTGCTCAAATAAGGCCGGCACATCGCCAGCACTGTTGAATCACATCACTCTGATTAACACTTTGCTCCAAGGGTTATTGCGGATGATATGGGGACAAGCATCACCAGAAATTTGGACGGCATTGGTATGTTCCATCCACCTTGTCGTTGTAGAATCGATGAAATCTCTATCGACGCAGGAATTCAAGTCACCGGGCATTACCAAGGTATGGTACATGCAATTCAGTCATGCTATTGAGAATGCCGGTGCTCCTCGGCTTGATCTGAATGAGCCGGGAAACATTGATGGGATAATCAAGGCGTTGCAGGTGCGGGAAACTGAAGAAGGCAGCAGTCGCAGACAATTGCTGGCATACTCCTTTTCCGTAGTGAAACAGCTATATCGTCGTTTCACTGTAGTCAATTCGCAGACTGCCAATGATGAGAACAGATTTCAATCTCGTACAGAACTCGGCAAGGATTTCGGCAGAGGAAAAAATACCGTTCCAAATGAGGACTATTTTCTCCATCAACTTGCCTCATTTGCTACATCAGTAGTTCGAGAATTAAGCGTGGACGAACAGAAGGCTTTGGAACTGGGAAAACACGCGTTTTCTCTATTCCATGATAGTGATGCTGCACGCACAGATCATGAAAACGAATCCCCCGTTGAATTATCTGGAGTGAGCCGAATGGACGACTTCCGAACAGCACCATTAACGATGGGCATTCTACAGGGTCTTTATCCCGGCTTGATGAGTACACAGGTAAGTTACCGTCCTGATTCATGAGTGTCAATAGACTTATATTAACTAATTCTGTAGCAACATATGAACGCACTGAGGGATTTGTGCAATATCCTAACTTCCACCACGGCTACACGTACATCTCCACTCATACCTACAAATATGACCAGAGCCGCGTTAGACAACATGTTAGCCATATTGTCAAATAGACTCCGAGTCGCAAATCAAGAAGAAGCCGAGGTCAAACTGCAAGCTCAAGATGATTTGATGACCGCCTTGACCAATCTGTTTGCATTGACTTCCGAATCTACAGAATCATCAACGGAGATCTACACTGCCACTTCCATCTTCCGCAGCATCCTTCATTTCTTAGCCGGGGATGTGGCGCGATTCCGGGCCCAACCAGACGAGCACAATCAACTACTGAAAATGGTTTGCGATCAGGTCCCTTCAGAGCGGACGATGGGTCGTCAGCTGGCCAGGTATTTTGAGGTTCTAGTGAGCTCGAAAGGGTGTCTAAAGAAGGAAAACCATGCCATTCAGAAAATGCTAAGTGGCGAGTGGCTGTATTTCAGAGCTGTCCAACCCTACTTTGAGGAGTGCTTTCCCAATTCGAAAGTTACGGAGAGCCAGGCCACTAATCGTGCTGTGGCCATCTTTGCGATCTTGAAGCACTTGAAAGGTCCGCAGTACTTCAGTGGTATCGAGCAGATCGTGCGGGTCGGCATCCGCTCGCTGTCGACTTTTGAGATAGGAGCAGAGATGGAGTCTTGCCTGGCTGTGCTCTTGCACATCCTCGAAGAGAAGCCAGGTGTACTGCAAGAGCACCTTGCGGGACTAATCTCGGGTATGATCAAAGTTTACGAGACGGCTAGAAAGACGCCCAAGGCTACGGGAGCCACGGCGGGATACGAGAGCGAAGGCAAAGCACGTGTGCTGTGCCGGAAGTACGCGTTGGAGTTCTTCCAGAAGCTGCCGTCTTCGTACGAGACGCAGTACATCGTGCTGCATCGCAAAAAGCTGCTACGCCCCCTATCGGCAGCCTGTGGTGACCCAGTCAGAGCGATCCGACGAACAGCGTTGCTAGCTAGGAAGGCCTGGGATACGCTTGCCTGAGTGGTAGTTTAACTATCATATCGAACGGTCCGATGGCTACATTGACAGGGGATAGGGATATGTCCGTACGCTGTCTAGGAAGTACGGTAATGTCCATAGGCTGTTATTGATCAGATAGCTTCGCAGAGGCACGTATGTAGTACGCACGCAATGAACACAAAATACACAATGCCGATGCCATTCGTAACTCGTCGGGAAAATAAATGGTATCATTTTGATGCAGCATCGGAATATACTAACAACTAGTACCCAGGTAAGACCACTGACTACCTAGATAAGTACCTGCCTACATACGTACCGTCATACCCCTATATGTCAGTAGGTATGGCCCCTAAAAGAAAAATTTAAGCCTTTCTCCTCTTTGACTTCTTCCCCGAAGACCCTCCCGCCGCCTCCGCACCCGTAGACGCAGCCGCAGCCGCAGCCGCAGCCTCGGAAGCCGCGATGGCGTCTAACACCGCCGCATCCGCATTCATGAAATCATGCTCTGGCGCCGCCGGCGCACCAGCAATAGCACTGGCAGTCGCGGCAGCAGAAAGTTCCTGGGCTCGCTTGGGATCGGCTTTGGCGATCAGGGGCACGCCGGCGACGAGCATGGTCTGGAAGGGCCGCGCGACGAAGTGCCCTTGTGCGTCGAACCAGTCGGTGAAGGGGCGGGCTAGGTCGAGGGTTTGCGGGGTGCCTTTCTTGTGGGGGGTTATGGTGATCTTGAGGTTGTAGGTCGGGATGTTCTTTTTGGTGGAGGTTGCGATGGAGATCTGGGTTGGCTTTTTGGTTAGGAAGGTTTGTAGAGAGATATATGTGTGTGGTGTGTGTTTTAACGTACGCTAGACCCATCAGGCGCCGTGCCCTGGTACACGGTGCCCTTCTCGACGAAGCCGATCCAGAAGGTCAGGATGCCGTTGAGCACGGTGTAGAGGGCGACGGCGGCGGCGGTGTAGTACTTGGTGGGCTCGAAGCCGAGCTTGTAGTCCCAGGCGAAGCTGGCGGCGGCGACGGCGAAGGCCGTGTACCCCAGGGCCAGCCGCGTGTCGATCAGCCGGTGGTTCTGCTTGAAGCCCAGGGAGTTGAGGTAGTTGGGGATGGCGTCGTCGGAGGTGTTTTTTAGGTCTGGGGAGGTGGTTTTTTTTGGTTAGCTATTATGGCTGGACTTGGCTTAGAGGAGGGGAGCGAGGGGAGGATGGGAAAAGGAAGAGGAAGAGGAATTAGTTACCCGCGAGGTTGTGGACGCTTATCCGTTCTTGTGAGGCCATTGTCGAACTCTGAGTATCTGTCTACAGTGGGGAAATGTGATTATATTGTCAGAGGTTTTGGTTGTGTTTGGTCACATTTATCACGATTCCACAGACAGATCGTCAAAAAAAGTTGTCGCTATAAAAATGAAGGGTATTGATAGCTTAGGTGGTCTTTTCCTGTAAGTCGCATAAGCTAGAGACCGGACCCATGTCAGTTTAGGTACGTTGATACTTGAGCTTTAGTTGGAGTCTGTTGGACCTTTGAACTTAAATAGTGGGGCGCCTCGAAGTAACTTACAGCCCTGCACCGACAAGCCGCAATTGAGCTTAAACGTAAGCTACATTACACCCAACGACTGGCAGTTGCGATTGTTGCGACTACAACACCAACCTTCAACAACTTTTTTTTTTCCCTTTTACTACATACAAATATATAATACACAAAAGCGAACCACGATCTTTGCAATGTCTCAATTACCGGCTCAGACGATCCATCGGGATCCTCAGCTATTGTAAGTGTTCATCTAGAGATCATGCAACATACATTGCCATACCAGGTACTAACTGTATCGTAGGTACTGGATTCTACTTCCAATTACAGCTGTGATGGTAAAGCCCGCCCATCTTCTTCACCCTAACCTTCTTCAAATAAAAAGAAAGGACTATTTATTAAAAAGAGGGAAAACAGATCCTAACAGGCGTCCTGCGCTACTACGCCACGGTCCTCATGCAAACACCCCCCAAGAAGCTCGACCAGAACGCCATGAAGGAGCAGCGCTCCCTCATGCACGGCATCGCCGTGCGCAGCAACTTCCACGTGCTGTCCGCGCCCTCGTTCCGCGCCCGGCGGGACTACCTCACCAACGCCTACGAATCCGGGGCCTTCCTCAAGGACCCCGAGCGTCGCGGCCAGCCGCCGCCGAACCCGATGACGGACCCCGGCGCCATGGACGGCATGATGGGCATGATGAAGAACAACATGGCCATGATGATCCCCAACACCTTGATCATGAGCTGGATCAACGCCTTCTTCAGCGGCTTCGTCATCATCAAGCTGCCCTTCCCCATCACCATCAAGTTCAAGAGCATGCTGCAGGCGGGTGTCGCGACCAAGGAGATGGACCCCAGGTGGATGTCTAGCATCAGCTGGTATTTCCTGTGCTATTTTGGTCTACAGTTTGTCTTCAACTTCTTGCTCGGCAATGAGAATGGTAGGTTCCTTTAAAATTTGAATTCTGTGCCAATATTTTACGAACACATAAGCTAATTATTCGCATGGCAGCCGCAAATCAAATGGCTCAGCAGATGTCGGGCATGGGAGGCCAAAACCCGCAAATGTTCGGACCCGGTGTTGATCCGGATAAGCAGTTCAAGACGGAGGCTGAGAACCTTGCTGTGGTTGACCATTACTCGGTTTTGGATAATGTAGAGGGTCGATTGCTCGAGGGTATCAAGTCTAAGTAAAGGGTGTTGGGTAGATAGGCAGCCTATCAGCTAGACCTAATACCCAATACGGTATGCAAATAATAATCCAGCCTAACACCGTTTCCATGCAAAAGTGTACCTAGTCAGCTTAGATACCGTGTACATATTTTACTCCCACCACAAGCAGACTCCCAGTCCTTCCTTGATCATGGTGCCTTTGATGCTATAAGGGGATATTTTCTTAGCTTTATCCACTGCATCTTGCTCCGTAGTCTCGGGGGTCTGATCGTGCCACTCCTCTCCTTCTACAGAAAAGCGAACCATCTCGTTCTTGTCGTACCACATTGGGTCGCTCTCAGGGTCAAATATCCACGTCCAGGCCTTTTCAACTTGGTTACTAGACTAGTAGTTAGCACATGGAAGAAGTTTGTATTGGAGGATCCATAGTAGACTTACTATTGTGTGTTTTCAGGGAGCTCCGTAAAGGGTATGAATATGTCCTCAAAAAACTCGGTTCGAACTGGGTGGGGGTCTAGTTAGTGATGAAATCTTCTCAAAGTTGGACCTCAACGGTAAACCCGGAAGGCACATACTGTTGATTCCAGTGTTGTTGGAGCTGCTAATTCTTCCAAACAAAGTCTCGCCCTTGAATGGCCTAAACACAATCAAGCGGAACTCAACTGTTTTTTTTTTAAAAAAAATCTGAGAGTTAACACAGTTCCAGCCATGATGCACGTTTTTTATGGGAAACTAGGTAGACATACCATTGACGTTGACCATACCAGTTCCATGACCGATGAGACCCTCTGAAGCCCAGAGTAGATCATACATACAGATGCAGAGGCCGATCTTCTGAATGACCTTGTTGGAGTACTTGGCATTGATGCTGTCCTCTATAGCGACATGGCTGGGCTTCTCGAAGTTGTCTGGCCTGATTTGCACCAAGTCGGCGATTTTCGTCTGATATGTGGTGTTAGTGGCAGGTAAAACATTTATTTCTCCTTCTTTCACGGTATGTATTTATTTCATGGACACTTACTAAGATGAACATTTTTTTTGAGTGAATTTGCTTGCTGTTTTTACAGTTGATGTATTCACCACCTAGTCACCCAGGTATCATGAAATTGTCACGATTTGATCATCTGTACAGTGCATCTGTGTTATTTCGCACTTTGTATTATAGAAGTGCCCTGTATCGAAGAGAAATTGTCTTCAAAATGTTGAAGATGTGGAATTCACTTCACTGTTAATACCGTTCCATAAAACACTATAGTCCGAGTATCACAATGTGATATGTAGAAGTGCACTGAGTAGTCTAAGGTTAGAAGAGTTGCACTCGAAGAAATACTAAGCACCTATTGAAGGTTTATTTTTAGGGTGAACCTTCCCCAAAGTAGAGCTTGGAAAACCCCACACTGTGTATGGCACACTGGATCAATGATTGGAATGAATGTGCAGTGCAGGTGGAGCGCACTATTAATTTTCCGTGTGTGGCACTTTCCTTTTCCAGGTCACGTGCAGGGGCCCAAGTTTAAGTTACACTCTTTTCGAGTTCCCGCGATTTAGATCTACACTAGAGTCACGCTAAAAATTGGAATCGCGTTTGCATCACACCTTTACAAAGTACAATACAAGGGTCAATGCGCTAAACACACGTGCAGTAATCAATAATACTATGTAATCAGCTTGTAGTTATTTCTATTCCGTACTACTACTAGTATTAGTACATCACCTCCTAAAACATTTCAACTTTCCACAAACACCACCAACCTCAACACGACAAAACATATATATTTCTCTTCTTCTTGCTTTTATAAGGTGCTAATACCGGACCTCCACTGTAGGATTCAACAAAAATCTGCCTCAACTGTGTTTGACAGTCTTAATTTAATTTTATCTAATCAGGCTTTGCAAAATTTAAATCCATCCATCATATGATCTATCTATTCACATATAACTACATATATTCGTGATCTTCCTCGCCTCCCTCATTCCACCTGCCTGTTAGTTAGCAACTCTCAGAGGTGACTTCCTTTTTATTAAGGTCTAGTAAGATCTTATCTCTGGCAAGTTTTAACAACCTTTTCCCCCTTCCTTTTCTGATAATTCATCATTCTTCTTTCCTTTTCTTTTCCGCTTGATTTCTTTTCCTTTCATTTTTTTCCCGTTTTTCTTTTTTTTCACCCCATCTCATTCTCCCATTTGAGATCTAACCAGTTTCTTCTTCGTCTAGATCGAGTCATTTCTCGACTCCGTCTCAGTTCTTTTTCATTCTTCGACTTTGTAACAAGGCTCGGAACTCGATCAAGACAATTATGTCCAACTATCCTTACGCCCCCCCTCCGCCAGCCCCTTCCGCCGCATCCCCGAGCCCATATCCTCCTTATAGTCAAGGCCCAGGATATGCTCATCCACCACCACGCGGTGGTCACGCTGCGGCGGCGGGTGGCGGCAGAAGCCATGGTCACCATCAGGGACCTGCCCGAACTGAATATGGCTCACCATACTACCAGCACCAAGACTACAACTCGCCTAGTGGTGGCCATTACAGTTCTTCGCAGCCACCAACCGCTTATTGGCAGGGAGCTCCGCCTGTGAGCCATGGTCACCCCAGCAGCTCCTCGCTCCCAACCAGTTATGCTCCTCCCAATTATGCCCCACAGACGTTTAATGCACAGCCAGCCCAGCCCTACCCACCACCATACCCTAGTCCGGCATCTCGTCCTCCTTACGGAGCTGCATATGGTCAAGCGCCCAGTGAGTATGCTCAACCTCCTCAGCAATGGGGTGAGCAAAGTCAAGCATACCCGCCCTATTCAAGTCGCGGCGGACGTGGTGGCGGCTACCCGAGTGATCGAGGTGGTCCTCTACGTAACCCATATCCTCCTGCGCATCATCAGCCAGCTCCTCTTCAACAGCCACCATATGGCTACCCCCCTTCTACTGCTCCGTCATATCCCGGCCTTCCCCAGACTCACTACGGATCAAACAGTAAGGGACATGGTCGTGGTGGTTACCCTCATTCGAATAGAGGAGCTCATGCGATTAACAATGACCGTGGCGAGAAGTTTCGTCATAGAGATCAGAAACCGCACCAGTCATTGAACCATCAGAAGTCTGATCCCGCTGCCGCAAAGAAGAAGAAGCGTAAGACAAACACACTCGGACTAACTCCAGGAGAAGACGATTCCGACGATGGTGTGGATGAGGAGAAGCGCCTAGAGGAGTTGCTTGGCGCAGATGTTCCGGGGTTAGTTGTTTTTCTTTCTATTCGCTTATTGAGTCTGTACTGATTTTATTACTTGCGTAGTATTCCCGATGGCGACCTGGCAAAGTGGATAGCAGCACGCAAAGCCAACTACCCTACCAAGGCTCGCGTGGCGCAGAAAAAGGAAGCAGCGTTGGTATCGAAGCCGGTCGCTGAGGTCCAGGACAGCAAGGAAACTGTCACCGTTGAAGTTGATCCGGTCGAGAAAGAAGCCGATCGTTTGCGTAAGCGATTGGCCAAGCTTGACCGTAAGATTGAAAAACGCAAGCGGGCCCCTAATGACGAAGGAGACGAAATGCGATCCGAGTCCTCGGATGACGAATCAGATGACGAGAAGCCTGAATCCTTGCCGACTGACAAGTCAGCCACGGGCTTCCTGCCTCCTCCACCCATCACACGAGCCGACCCCTCGAACCACTGCAAATACTATTCTACGGGAGGTATATGTGGTAAGAAGGGCAAGTGCCGTTTTGTGCACGACCCAGCTGTTCGGGAGGCTGCGCTTCAGGAGCGAACGATGAATGGAGGGCGCATGACACTTAAGCAACGTCTTCTGCTAAATGACAAGGACCAAGAGGATAAAGAAGTGATCAAGACGATCGTGGAATTGCGCTCGAGCGGACGCCTACACGATCCTCAGAATCCACAAGTCCACGCTGATCGTGAAGCTCAAGAAAAAGCCGCCGCCGTGGCTTCCGTATCTTCCGTGTCTTCGCTCCCTACTACGGGTGGGGAGGCTAACCTCCCTCCCAATCCCTATGCGCATCTCAAGAACGCTGACGCAGCTGCACGGTACCGCAAGCCCAAGAAGTTCAATGATTGGGCGCCCGTTAAACACCCAGCGTGGAATCCTCCTAGCTAAGGGTAGTATGATTGTACAGTTGGTCTGCACTACGCATCATAGCTCTCATCAAAGTGATGAGTTAAGTCGCGACACGTTTCAGTCCCCTTTTCGGATTACCTAGGAGTATCCACTACGGAATGGGAGGAAGCTCAACTTGATCAGTACTGATTCGCCGCTCTTTTTTTTTTTTCGCCAATCGCGAGAAGACATGATTTGCAGTTCATCCTCTCCAACATTTCTTTTAGCTTAGCTACCTAGGTATTATTGCAAGTCCTGCCAATCTAGTAGGGATAGGCGGGCGGTATAATCTGATATCGGTGGGCGTATTTGCGGTTGAATTTCTTTTCCTAACTCGATGCTTTTTTCCACAACGAAAATACCACCCACTCACTACCGAGGGTTTTTATTTAAAGAGACCCCCAAAAGTTGATAGTCCAATCGTTCACTCATTCATTTTTCCACCAAGCCCGCTTGGCGAATAAGTCAGAACGAAGTCTTATCACTATACGCCTGAGCGTTTGGTATCTGAAGGTGTCCAGTACATGGAGGGCATCTACATACTATCTAGGCTTGGTAAAGTTGAAGGAGCTTGCAAGGTCAAGCTTTGCAGTTGAGATTGTCTTTTAACGGTGGGCACGGATGGGCATGAGGAATTAAGCAGTTGCTTCGGGCGCGCTGGTGGTTGGCGCACTCTGGCTATAGGAACTGGCGTTGTATCTAGCGGTTCGGTTGCTCTAGAGTATAGTAGAGATGTTTTTACGCATCTTACCTATGTATGTGTTTTATTGCGTAGACATCCAGTAGGTACCTACATATGTGCTTTGTGTCGACTACGAGTTTTGCCGAGTCTGTAACCCTTGACTTATATGATGCAGATATGCTAGGATGCTTATTATCGTGAATTTGTTCGTACGGATACGTACCTAGGTAAGCATAGTGGTTATGGGAGTTATCAAGCTCATACTCGTTCGGATGCATACCTGCCTAACCTATAATTTCTTATAACTTATTACCTACATACTTGGGAGGCAGTCTCCCTAGACTCTACCTAGCGGGCCAGATAGAACAGGAACAGCTTACGTATATATATACCTACCTAACCTTAGGCATGTAGCTTCCATGATTTCTAGATACATAGATGTTAGGGATCCCTGCGCCACAACGGTGTTGTTCTGCGTCTTCTACGTTTCGCCTTATAGCTAGCTAGAGCAGGTAGAGAGAGAGAGGGATTGGATGATGATTATACCAGTTTCAAGACATTTTTGACTTTATAACATCATGATATATTTTTTTTAATTTTTATTTTTTTTGGTGAGCAAGGTGGTTTGCTTATTATAGCGTTGTAGTTACCTAGCTCTGCTCCTATCTATCTTATGTATTTATCTGGCCGGGCCAGCTAGGATATATGTACCTTTTGAACGACCTTTTGTGTTGTTGATTTGACTTGGTTACTACTCATCAACAAATAGCCGGACGGCCGTCTCCCCTTTTCTCAGGGTTAATGATAAGATCATGCCCGATCGACTTTTGAACTCATTTGACACCTAGGCTAGGCAAGGTACCCGGGCAAGAAGGTCGTTGAGTCGCTGTTCGTGCTTGGTTTGCTATCCTCCACTACTTTTTGTTTGGAAGGGTACATGGGTGTAGGGTTGACGGACCACCAAGACAAGTCACCCGGAAACAATGGAATCCCACCCCGTTCCCATCCATACCTGAACATATCGGGGCTAGTTCCCTTGCTCGTATCCCTCCTTATAGTCCTGCCCTTTTTCGTCGTCATCTTATTTCATCGCCTGTGTATAGAATACACATTTTCATTATAGTACTAGATTCCTCTAGACCAAAAGCACGGCATTGACACAGCCGTCGTTCTCGCAGTTGTTCGTGATCTGGGCGTAACGGCCCCAGGCGACCTTTCCGCCGGCGGTAACGAGACCGAGCTCGGACACGTTCACCTCGATGATGGTACCCTTGCTCAAGACGCCGAGCTGGGTGTACAGCGGCTGCTGCGGGTTCTTCTTGACGCTGATGATGGGGAGTTGGAGCGTCACGCCGAGCTCCGGGTGGGTTACGTTGGCTTTTTTGTATCTGGGGTTGGGGGTTAGTATGTGAGTGATAGGAGGAAGGAGAAGTGTATGGATGTTGGAACGTACCGTAAACCCATAGGCCGAATAAAACGCTCGTACTTCACAGGCCGCCTCGTAAAGTCGGGGCCAACAAAGGTGGGCTTGGTCACCATACGCTTCCAGGCCTTCTTGTGGGTCTTCTTTCCGGTGTTGACGACCTTGAACATCTCCTCCTCGCTGATGCCGCGGACCTTGGGCAGGGGGACGGCGAACTTGGCGGCCTTCTCGGCGCGCTTGTTCTTGATGGCGCTGCTGAGGGCCTTGGCCTGGGTGGGGTTGGATCGGTCGAGCAGGTAGTTGGGCAGCGGGGTCTTGGGGTCGTTCTCGGCGGCGGACTTCACGTTGCGCTCCTCGTGGGCCTTGATTTGTTTGCGCATCTGGATCTTCTCCTTGTGCCGCTTCGCCTGGTGCAGCTTCGCGCGCAGGCCGCGCAGGTTCTGCGCGTCCTTGGAGGCCTTGTGCCCCTCGCGGGCCTCGCGCTTGCGCGCCCGCTCCTCGTGGTCGAGACGTCGGCCATGTGTCTTGCGGAAACGCTCCATGTACTCATTTTGAGGCTGTTTGTGGATATAGGTGTTAGTTATTACTACTTAGTCTGGGGAGGAGAGTGGATGATGGATGAGGGTTGTTACCATGATGAATGGATATTGCCCTCGAGAGGGACTTGGGATTGATTAGGTGTGTTTTCTTTTATCGTTCTATCTTTCTTCTTGTCTGTCTGTATTGAAAGCAGAATTGAATGAATCAAGCTGAAAGTAATGAGAGTAAAGTATGTTAATTGGATATATGTAAGTATCTGAGTTTAACAAACGATAAAAAAAAGTTACGGCTATCGATCTTGCAGGATCCCTTATCGCTATCAAAATTTCTTAGATTTGTAGGCTAGATTGCTAACTTCCTAGCCACACCACCAGCCGCAATGGAAAATCCAACGTATCCACTTTAACATTTCGACATCAAGATCCAAATTTGAAGCTCAAGAAAGCTCCAACTTCTCCACAATCGCTCTTGTTTCTATTTTTCAACCAGCTGAAAGAAAAGCAATTGGGAATCCAAACTCCTCACAAATGTGCCAGAAATAAAGAGGATCAATCCCCCCCCCCCCCAATTAAAAACCCCGAAGAGGGTAGGCAACTTAAACATGAGCCGTTCCCTCCTGCGCTCCGTCCTGGAGTTGCGCAAACCAATTACCCGGCTCCCGCCCACCTACCTCCTTCCCATCCGAGCTCGTGGCCTAGCGACGACGAAGACGACGACGACGACAAAAGGTGCGGAACCCATCACACCACCCACCGCAACATCCGCCCAGAAGATCACCGGCGCCTCCCCGACGATAGCGACTTCGCAATCCTCACCACTACCCCAAAAACAACAACAACCACCTCCACCCCCACCATCACAACTCCAAACTCAAACTCAAACCTCGACCTCGACCACCTCGCCTGAAAAAGTAATTTCCTCCTCCGTCGCCCAGCTCTTCCCCCTTTTGCGCGCGCAGCCAAACCACTACATCACCGTGCACATCCACGGGAAACCCTACCTCGTGGTGGAGGGGGACTCGATCCGGCTGCCGTTCCTGATGCCGGACGTGGTGCCGGGGGACGTGCTGCGGCTGGACCGCGCGTCCACGCTCGGCTCGCGCGACTTCACCTTGATCGGCCGCCCCTTCATCGACGACAGCCTGTTCGAGTGCCGCGCCACCGTCATCGGCGTCGAGTCTGAGCCTCTGCGTGTGGTCATCAAGACGAAGCGGCGCCAGAGGCTCACGCGACGCATCGCGAGTAAGCACAGGCAGACGGTGCTGAGGATCAGCGAGTTGAAGTTGTTGGGGCCGCCTTAGTTTGGTTTTTCTTATCTATCTATCGCCATCCGAGTTGTGCAACGGGGAAGAAGAGGGGTTTCGGGTCATGATATATGAGAGGATGGGGATCAGGCAGGGAAAGGGAGAGGAAAGGGAAGACTTAGGTCGGAATGGAGGGAATAACGACTCACGTCTACATGTACAAACTTGAAAATACGAGCTTCGCTACGACACGACCCATAACGGTATACATATCTACTGTAGGTACTAGCATATCTAGTTGTATATCAACGTGGCAAGGCAAATGCTAGAAAAAAGAGGGGCGGGGGGGAACAATGAAAAGAAACCCCTTGAATACTCGAAAAACGCAATTGTACTACTATACCTGCCTATAGTCATTTAAAATAAAAAAAAAGACTCATCGTTCCCATTGGCTCGATATTGGTTAAGTTGCTAGAGAGCCTTACTTTCTTTCACTGGAGTCTTGGGTAAGATTTGGATTGTAGCATTACGAAGAACGATCGAACTTTTTTCATTATCAATAACTTGGTGTCTCCTCTTTGAAACAAGTTGCGAGGCACCTAGGTATGTAGGTACATACGCCTTACAGGAAAGAAGCAGAACGTCGCGAAGACTCGCCCCGGTAAGAAAACAACCAAGCGTGCTCTCTTTCCTTCTCATCGTCACAAGGGGGGGAGATACATAATATAGGGATGGGGGTTAGAATTAAGAACAGAGTCGTTGAAGCCCGTCCCTCCATCGTAAACGCCCCCGCCCCCGCCATTCTTATTCGTTCTTCTGCTTCATCTTCACTTTGTACTTTATTATTCTCCTTCGAACTTATGAACTAGGTATCCTGGATAGTAAGTAACCCAGAAGAAACAAGCAAGAACGAAGTTTTTTTAAAAAAAAAGAGGAGAAAACGAATTAAAAAAAACGACCACCACCATCCATGACTCCTCCCACCCAGCCAGCCAAACCACCCATATCAACCCATTTTAATCATTCCATTCGTATCCTGAACTCCACGGCTGATAAAGTAAAGGGACTATACGTGCGTGCGCAGAGAGGTAGGTAAATGTTTTACCGGGGATATAAGTAAGCAAGTAAAAAAAAAAAACAAATCGAAGAAGGGGGGGTATTTGTAATGGTAATGGTAATGGTAATGGTAATGGTATGAATAGTGTATGTATAGTGTATGAAAAAAATTCATCTGCCTTCTTCTCGACGTTAAAACAGTACGTAACCAGTACCTGGGGTACCTAAGGTATCTAGGTAGGTATAGGGGGTAATAGTAAAAACAAAAACAGGGACGAGAGAAAAGTTCGAAAATAATAGAGAGAGGTCAGACAAAACACGGGGAATCATAGGCAACCCCCAAGAAAAAACAGGATAAAAGAAAAACACCCAGCCATTATCCATCAGCCTACTCCAACCAACCCACGCCTCGCATCCGTCCGTTCCATCTCAGGCTCTCTCCCCTTTCGTGATCCTATCTGTTGCCGTATTCAAGCGGCACTTCCCCTTTTTTGGTTTCACCTCCCCTCACCTCCACCTTCCTTCCCATCCCTTCCTCTCCTCGAAAAAAAAGGCCGTTCGTTCGTAAGTCATTATATTGAATTAATTTATTGCATTGCCTTTCTCCTTCTCCTCTCCTCATCCATGTCACCTCGACCCATTTGAATTCGACCTCGAAAACGACGCCGATGCTGACGCCGACGCGGAACCCGCCTCTCTACCCACCGCCTTTGCTACACTGCCCCAGTAGGCCTGGGGCCAGACGCTGAGGGCCTCGTTCTCTGTCGGCAAGCGCTCTCTACAGCGGGTGACGACGCTCTGGATGATGCGGCCGAGGAGCTCCTCCGTGATAGGGAGCGAGCCCTCGGGGGCCTCAACGGGGTATAAGAACGGGTCGATGGGGGAGAGAAGCTCCTCGCACGTGGGCCGCAGGTGCTGGTCGCGGTTCAGACAGCGCTTCAGCGTGCGCATGAGGCTTGGGGGCACAGGGGTGCCGCCGATGCCACGGTCGCGGAATTCGATGTCGTATTGCCAGTTGATGATGGCGTGGCAGCGCGCCATCTGGTTCGGGATGTGGCCGAACGGCGGCGTGCCGTACACCATCTGGAACAGGATGCAACCCAAGCTCCAGACGTCGCTGGGCTTACCGAGCTTCATAAGCTTCGGTCGTGGCGGGTTGGCTACGGAACCGATGCGGTGGCCGCCGACGTCGGTCGCGTTGGAATCGATCAGACTCTCCGGGCTCATGTAGTTGGGAGTACCGATTTGGGTTTCACGGTGCACGTTGACAGTCTCGTCAGTCTGGATAGAGTTGGCGATGCCGAAGTCGATGAGCTTGAGACGGCCTTGCACCAGGACAAAATTGGCTGGCTTTAGATCAGAGTGGACGATGTCATGCGCGTGGACGGCTGCTAAGCACTCGAGCATCTCCTGCCAATAGTACCGCACGAAGACAGGGTCGAACCTGGCGTTCTCGGGAGAGAGGCGTAGGCGTAGGAGCGTGTTAAGATCCAGTTCACCCATTTCCATAAGCTAGTAATAAGGAAATAGTTAGTTAGCCAATATTCATTCCTTCCAGGAGAAGGATATATAAAACTTACCAGGCTGAGAACCTGCTTCTCCTCGTTCATCTCGTAATCATACAGAGTTACGACTCTTTCTACGTTGCTGAGTTTCTTTAGGAGATCGATTTCGCCCTTGAAGCCTCGAACGGTGGTCTCGTCTGCGCCCTCAATAGAGACACGTTTCAGCGCAAACATTTTACCGTTGTCCGCTACCACACGGTACACCTTCCCACTACCACCACGGCCGAGAGAGTCAAGTCTTGTGTAGCATTTTCCATTGACCTTCATGTAGTTGCGCCTTTTTGCCGCTTGGACCGTGGTCGCTGCACCGCCTGCGGAGGTGGCTGCGTCGAGAATGGACATCTTTGGAGGAGGTGCTGGTGCGGATCTGCGAGGCGTGTTTTGGTTTAGCGAGCTTAATGCTTTGCGCTCAGGTGAGGTAGGTCTTGCTGACCCCATATCCAGGGCACTTAAAGGCCGGGCCGAGCTCTTAGGCAGTTCTTTATCCAGAAAGCTCCCTACAGGAGGCTTGGTTCTCCTGAACGTCGAGGGGGCCTCGTTCTCCTGGTCGTGCCTCGCGGGCAATTCCGACCGCGGAGGTGGGATTCGATAATGTGGGATAATGATCTCGTCTTGATCGGGGGAAGTCTGCCTTGATCGGGGAGCTGGCCTATCTTCTGCCGCAAGCGACGAAAGATCCCTTCGGTGTGATGCCCTCGCAGAGTCCTTGGAACTAGCCGGGCTTCCCGAGGCGAGACGATCGGGCACATAATAAGAGGATGCGAGGTTGTCCGCTGGCTCATAGTCGTTCTGGTTTCGAGACTCTTGTCCGTCGGCATACTGACCGGACTGAGGTTGCTCTCCATTATTTTCGGCATCCTCCTCACTCTGCCTCCTTCGTCCACGACGTGCGGGGCCACTCAGGAAGCTACCGGGAATCTTTCCTACTCTCTTGATGCGCATTGAGCTCTGCACTCCTTGATTATCTTCGTTGCGATTCCTGGCTCCATTGGATCCAAGGCGGGAGGCGCTGTTTGGGTTGGAAGAGCCCTGTTGGCGAGGAGCGGTCTGAGGCGCATCGGGCGCATCATTTTCATCGGACTGTGCAAGCTGGGATTGAGAATGTGAATGTGAATGAAAAGAGGATGCGAGGTCGGCAGGCCTAGACGATACGGCAGACGAACGACCAGATTGGCCTCGGTTTCCAGAAGAACCGACGGCGATTCTTACTACACGTTCTTGCTGGGCGGGTGTATTCAAGTCCTTGTCCTTGATTTCGGAAACATTACCCTTCTCTTCTACTATACTACTATCAGCTCGGCTTGGAGGGCGGTTTCTGCTTTGCGAAGCTGTCTGCGATGTTGACGTTGATCTTCTCTTCGTTGGTTTGTTTTGGGAGGCGGCAGCAGTAGTCCCAGAAGCGCTAAGTCGAACCACCCGCTTTCTGACAGGACTACTTTCTCCGCTAGGTTGACTCCTGACTGGCGAAACTGGCCGCGACGTTTGCTGCGCGCTACTGGCACGAGTATGTCTCCTCTCTTCGCCATTTGATGTGACGGATGCATTCAAGGCGCTACGTCTCTTGACAGGTTTCTCTTGCTCAGAGTGAATAGGCGACGAAGGCCGGTGACTCTGAGCTCGAGTTCGAACGCGTCCATTGTCGCGTTCAGGTTCGGCACCTTCGTCATTAAGGAGAGCTTTGGTGAGAGCACTGAGCTTCATAGGCACGGGAATCTCATCGTCGGAGCTCTCGTTTCCCGCAAAGTGCGGTTTGGAACCGTGAGTTGAAGGTGCGGAATTCGATTCGGGGCGGGCAATTTGAGATCTAGACGGAACTCTCTTGAAACCAGACCTCAATGAAGATTTTCTTGTAACGGCAGCCGAGTATTGACCGGCGGCGGGCGGGGTTGGTGATGCAGACACCATCGCGATGCAAAGTTGAGGTTATTATTGGATTGGATATGTACACTTATGGAACGTATGCAAGCTATGCAAGGTATGGAAGGTATGGACCTAAAGGATTTGAAAACGAGGCAATAAGAAGGGGGGTACAAGCGCGTCGAATTGGCAAATGAGTATTGGTTGTCGTGAATATAATGGATGTTCTACGTGTCGAAGTAGGTCATAGTCCAAAACATTGTAATCGAGTAAGCAAAGGTGTGAGGAATGGGGCGCGCGATGCAAAATCAATTGGGCGTGTTCATGCCAGTTGAAGGATGTTTCCGGATGGTTACTGTTCTCCCTGGCTCGATTGGCTTGGCCACTTCTTCGTTTTTTTTCTTGGTTGCTAGGAGCAACGGTAACATTCCCCGTCTCTATCGGCCAATCAGATAGCGTTTAGCATAAAACCTGATTAAACTTTGGATGAAATCTGTTATTGACTGCATCAAAAGTTTATGTAACTTTGTAATTTGCATAAGATGCTAGTACCTGGTAGTATGTACCTAGTAGTTTGATCCTGGCATGTACTGAATAAGTACCTACATACATGTAATTACATTATGTAAACTTGGGTACTATTAACTAGTACCTAGTACATAGGGACGGCTAACCTTAGTACATCATAGTACGTAGTACCATGTAAAATACATGTAGTACCACCGTCAAGCCTGCGCTCAAGATGCAAACCTTTCAATGTTAGTTATTAGTCTACAATCATCCACAGTGCCCCAAGAACTTGAACTTGATGATCGATGTCGACTTTTAAACAATCATCCGAGATAGCGGGGTTACTAGCTAGGTATGAATCCGTATGATAGGACACTGCATACCTCCATGTACCTGCTTTAAAGCACGTTACTCCCTCTTCTACATAGCATTGAAGATTTCGATGTGAAAGGTTCATCAACTCCATTGGTTACAACATTGAACATTCAAATGTACAATGCAAGTCATACCCTTACCAGTCAAAATGCCATGCATGGATCCATGGACATTCGGTTTATAGAACAAACATACCTCCCAGGTACATGTAGGTACCTAGTATTGATCACATAATGCATTCGTTCAACATGTCAGTTTAAATCCACAAGACACACAAAAAAAAATTCAGAGAAGCAGGACTGGATTAAGTCTCGATAGCCCTAATAGAACCCTTTTTTGCATGAATCCATTGACCGTAGACCATTCCACCCCGAATACCATGCATAACCACCAGAGCCCATTTTTGTTCCACTTCTCCGATTTCACTTGACTTCGTTGTCGTAACCTTAGGTGAAGGCCGCTTAGTCGAACAGACCGAATCCCATGTCGTCGTCGGACTCTTCCTTCTCTGTAGACAACAGTTAGTATACTCAAATGGTAATAGAGATGGATTATTGCAATCATACCCTCTTCCTTCTCCTCGGCCTTCTCTTCAGCGGCAGCAGCACCGCCAGCGGCAGCACCGGCGCCACCAGAAGCGGCGCCACCAGCACCACCAGAGGGAACGGAAGCAAGCTTGCTGGAACCCTCAGAGATGAGCTATAAAATATGTTAGCCTAAACCATCCCCATGTCGCAAGTAAACATTTTCGACTAGACGAACCTCGTTGATGTCCTTGCCCTCAAGCTCAGACAGTAGCTTCTCTAGGCGGCCTTCATCAGCCTCGATACCAACGGACTCGAGGACTTCCTTGACGTCGGAAGCGGAGGGCGAGGTGTTGCCACCAAGGCCAAGAAGGAGGAAAGCTGCGAGGTGCTTCATTTTTGTTGATTTGTTCTATGCGCAAAATTGTTGGTTAGCTTTGCGACGAGCTAAGGAGGGGAAGCGATGTACTTTGGATGAGTCTGAGGAGGAGGAAGAAGAAGAAGAAGAGACTTACAAGAGATGAGAAGAACACGAGAAATCAATCGATTTAACCGCGGTTTTGGGCGGAGACTGAGCCTTCGAGTTCTGTTGGGAGGTTCGGTGTGACGAGGTTTGAAGTGTAAAAGTTGAATGTGTGGGAGTTTTGTCAAGTTCGGCTCAGAAAAGTTTCCATTGATTTTAGATACGCAATTCCAAAGTTGGGTGTGGGCAAGGGAAAAGGTGGGTCCTTCGCTTATCACCTGATTAGGGTACTTTCAAAGTTCCTTCTAGTAGGCTTCAGGCTTCTACAGTTCTACTACTAGTACTAGGTAGTAACTCAGCTGACAGCCAACTGACACCTAGCTGACAACCAACATTTGAGCTACCAACCGATGATAGCGAATTATTCCCTTAAAATGACGTAAACTCAGCCACACATATCCACTAGTATGGATCCCGGTGCCATAATGGATGCCCTTTTAAGCCTTTTAAGCCTTGGGCCCTTCAATGTTGAGTTGTTCCCTGAACTTTCAAATGTTCCCTTTGTATGTACCTAAGTACCGAAATAGTGTACATACAGAATCCCTCCAGAGTCCAGCAGGACCAGCACTGGAGAGTCCACATCACTGAAGTGGCTTTAACTTTAAGAAGTGGAAGTGGAAGTACATAAGCTTCGTACCTCTTTGGTAGTCATTTGGTACATAGTACGATTTTAATTTGTTCGAAGCGGAACGGCACGACAACTTTCTTTTTATTCACGTCAACTTGAACAGTCCTGATCACCACTTTACCACCCAACTCTGAACAATCCTCCTTACAAGATACCCGTTGTTCTTTGTTGTTCGATCCCCCTCTGCTTTCCTTGATCGACCTACTATTCATTTAGTACCTGTGAGATCTCTAGACCTCCAGTCTCTATACCTTGTACGTTAGGTACAATACAACACCTAAATAATAGTGCATACCTACCCATAAGCCATCAATCAACCTCGCCCATAACCACGCCCATAACCACGCTCATATTCAGATCGCATTTACTCCTGGAAGAAGTCATCACACATGACACAGCCCGATGATTTATGACGCCTCGGGCAAACCCTACGCTCCTGGTGGCGACTGATTTCCGCATCACAGAACCCTTCTATTGTTAAGTTAACAGAGTCTCACTCAACATGCCTGTATGCGTCATTCAAACCTCCTCTGTCTGTCCTCTGAACCCGACTGTTTTCTAACATCTAGAGTAAATAGATTGGTGATCTTCTCGCCGAGATCTCAGGCGGCACGTCGTCGAACGCGCCGCCACCAAAGACACCAACCTCATCCAGCCTCAAGCGCAAAGCAGACGATGATAACCAAAGCACAACATCGATCAAGGCTACCAAATCACGGCAACAAGACGGGTCCTACTCTGCAACTAAGATTACCCGCGATTTGAAGGATGACAATACCATGGTGGATCGACTAAAGATAACAACATCATCATCCGTATCCACCAAAACAGCGTCGCTGCCTCACCGAACAAATCCGCCGGCAACAAATGGCCGCTATGAACCGCCCGTGCCCAATAAGCCGCGCTCAACCACCACCGCCTTCTCAAACAACAGGCCAAGCACTACTTCTCAAGCAAGGAAATCCTCAACCCCCACCGTTCAGCCGAGACTCAGTTCGGCTGCTCTAGCAGCTGCTTCCAAAGCAGCTCCCTCGAGACCATCGCCCACAACTCCCACGGCCACCGATCCATCCAAGGCACCCAAGAAGGGATCATTCCAAGAGATCATGGAACGTGCGAAGAAGGCGCAGCAAACTATGGGCAAGGTCGGTGTGATTCAGCACAAGTCTATCGGGAACAACAACAGCAAGAAAGAGCAGCCTGTGAAGACGGAACAGAAGTCAGCCAAGATGAAGGGGGCCGATGGAAAACCGTATCTTGGAAATGGTCGACCATCCATGGGTTCTTCTCGTGGTGCAACGAAGCCTGGAGCGGCTGCTCGCGATGCAGGTCGAAACGGTGCTGCGCAAGACGCGAAGACAGGTGGCAAGTCGAGACCTGGATCATCAGCAGGTGAGGTAGCAGAGAAGAAGGTCAAGAAATCAGCAACGGCTACTACGGGCTATACTGGAACTGCACGTCCCCGCCCTGGTGCGGCGTCAGGCAAGCCATCTTTGTCTAGAAAAGGGTCGTCATACAACTCTGGTGGACTGCTTGCACCCCCGAAACCAAGCCGCCGAGATCGATACGAAGATGAATACGATGACGAGCTGGACGATTTCATTGAATATGACGACGATGAAGGGCCCGGTCCTCAAGGCTATGGGTACGATTCCGATGGATCCAGTGACATGGAAGCCGGCCTCTCAGACATCGACGTAGAGGAGCGAAGAGCCGAAGTACTAGCACGAGAGGAGGACAAGAGAGAGGCTGCATTAGAGGAGAAGCTGAAACGAGAGAAGGAAGAACGAAGACGTCGACTTGGTCAAGGTCGTTAGAAAGGATCTTTTCCCCATATTTCGCCCATGAAAAGATCCTGTTCGAGTCGAAGGTGGCCAAGGCAGGCGGGCAGTCACGCTTCTTTTTTTCCCTCTCTCTTTTTTCTTCCCTCTCCATCCACGTTTGTTTTGATTTCTAAGAGACACGGCCTCATGTAAATGGAAATTGCATGGAAGATGGCGTTAACGAGAATATCCTTTCACGCCGTTTGAGGCTAAACCAGGGTTAGCAACGGCGTTCTTCATCATCATAATCATGCATGCATGTCCCTTCATCCCCCTCATCTATCCCCATCTCTCAATATCCCCCTCCCCATATTCATCATATCCCCAACATCTACCCCCCTACATTATTGTGTCCAGGGCCATCGATCTAGAGGGTTCAGCCGCGCGATGATGGATGGGTCTATAGTTTTTTTCAATGTTCAGCATAGTACAGCACAGCCTTTTAAGAGAGGTGTCTCTACACAGATCAATAGGTATGCACAAAACAGAGAAAGAGTACTTACTTACTAGGTACTGTACATCATAATGCTTCAAAACTTCATAATGGTTAGTTCAATAGTAGTTAGTAATACGTGTGTGTGTGTGTGTGGTGGTATTCCTGAAATTTTAGAGTGTTCATTATCCTAGTTCGTGTCTTTTGAGTTGATTTGATTTATTGCTGGTTATGTATGCTGCGTACGTGTGTATCTAGTAGGTTATATATACGGTGTGTGTGTCATTGTCACCTAAGACACTGTAGAAACATTACACATGAAGTGGCACTCTTTTTTTTCTTTTCTTTTTGGCTGTGATCATAAGTATCAATTCAGAAGCTGTTCACACATGGCACTGTTCCCACTTCCCTTTTTCATAATCATTTCCTTCCTAAGTAGGTATGTATGTATGTATGCACTAAGTTCCATGGCTACGTAGAACCAAGTGTAAAACTATTAGGCGGGCATATGTTTATCTATCAATTTCTTCAATCATCATGTTGGCTGATTTCTCTTCTGCACAGATACCTATATAAGGCTGTTAGTTAGTTTACAAAACCATCACATCCCCCTAATGAGTGTCTACTGCCTACTTATATGTGTACTACATGCAGGCACTGTCTCTTGTCTGTTGGTATACATAGGTACTCTCTTCTTCGTGCCCAGATGTTAAACCACCAACACCAACACCAACACCATAGACCTCACATGCGACCAACGCGGCTAGATAGATGACCACCTAGGTAGGAACTTCGCCGCCATACCCTACCATGCCCTACCAGGCTCCCCGAGGAAGAAGTTCCACAAGTACACCTTAGCTTTTTTCACCCTTTTAGGCGTCGGTGTTATATTACCCACGTACCTAGGTAATCTTGTATCAATTATACCTATCCACATAGCAGGTAGGTAGGCAGTTCAAACCTTGGGAAGGCAATTCATCTCAAGAATACCCAGAACCCCCAAGAGACGAGCCCTTGAATACATGTGTACTAAGGGCCCCCCTGAGCATTTCTAGACATACAGTCAGCCTCTTCTTCTTCTTCAGCCCCGAGTGCCGTTATTTACCTAGGTACCAGGCAAGCATCTTATAAGGGCAACTGGAAGCATGCCTATCTATCTAAGTAGGTACATATCTATCGTCAAATGCCTAAGACAGGCAACAAAGTAAACATCGCATTCGTAAAAACGATTCGTCGTCTACGGCAACTAGACAAGACAAGTTCAGTTTCACGAAGACAGAAGGTTATTCACAATTCTTTAAGGGGTAAAGCGAGTAAATTCATCAATGTTCAATGTTCAATGTTCAATGTTCACAAAAACTACCTAGTACATTTATGATACTAACATTGCCCATCATTGCTCCTGTTTCGCCGCCCAAGATTCCTTAGATGGTGCCGGAGATGAAGCAAGGGGGAACCCAATAAATAGCCATCACCATATCAACGTCCTATAGGGCACCCATAGCTTAGCTAGATGTAAGTGTTAGATGTCATTGGTACTTGGAGGTACCAAGATCGAAGAAATGGTAAGAGATGGCAACGATGGCAATAGCAAGCCAAACACAAGTCTTAAGCTGTGGACGAAGCGACAAATCAATGGATTGGAACCTCCTACAGTCGAACCCGTAACAAGTATCGCAGACAGACTTGGGAAACATCGTAGCAAATATACTCATTGTAGAAAAGGCCACAGTTGCCGATGCCGGTGTTGGTGGGCTTGAAGCTAGTATCAGGCTGAGAGAAGGGCACTGTTAGTAGAAGGATATATAGCAAGACCTAGCTTTACTTACGATTTTGATGCCTTTTAATGATGGGTTGACGCATTCGGCATCTTTCCACACAGGGGGTCCTGTGGTTCCCTGTCCCTTGGTTGATAGCATTCCCTTTTTCTTTGCCTCTTCCGCTGCTGTAGAGCAAGCGTTGGTGAGCTCTTGAATCGGGTCTCCAAGTTCGGCTTCGCAGAGAAGAAGGAGAGCGTGCCCGTTACTGATATAAGAACAACAGTAGTTGGCAGACTGGGTGGGTAGGGTGTTAGTGTTGATTATGCAGGAGATGATAAGGACACTTTACCTTGCTGGACATATCCGCTAAATAGATACCCTTTCCGAACACTGTCAAATGTTAACAATCTATGCAAATACTTCTCTTGTGTACCTAGACATCGTTCGACGATTTATTCTAAACCGGGCTTAGGACACAAAAAGGATAAAACATACTATAGGGCGTGTTAGCTTTCTATGAGAAATAACGAGATAGGTAGTGCCTAAGCGCTCAAAAGAACACTTCAGTGAATAGAGTCGTCCATACCTGTAACCTGTGGCTGGGGCCTCTGGCGGTGCGATACGCAATCCCTGACTAAGGATGCCACCAAAGTTGGTGCAACGAGAGCCGTGCCATAGCAAACGTCTGTCCCGAGGAACATTATGTGTAGTTTCGAGTCGACTTTTCTCACCTTGCCGCTCAATCCTGAAAATCTGCTCGACTTGGTAATTGGCACTGTGAGTGGCGCCCCGGGTTTCTACCAGATAATCCTGTAGCTGTGTGAACTCGTTGCTCTCCTTGTCAAGTGGGGTCATCTCTTCAAGCCCCAGGCCCTGGAATTGTCGATCCATAAGATTGATCTTTTCTTTCTCCTTCTCCTTCTCCTTTACAGACGACAATGCGTCCTTCATGTCACTCAAGCTTTCAAGAAGTTCTATTTCTTTCTTGAGCATATCCTGACTGCGAATGACGGGTGGCTTATTTCTTCCATACGCATGAGGAATCAAGGTCAAGTAGAGATTCGATAACTGTTCCGTTGCTGTGACGAAATCTCTTTGATACTTGGACATCGCTAAGGATGGATCGTCGAGGAGGGCGGATAGATCCTTTAGTGCCTGAAAACCTCGGAGGATAGTTGTCTGGCTGAGTTTACCTAGAGGGAGCTTATTGGCATCGTAGTTCAAATCGGCCATCGTCGCAGCAAAGAACTTTTGGTTAAATATAAGCTCCATCAACTCCTGAACTGGTTTGGATAGTTTTGACTCGGGCTCTTCTTCTTTGACGACAGCGGCCTTTGCATCATCATCGCCATCATTACCATTATCACCATCACTATCATCGTCCGGTTCATACTGGAATATAGTAAGTATTTTTCATTAGGAGGGAATCGGTTGGGGCAAGGTCAGACAGGGGAAGGGATTGCGTATCATAAATCGGGCCCTGGATGATATGATATGCGTTGAAGGAATTGATACAAGGAGGAAAGTGATGAGATTAGATTTTACTTACACTTCTTTCAAGGTACGCATACTTGCCGGGAAGGGGAGGAGATGCACGGTTTTCCCATGTAAGTCCACTCTTTGACTTGAATTTGGAGTCAAATTGGACAAGGGCATTAGATAGTGAGCCGTCGCCAACAAGTTTAAATTGACCGTTCTCTCCTACCCGACCCCATCGAGTCCAAACACGGAAATCGCCTTTGACATTGCAAAGCAACTAGAAATGAAATTAGTACATCAACTCAATCTGTCACCAGCTCTCAGTACGTTTACCAAATAATTATGAAAATTCATACCTGGAGTCGATAGAACTTATTATTATTGGCAGTAGCATTGGTCTGGTTGAGAGAGGCATCGTAGATGACACCGTCCTTGGCGATGTAGACTTCATAACCCGCTGACTGGCGCTCGACGCCTTCATCAACTGGAATCCGGACATCAAGAGACTTTGCAATCTGGCCGTCGGCAACTTTTGGTTTCTTAGGTTTCTTGCTCTCCTCGTCTTCTTTGGCTTCTTCATCATTAGCTTCTGTCTTGATTGTTTTAGTCTTCTTTCTAGATTGCGGCTTGGCCTGGCTATCATTTTTGTCATCATTATCCACGGATTTTTGGGTTGCTGTCCGCTTTCGAGACCGATTGGGTAGTGGGGGCTGAGGTTGAGAAGGTTCAGGAGAAGGTTCAGGAGAAGGTTCAGGAGAAGGTTGAGGTTGGGGAGATTGAGGTTGAGCAGAGACGAAAGCGTATGCATTCTCATCCATGCGAGTCATTTTCTCAAGTGAATCCTCAAGCCATCCAATGGTGACAATGGGGATTTTGTTTGACTTTGCGGTGACAACCTTAGTGGATGGCTTGTTGTAGTCTGTCTCAGTGGCAACAAGATGTGTGGTTGCGTCCGTGATAGACTTGTCTAGAGTCGCGCCGAGAGCCACGATCAAATCTCGTTCGATGGCAGCGTGAGGTCGGCCGCGAATTGTGCCACTAATGGCAACAACGCAGCCATGTAATGGCGGAAGTGCAGGTTGAGCCTTCGATGCTTTCTTTCTCGGTGGCATGGTGTAAGACTTGGAAGGGACAAAAGTTGGATGACAAAACAATAAGTTGGAAGGAATGGGAGAGAACTACAGCATTGATACCGAAGAAGTTACGAAGATGAAAGAAAGTAGGGAAGGTAGACTTCGAATTGACTTCGAGTTGGAATTAAATATTGATAAAGAACGCGAGCTTTGATACTTTTCTCCAGGCAACACACGTTATACAAGGGAAGCACAGCGTAAACTCAGGCCAATTGACACCAAGGAGGCGCGTGACAACGTGACTTCTACCTAAATATCTCCAGTTTCTTCCAGGCAGAGCAGGCAGAGCAGGCAGCAGCGCCCCCAATATTCAATTGTTCTCCATTTTCTTAGAGGAAGCTACACCTGCAAATACCTAATCGATACTTCAACGTACGCTTAGCAGATTACTTAAATTGCTGGTATCAATCATGTACAATACGTACCTACCTACCTAGTACCCTTAGTACATGCATACCTAATGAGGTAGGCTAAGAGCCGAAGCTTCTTTTGAAGTTCAGAAGTTCAGGTTTTGACGTTTCAACCTTCCCCAAGATCCATTAGTGGAGACCACTAGGTAAAGCTAGATCTTCAGCTTCAATATTTTGGGAAAGTGAAAGTGAAAGTGAAAGTGCAAGTATCGTTGACATTTCTAGCTCGACTTGAGTGTGTGACATTCAATTGAATTTAATTTAATTGAACATTGAATTAAGCAAAGTCTAAGTAGGCACCGATACCGGGGTTCTAGATATTTATGTTGGTCTTGTTCTTCTGTTGGTTTGTTCTGTGGCGCACTTATTTTACCCCTTCGGAATGATTTTCCCTACCAAGGGAGTTATCATCACCAACGATGATTGGTTCCCAATCCGAGGGTTTGTCAGAATAACCGGTGAGTATTCTTACATCTATACTAAATAGGTAGTAGTATGTACTTTCGTGCTATCTAATCCGACTAGACCCCGACCACATGGAGAAAGGCGACTTAATTACCAGGTAGCTGCCGGGCTGCCTTTGTGGCACTTTTGTTCACAAGACAAGTGATTTTTCGGCGCATGGCGTCTTCTCAGTCGCGATGGCGGACCGTCTGCAGATGCATATCCACTTATAGTGCACCTCTTTGAGCACGCCTTGGCCTGGTAGGGTAAAGAGGTGCTGGGTGGCATATAACTCGGAGCCGGCGTCAGAGCATTGTAATTCTCTGTATACCTACTCTAGGTACCCAGTCGCGAAGATGTCAAAGCAGCTTGAGATTGAGCCATCCCGTATACCGAATGCCGAGTATGACGAAGAGAAAAGACAGCGGGATATCGTCGAAATGGAAAATTCACTGCCGAGTAATCAAGCCTTGGAGAACGGGGCGGATGGCGATAAAGACGGAGATGGAGACGGGGACGTCCCCAAGTCAACTTTGCCATTTTCCAAGGCAAGATGTATTGCTCTCGCTGCAACAGTGACAGGTGCTAGCTTCCTCAACGTAGGTAAATTGACCTTTTTTGCAGTACCTAGATGTGCTCTCTCACTGACCAAAAACTAGACACTCTCAATCCAATCGGTCGTCATCATCTTGCCAACCATTGGCGAAGATTTGAATATCCCTGAAAGTCGATTGCAATGGATTGTTTCCTCGTACGCCCTCGCTTTTGGATGCTTTCTGCTCTTATGGGGCCGCATAGCAGACATTTATGGCAAACGCTCCATTTTCATCTTGGGTAGTGCTTTCGTGGCTGTGACAATGATCATTAACCCATTTATACCAAATGAAATAGCCTTCAACTTGTTCCGAGGCCTACAAGGGCTCGTAAGTATTGTACAATTATTATTACCTACATCTACAATGAAGTTTCGTAGGCGTGGAAGATACATACATAAATAGGTACTAATGGAGTCCTAGGGTGCTGCCGCCAATGTGCCAACGGCCATTGGGATTCTTGGCGTGACATTCCCACCTGGTAAAGCAAAGAACTATGCGTTCAGCGCATATGGTAGGTGTCAATCGCGTCCTCATATAGCTGAAGCTTGTACTATGTCACTGACACTTATTTTTTCTAGCTGCTGGTGCCCCCCTTGGTAGTGTTTTTGGAAATCTCATTTCAGGCTTTATCGCCTCGTTTGCTAACTGGAGATGGGTGTTTGGAGCTACTGGTGGACTTGCAATCGCTGTCACAATTGCAGGCATCCTGTTCATTCCCGCACCACCGCCGTCACTAACAACAGGTAAAGGTGGCCTGTCCGCTCTGAAGTCTGTCGATTGGATTGGCGGTGCTCTTGTCACTGCTGCAACGCTTGCTCTATTGTTCGCTTTGACAGAAGGAAATGTCGTGGGATGGGGCACAATCTGGATCTACTTGCTGATTGTCATTTCTATGCTACTCCTGGTTGTTTTCGTCGGATGGCAATGGTACCAGGAGAAGCATATGACGAGGAAGCCATTAATGAAAATATCCATGTTTAAAAGCGCCCGCTTTAGCGCCGCCATGGTGCTCATGGCTTTATTCTTCGCTGCTTTCAATGATCTCGTCGTTTCAGCCACCTTCATCTTCCAGGACTACCAAGCGCTTAATGCGCTGCAGACCACGCTCCGATTCATCCCTACCGGCGCTTCAGGGGTCATCACCGCATTCGTCGTGAGCCACCTCATTTCGCGAGTACCTACCTGGCTGTTGCTTTTTGGTGGCAATATAAGCGTATCAATCTCGTGCCTGTTGTTCTCAATACCTATTCCTCCCGACACTTCGTACTTCGCATATGCATTTCCGGCTTTCATCCTCTCAGTCATCGGTGCCGACATCACTTGGCCGTGTCTGACACTCTTTACTTCCAAATCTTTGCCTCAGGAGGACCAAGCATTAGGAGGCGCCCTTATCAATGCCATGGGCCAGCTCGGAAGAGCCGTTGGTTTAGCCATCACGACCGCGATTCAGACCGCGGTTATGGCTAGGGACCGGGGAGTCCCCGTCGAAGCGTCAGGCAAGATCATGCCTTGGGAACCCGCTTCCCTAGCCGGGTTGCGAGCAGGCATTTGGTTCAATTTTGGCCTCGCAATATGCTGTGCAATCATCGTGGCAGTCTATTTCCGAGGCACTGGTATCGTGGGTAAGATTGAGAAAAATCAGCAGCAGCAGCGACCAGGAGGAACTCTTGATCAGAAAAAGGTACCGTGAAATCAGGATCCTTCTCGGAGATAGCTACCTAGGTACCTGCAGATACATACAAGGCATCGTTGCTCGAATTAGAACCACCATTTCAACTGTTGCATTCTTCAATCACTGGGTAGCACAATCGGCGCTTTTTCTTGTACCGCTGTACACCTCCAAGGTTGCTACCCTACCTAGGTATCATCTATATGCCCTATCTAAAGTGTAGGTAGGTAGGCATGCAGATGCCTTCAGCTGCAGCACATGCGTGGCGATAAAAACAAAATATGACATATCAGTTTCACACTTTTTTGGTACGTATATACATGAGCCCAGCAATCTGGGTCGATTGGTTCAGGTACGTGGTAAGTGCCTAATTAATAGGTAGGTAGTATTGCATTACAAGATGTTGTACATACTGAACTGACTGGATAGATTCTGGTACCGGTATTTAAAACAAACACACCTGTAATCCTTGTAGGTACTGAATATGCACGAAATGGAACATGGGCGAATGCTACAACCACTACGCCTTCTCAGCCGGCCAGAGCAACCACGAGATAACCACCACCAGCTTCATAGCAGCAGCTATCCACAGCACACCAGCAGCGCCGACCGGACTCCTGGCCAAGACACCGCCGAGGACAGCACCGATCAAGAGCAAGATGGGGGCGGCCACGCGGCGATTGCGCTCGGGGTTGTGCGGGGCCAGGATCTCGGCGTCGGAGAAGAGGTCGCAGTAGTTGCTGGTGAGCACGACGCTGGTGAGGGCGTTGTACTTGAGGGCGCGGCTGGCGACGGCCTGCCCGCAGCTCTGGAAGGCGACGAGGGCGATGGGGACGAGGACGGGCCAGTCGATCGACTCTTTCCGGTCCACGGCGGACGACTGCGGGCCGAAGGTCAGCACGGCTGCGGCGCCGGCGATGAGCACCATCTGCAGCACGAAGGAGGCGCAGAGAACCCAGCGCCGCTTGGGCGAGGGCGAGGGCTTCCGGTGCAGGGCGCTGAAGAAGACGGAGCCGATGCAGAAGCAACCGAGCGATGTCCCGGATTTGATCCACCGCGTGGATTCGTGGGGGGCGGCGAGGCCAAGGCCGAAGTATACCGTGTTTCCTGGGCTAGGGTTAGAGGGATGTGACCACAGAATGCGGGTGTAGGTAGGTAGGTTGGCTAGTTGGTTGGATAGGCGGTACCTACCTGTTTGCATCGAGACGAACGAGCCCCACGTGGATATGGAAGCGCTGTCAAGGAGGCCCGTGATGATGTAACAGGCGAGGAGAACCAGATCAGCCCAGTCGCGACGCACGTCCGTCATCATCCTTTGCTTCCATCTTGCCAATACGCGTGTCTGGCCACAGCCGCTGCTGCCACCGCCGCTAGTGCCGAGCAAAGGCTGTTGCTCTTCATCGGGATTGTTTGGCACGACACCATACCCGTTGGAAGCCATTGAGCATCTATTTGTATAATGAAGTGGAGCTAAAACTAGGTTTCCTCCTTGTTACCCAACTGTTAAGCTAGTAGCAACTGATTATATGTCAATTGAGAGAGTGTGAAGTGAGGAAGAAAGATTAATCACGGTGGTCGCTACTTGGGGGGGAATACGTTACCTAGGTAGGGGTAGCTGCTTCCTTCCCGTGAGGATCTCTGGGCCGTGTTATCAACACTCAGCAACGCCAGGTAATTTCGATAAATCTTCTGTGACGTAAGTTAATATGGTCAAGGAAAGCCACGGCTTGATAATAGGCAGGAATATCGCTGTTGTGTAGCAACGGTTATTACATACTAGCTTAAACTTAACTTGCTCACATACTATAAATTACTAATAATCTGGAGAACATCAAGAAGCTGAATGGGGTGTTGAAATGGCAACAGCGACGCTTCTTTGACGTAATTGGGATCGTTCTTGCTTAGCTTGTTACTTCAACTTACTTGAACGGTTACTCGGCATGTTAGCTTTTTAAGTCTTTTATTTTTTTACTTGACGCAGGTACTAATGCTTGAATATTCTGCAGCTCCAAAGCTTGCCTGCCTAGAAAGCACCTAATAAGCACCGAATTAGCACCTACTTCTTTGTCCGGCGCTTGCTCAGGGGCCTAGAATGCCCTGGAGCTAGAGCGGTGTCGGCATTTACTCGGTATCGGTCCCTTACAGTGACTCAACCCCTTAAGTTTGTTCGGGTACATCCATACATGCCCTTCAGCTTACATAGTAGTACTACTAGTAATACTTCAATGTTACTTACCTCACATGCATAGCAAACACTTACAATTAAATACATAGGTACATATCTGTGTAGGGTATGTACCAACATATCAGTAATCCATGGAAATAATTCAAAGAAATGGTATATATGAAGTAATCCATCCCGTGCTCCTCAGAGTTTGCTATACCATCTTTTTGAACGTCACCCTACATCTCTTATATCCCTTCATTTAGTTGAGGTTTGACCATTATCCTCAAGTTAACCATCCTCAAGTCCTTTGACTAACATCCCTAAGCTATACGTGTATTATTCACTTGGCAGCTACTCAAGATGCAGTCCCGTTACCGTCACGGTCTGTCACCGTGGCACCTCTTGGTCACAGGTCTTGCATTGAGTAATTCAGGCCTGGCAATTCCTGTAGAGGATAGCCCACGCCAGTATCTTTTGGCTGGTCTTGACTTGCCGCCGAAATACTCCAAAAATCCCAAGTCACCTTACAGCCCTGACTACAGAGACCCTTATGACCGCGCCGTTGATACTGTAGGTGAGAAGCTAGATCCGCTTCCCTACCGAAATGGATTGGGAGCATCCGTTCTCGGCCCCTGGAACTGGGAGCGGTCTCGCCAGAGCCCAGATCTTGTACGACCACCGAGTACGGATCACGGAAACCTGCAGAACATGCGATGGAGTTTCGCTGATTCTCATGTGCGGATTGAGGCGAGTAAAATATAATGAGAGAATTCGAAGTTCTTCCTCATATCGGTGCTAACTTGTATACAGGAAGGAGGGTGGACACGGCAAACTACTGTCCGGGAGCTAGGTAGCAGTGTTGAGCTGGCTGCTGTGAATATGCGGCTCGATACGGGTGTCATACGCGAGCTGCACTGGCACAAGGAAGCCGAGTGGGCGTACGTCCTGGACGGACATGTTAGAGTGACCGCAATCGACTACGAAGGCGGAAACTTTATCGATGATCTCAAAAAGGGTGACCTTTGGTATTTCCCCAGTGGCGTCCCGCATTCTCTCCAGGGACTCGGCGAGAACGGCACCGAGTTCCTGCTTGTCTTCGACGACGGGAACTTCTCAGAGGAATCAACTTTTATTCTGTCCGATTGGCTAGGTATGTGTTGAACGAATACAGCGGATAACACGGCTCGCTCCATGCTAATGTGCCACATAGCACACACACCCAAGTCTGTGATTGCCAAGAACTTCAACCTGGCGCCTGAAGTCTTCGCACACCTCCCCGAAAAGGAAAAGTACATCTTCCAGGGTTCCCAACCAGGTTCCATAGATGAGGAGAAGCCAACAGGCAAGAACGTCAAGAAGTCCAAGCAGAATTTTACCCACAGGATGCTGGAGCAGGAGCCTCATCTAACTACCGGTGGTGAAGTCCGCATCACAGATTCCAAAAACTTCCCAATTTCCAAGACGGTGGCAGCAGCTCACGTCCTGATTCAGCCTGGTGCTATACGTGAGATGCACTGGCATCCGAATGCCGATGAATGGAATTTCTTCCTTAGTGGTCGGGCCAGAGTCACCATCTTTGCCTCTGAGGGTAGCGCCAGGACGTTCAACTACGTCCCCGGCGACGTGGGCATCATACCCAGGAACATGGGCCACTTTGTGGAGAATATTGGAGATGAGCCCATCGAGATGCTAGAGGTCTTCCGTGCAGATGAGTTCAGGGATTTCTCTCTCTTCCAATGGATGGGTGAGACCCCGAAGAAGATGGTTGTCGACCACCTGTTCAAGGACGACCCGAAGAACGGGGAGATCTTCTGGAACAGGATCAAGAACGCCGAGAAGGATGAGGTCACACTCCCTGATCCTGACAATGAAGCAGGATCTGAAGAGCGGGAGTTGTGAACATTCGGACCTTTGCCCTTTCTATTCTAGCCTCGTAGGAAAAAGTTGATTGTCTTCTACTTCATACTTGAATATTCGCTTCTTCGTAAGTACAGTATTCTACTATGTATTTATCTTAGTATCTATCTACCCACCTAGGGGTCTAACCTAGGCGGTTTGTATCATTGAATGATCCATATAGGGGATATTTGGGATCTGTTGATTACCCCTATCTATTTAAAAGGGGTATTTGGGCTGTCACTTAGCAGAGTACATACCTAATTTAGCGTTGATCAACTTACTACATCCCTAATCACCTTGATGTCATAATGATGGAAGACTAGAGGGTAGAGCTGATTATCGTCACGAGCTGAACAACTCAATGAGTATCTACCTAGGTAGTCTACACGTTGCACTTCCGTTTCAACACCCCTAGAATAGGGAATTCCACCCCCCCCAAGGATATTTGTCGGAGTTTTCTATGCATACAGTCATCGGAGCTGTATACGATATCTCGGTATTACGGAATGTGTATAGTCTTTGCGACTCTATATCGTCAGCTGCTTTCAGCTATGCTGGAAGGAGAAGTTGGTCAAGCATGGTGGTTTACCGAGTTATGTCCATATCGTCGTGCCGTTACTGCCGAAACGATGGAGACCCGGGCGAGTTTCTGTATTTTATGTACATCTGGGCCTATCAATTGCTTACACAGCAGATGATATATCAAGGTCTGTGTCTGGACTACCTGCTAGGTATGCGTGTGCCTGATGTGATGGATTGGCGCATACCTGATATTCTTTACTTGACTCGCATACATACCTACTACGGGTTTATCTCTGCATGGTGGCGCTCTAAAGCCATGGGAAGGTAGGTATACCCTAGCTGATTAACGGAAATACGCATAGGTATTAGTGCGGACGAAGTTGTCTTTCCAGAACACCATGAAGGGTTACATATACCCAATCGTAAACTTCTGCGCCCACGATATGTCCAGTTTCGACTTTTTTTATTGGTCGCCTACACTGTCGATGTAAATACTACATTACAAATTGAAAAACACCCAATCGCAACACCATCCTGATCTAAATTCGCACACCAGACGAAAGCATCATCACATACTTACCTTCCTACTTACCTACATAGGCAATTACCTACATAATCAGATCAATCCGGGCAAAGGCCCTGGACCAGCGCTTACGAATGCCGGAAAACGGAAAGAGTTCCGTCGAATGCCCCCTACATTACCCCGGGTTTGTGTCCTATGAAGCGAAGGTAGGTAGCCAGGTTCGCTTAGAAAGCTCGAACCCCTGAACCGATCACCCATCCGATCCTCTCCTCTTGTTGCAATCACAAGTTTTTACCTATTCTATTTTTAACAAAAGAAATATGGTCAACACACACCTTTGTCCTAATTCACCGAGATGGAAAAAAAATCAAGGGAAAGAAGGGAGTCAAGTCAGTTAACCTAGGCATTTGATTTCTGAACCTCCCTATCAACTTCTCATCACTTGGCATTTCGCACGAGCTAGTGTAAGTCGTTCGCCCTGCAATGTGACCGTGGCACGACAAAAAGCTTGGTGCGTATCAAGCTTTCTCCCGATCCTTGCAATTGGCCTAGAGGGGAAACTTTTCAGAAGGCTCAAAGCTGCTTGGCTGCAGGAAAACACAACACAACAGAAACCAACATGCCCCCCGCGGTGGTAGAATAATGCCCTGACTGACCACTGTGGTTCTACGACGCCATGTTGTTTGACATAAGTAGATACAAGTTGTATTACCGTCCTCTCTACCTATGCCGTTTGTTCCGTGCGAGTTCAATTATAGGATTTCCATGATGTGGCTTGCTGCATCTATCCTAGAAAGGTTATCAACTACTCCGTACCTGTTAGGCACGCTCAAGCCCTCCGAGGTCCGCAATAGCCAAATAACTAGTGTATGCCGTCTAGGCAGACGGCGCATCTTGGCCGCGTTCCTTGGCCGTGGTTCCCGAAGACTCGGGTTTGTCTTAGTATAGCTCGCCAAGAATACCAAGGAACTATAGGCTGACGACATTCTATAGGTTTTGCCTACATCACAGTAGTAAGTAGGTATTGCTAGAAAGCTTCGTAACTGAATTGGAGTTCAAAGTTCAAATATTACGTGCGTAGGTGAATATTAAAATGCTGTTGTTAGCCGTCGGATGCTGCTCTGTCCATATATAAGACACCCCGGGAATGAAGGATCAGGAAGGACCAGTGAATCTATTTATTGATCCCTTGCCTAGTACCACGCTCAGAGGTGCCGATTGCTTGTTAGGTCTTCCCCGGATTAGAAGACTGGAAGGCTTTAAAGCAATGCCACGACAGCTACTAACTATCCTTCATATTGATATCATGATCACATTACAGTTGTGTGATAGGTACAGATGGTAAGCGCTGCTGCTGGTTGAATCCTAGTATCTCTGTATGTTCATTTATTTCATTGGCTCGCTCATCTTGCAGGCCGAACTACCTACTAGGGTTGCGAGATCTCGTTTCTGTTTTGGAAAGATATCTATCTCCATTCATACCGTAGTACCTACCTCTCTCCCTACCTATCTACCCAGTACAGCATCTACTTTTACATGTGTAAGTGCTCCAACTCACTACAGGTCATTGCAATCAACCTACCCCGCGCATCTCTAGACGAGGGTGCCACCCTTTTACGTGATCAACCAGCATCGCTGGCATAGGTAGGTACCGTTGCATTTAGGCACAACAAAAGCGCCTAATCATAAGTCGTCAGATTCGTCCGTATCCTTCCAAAATCTCTATTAGGTACGAGGTACAGAAGGGAGTCAACCAGATAGGAAAAAACCTGTTCAGCTACTAATCACTATAGCCCGTAGCCCGTAGCCCATTCCCGGACCATAGTCCCCCAACCTTCGCCCTGACGTGTTGCATTAAAACGTGCAACCAGCAATCGGATTTTATGTTGTGTCCCCTCTCCCTCTCCCTTTCCCCAATCTAACTGATGTTCTTCAAAAACAGGCACCAACAAGGCCGTATAAGAAAAGAAAAGAAATCCTGTAGGTCGTAGTTCGGTGCCGACAGGGAGTGGCGAAAATGTGCCGAAAAGGGGGAGAAAAGGGAGAGGGGGGAGGGGGGATGGGGAAGGGGGGGTGTGGTCATCACCTCCCAAAGCGATATTGCTGTCCGAAGTTGAGGATACCTACTACGTACGTAGGTAAGTAGGTAGGTAGGCACTCATCGCTTGCCTTCTGTGATTTGAAGTGTGTCTTCGTACCTATATGCTGCTCTCCCCATGATACCTTCTGCTTCCGGAAACAACCTCCATAAACAACCCTGTGCGTCTGTGTACGTCTACCTCTTCCTACTACTATGTAGCGATCTACCTATGATCTGTGGAACACTTTCCCCTCTATATAGCCTTCGTCTGGGGTGTTTGGTTTAGTTTATATCAACGGGGCTAGGTAGGTATATCGAGATAGATAGATCAGCCTCATCTACTTACTAGAGTAAAGCTACCCACCAGAGTAAAGCTGCCTACCTACCTAGACACCAATACCGATTTCAGCCTACTTTTCACTATAACAGTTTTTGCCCAGCTACTAGGTTAGGCATGTCGCGCCACATCGCCGCCGTCCGCGCGGAGCTCCGCACGGACGTGACGCTCAACCGGGTGGCCGAATTCGCGCGCGTGACGCCGCCCCAGCTCCCGTCCGCCGCGAAGCAGTATCTGCTCGACAAGCTGCCCATCGTCCAGTGGCTGCCGCGCTACAACCCGCCGTGGCTGCTCCAGGACTTCATGGCGGGCCTCACGATAGGGGTGCTGCTGATCCCCCAGGGACTGGCGTACGCGAAGATCGCGACGATCCCGATCCAGAATGGCCTCTACTCGTGCTGGGTCCCGGCGGCGGTTATGGTGTTCATGGGGACGTCCAAAGGTGAGTTTTTGGGGGTGAGGGTTGGGATTGAGTGTTCATGGATAGGCATCTAGTACCTAACTGTACACCTACTGTACACGGTGATCAAGATGTAGAAATGGACTAATAGTGCTACGCGAATAGACCTGTCTACAGGACCAACCTCAATTCTAGGCTTGCTAACCGCAGAAATCATCCGCGACCTCAAGAATGAATACTCACCCACTGACATCTCATCCGCCGTGGCCATGATGGTCGGCATATGGTCTCTCCTAATAGGTCTACTCGGACTCGGCTTCCTCCTCGACTACGTCTCGATCCCCGTCCTCACGGGCTTCATATCAGCCACCGCATTCGTCATCGGCATGGGCCAAGTCGGGTCCCTCGTCGGGCTCGAGAAAGTCCCCGACGGCGCCTTCAACCAACTCGGCAACGTCCTCAAGCGCCTGCCCCACTGGGACGGGCCAACCTGCGGGATCGGGTTCGGCACGGTGCTGGTCCTCCTGCTTTTCCAGAAGGTCGGCAAGAAATGGGGCCACAAGCACTTCGCCATCAGGTACGCGTCGAGCAGCCGCGCCATCATCGTGATGGTCATTTTTACGCTGATCTCCTACCTGGCCAACAAGGACCGCGACGAGTACATCTGGGACATCAGCGAAGTCAACACCCACGGGATCCAGCACCCCAAGGCCCCCGGCGGCGTCCTGCTCTCCAAGGTCGCGGCCCGCTCCATCGCGCCGCTGGTGGCGTGCACGCTTGAGCACCAGGCGGTTGGCAAGGCGTTCGGCCGCAGGAATCACTATGCCGTTGACCAGACGCAGGAGTTTAATTACCTAGGCGTCACTAACATCGTGAACTCGTTTTTCGGCGTCATGCCGGTGGGCGGCGCGATTTCCAGGACGGCGGTCAACTCGGAATGCAATGTCAAGAGCCCCCTGAACGGCGCGATCACCGCGGGCTTCATCATCCTGACGCTGTATGTCTTCTCCCCTGCGCTTTACTGGCTGCCTAAGGCTAGTCTAGCGGCTATTATTGTAAGCTGGCCATTTTTCTTACGATGCTACTACCTACCTACCTACCAAGACGCCTTCGCGCACGAGACTCATCCCACTAATACCTTACCCTCCCCCTTTCTAGATCATGGCCGTCATACACCTCTTCGGCCCCTTATCTCTAATCTGGCGGTACTGGCGCATCTCCCTCGCCGACTTCATCGCATGCATGGTCGCCTTCTGGGTGACGATCTTCGTGTCGGCCGAGATTGGCATCGGCGCGGCCGCCGGGTGGAGCGTAGCATGGACGCTCCTGCGGTCCGCGTTCGCGAAGCCGAAGATCCAGACCAGCGGAGCTACCACCACCACCACCACCACCACCACAACGGCAACAGCAGCAGCCGGAGACTCTTCTTTCGGCAGCATCCCGCGGGCCGGGACGACGACGACGGAGAGCGTGGCGGGCCCGGCGCTCCCCGAGGACACGACGCTGGTGCGGTTCACGGACTCGCTGTTCTTCCCGAACGCGAACCGCAACAAAGTCGCCGCGCTCGAGGCGATCCAGCTTGTGTACCCGTCCGTGCAGAACCCGCACTACCGCGCCGATGCGGAGCGCTCGTGGAGCGTGGCGGCCGAGAGGCGGCTCGAGAGGCTGCGCGCCCTGCGCGGGGTCGTTAGTATGTTAGCCTGCCTACCCAGCTACCGATTGCCTTCTCTCTCTCTTCTCTCCTTTCTGTAGGGAGTACCTATGATCAAACACTGACGCAACCCTTCGCAGTGCGCCAGATGCCTCTGTCCCTGGTGGTGTGGGACTTCAGCATGGTGCCGTTCGTGGACGCGACGGGGGTCACGGCGCTGGCGGAGCTCAAGGACGACGTGCGCCGGCAGCTCGGGCTCGGGGTGCAGGTGCGGGTCGTGGGGATGACGAAGGGCGTCCGCAGGCGGTTTGCGCGCGCCGGGTGGCGGCTCGTGGACGCCGATGATGGGTTCATGGATGGGGATGCTGATGTCGTCTACCCTTCCTTGGAAAGGGCTATCTGGGACGAGCGGGACCGCGATAGCTTGAAGGGTGTTGCTACGGAGAAGAGCTAGACTAGTAAAGCGAGGGAGAGCGGGGGGGGGGGGGTGGTGGGGATAGGAGATTGTACGTATTCCTGGCGGAATCTTGGTTGTTAGGTTATTGATTCCTGTGCCGCCGCACTGACCCGGCGTCGTAATAAAGTCATATGAACTCCATACATCTCTGCCAGGATAGCAAAAGGCTAGGGTCCTTGTGTCCAGTAACATGCTAGTACTGATATGTACATGCTAGTTTCTTGCAGGGTGATACGTAGATGGCTTGGTATGCACCGATATATCGCTGGTACAGCAAAATGATACATCAAAATATCTGAGGTAAAGTGGGCGGGACTGATCTTTTCCCATCCTCTGGGCGGTGTAAGCCGGTAGGCATCCTTCCTTTCAAGCATGGTCAAGTAGTGTACCTATCAATAGCGCAAGTACCAAGACCCAGGAAACCGGCGATAGGGAGGATTACCGGGTGGAAGCAAGGGCTGTTGGTGATAGATAGATAGATGTAAGTCTCGAGGGCATTCAAGATATGAAATCCCATGCCTTTTCCCCCTTTGAAAATCCTTTTCCAGATACCTACCAAGTTTGTTTCCCCTTGTTGCTAATCCCGTCTCCGTACCTACCTACAACGTCGTTCCCAAGATGACAGCGGAATATGACAATATGTCGAAATGGCATGCCGTGAGGTCGAAGAGGATCTTCCAGGTGGTACAATACAATTGGATCATTTTTCCTGTTGCGACGGTAATCACGTATAACTGTATGTTCCTAAGTCATATCCATGTATTAACTTGCAATTGACCGGGCTTGCGTAGTATTCTTCCTTCTCTTCAACAATCCGGAACTTCCGTTCTTCCACATACCCACCGACTCTTCCCTGACTTTCACACGAGATACAATTCTTTGGATGGGTAAGTTCCTGCTTACGGTCCTTGTAATGTTACCCTGGAAAGCTAACCTGAGTGAGATGGACAGTTTTGGCCTTGCCGAATCGCCCCATGGGCCTACTCAGCTTTTTCGGAGCGTGGTGGCCCTGTAGACCATTTCGACTCAACAACCAACCCGTCAAGAGGTCTTTCAACCGCTTACTCATCTGTCTCGTCACTCGTGGTGACCAACAAGAGGTATAGTGATACAGATTGCGCACTACCTGTCTGGGCGTTCGAGTAACATCCATGTAGATCGTCGAGCGTTCAGTGGCTGCAATCCAAGACCTATATAAAAAGGTCGATGATCGGGTGTCTCTTCATGTGTTGTGTGAAGAGGAATACGCCGGAAGATTTCACGGCATCTTTAGAGATCACGTCTTCATACATGGAGTTCCTAGTTCTTATAAACCCCGAAAGGCGAAGTACAAGGCCCGAGCTCTCGAGTGGTTTCGGATCGATAGGAAAATCCAAGATGATGATTGGGTCTTGTATCTGGACGAAGAAACTATGATTGACGAGTACACTGTTAAGACCTGCGTCGAGTTCATATCTAAGCAAGACTCAGTTGATCTAGGAACCGTAAGTGCCTGCGCGCTACTCCGAGACAGTAATTGTGCTCATCATGTTCGTCCTACCAGGGGGTTATACACTATAACGGCCATAATTATTGGGGCGCGGTTATTCCGCAGATTGGCGACATCAATCGTGTAACCGATGACTATGGTCGTTGCCAATTCCAGGCCAACGCTGTGCAAAAGGCCTCATTGGGCATCCATGGGGCTTTCCTCATTGCCAGCGGTAAGGTACAAAATGCAGTAACATGGGAGACAGACTGCGTGACGGAAGACTACTGGTTTCTCTTAGGAGTAAGTATCACTACCCAGAACAGCAATGAGAAGGTCAGCCAGTATACTAACATTAAGCTAGGCTATGAAGAGGGGATTTCGAATCGGATGGGTCCCTGCTATAGCCAGAGAACTCTCTCCGGCGACCATTCACGACTTCGTGAGACAACGGCGACGCTGGTATAGTGGTATCCTAACCATAGGTGAATTAGACGGTCTGTTTCTGCTTTACTCGTGGTTATGGTGTCTTTTGGGCCCTCTATAGTAAGCACGCATAGACTCGATGACTTTAGATGTTTGACTAAAACTTGACTTTCAGTTGTTTTTATTGTCTCGTCACAGAGCGGAGTATCACTGCTGTCCCGTGGTGGCTTATACATAGCTTCACCTCGATGTGTGTGTCACGTCAGGGCATGGCGCCCGTCCCGCTATGGTTCTTCCGCGTCATCGTCTTCGAGATGGCCCAATATACTGTCTACACTACATTGTCGCTGTTCCTCCAGGTGAGTAATGCTGACATGATCTGTTTGAAGGTGGTTGTTGACAAGATATGTATATAGGACTGGGATGCCGGTATTCCATGGACTTCCATGATCTATACACAAATCTTGTGCAACGTGCTGAGGCCTTTCGTGAACCTCGCCGATGGCTACGCTGTACTTACTACATTTTTGAGCCCGGAAAAGGAGTTCTTCGTAATCAGGAAGAAATAGGCTGGCTTGGGAATGATGCTTGCGCAGTAAGAATAAGCCAAATGCTAGATAGGAGCAGAGAAAAGGCTTGGGGGTAGTAAGAGGACAGGGACGAGTATAAGACAAACACGATCCGATAGAAGACTTAAAACTCGAAGGCTTAGAGTTGGGTGACATCGCAGACCACGAGGCTTTCATAGGACATTGTCTCATGCCTGGGGCACTAAACCCCTAGCGTATACTACTAGGTACGCCACCTACAGCATGACGCATGACGGTGCTACTGGTTTATGAATTTCAGGGGCGGTATTATAGATAGCGTCTTAGAATGGACAGGTAGACTTGAAAGAAGACAATCCCACCAATTTCATCGAGCACTATGGCATCCCAAGCCGGTGCTGTTGGCGATATTCTTCTGACGCCCAAGTCAGGTAATCTGCCGACTGTAGCACAGTTATCAAGCTATATGCAACATTTGTTTCCCTTACGAGATGGAGACACGCCGTTTGCTTACCATATTCCTCACTCCAATAGATTTGATGTTCATAGCAACCAGGTTTCTCACGCTGTCGTGAGCATCACTCCCACTCCTGGATTTTATGCCGCCATTTCATCGTCAAGCTCGGGGACGCCATTGGCATTTCTGCATCGGCCATGGCTTCTTGACCGTGGACGGATACCTCGCCGAACTACTATACTTTCTTGTCATAAGGGATTCGATGAAGTGCTCACCGTGGGTAACAATGTCGCTCTGGCCTCAACGCTAGGGCTAGATCTGGATCGAAGTAGCGTGATCCGAGGTTACAAGGGAGTTCCCGAGAGGGCCATCGGAGTGGTGGGTCCTGTATCGGAAGCGTCAAGGAAAGAGTTCCTGGAGCTGGTCAAGCCTGAATTCCCATCTATCGAGGCCGCTTTTGGATTTGAGAATAATGAGAGAAGTGATGTTCACCAGGTGGTCAAAGCAGTGGCTATCATGAATGCATTTCACCCAGAGGAGGTACAGCGTGTATCAGCACTTGCATCTGATTTGGGCCTGATACCTTCTGCTGAAGAATGCGATGGGATAGTATACCTGACCGGTGCCGAGCGAGAGCAGGGGCTTCAGGCGGCGGTCCAGAAGCATATGGCTGTGGTATGTGTCGGCCATCGGGCTTGTGAAGAGTGGGGAATCAAGTACTTGGCCGACATTTTGAGAAGGGAGTGGCCATCTATTCATGTTGATGTTATTCTAGAAGCTGAGGATCAGCAGCTGTGAGATGCTTGGGAGTTTTATGAATGGGTAAGAAGACAAGACAGACAAGACCGTAATATGTAACCTTATAGGTTACTAGGTAGTTAGCTACCTTACGTGGTGGGATATTCTATTCTACTATGTATTGTTTGTTGATTATGTAACCTGGAAGTCACTACGAAATACTTTGGTACCTAGTCTTATCGATACGATGCAAATCATTCCGAGATTCAACCTTTCAAGCTTTAGGATTATAATGCATCTTAATCTTACCCATGACATCGCAGCATTCGAAGACTGATTAAAAAGCACCTTGGCGCAGTGGAAGCGCGCCGGGCTCATAACCCGGAGGTCCTCCGATCGAAACGGAGAGGTGCTAGTCTTTGACTTTTCCTTTTTCGACCTTTTTTTTATTCCTCACGAATCCTTCTTTGAGGTTTTTTTTTCTCACCCACCCCACTACGCCACGACATTTTACTAACATGGTTGCATATGCCTCATTGTCCTCCCAATACTCTTTTCACTCTGGTCATAGTTTCTCGAATTATTTCATGCTTTCCCGATAGCCACGTGTTACTTAGTTGAAGTCCTAAATTTCATGTTCAAGTTTCCCTGGTCTATGCGGTACCTAGGTACGACGTATTACATAATAGACTATACCTTACGTAACGTGGGGGTGGCTGAAGCTTGAAAGAACTTGAACGCGACGCGATTGAAGACTCACTCCTTTTATTTTTCATGTTCTTGGCTTCATCACTTTTAATTTCACTGGCCAGCCCAGCCTCTTCCAGAAAAAAATGTGTGGTATCCATGCAGTCATATCCACAGTTGCCATACCAGATATATCCCCCGAGCTGAGACATTTGTTGTCTAATCGTGGACCTGATTATTATGGCCAAGTCTGCCGTGAACTTCCCTTCGAGAATGGCGATTCGACTGTCCATCTCAACTTTACTTCCACCGTTCTGGCTTTGCGAGGGGACCATGTTGCAAAGCAGCCCTTGGAATCATCTCCCAACGGATCCATCCTATGCTGGAATGGGGAAGCTTGGAAAATGAATGGGCAGCCTATTAGCGGAAAAAACGATGCCGAGTTTGTCTTGGCTAAGCTTGACTCATACTCGTCTGATCTTGAAGCTCGACAATCCCATATTCTGAATACTCTTCGCCAAATTGATGGCCCATTTGCATTTGTGTTTTACGATGCCTACTCCAAGAGTCTCTTCTTCGCTCGGGATCGTCTTGGGCGACGATCGCTTCTATTTAATCTAGCAGAGGATGGCAACTCGATCTCATTCTCCAGTATCGCGGACCCTGCTACCGACTGGAAAGAAGTTCAGGCAGATGCCATCTATTCTATAAATTTAAATACTCATCTGGCGACACCTAAGGCATTCAAGTTTGATACATGTTTTATCAAACATGATTGGGTTCTATTTGCAAGCGATCACATGGTAAGTACTGTTACGCGAAATATGAAAGTATGCGTGCAGTATTCCTATAAACTCATATTTACAGGTTTCGGGGATCGGTAGTTTCAATGTGACATTGCCACCGCCCGAGCACAAGCTGGACTTCGATTCACCATCAGTCGAAATCCTCAAGTATCAGTTATGTGAATCGCTCAAGTTACGTGTATCGGACATTCCAGAGCCGCCACATACTCTTACCGACGCGGACGTTCGCGTCGCGGTTCTGTTCTCTGGCGGACTTGATTGTACAATGCTTGCGAGACTAGCTCACGAGTTCATCCCTGCGAACCAGGGAATAGATCTGATTAATGTCGCCTTCGAAAATCCCCGTCAGGTTGCAATATATAAAAAGCGACCAGATCCACCGCCGGATATTTACGAAGCCTGTCCGGATAGAGAAACGGGCCGCAAGGCTTTTGCTGAACTGAAGTCTACCTGTCCAGATCGATATTGGCGTTTTATTGCAGTAGGTTCTGAAAAGAAAGAGCTTACCGTGGATCATCAAGCTTACGTGCCTGATTAGGTGAATGTGACGTTCGAAGAAGCCATGAAACATAGACCAAGAGTCGTTTCGCTTATGTATCCCCACGAAACAGAAATGGACCTATCTATTGCTTTTGCGCTTTATTTCTCTGCACGAGGTATCGGCTATTCCTACATAGACAAGACCGAGTGGAAGCAAACTGCACCGACAGTTACCTCACCGGCTCGAGTTCTTTTATCTGGCCTTGGTGCAGATGAACTATTTGGTGGTTACTCACGACATGAAGCAGCTTTCAGAAATGGACAATACCCGCGTCTTATTGATGAGTTGAAGTTGGACATTGGTCGTATCGGGCAAAGAAATCTAGGTCGTGACGATCGAGTGATGGCTCATTGGGGCAAGGAGGTCCGTTTTCCTTATCTCGACGAAGAATTTGTCAGGTTTGCTGTCGGTTCTCCAGTTTGGGAGAAGTGTGACTTCCAAAATCCATTTCACCCTGCCGTCATTGATCCAGCCAAACGAATAATGAGGCTGCTGGCCGATAAACTTGGACTACCGCGGACCGCGAGAGAAAAGAAGAGAGCGGTGAGACAGAAATTCAAACAGTACTCTAAGGCATGACTAACGAAGCAACAGATCCAATTCGGCTCAAGGACAGCGATGATGGAAACCACGGGTAGACATCGCGGTACACAAATCATTGCCCGACCAGAGCCCGTTAAATGCTAGGTATTTGGCTACCTACTACATGCTATGTAGGTAGGTGCCTAAACATCGAAGCGATGAGCTTGTAGGGTTCAATAGTCTGGCGATGATGATACTCTCAGATACTTCCGAGTTGGTTTTGAAATGCAACCTATTCTGATCCCCATCAGTGTGTTTCTACATAAATCGTGGTAACCCTTTTGGAGTATTTGTAATAATGGTCAGCTACCAACAATGACGCCTAGAAGGCATGTCTGAGCCAGACTTCCCTCTGCTTTACGCTCAATGTTTTACCCTATGCAGTATTGGAAGATATACTGAAGGGTACATGCAAAGTTGATACAACTACATACCTAACCTAGTATTACCTATGTAGTATGCGCGGCATGCAGTGGTACATAATGTAGCATTTACAAGGATTCTTCCTTTTGCATGAAAATGACATCACGATAATACAATGCCACTGTCTTGAACCGATATCGTTGATGTCCTATTTTCCTATTCTCCTATTCTCCTCTTTACTTACCTAACCTTAGATTACTTGCCAATGATTAACGAACAAACAAGTAAATCAACTTGTATATTGAGACAAAATGTCGCAAGCGCGAAAATGGCTCTATGCTTTATTGCTCACGACAACATCGGTGGTAGCAACTGAACGTTACATAGACCAGGTTGTCATGGCGCCACCTGAGTTGCCGTTGTCGGATTCCGATGTATATCAAGTTCAACATGAGTACGTGTAGCCAGGTTTACTCGACCGCGACTCATTGAAACCAGGCCAACTAACATGCCAACTAATTGAACTCCAGGCTAAAAAAGGCCGATATCTTTCCTACGGGTAAGTTTTCACGACTAAAGCGATGATAAGAGCTGTTCTCGACTAATCCACCGGTAGTCATCGACAAGTTCCTCCCCTCATTCCTCCTAGACGCCACATGGCCGTCGGGGGAGCATGCAGACTTGGGCAACACCGTAAAAGTAGACGATGTCCAGGATGAGCCCGCCATCGTAGTGCGCCCAGGCAAATCATCCTCATCGGTGCACCACCACCATGGGAACCCAAACGTGACCTACACCATCACCATCACCGACCCGGATGCTCCCTCCCGCGATAACCCGGAGTGGTCCGAGTTCTGCCATTTCATCGCCACCGGCGTGAAGCTCTCCCCCTCTTCCTCTTCTTCTAGATCGCAGCCGGATACTCACAAGGTGTTATCATTGTCTGGCTTGACGGACATCATCCCGTATAAACCTCCCGGACCACCGGCTAAGACGGGCAAGCACAGGTACGTGTTCCTGCTGTTCGCGCCGGCGAACGGGACGACGGACCCGTTGCGCTTGAGTCGCCCGGAGGAGCGGAAGCATTGGGGGACGGGGAGGCAGAGGCACGGGGTTAGGGATTGGGCGGAGGAGAATGGGCTGGTGCCTGTTGGTGAGTTATGCGACCCTATGCTTTTTTTTCTTTTTTCGTTTTCACCTAGTGTCCTGTCTCTTTGGAGAGGCGCTTTCTATTTGGGCAGGATTGGTGCTGATTATTGAGCAGCGGCGAATTTTATCTACGCTCAGAATGAAGAGCAATGATGATGTTTAGTAAGGCTGTGAGTAGCGTGCTCTTGCTACCTGAGGGGTTGAAAGTATCTTGGTTTATATGTGCGTTTGGCTTTGAATACTGCCAAGTAGTTCGCGTATAGTGGTACGGGAAGGTTGAAAAACGTCTAGTCTCTAGCGATGAACAGCAGCCCGTCTTGTATATTATAATACTCTGATAGTATTGCCACTCCTTCTCAACACCTTTCGATCATTATTGACATTAAGCGTTTGTTTCCGAGAGGCTTAACCAGAGTATCACTTAGTACTTGCACAGCAAACCCCCTATCTACTATGCATCTAACCTACTACCTAACTACATAAGCGAAACGCCCCCCTCCCAAGACCTCCGATCCACCGCGCTCGTAATCGCATCATGGCTCGACAGTTCCGACACCACCTCCCGACTATTCAGCGTCCCCGAGTTCCAGCTCGAGCTCACGCCGCTCCCTGACTGCTGCCGCTCGCTCGACAACTCATGCTTATGCGCCGCTGAATGCGCTGCCAGCTCCGGCTTGTACCCGTACCACGCCGGGCTCGGCGATCGCGGCTCCGGCGTTGAGGCTAGTTCTTTTCCGGGGGTCATGGGTGACTGCTGCTGTTTTTGCGGCGCTGTCGCGGCGGCAGCGGTCTGCGGGTTGGGGGGTGGTATGTAGTTTTGCCCTTCAGCGGTTGGGGGCTCTGTGGCAGAGGCCCGATTCCGTCGGATGATGATGGCGAGGAGCAGTGCGGCGAAGAACGGGATACCAACCCCTATCCCGACTCCGATGCCGATTTTCGCGCCCGATGATAGGCCTGATGTGCCGTCGGTGGGCGATGCAGTTTGTGCCGCCGCTCCAGCAGATGTCGCGGAGGCCGAGCCCGACGTAGGCAGTATTGTAGGAGACGTGGTGGGGTTGAAGGAGATGGTGCCCCCCGGGGTAGAGGGTAGGCTGGCGATCTCGTATAGCGTGGACTGCCCGTTAGGGTTCCGGATCAGCGGGGCCGAGGCGTTGCAGGTGCAGTCGGGCTCCTTCTGTATCGCGGTCCAGTTGGTATGGTGCGAGCACCCCGACCAGATGTCCAGGTTCTCGCCGTCGCACCGCGCCATGGCGACGTATTGCTGGTTCGGGTAGTCGAACTTGTTGGTGCATTCGTGAGAGCTGAAGGTGGGGTCTGTGCACCCCGCGACGTAGGTTACGACGGCTGTGAAGGTGGGGATTAGTCACAGAGGTACGCTTGATGCAGCGATGGAAGATCAGGCAAGTGAGTATGGCAAGAACGTACTGTTCCTATCCCAGCACGCTGTGCTTGAAAGGCAGTAATCCCCAACATAACAGCAGGGCTGAGGGCCCGACAGCGCGGCATTTCCACAAGGGATGAAGTTTGGGTCGGACACTTGGCCCGGCCCGAAGAAACAGGTGCCGTTTGACACGTAGAGGGCAGTATCGCTCATGATGTTTTTACATATAAGTACTGATTAGATTCTTAGCCGTGAGATATGACGAAAATGATAGATTAAGATGACTGGGAGGAACTGTTGGGGAATATGAATCCCACATATTCAACAGGCACCTGAAGGCACTCTATCTACCCAATACCCTCGAGTTTTAGAGCCTCGTGCAATATAGGGATGGTTGGTTACAGCCGTCGATATATGCACTCTTTTGATGAGCAGGATATCCCGACTTGTGGGTGTCGGCATCTGCATTGGATATTCTTCTATATCATTCGTCAATCTGTCACCACCATGTGTTCCACCACATCCACCTTTCGACTACTGCAGCCACGACAAACCCTTTAAAGAATAGAATATCGCGAACTATTACCTACGAGAAACCGCAGCTGTGTCCTGATATCATTGCCTAAAAGTTTCTAGTGTTAGGAACGATATTTCATTTCAGGGGGCTGAGAAATACATGGAAAATACCGACCTAAATATCGTCTGGAGTATTCGTTCGCCCTGATATTCACGATTTAAGCTGACCTAATAGCTACATATTACACCTTTGATGTTCTCGAAGCTTACAACCCCATCTTGGGGTAAACAAGACACTGGCGTAGCACGAGTCCGCCACCCGTCTCGCGAGAGAACACATAATTGGACGTGACGGCAAGCTAGATATGTGGTGACTCGTGAGAAAGCCCATCTATCTACCCCAAGAAATAATGCAATGAAAGTAAGCGTGGCGTTTCTACTTTGGGATGCGCCATTGACTTGGAATTATGTACCTCATCTCTTTGAGGATTGCTTTCCTTGAAGTATTACGGGGTAGCGAGATTGACTGGGATGAAGAGCAAAAGGGTGAAGAGCTAACTACCTACCTAGATAGCACCTACTATAACAGAGATATCTGGTAGTTACCTCGGTAGGTCCTAGGTAGACATTTTCAGATTAGATACTTATATCTTGTCAGAACAGAGTCATGGGTCATGTGATCTATTAAGGGGCTGCGTGGATCACTGCCTACATGTTACACTGACGGATAGTGTATTTGCATTAGTATAAATCTAGGGTAGATTTTCGTGTGTTCGACGATACACCTTTTGCCTTCAGCGTAAGATCTCACAGCCTCAACCTACCTAGGTTGGGTATATCCTCTACGACTCCTCAGTATATCTACGAGACTCTTAGCATAGGGTAAATCCGCTTCTGGAAAAGAATCTGATCACCTCCATGGTGATAGGGAGATATGATATGTACCCATGTGCCTAGGTACCTACCTGTGTACGTAGGTAGGTGTGAGATTCTATAGCAGCTCAGAGAGACGCATTCCTCAACTATAAACGCATACCCGTCAGGACATCGCATTGGAACCTTTGGGACCACGTGACCAGCCAAGGAATCACGTGCTCTTATTCGGGGGTGAGCGACGCACTATACTTGAAGGATGCAATGGATTCACTCAGCCGATACGATCATGGCGTCAATACAACGCTCGATGCTCTACGGATGGCGGTCCTAAATTATTTCCCGCTTCTCCGAGACCGCGAGATCCGCCTCATTGACGTACAGCCGGGGAAATTCACCGACGTACTTCGTCTCCGGCTATATCATGCCATTCTCGGTCAAGAAAGCCCTCAACCGTTTGAAGCGTTATCGTACGTGTGGGGTTCTGCAGCTGAGCCTGTCGAGGTATCTGCGGAAGTCGCACAACCGGAAAACAACATCTACCAAGTCAAATTTCTCGTTGGTCAGAATCTAGCGACAGCTTTAAAGCAGGGTTCGGACCAACCCAACTACATCTCCGACCCCCTCTGGTGTAGTTGGGTTGGTTATAATACACGACCACCTCCGGTGTAGTGTATACACGACCCCCTCTGGTGTATTACACTTACGAAAATTGCTGGTGTACATTAAAAGCGGGGCAAAAGCGCTCGCAAAATGAGGCTATTTTACCTACCTAAAGTATCATCTCGTGATAAAGTTTGGTGTTTTGGCTATGACGTAATTGCCAACCTGTTGAAGGTATCGCGAGCGCCACTGTCGCCATAAATGAAGATATCATTGTAAATGAAGATATCATTGATGATGTTTGAAAATGATTGTTTAATGGGCAGATGCTTAGGCTTATATATGACAAGAAGGGAGGTTTACTGATTAGAAAGACCTGAAAGGGCTTGAGTGTTTGATTTTTGTGATTGGCTAATTTAATCAAAAAGGAACGGGCGTTGAATATCAAACGCGTTGAATATCAAACGCGTTGAATATTAAACATTAAACGCGTTGAATACAATCAGTAAGTGGGACTTTTCAGAAATTTGAGGGCAAATCTCACGATATTTCCTTAGGTCTCGGGCCATCCCAGCCTTCTTTTAATATTTCAGCCTTACTGTTAGTGTTTACACCAAAAATACTAGTAAACACTAACAGTGGCTGTGCCCTGTGGCTTGGGTGGCTGGTATCCACTATAAATACACGTTATTACACCCAATCCAACTACACGGGACATAAAAGTGTAATTGGGTGGATTTAGAAAGTGGGTCTGGTGTAGTTGGATTGGGTTGGATGTAATACACTTGGTGTACACCGGTGTAATAGCGTGTAGTTGGTCCGAACCCTGCTTTAAAGTATTTGCGGTATGATGACAGGCCGAGAACGGTCTGGGCAGATGCCTTTTGCATCAACCAGGAGGACTACGAGGAGCGAGCGAAGCAGGTTTTGATGATGGGCGACATCTACCGACTCACACGTAGAGTTGTCGCTTTTGTCGGGCCAGAACAGGCAGATAACGATGTCGGGTTTGATATTTTCCAGCGGATAGGAGACAGTGTCGAAGTCGATTTTGGCTCTAGCATTGTGAAGCCTTCGCCAAGTGGTGCTGCTAGTAACCCAGAGTGGGCCGATATGCAGCAAGAACTTGGGCTAAACAAGCAAGAGATTTCGTCCATCTATAATATCATACGCTATGAATGGTTTGAACGATTGTGGATCAGGCAAGAGATCGGCCTTGGTGGAAGCGAAGGAGTCCTGCAGTATGGCCATAAACAGATGAAGTGGGAGCATTTCTGTAAAGCCATATTCATCATCAAGCGGAAGGCTATAGCAGCCGATGTAGTTGACGCTGCAGAGATGGAACACTTCCGACATTGCCTCGAAAAGGCTGACAATGTTGCACTGTTCTCGAAAAGGGGGTTTCGCTTCTCAAATCTCCGCCGGCAGCTTGGGGCGTCGAAGTGCAGTGATCCGCGAGACCGTATATACGGCGTTATGGGACAGCTTCGCGAAACGGATCGTATCGGCATTGTGCCGGATTACTCCAAAAGTGTCGCTGAGGCATACACTGACGCGACCAGGAAGTATATACAGGATTTCGGAAAGCTCTTGATCTTGAGTCAGTGCGAGCTGCGTACTACAATAACAACAACACCCATACCGGGACTTCCAAGTTGGGTTCCGGATTGGTCGACCGGTATGGTCTCGTTGCCAATCCACGCAGTCTTGCCGCCCCTTTTTGATATACTGCCCGCCTTTTCTGCTATCGATGACCACACCATTCAAGCGTACGGTATCCCATGCGGTACTGTCGCTCGCATCATACACGTCTACGGGGGAGTACCACCGGATGCTGGCCTTGATGATTTTGCCCAGGAATTACGCAGGCTGCTCCTGGCCGCTGAAGATGATACCATCATGAGAAAGTCGCATAGGTCCCGTGAACACATTCTTGAAGCGTACACTCGCACCCTCTGGGTCGACAACCTAGGTGATCGATGGCTTCCGAATGCGCTTCACGAACCCCTTTATCTCAAGTGCCTCTCGCTAGTACACGCGCTTATTGAGTCTGACATGGCGTGGAAAGACAAGTCGCTTTTGCACCAAGCAGAATTAAACCGATATCTCAACAGTGCGCATAATGCTTGTGCTGGTCGGGCTCTCTTTGTTACGGAGGATGGCCATATTGGATTGGCACCGGCCTCCATTGCGCCAGAAGACGAAATATGCCTCCTATTCACCTGTCCCAAGCCCATAGCACTGCGTCCAGTCCCCAGCACACCAGGAGCTCCGAAAATGATGCAATATAAAGTGGTAGGCGAGAGTTATCTTCACGACATGATGCTCGGCCAGGCTCTCCTCGGCGACCTTCCCGCGCATCTCCGCGGACTACTGAATGCCAATGCATTGATGGGACTTCATAGCGCCGGCTTCGTCGATGTTCGGACAAACAGTATCTCGCAAGAAGATCCGAGGATCCAGCCCTTTCTGTCTGGGCTGGTGGAAAGGGGGCTGTTGGAACATCCTACGGTGGAAGAGTTGGGGGAAAGGGACGCTTTGGGGGTTTTGCAAGAGGCGGGATACCCTGTGCAGATGTTCGATCTAGTTTAGAGGTAAGGTAGATTATTGTGTCGTTGCACGACCGCAGATACAGAACCCTTCCGATAATCTCTGATCAAGTACTTTGGCGGCGCAGCAGTTGACTTAGGTTAGGATACAAAAACTATCATTGTGATAAGAGTGATGAGGGTTCAACCCTAAATGCTAAGACAAAAGAGTCAATGGTGGCAAATTTCGATTGAGAAAGCTATGTGAATGTCTTAGGCACTGCAGGTTGCAGGCATCTAAATACTAGGTGCTCCTGCTCCACGAAGTTACCATCCCATAGAACTATCTCGCGACGACGCGACGACCTGATGACCTGGGGGAGCGAATCACGACTCGTGAGACACAGCCAGCCCCTAGCAGTCTAGTTCCAAAGAAGCAGCTTCAAACACAATCTCCCATGTTAAGCCCTTCCATGCGACATCGTTTACTTCGACTCAACAGAGTCTCCCTCGTCGGCGGAGGCAAGAATACCGTAGATGTCTATGTCAAGTTGTTAGCACTCAAGAGCCATTAGAAATCACGACTACCGAGCGGGTTGAGTCTCACATTCAGCGGGCTTGGGGGCCGGCGCGGCAAGGCCGATGGCTGCGAGAGCAATGACGACGACGAATGAGTAGTTCATGGTGACTGAGGTGATGAGTCTTGGGGGTTGACTATTTGGACGTAGATAGTAGACTGCTGGAGATGAATGTTTGGATGGAGACGAGGCTTCTTGGGTTGGTATGACTGATTCACAGCTGGATACTTATAGTGATCATCCTAAGCGCTAAGGGGACTCGGGCATATCTTCTTCAGCACGCGATTCGAATCGGCTTTTGGCATATCTGCCGCTTAGTCTCATTTCCCTATCACGGGAGGTATATCTATTGCGCCCTTCTTGAAACAGACCCTGCCTTGCTGTATGGCTGTTTCCCCATGGGCTCTGTAGGGGCCCTTGTTTGCTTGAATGTGTGGATTTGCTAGTGTATACGATGAGCATTTAGTCGATATATGATGTATTGGTGGATAACCACCTGGGCGGTTTTCTGAAGGATTCCGCGGGCTTATCGTGACTCGTCACAGCTTCCTGTCTTGGATCTGACAGGCTTTTTCTCGCGGAACCCAACCCTGTAATTGTCTCTAGCTTCTCATGGGTAGCACGAAGTGGAATATCGTCATACCCTACGATTCAACTGTCATGTCGGCTTTAGCCTACTGACTTCGACCTTTTCACATTATTTCCACGGCATCTTTCTACGAAGCGCTGCACCTTTGCTATCACGAAGTATTTAGCACAAAAGATATATGGTCTAACCCCGGGATTGCTCGCACAAGAATGGCCTCTGGACGAGAAAACGAGGAACGCTTTCAAGGCATCAAATATAATCAGCTAGGCGAGCACAATGATACACCGCGATCCCGAAAAGATGATTTGCGCTCCAAGGCATGGCCTTTTGCCGCAGGTCTCGTGACAGCCATCGTCATATTTATACTTTTCCAAGTAGTCAATTCCCTCTCAACAGCATCAGCGAAGAGCCCGGAGGAGATTGAGCGCGAGGAATGGAATCACTGCGGCCGGACCAGCGCAGATGCCGTCGCTCGCGGCTGTCTCATGGAGCCCAACTTCTACGGATGGTTTCCCTCGCGATGCGTCTTCTCTGAGCTCACTGACAAGTATCCGGTCTTCGAGGACCGGAAGTGGTTTGTGGACGTGAACCTGACGCAAGAGATTTCCGTCACGGACCTCTGGGAGGGGAAGCATGCCAAGATTTACACGAAGCGGTTAGTGATGGAATATTATCGACCACCCACCACCCCCTTTTCTGTGTAAGAACTAACTCGTAAATGATACTAGGGTGCATGGTGAGCATTGCCTATACCAGTGGAGGAAACTTCGATACGGAATGGAAAATCGGAAGGAATTCCTCGACTCTAAGACGTTTAGCACCCATCATGCAAAGCACTGCGCTGACGAGCTGTCTGTGCGTTGTGAGGGTGCCGAGGATAAGACGGAAGTGGAACTGGGGTTCTATCGATGCAAAAGAACAATTTGGTAGCCAGTTACAGAGGGTATCTACCTAATAAGCACCTGGATATGATTATCTGAGTAGTATTTCTTAGGATTCAAGCCTTATGTAGTACTGATTGAAGAAAGTCAGAACCCTGAAAAGACCACATGGCTTTGGGCAAAGCAGTAGAACGTGGTTGATCACGAGTAATAGCAATTGACCCTGTATTCTTTGCAGGATCTGAACCCCAGGGATTTGATGATTCGCTTACCGCGAAAAGTGACCTTCCGCATCGAGCTATTACCCGTCGCGAATAAGCAGCCCGGTCATGTGCAGGCGGCAAACTAGCTTAACACGACATGGCAGCTTGCCTACCTAGTAGCTACACGATCCTATCTTCGGGAGAAGTTTCCGATGGCCGCAAATCCTACTGGGAAAGCCTATCGTGCTTACAGTTAGGTAGGTAAACGATGACAATCTTGAGCCATGAAATGATAACGGAGTGGGGAGGTGTGTTGCGCAATCCATCGTCGAGAGTACAGTTCCCTCTCCTATCTTCCCCAAAGTTATTGTCGTTGATCCGAATGAAAACTTGACGGAGAGAGAGGAAAGGAATTATGACGAGATCGTCCGAGTATTCAGAGCCGAAAGATGAGTCGTCGACGGCTAGACTACTTTCCTCTGACGATGACTCGTATACATTCGAGACACCACAGGAAAGACCAAAGTCGCACTCCTGGAGCACAGCGCTATGTATCATAGCCTTCGTTCTTTCCCTCGTCACCACCAACGTGGTAAGCGTAATCATAACTCTCCAAGCTGTGCGCGGCTCCCAAGGCAGCCGGACCGTATCGGAACCTCCAGGAGGAGTAGCACCGCTGGTTCGTAGCATACTGGCCGACTCCAAGCCAACCCGATTCAACACGCCGTTCTACAACCGGGAGAATAGCACATACCGCGAACATGAGTCTGCAGATACAGAGGCCGCCTGGTTGGAATTGACCCAGATCCGTATGTAAATCCCAAGCTTAGACCTTATAAAGGGGAAGGTAGTCCATGGCCGTTAACATGGATTGTTTAGACGCCGGTATCCTCCTAGTGCCGAGTGAAGATGCTGAAGCCTCCGGGATCGACCCAAAGAAACACGCCTACTTCGACAACCCCGAGAAAGGACTTGTCGGGCACCCGGTGCTGATCGAAGCAACCCACCAACTGCACTGTCTGGTAAGCTGCTTCACACAACTGCTAGAACTCACGTCAGCTAACAGTCGTCCTAGAATCTGCTGAGACGGTACTCCTACTTCAACTTCAACTACACCAGCCAAGTAGAGCACACCGCTCTCTCGGCCACAACCTCGTACTACCAAAGCCTGCACGTCGGTGAGTTTGACTTGGAAATCCGCGCCCTATATTACCCACCCCCACCTACCCAGGAAGCTCAAGCATCAATAGGCACTGACTCAACCTAGATCACTGCGTAGAGTACCTCCGCCACCGCCTGATGTGCACCGCAGACGTCGGGATCGTGCCGTTCGTGTGGGGCGGCCACGAGGGCCGGCTGACGGCGGACATGGACCGCATGCACATGTGCAAGGACTACGAGTCCGTCCGGCAGTTTGTGAAGACGCACTCGATACCGAGGCCCGTGAACGGCGAGGTCAAGCCGAGGCCGGGGGACTTTGTTGTTGATGATTATATTTAGGCTGGGTGGCCGTTTAACTCCCAGGAACACCTTAGTACTAGGTAGAAGTCGAGAGGATTCACAGTCGGTCGCCAAGATGAATGCTTGCTGAATTGTGAATCGACCGATAAGTTCCAACTCATTCGGTAACTGTCGACTTTTGACAGGAGGGTTACTAACCCTCATCACTTACCCCAACCCCAACCCTACCCCTGGTGTAACCTAGAAATGGGGTTTATATGAATCACGTGATACCCCCCTTTGCAACACAACATTGGCATTCCTACCGATGCTACGTCTGCTGTCAGTGGTGGTTCCCCTGATTAACATGGTGGGTGACATTTAGTTGAACGGATGCTGTCTTTGTATGCGATAAGTGTTATGGCGGTACCTCAAGAGAGAATAATTGTGTGAGTTCCGCTAGGTTCTAACTGTGTTCACATAATAACTCTTTCAGATCAGAGGAAGGTATAGTCAGCTTTCATTTTCACAGGGGTTCACGGTTTCGCCTTCTTTGTACCTAGGTAGGCATGTATAACTACATATTCTGCCCTTCTGTCAATTACCTACGCCAATCGCGCATATTCTCCAGCACCTGCTACACCACCCGCTCCTCCTATACCCATCCAGCCACGGCAAATGCTGCAGGTCCCTCTTGGCTCACACCACATTCACATGATATGATCCAGCTGAAGCTCCCTCGCTCCCTCCCTTTCTCCCTTCCCACCTAAGCATAACGCAGGGGCAAAGCATCTCAATCTCAGCTAGGTATCTTATGACTTGCATACTACCTACCCACCTACCCACCTACCTAGTACCTACAAACCGTAAACAGGTGCATAATTCCAGACCTAGACCCATCCTACCCATCCTACACTGCCTACCTTGCTCAGGTACCCGAGAACGAACGTCTCAGGGTTAACCGAGGCGGTTTCCTGTTTGCTTGATAGGTAGGTAGGTACTAGGTACTAGGTACCTATATAACGCTACGACGCCTCTTTAGAGGGTGGGTGGTATGCATTCGTGGATTACTACAGACAGGGCAGACAAGCAGGCCGCCCTGTTTTTCCGTAGGTCTCGGCCTCAGGGGGCACCGTTAACCGTAGTTCTTGGGAAGAAGACAACACCCCTTTTCTACTTTTTGCGAGCCAAGGGTGTACTGTTCTATTTTTTTGGTCAATGGTTCAGCTGAGATATGTGATTTCAATCAAGCGTTATTGTGTATCGGATTGGACGTGTTCCAAGCCTCGGGAGCATGAGTAGGTCAGTAGGAGTCAATTGAGCTATTGTATCCCACACGAGACATAGCACAGCACTGGGGAGCTTTAACTTGGGCTTGAAGTTGCAATGTAAAATTGACTTAACGAAGAAGGGTATCACTTATTATACGTATTTTCAACGGACACTCGTAGAACCTGACTAAATATACAATGGCAGCCTCAAACCTATGTCACCATGGCCCGCCAACCTCTCAAATATGTAGAAACTAGGTTGGCCGGCGTCCTTTTCCTCGCATATTCACAACAAAGTGTCTCAGCCAATAATAGTGGATGGGGAATGAGACCTAGAATAGCACTGATATATTTTACCAGCACGCAAACATGAACTTCCTGTAAGCATATACATAAACACATAAGACTGGTGCCATCATCTCATCTCAAATGCGATCCCGGGCCCACGGATGCTGCCTGTCGTACCCGTCCATCGACGCGCCCTCGCGCTCGTAGCCTCCGCCGCCGTAGTCCTCGTGCGTCACGACCTGGGTCGTGCGTAATATCTTGCCGGACTCGACGGACCCCGTGTTCTCTCTGAGGCGCTCCATCGACTCCGACGAGATGGGCTGTGCCGTCGAGTCGATCGTCGTGGTCGTCTGGAACACGGGGCCGTTGCCGCTCTCAAGGTTGTGGTAGTACGAGTGCGACGTGTTGGCCTGGGACTTCTCCATGATGATGCTCGAGCCGGGCCAGGACTGCGCGCCGGTGCCGCTGTCCCGGGAGCTGGACCGGTGCGGGAACCGGCCCTTGAGCGAGCGCAGCGAGGAGACAAAGCGGCTGGGTAGGTGGCTGTCTGATATTATCTTGGCTACGCTGGGGACGCCGAATACTAGGAACATGCACGTCATCTCGGCTAGTGCGCAGAGCATGATCGACGTTGTGTTGTATAGCTCGTCGGTTGACTTCGTGAAATGGATCTCCGAAGCTAAACGGATGGTAGCTGCAATACAGCATCTGAATTTCCTTGAGCATTAGTATCGGTGGTCTTGACAGTTCAAAGAGATGGAAAGACTTGGAGGGTATAATTCTCAAACTATAGAAAAAGGGGGGCAATGGCGGGGTAGAGGGGCACTTACACAATACCAATTGCGAAGATCACGGAGACACCTCGCTTCGTCTTCGCTGACATTTTAAGTCCCCAGATAATACGCTGCGGTAGAATCAAAATGAAGATATCCGAGGCAAGATTCAGCACCGCGGATGCAATATTGACAGCCTGTGTGTTAATCGTGCAATACCCTCCTGCGTACATCGGATTCCAAGCCTTCTCGACCGGGATACAGGGGAAGATCATGACAAAGAGGACTACGATGTAGAAGATAGTGTTCATGCCCAGCACGGCGTGGCAGAGCCAGAAGAAACGGTTTCGGACGCCGTAGGGCACGAAGATCCGGACCCACTCGAGTAGAATCGCCGCCTTGATGGTTAGGACGGCGATGATGTAGAATATATTGCTCAGCCACATAGGAAAGAGTATATCCGGCATGTCTTTGACACGTACGTCCCATTGGTGAACGAATGCGCCCGGCTTCGCCTTTAAACGGTAACCCAGATAGATATCAGCCAAGTAGCAACCGAAAGCGAGGACCATCAAGACTATCAAGTCATTAGTAAAAAAAGCCTAGACATGGTACAACTCAGATGCGAAAGGATCGAATGAGATGTCTCACCATCGGGAAGTTCTATCTTCTTCACACAGAATATCCTAGCGTACGATCGAAGCAAGAAGGCAATGGATGCGAGTACTAGGCATATCGGTACCACCACCCCGGGGATGATGTTCTGATTGTCCGGGTGGTCAAAGTTTGGTATAACATTGTGCGGCGGCGGTAGAGCCGGCCCATTCAGGAGCGCCTCCAGCTGCGCCGGTGTCAGCGATGAAAGTTCTGCCGCCATTATGTGATGTTTGTTCGTCGTCGTAAATGTTCCACCGCAGTCTGGCTCTCGAAGTCTCGGACTAAAGAGGTAACAGACGGACAGTTCGCAGTCACGAGTATCCTGTAGTTGGGGTTTTTAAAAACGGGAACTCCCTCTTAAAGTCAACACATGGTTGGGACTGAGTGGGTGAGAACTCTATGTATACCCAACTGCCCATTGAATTGATTCACGTGCTTCCTCCCGTCGGATGAATTCGATTTGGGATAGCGTGCGTGGCAAGCCCATCTGACATGCATGGCAATGGGCGTGGTAAGTGGGTAAGAACTGTAGCCATGTGTTTTCCTTGACTCAGCGGCATGAAGGAGCTGAAGCGGGTAGGGTGACATCATGCAGTACCATTGGCTAGGCTGTGCCTTTTTCCAATAGGATTCCTGCACACCGAAAGCTTACTGGACAGCCAAAGGCTAGTGCTGATATGTGCGGGAAAATCGGCCAATATGTGTGTGTTGATAATTCCATTGGGCAGACTCTTGTTTTGCTTCCAATCATGTAAGTTGATGTAACTGGGTTTCAGGCGGAGGGTTACAGTTGGAGGGTAAAATCGACTTAGTGGTCGCCGTGAGGAGACTATGTTGTGGTATTAGACCTAAGATATAGTGGTATTGTAATCTGATCGTGTGGAAAACGTCGCGAAGGATTGGACTAACCTACACATGGGTGTTGTGGAATGGAACTAGACAAGCTAATAAGGCAGTTGTGTATCGGTTTCCGAGGATTGCCACGTTCCGTGCAACGCTAGATGTCTCGATAGAGTCGTGTAATACATATATTTTATTCTGCCTGCCTAGTTTCCCGCGTACCATATCTGTACATATGTAGCTACCGTAGCAGGCCAGGATTTGCGAGATATGCGTGGGTAGCGTGGGTAGCGTGGATGGGTGGCATCATCAGCCCCACGAGCCAATCGTTTGTCGTCTTACATAGTATAATATGTGAGACCGCATAATACATGATGATGATAAGTATGTAATCTTTCCCAGCGCCTTTCTACCCATCAAATTCTTGCTTTTTCTTGGTTTCAAAATATGGATTGTTACCGTACCGTTGTTTGATCTTCTAAAGTCCCACCCCCCCCAAAAGAAAAAATGCAAAAATGATAAGAAAAGAAAAACATATGCGGCGTTAAGTTTACGTCAGCCTAATAACTAAGCCATGAGCTATCCTGTTTTCTGCCAAGATGGCCCATTTAGCGCCATAATACTACCTACTAACCTAGGTATCCTAGTAGCATATTAGGTGGTAGCTATCGTTAAATCCTTTAGCATACAACGCTACGTATAGAAGTCTACTGCATTCGCGTAAATTTGTTGCGGCACGGGTAGTATCCTGTTGATTTATAACTACCTAACATAGTACAGTTACCAGGAAGATATAAAAAGGGCGCCGCTAGTTTGACCTGTAATTGACCTCGGTGAAAAATCTGAAGTGGTCAAATGGGTTCACCATAACCTCATCTTATTTATCGCATCAGTTCCCCCAGAATGCATACCTACTTTTAGGTAGGTAACCACTTGGGATTTCTTGGTCTTAGTCTCTAGGCTGATGTCCTAGAAGCTGAGCAGCATGTAAGCAAGCAAGTCCATGGCACTGAAGCCTAAGGAGGGGGTTCTATAATTAGCCTAGGCATCCCTGAAGCTTCTTCGGGAGATCGCGCTAAGATCAACTTTAAAAGTGCACAGTCTTTGCTGGTCCTAGGGGGTTCCCTGTTCCCTACACGGAACCCCAGATGACCCCATAATTCGAGAATCAATGTCAGATGTGTACCTACTAGGTAGCTACGCAACTACGGTAGGTTTGCGGCGTATTTTCAGTCGTGCCTTAATCTACGGAGTATCTATTTCCTAGTGTAGGTCCCCAGTATAAGGAAGACAATCACAATCACAATACTCCCGCCCATCCTTCGATCAAAACGTGATCAACATGTGATTAAGATGTGGTCTTGGACCTCTGAGATCCGTACTGAACTAGTTACCGTATTGTCCTACTCAAGTACCACGTGACTTTGGAAGCACATTACCACCTATAAAATCACATGACTCTTGTTAGTCATCGTCATCATCGAAGTTGTCCACGACAATAATAGCGGGAACTTGGAACATTGGATTCTACTATACAACTCACTTGATAAATCCATGCACTTCCTTATATCCTATTATCTATGAATGGTCCATCTCTCTTTCCTTTCCCTTTAAACCCTCCCCAATCCCACCTCCCAATGCCGCAACGCAGTTAATAAATGGCGTAAGAAGTCCATTCAAGATATACAAGATATATTAAAATCACGAATGCACTTTCGAGATTCACCCTCTCCACGCTACAACCCTAGAGTGCCCTTCATCAAACCATGTCATAGTCTTTTCACATTGCCAAGCCATGACGTTATTCCGATATGAATGGTGCGTTTGCTGAAAACACGCCTGCTTATAGGCTCCCCCGCACAAGGGAGATGCAGTCAATGCCAACGTCTTTAATATCTGCTCAGGGGTTATGTGACCTTGTTCGGCACGCGATGGTGTTGTTGACTTCAGGTAGGCAGGTAGTAGCTTTGCGTGATGCTTTTTGCCATTTTCCTCCAATTGGCGTGCGTGATGGGCGTGAGATCATGTTCTAGAAAATGCGCGTATACCCAGATCTTAGACTTTGGAGTAGGTATATAAGGCTTTAACCATGCTCTATTTGTAGACAGCTCTTGAACTACCTACTACACTTACCGCCTCGCCATCTCGTGCATCGTGTAAGAAGAGCTCTTTGCAAATATGCGGTTTCTCCAGGCGTCGTTGGTATGTCTCGCAGCCGGTGCTGTTCGAAGCTCTGTTATAGAACGGCAGAGTAATGGAGGGTTCGAGGATGGCCAACCGATTGATGATACTGGCAAAGGCGCCCCCTTCTCAGGTATTTATCGTCTCTACATGCCCATAGCTTTCTCATCGCGTGCCTCCTCGATGTAGGCTAACCTAGCTATTCAAAGGCGGCACCAACCACGTCCTTGATCTCCAAAACCCAGACAACTTGGGCCAGCAAAGCACAGACAATGGCGTCGTCCCGAACCTCAAATGGAGCTTTTCGGACTCCAAGACGAGGATTCTTAGGGGAGGTTGGGTCCGCGAACAGGTTGTCACCGACTTGCCTACTAGCCGAGATATCGCGTCAGCCCAGCAGCACTTGACAAAGGGGTCGATCCGGGAATTGCACTGGCATCGAGTTGTAAGCCATGGATACTGATATCAAACACCCCGAAGATTTTTTCGCTCTCTAATACCTACCTGAACTCTAGGCCGAATGGGGTTACTTGTATGCCGGGTCCATCCTCGTCTCAGGCGTCGACCAAAACGGCCAGTATCAAGTTGCAAGGCTCGAGGAGGGAGATGCCTGGTACTTTCCCAAAGGCGTAGCCCACACCGTGCAGGGGCTCGATGACCAGAATGAATTTCTCCTGATATTTGACGATGGCGACTTCGACGCTGTGGGGTGAGCTATAGACTAAAATAATCGAAAAGCTCCACGCTAATGGGTTATAGAACGACCTTCAACGTAGATGACTGGATTACACACACTCCCAAGTCGATTCTGGCCAAGAACTTCGGACTGCCGGAGTCTGTTTTTGGTTCGGTGCCGTCGCCGAACCCGTACATCACGAACGGGACTATCGACAACCACAACGTGACGGGTGGCAACGGTGAACTCACCGGCAATGCGTCTTTCGCCTACTACGCCAAGGATCATCCGCTCGAGAAAGTCCCGGGCGGAGGCGGAACCCTGCGTATTGTCGATTCCAAAACTTTCCCCATTGCGACAACGATAGCGGCGACTATTGTCACTCTAGAGCCTGGGGCACTACGAGAGCTGCACTGGCATCCGAACGTAAGTTTCGGGTACCTATAAAGATAATCGTTTATATGGAAATAGTTGCTTACAAGCTGGCCAGGCCCAAGAATGGCTATATTTCCACAAGGGCCAAGGACGCGCGACCGTGTTCATAGGAAATGCAGCATCTCGCACGTTCGATTTCAGGGCTGGAGACACCGGGGTGTTTCCTGACAATAGCGGTATGTTTATTACGCCCATCAAGTCTCCCTACCTACTTTTTTTGGTACCCAGACACTAACATATCTATCTCCCAAGGCCATTACATCGAAAACACCTCCGATACGGATGACCTAGTGTGGGTTGAGATATACAAGAGCGACCGGGTCGAGGACATCTCCCTGACGCAGTGGCTCGCGCTGACGCCAGCGGGGATCGTGGCAACCACCTTGAAGATTCCCGTGGACGTGGCCGAGAACCTGCAGAAAGAGAAGCAGCTTCTCATCAAGAACAGGTGATCAGGCTGTCGGCCCGAGTAGGTGTAGGTAGGCTGGGTACTACCTATCTACCTAACCTAGGTAGGTAGTATGGCGTTTTGCCCCCGCCGGTCGATTCAATATTATGCAGTCATGGATATCTTCTAATTTTAGGTAAGCACAAGGGGAAAAAAAGGCCACCATATAACTACCTAGTTAGATAGGTATGCACACCTAGGGTATATGTGGATGAGCAGTAATGAGTGTAACCGTAAAATTTTTAATCAACTAATACATTTATCAATGATCATGGATGTCTTCATGAGGCGCTGCCAAATGTCTTACCGTCGAATTCGATATGTCATGTAGTACACCAACATCGCATCTGTCACTGCTAGCCCTGGAATACATGTGGGTGTGGATGAGCCCCCATCCCCCAACGATACTATACATTCTCTCGATTGACCTTGGGCTAATACAGGCTCAATTCGAGCACTAGTTGTGGCTTTAATACAAGCCTCTCTAGGATCTGGGTACCTAAGGTTAGGCACCTGAATTACCTAACCGGTTAGTAGATATTGGTACCTCTCTACTATAACTACTGGGTTAACATCCAGGCACCTACTTAATAGCAATTATCTGATTGAATGCGAGCCTTTGGCAAGGATAAATCCATAAGGCGCAGCAGTCAATAATCATCGCAACTAGCGGCGTCGATATTTTTTGCGACAAATCTTTAGTTATTATTATATGCAAGTCTCATCGCGTACCGCAGATCTAACCCCATATGCCCCCAAGACAAATGTTGGCTAGAGAAAAAGTGCTGTTAATGGGACTGAACCAGTAAGGTGGTGGGTGGTGGGTGGTGGGAGGGTGATATCGCTCCATCATCTTCTACATAACTAGTGCCGTTCTTTAGGTAGCTGACCAAAAATAGCAGCAAAAGACTTACGCTGTATGGCTCAAAAGGCAGCTTTTTTTCTCTATGTGAGCTCAGCGGCCATGCCGATTACTGTCAGCTCTACCTAAATAGGTAACCTGGGCCCCAAAGAACCAACAGAGCCTTGCTTGTTGGTACTTCTGCAGAATTTACAATAAGACCATAAAGACGACCAACTTTCGTCATTGGGGCCTGATGGTCACCGTCCCATCCATCTCCCTCTCTCTCCCTCGGACCGGATACCATCGCTCATATTAGTTACGGAATTTCAACCGGAGACAAAACGAAGCTGGAAAATAATATATCGAAAAAGAAAAGCAAAATGTCCAGGGTATCGCTCGCTCTCAAAGTGGCCATAGGCTTGCTTATGGTCGACTCCATCATCGAATTGTCCTTCGTTAGTAGCATGGTCGGATGGATACACCGCAGGGCTAGCCAGGGTTTTTTATTCAACCTCGGCGACTCGACTTTCCTCCTAGCTGGCGAGCCATTGAACATCATGGTCGATCAGGGCCATACCAGCAACGGCGCCGCGGGAACTGCTTTTGTTCTCATCGGGCTCGGCGGCATTATCGCTCTCACGCTTCGATCGTGGTCCCGCAATAAGTCGGGCGGAGTAGCGGCATTCTCGCAATGGGTGTACTATCTCTGGCTATTGCTCACTGTTCTGGCCTTCTTCCTTACGACGGGGGCGCTGGGGTACGTGTTCTCAGTGACGAATGCGCACGAGGGTCAGACTATCGACACTGCCCTGGCCGCAGGGTTAAACGGCGACCGCTACCCGCTAGACTCCTGGACGCCGCAAAATTGGTTCTCGGCTGTACTGCAACTAGACTTGGTGGACGCGAGAGGCGACATACAGAGCCACTTGTCGCTCATGAGAGGGTGGCAGTACAACTTGATCCCAATGTTCCTGGTTCAGCTGGTTGTTACGGTGCTTGCGTGGTGGGAGTTCTTGAGCTGGCGAAGACAGACGAGGAATGTTGTTGTACACGAAGAAAAGTAAAGGGGAAGCATGCCTAGTACGGAGATATAAGGGGATGGACGGGTTAATGGGTGGAAGAGTGTCGTCGGTTTAACTACATAAAAGAGGAGCGCAGCATACACTTGTACACCACAGGTCATTACCAAGAAAAGGGTTCGCAAGTTTGGTACAGCAATGTCGGAACCTATTTCAAGATTCCCATTAAGAATAGCATGAATGAATAATAATGAATTCGTATAATCAGGTACTGATGGTATACGCAACTTAATAAATGCCATGTGGTATACCGAAGGATAGTGGCTGAGTGGTAAAGCTAAGGGAATGGAATGACAGCATTGGACGCCCCCAATATTATAAGGGGCGGAACCCCACTACGCTACTTGCTAGTGGACGGCGGTGAGTGATTCTGCCGTCATTTTAGCGTATGATCTAGGACTTGAAGGGACTTGAGGGGTCCATGTGTCCACTTTCCATGTGTCTTTCCATGTGTCTTTCCATGTGAGGGAGGGAGGCCTTCTTTGTTCATCTCCCTTATTTCAATCCTTTCCCTCCATCAATTGAAGGTTAAGACGAACGTTATTTCAAAAGACTCTGCTGGGTTTGCCATTATTCAAAACCTTATCATCAATATTGAAGTATATTACATCATATGGTTATATAATCGTTTCTAGCTTTACAAAATAAACATGTCGAACCAAGATTACTACGGCGGAGGCGGCGGTGCTGGGTACGGTGGTGGTTATCCCCCTCAGAATCCGAATCAGCATCAATACCCTCCGCAGAACGCCGGTGGTCAATACCCCCCACCCAACCAGTATCCTCCTCAAGGCCAATATCCCCCCGACCACAATCAATATGGCAATAATCAATACGGCGCCCCTCAGCCGTCGCATTCACCAAACCCTGGAGGATATGGACAGCCCCCGAAACAATATGACGCATATCAACCACCACAAGGTTACGGTGCACCTCCGCAACACGGGAGCCCAGCATACCCCGGTGGCCCGCCTGCCTACGACAATCGGGGTGCTCCTGCACAAGGTCATAGCTACCCACCACAAGGACAATATCCACCACCCGGAGGTCCCGGGGGTCAATACCCGCCGTACCAGCAAGGCCAACATCAGCAATACCCGCCCATGCAACATGGGGGTGCCCCCGGGGGCGACCCTAATAGCACCGATAGAGGGCTTGGAACAACATTAATAGGAGGCCTGGTCGGGCATGCGGTTGGATCCCACGCGCACCCCTCTGGAGGCATACCTGGCATGCTTGCCGGGGCCTACGGTGGTCATAAGTTGGGCAAGACGCATAAGAAGGACAAGAAGCACAAGAAGGACAAGAAGAAGCACAAGAGCCATAGCCGCAGCAGCAGCTCGAGTAGTAGCAGCAGTAGTGATTAGAATGGCTTACTTACGTGGTATGACTGGGTGTGAATACAACCCGAGGGATTTGTTGAACGGAACCCCGGGATGGATGGATAGACGATGTTATGATTGTTCGTTGGTATGAGTTGAATGTCTCGGGTGGAGGTTTCTATCAGAGCTACTCCTAGCAAGCTCTTCATTCCGCCCTGCTGTTCCGTCGTGCTTGGATATGATCGCCAGCTGCATGTCAACTACCTATCTACCTGCCTAGTTCATACCCCTATTGACCTATGACTTTATGTTGCTGGGCTTGATAAAACATGCAACATTTCGTTCGAGTTTTCTTCAGGCTGTTGACGGTAGGTATGTATCGCTTTGGTAGATCTCATGAACGCTAAGCCGTCCCGTTTGGCTCAGCTCATCCTGCTCGAAATCCCTGTAGGCGCCTACCCACCTACCTACGCACCTACAGTAAGTAGAAATCATATCTTCAAAACCTCACAAATCCAATCCCTCTCCCCCTCCCCCTCCCCCGCAACCAACCCCCTCAACTCCAAAAGCTCCCTCGCCCTCAACCCCAACCACGCCACCCTCTCCACCACCCTCAGCCTCCCCACCCACCCCCTCTGCTCCTCCCGCGACCACCCCGGCCGCGCATCCAGACACAGACACAGCAAGTGCACAAAGAACCGCGGCAGCAGCACCCGCGCCTGCCCGCCAAACAGCTCGAGGCAGTCCGGCACGATGCTCACCTGCGGGTCGCGCGCGCCGTTCATGTGGAACAGCGCCGCGCCCATCACGGCCCACAGCGTGTTGCGCGGCGGCACGAGGCCGCGCAGGGTGGCCTCGATGTGCGCGCTGCAGTGGTAGACGGTGCGGTAGCGGATTCGGGACATGAAGGTGGTGCGGGATGGGGAGGAGGAGGAGGTGGTGGTGCTGCTGCCGATGAGGCCGGCGGCGACGGCGGACTGCCAGAAGGACTTGATTTCGAGGCGCCGGGTCGAGCGGTGCGCGTGGTAGGTGTCGTGCCAGGTTAGCTCGTCCCACTGGGAGGTTAGTTGTGTGAGTGAGAAGTAGGTAGGTACGAGCTGGTATGGTAGGTGAGATGAGAGGATAGTACTATAACAGCTTAACTCACCTCTCGGTCCCAGATACTAATCGTATGCACCCCCTTCTGAAACGTCGCGCGCCGGTCGATCCGGTGCTTGTGGATGAAGCAGAGGAACCGGTACCGCGCCGAGTCTTGCCGAGAACCGCCTCCCCCTCCACTCCGCAGCGGCACCCACGGCTTCTCCAGGTCCTCGATGATCGCTTCATCCAGCTCGATTATCGGCCGCGTTTTCATCGGCGTGCCTTCCGGCGCGACGAGCGTGACTGTGTGGAAGTACGCCCATGGCATATCATTATCATCGCCCCTGTTGTTGATGCAGTTGTACGCGTTGAGCGCCAGCGGCACGGCGTCAAGGCGTGGATAGCTACCTTTAGCCAGCGCCCGGAGCACGGCGGTTAGAGCGTCGAATTGTTCGTCGTCGAGGTCCGGGATGAGATTTTGTGGGTTGTTGTCGCGGTAGCGGAAGGGCGCTGGTTTAGGTGCTGGGGAAGGGGGGGCGTTGCGTTTAGTGTGTTTAGACATTGAATCAGTTGATAGGATTTTCTTTCGGTATTGAGCGTCGGAAGTTTCTCTGCTACTAGTCGAGGTTGTGTCGGGTGTGTAAGTAGAGCACCTGGATTCAGGGGTAAGGGGCATGTGTTTTAATCGAGGCTTTTCATTTCTAAGGTTAAGTACCTACCTATGCAATTCTAGAGTTCAGGTTCCCATTCGCTCAATAACTCGGGAGCCTACTCGAAGGTTCTAGTCTGCGAGTTTACCTTTATACTGGATATAAGGCCTTTGGTTAGGTGATAAAGATGTAGGTTGTCTACCATAGGCCACCGCCAACTGCCTATTGGAAGTCATCATATGTAATCGACCTATTAAAGTTCTAGTTGCATGTTTGCTAATCGCTTTAGCATCTCGTAAATATGTTGAACAATAAAAAATGAAGACCTTCATGGTCTTTGGGTTTAGCTACAGGTACCTATTGGTGTATATAAAGACTCTAGAGCCAGCCTGGAAGGCACTGATTATTAGAGCTGCTCCCTTCATTGCTTGATTGTTAGATAGATACCTACCTATTCTTTAGCACCAGACTCATCACTAATGCTTTGAGCAGGCTGTAGAGTGATTAGGCTTAAGTCTGCCGCTGTCCTGGAGTCGGCTAACCTCTTCTGCAAGTTATAGGAGGTATTATAAGGGCCTATAGTCAAAAGTATTGTGGAAAAGTCAGGCGTAGAAAGAATTACAGGGATGAGGTATGCCAGTAAGAAGAGCGTATGCCGATATCGTATTATTGTCACGTTACTACCTGAGGATACGAAATACTTCATTATAAACACGAAAGAGGACTCGTAACTGGTATACGAGATTTGGCTTACACTATAACGTGTAGTGATGACACTGAGGCATATAAGCCCCATGTGGGAGGATGTGTTCCGCAACGGAGAAGAAAAATGGATCATGGCTATAAATAGGGGTTCAAAGTTTGGAGGGGTAGCTACAACGAATCAGAATATACTAGCATGCACCATTTAGAGAAGTAGGATTCGATGCAATGGTGTTAGATTATGATGTATATTGATAAAACCACCAGTTTATTAACCGTCATAGTAGGTGAGTAGCCACGACGTATCCAAAAACAACCCTCTCCGTTTTTAAGCCCTCGATATTCGTGCATTTATCCTGCACGTTCTAATCTAGCCATGCCTCTATCCGTTCCATCCAAAACTCCAAGTATATACCCTTTTCCGTTTAGATCCCAACCTTTTTCCAAACTGCCTACACCTCACAGGCCCGAGAAAAAAGATAAAAACTCTAGGCCGGGATAGAGCTCTCTCGTGTCGCCGTCATGACAACAGTCCTGTGAGACTGGCCCATCGGGCCGGTAAGGGTGCAGGTCAACGGGTTGAACTTGCCCATCTGCAGACAGAACAAGTACCCGTTGGGATCATTGGTGCCAGGGGCGAACTTGAGGTAGCTTGAAGCCTCCAGACCCTCCCTGTACGTCCTAATTAGTAATATTCTTCCACGCTCGAAAGAAAAAGAGAGAAAAACTTACCCGTCGGTTTTCAGTTGCTCCCACAGCTCAACACGGAAGTTCGTGTCGCTGGTCCATCCCTCAGCTGGCAGGCGGAACTGCAGCGCGGTGTCGGTACACGGGGCCCACGATGTGGGGCCCGGAGTAGTTCCAGCGGGCCAGTCAACGCGGCATGATGTGTTGAGAACGGCGCTCTCGTTGGTTGATGAGGAGTCTGGGTAGGACACTGCGATGTTGACGTAAGAGTTGACTGAGTCGACGCCGTAGACTCCGGGGTACGGGAATGTGGCGCCGAGGCTGGTGATGTTGAATTGGGGAGTGGTGTCTCGGGGCTCGAGAGGGAGTGCGAGAGTGAGAGGGAGAAGGGGGATGAGAGATTTGAGGATGGATAGGGTATACATTATGCTGGTGGGATGAATATTCTGTTATGATAGAGGTGTGATGTATGATGGACCTGTATAGTGGTTTGATGTTGTTAAGTAACAGCTTCGAGTAGTAGGTAAGAACTCGTTTATAAGGTCTTAGTTGAAGTATACTATAGGTGGGTGATGAACTGAGAATCTAACTTTATCTACGACACTTCCTTATACTTATACTCAGAAATAAGAAATGGAGTCCTAAGCCAATAGTAACAATAGTCCAAACTCATTCGCCCATCATCGTACACCAACCATTCATTTGCGGTCCCTCATTAGAAATCTCTTCACGATTAGACTCCGACTATCCACGTGCCCATGCTGTTGGACTGCGCCTTGGTGGAAACCCTCCGGACAAAGCAGGGCGTGGTAAGAATACGAGAAATCTCATGACGTTGCTGACCTAATTCCTCTCTCATACGTTACACGAACGCACCCAAACGGTTGCTGAGGTGAGGTGGCAAGTATTCGCATCTCGGTCCGGTAAGAGCTGAGCAAGTTGATTCCCGGTGGGCTAATAAGAAGAGCTGAAAGGCATGCATATTGTGGACATTTGCAGAAAGATCGGATCAGCCGCAACGAACCCTGTGCATGCAACTCCGTCCCGTCCTCGCGTGCAGCTAAGTAGCTCAGCCCGAACTGTTGGGACATTCTAGAAAACTTACCAAGCTCATCTCTTTTACTTTACAGATCTATAAACTAAGGAATACGTCGAGTAAAAGTTACGTTGCTAGGCTATGTTAAAAGCGCCACTTATGACAGACGCAATAAATCGTGCTTTGTTTATAGAATTATGCTACCAATCCTTTTACGAGTTCGTAATAGAGAAATGCAGCACTGATTTGATTGGTAACGAACCGAAGAGTTCACTTTACACGCAGTTATGTACTTGTAAGATAGTGCAAGTTATCATTTAAACCTTGCTAAAATTCAAAGGATTGAGGGAAAAATAAAATGCCAACTGCATCTATATATACCTAAGCAAACATTTGGCAGGCCTCCGGAGAGTCTTCCCCGTCTTACTTACAGGGAGATGGTAAACATGGAACCTGCAAGTTATCTCATATAGAGCCTAGGGACTGTATCCAGCTCTTGCTGATTCTTCATAAATACCTAACCTACCCTTAGCTTGGAAGTTAATAACAGTCACGCACTTTTTCATTCATCTAGGACTCATCTTTCGCTGAAGCTTATGGGGTGTGGTGCTGTCAGATATACTGACATAAACTACCCGGGCAACGACTGGTTTACCTTTTGGCGTAGCGGTAAAATCTGACATGTGCCATGTGTCCTGGTTGGATTTGCTATGGTTCCAATCTAATTCGTTAGTAAAGTTCGTGGATACAATTCAAATGTGCCGCGCTCATTCGGCTACGAAATGATGGATTTAACGGGGATGATTTAATACATCTTCTGTAAATCTTTTCCAAATATCTCCCAAAGGGAGGGGCTCTGAAAGCGCATTGAGTCCTATATCTTGAAGCTAGAATAGGGGGGCTGTAGCGGTAATGGTGGGGAGTAGTGTAGCCGAGACGGAGCCGAACTTTTAGCACCCGTTTCGGCTCCGGACGTTACTCGGCGATTAGGTGAATATAAGAGTCTCTGGAATGACTCGGATTGGAAGACATCACATATTTGAGGAGATTCACCCTTCAATTCATCCTATAGTTAATATAAATATAAATTGACAATTATCATGGCCACTACTATGGAAGTAAAAGTTGAAAATACACCAGCAGTTCTGGAGTTGCCTGAAGCTCAACTGCACGCAACCATCAACTATTACTCTCTACCCACACCTCCATCCCTCGATGACCTATCCATCTTAGACGGCACCTCGCCTAACATCGCCTCCCACAAAGTCCCAGTGGCCGACTTGCGTAGCCTCCCACTGTCCAGCTATAACCACTCCACCCACGGCTTCCAAGTCCTGCACCAGCCCCTGGCCATCAACCCCTCGCACGAATTCGTCCACGACCCTACTATCCTGACCTCCCAGTACTACCCCTCCATCATCTCTCTCCTGAAGGAACAACTTCACGTCCGCTCCACAGTCGTCATCAACAGCACCCTGCGCGACATCCCGGCGCCGGACCCCTCCGCCCCGCCCATGGACTACAAGAACCCCCGTCCCACCACCGGCGGCGCCTCGCTCTTCCCGTTTAGCTTAGCGCACTCGGACTACACCCCCGGCGGCGCGCGCACCCATCTGCGCGCCATGACGCCCGACTGGTTCTCCGCGACCGGCACCGCGGACGGGTGCACGAGCGCCGACGAGCGCACGCTGTTCCTCCGTCTCCGCGACGAGATCATCGACGCCGAGGACCGCGCCATGCGGAAGGCGGGCCTGGAGCCCGGCGACGACTACGCCGCCGCCGCCGCGCCCGCAGACGGCGGCAAGAAGAAGGGCGGATACTGGACCTGGGACGGCCGCGGGTACGACGGCCCGCGGTACGCCATGTTCAGCGTGTGGCGCCCCTGGGAGACCGTCCGCCGCGACCCGCTCGCCGTCCTGCTGGCGCCTGCCGCCGATCCCGACGGCTGCGTCGCGCTGCCGCGCATGTATCGGAATCGGCCCGGGTGCGTGAGCGAGTACTACAACGAGAACGCGCTCGTGAGACCGCCTGCTAGGGGTGGGGAGCAGGTGTGGGGATACATCAGCGAGCAGAAGCCGGAAGAGGTGCTGGCGCTCAAGTTTTATGATAGCGAGGCTCTGAGGAGGGGCGATGGGAGCGTGAGGTTGATGTGTCCGCATAGCGCGTTTACGCTCCCTGGGACGGAGGATCAGCCGGCGAGGCGTAGTTGTGAGTTGAGGGTTTGGTGTATTTGGTGAGTGGATTCAGGGGGTATTCAGGGGGTGTTATATTAGGTAGGTAATGAGGTACCTAGGTTGTAAATCGGGGGTTGATAGATTGCACCTAACAAATTGCTCTGGTTGCCTTCACAAGAAAAAGAAAAAAAATCTTTATCTTCCGCTAATTAATTCCTTTCCGTCCACGACTGCTTTACAAGTATGATGTGTTGGATAAAGGATATCACGTGTTAAGGGATGCCCTATTAGTTAAGGAATCATGTGATACCCCTTACTAAGAACACTACTATTCGTGATATCTAAATTGCCGCCTCCATAGATTGAAACCCCCAATGATTCACGATGGCGGGGGTTTTATTGTATTGAGATAGGTTGCATGTCAAAGTCGGAACATAACGAGGTTTGCAGGTGCGTCCGACTCAGGGGCTAAATACCTAGCGATACTTTTGCATCAAGATATGATTGACATCCTTGGGATTAAATATCCATCCAATACCCCAAAGTAAATTGCCAGTTTATTACTAGTCATATGGGCCAAAGCGCCTCTACCAAGAGCGGTTATCAAGGAAGACAGCAAGGCACCAGCCAGACATGAAATGGAGACTAATCTAGGTTAGCATAATGCTGTGTGCCAAAAGAGAAGCTCAAGACCACACAGAATCAGGACATTGATAACCAGACAGGCGCGGCTACGGTAAATCACAAGCTGAAAGATAAACTCCGCCGCTGGGAATGATAGGTCGGAGATGTTGTACGGGCCTGATACAATCATCTCATGTCTCAACAACATGTATAGGAGGGTCGGGAAACACAATTCCAAGAACTAACTACCGTACCTCGAAAGATGGAGGCTGTGGGGGTTGAATGCGGGGATGGAAAGCTCTCCCCACGGGGTGAAGTGGGCGACGCGCAAGGATTCTCCAGACTAGCCGAGCCTCACAGACGGACGTTATGTCCAAATACTGTTAGTGCTATTTGGCTGTCACTCTTGGCTTGTATCCTAGCTGCTTGGAGGGTTTCGATAATATACTATATATAAGACACCTTTGGCTGCTTTGGTGCTTCCGCTCTTGTTTCCATCTCTTGATCGATTGCTGCTAGGGCAAGTAGACAATATAGAAGACTGACGGCGAGGAAGTGTCTTATTTTTTGTTGATATTTTCGCCTGCTTTCTATTTTTTACTAGGCCTTGGAATTGTTTTGAGGCGTTGAGTACTAGGTAAAGATGGCTTCGGATAGTAATGGCGAGAAGAAGACGGCGGATGTTGAAGCAGAACATCTCGAGCACCCGAATCACCACAACTATCATCAGCATCAGCAGATCCTCTCGATCGAAGAGGAAGCTGTTCAGGATGCCGTCCACATTGATCTGAGTTGGCGATCATGGGTATGAATTTGCTCTACGAGACTCATTATACCTAGTCCACCAATTCCATCAGCTAACAACCCCCTTCCCAGCTCGTTGTCGCCATATGTACATTCGCGTAAGTCCAAAACTTCACAGCTTGCGTGGCTGATACATCAACTCCGCACAGCAATCCCCCGCTATTCCTTTCCTCCCTCACTAACCCTCCACACAAAACAGCAACATGGGCCAAATCTTCGTCGTCACCGGCGCCGGCTCCGTGATCGCCTTCATCATCCGCGACCTCGGCGGGAGCCCGCTGTCCGGCTGGATCATCCAGGGTCCCCTGCTGATGCAGAGCGTGCTGTCGCCAGTCCTAGGTCGCTTATCCGACGTGCTCGACCGCAAGTACGTCGCGACGATCCCGCCGCTCATCGCGTTCGTCGGCGCCATCGTATCCGCCCGCGCGGACTCCATGTCCGCTTTGGCGGGCGGAGGCATCTTGATCGGGGCGACGCTGTGCACGGTTTCGGTTATCCATGCGATTCCGTCGGAGATCTTGCCGTGTAAGTCATACTTTGCGCCACAATGGTTGATGTGTGTAGTAAGTACCTAGGTAGGCTGGCCGGGCGTGGCTGACTTTCTGGCATTGCAGTGAAATACCGTGCCCTTGCGAACGGTATACTAGCCGTGGCCGGATCATGCTCGGGACTGTAAGTTACCCACAGAAACAAATATCCTAGACGGAAGTACCTAACACGCCCACCCTCCCAGCATGGCCCAACTCAGCACCGGCGCCCTCACAAACCTCGGCACAGGCGGGTGGCGCAACATCTTCTGGATGCAAGCCGGCTTCCACGGGCTGACCGCCGTCGGGCTCTTCCTCTTCTACTGGCCGCCGCGCAGCGCCGAGTCGCGCGCCATAAAACTAAAAGATCTGTTCTGGGCCTGCGACCCTATCGGCTCGTTCCTGTTCATGGGCAGCACGGCGCTGATGCTGCTGGCTCTGAACTGGGCGGGCGGGGCATATAAGTGGAGCGACGCGCATGTTGCGGCGCCGCTGAGTGTTGGGCTTGCGATGTTGCTTTGCTTTGGGCTTTATGGTAGGTCGATTGAAGTTCCCTTCCCCCCCCCCTTACTTTTGTATAAGTACGTACCTACATACCTACCTAAGTCCTAACTAATCTTCATCACCAGAGTGGAAATTCCGCGACGACGGGCTCATCGCGCACATCTTCTTCAAGCACAACGCCAACTTCGCGTATGCCATGTTCGCCTTCGCCGTCGAGGGCTGGGTCTTCTACAGCGCCGTTAACTCCGTCGTGCCCCAGATCGTCCTACACCTCGGCTTCGCGCCCGACTCCTTTAGCATCGCTGTGCGCCAGCTCAGCTTCCAGCTGCCGCTCATGGCCACCTCCGTCTTCGTCACCTGGTACGCGACGCATTTCAAGGACCTGCAGTCGCCGCTTCTGGTCACGTTTACGTGTTTCTTTGCCGTGTAAGTTGGGCCTGTTTATATAAAAAAAAAAGAAATTCTTCCATTGCTTGGTTCTCTACTTATTCAAATTTGCTATACCTATTACATTAACACCCCATAACAATCTCCATGCTCATGTCCCACTCGCTGACATATCCCTCCTACACAAAAACAGATGCATCTGCTACTCCCTCATCCGCCCCTCCTGGGAGCGCGGCCAACTCGCCATCAACGTCTTCGCCGGCATCGGGCAAGGCGGTCCCTTAACCCTCCTCCCCGCCGCCATCCAGTTCACCGCCCCGCACGCCTACCTCTCCACTGCCACCGGGCTCTCCTTCTCGGCCCGCGCCGTCGGCGGCGCCTTCGGGTCCGCCGCGCTAAACGCCATCATGAACGGGCGGCTTAGCAGCAACTACGCGTCTGGCGTCGGCGGTGCCGCTGTCAATGCCGGTTTACCGAACGACAGCGTCCCGGCTTTGATTGCAGCGCTCGAGGCGGGGAAGCTGTTCACGGCGAATATTCCGGGTGCGACGGTGGATATCTTGAATGCGGCGAGTGCGGCAAGCAAGGAGGAGTATGCGCATGCTTATAGATTGGCTTGGGCGAGTATTATTCCTTTTGTGGTTCTCGCTTTGGTTGGCGTGGGGTTGCTGAAGAGCATGAGGGCACTTATGACGGAGAAGGTGGAGGCTACGGTGGAGAGGGTTCAGCCGGTAGAGGGGAAGAAGGGGGAGGAAGCTGCATAGAAAGTTAGAAAGAAAGACGACAGTATTATTTTGAATAGATGTCTGTGAGTAAATAGCAAAGTATGCATACCTGTTTCTCAGTCTCTGTGACATACTCCTCCCCGCCACCCTTGATATAAATCAAGTGTTGCAGGTGCCTTAGGTGCTAGAGCCCCACTATACTAGGCCTGCCTTTAGATATTGGCACTGCGCCATCGTAGTTGGGAATAAAGCAAGCTTCCTTCTTTTCACCCTTCTCTCTTTTAGTTGCAGCATACCTGTAACATCAAGTGACCTTGCGCCTTGCGCCCATGTATATATCGTCGTATCCCGATACTAAAACGGGTGAACTTTCCGAAACTGTATATCGCTCGTATTGACGTAAATATCGGTAGGTACCAAGTATAATTGCAAAAAAAGATAGGGGTTGAGGGTGACACTCTTACCAAAACTTCCGCATTCGCTACGAATAAGTACTCTCATCTCTCCACCTTCCAAATAACCATACAATTTATCCATATAGAGTACTCCCCTTCCCCCAAAGTCGCGGTCAAATTTGACTCGACGACCCAACTATTGGACAGCCAGCCTTTAGAAAGTGGCACTTGGGGCACCAATGTTCGAGGTCCTTTTGCCGCTGTATGTACTCCTTATTCTGGGTGTAGAGCGGCAACGACTCCAGGGGAAAGTGGACCCTGATGCCGTGTGCCTTAATACCCAGTATCTTCGCGCGCTTATCCAGAAGTTCCATCTCCACGTTGCAATACATCGGGCCATGATTGAATGGCAAAGTACGCTTAGTGTTATATGCCAGCCCAGGGTCGTCGCGGTGAGCGCGGGCGTGCGTGAACTCCCGGATGAGCTGTGGGCTCGGGTGCAGGGTCAGCCGCTTCATCCGTGAGTGCCTCTCGCCGCGCTTCATGTGCTCCACGAGGCGGATGATGCAGGGGAGGAACTCGGTGGTGATGTCGCTGAGCGTGAAGGACTCGATGCCAATCGGCAGCAGGTTGATGAGCCGGGTTTCGCCCTTTCTGTCAAAGTCCGCCACCTCCTCCTCCGTGAACTTATAACCAGCCCCCCAGAGTGTCTGTTGTGTGAGGGAGACGTTTTGAAGGGCCCACAGTTCCTTCAGGCTCCTGATGAAGTAATTAGAGCTCTGATTTGGGCTGTAATATTCTAACAGGTGTTCACGGACCTGTTCCACGTCTCGGATCTGTTCCACGTCTCGGATCTGTTCCACGTCTCGGATCTCGATCTCAAGAGTACGAAGGGACCAGGTTGGCGAAGACTCTGTCAGGCGTAATACGATGCCGCCTGGAGAGCACTCGCAGCGACGCGGCAGCTCACTGTCCAACTGTAGATACTTCTTGTACTTTGCCGAGCGGTAGACGAAAGTTCTCAGGAGTGCTGAAAAGCCCCCGAGGAGCCGGTACATGGACCGCGACGAGAGGGTGCAATGGTTGAGTATAAAGGTGCGTACCTGTTCTAAGGCGGGTTCGGCGTTGCAGCGATAAATATTGACAGCCTCGATCGTGTCCAGCTTGGGCGCCGTGGCTAAGGTAATGTAGCCATGGAAGCTAATAAGGTCTCGATAGGGAATCCCGATTATTCGAATCTTTTCGAGGGATGGGAGACGTAGCGCAGGTGCTCTGGCTGGGAAAATAGCAAAGATAGTAATGGACTTTAGGTTTGGAAGTCTGGAAATCACGAGATAGGCAATCTCGATGCTTCGCGGGTGGTCCGCGACGCCATAACCATGTGGGATTGCATGGTTATTGGCAATGGGGCCAGTGAGATAGTCGCGTGGTGAAAGGAAGCCGACGCTTGTAGCGGCGGCGTCAAGCATCTGCAAATCTCTTTCTTCGATTAACCCGTTCAAAGTTGAAGGAAGGATTCTGAATGTGACCTCGCGTTGGGCCTCCACCGCATTGTCGAATATGGTTCGGGCATATGGTATCAGTTGCATCTGGAATCTGTGCTGGCCCCTTTGCCTGTGAAACAAAGAACGTATAATCCTGTTTAAACTCCTACAGGTCAAACATAAATGCTCCAGATCTAAAACTGCCCTTCGTGCATCGTCGTGTTGACGAAAAGTACGATAAGGAGGAGTGGCAGGTAGAAGGACATAACCGACTATCTGGGTAACCAATTCCACGGGGAGATTCAGTAGAGGCGATGTCGGATCTGTATTAGACAACCCGTAGTAGCTTGACACTGCTAGCCCACCCCAAGGGGAAGAAAAGGGAGTCACCCGACGGGTGGTAAAAAAGGAATTCATGCTGATATCTATGTTGTTGTGTTGAGTGCCTAGTTGACGTATTGGCGATGGCCAACGTAGTTTCAGCAAACTCCAACTGCTAGACAAGTATTATAAGTGAGCAGACGTGATAAGATGTATACTCGGCAGGAGCTTTAGGTAGACATAGAATGATGAGACCTGTGGCTTTATATTATGTGTTTTGGTAGGTATTGGATAGATAGGTGTTATTAACCATCGCCAGACTGCCTAGGTGGTAGCGTGCGAACTATTGGTAGCCACTAGAAACCTACATAGTAGGGACCTAGAGCACATACAATCAGCAGAGTGTATAAACCACTTTGGTAGTAAATACAGTTTCAACTAGTTGGCACCTTTTTGTCCTAATCAGCACCCCTAATAAGCACTAATTATCATTGAAAGGTTAATTGAAGCTTAGACGACCTCCCATAGGTATTTGCGCCGAAGTTCCATCAGTGCAGGACCGTGTTTCTTTTCGAGTCTTTTTTGAGCCCTTTGGTGCTTCCTCTCCTCCTTCTCATTCTTCGGTGGCCCACCGCGAGCCACTAGTTCCAAAGCTTCATCATCACGTTGTGTCCATACACCTTGTGCTCTTTGCGGTATCCCTTCCCCTCTCTTTAATATCTCCATGACCTGACCAGCGTCGCCAAGACGCCAAGTCGTGGCCCGCAGTGCCTGAAGCACGATGTCTTTCGGATAGCCAAGCGAGCAAAAGCGATCGATGACATCGTCGGGCGTTTCCTTTGCAGGTGCTTGGCGACGTAGTACCTGTCGTTGTTCTCTAAGTAGACCTCTATTCTGAGTATTGGAAGGTACCGAAGTTGTCTCAATATTGGATGATGATTTCTCTGAAAATGACTTGGGCAAAGAACGACGTTTAGCCTTATTACGACTAGCACTAGCAGGCTTTGGCACTTCGTCTGCCTCTTCATCGGAATCCGGTAGGAAGCCTACCCGATTTGATCTTCTAGATGTAGGAGTTACTGTGCTACCCCCTTGGGACTTAGCTTTAGGTGTTGGTGAAGCACTTGCAATATCCCGTTCTATCCTATCAGACTCTTGATGAAGTTGTTGTGATGGAGTGATATTGCATTGCGTCCCCACCTCCTCCTCTTCAATTTCGAAGATAACTTCCTGAGTCTCTGGATCGAATCTGAAATCCTGCGTTTCTGGCTCGAGAACCTTCTTCGTCCTACGAGGTAGGCTAGGTAAGTCATAAACCGCATCTCGGGTTTCCATATCTTTTGACTCATCATCTACCAAATGTTGAACTGCTCTACTAGCACTGGGGGAGGAATCGTAGATGCTGGTCTGTTGGCGTAGATGAGAAGTTCCATTCACATTGTCAGGAGTGGAGGGTATTTCAATATCCCGGCTGATTCTTTGTCGCTTCGGCGGCGAAGACTGTGGATATACATGGTCTGATGAAAGGTGAGCATTAAAGGATCGCTTCAAAGTAGGAAATTTCGATGATGAAGCAAGTGCCAATTCCGATTCTGGGTTTTCGTTGTTGCCGGTTTCCTCTTCACCTTCGTCCTCATTGTCATCTTCAGTAGTAGTGGCATCACAAAAATCTTGAAAGGAACTTTCAAAGGCGGAAAGGTGCCTTTCGTACTCTTGTTGAAGCCGATCAGGAATGGTGGAATCAACCCAATCAAATCCAAGAATTTCGGATATTTGGTGCCAATCACGTTCTTCAGGATCCGTGTTCTGAGATGTAACAGCCTCCCATAAGTCCCATATCTTGAAACTTCTCGACTCTATAGTAAGCCAAGGGGTAAAGCGAACTCCACAGGATTCTGTAAATATCTGATAATCGTTGTAAAATGACTTCTCTCGATCACGTATGGTTTCCTGGTCTTGGGTGGGACTATCTCCCCCATATTCAACAACTCGTGTTTCGGGTTTGGTCTGATCATGAATGGGAGGTTGTCGTTGCTGATTTTCCTCTTGATTATCGGGCTCATAGGGGTCTGTCCGAATGACATAATGGGCCGGTGTTCCATTGGTGGTACTCATTGGGTGAGTTTGATTAGCTATTGCTTCTAATTCCGATAGATGAACACCTGGAGATTGGCTGGTTTGAGAGTCCCTTTGTCGTTTAATTGTGGCAGAACTATCTAATAACTTATCTGGCACAAGTTCCGACCCCCACAGGGAGATCTGCTGTTCATATTTTGGCGCAATGTTCTGTAGCCAATGAGCCCTCCACGACTCGCTGGAGTGTTGCGGATACTATATTAAGTTAGCCGAAGACCGAAATTTGAAAGCTGTATAGAACCTACATCTTTAGCAAGGTCAACGAATATTTCCGCATTTTGGATGTTCTTTCTTTGTTTTATGGATTCTTGAATATGCTGGGTGATTATTGTGTCATCCTCGTCAGTGAATTTGTCAAGAGGTTGAGGGCTAACGGGGCGTTGAGCTGGTTCCTCGTCAACTTCAACCCGTTGGTGTGGCTCTGGTAGATGCTCAGATACATATGCCGAGGGTTTAGTATCTGGTTTGGCTGGCTCAGTTGATGGAGAGGATGACTCTCCACCAGAAATTGCACGTCGAGGCAGGGCTTGTAGCTTTTTGATCCACCGATCTCTCCATGACTGCCAAGTATGTTGCGGATACTATATTATTCAGCTTACTACTACTATTAAATGGGAAAACTGAAGGCCACAAGCTTCTTACCTTTGCTCCGAATTCTTTGTATATCGCATTACCTCCAATGCTCTGCCCCTCCCGCTCCTTTTGGGTAACGAACTTTTGAATTAATAGATCCTCTTCAGGAGTATAATTTGTCTTCGTGGCTTTCTTGGGGTGAGTTGCATGATGGCAAGAGTACTTCTCACGATCCTGAAGGATACCAGCCTTGATAGAATCGTCGATAAACTTGTATGAACATACTTTGGGGCCAGAGGGCGCATCCTTTCTTAAATGGTCATAAATCAAGAAATCTGCCTGTGTATCGAGCGAAACCACCCGGCCACCGTTATCCTGTGCGACATGTAAGTGTGAGACTAGGTAACAAAGAGGTGCAAGGTTAACCTACTTGAATATGTTGGACATACATCATTCGCGATGGAACAAGTTGTGCAACCCAGAACTTCTTACCCTTAAATAGGGCATTTTGATTAGGCCTTTTTGGGGCAAGGGCCCCTTCGTAGACGATAGGGGCTGACATATGACTAATGTAAACTTGAGGTGACTGTCGTTTCTGGATGAATCGGGCTATGCAGTGGCAAATTTTGGTTGACCACAAAGAGGCTTGTGTTGTAATAACCTGCAGTTATTTTGCCGAGTACTCGAAAATGTGTCTAATTTTTTCCTCGAATGAATGGTGTTGCACCTTTGACAATCTCTTAAGGGGTTTTGTGGTGATTTATCATATTAGTGGGTAAGTTGGCATGTTGGGTGTTGTTTTCATCCATGAAATGTAGAATCTCAAATCAAATTTGAAAAATTGATGAAAGTTGTTTTCGGGGGGATAGCCCTTTTTTTATTATCATCATTCAAAAAAAAAAAAAGGTCAGGTCCAACTTGTTAATCAAGTAGAAGTCTCGTGAGTCGAATTTGATAAGACGCGTGATGGAAATCGCGACTTGCTCGTTTCGTGAAGAAATCATGTGAGATGCATGGATCAATAAACTTTTAACTAGCTGTTATCGTTGTTGATATTGGGGCTTTAGTGGGGTTCAGCCTTAATCTTTAAAACAGGAGGTAGATGAACCCAAGTGCCCCCCTGTAGATCACCTCAAACTCCCCCCATTTTAGGCCTAGTGTCCCGCTATAAAGCCCACCCAGAATGGGGCTCGGTCACACGAAAATCCGGAATTTAGCGAGCTGTAATTGGCCACATGCTTTACAGGGGCCCACCTGATTATTTGAACTTTCGAGTCTTACGTCGTATTTTTTTGAGTTTTGCCTTTGCACCCAGGTACAAAGAAAACGGGCTGCAAAAAGCCCAAGCTTCAAACCTTCAATCAGCCCAAGCTGCCGCTCTAGTGCATCCTATATCATTGGAATCGCCTCAATTAGAGCTTCCAAACAATATATGTTTCAGATTGATGCGATATCTGAATCTGAAGTTATTTGAGTTTAAAGATTAAGAAGCACCTGAAAAAAGATACATCTGTAATCGGCGCATGGATCACGTGATAGCCCTCGGCTAGCGTTAAAAGTGCTTACTTCATTCAACCCTAAATAACTTCGCAACCACTGGTCGCATTTCTTTGAAACATATATCATTTGGAAGTGCTGATTGAGGCGGTTCTAATGATACTGGTTACATCAAGATGCATCCATTGAAGGAAAAGTTATTAAGGATAGTATGTTAGAGGCTAGCTGGAGAGCCCGGACCAGCGCTATGTACTAGGGTGCGGATAAGCCTCCGATAGCAATTTGTTTTTAATCAATTAATAATTAAATAAAACTTAATTAAGAATTAATTACAAATTAATTTACAATTGATTAAAAATCAATTAACAATTAATTAAAATACAATTAAAATATATAAGATATTAAACCTAATAATAATTATAATTATTTTTTAGAGTTTTGCTATTCGCACCCCATAAAATTGCTATCAGAGCTTATCCGCACCCCAGTACATGAGAAATTAGCGTTTAAGGGCCGTTGGTCCGAGCTCTCCACCTAGCTTCCATCAACAGATCCAACATAACTTCAGACTTAGGAATCTGATTGAGGTGCATCCAAGGCCATTAGAACCGTCTCAATTAGAGCTTCCAAAAGATATATGTTTCAAATTGACGCGACAAGTAATTGTAAAGTTATTCAGAAAAGAGTGAAATAGACGCTTTGCCGCTAGTGTAGCGCTAGCCGGCACTACGCGATGCACGGACCACTTCAACCTGTACCATTTTCAAGGTGCTTCTTGATCTTTGAATTCAAATAACTTCGCAACCACCGATCGCATCAATTTGAAACATATATCATTTGGGCCGTCTAATTGAGCTGATTCGAACGATACTAAATGCGCTTCAATTAGAGTCTTGGAGTGGAAGTTGTGTTGGATCTTTTGATTAAAGCTAGGTGGAGAGCTCGGACCAATGGTGTTTAAACGCTAAGCTTTCAATGTACTAGGGTGCGGATAAGCTCCGATAGCAATTTTATGGGGTGCGGATAGCAAGACTCATTTTTTAAAGTTATGTTTATAATTAATTAATAATTAATTATGAATTTTTTGTTTTTGAAAAAATAAACCTTAAGAGACAAAAAGTTGAACCCAAGTGCCTAAAAAAGCTGTTCAGCCCAAATGCCTGTCCGAATGAGGTATAGTCGTCGGCCCAAAATGGGGGGAGTTTGAGGTGATCAACAGGGGGGCACTTGGGTTCATGTACATCCTCTCTTTAAAATGTCTACTGTTAGGTCAACTGTCTGGGTGTCAAACAAAAAGCGGCTGAATGACCTTGTTGCATGCTCCATGCCCAAGTGCCGCATGCACCACAGCTGCGCCTCAACTTGTCCCACCAATAGGCAGGTCCAGAGGGAATAGAGCGCACAGTGCACCTATAAAAGAACTGTATAACGTAATTGCTTTGGTTCTGACACCTGGCAGGTAACTAGTTAAGCGCCAAGTTGCATCTGCTAACAGTTCTTGACTCCTAGTTGAGCAACTCTAGGTACATATTTAAGATTTAAATATTAGAAATCTGAACTCACCAAAACCAAACCAAAAAAAAACACCACCTGATACCTCTTTTTCCTTTTCAAACCTTCTGTGATTTTACTGGAATCTACCAGCTGCTAATACCCCCTTGTGACTTTTTTTGTTGGTTCTTAAAATAAAGAAAGGAAACATACCTAATAATCTTATTCATATTTACGTAACCTATAGGACTGCCATTTCTTTCCGTAGCGTTCTGTCTCGAATCTCAAAATCTCCAATGTGTTGTCAGTGCTCACGGACTCGAGAATCCGGCCATGATAGAGAACAAAGCCCTTCTTCATTTAAATGTTTGGATAACTAAGACAGCTCTTCCCGTTACCCTCCTCTTGGGTACATAACGATGGGGGCCCTAACCCAAATCGCTCTTGGCGTCCTGGCTATTACTTTCATGACTTTTGTCGCCTTCTTTGGCAGGCTCCCAGCTCTAAGGTACTTATTATGAGCCACCCAAATATGTGTTTACTTATAATTATATAGTCTAGTCCCATAGTTTCGTTGCTCATGACATTTCTCACAGACACACACCAGTAGCCTGGCTGCACCGTGCAATATGGGTTACTATCCCCAGCGCAATCCTCAGCCTCGACCAGCGGCTCACCTCAGGGCGTCTGACCACGGCGCTAGGCCGGTTTGGCAGCTACATCATGTACGGCCGGCACCCGACCGTGTTGATTTTCTTCATACTACTGCTCTCGGTAGGCGAGTACATGTATTTACCAGGCGTATGGCCGAAGTTAAGCTTAGTGCATAAGACCTTGGGCAGCATATCCATCATCCTACCATACGCATTTCTGTACCTATCCGCGCACAGCGACCCGGGCGTCGTGACGCCGACCACGCACTCGCAGTACATGGCGCACTACCCCTACGACTTCGCGCTCTTCCACCCAGGCCAGTCCTGCCGCACGTGCGGCCTGCTGAAGCCACCGCGCTCCAAGCACTGTTCTGTATGCAAGCGGTGCGTGCACAAGATGGACCACCACTGCGTCTTCATCAACAACTGCGTCGGCTACGGCAACCAGCACTACTTCATCCTCCTGCTTCTCTCCACCGCCGTGCTGACCCTCTACGGCGGCATCCTCGGCCTCTGCATCATCGCCGACGCCGCGCGCGTCCGCAACCCGGCCTTCGCCCTCTGGCCTAAGCCACCGAGCTGGCCCTGGCACGAGTACTTCATCCTACTAACCTTCGGGATCCAGACCGACGTCGGCGTCGGCTCCGTCACCTTGCTCGCGCTCATGACGTCTCCCTTAGTCTGGGGCCTGCTAACCTACCACATCTACCTGATCTGGAGTGGCACGACCACGAACGAGAGCATGAAGTGGCAGGACTGGCAACTCGAAATGGACGACGGCTGCGCCTTCCGGCGCCAACTTCCCCCCGACCGCCAACGAGACCTGCGAACCGAGGCGTCGTGGACGCGCTGGCCCGTCAACGCCGCGCAGATCCTCATCCGCACCGAGGACGGCACCCCGCCCTCTCTGAACGCGGGACCCGGCGTCGGCGAGTGGGAGCGCGTGTGGCAGCTGCGCGACATCGAGAATCTCTACGACCTAGGGTTCTGGGATAACCTGGTCGACGTCTTCGTGCCGAACTACGCGTTTGGCCGCCCTACTGCTGCTGCTGAAGAATCGGCCGCGAATGCAGATCTAGAAAGGGGTAAGAGGAGGAGGAGGATAGGGGGGAGGAAAGCGCCTAGGGCACCGCGAGCGTCGAGTCTGGTTGCTGCTGCTACGTAGGAAGGAAAATACCTAAGTTATAGAAGAAATTTCACAATGATTGGAATAGTGGCTAATTTCAATAGTTTCTTTTTTTTCATATAGCGCGTGAACGTGTTGTGTGAGGTGGGTTACTATACTCTGACTGCAATACCCTATGTACAATGACCTATACGGTCGAGACGTCCTTGAGCCGTTATAGTACCTAGATGCCTAACCTAGGTAGAGATTTCTTCTCTCCTCGCATATGCCATCCAATCATAGGATCGATCGACTCCTATACCTAGGGTCGCGATCGGCATCATTATAGTCTGCTGAAAGCCTGGGCGAACTTGGCCTCGAAAGGATCGAGAGGCGCTTGTTCTTTTTTGCCTCCCTTTTTACCCTTTGAACCTCCCCCTCCCCCTCCACCGTCTTGCCCGTCACCACCTCCTTTCTTCCCCTTCTTGCCCTTCTTCCCCGAGTCCAGCCCAGAAGACGACATCATCGCCTGGGCAAAGACGTCGGGACTCATGACATGATCCACTCCGACCTTCTTCTTGAGGGACGTGGGGGCGTGCGCGCCCGAGGAGCGCGAGGAGCGCGAGGAGCTCATACTCGGCCACATTTCATCATCCTCAGGCTCCTCGAAAGTTTCATCGGATTTGGACTTCTTCCTTCCCTTCCTCGATTTTTTACCTTTCTTCGCCGTCGCTGCCATCCTCTTTTCCTTTACGGCCTTTGTCCTTTCCGTGTCGTTCGGATTAAGCTTCTGTAGGTTCTTAGCCAGTTTTCTTTCTTGGTTCTGGAGAAGGCTGCCCTGGTCGAGAGATCGTGGCAAGGCACTGTCATTGTTCCGAGTGGTTTGCCTCGCGTGCTCTTTGGTCGTTTCTTCGAATTTCAAGCTAGCCGCATACTTATCCATAATTTTCCGTAGCGCCATAACTTCGGGGGTATGTGGAGCAGGAGGTGCTTTTGCTGTACGCGGAGCCCGAAGTGCAGCATAGCTATGAAACCCATGCACTGATTGAGTGGATATGCTAGAGAAATGGGATGTCTTGTAAGGGCCCAGGGGTAGACGACTGTCTGCAGTAAAGCGAGTTGGGATGGGAAAGCCACTGCTGGCCTGCTTAGGAATTGCCGTGCTATTCTGAGAGGCCAACTGTAGGTCGTCAAATGAGACGACTTGGCCGGACCACCTTTGGGTTTCCACCGACTTTGGTTGGGTTTCGCTAACCAGGCCGGCTAAGCGTGCAGCAGCCAATCTAGCGGTAGTAACCGACGTAGATACAAGATCATTGTCTGATGCGTTTAAGGCTGTAACAAATATTGGGTTTTCCAAGGTCCATGCATTAGTCTCCATTGGATCTTTTTGTTTTCCGATCACGAGGATAGCATCCCATAACTTCTTGCAAGTTTCGCGCAAACTTTCTACGCCGTTTTTGGTTTTGTCAGATTTGGTGAGGACGATGGTTGTCTTCATCTGGCCGGCCATCAGCAGCTCGAGCATGTGCAAATCTCCCTCCTTGGGACCAACATGGGCGTCTATCAGCAATATCGCTCCTGTAACACTGGCTCTTCGGCTCAAGTAACGAGTGATAGTATCACCCCATTCTGCCCTAGAAGCAAAACCGTATCCGGGCATATCCACTACATATAGTGAATGCTTCGGCACTTCCTCCTTGCGCTTCTGGTGAAGGTTGACCTTGTTATCAGCCAAGGCAGCTGTTTCTAGGGGTGTGGGGGGAGGAGGCGGCGGACCGAAGCCATACGTAGTAATTGCCTTGGTCCTTCCAGCCTTCTTACTGACATAGCAAAGACTACCAGGGCGACGCCCTGCCAATGCATTGACAAAAGTTGATTTGCCAACGTTGGAGCGTCCGAGGAGACAAATTTCGGGAACGCGCTTGTTCATTTTCAGTTGATAAAAGTCGGACTCGGCATACAAGAATTCGGCGGGATTCTTGGTAAATAAGGCATTAAGATCATGGTCAATAGGCTGGTCTGACGGCGAAGTCATGCGAAAAGTCGCAAGTAAGTCCTGGGATGTGACCTCGGCGGGCGGGGCGGATTGGATGCTGTGAAACTTGGGAACAGATAAGGCTGCGATATTAGAGATTGACGCATGGTGGCTTCTAAACCGTACGGTGGCTACGGAGGAGAGACATGTCCGACCTAAGCGTACTCGCGAAGGTGGACTGATTAAGGCAAGTCGAAGAGAGGACGACGGCATGGCCAGAAATACATCGAATTGGTTGGCCCGTAGCATTTAGTTATTTCAGACTGGACCTTGATTATACATGGATATCAATGGATGATAGTGTCGTCGCTAACGTTCTCGTGGTGACGTGGTGAGGAATGGCGCAAAGTCAACCATTTTTCAACGGGTGTTAGTCTTGAAGTTGAAAAGATTGAAATTTTGGAAAGAAATGGGAATTGTATGATGCGCTAAGATCCAAAATAAAATTTTAAAACTGGGTGCTAACTAACTTAACTAGTTATGTTGCAATTGATAGAAAATATAACATTGATACAGGTATAGATATCAAATTAAACGCTATATTGGAGACTCGGCTACTTGCATTTCCTTATCAATTCACCTTATCGCTTACATAAATCATCTCGATGTCATTGATATTAACTAGGTTAGTTATATTAACTAGTTACTACTAGTAGTAGTTATTCCCATCCATTCTTTTTTATACCAACATCTTTTCCAGCACTGTTCTAGTAGTTCTACTAATACCCGGGTACATACCAACATACATACCATGTCCAACCCAACCCAGCTACGGTCTCTCTACAGATCATTTCTTCGAGAGCTCCCGCCTAGGCCCATCTCATCTTCATCACCCCAAGGACGATCATCTTTATACCAACAATTACGACAGAGCTTCTCAGCAGAAGCACCACAAAAGCACTCAATTGCCCAAGCCGACCAACTCCTTCGATATCTAAGGGCACAGAGACAGTATGCGACTCTGTTAGAAAGATATAACCCTGGTATGGGAATGGACGAGGAGGAACGGGTCAGGCTATCCGCCCGTCGGATTGGCATGAATATGCCACTAGAGTACCAGAAAGATGGCGAAACGAAATAAAAAGTATACTATATACTACCTAGGCTAAGTCAGTGCCTACCGACGCATCGGATACCAACATGCCGAATTCTGAGGAAAGCGTTGCTATGATGACTTCACAGTTTTCTATCGCAAGAAATTTTCCGCCATCGTTTCCGGTATACTATCTATCATACGACGTCCAATTCTCGTGCTTTACTGGGTATGAACCCAGGTATTCAGGTTTGATGGCAATACACATCAAGCTGGTTCCATCTCGGGATAGACTATGGCTCTGTGTAGTATCAAGCCAACTCTACGTTGGCCACAGTCAATGAACTCGACATCCAATCGTATCGAATTTATACAATACTATTCTTCTTACCCTTGACCTCGTTTTAATCCTCCCTTGGGATCCTCATTCAAGGATATTCATTATCTTATTATTTAGATATACATGTAGGCCTCTAGTTGCAGTTTACTCCCAGGGATACTAAACGTTTATCAGGACGATCTCATCTCGTCCAATCCACAATACGACGTATGAGTTACATATATACCATAGGTATAGATGAGGGTCCCCTTGTCCTTCTTCCCCTCAAAGTGGATCAGATGAATCAGTGTTTAAATGCACTGCCTGATACATACCTGTATTCAAGTCTACACTTTGAGGGCGCGGTCACAATATTCAATAAACCTTGGAAGGTCCAAAAGAATGTATTTGTCTCGATGAAAGATACAAAGCCCGGGTTTTGCCAAAACGAAAAATGAATGTCTCCAGTACTGCCCACCCCCTTTCCCAAGTTGCCAGCCAGCCAGAAACACCTCACCACCAACCCTAGGTACCTACCCACCCATACGATAGCTGCACCAAAGTTAGCAGTGTCAATTTTCAAAAAGGCTGGGGAATTTGCATGGTCAATAATCATACCACAACGCGGGGTATCACTATGGATTCCCCTTCTTAAGAGGGGAGGCAGGTACCGCCATCACAGAATAGACCGGCACAGCAGGGAGGTTGATGGGGTGCATTGCAAGAGTTGTACTTGGAGCCACATGCTCGCTTGTAATGAGAGGGGAGTTAGATGGTCTTCTGAAAAACTGTCGGGCAATATCAAATACTTACCTCTTCTACGAGACTATCGCTTCCTGGCTGGGCAGCAGGAATAGCCATGGCGATGGCCACAAAGCCAAGGAGTCCGGCAACTGAGATCTTCATTGTTGGTAGTTTGGGGAAATGAGGTTTGATAAAGGTATCCAAAGAATTGTGCTGTTGTTCGTTGTGTCTCTTAGATGTCGCTTGGTGCTGATGAGAAAGAAAGAACGTCTAATCCGGAGGACACTTCGGAGTTTATATACTCATCTTGATGCCCAGTTCGTTACAAAGGCTGGCTTGAATAACTCATCAGAACTCAAGGGCATCGATATGTCCTTAACTGCGATGCCAGACTCCTATTCCATCCCATCTCATACACAGCGAATGAACAACAACCTAGAAATGTAAGCTGCTCTCATGACTAGCATAGCCATGCACAAACCGTAAGTGCGAGGTCCTGTTAGATACCTAGAACACTGCCTTACATCAAGCGTAGCTGTCATAAGCCCTGTTAGATTGCGGCTGTCCTGCTAGCTGAGGTAGCTGGCGATGTCGATCAGAGCGTGGCTAGTTACCACTACTTCACTGCCGGGTGTCATACTGATTCCAACTCATCATCAGGATCCGAAGGGATCTTGCGCCATTGCGATTGGTGACACTGTTTCTAGCCCGCGCATGTCATAGGGCTAGATCGAAGATCACTTCCCCGGATAAGGTTAAATGGAGATTAGGCACGACTATACAGATCACAACATGGGGGAGTCCCACATGTAAGACTCGCTGCCTTGTCTATCGTTATAGCCACTTCTGTCCGACTTATCAGATCAGATGGTATGGCATCGCGTTCGAGCTTCTACGGGTACGCCGTGATTCAGATGAGCTCCGATAGGCTTTCTGACAATGGTCTACTACACAAGCGGTGAAAAAACAAGCCCCATTGCTTCATGAATACAATGGGGTGCCTTACAGAGTATCATATATCACGCGCGAGTGCTATGGTTAGAAATACCTCCAAGTATGGGGTCTTGGACTTTGGGCCTTCGTCAGTAGTACAATTACCATCAGATACCTAAGACTTCAGACTGCACGGCGAGCCTCGGACTTGCCTTCATGGAAGAATTACAGTCGTAGATCAATGACTACTTTAGTATCTCACTACACATTATTATGGGCTCTTGTAGGACATACGGCAATATGGCGGTCTTTCTAGGACTGTGATCGGCAGAGCTATATGCAAGTATCGTGAACACAAAGACACCATATACCACTGGTTGGTCGACGTACTGATTATTATGGAGAGGTAAGTAAAGGCTATTTGTTATAGGTACCCTTTATGCCCATCATTTCTGTGGTCCATTCTTAGTAGGGCTGATAGGTGCCATCCTAGTCTCCATGTAAGATCTAGTTAAGTGTATCAGGGATTGCAACGATAATCTAAAGTATGACAACATCGTATGTTTGCCAGCCTTGAAGCCTGGGTACACATAGCCTCCGAGTAACATCCATGGAATGTCTTCAATATTTTGCTTACTTGAGTGAAAGTTCATGTTAAGCACCGGACCTTCTAATGATCGACGTCACGCCGGCTAGACGGCATGGATACAAACTTCATTATTGTACCGAGAACTATCAAACCATGAGGGAGGACTAATGATGGGGCTGGTTACAATATCGCCCCCTTTGTCTTGCCTCCTGGGTACATGTGAGACATGGCAATAAGGATCTAAACATGCTGCGTAGGTATCATTCATATTTATGAAGGTCTGGGAGTTGGCTGTTTGGGGTCTTAATGACTATACTCTGCTATGCTAGGCTATGAACACTGATATTTCAAATAGCCGAGGCCATCGTGTCTACCTAGTAGTAGAGTCATAGCGCAGAGGGATTCATAACCCCTGAGATAAGCCCATTATTTGGCTTGTTATCACGGCGTATACAGATGTCCTGATTGAGAAACTTTGGTTTGTAGAATGTGATTCAACTATGGTTATTACTTGCTCTAGGTATATGTACTGCTCGTCTCGTCTACCCAGTTCGTTGGTACTTAGGCAACTACCAGGTACCTATTACTCCCACTCAAGTATCAAGTTAACTTTTAAATGATGCAAGGCATCTAGCCTTTCTGCAAGGACGCGACTATTCTCAGATGTAAGCATCAGTAATTTAAACCTTTTGCCTTCCCTCTTGCGTAGTAGAACGTCTACAAGCCTTCCCAGCTCTTCCACGGTGTCGTCAGTTTCTACTTCTTCCAAGTTGTTGATGAAGCACAGCAAAGCCTTTGGTGCAAGATCCAGCAGCGCATCCAAGACCTCCAGAGCCACGTCGATACTCTTGTGAATGTCTTTTAGATTCTGTTCACTTAGTGCGGGGCCCCTTGCGAAGTTCTCTGGGAGCAGGGTAGCGAACTGGGAGATAAGGTCATACACAATCGTCATCGTCGCTCCTTTTTTGCACCACTTCGTAACGGTGGGGATGCCAGATCCCTTTGCGCTGCTGAGAATGTTGCTTTTTTCTTCCGCCGTAGTTGTGCCCTCGAGCCAGAGGCATCGACTCTTCTTGGGTCTGATAAATGACTGAAATGCGGAGATGACGTCTTGCGAGAGACGCGGAATCCATTCCGTGTAAATCTGATTGGGCGTGTACTCTCGATATTTCCACGCAAACGGAGCAGCATACTTGCACACTTCGTATCTCGGACTGTGTTGGCAGCCATCCGGAGGAGGCTTGGGAGTCACAAGATAGGGGCTTCTAGGCCTTCGCCGAAAATTCTCAGGCTTGCCTCGCAGCATCATATTCTCCATCGTCACAAACATTTGATCTAACCTTTTGTCATCTTTTTTTCTAACCTCTACCGCGTCACGATATTGGTCTATGCTATCATACATAGGGATAGTGCTATGCTTGGGGTTATGCTTGGTCCTAGCCCTGGCCCTATCGATGGCCTCGAGAAAGGGATGGGTCATATTGCAAGTTACAATAAAGTACTACTGCCTAGTAAGTACTGGAGGTTGGTACCTATGTACCAACTAGTCATACTTGCATAAGAGGTTAACATGTCGACAACTTACGGGTCTCTTATGCGAACACTGACAATGGGCTGTGATAATAAACCGTTTACCAACAGAAGACATTGTTCGATCAAAGAGTTTGATCACATAGGTACCCATGGGCGCTTTTGCTTTCTTTATTCACTGATTCGCCCATGAAACTTAGGTATTATTTTCATTCTGGAAGACTTCACTCTTGGCCAGTGTACCTATGATAACCCTAGGTTGATGCTTTCACAACGTTATGTACCTACATACTAGGTATGTTGAAAAGGGGCTTGCTTAGGTAGGTAGGTATTATAACGCTGAATAGGTACCTATAGATGAAGTGATATCCTATTAACCCGCGCTTTCTCAACCATCTAAGTTCCTAGCCGATATGAGATATCGAAAGAACAAAGACGGGCCAGGAACTAAGCCGGGTTCGTAGCATTGACTGTCACATCCCGAATCGCACACCCCGAGGCGTTCGGTACGTAAGATTCATTGAAAATGCCCCTAAGCCAATTTATAGCCCGATCCTGTCCATTAACAATCTCCGTTACGTGCCCGCCCACCGTGTTCCTCTCGTACGTGATGTCAGCCCCCACGTCACAATACTTATCCACGAGCGCATCCGTCTCAGCCACAGGACATATCTCGTCCCCGATAGCCTTGTACACAAACAGCGGCATGGCCGGCACTCCGTGGTACCCGAGCTTCATCTCGACGTTATACACCTTCCGCAAAACCGGCGCCTGGAGATCCGCCGCCCCGCCCACGAAGTAGCTATAAATGTCTTTGTTCGCGAAGAACGTCAGCGACTCCGTCGTCGTCATATTCTCGTTACTTAAGAACTCGGTCCCGTTCTCGGCGTGTAGGCGGCTCTGTAGATACGCGCGCGCCTCGGGATACTGCGCCGTCACACCCAGCAGCCCGGCCACCAGATCACCGGCAAGCGGGGTTCCGCTGAGGAGATAGAAATTCGCGGCGAAGTCGACGACAACCCCGCCAATCGCGGCGCCGCTGATGGTGAGCTCGGGCGCGTACTGCACCTGCAGCTCCGCAGCGGCCTCCGTCGCGATGCTGCCGCCGCTGTACCCCCACAGCGCGACGTTGACCCTTTTCGCCTCGGGTATGGGCGCCGTGCCGAGAACCGCGCGCAGCGAGTCGATCGTCGCATGCCCGGCCTGCACGCTAGCCCCGAACGCGGCGGTCGGGCCTTCGTAGTCCGGCACGTTGACTATCCACCCCTCGCTGAGGAAGATGGTGAGCAGGTCAGTGCCGGCGGGGATGCCAAGGCTGGGGTTGGGCTGCGCGATCTCGTAGTAGAGGCCGTAGGAGGGACCAGAGTCGATGGAGGCCGAGTCGTAGGCGAAGTGGTAGCTCAGCAGGGCGGCCTTGCCGGAAGGGGAGGTGTAGAACGAGTTGGGGACGAGGACCGTGGTCACAGCCCAGGAGGGCTGGTAGCGGGAGTCGGTGGTGGTGTAGAGGATGTTCAGTGCGCGGGAGACGTTGCCGATGGTGGTGGTGAGGTTGCCTGGGGCTTCGCGGACTTTGAGGATGGTGCTGGGCGGGTGCTTCTCGAAGCCGGGCGGCGCTGAGTACCACGGGTCTTGGCTCGGTGGTGTTACTTGTGTTGTTAATTGGGATGTGAAGGTCGCCTGGGTTGCGGAGCTTAGCTGCCATAGAATGGCACCGAGGCCTAGAAACCGGGCGAGTCTGTTCATTTTGAGTCTGGGAGTTGTGAAGGCATTGTGATGGTTTGTGTCTAAGTCATAGAGTCGTCAAGACTTAATATATACCCTCTCTATAACCCCGGTAAGTCCGTATTGTCATTCTATTGCCCAATGGCCCCGGTATTCTCTACAGAAACCTAAAGCAAAGTAGGTAATGATCTCTCGGTTGAGACCCGACCACGTCGTAGCATGTTTTGTCAGAACAGAGTTCATTACATACGGTCTTCCGAGGTTGGACTAGGTTCTTCTTTGTCCGTTATTTCAACGTTGCGGTGGCTTGACTAACACCATTTGGCGTAGCAATATGATTCGACACCACTCTGTCATGACATCCATGATGTTTCTTAGGTATAGACCGAGCTTCGAGGTATTAACCTATCAGCTTCCCCCGTAGTATACCAGGTACCTTAGTAAGTACCCTTTCTGTGCCCCATCAGCGCGTAAGACGCTTTACAAAAGTCCCGACTATCCTCACATAGCAATATCTTATCTCCGCTATGCTATTTGCTAACCGCGACATGCTTCATGCATTTAGGGGCAGGTGGGTCGCCCGGGTGAGATTTTACGAACGAGCCAGTCCGCATCACGGTAGCAGTTGAGCTCATTTTATGGCGGCACCGATCGGAACTCCGAGCCGACAGGGGTAAACGGGATCAAGCGATAACTCCTCAACTTGATGTATGCTGAATATAAGCATGCTCATCGGAGAGCCGAATCCATATTATAACTTAGTAAACGCGCACTAATATACAGGTTCAAACTTGATACCTACTACCTACTGGTAGGTAGAAGTTACCCCTTTTTTTTCTTTCGTCCTAAAGGGCCTAAAACTAGGTAGGGTAGTGCTTTATAGGGGTATATTGTGATACCTACTCGCATAAACCTGATTGGCGAATGAACGTGGCCTCTAAGTAGGAATAAATACGTGTAGGTATCAAGGGTCTACCCGGGCCCACGTGGGGGCTGGATAGAACAAAGATGGCTTACATCTCCGCGCAACAAGAATGGTGTTCTGCGTCTCCTAGGTTACGCCTCGTGACCGTAGTCAAAATTGCTGTTTTAATCCAAAGAAACGTCCGGCACCCAACCTGGGTACCAGTATTATGTGGCGATTTCATATCATGGAACAATAGCAACGAAGCGCCGTTATAAGCCTTATTGTTCTTCCCTCTAGGACTTTGAGACGTTTGTCACCCCCCCCCCCCCCCCCTTGGAATTGAATTTGAGAAATGCTAGGTGGAGATTGGAAGAAATCAATCTTTTGGGAGGTTATTTTCCAGATTTGACCTACCAGGTCCACTTATCCCCTTTTTAGAATTAAAGCCATTCTTAGATGCCTAAGGCATCTTGTGTCAGCCCTAGGGAGCGACAGCACGATGCCTCTCATGCTAACTCGGGATGATCAGTCCACGTATTATCAAGTACAAACTTACGTTGCTACCTAGTATCATAGGTACACGGGTGCCTGTCTAGAGCCAAACCCCCCCCCTTATCTTCTCGGTATGGGCATTGGAGGGTGTTTTTCTTCCGGGCAACCGCCTCCCCGCGGCTCGCAACTCACCCCTTGATCTTGGGAGAACTTCTGCTACTCTACTTTGCCTTATAAGGGCAAATAAGTATCATAGATTTCAACAGAGAGGCAAAGAACCTAAAGTGGTTGCGTGGCCGTGCGGTTGAAGCATCCCTCGATCCCCAAGAGGGCTCGGGTTCAAGCCAGACTGATGTATCCGGTGAGGAAAAACTCCACCTGAATACAAATATGAGCGAGGGTATGGAACACTGAGGATATACAAGCTTTTTCCATCTCGTCACGTGCTCTTACTCTTTTAACTTGGAGTTGTCTGTAGGTAGGTACACGTGCCAACCCATGTGTTCATGTGATAGAAAGATCGTGAAGCAGGAATAGCAAACAGCTTACTGATCTTCAAGTCCTGTTGTCCTTCTTTTGAGTATATATATTTCAATAGTGAATCTCAATGTTGTCTAAGACCATATCAGCCTTTGCCTAGGCAACGCGCCAGTACAATTCACTTTACGCCTTCAAACAATAACTGACAAAAGCAAGGAGGTATCTATATCAATACATTCGTTCACCAATATAATGCTATTTCGAGCGAGGTATCAAACAGAGTGGCATATATAGTTGCGAGATAGGTATATATGACTGCCAGTTACCTATATTATAGGTATCGATCTAAGAACATTATTCATCCTCGGTGAATCCACTGCTGTGAAGCCTATCCAAGGAAACTAAAAGATCTAAAAGAATCCTGACCATGAAATCATCAACGTCATACCTAATCTAAGTAACCTAGGCATATATCTATCATCAACTAAAAGGGGTATCACGCAAGTAGGCAGGCAGGGAGGCATAAGCAGCCAGTCACGTGCCAACTCCTATTGCACCAGCGCTGAACTAAACCGAGCTCGACTATCGTCGTCAAATATTTCTTCTCCTTTTTTTTTTTGGGGGGGGGGGGACGCTTAAACATCGCCTTCAAAACCTCAACACCAATATTTATCCTCATCATACACCGCCAACGCCCCCATCCTCGAGACTTTCATCCCACCCTCCCGTCGACAGGAGATGTTCCCCAACCCGTTCCTTCACGCCCCTCATGGCTTCGCCAAGCGCACCCTCCCACTGGTCTTGCACAACGCGTACTTTCTCCTTCAGATCATCCGTAAGCTGCGTCTGCTCCGCCTTGCGCTCTTCCTCAATGACTCTCGGATCGCGGCCCTCCGCCTCGCTGACCTTCGCCCTCGCGCTCGACACAGCCTCTTTCACCTCATGCAACAAACACAGCAAGTTTGTCTGGGACTCGATGAACTGGTACGTGCTCTTCTCGGCGTGCAGCAGGAGGCTGAAGAGGTACTGCAGCGGGTGCTCGTCGTAGCTCGGGTTCTCGTCGTACTCGGCGGGCGGGATCTGGATGCGGAAGCTGCCGTCAACGGAGGCCGGGATCGTGTCGAGCAGCCGCTTCAAGGGGGGCGCGAGGTCCCAGAACGCGTTGAGCTGCATGTCGACGCCGCGGACGACGTTCTCCTCGACGACGCCCAAGAACTCGAGCGTCCGCTGCAGCACCTCGCCCGCGAACGCGGCGCGCCGCTTCGTCGCGTCGTCCGCGAAGAACGCCTCCGCCGTCCGCGTCTTCTCCGCGTTGCCCGACAGCCGGTACGGCGTCAGCACCATCTCCTTGTACATGTCGTTGCGCGCGGAGAGGAGGTCGTAGACGTCGCGGTGGAGCGCCTCGCGCGCCTCGAAGATCCATTTTAGGAGGGTCAGCTTCTCCAGCAGCTCCGGCTGCTCGTCGCCTTCCTCCTGCGGCATGTTGGGGTCCGGCGCCTGCTGCGTCTCGACGAAGAGGCGCGACCGCAGCGAGTCGAAGAGCGTTGTGGCTTGTGCGATTCGGGATGTGAGGAGTTCGTTGACCGGCATCACGACGCACGTCTGGAAGCGCTCGAATTCCTGCTTCTCGAGCTCTTTGGCTTTCGCGTTCTCGGTCGCTTGCGTGTCGGCTTCGATCGCGGCGGCTTCCGCGTACGACATGTTGCCCGAGCTGATTTCTTGGTGCAGGTTGGCGCGGAGAGACTTTTGGCGGGTGGAGGCGGCTTGGATGGCTTCGTGCCGTGCTTTCTGGGTTTCTTGCTGGAATCGCTCTTTGGTTGTTTGGATCTCCCGCATGTCGCTTAGAGCCCGCACGTGGTTGCGTATGGATGATAGTTCGGGGTGGTTGTTGTTCACTGCGGGGTGGTGGCGTGGGTACGGCGGCGGTAATGTGACTAGCCGCGATACGTCCAGATGGGACGGGCTCGGAGTGTTCGGCGCGGAAGAGGTTATGGACAACAATGAATTCCGGTATGGTCGAGGTGTCTCTTGTTTGGCCTCATGCCATCCGACCTTTTCGGGCGGATACTCGTTCTCCGAGTATCTGTCGCTGGGCCCAGCTTGACTGTCTGCGCTCTGTGGCATATCTTGCCATTGTAGAGCCTCTCTAGCTTCCTTAGGGACACCCATGTACTTCGATTCCCGCTTTGTTCTTTCTAATCGATTTGAATCGCCACCCGATTCCGACTCCCACCAACGACTTGCTGGCCGCCCTCGCGAACTTGACTCGTCTAGGTGTTCGCTAACACTCATGCTCAAGATTGGCGATAATGAAGGCATATACTGAGAGGTCCAATTCGGGTTTACCGGTGGTCCATTTGCAGGTGAGGGGGGCAGGTTCGCGGAAGGCGGAGCGGAGTTTGACTTTCCTTGATCACGGGAAACAGGAGTGAAAGAATTTCGTTGCGAGGTGGTCTCGGATATCTGCGGAGTCCATTCGCTAAACTGTGAGTTGGCCGAGTCACGCCGCACCTTCATGGGCCGGAATAGATCCCGCGTCAAGTCAAATATCTCGGATCCCATCGCTCCAATAGCCGATGAATATCTCTCGCGTCGTAGTCTAGATTCGTTGACTATAAAATCAGTAAATAGCTTGACTCGCTCTGCGTCTGAGGCCGCAGTCGCTTCCTGGCTTGCAAACACTTGAAATCGCCCGATGCTGCCTCGACAAAATTGATCGGCTGTCTGACTAACGACAGCTTGCTTAGTCGTAGGGTAGATAGACGAATCACTCGAAGATAAACCATCTAGCAAGCTATGTATCTCTGGTCGTGCCTGGGAAGAGTTGGAGCCTGATCGACTTTGTGGGGGCGGTGTAGGAAGGGCCTTCGGTGCTATGGCGTGACCCGGCCCCGCGATCTGGTGAGCCTTTTGCGGCCGCGGAGAAAATGGCGGCGTCGGTGTTTCTGGCGCTAGTCCGGCGGATGGGCGAGGTGTGGAGTTTCTAGAATCCATATTCGCGTCATCTCCCGACTTTGGCATGTCGGACGTTGTTTTACTGCCGCTACGAGGAGTTTCTTTGGGCGCTGGAGTTCTCCGGGATGAACTCGGCGCACTAGGCACTATAATATTAGATAACGGCTGAATCTCACTCTCTGACCTTTGCCGTGTTCGACTCTCGTTCCTCCGCTCACGGATAGACTTCTCGCCTCGAACAGCCCCCGTTCTGTTTAAGCCCGCCGAGTTGGATGCAGATGCAGACTCAGGCTGTGCTTGTGAGCCATACTCAGCTGCGGCGGACGTATCGATAGTTAAACCAGCTGGGTTCGGTGTTCTGTTACGGCCTAGATGCTCCCCTTGACGCTCATCATTGATCCAGTTGGCCGGGGTTGGCGGTACAGGACCAAGAGCAGTTACTCCCTCAGGAGGTGGTCTTCTCGTTGGTGGAGAGACAATAGGCTCAGTAGTCCTACTTAGACTCTGAGACCTAGACTGTGGTGGAGGAGGGCCTGGTGGAGGCGGGGGTAAAGGCATGCCGGGTTCCCATCTCGACTGAGAGGCTGATCTGGATCGAGCTGAGGTAGGCGTGTCAATAGCACTCGCGGATGCCGCTCTCCGCGCGCTGGGGGGAATAGCAGATAAGTTGTTTTCCGTGGGATGAATAGGTGTGGGAATTTGTACTGCGAGGGTCTGGGTGCGACATAACGAGGCTGGGGGGTGAGGATCGGGAGGTGATGTAGTCTCGGCAGCCGCTCGATCTCTTCGTCTAGTTAATGAAGGAAGGCCAAAACGCCTCTCGCGAGAGCCGCCGCGTCCATTTGCCCCCGGCGGTGGGGGAAAGCTTGGATTGTTCGGCTGCTCTGGTGAAGGACGATGAGCACTCGAAGCGGGGACTCGCACAGCAGATATATTCGCTGGCGACGTCTCATGAACACCACCATTTGGCCTTTGGCTACGAGGAGGAGAATAAGGCGGTGGCGGTGCCGGGACTAACGCGTGCAGACTCATTAGCTACCTCTTCCAAAAACCACTCGTGATGTCGTCTAGACTAGATGACTTACCTTGCGATTCGCGCAGCGCTGATGGCGGGGGGAGTTGATGCGTTCGCTCTGGGCCGACCGCAGGAGAAGGCCCCCATTGTTGGGGATTGTAAGGTTGTATAGAGCTAGCCGGCGTATGAATTCCAGCGAAGTTGTGCGATGAACTAATTGAGACAGCGGACTGCGGTGTGCTGAACTGATTGTGAAACCCGCCTAAAGCCGTCGTCCGAAGTGGATTGAGCGTCTGACGGAGTCGAGAGGTTGCACTATCCCGCGGACTAGTCATCATCACTCACAATCGGGCGTAGCCGCGTTAATAGTAAGTTGCGGGAAGAGCGACGACGGGATAATTTCTTGGTTCTTAAACGGGAATGGGCGCAAGTAGAAGCATGAATTTGGCCGCTTTTTTGCTTTGCGCTCAGCCCTGTTTGTCGGAGAGTTGATCACTCGTAGCGTTCGTTCCCTTCACCTCTCGTCCTTCAACTAAATATCTAGGAGACGCTATTGTCACCAATTACTCCCATGACCCGATGCCCTTATGAAGAGCTAAGAGGATCGTTGATCGTATTAAAGGTGTAGCTGAAGTTTTGTGCGATGTGAAAAGAAGGGTGTAGGAGATGAAAAGCGATGGCGGGCTTCGATAGGATGATGGTCCAACATTCCCCTGTTCGGGGACGTGGGGGATATGTCAGTTTCTTGGCAGATCCCTGGGTGCTTGCATAGGCTCTACGCAGAGGTTCATCAATTGGTTAATGGTCGAAGGAGAGGTAAATTCCGTAAAACAGGAGCGATCTCATCCGCTAACGACAACATGCTACTGAGTAGTATTAGTACTAGGTTGTTAAGAGGAACCGTACGACAATTCTACCCCTTAAAGCCTCTTTGTGGTTTGACTACTTTGATAGTCCTAGCAATTGCAGTTCCGAAACCCTAGAGAATACAACCTAACAGCCCACTCAGTTATAAGGATAGGACTACTATGTATTGTACAATAGGAACTTGCTGGCTTGTGTTGGGGGCTCCTCTTTCATGCATTCCTCTACCACTCTGCTACTACAATGACCTAACCTAGGTATGTATCTAGGTTAGGTAGTTCGTCTACTTAGCTGTCTTACGCTATGTCCTAATGAATCCCATTGGCCATCGGCATTATGGAAAGGGCTGCTTAATGAATATGCACATGAAAGATGAAAAAGGAAAGATGGTCAAGCCTTCAAGGAGTGGGAAGATACTAACCTAGGTATTAATGGATAGTATGCCCATCTTAGGATTAGGGTGGCCGATATCTACTCTAGGCTTGGTTCATTGCATATCATGATGGCCAGCGATTGGTGGAATGGCCAAGTGGATTCATCGTTTATATTTAGAATTGCCTGATCATGATAGCTTCTTATTGGTTGACATTTCGCACTCCTCATGGTTCTAGATATGTCGGCGCTTAAAAGTTGCCACTTCTAATTCTCTCCACTGCGGGATAGCGATCGTTGATTGATCTTTTTTTATCTGGGCATATGCACAAGCCATCTATCTGCAAGAGCGGGGGAGGTTGTTGATGATCTTCAGTAACTTATATTGGGGTCCTTATGTAGGGTAGGTCGCCTTAGGGCTTGTATAATGATTCCAATAGAGTAAGGGGAATTTAGCTCGTAAGCAGAATCCGATTCCCGCTGCAAGGTACCATAATGTAATATCCGTCACACATATACCTAACCTACATGTAGCTGGAGTCTAACCTTAGGACAATACCTCGCGTGTGAGTGGAAAACTAACCAAATTCGTAGAAGTGTACGGAGAGTTATAGTCGGGTGTCACGGCAAGACGAGAAACAAAGCTACCCGCATATTGATTACCACGGGTTTGGGATATGTACCTAGGTAACCTAGATTCTGGACATAACTTCAATGCTCATAGATAACTATTGTTAGCACAGCTAACAATCCGGCAGATGCAATGACTACCCTAGGTACCCCCATCGTCGTATGTGCAGACATCCAAGGTTATTCCACTTTGGTGTTCTAAAATAGTCTCGTATAACTATACCAAGATTACAAGGCACATGTGCATGTAATTGGGATCGTTGATTTAAGCTCCTATTTATATCGAGCTAATAGATAATATAGTCAATATAATATTGCATGACACAGGTAAGTTTAGACATCTATAAATGCATACTAGCATCATCGAGTAATATTTTTCTCCTTAGAAGAGACGTGCCTAGTTTGGAGAACCTTCATCTACTGCACCGCCATAAGCTTCTCAGTCTACCATTGCGCGTTTGCAACTAATGCAGTGAAGCTCCCAGCTCAGGAACCTATTGTTTATTGATGTATACGAGGACTGATAAGGGCGACTGGACCGGCTTTTGGGCTCCAAACATTGGACTCTTGACGTGGAATATACTGCCGTATCTACAGCAGATGGTGAACTCCTCAGCGGTATATGATCTCGCGAGTTGTTGTTCAATTCTACAAGACCTTCTTTCCGCTATAGCTTGACCCCTAGGTCGTACAAGCTCCCGCGCGCTAGATGCTACCTAGTTTTCCAACGAAAGGGAACAGTTGCAGCCAAATAATAGCATTTAAAGCTGGTCGCCTCTATCCAGTACAGGTTCCGACATACATGGAGATTGAATCCCGTTGTTCTCAACGTGGTGCTCCGGGCGGCAACATACTGTACATATTGCAGAGAACGGTTGACTGCGGAGTAGAGCGGGGGAAGGAAGGGAAGGAAAGGAAATAAATGCAGTTCACGTGCGTGTATTTAGCTTATGTAAGATTGGCTCATTGCTAGTTACTATCTACATGTACAATAACATTGAAGTGCTAACTAACCTTAGTTATCTTGTTATCGGAACCGAAGTTTCGCCGTAGATGGAACGGACCCTCCTCTTTTCCCGCTCCGATTGGAATAAAACTGCCTTTTCTCATCTTAAAAAAACTAAAATCTTCGTCGAAATTCTAGATCTTTCCGCAAGCATCTTCTACAACATCTTGCGTTGTTGGCCAAGTGCCCCCCATGCCGACGCCTTCTCTTTTTCTATTTGTCTACTATGATTACAGATTAATTCCGTAGGTAGTCAACAAACACCCGTCCATCTGCCATCAGTAAGTCTTCATTTTTTTTTCTTTTCTCCAATTGTCTTCTGCATTTTCCCCATCTACGAAATATCTGATGATACACAAGCTGGCACCAGTCATAGAGCGACTTGTACTCCCTTTCCTTGATGACCAATAGCTGTAGTCCTTGAGACTCATTTCTGATTTATTTCACTCTTTCAATATAATTCACTCCCGTGAAAACTTTGCTTCAATTTTGCAGTTTCTAATTAACGTTGCGTTCCTTAGCTTCCCACCAGATTATCACTTTTCCCAATTAACTTCGACCTCGTTATCCTTCCACCATGGTGCTACACAACCCCAACAACTGGCATTGGGTCAGCAAGAATGCTGGTGAATGGACTAAACAGTGGTTCGAGGAGACGTTGACCAAGGTCTCGGCCGAAGATGGAGAAATTACCGCCAAGATTAATAAGGTTGTCAGCATGGACGGTGATGTTGACGTAAGCCAACGTAAAGGCAAAGTTATAACCATATTTGATGTTAAGCTCGTCTTAGAGTACTCTGGTATGTTCATCTCCATAGGCTGTCATAATGAACTGGTTCTAACTTCTACAAGGAAGCGCTCCCGGAGAAGAGGAAGTATCTGGCACAATTACTATTCCGGAAATTGCTCATGATACAGAGGAGAATGAATTTGTCGTATGTGTTTCTGAACCTTTCTAATCTATCATATTACCCAGCTAATATCAATCAATTGAAAGTTTGACATAGATATCTACTCAGAGGCAGCAGGAAAGCAGCCTGTTAAGGATTTGGTTCGAACCAAGATTACACCACAGCTTCGAAAGGAATTCTTAAAGCTCATTCCAGCCTTGATTACCGAACACGGTAAAGATATCCAACACGCCGCCGGCTCGAATCCCTCCAGTGGGTTTGCCACACCCAAGTATCATGTGCCATCGGGTGCTGCTGCAAAGCCGGAAACGGACAATAGCACTCAGAAGAATGCCGGCAGCGTTGTCAATACAACGACGGTGACCGATCAGGAAGAATTCCGAACTACTGCTGCTGAATTGTACCAAACATTTACCGACCCCCAGCGTCTAGCTGCCTTCACCCGTGCCCCACCGAAAAGATTTGATGGTGCCAAAAAAGGTGGAAAGTTCGAGCTTTTCGGTGGTAATGTATCTGGCGAATACGAAGAGCTTGAGGAGCCAACCAAGATTGTGCAAACTTGGCGACTGGACCAATGGCCTGCAGGTCACTACTCGAAGCAGGTGATTGAATTCGACCAGAATGATGTAGATAGTGTAACCGTGATGAGGGTTACCTGGACTGGTGTCCCTATTGGCCAGGAAGAGGTCACTAAACGTAACTGGAGCGAGTACTATGTGAGGAGTATCAAGTTGACCTTTGGGTGAGTACATTTACAGTCAAACTATCGCTATGAGCTTGAGCTAACACAAGACAGATTCGGCACGATACTATGATCTCGCAAGACCATCTCGTTTACGGTTGGCGCTCTCTAACAGTGGTAGTTGCTGCAAGATGTATAATTCTCCCTCGCTAGCAATTCCTTAGTCAACCTGTCATAATCACAGTTACAAGACAGATAACTTGGGACTGATAACTCTCAGCAGACCTTGCATATCTGAATAAATAAACATACATATATACATCTTAGATCCTAGTGTTAAGTGAACTAAATCTTGAACGCTCGAGTAATCTTTGTAGCCTCTCGATAACTATGGCCCTGGAGATAAATCAGTTGGCCTAGCTATGTGAACTCGGTAATCTAGTAGAGTCTATTTGATTTTGTGTTCTTCTCCACGCCAAATCGAACCCAAATTCGACATTTAATCCCCACATGAGTACGCACGGGACAAGCCGAGCCAACCACGAACTAGCTACGTCACTTATTTGATTGAGCCGGTAACTGGTAGCCAACCTTCAATGTTCTTTACGTTCACTCTTCTAGCCCCTACCTCCATAATATACCTCCATAATACAATATCGTTGATCTGTTGAACTTATATGTGCTTGGATACGTATGACATCGGAAGTATCTAGGTTACTGGGTAACGTATATCGAATTCGACCCATTTAGCGTTGTTCTTCTTTACTTACTGCATTGCCGCACTCCCTCAGTCTCAGTGTCTTCGTACGCGTCTGGTCTCATGGCTGCATCGTCACGCGCGACACTCATTTGAGCCCCTCTACAATAACACTATCGTTTGGCGTATTTTCTACCATCTCAGTTGGGGACTTTTTATAATAAAATATCGATATCGAGCAAACGCCGATTTATGCCCATTAGATAGATACCTAATAGCTTTGAATTCTCATCTAGGTTTGATTGAATGCATCGCGACAATGCCTTCTATCGATAACTTCCAATCCTCACCCTTTCTCAATGAGAGCCCCACGGAAGTCCACCACAGCTCTGAACTTCACGTGGATTTACATATTACCAGTTCTAACTTAACTCTCAATTCATTAAACCTTTCCGAGACAGAAGTTCAGCCAAAGCAGATTCCTGATTGGAGCAACCTCAAAGTCATCCACCGGAATACTCTTGCGCCGCGAAGCCATTTTCATCTTTACAACACCGAAAAAGATGCACTCTCTGGTGACGTAGGCCGCTCTAGAGCTACGCTGCTATCCGGCACGTGGGGATTTGAGCTCTCGCCCGGGCCCTTCAATGGGTCCCAGGAATTCTACAAGTCCGACTTTGACCATACCGAGTGGAAACTCATCAAAGTGCCAGGAATGTGGCAACTTCAAGGTTTTGGCAAGGGACCGCAATATACTAACGTCAACTACCCCTTTCCGGTAGACCCTCCGAACGTCCCATATGACGATAATGAATGTGGGCGCTATATCAAACGATTTACTGTTCCTGATACCCTCAAAGACGGAGACCAGTGGCGCCTACGATTCGAAGGCGTTGATGCAGCTTTTACGGTCTGGTTGAACGGTAAAGAGGTTGGCTATTCACAAGGTTCTAGAAATCCGAGCGAGTTCGATGTGTCAGCATTTCTGAACCTCGAGTCGGATGCCGAAAACACCCTTTGTGTGGAGGTTTACCAGCGATGTGATGGAAGCTACATTGAGGACCAGGTATATATAAAACCTCTTGCACCTACTTCTCATTATATTAACCAATTTTCCACTTTCTAGGACCAATGGTGGCTTAGCGGTATCTTTAGGGACGTCTGGCTACATTCATTCACTTCGGCCCATTTTGAAGACTTTCACATTCAAACCATCCTCGACGATGATTTCAAGGATGCTTTGCTGACAGTCGATACCAAATTGAACAAGCCTGGTGAAACCATCACCTCCAAACTGCTTGACAGAGATGGTAATGTGGTATTCTCTAACTCGTATAAGTCCGAGGACAAGTCGTATAAGAGTGAACACAAAATCAAGAACCCAGAGAAATGGACGGCGGAAACTCCTTATTTGTATACCCTTGTGCTCTCTGTCGGGTCTGTTTACATTGCCCAAAAGGTTGGATTCCGAAGGGCTGAGCTTATTGATGGTGTTTTTTGTGTCAATGGCAGCCCAGTCAAGATTCGCGGGGTAAATCGCCACGAACACAACTTGGAATCAGGGAGAACCGTTCCGTACGCAAGCCTCCGATGGGACCTCCAATCGATGAAGGTGTTTAATATCAACGCTGTTCGCACCTCCCATTATATAAACGACCCTAGATTCTATGATCTCACAGATGAAATTGGTCTTTGGGTGCTAGACGAAGCAGACCTTGAATGTCATGGATTTGGCGAAGTTGGCGGTGACCCAGCGAGTTTTGCGTCTGATAATCCCGAATGGAAAGAGGCGTACGTGGATCGTGCAGTGCAGATGGTAATGAGAGACAAGAACCGTCCGTCCGTCATCATGTGGTCTCTTGGAAACGAAGCGTTCTATGGGAGGAATCATCAGGCAATGTATGATGCCATTAGAGAAATCGATACAACGCGTCTTATACATTACGAGGGCGACCAAAATGCGCAGACGGCAGACATATTCAGTCGCATGTACACGCCTGTTGACGAAATGATCAAGCATGCGGAAGAAAAGGACTGGAAGAAACCTTTCATCATGTGCGAGTTTGCGCATGCTATGGGTAATGGTCCTGGCGCAGTACGAGAGTATGTTGAAGCATTCTACAAGTACCCCCGATTAATAGGGGGGTTTGTATGGGAGTGGAATAATCACGTAGGCTCAAGCTACTACTCGCGTACCTCTTTACAGTTAAGGCTAACAAGTATACGCAGGGGCTCGTCGCAGAGACGAAAGACGGCGAGAAGTACATTGGTTACGGCGGTGATTTTCAACCTGATGAGCCTAATGATGGTAACTTCGTGATGGACGGACTTTGTGACTCACAGCATAATCCGGGCCCAGGGATCAATGAGTACAGCAAAGCTATCGAGCCAGTCCAAATACTTGGTATAAATGGCCGTGAAGTTACAATTGCAAATCGATACGACTTCCTAACTCTGGACCACCTGAAGTGTTACTGGGAAATTATTTCCGATCGTCAGCAGATGATCGGGCAGGGCATTCGTATCCCTCCAGGAGTCAAGCCCCACGAGAAAGCGACCTTGATACTCGGTGACACGCCAATGACTATGGCCGCAGACACGTGGTTGCAGCTAGAGTTTATCACCGGGGAAAACAGCAAATGGACGTCTCCCGGTCGAGTAGTAGCTCGAGGCCAGGTTGCTCTCACTCCACCCAAGTCTCTCCAATTACTCAAAACCCTTTCTGCACCCGGCCGCCCGCATCTTCAGCGCAGGGGAAATATGATCTACATCACCATCTCCAAAGGAACCATTTTCGGCTTCGATACAGGCAATGGCACCTTATCATCCATAAGCCACACTTCGAAGCCAGACCACAACCTCATCACTGTCCCCTTCGCCCTCGACTTCTATCGAGCTCTCACCGACAACGACCGAGGCGGTCCCCACGGTAAGGAGTGGATCGAGAAGAGGGTTCACCAGACCCGAAATCACTTCTCAAAAATCACCACGACGGAAACCGAAGATGGCGTCACCATCGTCGTAGAGGGGCGCGTAGCACCCCCTGTCCTCGCCTGGAGCGTCCAAACCACGACAACCTATACAATCACATCCGCCTACTGCAGCATCCGCATCCAAGCCAAGCCGCAGGGCGCCCTCCTCCCTTCCACCTTCGCCCGCTTCGGGCTCTCCTTCGGCGTCCGCGACGTTCACATCGTCGAGTGGTTCGGGCGCGGGCCCTGGGAGTCGTACTCGGACAAGAAACAAGCCCAACTGATCAACACCTGGGGCTGGGCCGCCGACACCCTCTTCCACGAGTACGAGTTCCCGCAAGACAGCGGCAACCGCACCGACGTGCGCTGGGTCGAGCTGCGCACCCGCTGGGGCGGCGAGGAGCAGTACCCCGATCGTCTGCTGCGCGCGCGCTTTGGGCACAATGCTAACGCTGGTAACGGCGCTAGCTTCAGCGTTACTCCGTACGCTACGCGCGACGTCGATGAGTGCGGGCACGCGCACGAGCTGAGGAAGCGGAAGCGGGATGATCATATTGTGAAGCTCGATTGGTATCACCATGGGCTTGGCACCGGCAGCTGTGGTCCCGCTACGTTGCCGAAGTATCAGTTGAGGACGGATCGCGAGTTTGATGTTGAGTTGTTGCTGGATTAGATTTTGCCCTGGTAGGGTAGGGCACCTAATTTAATATCTATGAAGTAATAGGTAGAGAGGTACGTATGGTTCGAATCGTGCAATACATGTATATCAAGGCATGTAGCCGTCATGGTATACAGCACTGTACTAGTTAGCAGGTAGAATGTAATTTCAGTGCCTTAGAGACCTATTTCTACATCACCAATTCATATCCATTTTACTCCAATTTTCTCGGGCAACTCTCAGTAGATCAGTGCTAGGTTACCTAGTTGATAGTATTTAAGCAGCAGTTGATTCTTTTTGCTTGCAATGGCGAGGGCATGCTGTTTGCCATACAACTACCTAAAAGCAAATACAAATCCTCCCCCCACCCCTCCCCCCTATTACAGCCACATCATACCATCCCTCTCCCTTAAGCTAAATTCAAGCGAGTAAAACTTTACAAGTAGACAGACATCCATCATTTCAGTTTTTTCTTCCAGGTTTTTAGAAAAAAAAAAGGAAACGTAGATCCTGCAGCTATACATACGTCCAGAAAGCGAGTACGTAGATGAATATCAAAAGCAATTGGGGATAATAGACCTGGAACCCGACAGGTTACATGCATCCGTCCAGAAACCCTACTCGGGTAGGCACCCAGTTACCCCCTCCCTAGTCCTCTAGTAAGTAGGTAGCTATGCATTTTCTTTTTTCGGGGAATCAGATATACTGCCAACACCCCACATCCGCCGGCGCGGGCTTCAGGCTCAACCCCACGGCATCGATGCAATCGGTGAGATTGAAGCCCTGCGTCCCGACGTAGAGCTGGTAGCTGGCGCCCGTGCCGGCCATGAAGGCCGCGACGTCGGGGCACACTTTTACGCCGCCGAAACTGTAGTCGAGCACGTCGCGCGAGGGCTCGCAGTCCGAGACGACGGTCTTGTTGAACCAGCCGCCGACGGTGGAGCCGGGGGGCGAGGAGGAGGAATGCGCGGCGGTGTACGAGACTTGGCCCGAGGGGGCGACGTAGATTGCTTGGCCGCCCGGGACTTCGACCTGGATAGGTACGTAGGTACGAATCAATACCTTGCTTACTAGGCGGGTGTGAAGTAGGTGGGCTGTGGTTTCGTAGAGGGGTGTGTGCTTACCGCCATGCCAGTCAGCCCGGCGTATACGAGTGTGCCTCCCACTTGGGGACACGACTTCACGCTCGGGGGGCAGTAGGTCGCGGGCCCCGAGGTACCGGCGTAAAACCCTTGGCCGGCGGCGTTCAGCAGTGTTCCGTCAACTTCGGTGCCGGGGGCGAAGACGGTGATGAAATAGGCGGTGGCGGAGACGGCGGTTGAGTAGGAGGTGAGGAGGAAGGGGAAGGAGAAGGAGAAGGTGCGCATCTTGTTTTTTTTTGTTAGGGGATTGCTCTCGAGTCTAGACTAGTTGAAAGAAAGGGGAGCGTCAACGATAGTATGCCTCTCGATTGTTTCGAGATTTCTAACCACCTAAGGTTAGGTAGGCAGGATTGGAAACGAGAGTGTGTGCTGGCGAAATAAGTTCCTAGCTACTCCGGCATCAAATAAGGACTGGTGTTGAGAAGAATACAGAGTTATAGATTTATTCGCATGCGACTGTACAACGTGGTAGAAGGGGAGCTTGTACTACGCTCATCTCGGTTGCTCCTGCTTCTTGTTTGCTTCCTCCTGAATAATGTGCCTTCCGATCTCAAGTTTGCACCTTCTGCCGCTTTGGCTTTGCCCCTGTATTCCCCGAAAGAGAAGTCGCGCTTCCTGGATGTGGTCGCGACATCCCATCTGTGCATACTAGGTATCTAGGTATCCAAGGTGTCTTCCTAGTCTCGTAGATTTGAGGAAACTGCTACCTACTCTCTAGTTTCCTTCGAAATGATGAGTCATTCGAGTGGGTTCCATTTGATTCAGGGTTGGCAACTAAACTTGAGTACTTTCCACGTCGAGGACACTCTAATTACAGTTCAGCTCACCACACTTTCTCAGGGGTAATTCTTTCTGAGAAGTAATTATCATCTATGAAAATAGGATTCATACGAAGTCAGTGGTCGTTAGGAGAGCATGCAAGAGAGCGACGTAATGAGAGGACCTGCTGTGGTATATATGGGAGATAATACACGTTTTACTTCATGCCGCATGTATTCTCTCCGAGCCACATGCAATCGCCGTCAGTGATAATACCGAGTTACTCAATATCGAGTAATATAAAAGGCGAGATGCTGGGCTTGATCGTACAGGCGACTAACTGAAATTCCGAGGTTACCTTCGAACAAACTATACTGAAAGCGGATTTGGCAATTTCAGAAAAGAAACGTGATGGCTATCAACGTTGCTAGATATATCTTTGAGCCACACCTGACCATGTTCGTGTCTCTGTTACGCTGGAGATCATCTGACACAATCTCTTGATACGCAAGGTATGTCGAGAGAGCCACGCGCGACACTCATTCATAACTCGCAGTAAACACACGGTACTAGGTATACAATAATTGACTTGTCGAATTCCTGGGAATTGGTGTTTGGATATATTAGCTTTTCTGTCGTCAGCTATGTCAACATTTTCCATTTCCATATACATATATACTTAACTAGTAAATCAGTAAAGGGGGGCGGATGTAGTTGCGTTAAGGTGAGCTCCGTTAACTGGGCACGCCCTCAACACCTACCTACGTAACGCCGGATGAGCAGTCTTGCTTTTCTATATGATAAACAGCATCTTAATATGCTCTATTATATGCTCTATTATAGGCATGTCTCAACTCATTGTATCATTGACGCTTGATCTAGTACCTAAGTGTCTAGTTGAAATATCCATGTCCAGGTGTATTGATGTTAGTTAGTGCTAGACCAAGTTGGGATTTACCCCCACTGGACCCAATTATTACAGCGTCTTACAGCGCTTTCCTGCTTAGAAGCTAGTGTGATTACAGGGGATTATCCTGTCACTAGTCAGGAGTCTTCCCAGTTCTTGACTGTTCCTGCCTGGTTTCTTATCCTCAGAAACACCTAACGAGGCATTGAGGTCACATTCTGACCTCACATCCTCTGACTTGCCTTCCATCCTACTCTCCTACTCTACTCCTATCTTGAACCAAGCAACATTCATGTCCAGGAGTCCCTACTATGTAACTACTACTATTACACGTGTATATGGGCACATGTGTTCTTATTCAGGGGACCCTGTCGTTATACAAATCAGATCACTCAGCCTCTCCAGCTTGCGTTGTATCTCCGCTAACCTCATCTACTACGTTATCTCGATGACCTAGAGCCATGCTCGCCGCCGTGAAACATGATGGGGTTCACCATTTGCCGCACGGCTAGTGCATAGGTACACATCGTGGCAATGCACACCTACATAGGTACTGAAGCGGAGATATATCATGTTATAGGCAAGGGGCTTTCCGCATTTAGTCTATTACGAATGAAGCGGCTACAGCCTCCACACCTACCATAGACTACTGACTTCATTTGCATAAAGGCAGGTGCAGTAATTCTTCATCATAGCGTCACACACATGGGAGTTTCCCGCTTTCATACTCGCCCCGTACTAGCTTAAACTCGTATCATCTTCATGGTTGATTGATAGCAGGGCATCAGTAGTAGTAGTCCGCAACTACGTATGCTTGATTCGAGCATACCTACCCCAGTATTGCGGTCTTGGCTCCGAAAACAGAGACATGCCGACCTTACATACTCCTGAGTGGCCGTCCACGAGGCATCCTTTACTATGTCGGTATCAAGAGCCGTATCTTCATGAGCCTCATATGACGCACTTGCCTTCATGCCCATCGTACGTATAGTTGCTAGACCCTAGATCTTACGACAATACCGGCAAGCTCATTGGACTTTTTCGTTCGCCATCACCGTCATATGGCTTAATATAGTATTGTACTTGAGTAACCATTAGCGCCTTGTTCCTCGTGAGTTTCGACAAGCTTTGGGGAGGCGATATTGACCTTGTATTACATCCCTGACTAAAACGCCTGAAGTACTCCTGGCTTGCTTAGCATTGGTATCTCTCAGAACTTCGCCATATCTCATCAAGTTTACTCTCCTACTCCCAGCATTTCTAATCCTCCTCAAAGCATAAAAGGTGCCCGAATACCCACCTGCTTAAGTTTCTTTCTCTACCTAGGTAATTATTCTTCCTATATGTCCGTATTCAATACCTTTCCAAAACATACTTCTATTCTTCGCCCATACCTTCTTCAAGCATCCAAAATGGCAACCCGTAATCATCACAACGTTTGCTACATGGTTCCACCCTACCTACTCAACGCTATTGCCGAGAGTAGCAACAATGAGGACCCTATCCGCGAGTCTGCCCGTAACGCGCTTAGCCTCCACAAGAGTTGCATCGGCAAACGAGAGAAGCGCTTCACGGCCCTTACCACTCCCCGCGGCTTCAATGCCGCAGGAAATATCGCCCAACACCGCAGCATTGTGCCAGATCATATGCTCCAGCACATTGCCGATTGCCAGGATGTAGACAGTACTACCCGTGACTGCGCTAAACGTGATCTCGAGCACATCAGGAATGTGCACGCCAAGTACCAACAAGCCCAGGGTCTGCGCGACGAATCGTCCGACCAGAAGACTCTAGAGGCTACGGATAAATCCTCGGAGACTACTGAAAAGACGTATCGTGCGGTATATGATGCCCAGAACGATGAAAAGGAAGCCAATCTCCCTGGAAAGCTAGTTCGTGTCGAGGGTCAGGCGGCTACTAAGGACGAGTCCGTCAACGAGGCCTACGACAACGCTGGTCACGTCTTGTCCTTCTATGCCGATATTTTCAACTGGAAGTCCATCGACAACAAGAATATGCATGTGGTCAGCTCAGTGCACTTTGGCAAGAACTACGAAAACGCCTTCTGGGACCCTGAGATCGCCCAGATGGTGTACGGCGACGGACACACCTTCTTGACCAACTTCACCGGCTGTGTGGATGTTATCGGTCATGAACTTACTGTGAGAGACCTATGCCCCTTATGACTTCTAGGTGTGGTGCTGACCCCTATTTAGCACGCTGTTACTGAGCACACCTCCCCACTTGATTACAACGGCCAAAGCGGTGCTCTCAACGAGCATGTGTCGGATGCTTTCGGCATTATGATCAAGCAGAGAGTCGAGAATGAAACCGCGGATAATGCTGACTGGCTGATTGGCGAGAACTGCCTCATGCCCGGTGTGAAGGGTGTCGCCTTGCGCAGCATGAAGGCACCGGGAACTGCCTACGACGATCCCCGTTTTGTAAGTATCATGGAGTGATGCCATCCCATCTCTAACCCCGGGGATGAAGTAATAAACATACTGATATATTTTTGTGAATAGGGCAAAGATCCTCAACCTGCTCATTTCAAGGACTACAAAATGACCCAAGACGATAATGGAGGTGTGCACCTCTACTCCGGTATACCCAACAAAGCATTCTACAATGCCTCTGTTGCCTTTGGCGGTTACTCGTAAGTCTTCAATCCTTCATTTATTAATTGCCAGGTCTTTCCCGACATCTTTTCAACGATATATCACCTCAGATGACATTGTGACTGACCAAGTATCCGATCAGATGGGAGAAAGCAGGCAAGATCTGGTGGGAAACTATGAAGAGCGGTCAGATTCCTGCCAAGTGCACCTTTGTCCAGTTTGCCGATGTCACGGTTGACAAAGCGGAGGAGCTCTTCGGAGACAGTGGTGCCACCATTGTGAGGAAGGCTTGGGACGATGTTGGTGTGACGAGGAAGTCTTTTCCCTAGGGGGGAGGATGCCAGCCTTTCTGAATGGAGATGAGTTATAAGATCGGCATACGACGCTTTTATGGTACCTATCGGTTATGGAAGGTTTTTGTGGTGGGGACCTCAGGTTTCAGGGTTCGAAATTGTTACTTCATCGCCGGTTGAGTTGTGCTTGTTCCATAAACAACATCACCTAGAACACTAGAGTGTTATGGTACTTCTACTAATACTAGTATTTTACACCGTCGTTGTTTCTTTTGGCTGTGCTCACGTTATGAGCTCAATTTCTATGTACTGCATTGGCCTGTTTATATACGTCATGATACACAACCCGAAAAGGGGGGGTATAATGGCCCTCTTCCACCACCCGATGAATGGTACAAGACCTAAAACAATAACGCCACGACACCTGTCCCCTTTACCTCTCTACATACATACCTAGGCAGGTATTCATTAACTTTATCACCAAGCTCATTTTTTCTTAACCGCGTACTTTGATCCCAATTTCCGCTTTACACACGTTAGTTAGTTAGCCTTATCATCATCATCATCATCGACATCGACATCAACCTTTTTTTTTTTCAACTAAACATAAATATATATATAAAAAAAAAGAACTTACAACAACGTGAGAAAGCTCATTACCGAAAAAAGTCTTGAGGTCCCTCCGATCTTTCAGCGTCCCGGCCCCGAGACCCAGCGCCTTCTCTACCTCGGCGCACAGCTGCGCTTGGATCGCCGGGTGTAGGAGAGTACCGGGGGCCCAGCTGCCTGACGAGAAGTTTTTCTGCACTTGTGTCTTGAATTGCGCGACTATCGCGGGGACTTTGGGGACTTTGGGGTTGGGTGGGGGAGCTGGCGCGGGAGCGGGGGCGGGGGCTTTTTGAGGTGCGGGCGCGGTTGGGGTTGGTTTTGGGGCTGGCTTTGGGGCTGGCTTTGTGGTGGGTTGAGTGCCGTTTGGTGTGTTGTTGGCTGGTGTCGGGTTCTGATTCTTAACGGCGGGTGTGGTTGATGGGGTTGGTTGTGTGCCATTTGGCTTGTTGTTCGTTGGGGTGGTCTCCTTTTTGGCGATGGGCGCCTTTTGGGAGGCGGTTGAGGTTGCTTGAGTAGTAGTTGACATGTTTGCCGTACTGGACTCCTTTTTGATGACGGGTGGTGCTTTCTGAGAGTTGGTTCCATTGGTCTGAGCACCGTTCGACGTGCTGCTTGCCACATTGCTTTCGGGTTTCAGTTCTACAGGTTGCGGACTCGTATTCTTCGCGCCGTTTTTCTCGTCCTTCTTCACCTCTTTGACCCCTATATGCATCGGCACTTCCTCAATCTGCACAGTTGGTGCCTCCGGTTGCGCCAAAGTATCCGCAGCCATGATGCTTTTCCCACCGTCAATGGTCAAGCGCTGCCGGATCTTGATCTTGGAGTATGAGTTTCCCAGAGGCTTCAGGCGTTTGCCTTGCCAGAGCATAGGAACAATATCCATCTGCGCGGTAGGACAGAACAGCAATGCCTCCCCTGTTCGCAGCGCCACAATCGTGTCAAACAAGGAATGCTCCCCGGTTTCGAGACCGCTAGTACCTGTCTTGCTAGCCGCGGCAAGGTGCTTTTGAAGCATGGCGTACCAGTTGGGCGAGAGGAAGCGGTGCACAAAGGTGACGTTTGCCAGATCGATCAGCTCGGGCGCAAGCGTGGGTTCCTGGGTGGCCACAAATACCCGGGTGCCGGTGTGTCGCTGCTCTCTCATAATGGAGAGTAAGTCCTCCGTGAGGATCCTGGCTTCCCCGGACTGGAGCAAGAACTGGGAAATCACGTTAGCGATTTCCTCTTCACATAATTATCAGTTTTACCAACCTTGTGGGCCTCATCAAGCACCACGACACGTCCACATTGGTTCCTATCTTCGAGAAAGATCGAGAGACAGATGGAGAAGAGCGTGCAAGCGTCGGCGGAGCTGAAAAACGGGTCGCTCAAGTCGATTATGGTCAACGATCCTGGCTCGAACGACCAAATGTTCTCCTTGGAACTCGCCGGCTTGTTCTTCAATGTTACCATCGACGGCTCGATGATGCTATCAAGGAGCTGCAGGCGCATGTTCAGAGGCGTGGCCTGGCCCGGCAACCACTTGACTAGGCTGATACGTCGGCGGAACTCCGTATACGTGAACCCCGGCCCCTCCATCGCCATATCACGAGCTATATTCATCACTACATCCATGTAAAGCGGGGTCTCATTTGCTGCGGGGTCAATGGCCATTAGCTTGAGGATTCTCGATATGTTAAGCTGGGTTTCCTTCAGGTATAACGGAAGGATCTTGGGTTTCGGCGCCCCCGCACTCAAGCCAGGGAGCGTGCTGTACAAGCGCTTCATCGCCCAGATATTCGATGGAGACACGAGCACCGTGACCGGGATTCCGGAGGAGCATATATACGCCGCTTCGCAGATTTGCGTGCTGTTGTAGTTGGTGAATTTGTCATAGTGCATGACCAGTCCCGCCAAAGGGTGCGGGAGCTCGCCAGATGGGTTGTCTGGAACGAGTGCGTTCTCCAGAAGACAGGAGATTGTGTGGCTCTTTCCGGAGCCCTGAGAGCCACAGATGAAAGCGGACCATGGCGTGTTCATATTTGCCAATACGAGGCGGTCTTCGGCCGGCTCACCAATGTGGTCTTCGTCCTGTCGCGTTCCAACAAGTCCGTATTGCGGAATGAGGCTAAGGCCATCATCGTCGATTACTGAGCCTGCCTCAGATTTTTCCACAGAATGGTCATTAAGAGTAGACGAAGCAGATGGATCAGGTCTCATTTTCGAGTGGACGAAATTATAAGTGGCCCCGGTAAAGATAGGCGCATTCGCCAACATGTCGGCTTCTTGCAAAAGATGGGAATTTGACAGCCCATTTTCGTTCTGGCTCTCCACGAACGGGAGTAGCTTAGAGAACCTCGTCATGGCTGTAGCTCTGGGTTGACGAAATAGGTCGCGTATTGCAGAGCGGAAGGGCGCGGCTGTGGGAAATTTGTTCATTAGTTCAGGGACTTAGCTAGGCTACTAGGTCAGGGTACTAGTGAAAGTTGGCTAACGATTGAGAGGGGCTGGTGATTAGCAGCTTCAAGGATATTTGAAGGTATCCAGACTTTAATACTACACCAACAGGTAAGGTTAAATGACTGATCATCAAGTAACTCTCACGTTTGACACACCAACACCCTAGGTTTGAACCGTAGAGTCGGAAGTTGTTGCGCTGCAGACCTACTTTCACCTACATTCGTTCGAAGGCGAGCTTTTAGGGGATTGAGGTTGGTTGTTTGCTTACCTGACGGGTAGTAGCATCTGAGTTGTCTGCCCAAACGGATTCAAGTGAGTGAGACTCTTACTTGTCAGAATCTATCAGGCCCTCTTGTATTGGTGGCAGATTCGTTGAGAAAATGCCACAAAAATCCGTGTTGGTGTAGGATATAGAACTGGAGAAAATAATAAAGAGTGAAGCATGAGGAGGAAGAATTTCTTTTCTCTGGTCTGGCACAAAGATTCAATTTAAGACTGGCATGGTCTAGAGAACGAACTATTCGATGCCTCAGGTTTCGAGGAGGCTACTCGAAAGTTGAGAGCGGATACTCGATACTGGGGTTTTCGAGTATGTTTATCCCTTCACCATTTATAGCCTCGTTTAAGACATGGGTTATCTTGCCCGCCACCCTAAGGTACCTGTATTTTCCTTTGAACCTTTTACCACACTACGTGTAGTTGCAAAACTGGATCTTCGTTTGATCAATCATTAGCTCATAATTGAGCGAACAAACCTTTCTTATATGACGCATTCATGGTTTTGCCGGCCATGTGTGGCTGTGTGGTTGGACGCTGACGTGCAGAAGGTTGTATGCGTCAAGGTATGTCACGTGACACAGCGTCTGGTTTGTCCATATATGTATACCCACCTGGTGCTTTGAACTGTAGCCTATGGTTGCCTACTAATCTACATGCCTACTAAAGAATGCTGCTACATTATTTGATTATCTAATATACATCTTCCAAGTTTTGTCGATCAACAACTTGTTAAATTTAACCTCATCGGTTGAAACTAGAGGTCGTGGTTCAAATAATCCAACGTCATCAACTACCAGCGACTTCAAGTATAGCATTCATACCACTAAGTTTAATGAGTAGCACACGTAGTGCATTCTAGTTTCAAACGTCTAGACCGAGTGGTAATAACTCACTTCTGTGCTGTGTTGCCCCCTATGATCCCTTACTTGAGCATAGAACACTAACGAAGATATTAATTATACGCGATAGGTATCTGTTTAATTATAGTTAAATACTACTGTGTAATAAAAACCCTAGTTATATGTATGGAGTCTCTGAACATAATGCCATTTTTGGTTCCAATTGCAAGGGGTGCTACGCCAAGCCGTCGCTGGAACTATCAAATCATTCAAATGACAGTAGTCGTTCTCATCTGCCAAATAGTCTCCTCGGTTTGATGATTTGGATGCTTAGGATCGTCGCCATGGTGCTCGGATTCGACGAGTGTGTCGAACTAATGATAGCGAGTACCTGAGCTGCCAAGGGCGTGCTTGACAAAATCTCATTGGATTTGTTAGCCCCTTTCTCTTCCACTAGTACTCCGTCAAACTACAGCTGTGCATCAACAGCCATTACGTGATTACCTAGTAGATACCTACCCATACTCCATTAATAGAACTTGAATGAGTGTCATCTGCAACGCTTTTACCTAACCATACCGCACTTCCCCGCGCCCTCCTTAGCCACAATATCCAATATCTGCAGCAAGATTACAACTCTTGCCACGTGCATGACATACCGTTTACATCTGAATACCTACCTAGGAATGCTATTCTTCAATTTATTTCGGACCATCAGAGCTGTTTCTATATTACCCGCCATAAAATCGTCGCTTCAATATGCTCGCTCTTAAGTATTTGCTACTAACCTCTTCGGTCATCATGGCTTCCCCTCAAGCGTCGGACCCTGAAAGCGTCGCAGTGAGATATGTGTGCCAAAGGTGTACGTACGAGACTAACTTTCCTTCGACTCAATCACGGATAGGTAGTGTGAAATCCTAGAGGCTGGTGGCCTTAATGTTCATCGTCCTGGGACAACAACACATGAGGAACGCGAGGCTGGATATTAGTCCCTGCCAGCTCAGATGAGCCCGACTTTGCATCGTCCAACCCAAAGCAAGGCAAGAGGTTTCTGAGCTCATTAAAAAATATTGGCCGGCAATATCACCTTTCGCTGCGGTGGCCACACTACCTGGGGTCCGGCGGCCGACAGCAAGCTTGTGCTTTAATCAAGCACTTTTGTTTGACGAGTTAACGGTAAACCCGAGTACTGGGAACAACGAGGACGGCGAGTCTGTGCTTGATGTTCGAGAGAGAGGGAGATGTTGGAGAGCGAGAGTCTCGCCCAGCAGATCAAACAGAAAGCCACTACCGCTGAGGGAGTGGGGGAGATTGTCCCGAACAATGCTAACTGGGCCGTCACCGATCAGTGCCTCATGTCCCCTATCAAGACTGTTACCCCCGACGAGGGCGTGTCAACCAACTATGCAAGCGAGGACGCCTTAACTACCTGGGAAAGCGGGGACGGTTTGACAAACCGGGCAGGCAAGGACACGTTAATCGCCCGGGCAGGTGAGGACGTGTCCACTACCTGGGCGGGCGAGGAAGTGCTAGCAAACTGGTCAAGCGGGTCGTGGGATGCGCTCATCTCCCTTAGGAGTGCTATGGTGAGTAAACTTGCCGCGTTTGGCATACTGCGCCCAAATCCCGCTGCGGATTGGGTCTGTAGGTAATTGTCGACTATTCTTTTGGTAATTTCGCGGAGTTCGAGGGCGGGTATAGGAATTTCTATTATAGCAGACATTAGGGGATATCCTCGTATATTGTGAAGTTGCTGGCGAAAAGTCTCCCCATTTATAAGTTCCGCCATCTGTTTCGAGGCGAGAACGTCTAGTGTAGCCTTAAAAACGTAATCCGGAACACCCGGCTCAGGCGGCGCCGATGGCGGCATCGCAGTCCCATCTAATAGCGGGTCATCCGTTGACTCTACGTTCTTTTCTAAGAATGCATAGGTTAGATGCTAGCTACACAGTTCATGATCAATTCGTGGCTTACTTTTCACGAAAGAGCAATATATCCCCCTGCCGTTGTAGTGGCAATTAGCACAGCTTGACGAGAAGTCACCAAATTCTGGGAGTGCTACCACACAGAGGTCCCAGAAACCCCTCCCCGCTTTACACCTGTCGCACCCGTCGTTGCGGTTTCGCCTTATGCCAGCTACCTGAAGCAATACAGCGATGAGGTTTGTACATTTCTTGTCTTGAAACTCTTTGGTCGCGTTCTTCCCCTTAGGTTCATTTTGTCGAGGTAAGTTCCGCGCTGGTCGTCTCGAAAGAAAATAACACTTAGGGTTTCTATCGGAGCTAAGACGGTGTAATAGGTCGTCGGAGAATCTATCCTTATAGAATGCCTTAATCACGCTAAGGGTTGACGGTATAGTTGTATCTGAGACATCAGCCGTATCCCCGTCTGACCGAGAGCCAAGCCTTTTAGTAGACGAGATGGCAGAAGGCACACTAAGATCGGTGGCGGGAGGCAGTGCACGAAGAGTGACTCGAATATTTCGACAATCATCATCAGCCAGTTCCATCATAGAGCAAGCCTTACTGACTTCTGAAGGCATCTTCTCGGTTATAAGGTCTGTAACGGCAGTACGAAGCAGTACAGCTTAACTATCGTTCTCAGAGCAAGCAATATCGCGAAAGCCTTGCATAACGATGTCGATATTAGCAGGCAAAGGCAGTTCTATATTAGTAGGCAAAGGCGTTTCTATATGCGAAGGATTCCGAAGTCCCATATCTGGGGGCATTCGGAGATCCATATTAGGACGCAAGCAAAAACTGAAGTCGGACAAGGACATCATGGATCATGGTTAAAACGGGTTTGAAATCGAGTTAACAATCTTGGTTAAGCTGGAAGGGATAACGTTTCCAAGGTTAGGTAGGTAGCTACGCGGCCAGTTAAGTAGTAAAGAATCGCGAAGTCACGTGATGCAATCCTTCCGAAACTACACGTGTAGTGGCATGACTAATATCATTCCACTTAAAGGCAAAGGGATGTGATAAAACGTCACGTGCACCCTTATTCATCACCAACATCAAAGAATCACTGGAAGTCGACATGTATTAATCAATGCAGTCTGTTGACACTGAGCACCTTTGTGCTCTATTATTCATACCCTAGCATCGTATTGCTTAACCCACGTGCCATGCCCCATTGCGAATTCAACCTTGAACCCATTTTGATCTGTAGAATCACGGTTTCGGATTTCCTAGCCAAGCTAGGGAAAACCATCGTGCTTACTACCTAACCTACTCAATCATTGATTGTGTAGGAAACAGATCGTCCAGCACATAGAACCACAGATGTAGAACTAAACACCGAGTACGAATGAAGAAGTCCCCTTCCAGAACGCCCATGCTATGAATCCTGCCATTAATTTCATCTCACCCTGCGAAGGACATCTATCTCCTCACGCATTTCTAGCAGCCTTCTCTGCCAGCGCCTTCTCTGCCAACTTCTTCTTCAGTTTCTCCGTTACCTCCCAGACCCTGATCTTGACCTGGTCCTCCTTCGTCGAGAGTCCCTGGAGCCCAGCGACGATGCGAGTCTTCTCGTAGTCGTCCTTCCAGCCCGTGACATCGATCATTCGCGGCGGATGCTCGCGCCACTTTCCGTGGGTGGCGATGGTGTGGAGCACGAAGTCGACGAGCCGGCAGCAGCCGTGGGGGCACTCGCAGTCCTCGAAGTTGAGCTCTAGGCGGCGGAGCTCCATGCTCTTGAACCTGGCCACGAGCGCGGTGAATGCCTCCTTCAGGATCTTGATCTGCTGCGCGTGCGACTCGTTGAACCACTGCACCAAGGGCGGGTCGTACACGAGCTTCAGCCAGGTAGTGCCGTACATGGAGAGCATCCGGTACTTGAAGTCCATGTTCCGGAGCGGGGCGTCCACGTCGGATGAGACGTGCGAGTCCGAGACTGTGTAGAAGACGACGTTGGCAGGGTTGTTGTAGGTGCGATCCCAGAACTCGTGGCGGCTGAAGCCGAAGCTCACGTCTCGGAGAGCGAGGAAGGTGTTGCCGGTTAGCGCGACTCGTTTCTCGGCTGACTCCTCAACCACGGCAGGGATGTTGCAGATACCGCTCGGGAAGACAAATCGGTTGCGGCCGAAGTAGATGTGACTGGCCTCCCGCTGAATCTGCTTGCTGACGGCGCAGAGGAGTGCGTTCGGCGGCACTCTGGTTTTGGCGACGCCCCAGTCCTTCGGAACCCCCCTGTATCGCGGGAACTCATAGTGCTTGAGCGCCAAACTTCTCACATTAAGATGCTTGTGCTTCATGTACAGTAGCTTGCGGATATTGAAGTCTTCGTCCCCTCCACTGTAGTTGGGGAGACAGACAGGGCGTTTCACCAGAAGGATCTTGTAAATTTTCTCCCGGAGTTCAATGGGAAGATTTGAGAAGCCCCAGAACTCTGTACCCATTCTCTGCTTTCGACGAGCCTTCAGCTCATCGTCCTCAAAGTCCTCAACTTCGATGATAATCGGGTGGGCTTGTCGAAGCCAGTATTCGCGTAAGACTTTCTCCCAAGGCCTGCATCGTTGCATAATGAAGCGAGTAGTGATCGAATCAGATGTGGGCGTGAGGTGCTCCCACGTCATAGCTTGCTCGAGGGAAACAGGCATTTTGAAAGCTGGCAATGGAACTTTGTCGTAATATTTCTAAAGCTTTGTAAGCAACGAACTGAAAAAGATATTGATAGTTGTCACTCTTACCTCATGGAACAAAGAACAGGGTGAGCTAAACGAGATGGTGTGATTGGTGTCTTTAGAAAGTTCAAAGACAAGGCGGCGTAGTAAGTAATGTAGGTTGATGGTAAGGTAATTGACAAGAGAACTTGACAGTTTATCGTGTTATTATATGTTACAAGTTGAGGTTGAATGAGCGTTGACTTGTACACGCACGAAAATCACTCAGCAAGCACTGTGGTGCTTTCGCACTGGGGTGATTTGCAACTTGCGTGTGATGGTGGAAGAAGGAAAAGAGGGAATAATGAAGTGGCAAATTTAATTTAATTTATAGTAGACGGCGAGCCGCACACAGTGGAGCAGGGACATTGAAAGATCGAAATAGCTACCTGAGGAACAAAATCGTACGGCCTTCTTCAAGGAAGGTACGTTCAATGGGCGGGCACGTTACGGGACTAAAATGGGTACTTGCCATTCAAGAACCTTATTTACGCACATAGATACTGGGCGTACTCTCCCCTTTGGCCGGCCGGCGGTGTGGTGGAGACCGGGTTCCTTAGGGCGAATACTTCTTTGAGCCCCTTACCACCTCCGTGTAAGGAAGGAACAAACCCATAGGCGCCTTCTATTAGCGTAGCTGCCGCCCACGACCGCCAGCGTCCACTAGACAATGCATACTTATACCTTATATTGCTCCCTATGGTGCCAAAGCCCCGTATAATAATGAGCTCATAATAACTTCCTAGGTACCCAAGTAGCCCTGGAGGTATGTATTTGCATGAATATAGTCACGTGGACCTTTGTTACCATACTGAGCAGTGCCTAGTGCGGATGAAATAATGCGTATTTTACACCTTTTCCGTTTGTATAGAACATTTCTTCTCTCAATTAATTCAATACCTGACTCAGCTATTGTATGTTCTCATAGTATCCTTGCTTCTCAATGACCACGCCCCATGCCTTTCAACCCAGCCCGACGTTATAGTCACATTCTACGATAGAATATTAGGTACCCTCTGGTCCAAGTCTCAAGACGAGCTTGGTCGACCATCTCAGGTAGCCTACCTATATAAGGGGCACTTAATATGTTGAAGCCAAGAAACTTATCACGTATCAACATGACTACCTAGGTATGCATTCGAGTGTGTGGTTCGAATAAGACCCGTCTTCTAGTCGAGGACGGATACGACCTGCTGCTTTTGGCTATCTAGGTAGGTTGTCGCCCCTAGGTAATGATTATTACACTCGAATCTTGAGAGCTTCTTAGGTTAGCAATATCGAACATATGGCAACAACCATATGGGCTGAATGGCCGTTTTCTTTGAAATGGGGCCTCGAAGTACTCGGATCATTTACTCGTATCACTCCGGTTAGCATTTCGGGCCTTCTGCGCTCATAGCCCTTCTCCTTCTGCCATCGTACTTCTCGTGTTACTGGTTACGACCCTGGGCTGGCCACCGATGGCCTGTTACCAAGGGGAAGCCAATATGACGAGCTAGGCTAGCTGGTTCATTTCTCCGTACGGAGAGTCTGGACGTATCAAGCACGCCAAGTCTTACTTTTCACGATATTCACTATGAAAGGATTCAAGTCATTGCGAAGGTAGCGGCGATAACACCACGAGAGTCCGTGAAGCGGCCAACTCTTGATCATACTTCTAGAGTTTGTGTGCCTAGGACGTAGCTAGCTCTCACGACTTGAGACTTATATGTATACTGACGTGCTATGAAGAGAGACTATGAGAATGCGTAGCGGGCGGGGGCCAGATACAGGTGACAGGTCTGACCTATAAACCGCATGCGCCACAATAACATTCGTAGAATTGGCCTTAATCAAACATCGGCTTCTAAAAGCCCTCACCCGTTTGACTTCTCAGTCGCAGAATCACCTTGGTGTCCGCGTATGGGTAGATCCAACTACGCCAGGTGAAGTGTTGTCTGGCGTTGGGTGCTACGAGCTGCATATCCCAATTCGTGAGAAACAATGCGACTGTCGTCTTGATAACGGCTGATGCATAATGCCTGCCCGCACTTGGTAAAATCTAGTTAGATAGGTATATAGACGCTAAACGCATCTGGGAATGAAAACTCACCATGAAAGCTTTCCGACACCCCAAAGTGGTACACCTGATAGGTCAGTGAACTCCGAAGGCCGTTCACCCTCGGGTACCTGGAAGCTGTGTGATTGACTCTTGGAAAGAGACTGTGCAAGGTCGCTGGTATGAATAAAACGGAAGCCGTGAAACTCGTCAGGACGCTTGTAGTTATTTGGGTCGAGGCTCATGCTGGCGAGAGGAGCGCACGGGTTGGACTGTTGTGCCATCTGCGAAGCTGAATGGCTTCAGCGCTTTTCTCCGAATGCTCACTACTTCTCCATTTCATTAGTGATATGTTCTTTGTGCCGCTATCAGAGCCTCCAGGGAAGTGAGACTAACTGCATTCAATAGGTTCCAGTCGGGCTGATTCCTTAGTAGAACTATCCATCAGTGGGAAGAGTTTTCCACCAGACCTATCAAAAGCTGGCCAACCCACGTTTCCAATTTCATCTCGCAGCGGTTGTGCATAATAACACACATCCAGAATTGTGAAGCACGCAGTCTGCCAATTCAGATTAGCCTTGGTCTAACTAGCAGGAAGCATACAAAGAGAAAAATAACCCACCACTGACGTTATGTGGACGGATCCATACCATAGAGCAAATCCATCATGTCGACAACCATGACCGTCTCGTTCCGTGACATATTTTTCTTTGGGAGGGGTGGTTACCTATGGAGATAAACTTGGGATGTTGTGAGAAGGGAATGGCAGTGCAGGCTCCATCACTGACGCACCTAAGTAGGCACGGAGGGCGGCGAGGATAATATGTAGGCTGCGCATGGCGAAATGGCGGAACGGGTCTCACGAGTGGATGGCGAGATTGGGGTGTGGTGGTAATATCGTAGGACAGAGTGAATCTGGTTTATATTGGTAGTTCCTGTGAGGTCTCTATGGCCTAGAACGGTATATTTATCAGTACCTACCTAAGGGGTGTAATGCATGCCCAGCTGATTATTGAGTCCCTAGGCCCGTCACACACACCTTCGCTCGGAAGGGAGGGTAGGTATAGAATAGAACAGCCGCATGCTATTACGTTTCAAATTAGAATAATAGTCATTTCTTTTCATTTGCATCCGTTTTATACCTAAGTGTGGCGCCACACTGCCCTTATCTCGTCCACTGTGACGGGGCGAGGAGTTATGTGGGATAACCCACCTTACAGGTCGCATGTGGCAAACAGTACAAGGTTTTAGCAAGATAGACGTCAAGACAATGTCAGATGATGATAGATAGTCACGTATATCAAATATATACGCGTGATACCCTACCAGGTAGCGCGTTTGTAGTCTGATGTATTTGATAAATTCTCCGTTTCTTCGTACGATTCTTTCTAATAAAATACAGCTTCTATCTCAATCATCGTAGTACCTCATAATTCACATATATCCGTGATATACGACTCAAGCAATCTTCCTATCAAGGAATGAGAACTATCAGGCAGTAGCATACTCCATATATAGCCCTTCAGTGCACAGCAATAATCCTCTTCCAGTTCTAGGTTAGATCAATCGACAAAGTTGACGCAGCCACGCAGACTCTCGATAAATTCTGGATCAAATTCCGCTAACCAGGCGGGTTCGCTCGGACTAATTGCTGAAGCGTTTGGATCATCAAAAGGGCGATCCTCTGTAACTGGAAAGGGGGAAGACTGGAAACCCTCACCAGAGTCCAATAGTGGCGAGCTTGATTTTGCAGTCTGCATTTCTTCCATCATAGTAGAGCTCGACTGAGCGAGCACACCTTCGTTCGAAGAATTAGCTGAAGGCAAGTCAAAACGATCTGATGCCTTTTGCAATTCATCCACTGTAGTAAAACTAAGATTTGGTTCCTAGCCATAATCTAAGCTTTCTTTCAGGGTTTGAACCACACCAGCGTACAGCGTTTTGTCTTCATCTGGCACTGTCTGGGATGTGTCCACCTTGAGACTGTTAAGTCCTATGAGGGTCTCTAGATCAGGGAATTCATCGTCGTCGTCGGATAGGTCACTATAATAGTGCGAGTCTCTGTTACTAGCGCCGAGTTTTACCCACCCTTTGTCGGAAGGCTCGACCTTCTCCTTGTCCTGCTCACATGTTGCCATGGTGAGGTCAATACACTCAATATCCGAAAGCATATCAAAATCCGAGGAGTTTTCAGCATCTAGATGCCTTCTCTTTGACAACTTTATGTCCTCCTTTGATCGCTTTCTCTTTGCATTGGGCAAATTAACAGTAGAACCACGCATATCGGAAAGTTGCCTTGTAACTGAACCATGCGACCCGGGTTGAGCAGTGCGATCGCGGCTAGCCAGCTGTTTTCTTTTGTTTTTGTCAGGCTGAGTTCCAATGATCGTATTGGCCTGTGAAACTTGTGGAGGTCTTGCCAAAGGTCTTGGAGCAGGATCATTTTGCCCAACCTCGGTTACGTTGCTCTTTTTCTTCTCTGATAGCGGCCGTCGAGGTTTATCGAGCCCTTCGTGGCAACACCTGTGTGTGCATTGTTTCCCTGCTCTGGTAAGACCGCCGTTATGGCAAGGATGATTGCACATCCATTTACCATTATCCATCCTGACAGGTGCGTGCGCTAGAGGTGTTCCCTCCCGTGGCAACAAATCATCGATGAGTGTAAACTCATCTTCAGTCTCATCTACAGGACCCAGATAATCCACCAACTCCGTTTCTTCATTTTCATTGGGACAGATCATCGCACTCAACATGTCCTCGTCAGGAATATCGCCATAATTATCCTCTCCCTCCTCATCGAACGAGCTCACTGCTGGCATTCGACGCAACGATTTGGCAAGTCTCGGGATATCTGTGAATGCCGTTGCTGGCACATTAGGCGTTAATGTCTCAGTAACCTGGGTACCTACAATCTCTTCACAGCTAAAGTAGCAGAAAATCTTTTGATCCGGGCCACTAAGTATGACAGGGAACTTCAGATCAACACCAATGGATTTAACTATACTTCTCAGATTTCCGCGCCAAAAATATGCAAGGTTACCGTCCGCAGTTGATGCCATGAAAGTTGTGGCTGGGACTTTTCCATTCCAGGTTGGCGCGCTTTTTGCATTGCGATAGTTTAGGTTGACTTCCAAGGTAACTGTCACACTATCTTGTGCTTGTGATTGATTGGCACTCTTCGTGATGAGTTGGGCTTTCATAGCCAGGCGGGGAAAGTTCTCAAGGGTCTTCAACATGTTCATCCCATATGGAGGGTTCCTGCTCATAACACGTTCAATCTCGTCAAAGCCACGGTCGGCCAGACTCAATACTGTATGGATTCCATGGCTGACGAGTTTCCGCACCGTTACGGCACCACATCCCGGAATTTGGGAAAGCTGAGATGGCTTGTTGTCCCATGAGTTTGCGGCAAGGGCACGAGCAAGTTCCAACCCAGCCTTGATACTCAAAGCGTCGCCGTCAAAAGCTCTACAGTCCACAAAGCAGCGTACCAAGCGATTTAGGCGGTCGAATATGGCATTTTTGTCTGCTGCAAGCCTAAATCTAAGGTGTCCAAAGCCCTTCTCGTTCGGCAACTCCACCCAGCCGAGATGGGCCTGGACTACGACGAAGACTTTGTGCCAGGTCAGCGTCAGCGTTTCTTTAATTGGATGAAGGATAAACGGTGACTTGTTCAACTCTCGAAAGAAAGTACGTTCATCAGCCTTGAAACGGAAGTTTTTAAACTCGATCGCTTTACAAAGCGTAGTGAGCTATAAGGTTGGTCAGCAATCTATCCAAGCCATCGAATTTTATTCAAGCTATACGCACAATTTCCTGGAGTTTTGCACCTCGGGGGATTGATAGAAGAAGTTTCATTGTTTCAATGTTTACCATGTATCTCGACATGGCATGTCCGTATTCGGTGCACTTGAATGGTACCTGCTCAGTAACCAGACCATATTGTTGCAATAGGTCCAGATCTCTTTCGCACCACTCTTCCATGTTTTTGTCTGCGGCTTCAGCATTCTGCGCCTGGTCGAGACCGTATAGTTTCGGAGATTGGCGCACTCGCACGCTCAGAAACGTGCCCCCGATCCATTTTTTCGCAGTCTGAGCATCCTGGATGGTGCCTAAACTGATTTCCGAGTTGAGATGCTCGACTAGATTTTGATGGAGTGTGCTTTCTAGAGGTTCGGTACCACTCATCATGTCCTTGTATCGTGCAACGTTGGCCTTCCTAGTCATTATGATAGCCACAGCGTTAGTATCAAACTGTGGGCGTCCAGCGCGGCCAAGCATTTGCATGACTTCCAAGTCTGAGTATTCTTGAGCCTGATCACCAGAGTACCCCGTTGTGCCTTTGAGAACCACCGTATGGCAAGGGAGATTCACGCCAACTGCCAAGGTAGAGGTGCAACAGATAACATGTATATGACCCCGGAGGAAGTTATGTGCCACTGACATCCTGTCTTGGGCATCTAGACCTGCATGATGGAAAGCTACACCATATCGGACGATTTCCTGTAGCTCCCTACTGACGACGGGGACCCGCTCCGCCGGTGCGGGCCAGGCTCGGTCTTCCGTTCTGCAATCCGACCACCATTCCGCCAGTTTCCGCGCTGTGGTTTCACACGACTTCCTCGTAAAACAAAATATCATCATTGGTTTCCTTTCTGAATGCTTCGCCAGCAGCAAGGGCAATTTTCCGTCAAGTGACTTGTCGAATGCGAAATCATTTGGAATGTTGTCGTACCCGTAAACGTATCGCTGTAGTTTCACTGGCCGCAACTCTTCCCCGAAAGCTTGCCAAACGGCGGGAGTCTCTTGGTCTGAATGGCTGCGTCCGAGCCACTTCGCGACATCCTGAATGTTGGGGACAGTAGCGCTCAAGGCGACGAAACGCACATTTGCACCGATCGTTTTCATACGCGAAACGACAGCCTCCAGCGTGGCGCCACGAACGTCCTTCAAGATATGGACTTCGTCAATAAGGACGAGACGAATTAATTGTAACAGCTTGCGGTGGTCTGTCCACTTTCGTGTGATAGAATCCCACTTCTCGGGCGTTGTTACGATAATTGACGCGCTACCTACTCGTCTCGCCTCTGCTTGAGAAGTATCGCCGGTAAGCTCAACACATCGCATATTCATGTGGCTGAATTTCTTCTCCCAATCCTGCGCCCGTTCCGAGCAGAGAGATTTTGTTGGTGCTTGGTAGACAATCTTGAAGTTCTCGCCCCCTGGCTGCATCATGAGCTTGCAAATAGCCATTTCGAGAATTGCCGTCTTTCCGGATCCTGTTGGGGCGGATACGATAACATTGTCGTTTGTACCGTATACATGCGGGTAGCACTTGGACTGCACAACGTTGAAGAGCTCGTAGGGAAACACAGCCCGGAATTTGTCAGGTAAGGATTGTCGTGGATCGACGAGTTGGGTGCCATTTACTAATGGAGGTCCAATAGGAGCATGGTCGAGGTCCAAATTCAAGTTTTCGGCTCTCTTCTGCGTTACTAGGGGGTTATCATTTATCTCTATATTCTTTCTAAGACTGAGACGTGTGGATGGACTGGAACCACCCAGGTTTGTGGGGGAACTACTGGAGTTTGAGCTGCTAAGCGTCTGAGTTGGATATGGAGCTTTTGGATGTCAGCAATTTATCACTGTAAAGAGGCAGGAACTGTAACTGACCGGTATGTAATGGGGGTGTGATCAATTGAGCCTTTGGTGGTAGTTCCCCAATCGTACGAGATCTACCATGCCCGAGCACAGATCGTGAGATTGGGCTCGGGTCAAGCTGACCTCCATATCGTAGACCAACCTCAGAGGGTGGATGAGGGACCGGACCAGGTGGTAGAAAAGATCTGAAATGATGACTAGCGTCACCTACTACGCGCCGTCGTTTATTAAGGGGATTACTGGTTGGAAACGAGAGACGTGGATCAGAATACCCAGAGTTAGGAGTGTAAGCTAGTTCTGATCGGCCGAGTAGGTTGCGATCTTGAGAATAAGTATTAGAAGATACTCCATCGCTAGCCTTCAAAGGTAACTGCATCAATCAACTCACCAAAGTTGTCAAGCTCATCAACCCTCTGCTCATTATTGAACTGACGACCTATAAACGATTCATAATCGCTAGCTCTGCTGGAAGAGAGGCTCATGGAAGGAATCCGATAAGTGTGATCAGGGAAAAGGGTGTTAGCATGCTCAATGATGTTCTGGATATGTCTATCACGACCATTTCTATTCGGAAAGTCATAAGCACGGCTCCCGGAGCCAGTGTCAGTGGACATGGTATTGAAGCTTCTTCGGCGAGATTAGGTGACTAATCCTTCAGAACGAGGCTGGAATTGAATAATTTTTGCAGAACCTTGAAACAGGAAGAGAAAGGAAAGTAAAGTGGCCTTTTGTCACAAGACTCGAGGTTAAGAACCCTGTTTCAATGTTAATGGTCGCGGTTGCCTCAAGGTAGAGTCAATACATCTAATAACTGAAACGAGGTAGATATATCGAGGCATCACGGTAACACCTTCCCTTCCCTTTGCTCATTATCATGATAGAACGTCATAGAGAACTGAAGCAGCCAGTCAGTCCACTAAAAGGGGTTTAGTCACGGTTACATACCTCAAGCCCTTCGAATACCACTTTTGATTGTTACCTAAGCCAATTCATCTGTTGATATTTCTCGAAAAAGCAATAAAGCCAACGACCAGGAGTAACGTGATCCGAGGCTGAAGGGAGAATAGAAGAATGAATATTTTATATAATACGCACATAACCTATTCCTTCCCTACCCGTTTCCAAATCCATAGAGGATTCTTGCCCTCCTATCCTCATACTCCTTAAGCTCCTTGTTCTCATTCATACCCAACGAGCTCCGATTCCGATTTCGATTTTCGTTCTCCCCTTCATTCATTCAGCTTCAATGTCGTTACTATTCTTCCTTTCCCTTCCAATTAAATGTTACCAACTAGCGCACTAAGACAAGATCGCTCAGCATCTTGCAGCGCACTATGCACAGAGCCCCTAAGTACTTAGGGGAGGTACTTCATAGTGGAGATTCCACATGAACTTTGGCTCGGCATTTAATCAGCCCGGACTCTCATATCGGAATCCAAGACCATAAGTTCATCCAGTCTCTTCTTTGTCGTCAAATTTTTATCACAGGTCTTGCTTAGTGACCTCTCATTCATCGCGATTCTTACCTCGCGATGAAGGCACCCTATTATGGTGCCTTAATGGCGAAGCAGGACGCGATGTCGAGAGACCCATGCCCTTAACATTTTCGAGGGGATCAGGAACGCTGAGCCTGTCGCCTGTATATCTCGGCGTGTTCATGGGGTCAATCGTTGTCTTCTCGTAATTAACAATGTTGATCGGTGGCGGTCTGCCGCGTTTCCGATCAGGACCAGTATAGAGGAATGTTGAGGATAGAACCAAGACTGTTCCGATCAAGAACTACAAATTTGTTAGTAGAGCAGTCGGTGTGGAGGGCTACGGATATTTTAAGGTCAAACTTACTGCTAGAGTAACCTGCACCTTGAAGAACCATACACTAAAGAGAAAGCCTATTACAATGCTAATACTTGTCGCGAAGTTCTTGGCAATGTTATCCGCATAATTAATGCATAGGGAGGCCAGTACCCCACCAAGCGCCTGTAAAACTATCAACGCCCAGACGATCCAGTTATAACCGTCGAAGACGCCATGCTTGGCAATTTCCTCTCCGTCCTTGAACACAATTCCCAGTAGCGCTGGAAATAATGAATAGAACGATAGTTGGATGTTTCGAGTCCAGACGGATGCAGGGTTTTCCGTGTCCTTAAGAACCTTCTCCAGGTACACGCCAGTCAATCCAGAAATCACCGCCACGGCGACTACAGATGCTAAACCAATCGAGTAGTTCATGATAGGCGCGGTAATCTGATCCTCTTCAATCCCTTCGTATGTCGCCGAACGCTTCGCGAGAGCCTCGCCGACTTCAACCACGACATCCATGCCACGTTTGGTGAGCTCCCGAGCCACATCGCCCATCCCATTCGCTATTTGACCCAACTCGTGCACGGACCGGGGAAAGAAATGGTCGGTCATGTCGTGGATCATGAAGGAACTATCTCTCGAGTTCGACGACGGGATGGATACGACCGAGACACCAATAGTCAGGATTACAAGCGAAACCCAGCGCCTCAAGGTTAACGACCGACCGAGCATTACCACGGTGAAGATGGCCGTGGTAAGGATCTTGAGTTGGTACAGAATTTGGAAATGTACCGGGTCCAAGTTCCCTACTGCGACATACTGGAGCATATTCTGAAACGTGTAAAGCGTCGCCGGTATAGCCAGCTTCCAACTGTCGCCCGAGAAAACGGAGCAGTAGATCTGCTCAAAGATAACGGTCGCAGGCGTTGATGGTGCTAAATTCCTAGCGACTTCGTACATCGCAAACGTCAGGGAAATGGCAAGCTTCATCACCTCGGTCAAAAAGACGGCTGTCGAGGTAAAATACCGATGGTCGCCGCTCGGAGGCATCATTCGGGAGTAGTGCATTAGGAGAATCAGGGCTGAGTTTTGAAACGTCAACTGGAGGCAGCAAGTAAGTTAGTAACGATGCGCCGTAGTGAGGGGCGAACATATTCGCAGTACATACCGTTATTAGAGAAACTTGCTTCATAGGCACGCCGAAAAGGGACGGCCCTCCCACAGGCTGTGGACTACCATCGAGGAGAGCCATGATGGATAGTAGATTCAAGCGCTGCTCGACTAATTTTATTGAAGGCCTCGTTCGTTATCGTGGAATTCTTTATTTCACGTTTTATTTTGAAACCGATCTTGGGTGGTTGAAAATTTCAATGAGTTGAACATACGTCAGCCAATGTAGCCCACTTCTACCCCAATGTTATCCGTCGTCTGTAATGAGTGTTTCTTGGAATAACAAATTTTGCAATGAAAGTGGTGGTGGTGGTGGAATTGGCCTGGACAATTTTTAAGTCGATGATGGTGATATACGGATGTCGCGCCCTGTTTAAATTATCTAAAAACGGGATGTAATGCAATGCAAAAAAAAAAGACCTGCTCGATGTATTGTAGTAGGGTATTGCCGCTTTGGGAGGACGCGCTTCAACTGCCCACCCACATCCAACTCGCTTCTAGAATGGGGCCAAACCGATTAGGCTCTTTAACCCCCTGGATGTGACGTTAGATGCTAAAGTATGGGGGAAGCATGGGAAACAAGTAACCTGGAACTAGTTAACCTGGGAAGTAATTGTGTGACACTCAGAGTCAGATACAGCGGCGGCCAATTCAACCTTGACGGGTCGTGCCTTAGGTACTACTAGTAGTACCCAGGTTGGTTCTAGTTCAAGATTCAATATTGGAATTGGGTTCAATCAAAGGAAAGTTAAAAAAAATAAGAAGTGAAGTCTTCCGGGAGTGCTAAAAGGTTAACTGCTTAAAAGGTAAAAGGTTTTCAGGAGTTGTCGTTCGGTAAAAGGCCGTAGAGTTAAGCATGTGTTGTCGTGCTACAAATTACAATTACCAGCTCGACTTGACTTGCGAGGGCCGATCCCATAGGCCGATGATCTCGAAGGCGCTCGAACTTGGCCCTAAAAACGTAAGGATCATCGAAGTTCAAGCTGCGCTGTGCCTGAGGCACGACATAGTACAGGGTATATTTGTGCTACCACGATCCTGCGAAAAATACCAAAGGCTAGAAATCTAGATCTTCCCTTAGGTCATTGATAGTAGTATTCTTTTAGATATAAAAATCACGGACGGCAAACAATAAAAAAAAAAAATAAAAAAAAATGCAGTAATAGGGTATGTATGTATTTCAGGCGCTCTACTGACAAGCACGCACCTCTGACTTAAAGGTTTGTGGCGATCTATTTACTCTATTTACCCCTAGCGAGCTACCATTTAAGTTCCCGAACTCCGTTCCAGTCTTTCTTTTATGTTTAGCAAGTTCCGATCACACAATTTGCCTACTAAATTCCGACCAGTTTTACTGGTTAGAACGCCTTGACCCTTTTTAGCTTCCGTGATCTTCACGGGGCGATTCAAGTTGTCATGGGGAAATCTTTCGGAAGGAGGCAAATAATCTTGGGCCTATCCAAGCTCTTCGAACAAGACGTGTTTCGAATTGTTTTAGCATCTCGTTGGAAAAGGCATCTAAGCTACCTACCTAGTCCCAGTAGGTATGAAGATGTGTCCAGGGTACTTAAGTGTGTGTGTACTAGGTATGACGCTTGGGTGATAAATACAAGCTTCCGTCAGATCGATCTATTCCCCCCCTTTTCGATCCATTATGATGAGTCTTAACTTCCTTCACCGCATGATCATAATATCACCAATGGAAATTCAACTCTTAGCAACAATAACTCGCAACTTAGCCTGGAAAAGGAAATAAAAGAATGTTCTCCAACTATTCCAATGAATTAGCTAGCGCTTCATACGGCCGGTTCTCACGCTAATGGCGGTAGCAGGCTTGCGGGGTAGACGTAAAAAAGAAGCTATACATGGATCACACCGACACATGTCGTTCTCTAGCCCGAGAAAAATCCAAGATTCCAACATCAGCGGCACAAGCCTGGAATTTCCTACTGCAAGACATGTCCAAGATTCCTAAACCTAGGGCTAAGTATGTACGCTAGTAGGAACCCAAACTCTTGCCTTGATCGGCGGGGGGGCTGTTAGCGTATTTAGCATCATGATCAAGTTTTAGATAGGCTTCGTGGAAGCGTGGAGTTCGATCCTTTGACCAAATTTCCACCACCAATGGTCGTTTTCAACGTGGCCAGCGCATGAGACAGTCATTAGTGACAGATGAGCATCTCGATCGTAGGCGTATAGGTAGGTAGCATAAATCAAGTGAAGCTGAAAGGGTTATATTTACTGTCAGATATAACTACTGACGCAAACTAAAGAAAAATAATGAAAGATCAATCATTCACCTTTTAGCGTAGTACACATGTAGTCCAATCTGCCACTTTCTTACTACACGTACATGTAATAAAGTCATGAGTCTCTCGCTGTCACTCGCTCTCAGAAGCCCTAGGTTAATCCCCCATCTGTAAAACCGTTAGCCAATGATATTTTAGGGGTAACCGAAGCAAGTGAGCATGCACCACCCAACAGGTATAGACACAAACTAAGGTTCTAAGGATACACAGGCAATTTCAGACGTTCGCTATTGAGCATATATTTTTATATCATTTCATCTTTGGTTTTTCTTTTTCCCTTGGAGATGAAGACAAACAGGTAGGCTGTCTAGGTAGATACCTGTTTCCAGCTGCGCTGATGCGAAAGAGGCACCTCCTATCATATGTGTAGGTGCTCTTGATTGTGAGACAAAAATGCGCTCATATCCACATCGCGTGTATCTCATCCGACACTCAGTCTGTTAATATTACACATTTGTTGCCTTTTTTTCTTTCTTCTTCTTCTCTTCTTCTTCTTATTCTCTGGTAGCAGTACAACATACATGCATGCATTGCAGGAAAAACCAAGCAAACAGAGTGTCTCTCTTCCCCCCCCCCCCCTCCTCCAATCCCATCCCCCTCCCCACCCCCTATCCTCTCATTAAACGAACAAATACAAGGCCAGGTTTTCAAATAGACAAACTCCCCAAAATAGGAGAAAAGAAGATAAAAAAAAAGCTAAAAGAAATCACGGATCTCATTTCCAAACAAATTTTAGATGGTATCGATTGAAAAGTAGATGATGATAAAACTCGGAGGCGGAACAAAGGGGGGAGGGAGGGAGTCGATTCAGGTACATAACCCAAAGAGAAGAAAAAGATAGGCCCCAGGATGTCATAACATATTCCCCGATTTTTTTTTAATCCCGTGTTTTGGAAAAAAAAAAGGACGTTCGTTCGGTAGATGATGTATTAAGTCGTAGCAGTGATGCTGAACGCCGGTCTGTTCAAAAAACAAGAGGGCAATAAAATATTAAAAAACAAAAAATAACAATAAGATAGAGAGAAAAACGTTATGCGAATCCCGCTCACCCGCTCCCGAACTCGCTCGCCCGGAAGTCGTGAAGAAGTTCAAAAAGGGCAGATAATTATGCAAGTACAAAAAATGGCGAACATAGGATGGCGGAAGGCGTTTGGCATCTGCTGGTCCGCCTCGTATTTTACTGTATTCCTCAATCGTCGTCGCCCCACCACGGCACGGGCGAGTTGATCTGCCCCACAGCGCTCAGCCTCGCCGCGCTCTTCTTGCCCTTCTTATGGCAGTACGTCGTCGCGGGCAGGATCTGGAACGCCGCCGAGACCGGGCTATCCGGCCTCGGGACCTCCTTCTCGGGCACCGACTGGAGGGCCGGCGGCGGCGGCTTCCTGCGGCTTACGATCTCCGGGAAGTCGTCGAAATCAATGTCGCCGATGTAGTCGTCGTCGTCGTCGTCGTCGTCTTCATCGTCGTCGTCGTAGTCCACAAAGTTGTCGATGACCCTGGCGCGCACCCGGGCCATGTCCTGCAGCGGGTTGCTCTTGGGGCTCACGGGGCTCGAGTCGGGGCGCGGGCGCCCGTGGCCCTGGAAGGGGGAGCTGTGCAGGTCGCTGCCGAGCTTCGGGCGCGCCTGGCTCAGCTGGCTCGTCTGGCTCTGGCGGTTCGGCATCGGGAAGTCCAGCTCGAAGTCCAGGAACTCGCTGAGGTCGGGGCTCGGCTCCGCCTGGTCGATCACGTCGATGCTGTCGATCGGCCGGTCCAGGTAGAGGAGCACGCGCTCGTGGCGGGCTTTGACGGTTCGCGAGGACTCCGGCACGGGAGGCGTGGCTTTGCTGGCGCGGCTTTGCCGCTCCGAGAAGGTGCTGTGGCTCGTTGATGGTCGCACGTCCACGATGCGCGGGCCCCTGGGTTGCTCGCGCGTTTGGCTCTGCCTGCTGCCTGGCCTCTCCCCCGTTCGTCCCATCAGCGATGACGCCCTCGTTGAATAACTCCTGGGCTGTGCGGCTCTGGCACGAGCCTCGCGGGCGTCCTTGGTCTCTTTGATCGCCTGTCTCTCGGCTTCCTTCAGACGCGCCGATGCTATCTTTTCGATGTCCTCCTCGCCGATGCTTCCTCGCCCGCCCCTGTTGTCCTCTTCGATCTCGGCAATTATGTTCTCCCGCATCCTGGCCCGCTTCTTCCGCAATGCAGCTAGCAGCATCTCCTCCTGTTTGGTCACGGCCATCATGCGCGAGTCATACGTACTGGCGCTGGCTGACGCTGCTTCTTGTCGTGCGGATTCGGTGGATTTCCTGAGGAACTCTATGCTTGTGGGAGACAGGGGCGGGGTCGGCTGATCTGAAGTATGAGAGTTCTGCGACATACGCTGCCTTTGCTGCTGTGGGTAAGTGTGGTTCGCATTGTGTGATGTCTGGTTTGCAGAGCTCGAAGCAGCGTGGGCGATATGGGGCGCAAAGTTTAAGGGAGTGAATGCGATTGCCCTCGCTTCCTGCAAGGTGCAAGCGGTCATATTAGAAAAGGTGGGAGATATCATGTTCGAGCAGGATGTTCCTATCGTCGAAACCGACCCGCGGGGATCTTGCTGGGCCTGGGAAAACCGGGTGGCCGTGCTCAATGTTGAGTTGGTCGAAAGAATAGTATTAGCAGACGGTGATCGAGTGCCTTTGCATTTCGGAGATGCGAAAGGAATAGTGAGGAAGTCATTGAGTTGTGCGTATGATGTCCCCTTGGGGTTCGTTGAGTGGCTGCTGATGGATAGTCGTGATGTACCCATTTGGCGCTGACTTGAAGACTCGCTAGTATCGTCGCGAAAGCTGTTATCATACGACGGCAAAGACGAACCAGGTCTGGAATCCGAAGCTTCTTCCTCGTCGGAGTCTGAATCGGAAAGTGACAGTACACTGTGCTGTTGTCGGTCAGAATCCAAAGCACTCGTGACGGATGGCGTCGCTTTTGAGGTGCGCGTATGTCGACTCGATACACTCGCTGGATAATCATTCCTCGAACTTGGCCGTATCTGCAACGTACTCGGCGTTCCGGATCTTGTTGCTGTAACCTTACTGGCTTGTGATGTATTTCGACTATGATTCCATCCAGAGCTGTGGTCTTTATGTACAGCATTCGGCAACGGTGTGATCATGTCCTCTCTAGATACATCTCCATTCACTGGCGTATATGTCCGAGGCAAGAGGCGCTGCGTGCCAAATTGCGCTTCTTCATCATCTTCTTCCCCTGCTCTTTCTTCTTCGATATCCTCCTTTATATCGCCAGTGTCCCGGAATGACATTTGTTCGTAGTGGTCATAAAGATTATGTAGATTACCCGTATCAGCCGCGCCTCTTGATCGGCTTTGTCTTGCCGGTGCTTGTGTGAGTGCTTGTGTGGGAACTCTCAAATCTTGCCTCGAGCCCTTCGGATCACTTTCAGGACTCATTGGTGATGCCCGTGGCAGTGATACCACGGAGTTCGACATATGTGACATAACAGACGGCGACTTCATCACATAATTGTTTCCCAAAACAGGACCGACGTTAGTATCCAAGGTGGTCTGATCCTTGCGATGCCTGAACCGTAACCTCGAGAAATCTAATCTCGATGGCTTCTTCCTTGGTTGTTCTTTGCTATTGTGCATTCCATCTATATCTAACAATGCGCCGGCTTTCGACGGCAGTCCCTTTGCCATTGCAGAATTCGAAGTCTGCTGAGATATAGATAGCGGCACCTTTGCCGATTCGTAATGAGATACGACAGTGGAACTAGACCGGGGCCGTCGAGCAAGTACTTCGTCTGTCATGTTATCCCGGTTATGAGCGCCGAGTGTAATTGCTGATCTTTTGGGCTTCAGGCCCTTCGCTTGAGGAGTCTGGTCAACACGCAACCGTCGAGGAAGAGCTTCTGATTCCTCCTCCCATAACGCTCTCCCGTAAGTCGTTCCGGCAAATTTGTCATCATCATAATCATTATCATCCATGAAACCAGACTGGCTAGCGCTGCTCTCTGAAATTGATATACTAATACCGCCGGTCGAACCCTCTTCCCACATCCGACCCGCATCCCTTCCAAGTACAGGAGGTGAGCCGAAGCAAACCCCATTAGTTCCCAATATCTTCTCTGCTTTCGAAATCGGGCTCGTAACGGTTGAGGTCGGCGGTGGCTTCGCACAGCGACCCGGCATGGGAAACGTGAATTTAGATTTGTGGCCCATTTTCCAAAAAGATGACCAAATAATCGGTCGATAGGCTAATGATAGAAATCCAGATAATTCGAAATCCAAAATGGTCTTCGTCGTTCACACCTAAGGTTGGTAGCACAGCTCGACCTCTCACGGTTTCCTCCTCTGTTCTCGTTTCGTATCCTTCCTATTTTTCCCAGGGCGATTCAGGTCAACTGAGGGTATAGGTATAGGATACAAGTAAGATGCCAAATAAGACTGGTGCACCACAGTTTTGAATCGTGGTCTCAAGATGAAACAAGGGTACTATTCCTAGACCAATTGTCAAAGTGTCGTCGTGTCGTTAGTTGATCAGGGCGTCAAGTCAAGTGAGCTTCAGTCGGCATCTCCAAATGAACCCCTCTCTCATAATCCTACAGATAGAATTCCCAGTTGTCGTCAAGATTGGCTTAGTGGTGAAGAGATAACGAGTGGTCTCTGTGCCGCGTCAACAGGTCAATTACCGGCTCAGAGGAGTGAAGGCCACGATAGGGCTCGTACTCGTACAACTCGGTGAATAAGTTTAAGGATGATGTTCCAGAAGGAATATCCCAAAGGAGTAGGTCAAGTCTGTAACAACTGGCACAACTGGCTCTCCCGCCGGCTTCTGCTCCCTTAACTCAAAAGACCCTCGTCCGATCCCAACTTCAACTTCGTAGAATTAGTAGCCCCATGCGTGCGTAGTTTATGATGTATAAGTTAAGATGTGCCAGAAGAGGGGAGGAGACAGAAACAAAAAGGGACTGGAACGATGGTCCTGTCACGACACGGACACTTTTTTTTTGGATATTAAAATTGGAGAACCCAAGATCCATACAGTAGGTAATTTTTATTGACAATGCCTGCAACATCCACACATATGAACCTACGGTGAGATATTGTACCTACATATGTACGTAGTCAGGTATAGGTAGGTAAGAACTTTGACTTGCATATGCGTATGTAGGTCTCCTCATTGCTTCCCGAATCAATCATCCCGTAAATATATCATGTACCTGAAAGCACATACCTACATGTAGACTGATGTAGTACTTACCATCTCCATATACATAGGTAAGTAACTATCATAGAAACCTGGTCAATGCCCAGGTGTTGTTTACACTACTTTGGCTGTTTGGACACTCTGAAGAAGCTAAGTAATAGTGTAGTTCGGGCGGCCGTAGCAAAGCTGTCAACTTTACCGGGCCCAAGCCACCGACATAATGGCACGACTTGAGACTGACACCAAACCAGAACCAGCTCCAAGGTGACCTGCAGCTAAACTGCAAACCCCCAAATGAGCTGTAATGCCCGTTGACCCACCCTATACTACCTCTTCATTAACCCTGCTTAGTCCCAAGCCACGGCTAGGATCCATGAGAGAGGGGATCTGGAGACCCCTGAATTTTGGCCCCTGTCATAAACCTCACCAGTAGCTGTTCGTATTGTATGGCCAAATCGTGCATATGTGGGCTACTTATGTAAGGTACGACCGCGCGATACGACATAGCAATGCGTGGTATTAAATTGCTTTGTGGCGATCGAGAAACGATAAACATGTCGAGGTGCAGAAATCTCAGGAGAAAAGAGCATGGTATACATTTTTGGTAATAGCTCCCATCCCCGGGGGATTTCAGCTCCCTAGGGCCTACGTTCGTGCTTAGGTTCTTTTCTAGATAGTTTAGGGCATGGTCAGAAACGTCAAGTTCTGCTAATTTCCCTTGTTCTGATTTGATGACTTGGCTGCTTTGCCGCTAAAGGCGACAGGCGACAAATGACATGGTTCATGGGAGTCAAAGAGATATGCTGGAGGTTAAAGTCCTAACCAACAAGGGACATCTCAAGTGGATGTTACCGGGCTGGTGTCCCGGTAATGTACTATGTATGTAGTATTGTCAGAGGAATAAGCAATAGTTAAACTCCAATAGCTCACATCGTTCACGCCGTGACATGCGTATATTTAATTAACAATTCATAGTTACTCATACCGGTGTGAACGATAACATCACATCATTCTTTGAAATCCCCACAGCCAAAGTTAACATGGTTGTAACCCTATGTGCATACCGCGCATATGCACATATGTCTTAGATGGTGGTGATGGTCATATAGATGGTGGCGTTCAACGGAGGGTTTTTTTTTTTTTTTCAGCATCCCCCCTAGCCCGCACCAGCCTCAACTCCTGGACTCAGGCATCGAATAACCCTGAAAGAATGGACTCATGAGATCTAAGGCCATCCCTTGATTTGAACATTTTTCACCTACCTAGATACTATAATAAGTACATTTAAGTATGTGCTTTTCGTCCAGGGCTAGATCGGGAATCGAACGTTCCATAAAAAATTAGGTACAAAATGCCCTATGCCGTAAATAAGGAGGGCTCGGGGGCTCCGCTCTTGGGCCTCGCTTACCTTCCGATAGGCCGCGGGAGTGATTTTCACTTACGCAAACCGCTCCGGCCTGTCAGGTTTTTTCTCTTAATTCTAGAACAGGCCGGCTAAGAGGCAACCTAGGAGGTAAAAGTAAGCGTAATAAGTAAGCGTATTTGCTAAAAAGTAGTTCGGGTTCTACAGAAAAGTTATCCACATGGCATCCGCGGTTTTTTGTCTTACCTTAATATTCTCTCGTGGCCTCTCGTTGGCTGAGACAATTAAGTTACTATGAATTTGACTTAACGGTAGCCCGCTGTGGATGTCTCGGTCTGAGGCAAATCAATGTACACGCGTGGCACAGCAGGGAAATTTCTAAACTTCAAACCGCATTCCATGGAAATGTCAGTGCGACGATAATGTGGCTGCAAGGAGCCGCTTGGGCTCCGTCCGTAATCAGACGAACGCGTCGAAGGATTCCCTCGGCAATTCTCGAACATTGCCGTACAAACGCGCGATGCCACCCAACGACCTGTAGACCCGACCTATAAACCCCCGCCCCGGCCATCTAGGATTTTATATACCTGCACGGGAGAGTGCATGATTATACTAGGTAGCATCGTATATAAAGACCTCCGATGGCCCGGCTCTCTGCGTTATATAGGATTCTGATACCAAGGTTAACTGCAGATTTACAAGACATAGCCTAGCAAGACACGGATCGGTTAGTCAACTGTTGGCGGAGAAATTCATTCCGCCCTCAATTCTTCCCAACGCCTACGATCTTAACCTGCAACCAGACCGAAGCTCACAGGGAGATCCCAAAAAAGAAAGGCCCATAACCCTAATCCCCTTGCTTCAATTCACATATTTCAAACCACTTCGTAGGTGATGTTCCGGCCAACATAACATACATAGACATATAGTGCCTCCCCATATAGGTGTTATGTCACTAGCCGACAGAATAATGGAGGAAAACATGATTGCTCGCTTATTAGTCTCGCGATACCTTCCAGTGTGTTTTATAATCCCGCCAAGCAGGCACCCACCAAACATTCTAAGTAGGTACGCTACGAGCGAACCGTCTTATAATCTCCGCGCCCCTCTCACTACTAGTACACAGGCCGGCTACAGATAGCTTCGATAAAAGTCTAATCTAGAGATTCTAGCCTCGTTGATCTGGAAACCCAACCTACCTAAGGTCCTAAGGCAGTGAGGGCTAAGGTTTGTAGATAGCTTCTCAAGGGATGCAAATTTTCGACGTTATTATATCACCATATGGTCCACAGCACTTACGAGTAATGAGATATTCCATGAATTCAATGGTCAATTCCATGATAAGCCTAACTAAGTAGGTAACGATAAGAAGACTTCAGAGGTCTGTATTTCCCGACTATTCTCCAGTGGTCCTTTCTTGGGCTCGGAATGTATCCACGAGCAAATAACTCAATCCGTAAGGGCCTTTAACGCCCGGGCCAACTATAGACCCCAAATGCAATCGCAAAGAAAAAAAAAGAATATCCCTCCCCCACGGCCGTACGCGAATTCAGCGCAAATAATGACGGGGCTCCCATAATGTAAGGCACACCGAGGCCTAACCTCGTCATCCAGAGAGGCTCCTTCATGGAGACCATCTCGGCGTACCTAAGACAGGCCCTTGGTAGGTACTCAGTGGTGAAATGCCGGAAAATCAACGCAAACGAAAATGAAAACGAAAAGATCGAATGGCGACGAAGATCAACTCATCTTTCGTCTGCAACGTTCATTCGATGCGCAAATACCAGTCGCGAAATTGTTAGTGACAGTTATCGAGGCTGAACCGAGATCGCGCAGCTTTATATGCCCTCATCCTTCATATACTCCTCCTTCTTTCTTCCTCTTAAACCTCTCCACGCCAGATCTTTCTAGATTCAGTTCTGGGGTAGAGAATCCATAGCCTCAACCATTCGACGACCGGCGTAGTCGTCGATGACGCCGCCGTCGTCAGTCTGCGTTGCCGGCTGGTTATTAGATCGACGTCTAATACTAGCCAGCAATCGGTTGTCGATATGCTTTTTGCACCGCCATTCGACCTGGAAGGGCTCCGACAGCCTCGTCGTCGCGGGCCCCCGCAACCGCGTGTTGTAGCGTGGGTTAAGTGGACCTGGTGGGGATTTCATAACGGCCTACGCAAATGTCAGTCAGCAAAGGAAACAAGAAACCAAACCGCAGACGCAGGATCTAGATTGAGGGACAGAGATGAGGGGCGATTGAGAGATGAACTTACATAGCCCTCAAACGCCCCGGACTGGACCACCGCGAAGAATAGAACCACGGTCTTTCCACTGTTGAATGCCTTGGTCAAGAGCCACGATGTCGCAAGCTTGGTCGACCAGAGTCCCGTGGCCTGGGACTTTCTGATAAGATTATAGGAATTCGTCCGCATTACGTAGTAGCAGACGCCTGTAAAATGAAACATTTGTTAGACAGTCACAATAGCAGGAAGGCATAGCCGATGCTTTAGAGGTTTTTGCTTACCACCCTGGTCCGTGGGGAACATGGGCTGTTTAGGAATAACGCCGAGGTTCTCACGCTCTTCGGGCATCTCGCGCTTGACCGGAACAACAGCGTTCTCGATCTCGTTGAGTTCCTCAGTCTTGATGATAACACTGGGTGGGTTGAGGTTAGTGTTTGCAGATGGTTGAGTGTATTTCGATCCCGACTCGGCGGTTGCGGTTGGGCGGTTGGGCCTTTCGTGAAGAGACATGGGATACTCCCGCTCGCGGTATCCAGACAGTTCATTCATGCCACTTGCAGGATTGTAACGACCGACGGGCGTGGCCGAACGGCCTCGGCTCTGCTCGTAGAGACTTTCCTGCGAAACGTAGTCTCCTCCGGTATAACGACCGACGCCAAGGCTGTATGGTTCGGGTCCAGGACCACGGCCTCGAACGTCGCTAATCAACGTATTTGCGACAGACTGGCGAGTGCCTTGAGACAGAATAGATCCATCGAATGGTTCCTCGCAAAACTCAATTATGCTGCCAGGTCGGTCGTTGAGGGTCTGGGGTCAAGTATTAGTCAGATAGCTCATCTTGTATTTAGAATATTTGCTTACTAACCTGTCTGTACGATCTCAGGCGCACCGCACGATAGTTGGGATCGTCCCAGCCTGTCATTAGTAACCAGTCTTGTACATCTTTCGAAAGCATCGAAAGCTCGACATTTTGAGTATTGCCTTGGCTGGTCTGGTCACCGACTTGGCTATAGTGATTGTAACTATCGTTGCCACCGAAAAGAGGGCCGCGATTGTCCCCTCTTGGGGAAAAGGGGTATCGGTTGGCCATCGTAGTTTCTGTTTGTTGCAGATAATGAGAATGTAACGAGGGTAGAGTGTGGTGAGATGAGAATGCACTGAGAGGGTGACCTTGAAAAGAAGGAAGGAATGCTGAGAATTTATAATGATCTATTGTGACTCAGTAGGAAGTATGTTTCGTATCACTAGGCACTTTCGACCATGAGTTCTCGAGATCGAGATGCTGAAGTGAAAGTTAGAAGGAAGTTGCTCAAGGAAGCACTGTGCTTGGTTCATGAAGCAGGTATGCCCAAGTGAATAATGAAAGGAAGTTGCTCAAGGAAAAAGATAATGATTGAAAGCAATCTTTCGAGATAGGTACATGGGACCTAGGAATACTTGGTAGGAGTGAATCAAGAGAGATGATGAAATAAAGACAACTTACAGTTTGAGTGTTGATAGGTGCCTGTCCTTCTACTTTTTAAGATCTGGTCTTGTCTGCTGCTATTCATTAGAAACTTTGTGTACCAACATCGAGTAGGGCTTAGCATTCTTGTTGGAGGTCATACCTTTTATTCTATTCCTCTGAAGCCCACGTTATTGTAAGTGGCGATTGTAGTTATCATCAACGTGGGCGTCAGTGAGAAGCTTTGTGAAGGTTGATGCTCAGTAAAAGAATAGGACCTTTGCACAAAGGATTCTCCAAGTTTATATATTGTCAAGAATGGAGGCAAGCTGCTGCTGCCTTTCTGGAGTGAATGAGGAGAGGCAGGAAAGCGTACCTACTAGTTTTTGCTCTTTCCCAACCCGGGATGTGGCTCGTACCCCTATGTACCCCCTCCCGCCTGCTCCCTGCTTCATACTAGCGCCACTTGACCACTACTCGTTCGGATGAACAGTGCCAGTACTGACCTGGGCTGGCACCTGACTTGCCTCAGGTCGGGCTACGCGTAACTGCCCAAACTGATTCAATCATTGGCTTGGACCATGGCTTGCACGCTGTCTTTGGAAGCAACCTGCGCTTCTCACCTTACAGGAGAAGGCACGCCTGCAGGCTATCCCCTCTTCGTCTTTCTGTATCTCGTCTGGTGACTACCTATCTTGAGCAGTTGCCGTTAATGATACCGCGTCTAATATGGTGACTCTTCCACAAACTAGTCGCCTAGGAAAGCACACCGTACGCATCCCCTAGTGTACCCTCCTGTAAGAGTAGTTTATGTCTAGTAGTGATTCGGATACATCTGCTTAGTATACCTACCTGCCTACCTGCCTAGGTACCCAGATACCTAAGTAGTTAAGCAGTCCAGAGGGCAGTAGGATACCCTATCGGACAGTCATAATTAATTGTTCAACTAACAATGATTAGTCTAGTCAATCCAACCTTTACTACAACGTTCCCTAACCTCTAATATGCTGCATTATGATGTCGTGAAATATCTAAAGAGCTGCTGTCATTTATAAAGTGCCCATAGAATGGTTTTTCTGACCTACCCGGCGACTAGCTATGGCCTGTCCTGTGCCACTGCGGATGCTCTAGAAGTCAACAATGAGAATCTCCCCTCGAGAAGTTTCTTTCACTAAGTAACGTAGGTGCCAAGTATCCATATATCCCATTAGAGTAGAATATCCTACTGCCTGTTGCTGTCTTACAGGTGTAGGATGCCTGAACATTTTGCTACTCGATTAGCCATACAAACTCTACAAGGGCCATATCGAGATTCATAGTGTTGGAAGAAGATTTTAAAAGAAGGCAGCATCATCAGCACCTGCCAGTCTTCAAATCGTCATGTGCTATAAGAGGAGGTCCAGACGTAGTGATGGATGACACCGCTACGCTAGAAGATGAATGATTATTATTGTCATTATTTATCCTTAGTTGGTGTCAAGATATCTAACGAGTAGCCGCTTAAGGCTTCATTAGGGTTAACGTGAATAGCTTCAATCTTTATTCAACGCAAGACGTATTATGTAAGCAAGTGCTAGTTGTCGCCAGATATGCCGCCAAAAATCGCTATGTGAATAGCCCGCAAATGGCACAATTTTACTTGGAAGGTGCAGATGATACCTATCGATTAAATGCGCTATGCTGGGGGAAGGAAAGAGGCAAACAAGGCTCCTTGAATAACAGCATACATAACCATGAACCTCACAACGTTACTCCCAAATGCCGAAGTCTTCGTATCGGAAACCTGACCAGCTACCCACCAGTACCAGAGTGGGTACCCCGACGCGATTCTCGTGATGATCTGGATGTGATAGTTGGAGATAGCCAAAACAGCCAAAATAAGTTGTGATACGGCCATCGACTGGATTAGCATAGGTAGATGAGACGAATTAACCAGATTAAACTTCTTCGCTACAAATGTCAAAGGCTGTCTTATGAATCCTAGAGATGATTGTATCAAAATGTAGAGCATCGGTGCTGCGAGAAGGAAAAGAGGTATATTGGGGAGGGTCCAGTATCGGAGAAACCCAACGTTCCTATACGTGATATTAGCATTGCTGGCATGAGGGTTAAGATACGACTGTACTGACCAGTAATGTTCCTGGACGAATGAATAAATACTGGGGAAATAGCTCGTGCACCAGGGTCTAACTTCAGCCCCAGACCGGCCAGAGCAGTAAGTTAGATAAGCAGTCAATTGCGGCACTGCGAAGCCAATTGCAATTGCTGATCCCCCAATGACCAAAGCAAGCCGTCGTCGAACGCTAGAAAGAGTAGGGGCCGCGGAGAGTTCCTGCGCCAGCGCGACGGCAAATGGTATTCCATTGAACAGGCCATTACTACGAAACGTGGTTGCGAACCCAAACCACATACCCGAAGCCACTATGCTTACGTCGTGGGCAAAGGTCCGGGTATTGCCGAGCAATCCCTTTGCGAAGAATAGGTAGCCAGTGAAAGATAAGAGAGCGTAAGGGCTCTCATTGTAAGGGGCCGACAAGAAGAGCCCAGCTGGGGAGAAAACATGAAGTAGGGCTGCTACGAATGATAGTCGTTGGTTTTTCGAAACGACAAGTCCAAGCTGGTACAAGACGAGCACGGAGAGTAAGTGGGAGATATGAGCTACAAAAATTCCGATGAGTGGCTCAAGGGAGCCATGGGCTTCAATGCCAATAGTCGAAAGTACTATCAACGTTGTTAGTTGGCACGTGACGCAAAGCTATGCAGTATAGATATATGGTATATGCACGTACGCTGGACAAAAAACGAGATGACAGCTGGTAGACCAGAACCAAAAGCCCATTCCTGCTCAAAGAAGTAGCCTCGACGAGCGTTTTGTATAAAGTAGATAGAGTCCCATCTTGTGAGCTTGGTAACCAAGTCGAACACGGACTCGTTGGATGAAGCGATTTCAGGGGAAAGCAAGGTACTTGAGGTGTCGTAAGCCGGGCCGACGCTACTTCCGAGGACAATAGCTAGTAGGAAAACTTTCCAAGTGGCAAATGTACCGAGCAATGATTTAGTAGGATGTTTTGGATCCAAGGACAGCATGGTTGCAAGATCTAAGACGCTGCCGTGAAATTATTACTATGTATGTTCTAGAGTTGCAACATTGGAAAAGTGGGTCAGTTCAAGTCCAGCGTTGAAGTTAGAATTGCTCAGGGATGGGAGCTCGCGCCACAACCTTGACGGCCAACGTGGCCAAAGCTTGGCGCCATGCTGTGGCTTATGCTTTACTAGCCACACCTAGACGCCAATTTAACTAACATTTTTCAATGTCACATTACATAAGTTCTCGTATCCAATAACTACTAGTTATAAATGCATACCCACTTAGGCCCCAATCGGAATCTTTCTTAAACTGCCTCTTAGAAAATGAAAAGGTACATTCGAATGCATAAAGAATTGGTGGTTATATGACAAGGGTACGTACCAACGCGGTACGTACATGGCTGGAGGAGGTACCCATGTAACTTAGATTATATAAGGAGTTAAATCCCCTCCTTACTCTTAGATTTAAACCTCCCTCCTTAGACATTAATATTACACTAGTCTCACCCCTATTATTCTTGCTTTACTTGTTATTTGATTTATCATACGTACGTACCTACTAATAGAATATATAGGTCTAAAATGTATCTTTTTATCCCTTACGATTTTCTTTTAAAATTAAACCTTTAAAATTAAAATTTAACTTTTAAAGTTATTAACCGTAATATTTAAATTTAAATAATTTAAATAATTTAAATAAAATTTAATTTCATAGCCACCTTTATATATAAATATTCATTAAAACGCTATTAAATTAAATAATAAATAATTTTTTTTTTAAGAATTTTACCTATTTAAATAGATTTTATATATTTAAAAAAATGTTTATTTTTAAAAATAAAAGACATATTTAACTTATTTTATAAAGTTAAATTTAACATAAAACCTTACCTTTTAACCGCCTCTTAAAAAAAACCTTATTTTTAAGAAAAATAAAAACGCTTTACTTATTATAATTTAATTTTTAACCCAATTTAAAAAATACCTGTTAAAAAACTTTTAAAATCGTTATAAAGATTTTATAAAATTTATATAAATAACTTTTTAATTATTTTAAATAAGGTATTATTTTTATGTTATAATTAATGACTTTTATAATTAAAAACCCACTTTATAATAAGGATATTTAAGTAAAAAGTAGTTTAAGAAGGATTTTAATCGGGGCCTTAACCTTAATAAGCTTTAAAGGTAATAAAGGTAATATTTATTAATGTTGCCGTCGCAATTATTAACAGGAATAGGAGTACACCCACAATAAAATTAAAACGAGATTATTATTTGCTGATAAATAAGATGATATATCCGCATATCCATAAGTGACGGCACTAATCAACCGACAGCTTAATGTGACCAGTCGTGCATCAACTCATTTCCCGGTTTCCATCCTTGGGAAGCGTGTGGCTTTTTGGGGGCCGAAACAGATAATCGGGCTTATCTGCATAACTAACGAGTGCAGCGTTCACGATTCAGACCTGGGCTCCATCCCCATTATTAACCTTGATATAATTATCAGAGGAACTGATTCAATCAGGAAACCGAGGGAATTCGTGACATTTCGTCACCCTTATATAGCTCGGATAAATATAATGACTTCATTGTAAATACCGCGAGGGCAGAGATACCCATACACACCTCCTCTATTTTCAAGTCTGTCACTGACAGGTGTAGACGGCATTCGATGACGACAGAAGCATCCCTTAGATCTACCCAAAAACAAACAGAAACCTCCTTAAAGTGCCTGGTCTACCTAAGACATAGAGTGTCATGACCAGAATATCCAACCTTATTTTGCACTCACCGACATATTAATGCCGCACCCTCGTAGCGGTCGCGATTGGCCATGACATATGCCGTAGTCTTAGAGTCTTGGTTTAGTATTGGCTTCTTCGACGGTGTCCCGTCGTGGCTGATTTGCCAACCTGCATGGCGCTGTGCTCGGTAATTGCATTACTCTGCTTAACGTACGTACTGTACATCTATCTAGATATGCGCTACGCTGCTTTAAGCTTGAGTCTATTGTGGTGGCCCCCCAATTGTTCCCAGATTTTTGTGCAGAAGATCGAGATTAACTGCATTGAACCTTATCGTAAGAAACGGTACCGTTCTGGAGGTGCGATGGTTCTTCCTTACGGAGGATACCCGTCTACAGTTCGTGGGTTGACGCTGCATACCAATCATTATATGGATTCACATTCCTATTTTGGTGTCTTGAAGATTATGAAAGTTGTAGCATCTCATCGCTGCCCCATACCCCACAACCACCACCACCACCCCCCCTTTCCTAGCGCAAGCCTCTAACACGCTACACTATCCCGTCCCGCTAGGCACACCAGCCACCTATCGAATCGGATGACAACCTGCTGAAATACCTATTCCTTCTATGGCGAAGCCCTCATGCTTCTTCTTATCTCGCAGTTGGACGGGAAATCCGTGCTCGGCGCCCGAGTATAAGCTAGAAGTGACTAGGGCTCCCCATGTCTAGCATCTCCTCGGCCTAGTGGCGCTTTTCGGCCGGGAAGACGCTTGGCGCCTCGCGTCGCCCACGTACATCATCGGCGTCGAACCCGGCTAGGATGTAGGATTATGAAAAAAAAAAGACTTTGAGGTTGGGATGGTCTCTACCTAGGTAAGCAGCCTGGACACTGTTTGCTAGGACATGGTTGATGAGATAGGGTTTCATGATTGTGGGGTTGGAATGCTGAGCTGTTCCAATGATCTCTACTGGGTTTTCTGTATTGTCGAAAGTTTCGGTACATCTATGTATCTATCAAAGTATCAAGAGCTCTGAGACAAGGGGGCGGCTCAAAGGGGTTGGCTAGGCAGATATACTGCGAAAGCCCACCCGACAAAAGACTTTTACTCATCCTTCAATCCCAGTACGAGCCGCCGCCAGGCATTGTGACATCATCCTGAAGATACTGACCCTCCTCCAGAGACCTACCCGACGAGTCCCTACCTGAACCCGGCAAGCTTATCCTCCTCGGCGACGTCTTACCAAGCGTGAGATTCTGGAACGATATCAGATCCGCACACGAGCACAGTCGTTTGATAGCATCGCAGATGCTCCGCTGCCTCTCGCTCTCCGTCTGCCTAACCGTGATTTCCAGGTTATGCATAGCCGTCTCGATGATGTGCTTGTCGGACTCGGTGGCCCGGTCGTGGGCGTTGAAGATCCGGTTCGCCATGAGGGAGATGAGGCTTGAGTTGTGCGCGCACAGTGTGATGCTGTACGGTATAGTTGGTTAGTTAGCTAGCTTTTCTTCTCCGCCTAGGTATCTAAACGCCAGGGGGGCACTAGGTAGGTAGGTAGGTAGGTAGGTACGTAAGTAACGTACCGTAGAAAAAACGTATCCCTGTGCTTAACCGTCTCAAACAACCTCATATACTCCCTCGACGCATCCGCCAGCGCCTGCCACCCCTGCGGCACCGGCGCGTGCGAAGACGCCATCTGCCCCGCCGCGACCTCGCCCCCGTAGTCCTGTAGCCGCTGCATCCACTCCGAGTAGTGGAACGAGTCGGCGGCGTTGGCGAAGCTGATCAGCGCCCGGCACGTGAGCGTTGTCGAGTACAGGATGCAGAGGTATCTTCTTCGCGAGAGCTCCGAGCAGGTATGGTTAACAGATGGCGATGATGGTGATGATAGTGCCGTGATGTAGAACGCAGGCGGGATCCGGGCGTTCCAGTCTTCGAGCAGACGGGCGATGCGCGCGGCGTTGGAGGCGCGCTGCTCGGAACTCTGGTTCTGCGCGGAGGTCGAGTAGACGCACTGGTAGATAGTGCCTTGGATCCGCGCCAGCTCCACGCGGGCGCGGAAGTAGTTCAGCTTGGTGTGCCTGTCGGCCGCGAATATAAACCCGACCAAGTCCTCGTCGCCCTCGGCCTCGGACGGCGGCAGATCCAGATCTATGTCGCTGTCGAGCTGGACCGGCGCGACTCTCGACACCAGGCTTACATCCCGGTCGAGGATATAGGCCATCCAGAAAACCCGACTCTTCTGCAAGGCCAACGCAGGACTGCACTGCTGGGAGCTTTTCCGGGTATGCAGCCCAAGGCCATGTGCCAGCCGTAGAGCGGTGCCTATCAGAATCAATGCTGGCCGCAAGTCCTCTGCTGTCCAGAAGAGTATCACTAGCCCAAGTATTATCTGCACGTTGACTAAGCTCGTATCCCGTATGACTATTTCTGTCAGCACCGACTGGACGTTGTTGAGATATATGGCAGCAGCATTGCCTCTCTGGTCCCAGTCGCCCGGGTCGCTGGTATGGTGGGCTAGAGCGAGCACTACATTGATGAGTGCCCACGTAATTACATTCCTGGTGTGAGGATTCAGATACCAGCTCTTCACCGTCTGTAGAAGCGTCGCGGCATGGAATAGAGGGAAGACCGAGTTGAACGTAGCGAGATATCGCTCGACTATGGGCAGGACCTCTTCGAAAGGGGGCAGATCTGGGAGCCCGGAGCCCGAACACATCACCTTAGAAGCATCTTCATTGCCGTCAACCGCTGTTGATGCACTTGGGCTATCTTGCTTTCTCTCCAGTTTCTCGACCTTTTCCAGGACGGTGCTGAGTTGACGTTCCAGAACCTGGACTCGAGATTGCAGGTCGCACTCCCTACGGAGCCGCTGTGCCTCTGCCTGCTTCCGCGACGGCGTCTTTCGACTTGCGGCGTTGTAGGTGCACTCGGATTTATTATGCAGCACGCAGGTGGTGCAGCGGGGTTGCTGGCCGTCACATTTGATCTTTCTGCGGTAGCACAGATCGCAAGCCTGGTTCAGATTGTTAGCAGAGCTAAGTGCTGTTCTTGTATGTATCATACCTCATGGGACGATTATATATATCACCTTTCTCTGCGGTGGATGGTTTCCACCCATGCTGACCACGAGGACTGGCCCCCTTCACAAGTTGGTTGGTGGGTAGTTTTTGCGGTACTACCAGTAAATGCTTTATGATGTAATGTAATATTGATGTCTTCTAATCAAACCTCACACCGCCGGTAACTGGTATGTAGAATAATAACAATCTCTAAACAAAGAGGTAAATTCCAGGTACCTGGATGATGCTTTCCTCGACGAATCAGGATGCGTGCCCCTGAATCGAATCTCTAACCTAAGCTACGGCGTGGTTCCGCGGAGGCTCCGCTTACAAATGCGGGGTGCCGCCAAATGCGGGCCTTTGTTCGAAGGAGGCTCCGCGGAAGCTCCAGGGATGTAAACATAGATACGGAGGCTCCGCTGAGAAATATTTCGGTGGATAAGTATCGTGATATGGAAATTCACGGAAGAGGTTTCGGGATGGGACTAGAGGCTTCAAGATCATCAGTACTTATTAATCTATTTACCTAGTAGGTAGTAAGCCTTTTACGCTTCGTATTATTTTCAATATATCTAAGCAGCCGTAGACTTTAGAGAAAAAAAATTGCAAGATGGATCATTGCTGGTAATTTTCCCCGAAGCTGTCCATTGTTAAGCCTACCTCCATGTAGGCTCCGTTTGCCTCAACGGAGCTTAGGTGCCCAACCTCGCCCCTGACCGACCCATAGACGAAACCAGGAACGCACCCTTTTAATGCTGCCATTTCTATAATTGTTCATTTCCCATCTATCTACGTGAGTGTTAAAAGTTCAAGGCAAGCTCATAACCCCTAATTTCTTACATTCGTATCTCAGCATTCACCTACCTGCTTCGACGTCAATCATACCTCATCACTCCAGTTCAAATGCCAACACCACCAGAAGGCCCCGACAACATCAGTCCCCTGGACAACGCGACCGCCCAGAACAACATGAGCCTCCGTAGTCGAGATGTCGAGAAACGTGAGGATGCAGGCCAGGAATCTCCCTCGACAGAAGATCCTGAAGCCGGGCCAGAGGACAACAAGAGCAACGGTCGAACGATTCGCGGTGTTCGCTGGATCCTCATCTGCACCGCCATCTACACCACCTGCATGCTGTACGGCCTCGACACGACCATCGCGGCCGATGTTCAAGCCCCCATCATCGAAGCCCTGGGACACGTCGAGCAACTCGCCTGGGTTGGGGCCGGGTTCCCGCTGGGCTCCGTGTGCGTGATTCTGCTGCTCGGGAAGCTGTACGAGATGTTCAACACGAAATGGAACTTCATGGCCGCCGTCGTCCTTTTCGAGGCTGGCTCGGCCCTCTGTGGCGCTGCGCCCACTATGAACGCTTTGATCGTTGGCCGGGTCATCACCGGCATGGGGGGCAGTGGCATATATCTTGGCTCCTTGCAGTACGTGGCTATCATGACTGGGGAGAAGGAACGTGGGTTTTATATGTCACTAGTAGGTGCGTTTTGGGGTTTGGGTTCTGTTTTGGGACCTGTGATCGGAGGCGCTTTTACCGAGTCACCGGCCACCTGGCGCTGGGCCTTTTATATCAACCTGCCCATCGGTGCTTTCGCAATTGTAGCTTTCATCCTCTTCCTCCCTCCCTTCCATCCTATTCAAGGCGTCACTATCCAAAAACGGCTGGCCACCCTTGACTTCGTTGGCTTTATCCTTGGCTGTGGGACTTGGGTTACCTTCCTCCTGGCCTTTACTATGGCTGGTAGCACGTGGCCATGGAATGATGGACGCACTATCGCCACCCTTGTTGTATTCGGCGTGCTTCTCGTTTCCTATATATTGCAGCAGTACTTCGCCATTTTTACGACCCCTTCTAGGCGCCTCTTTCCGGGTCACCTGTTACGAGACCGCACCCAAGTGCTCCTATATGTGGTGACGGCAGCTGGCACCACGTCGCTCTTCGTCGTTGTTTACTATCTCCCCATCTACTTTCAATTTGTTAACGGGGACAACGCTATTATGGCAGCCGTGCGCCTGCTCCCCTTTGTCTGCATCACTGTCGCAGTAAGCATCTCAGCAGGATCCTTTCTTCACTTGATTAAGGTTTACATGGCCATCTACATCATAGGTGGGATTTTCTTGATAGCCGGAGGTGGCCCGTTGATGGTGTATCTTGACACTAATTCGACAGCCGGCCTCATCTACGGCATGACAATCCTCATTGCCGTGGGTAGCGGTCTGTCGATGACAATTGCCTACACAATTGCCACACTGACCTTGGAGTCGGAAGACGTGGGAGCTGGCCTCAGCTTGCAAAACGTCTCACAGATCGGAGGTCAGGTCATTGCGCTCGCGATAGCGGGGCAAATCTACCAATCGACGGGCTTTAGGAACCTGTCAGAAGTCCTAGCTGGCTACGGTTATACGGACTCTGAAATCCAGGGCGCGGTAGCTGGTGCGCAGAGTGATTTGTTCAGTAAGTTGAGCGGAGAGTTGCGGGAAGAAGCGGTGATAGCTATCACCAAGGCAATGCAGATGACTTTTGTGCTAGTACCTGTTGCCGGTGGTATTATGCTGATCGCTGCGCTCTGCATGAAGCGGGAAAAACTCTTTGGATAGAGTCAAAATAGCGTGGCTCTTATCAGCCGGCCGAGGCATCCGCGGAGGCATGGATGCTTAGGTACCTTAATTAAGTCAAACCAAGTCTCGTGGCCCCCATCTTGGTCAGCTTTTCACACCCCGAAGGTCCCGAATGGCGGTGGGATTAATACTGAATCTCCTGAACACCGCGCGGGCCGAGTTTGAGTGAGTGAGGTTTAGTTCCTAGATACTAAGTTAGGGAGAGAGTTAGCGGTGGTGTTGATAATGTACATTGTATGTGGGAGCGAGTTATGTTCAGATGACTTTCTTTCAACGGTTAAAAATTATGTATGTCCGTTTGTTCCGAGTTCAAGGTCCGTTTTCTTTTGTATAACCATTCATAAATATGCAAGCCACGTACTGAATGTCTGGCAGTAGGTAGTTAAATTGATTGGGCGAGAAAAAGCAGCGAATACACCATCACCCCAAGTAGATGAGACAAGGGCCAATATGCATACTATGTAATAATCCCCTTAACTCATTTATCCGTTTATTAGCTAGAAACTGACTCAGATGCCGGAGTATTAGGAGTTCTTTTTAGGAGTTTTAGGATGGATGGCAGGTTCGCATTCGGATAACTGACGGATCGATTATTAGAATCCGTGTATCCGTTGGTAGGGAGGTAGACAGACAGGCAGACACCTAGCTCACATAGTACTGTAGATGTCGGTGTGATCGGCCCCTAATGCTTGATAACCAGATGCCCAAGCAACTAGATGATAGTAGATGCTATTATGTAGTATGCATATGTGTATCGTGGACATGGAAGAAAGCCTGGAACAGAAACTTTTTTTTTTGTTTTAGCAGTGGATTTTCCATTTTCCACCTCTAGGGCTCTTCCCTAAAATACCTACGTATCATAATCCATGATCCATGATACCTTGCTTAGGGCTGCAGGTTTTAGTTCCAAGAAAGTGGAACTGTTAGACCTCACTAACCAGAGGGGTACAAGCCACTTAGCTAGCGGACTCGGGTAACAAGGGTCGGCCGTGATGGACTTCACTACCTGCATAATTTAAACTCATTGCAACTATTATTCATTCATCCCATTCATCCCACATTGGCATCTCATCTCATCCACTCTCATCTTTTTCCATCTCGTCATTGAAGTGTGCCTAGGTGTACAACATGTACGCGGAAATCGAAAACGGCCATACACACCTACATATATTCCCATTCCAACCTCTAAATTAATTACCGTACCTCATTAGATAATACAACTACATACCTATATCCAAAATAAACAGTCGCTTGCTAACCCATCCTACCATACCATCTTACCATCTGCAAATTTCCCATTTTGATTTCAATCCCGTACGACTAACGTACGTCGGCAGTCGATTAATTGAATCTAGTTTTCCAACCTTCCATTTTTCACTTTTAAACTAACCTACCTATAATACCTATAACACCTATAATACCTAACTCACTTACCTACTTTTTAAGTCTCCGACCCTGTTTTCTCTCTTCACCGTTTATTGCATCTATTTCGTAAAGTTACGCCTTAGTGGGCAGTTAGTCGAGATCTAGACTGGACGTGGTTGGTAATTGGTTCGATTCTCTCGTGCAATTCCTCAAACGTTCTGCGGGTCATTGCCAGACTCGGACTCTGGTTCGATCCGACCTGAGGCTGTAGGTAGCTTAGCACGCCAGCGGGACACGCACATGGCTGACGGCGATCAGATCCACTGTCACTCCCTTACATGCCTAACAGCTTGAGAAGCCCCCCTATTAAAAGCCCCTGATCCTTGGGCCGTTACGCATTCCCTAAGCAAGCCAAGCGATTCAGCCTGTCAAGTCATACTCAGCTAGCTCTCCACTACATGTGCACTACACATCTACTCTTTCAACTTTCTTGCTTCTTAATTTGTCACTTTGACACCTAGTTTAGTTGTGTTGTTACCCCTCGAGTTAGAGTGCCGAGTGCCGGTTTTCACATCTTGCCCCAGGTTCGGCTTGAATTTCCATCGTGACAGTGAATATTTTAATCTTGACATCTTTTTTCCTCCTACATTGCCTCCAAGGTTGTCGATTACCCAACATAGGTTTTTCGGCAGGAACACAGTGAGCCCCAGCAGTTGTGTTCAATATAACCAACCTCGGATCGAAACTTCTCACCTGCCTGTCGAAGTTGCTACATTTCGATCTACCCGCCCCCCCATACCTTATATCAGAAGTGTGGGAAGTGACAGTTAAATGGCTGTTTCTCAATAATGTTCCTGCATTCCGGGGCAAGCTTACACGGTCATGAGTATTCTAACCGACCTATTCCTCAACCCGGCCATGTTCAACGACGCAATCCACTCTTGCGCTCTGCTTTCGCAACACCTATAAATCGAACATCTACCTACCGTACTAGCTCCGAGATTTCTCCTAATGAACCTAACCTACCCAAGCTACAGCAAATTAGACCTCGCTCTGAAATCATTCCTAAAGGTCGTGACCCAGTTGTCAAGTTCCAAGAGCCTAGATGCAATTCGACAACAGCAGAGCCCGAAGCGATGAGCGAGGATGAGGGCTCCATTGCTTCCGATAGTGGCGCAAGCGGTGGATCATTTTCCGCTCGTCGCACTCGACGAAGAGCACCCCGGAAAAGCACGGGATTCGTCCTTGCTCACCCACCTCCGAAGTTGCGCACCAAACAACGTTTAATCCATATACGCCCCCAATTACTACTTCAAGTGCAGCAGTTATCTGCTACCAAACGTCCGAGGCCTGCGATCGACGTGTATCCATCATCTGCCATAGCTAGGTCTTTGATTGCGCCACTGTTGAAACGCTTCCCACGAATTGCTCGCATCAAAAGGGAGCTGGGTATTCAGGATGTCATGTTGGTGAAGAGCGAGGACTATTCTTCGCAAGCATCTGGTTCGGAAAGTGATGGTGACGAAGATGGCCTCAAGTCGCGCGAACTCCTCGCGATATTGAGCCCTTTGGTGACGGAAGATAAGGCTGAAATAGTACTGGCTGATGGCACCGTCTGGGTTGCAACTCCAAAATTCAACGGCACTACTTTATCTTCCTACGAGTTCATATCGGCCGATTCAAATGGGAGCATCACTACGGCTCGGTGGGTTCGCAAGCAAATTACTTCCAAGTCGTTACCACCTACGCCAATTTCGCCCAGTCCTCCACCGCTGGTGTCATCAGCAGCCGATTCTAAGTTTACTTTCAGCATTATCGATCCGAATTGCCGAAGGCATCCCATAATGGCCACCCTGACAAATTCATCCCTTGATATACTCGACACCTACACCACTGTTTCTCAATCCGCTAGCCTTTATCCCCCAACCTCACCTTTATTATCCAATCCTACTTCTCCTACTAGCAAGGAGCACCCACTTGAACGTACCACCCAACAAGTTGAGGATTGGCAAAAGACATTCATCGCCGTGTCGGCCGTTTGGGTCGTCCTTCGTCATGGATGGTCTCCAAATTGCAAACCTGCGGATTTCATCCCCTCCAATATCCCAGTTTCCGCTTCTCCATCTGACGCAACCACAGCAGCTCGTAATAGGTCGCTGAGTGTCAATTCAGAAACACGTTCGAAAGGTAGCATTCATGAGCCTATTTGCCATCGGAAATCGTCAGCTGTATCTCGAATGGGCGACCGCAACATTACGGATATACTCCCTAGGAGGGCAACGTCTACTGGGGCGGCTTTTATGCAAAAGCTCAATTCTACGCAGCCAGGAGGTATTGATCAAACAGCTCAACAAGGACTTAAGAAAAGCAAGCGCACGTTCAGCGGTGACTGGGAGATTAACATTGCAAACCGAAACAAAGAGTTTTCCTTGACGGCCGTTTTGGACCCATCATCGAAATCTCCCACCAATGACCTTTTCTCACAAAGCAACTCCTCATCAGCTGCCCAATCCCCTTTATCCACCGGAAGGCGTGCGCTGTCAACGTACTATTCGGTCGACCCTCTTCCCATCAAAATCGGCGAAGGTGAACTTACTGAAAGCCCGGATGTCATCCAGCGCGAATCCTACTTTCCGGATACGAGGCAAGAGGCGCAAGTGGAGGACCAGACTCGCAAGGTTAAACACCAGAAATGGAGGAACATGGCAAATTGGTTCCGAAAGCTGCAAGGGCGGTAGGACTGTCAGTCATGCCTATGCTAAGTAGCAGGGCAAATCATTAAGTCACGCAGCTTGGGCTATTTTGCGCCTGGTCAGGGTTGGGGCGGCTTGTATGATATTGTAATTTGCATTGGACGGAGTTACCGGATAAGGAGTCACGATGGTATGAGGAGGGGATAGGAAAAAGTTGTAACATTATTGGCGACATGACTTTTTTCTTTCGCAAGGCAACTACCTGGATCTGTTTGGGGAATTGGGGATCTGGGAATCTGGGAATCTCAATGGATGAATGGATAATTGGTGCAAGGGGGGTTTATGTACGCATGGCGTTTCAAGTGTGGATAGAAGGCCGGCATGAAAGGGGAGGACATTGGTTGTATACAAAGCCAGTTCAGGAGACGAAGGAACTTCCCTACCCTAGGTAACGCTTAGGTAGATTCCTGCCTACTTGCTGCCTTTGGTAACACATCACCAGACAAAGTCATTTGCTTATGCGTATGAGCAATGAATACTATATCTTGAAGAAATCAACATTGTTTTCTTGTGGCACTGAAACACTGAATGTGTGGCTAGGGAGTGTAGATTAGTATGAACTGTCTAACCTAGGTGCTTTCCGTCAAGTATGTAGGTAGTCTGCACGAGATTTGTGCATCAATGTTAATTCCTCACGAAAGTCACGGAAGTCGGGCGGTTCGCAGCATACATGAGTATACCTAAAAAAAAAATTAATAACTCACCCAATCGGTTCCCTATGCATTCCATCACATTAAAACCAAACCACCCTTTGCAATAGAGGGGTTTGACAAGGAAGCACGGCCCGACAACTACCAACAACAACCAACAATACACTTCCGAGAAAGGCATCACCGATGCCGGCCGCGTTAGGTGCACATCGCAATCACATGGCGGGAAGGTGGAGAACTTTGATGCCGGGTCGGAGCTTCCTTTCCTGGGGATGGCGATGACGGAACGTTGAAAGTTAAAATCGGCGGTGGGGTGGGTGGTTGCGGAGACCCGATGTTCTGCCGAAATAACTAACTTATTAGGGAGCTGACGCCAAGAGCACAGGGTATGTACAAATGGGGTCTAGGAAGTGTGTGGACACCTAAAATAGTGGACCTAAAACATCAACATAACTTATAAAACTTATAACTTTACGAAAACCTTACTTATTCTAATGCAATCAAAGGTTTTACTTAAATTAAGTTACGTAGTTTTTAATAAAAAATGTAAAAAAATCATATACTTTAAGTTGAAAAGGATATATTAGTATTTGTTATTTTTATTAAAAAACTTAAAGTTTTAAAACGCTTATCATTTATAACGTTCTATTATTTCTTATATTTCAATTTTTAAATTAAATTAAAAATGTATTAATTTAATTTAACTTCGAAATATATAAGGAGATTTGACAAATAAATTTTATCGATTTATTTTACATTTTATTTCAACGTTTAAAAACATAGTATAAAAGTTGAAAATATAAGAAAAATAGTTATAACTTTACGAAAACGTACGTTTAATTTTTTTTATTTTCACTTTTATTATATTAAAGCTTTATTAAGCCTATATAAAAATAAGAAAAAATGAAATATCATAAAATAAAGAAAGTGAAGTTTTAATATTTTATTTTTATATATATTTAAAAATTAACTTTTAAATCTTAATAAAATATATAAAATTATGAAATTTTAATATATTTTTCTTTAAATTTTGAAGATATTAAAACCATTTTTTGTTTTAAGTTTCATGTTAAATTAAAAGAACTATCTTCGTAATTAATTTTATTAAAAAAATAAAAAAATCTTTAAATTAAATAAATACTTACAAACACGCAAGTTCTACTTATAAAACTTACATCATTAAATTCAGAAAATTCCAAGGAACATTTATATATTAATTTGATATTTTAAAGTTGAAAGCTGGTAAAGTTATTTAGATTTAACGTAATAAAACCTATAGTGGATTTGCTGTCCACACACTTCCTAGACCCGATTTGTACATACATAGTGGTTTGCCTGCCGAAGCTTCACCGGTATACTGTAAGTGTGCCTGGGGGGGAAGTGGTGGATGGAGCTCTACCTACCTAACCTACATTTATCTCCCCTTTTCTTTCTTTCTTTCTTTCTCCCTTGCCGGATTGATTCTCTTATCTGTTGAGTTCGTTTGCTTGGGAAGTTTGAAGAAGAAGAAGAAGAAGAAGAAGAAAATCAAGATCCAATCACTATCTATCTAGTACGCAAGGTTACAGGAAGGAAAGGCTGAAAGCAAAACAGCTTGTTTGTGGCGATGCCAGTAGTACACACGCAGTTAAACGGAGGAGGCTCCTCGACGTCGGTCATGGAGGTGGAGATGGAGCCGGTGTACATGTCGCCGCTGTCTTCAAAGGACGGCCCGGCTGCTGGGGTTCCGGTGAGAGGATCAAGCCATCGTCACCGGGTTGGTAGTGCTGAGGACGGCGGCGTTGCACCAGAGCAGGGGGACAGGGCGACGGAGGTGGCGCAGCGCTGGAATTATCCCCCCAAAAACGTCCCAAGGATTGGGGCTTGCTTCTGGTCGTTTGTGGTCATGGGGGCTAATGATGCGGCTTATGGTGTAAGTTCCTACCTACCTAGGTACCTGGGTATCATAGAGCTTGGGCAGGGGTATTAAATGGATTTCTGCTAACGGAATTATTGCGATAGCCTCTTATTCCATATGTATGAATGAGTCCTCTACCTATGTTTTTATAGGCACTTTTATTAAGTGACTTTGACGAGATGAGATATAAAGGGCAGAATCACTGATACTTACCGAGCCTACCTAGATACAAAAGCACTACGACCTGACATACGTCGTCGTATCGCTGATCTTCCTCTCCCCTTTCATGGGCTACACCGTTGCGGCGTTCCTGAACAACAGCATCCACCTGTCCATGGGCCAGCGCGGCGTCGCCTTCCTGTCCTCGGGCTGCCACCTGCTCGCCTACATCATTATCGCCGTGCACCCGCCCTACCCCGTCTTGGTGATCACGTTCATACTGGCGGGCTTTGGCAACGGCATCGCGGACGCGGCGTGGAACGCGTGGATCGGCAGCATGGCGCACGCGAACGAGATACTGGGGTTCTTGCATGGCGTGTATGGCGCCGGCGCGGTGCTGAGCCCGCTTATTGCGACGACGATGATCACGAAGGGCCATTTGCCTTGGTATGCGTTTTACTACCTTATGGTGAGTTTTGACATCGGGTTGTTTTGCCAGCTTACCTACCTACCTACCTATGGAAATTTTCCCGAGCTATCTATATAGGTAGGTAGGCAGGCATAAGTAGAGAGAGCTAACAAGAAATTGCATTACCTAGATCGGCATGGCGGGTCTCGAGATCCTGGCATCCGTCACCTGTTTCTGGTCGGCGACCGGGCGCGAGTACCGGGACTCCTTGGCGCGACACTACTCGGGCGACAACGACCACTCGATCAAGAGCAGCCTCAAGGAGGCTTTGATGACACGCCCCGGCGCGCGCGTCACTTGGCTGTGCGCGCTTTTCCTGCTGGGCTACGTGGGGCTCGAGGTCGCGCTCGGCGGGTGGATCGTCGAGTTCATGATCCAGGTCCGGCAGGGGGAGCCGTTCGCGAGTGGCATGACGGCGACGGGGTTCTGGCTTGGGTTGACGATTGGGAGGGTGGTGCTGGGGTTTGTGACGCCGAGGGTGGGGGAGAAGTTGGCGATCATGGTGAGCCAAGCAACCATTCTTCGCCTCATTTTTGGGCATCCTGGTTTTCAAAGTACCCAGGCTGTTTGGTTCTCTTCTTGTGCTGACTTACCTAACCTAGATATACCTTCCGGTGACGATGGGATTGGAGCTTCTCTTCTGGCTCGTCCCCCAGTTCTACGTGTCGGCGGTCGCCGTCGGCCTCCAGGGGTTCTTCATCGGGCCCCTGTTCCCCGCCGCCATCGTCGCCATGTCCAAGCTCCTCCCGCGCCACCTCCACGTCGGGGCCATCGGGTTCGCGGCAGCGTTCGGTGGCAGCGGCGCGGCTATTCTGCCCTTTGCGGTTGGGGCCATAGCGCAGGCGAAGGGCGTGCAGGTGCTGCAGCCGATTATCCTGGCTTTTCTCGTGGTCATCTTTTTGCTATGGAGTGGGTTGCCGAGGATGGATAAGAAGAAGGAATGATTGACCTTGGCGTATATACATAAGTACCTACCTGCCAATATACACCATGATAATTTTTCAAGATCTTATTGTTGTAACGATACTCCTTAGCCCGGTCACGTTCTCAGAGTTGAGAATGTAATTCCGATAAAAGCTGCCAAGGCATGGAGGCAACAGGTAGCAGGCAGGCAGGGCGAATGCGTCGTCAAAGTTGCAGTAACCTTTCACAGCCTCGTTGATAACTGTGTCGTCATCCTGCCCGCTGCCTAGGGCCTAGTAAAGGTAGGGCAGAGTAGTAAAGCACACGCATGTTCCAAGGCTACCTATATCCTTCCCAGTTTCTACCTTGTGACAAACTTACACCGTACTGTGTATGCCCGCCATCAAGCTGTTGGGACGTGTATCTACCTACCTAACCTAGTAGGTACGTGAAACACCAACTAGGTATAGCTCCCTACCTAGACTACCTAGATAGGTATCGAGCAATGCTCCGTTACACATATCTATCCCTACCGGGTCAACTGGGAGAACAGAAGGTCATGTGAGTTTCTTCATCTGCCGTCAGCATTAAGGTCCAAGGGGGGCCATGTTACGCTAGAACCCAACGCACCTATCCGCAGCATCGGGTGTCGTGTAAGCTGTGTCGCGGACCAGGGGTGGAAGAGGGGGGAACGTGGGCTGCGGGCTGCGTGGGTAGTAGATTAACTAGTTAGTGGACAACGCAAAAGCGCAAAGCGCAAAGCGGGTAGAACTTGTGTAGTTGTTGATGTTGGGGAAGGGGGGTCCTATATTATTATTAATAAGTTTTCGCAAAAGCAATGTGGCTAGCTGCGACGGTTGAACAATTCGCTGTGAATGCGTTCACGGGATTCGCCCCTTAACAAATCGGATACGGATCCTGGAAATCCCTGCTGTATTCCGTGATATCCATACAGGTAGCTTTTTGATTAGGTGCATGACGTTGTACGTACAGGAAGTCTGCCTGCTTGTATGCAATGTATGGGCGATACCAAGATATGTACCTGGTATTAGGTGGTGAATCGTATAGAATAGGTATTATGTTATAATACGATCTTTCTTTGTAAGCATTGCTTTTTCCGTCATTTGTCTTCTGTCTTCTATCCTATTTGCAAAATCAATGCGGGCTGGTTCGTTCCCAGCCTACCTGCTCCCATACTTGTGTATAGGCGTGATTCTTTAACTTTTTGCTTATTCGAATCCTTCTCGGTTATGTAATAGTTGGAGAAGATATCGACACTTTAAACATACTTACCGGTAGTAATATAGTGTAAGTAGTGGAGGGAACATTGAATGATGTAGACCAGTTAGAATGAGCGTAGGATATAGTGCTACCAACGTCATTCGTTAAAATGGTTGGTGGTGATAAGGTCTATGATCTGATATTGGCTGTTTTGCAATATCTACATAGTAACAGACTGTGAAGTTAAGATGCAATGCCCAATCATTAATAAATACATTTCTGTATATGTACCTAACCTGCCGAAACATATTCATGGGTGTGTTGGATCATTGATGTTGGATGTTGGAGGTTTTACTGCTTTATGTAGGTCTTTATGTAGGTAGGGTAGGCCCGAGTCTTCAATGAGGTCAGGTCTCCAGGGATATATCAGGGATGTACCAGGGATATATGTAGGTAGATAATAGGTATCGATCTTTAAATCACTGCAAGGAACAATTGAACTTGGGCCCTTAAGGCTGCTAAAGTAAGACATCCTCATTGGTGCACATGATCTAGGCTGGGCTGCTTAGGTAGATATAGCACTAATAAACAGTGAGTACCTAGTTATGTAGACTTTAGGCAGGTAGGGTCGTGGAAGGTCAAACATTGGGACTTCAAAAAGGTCATGGGTGTCATGGGTACATACACAGCTTAAGTGGATTAACTACCTAGGTACACCCAATCAACAATTACGTACCTCTAACTTCTGCCTCCTGCAGTTCACAGAAAGCACAAAAAGGAAAAAGGGCCTGGCAATTGCGAAAGCAAAAGCTCGAGGCAAAAAGTCAATTGCTTTCCTCTATCTCCTCTATCTCCTCCCCCCCCACTTCTCCCTCCCAAAAAATACACCGGGAACCAAATTTATTACGTCTTCACTCTCTTCCCCATCTCTTACCTTACCTTACCTTACCTTACCCCCTCTACCTCTACCTCTACCTCGAAAGGTTCTATGTATCTCCAACTACCAAAATCTTCAGGTAGTTAGGTTTTCTTGCAGTATTGTTTTGGACCGGATCATATACAATCTCTTGCTTCTTGCTTCTTCCGTCTTACTCTTCTACTTTTACTGTTCGACTGCTTTGTCCCTTTTTCTATACATAAGCTAGACGCTACATACCATAGTTCAAGTTGCACCCAGCTTAGAAAGGTGCCTTACGCTTAGGCATTCAAGTACCTAAATACCTAAATACCTAAATACCAAGGCATCTATCGGTTATACTTCAGGCGCTGTGCGATCTAGTGCCGGCTACAGGACCAGCAGAAGAGTCGCACATACATTACCTTAGGACCCGACCGTTTTCTCGTCCCTAAATCAAGTCGTGGTGCATCAAGTAGATCCCTCATTATTTGGAGAAGCTCGAAAACTACCGAGAAGCTAGCTGCCTATAGAACGTCCGAGGGCTGCGACATGTCAGCTTGCGTCCTGCTTTTAGCTGCAGCACGAGACCGACGCCACCAAATACTTTCGACAACAACCACCCACTGCCGACTTTCGTCATAAGTGTGTGTGTATGTGTCTGTGTAAGTGTGCGTGTGGGATACCGAACCGAACCGAACCGAAAGACATTGACAGCTCAGCCTGATCTTGACGCTAAGAATAAAGAAGAAGAAAAGAAGAAAAACCAGTAAAAGAAATAAGACAGGGCTTGTGTCACTACGATAGTATATCTCAGTCTAGGAGATAGCTCGACTTGATATTACAAAGTACCTGTCAGGTCATATACGATATATCAACTTTTCACCATGGATGATGGACTCGATCCTGCAGCATACTCTGCTGCTTCCCAATTTCTCTCCGCCTACGTCGCAGGCGACACCATCTCGCGTGCGACTTCTCCTGGTCTACCGCTCTCCACCTCCCCCAATACCGACGATCCCAAGCGCTACCGACCCCGAACCTTTGCATACTTTCAACTCCTTCCTTATCCCGTCGAGGATGATGCCGAACGAGATGCGGCTCTGGATGGGATACTCAAGCAGCTCTACATAGCTATCAAGGCTGAGGATTTCGCTCCTGGTGCTATTCATTGGACGCGCCAGCTCCAAGGATGGCTTTCCCTCAAATTTGACATGCCGCGCGAGCTACGTGCCAAGCTTGTGAAGTTGTATTATCATCTATCCCTTGCTCCCGGGCTAGATAACAACTCCGCCGATCGCTTTTCTAAGATGGTGGTCACACTCATTAGGAGGAAGCAATCACTAAAACCCGAGGAGGACTTGATCCTCGACTGGAGACCGCTTTGGAAAGAGTTGAAGGCCTTGGTTTTACCAGGGGAAGCAGCTGCGCATCATTCCTCAAGGAGACGAGGTGTTAAACACCTCAGAAAGCTTTGCCTCTATGCCCAGCTATACTTCGACCCCAAGGAGCGGCGCGCCATATTAGACGAAATTTTACCATACTTCAGCACCTCGGACATCCAAAATGCCTACATAGTCATCGGACTCTTAAATATCCTAATGCCTACTACTCCCGCTCCGCCCACCGAGCCCCAATCCCAGCCATCAGATATCATGCCTACTTTCTTCCACCTTTGGTCTTTGATGTCTCGATCTAAAGTTGTAGATAATGCCTTTATCGACATTGCCTCGCGAATTGCCAGAGACTACCTATCTTGTCGTCATGTACCATTTGCTGAGCATGGTGTCTTTACGCGAGAGCAGTCCGACCTGATATTCACTGCTATCCTCCGCCTAACTGATATTCCTGTTGGGCAGGCGAACTCACCGTACGGGGCGGTTGACTATTCGGCTGGGATGGGCATCTTCCTTGAAAAGGACAAGAAGAAGCATCCAATCTCGTATCTTATTGCTCGCTGGATTATATCTTCTCTGTCGCCTCACTGCCTCGAGAAGGATAATTCAATTCTAAATAGCTTGGAGGGTCTCATGGAATCGGTTGACACCTTCTTCCACCCCTCGAACCAAGGCTCCTGGACTAAGATGCTAGCGCAGCTAACCTATTATCTCAGCGAGCTTTTTGTTTCTCGTTGGAATAGAGAGCAAAGTGATGAGCAGGACAACCCCCCCGAACGAAGAATCAACGATGCCTTAAAGCACCGATTTGTCTTGAGTCTACGAGAGGTGACCTTCATGGGGCTTTTCGGTAAAAGTTCTGCTATCACAAGCTTGTACTTCAATGCTCTTCAAAACCTTACCTATCTAGAACCGGATTTGATGCTCCCTGGTGCACTTCAGAGGTTCTATCCTAGTTTACAAGGTCTGGTTGAGGTTCACCGGACTACCTCAAGTCTCTGCGGCCTAAATATGATCGCCAATATCATGTCACGCCAAAAAGGCTTTAGATGTCACATCACTGCTCTATTAGCCCTAGCTTTGCCCGGTATTGATGCTAATGATCTTAACAAAACGCAGTACACATTGAACTTCATACAAAGTGTCGCGTACAGCATTCCATTTGCGGTCCTAGCAAAGGAGGATAACGAAATTCATGACACGAGCCTTGCAATGCAATGGGTTCAGGGGGAAATGGAGCGAATGGAACGCGAAGGACAGGATGTTAAGATCGATTACAAGAATGAGTTGACTGACGAGGACGAAGCGGACATTGTCCGTTCATCTACTGCGGGCTTTGGTGAATTCATCTTGACCTTGTTAGGAAAGGTTTTTACATTGCTAGAAAATCTCCCAGATTCGTCGCAGGTAAGATCGGGGTCTCCCGAAGACAATATTATCAATACGCTACCGTCCGCCTTAACGCCAATGTTCGCTTCTCTATCCCCTGAGCTATTTGATATCGCTTTAGAGAAGCTCTCTACTTTCGTCTCAAGCCACGTCGTTCACCAGGCTCGTGATGCTATGGCGTGGACTTGCAACGCCCTCTGCAAAGTAAACCCGGAAAAATCATTGAAGGTATTCATCCCATCGTTGATTGTCAACATTCGGAACGAAATTGACTACAACGGGGCTGCATCCGATCGCAGCAGCGGCACTGAAATTCTTCCCCGTGATAGGGCCCTTGTCTGGCATATTAGCATACTGAGCATGTGTGTTGTTCACGTTGGCAGCGAGGTCCTCAAGTACAAGAAAGATCTCTTTGAGATCGCAGAGTACATGCAAGAGAAGTGTCGAGGTCTTCCTACCATACATATCAGCAATTATATACACCACTTATTGCTCAACCTCACCCATACTTACCCCATAGATACTTCTCTTTACGAGCCCGATGTTGTACAGCGTGGCCTCGACGTTGACGATTGGGGTAAGACGACGTCGGCAACAGATTTAACGATCCGGTGGCATCGGCCGCTAGAGGAAGAAATTCAGTTCGCTGTTGAGCTATTTGAATCACAAGCCGAAGGAGCTATGCATCGGCTTGAGTCTTTCATGGGTGACAACCCTCCAGTGAGCCGAAAAGGAACGAATAAAGAATGGTCAGATGAGGTCTCTCGTCAACTAACTCAGTTGCGATTGGTTATTTCGGGGCTCGCGATTCTTTTTGATCCAAAACGTGCGTCTGGAGAATCACGTGGGCATGTCAATGGGAATGGAATAGCCCTCAGTAAGGAGGACGAAATTATGCACGATGATGATGACGATGATGACGATGACGGTGAGAACCCGCTGGCCGAGGTAGGAGAAGACGACGAGACGAAACCCCAATTCAAGTATCCGAGTGGTTATCTACTCACGCCGGACTCTCCACTTTATAACCGAATTCACAGTCTGCGAGAGGATATTGGAAGACTATTGTCTCGCACACATTCCTTCCTGAATGTCCACCAGGAAGATGATGTTGCCTGCTTCACGGCTTTATACAATACATATCGTACGTGGATCACGGATGTAGGGTTTGAGCGGTCAGCACACCCATTAGATCGGCTCGTTCGACTATATCGGGCAGACATTGCCCCTTTTAAGATATGCGGGCTGAGAAAGCCTTATCCCCGGCCGCTCCTGATCAAGAGAGCCGATGCATATCAATTGCAACGCGTCAAGCATAACGCGTCAATCCGAAGGAAGAGTGAACTTGATAAGCGTCTCTTGCTCGACCTTGCAGATTCATCCGTTTCCTCGTACGCAGATGTTAGACGCATAGCCCAAGGCGCCCAAGATGCTTCCCTAAAGGCATTAATCGGCAGTCGCCCTCTTGTTATCCCAGTCATTCTAGAGAGATTCCGTAAAGCCCTCGATGAAACCGATCATGATCGTATCAAGGGTGCAATGTATACCTTGCTTTTCACGAGTTTGCTTAGGACGCTGATGAGAGATTGGCGGTTTGCACCACACCTTATGCGGCTATATATCCAAACTGCCAATGTCGATAAGACCTCGATCCAAAATCTAGGCGCTACCGCCATTTATCCTCTGATCGAGTTCGGCAAGAGGCTGGAACACATGGTGTTGACCGATGATAACATTGTCGGCCTGATTAAGCCAGCCGATGATTGCTCAATTGCTATCGATAAAAGGCACGACTTCATTATCGAGCGAAGAAAGAAAGTCGAGCAACAAAAGGCAGAGTTGGGGTTAGAACTAGCTGAATTAGCAAAAGAATCGCACTGGAAGACAGCTAGTCGTTGCGCCATCTTCGCTACTAACCTTTGCCTGCGGTTCGACAGCATTGCACCCCCAGAATTCATCGAACTTGTCGTCAATGGGACGAACGATCCACACCCAGGCCTAAGAGCTAGTTACTTGAGCGCCTTTTCGGGCGTTTTCTCTTCCATCGACCGACGTGCTGTATATGGTCATAGCTACCGAAATTACTTGCAGGAAAAGGAACAAGACATCAACAAACTTGTTATTCCAGTACCGAAGGGCGATGCCAAATTTACGCAAGATTTTCTAGAAAGCTTCAAGCACCCTGAGAGCGCGGAGTATTTTGTCGATACCGATCACCCGGGATGGTTAGTATGGGGCAAGGATTTCCACGCGTTCAAGGCTAAGCCAGGTAAATTTGACGATTATGATGATGTGGAGAGGGCCGCAAGACAGCAGATCGGCAAATTGATTACAAGAGAATGGATGTCTCGATGCTTCGAATACTTAAAACAGGAACCTCGAGATTCATCGTCCGATAGATTTAGGACGTCGAATGCCGTCCTCCTTATGCACATATTCGATCTCATGGTCTATGGGCAAACCGAGCTCAAGTTTGAGGATGTCAAAGAGTTAGTTGCTGAGGTGTATGGCGATGGAAGCGACAAGCACCAACATCGTGCCACGGCAGAAATCCTGGGTTCATTAATAGTCGGTACAGCGTATGATCCTATTGAGATGAAGGAAGAAGTATGGAACTTCGCGCTACCCATGATTCTTAACATATTTGCGGACAACTTAACTCCCGACAACCTCTCGTACTGGGTCACGTGCCTCCACTTTATTGTCGATACCAAGGACCCGCGCCGTGCCAGCGAACTTGTCAGCCGTTTGAGTTCTTTCCGTCTTGATATGAGTTCCAATGCGGCCTTCAAGGAGTCTTCGAAAGTGCAACTGCTCGAAATATTAATCAATGATTGCGGATGGCATTATCGTCATGAGAAGCCAATCTTAGAAGACTTTTTAGCCCACATTGATCACCCTTATAAAGCGGTACGCGAGTCCATCGGTCGTGTCCTTGCTACTACCTACAGGACAAGATACTACGAATCGTTTGAGAGTGTCGGCGCTCTACTTGAACAGAACAAGGCAGACTCGAACATCGGTATTCGACCGTACAAGTTGAACGAAGAGTTTGCTGCCACTATTAAAGACGTATTCGCCCGTCTAGAGACATGGCGCCATGAACGCACACCTGGCCAACAGACGCCGTGCTCCTATACTTCTGGATCAAAAACAGTTCTTACCTGGCTTGACAATACTCTGTCTTCGCCAGAATGCATCGAGCTTATTCCTTTCTTCCCTGATCCATTTATCGACCAACTTTTACACATGATGGATGTGAAGGAAGACCCTGAACTTATGCGCCTAGCTTACCACGTCTATCGTCATTTACCTAATATTCCCTTCCGTACCGGAGAAGATGTGCCGTTCACAGCAGCACTCATTCGTCTAGGAAAGACAGCTACGAGCTGGCATCAACGTTTAAGAGCCTTGGTTAACATGCAGGTTATTTATTTCCGTCGGTTATTCCTAATGGATGCGTCGCAACGAGAACTTCTCTTCGATGCCGTGGGCGATATGCTGGCTGATCCTCAACTTGAGGTCCGAACCGTTGCCAGCGCAACATTGGCAGGTATGATCAGATGCTCTCCTGCTACGATACGAAACCCTTTTATCGCAACCTTGAAATCGCGTTTCGAGACTCAGCTAGAACGAAACCCTATGCCAAAGAAGAGACAGCCCGGTACCGAAACACCAGTCAATGTGACACAACAAATTGTGAAGAGACATGCTGCAGTGTTGGGGCTCGGGTCTTTGGTCGAAGCATTCCCGTACGCGACACCACCTCCGAGCTGGATGCCAGAGGTCTTAGCCCTGCTTGCGAGGCGTGCAGCTAGTGATCCAGGCGTAGTGGGTAAGGCCACAAAGAGCATTCTTTCAGAATTCAAGAAGACAAGACAAGATAGCTGGGGTGTCGATCAAAAGGTAAGTTCTGATATCTGTCTTTATTTACGTACCTAGACATACTAACAAATCATAATAGTACTTTACTCATGAGCAACTAGAAGACCTTGAAGGAGTTCTCTGGAAGAGCTACTTCGCATAAGAAGGTAAAGGCTGGGGAAATCAGGGTCAGTGAATCAGTTTTCAGTCTTTAAAGAGCCGTAGCAAGGTCTGGTGAAAAACACGTGCCAAGTGTGTAGAAACTCCCCATAAACGAAGATGGTTTGGACGATGTCGGTTCCTGATTCCGGTGGCACCTAATAGCCGCTACGCATACATATAGACATAGAAGGATGAGCCATGCTGGCTGAAAGTGGAACGGCCATACATACGAGATGATAAACACGCTTGAGGTGTTATTACGTACGATAAATGATATCATGTTGAGCATCCAAGGCAGTAGCCTAGTCGGTATTCTTGATGTCCCGTCGGTCGGTAGATGGGCCTCAAGGGGGTAGTGCGTTTGTAGAGTAAACCACCTACAGAATAAATTACGCGTTACCTACCTACCAACCAACCTATGTATGCTATTGAGTCCTTGAATTATTCGGTGATCGTTAAGTTTTCGAGCTCTTGTACCGGTAGGGGCCTGGTGATTTGAGTGTTGTACCTAGTATTACGATACTAATATTTAGGCCCATCTGCGTTGTATAGGTAGGCATCTAGGGTTGCTTGAGGGATCGTGTATACTACATACAGGCTTCGGAAGACTTGGGATTAGGTAGGTAGGTACCCAGTTTACATTTGTGTCGGGTGGACATGGCTCGAGTATATATGCGCTTGGTAGATAGGTATCTAGGTATCAGGCAGGCCTGTTGATTCCGAGTTAGTTCATGTTGCAGTACAACTGAAACCAAGAAGAAGAAAGGTGAAAGGAAGAAAGCTTGCTTTATTCTAGACTACACTAGCGGAGTGCTAATATATGGCTGGCCCAGTGGGGCCATGAGCCTCAGGCACCTGCAACCGTTTATTTTCCTGGTGGCCTCGTCTCGTCTCGTCTTTTCTCTTCTGAGAAACGTGGTGGTTGGCAGTTGGCCTTTGGCCTCGGGAGGTTATACCTGTGTAGCTAGGTACTAACTATTCGCTTTTGTTGAGCATATGCCTAGCGGCAGTTCCCATACCTCCGTAGAACTTTGAATCACGGTAGTTGTGATGTTGTGATATCGTCCAAAAGTTTATTCTTTGGTCACATAGAAAGGGGACGTGGAAACTCAACTGAGGGATGCTTATATTAGCTCGTGTATTTAAAGTCATGTCTGCTATGTCCACTTGCAAGTTTTAGAAATCTTTCTTCTTCAAAAACAACATCATAACTAAATTCTACACACCTAGGCCACCTCCACTCTCCACGATTCCTTCTATTACAACATCTAAAAAAAACACAATCCACTTCACACACTTCTGTATCATCAAAGTTGGACAAAGGGGCCCCCGACTCGAATGCTAGTACCAAGCAAAGTGGTTGGTTCGAAGAGAATAGCGAAAGGAGATGGACAGGATGTCTCGTGAGGCTGTGGAGGAGCGCTTAGGGCTATGGCTATAGACTTATGGGGGTTACCTGCGTGGAGTTTGATTAGTATTGATTCCTCAACGAAGAAGTTACACGCGCCGAGGACATCCATGGCTTTCTATCATTCTTAGATTTCTCTCTTCAGTCACATATGATGCCGAGCTAATGATATCATGGCGTAGGCGTAGGCGGACCCCAAAACTCCTATTTAAGCCTTAGAAGCATAGGTAATACTGACCAGTCAGCAGGCATGCTCGTGCCGCATGTTCGATTTTGCAGTACTGCAATAAAACGGATAGGCATAAAGATAACTATAGTTATAGGCATCCAATATTTACTCTGCTAGCAAATAGGCGAGGAGCAATTTTATGCCCAAGTTCTAACTTTTGAAAAGCTTGCGTTTATTGAAAGATTCCCAGTTGCTGCCTCCCTCCCTAGGCCACACACACCCTGAAGTAAGGGAGCAACCATGATAGCAGTTGAACCATGGTAAGCATCTGGAGCGATGTGCCAGTCCAAGCCGTCTGTGGTTGAATACAGGCTTTCCGTTGCGATGTGAACCAAACCATCAAACTATACTGTATCTAGTACCTATCAGGTATTGTGAACGTCATTTTCAGATATACCATATCAGCGGAATTATCTTTAAGTTATTAGCTACGATGTGAGCTTTGCTGGAATCTATGCTTGGCTTTGTAAGGCTTCAGTCCGAGTCAAGCCAGAGTACCAAGATTGCTGTTCTTCTAGTCTGGTAAAGCACGTGAAGGAACGATAGCCTACATAGGTCAAAGAGTCACATCCATGGGAATCTTATCACAGGGCTTCATCAACTGGTACAAAATCAGCTAACCTAGGTTAGCATTGTTCTTATCTTTGTTAATGGCTCGGATCGATCCCGCTTGGTATTTACATCAGCGGTAATGTTGGCCAGTGGCGTATACCTGCATACCAACAGTTAATGACAGCCGATCTAACCTACCTTGGTAGGTACTAGGTAGGTATGGTTAGTTAAGGACTAAGTAGTTTGGTTTAACTCGAACACCCCTCGATGACAAGACGTCGATGACCTGGAATCATTCATCTACCCTCCCTACCCGTACCCGTAGCTCTAGGGGGGGCCTGCTTCTGTGCCATCTCTTCATCCCGTGCTACGGCCAAAAATTAAGTGCTCATGGTTTTCCGTGACATGTTGGCAGTACCGAGGTCCCCTTCACGGGTTAGAAATTAGGTAGACGTTTAAATACTGGACCACGGGAACGATTGGATGTCGTTGACTTAGCTTTTTTTCTGCTGCTGACAGCTACTGAAGCTAGGATCGGCAGGTCCGCTCATACTTGGTACCAAGACATCCTCTTAACTGGCTCTCTCTGGGCACATGTGGCAGTCAGTCACCACCACACTACCTTGCTTCTCTACACTAGCATACTAGGTACATACATATGTACGCATACATATAGGGCGCTTAGCTCTGGTCTACACCAATGGCCATGATGGATGATCTGGCAACGTTGCTGGCGTACATACATATACGTCTTGAGCAGCCCATATGGTGTCAAGCAACGTGATTCAGCAGAGTAGAGTAGGTACCTACTAGGTAGGGAGGGTTTAGTCCATTTTGGACACCCCTCCTTTTTTAGTTCCGTGATGGGAGAGAGATGACAGTGCTAGAAACTGTGTCGAATGTCGATGGCGGATTGTCCACTTTCGATGCCTTTCTAGGAGAGAATTATGTACAAGGGACTTTGATATCACGAGCGAGTGGTGTATGTATATGTACTGTACTGTATGGTATGTACATGCCTCCGCTCGTAAAACAACGAAATACCCAATTTACGCACAGTCATCGCACAGTCATCTGTCTACCTAGGTTAGTAGGCAAGTTAGGGAGGTACGTACCTGCTGCTCATCCTGGATAAGAATAATCAGATTTGAGATCATTCAGATGTAACGCACAGAGGTTTATCAAAAATGGCATTGTAACACTTCATAACCTACACTACCTACACTACCTTTTAATGTCATGTACCAGCGCGCCGAGAAAGTGAGGCCCCCATTGGGACGCGTATACCAGGAGAGAGATAGAATCACACTTTCATAACTAACTACAGTAACTATCCAGGTAACCTCCCAGGGGGGATGAGCAAGATACGTCAACAATGTCTAGGCCTCTCTTTCTCTCTCTCTCTCTCTCTCCAGGGTTTGCCAAGCGTAACCTTTCTACGGGAGGTTTCGCGCGTGGCAAACCGTTTTCCCCGAAGCAACTGTCACTCGAACAATATGTAACTATACGTACAGCATGTAGGTACTTAGGAGCTTGCCGGTTTGGGATGTGCTCCCATGAGCGCCCACTGTCAGCGAAGGATCAGATCTCGTGATCTGGACGCAACTTTGGAAAGAGTCAGATGACGATAATTTACCGTACAGATCCCGTAAGCTTTGCTGGGATGCTCTTTAATACCTTGCCATACCATACGCCGCGTAACTGATAGGTATGTACCCACGTATAGGGAAGTGTAGGTATACATATATACATACATACATACCTACCTACGCACATGTCCATGGTATGTGAATACAGAGGTACCTTCTTAGAGTACTATGTAAATAGACGAAAACTCCATAGCCTAGCTGGGGCATACATAGGGTTAATCGTACGGGTACCTACGTCGTGTTGCGATGCTACCAACGCGTAGTGTTGTAACGATGGCTTGCATTTTTTTTTCTTTTTTTGCAACGAAGGGGGAACCTTCGGGTCGCATATTTGGCGGCCAGGAGGTAACTGCCGTAGTTTAGGTGAGCAGAGCCAACCAGACGGAGGCTCGGCCATCGCCCATGCGTCACATCTTGGGTGCGCCGGAGAATTAATCTAAAAAGCGGCTACGACGGTGCGGGTTTTTTTTTTCCTTTTCTCTTTTCCTTTCTTTGGTTTGGCTTGTTTCTTTACTTTCCCTCTTCGTCTGGTCTTGTCTTCTGTCATCTGGAGAAGAAGTAGTGAGCCAGATCTTTTGACCGTTGCAAGCAAGGGACGGGCCTCGCTGGGGCTAGGCCTTGTAATTACTACACTATGTACGTGTTTTCAGCGCACCCTGGAAGCAAGATGCTGGCGTGGAGCTTATGTACCCCGGGCTTTGCCTTCTCTTGGTCTTGAGAGAGAGTAGATCGTGGTTATGGTGATGCTGGGAATTATACTCCTTGGATGACATGTAAGGGGCAAGATTTCTCGTAGCCTCATTGAATAGATGGATAGATAAGTCCTATTACATATGAAGCAGAGAGAGACATGCCTATCTATATGACGTTCAGTAGCTACCTAGCGCAGTTCATAGCTAGTGGTATGATTATAGCTGACTGAATACCCAGCCCGGGAAGATGAGAAGATCTCTCGGCGGAGTTCGGCATTAGACCAGGCCACAATCTCATGCTTCAGCGGCTAGAGATTACAGCATGTAAGTATCATTGAGATGCCGAGAAGGGAAGACAGATTCTGTGAATGGCTTCCGGGAGATTAGGTTCCAGAATCGATATGTGGTACCAGTACGTCTGTGAAGGTACATAGAGTAAGCAGGAGGTACGTACGTACGTATGAATGGACGGACGAAAGGTGAAGAGAATATACATATGATGTCTAGCAAATTGCCCATTGCAACGACGGGATAGTCCTTGGCGGCTTCTGTGGGCTCTGTCAGGTGAAGTTTATTCCCGTGGTCGCTTTTGTTGGGAGGTTAGTTAAGAAATGGAATAGTGAACATCGTTCTTCTCTAACCTACCTGGTAGGTAGGTATGTATATATGTTAGGTGGCTGGGGAGGGAACTGGGATGAATTATTATATTGCACATGGATGGTTCAGTCTGGGGCAATCTCTCTCTCTGGTGCCAAGACTGTGGCTAGATCTTCGCCCTGAGGTTGACGATAGCCTATACTAACCTATCTTACCTCCCTCTATCTTGATGATGTTCATGCTTAGTACCTATCTACCAACCTAATCGCCATGCTTAAGTCCCATACGGGGAATTATTGTTCGAGATGTTTCAAATATTTTTTCCGAGACTTCTAGCACCAGCCCAACGACTCGGCGTGCCGTGTACATAGAGACAGACATACATACCTAGGTTAGTGCGGTTCAAATCATCGAGAGCAATTTTGGCCCTTGAAGGCTAGCTTCGGCGTGTGTGCACGATGTAACGACGGCTCGCGGAAGTTGTACCCTTGACCTTGATAGGATCAACTCAACGGAACCCCTGATCCCCTGTCTGTCTGTTTGCAACCCTCCCAGCACCGTGCAACCCCGGCATGCGGGGTTATAGGAGAAGTACAATATTATTCTAGGTTAATGAAAATTGTAGAGGGTCATGGCGTAGACATCGGAGATAAGCAGTGAAAGGGGTAAGTTGTCGACAGATACACTTTAATGATGTCTGGTAGGGAGTTTACTACGTAGTTATTGCCTCGTTGGTAGGACGAAGAAAGGAAATGCGGGAGAAGAAGGGGGGGAAGTAATCTTGAATCAACGTCAATGGAGGGAAGATTTCATCGTGAGATAGACTTGGACGTGGGATCTATATGTACTAGTATCAATCCTCCGAATTTGTGTATCTGTGTATCCTGCAACCTTGACAGCTATCTCATCGTCTTTTTGAAGCTATGGGAGTAAAGTGTAGTATCGGGGTGAGGAGTCCGCATATGGAGGGACAAGGGGGGACAGTTAACTACATTACCATCAACGGCTCATTACATACATGTCTAGGGAGGTACTTGGTAGTTACTCTCACCTGTAGGTAGATCACTTTCATTACATAGGTCTCCTCGTTAGTAATTATGTACCTAGGTAGTTAAAAGTGATGTATCTTACCTACCTACCTTGGTAGGTATGTAAGTACTAGGTAGCTAAAGTCAACGACATGTAACTACTTTGGGCTTCCATTCACTACCTACCTACCTAGGTATATATGAATTAAGCAATCTACTAGGTTAGGTCATGGATACGACACACCAATCGATACTTCATTTTGATGTTCATAGGATTTCTTTGCAATTTGACTCGGATGGTGATATGGTAATATGATGATATGACAATATTGACCATGGCCCTTGAGCAGTGCTTCAGCGTTGAGCATGCTACGTACATAGGTAGGTAGGCACCTATTTCACTTCAAGGTAGGATTTGACGAGATTTTCATATCGTCGTCGTAGTTGGAGCCAACTAGATATGTAAACAAGAGACAACCTTGGAAAACAGCTGTGCTTGATCGGAGGATTACCAAGCTCGGTACCCGAAAGACAGCCGTGAAGGTTGAAGCTTCCTGTACTCCGCATTAGTCAATTTATCCCCCACAGTCCAGATAAAGAAATGTCACGATTTCCCATTGCCATTTCGGGAACTGATGGTGTGCCCATTTCTGCAACCCTTCTCCTCCTCCATGCATCTTGCGAGTTGCAACCCAGGTCATCCGCGCCGACTGCGGGCGGACTTGCATATGTAGGTCGCTCTGAAAATAGCTCCCGTTGGTGCTGAAGCGAGATGTCATTTGCGAGTGATGCTTACCTGGTCCAGTGTTGATGCCAAGTCTTGAGCAATATACAATTTGTTCAAAGCCGTCCACGATATCTGAGAGCCAAGAAAGTATGTAGAAGGGGCCAAGTTGGTTTGCTGTGATAGGACATTATACTCCGTGTGTAATTACTATCTGCTTTTACTCGTTTGACGTAAATAATTTCTAGTACATAGCATAGTAGCATCATTTCACACATAATTACCTATATATTCTAGGTTGTCTTACCTAGTAGTTTTCCAATTACCTCCTTTACTAACTGAACTATGTGGGACGAGCTGCGCCTCCGGCTCCCCGGCCACACTGTAGCGTTCGTGAGTGGCGATACCGGATTCGGGCGTTCTGAGCTTACGGTTCGAGGCAAATCTCGGAGAATATTTTTCGGAGGCTAGGGCCGAGAAAAGATCTCCATAAATCCTCTTCTTGGGGCCTGTCGACACGCGTCAAGGCTCTGTACCGGGTGGCCAGGAACTTATGTAGGATGACTAGGGTAGCTAAGCCGCTAAACATGGACCATATGGACCATGGCCTTCCTCCCATGTCCTCCCATGTCTCTGGGGGGGCGCGAGGATTACAAAACAGGGGTATGCTCAGAATGAACTCCACGTTTCAATGGTTATCTGCAACTTCGAGGAACGGAGTCGCGCAATAAACGGCTGTGGATCCAAATGCAACAGGCTGAGCGCATCATAATCGACGACGATGGTTTACGTACTAGGTGTGGAGATTACAATATCGTGTCCTCCTCATTGTCTGAATTCGAATACATACATGTCTACTGTACAGAGTATACGAGAAGATGGGGTTGAGACGTGGGCATGCCTGAAGTTTTTTCTTTTATAAAATTTTCTTTTTGAGGAGACCGATTGACAACAAGTCGAGACGCTGCCTGGCTATTGCAGTGACTTGGCTACCTAGTTCGCAGAAATGTATGTACAATACCTAGATAGGTAGTGTAACTCTGAATGCGCATAGCTGGGTAGTTAGCTAGGTGTACGTGGATGTACCTGTAAAAAGATACCTACTAGGTATGTAGTTAGTTATAGCATTGTCCTGTAGAATACCTAAGCATACTCTTTTCGTGTTCTTGTTTCTTAATTAAAAATAAAAACATTGAGAGAATGATATTGAAAGAGGGTTTTGATAGCTACCTACCTGGTATAAGAAATAATAAAGAATGCTTGTCGTGTTTTACCTACCTAGTAATTGGTATCAATATATGTCTTTGCTCATCAGATAAACTCCTATCGGTATCGTACCACACTTTAATGAATCGAATGTCTAGGGACGTTCTCGAAATTCCTCAAGATTGTTCCCAGGCGGGTTTTCCCGTTAGCTTGAACCTGGGAAGATGCAACTAAGGACAACGGGCAATCGCATAAGCCTAGCATAGAAACCCAGCGATCCCCAGTGCCCTGGGAAGAGACTTCTTGGGAAAATGGGGGTCAAAAGAAATAATAATAACAAATTAGACTAACAATAATAAGTAGTATCGGCGACCAATTCCGGAGCATGGGGCTTAACAGAGTCCAAGTGGCTTAGTATAGCTCTTATAATCAGGGTTCACATGCCTGGACAGCTAAATAGGTACTAGGTAGCTATATACATACACACATAAGTAGTTGTAGGTATCTAGTTACCTACCTATAACTATAGCTACCTATAATGACTTATTAGATAAGATGACCAAGAGACAGGGACTTGCTATGAAATCTACCCAGGTAAGAACAAAGCTCTCCACTGTCTAATTAACGCTTAATAAACTATTGGCTTGGAGGATGTGTATGAAAAATGGATTATTCAGTTTTCTAAGTGAGCACACATGACGAACAAAGAATAAGAAGACGCCACAACTTGTGATATGATCTACATGGTTTTGATATTGACGAACAGAGGTAGGTATAACGAATAAGAAGACGAATTGGGTTATATGCCAGGTACCTACCTAATGCTAGGTGGGTAGGTAGTCTCTTGAAGACGCCTCACGTTGGAAACCCTGAATACATACATACTGTATTGAAAAAAAAAACATGGGTGATGTAGGCAGATGACCATAGTGGGTAAGCTACCTACATACAGGTTGCCTCATCTAAGGCCCTAACTTGACATGACATTTCAACCATCAGGGTACCTAGCTACTTAGGAACGAGCATGCTGTTATACAAAGCAATTAAAGCACACTGCTATATGGGACTATCACGACAGTAAGCAACTGGATAAATGGCATTCGGCATCGGCCCTCGTGTTAAGCCCATCTCTTCATCGTGGCGTATTTGTCAAAGAACAACACATAACAACTACCTAAACACTTCATCATGCCATGCTTACAACCTGCCACCTTATTATCCCATATGACTACGGGGGGCTTAACAATAGAACCTCATTCTATAGTAGGTAGCGGTACACTGTAGCAATAGGTGAGGGGAGGGGTGTAGTAATGTACTGTATTGTATGAATGTACTTGCGAACCCGAGAACACTGAGTCCCCTTGTGCCTTTCCCCCCCGTAGCGGACGCCATCCAAAGAATACGTGAGTCTGGTTCCGTCCCTTGCGGGGGGTGAGCTAGCTTGGCCAACCTCAAGGATACCTCGACATCCTGGGCTATATTATGGCATCCAACGAGACGACCGGAACGTACCCTGGTCCTATATGAAGCACATAGTAATTCAACTATCGATTCTTAGATCCATTGATAAAATACTGATCTGTATCGGCATGCTTACACGAGGCTGCAGCCAGCCAGGCCATGTACGCATGTAGGTCTCTGTATGTATGTACCTTCATGCTGCTCTCTGCAACACGCCCCCCATGAACTGCTTTAATGCACTGCTATCACTCCTATATCCTGAGTTGGCAAGCGGAGATGCCTCAGCCGTGGCCCTCTGGTTAAGCCATTTAGAAGGATACCCTCTTGATATCACAGAAATATAGCAACGAGGCAGGATGAAGTAGTTTTTAGGTGCTGGTCATTCTTACCAAAAGTAGTCACTCGGAGTTAGGCTCGCGATCAATTTACGCAGAACGTCGAGGGCTTGCGTCTTCATTTTTTTTTTCAAGTGCCAAGCTTGTAGTAAGTAATACGAGTCACATTGCAGATTCAAATTTTTTCTCTTCTGTTTAAAAAACCATGAAATCAAGGAAGCAAGCATTGCAGTGATGCCTTCGTGTCTATTTTATTCTAACGATTAAGACGGATTCTTTGAGGAGGGTTTATGGTAGTGGCGTCGTAATACCAAATACTCCCGGGGCGAATCCATTAGCCCCTTAATATGCGTAAATAGTAGTAGTAGTAGTAGTAGCAGTAGTTGTTGTTGTTGTTGTTGTTGTAATAGTAGTAGTAGAGAACAAAAGGGAACTGGAGAGGGTGGAAAGGGAGGAGGGAAAAGGGGGTGGGGGGAGCATATGGCAAAAAACCAATGACGCGCAAAAACAACCTCCATTTGGGTATCTTTCAGAGAGAAGTGCTTTTTCTTTTGTTTTTCGAAAACCCCGTAATTCCCAATACAAACTTTCAGAAGGATGTGAATCCACGCGCGCGGGAAAGTACGACAAATAGTGTATATGTCAGCAGAATTCCCCCCTTTTTGTAAACCATGCAATCAATTTCCCATTTCGAAAAAATAAAAAAAAGTGCCCTGGAGGCCCAGCAGCAGCAGCAACAACAACAACAACAATGGCAATAAAAAGCAGTAAGGTTAATAACCAGTTCTCCAACGCAAACACGTACGGCACCCGCACATGTACGTACTCAAGAACACCAACGCCGGGCCCGGCCTTAATCCGTGAAAAAACTGGGTGAAAACAATAAACGATTCCCGTTTCGATGCAATGTTTCCGTGGCGATGCGTGTGACGATTAACTCTTTAAAAATAAAAAGTAGTGGTAGTAGTGGTACTGGTAGTATAAAAACGATTGGACGGTTCTCCTGAGGGGGTTTTGCGTAGATGCCGTCATAAGGTCAAGGGGTGAGACAACGTGTATGTAATAATCTCTGCTGATAGCAAGATAGAACTAAAAAGTAGTATTCTTAAACCATCGGATTCCTGCCCCCTCCCTTCCTTCCTCTCTCTCCCCGGAGTATGTTTCAAGGTCGAGAAAGAAAAAAGGGGGTGGGAGTGGGGGATGAGGATAATGGGAAGTGATTCGGCGAATAGCATCTAGCGTAGTTTCCGCGGGCGAGAAATTTAGTAAATTAAAGTTGCATATGACGACGCCTGTCGTTGCTAATGGTCCTCTGTCTTGTTGACCATATGGCCCAGGTGGTGGTCGAACGAGTCGTTACCACCTAAAGGGTATGATCCGTTCATGCTCTCGGATGGCATGGTTGCTGTCAATGGCGTACCCAAGCCATGCTCTCGTAGACTGCCATGGTCGTAAGCATTTTGCATGCTGTGGTATGGCCCTTGATTAGCGTAAGGGGAATGATGAGGTTGATGCGAATTAGGAGCTGGCGGCGCCGTGGTATACATGTTGGGACCCACTGGAGACGCCGTTCCGGATGGTGGCGCCCCGTTCAGCGGGCCGTGGGTTCGAGGGGAGACGTTGTGTATTGGAGAGGCCATCGCGGACTGTGGATGGGATGGAATCGGAGCTAGATTCAGGGACGGGTTGTTGCCGGTATTAGAACCGCCTGTGAATATGAAGGGATGGGAGGAATTTTGGGCATTAGGATTTGCGAATTGAATAGGCGAGTGGTTCATCGGTGAGTGTCGCTCAAAAGCGTGTGATCCTTGAGCGAGCGAAGAGAAATGGGTGTCAATACGGCCCGTTGGAGGAGGCATTGACACTGTGGCGGCCGACGTTGGTGGGCCTGTGGTCACGGATCCCAATAATTGCTGGGATCCATACGTTGGACCTGTTTGGGTGGCATAAGAACCCCAGCGCATTTCTGCGCCTTCCTGTGTCGGCGTACCCGGGTTTATCGTCGAGTATTCTGGCCGGTGTCTCTTCGCTACCGGTTCGTCTCCGTAGTCGTGGTAAGATCGGTCATCGATTTGCGGTATACCACCATTTTGAGACGCACTTCCTTGCCTGTGCCCTGTCTGCTTGTCCATCTGATCGGCCATCCGTAGATTCTTCTTCTTGTTGGCAATCTGTCTCGAGTCCTTGCGTAATCGAAGACGAACCCCTTGATCGCTAAACGATCTGGTGAGAAATGTCGACTCCGCCATTCCTGGAAAGGCTCTGCCGGCATGGACTTTAAAAGGCTCGCTCGTAACCGAACATATCGTCATCCAAAACTCGCCGTCGTCGAGATTGTCCATCGTCATTTGCAGTAAATCAAACCGGATCACGTACTCTCCTTCACTCTTGATCGTCAAATCACCAAACACAAAGAAAGCACCCTCCTTGTTCGTAGGGTCTTTTAATCGATGTAGCGACGAAACTGTTGTTCCTGCCATCATGTTTGCTGGTGGACTGGCCTGGCCACTCGGACCAGGGGGATGCGCATATTCTAAATACGCAACCGCTATGAGATAAGGACCTAATGAACATTTAGCAACGAAACTGATCATCTGGATGTACGGGAAAGTTAACTACTGACTTTGTCGGTATACGCCATCTGGGTCCTCATCGCTCGGAACGTGTAGTTGAAGGATTGGTGGTGGATCGACCGGTTTTCGGTCTGTCCAAGTTAGCAATGACATTTCCGAGGAAAGGAACGAGATCTCCAGGGGTCGAGGAAGGTAATACCTTTGTCTTTACCATTCGCAGCTTTCGCCATCGTAGGTTGTTGTAAGACTTCTAGGCGGTAGCTTTCAGGTCTGGCTGGAGTGTCAGTAAGAATTCCAAGGTTTACTTTGGAGAGGATACCGATGTGGTCCTGGTGGAACTAGATCACTTACCGTTGTGGTTGAGGGCCACTTTGTTGTGGATGTGGTTGGGGGTGAACTTGAGGTCCTGATAAAGGCGGCATTGCTGGGCTCATTCCTGACATATAGCTAGGACCGGGCGTATGCCCGACCCAATGGCCGCTCTGATGAGTATGAAAAGCCATCTCTGATGATAATTAGATGCAAGTCAAGTGTGGAGTGGGATGATTAACTTTTATGTTTTAGGTACATACTTACGTGAGCCGTCATGCGGTATCTCCCGCGTAAGTCGCGAACCCCACTGCAGATCGGCTTGTTCTGGGCAGAGACTTGTTGAAATCCAGGAGGAACTTTTGTCTGGTTAGAGAGAAAAACACACAGTACGTGGGTGGTTTGGGGGGTTTTCGAATAAACTATGGGAATGGTGCTGTGAAGACTCGAGAAGAGAGGTCTTGATACGTTTCGACCGATGTGAAAAGCTTAAAAGAACTCGTAAAGTAGATGGACTGGAATCCTTAGGATAACCAGGAATCAAAGGGGGATGAATTTGCGGGGCGCTTTTCCTTAGGGTGAAATCAAAGGGGGTTGTATGAGGGAAATGGGGGGGGGAACTAACATTTAGGTGTTGTCTGAATTTGTTTACAACCAAAAAATCCCTTCACCGGTATCGTTAGCTAAAGAACAAAATTCAAATTCTCGTAAATAGTCGTTTTCGAATTATAGAAATTCAGGTGTGGCAAACAGATCGTGACATATCAGGAACATCTCTAGGAAAGGCAACTAACTTACCGAGTCAGCCTTCATATAAGAAGGTAGTCTGAATCAGAGATAATATATCGACAGGAAGCGATTCCAAGTATCCGTACACAAATATGTAAGATAAGGCACGTTTACAAAACAAGCTTGTTAGAAGGAGCTTCTTGTCCCCTTCGTCTGTACGCGTTGCCCCCTTTCTCCAAAGCAGACAAGTCCTGTAGCTCTTTTTCTTTTGGTATCTGTAACCTTTTGATGCTGACTCTTCGAAAGAATCTGTTCTCCGTTTGGGTTGGCCGTAGGAAGCTACCTGTCAACAGCAAATACTGTAGAAACGTGATTAAGTAGCTAGTTGCTGTTCTGATCATGCATTCTTCGTCAAGACAAGACAAGCCAATCCAATACAACGTAGTCGCCTAAAACCATCTAAAAAATCACTCCTTCCACCTCAGTTTCTGCAATGAGCGGCAGTGGCGAATCGTTACTAGCAAGGAATTCAAGACAGGCGCATGACTGAACAAGTGAGCTGAAAATTCTAGTGCTTCTGTAGGAAGTCTCGAGTTTGATGATGTACTATCTATCGGGACCGGGTCCAAAGAGTTAGGGATCACCGCCGTTCCCTGAGAATGGTGAAAGTTGAACCGGGTGTGAAGTTCTAGCTTGCCTCGTTGTTGCCTCAGGCTCGACAAGCAAAGCGCAGGGTGGTAATATGCAAGAATCGGCGGGAGAGCTACTGGGAGTGGCTGCCTGGATCTCGGGGCTAAAGGGATGGACCCCAGGTATGCGGCAAAGAAGTGGGTGGAAATACGTTCTGAGTCGGGAGGCTCCAAGGTTCCGCGATGCTCTTCTCGACTTAGATAATGGTGCCAGGTAACCAAGTGTATCTAATCCGATGTTTGACTATGATATTAGTGCCCAAAGGTTTCACGATCTCGCATTCGTGATGATGGATTTCTTCTGTTCTCTTAAATTTGCAACCCAACGCTAGCTACCACTGGAGGCTTTTAGAATGCGATTTCAAGACAAGAACCCGCCGAGATGTTTGCAGCCGGTGAAGCAATGCTAACCAGTACTACCTAGAGGTGATAATTAGGTCTGGAGTCTTGTTTAGTAGGGGGGGAGTGAGGTCCGTAGAGCTAAGGAGCTGGATATGCCGCGAATTATTGCTAGGTATTGCTCGAGCTGGTGTTAGATAGGGATAGGATTCCGTCGTGGCGTAAGGCTGTTGAGACTCGATTATGATATTCTTCGCACAAGGTCGTTCTGATGAATTAGGTTTATTTGTATGTATGTTGGCGCAAGCTCTGAAGTCCTCACGAGCCTTGGGAGCAAGTCCGACTTAGGAATACGCAAAGGGAGAAGACGAATAATCTGCTGGCAAGGTATAGGCGATAGCTTCGTGGGGGTCTTTCCGCGTTGCAGGAGTATCTAATGTCGATAGGCCAGTCGTGGAAAAGGAAGTATATGGGTAGAGTATCCTTATATCCTATCGTAGTTAGGAGTCCTGAAGTGAATCGGCAAGTCCAGGTAAAAGGTCGATAGTTAGAACAATACGACGTCCTCGTCGTGATTGTGAAGGTTGGAGAAAGCGATCCTGGAACCCGTCATGTATTTGGGTGGATTTACGATGTGGAGAAAGAGTCACTACAGTATACCCCTACTGCCTACCCACGGGAAGGTATGAGCTAGGCAATATGTATGCTCTATGTACTGATGGCACAGTAGATATTCAAGGCATGCCTAAGGCAAACGATAGTGGTGTGATCCGGCCAATAACTGCAAAGGGCTCCAGAGAGAAATGCTAACATCAAGCACTCTGATTGTACGGGGAATGACGACGGTGGGTCAAGGTCTGTAGGGATCAACCGGTAAGTACTCGACCCTCGAGGGTACACCTTGAGAGGATGGATACCTACGTTTGGGGGATGTACTATGTATACGAAGGTCGACCGTTTTGTACTATGCGTTCATGATTGGCATGGTGAACGCCTGGCTCCGCCTTGGCCGTTGGTACGCCATACTAAAAAGGCTATCCATGCTGACGAAACCATGCTCAAATATGTGGAAGTATACATACCTCCCCGGGCAGGGATTAGCTGCAGGAGGATATACCTTGCCGCGAGGTACAGCAACGAGCTTGCATGGGGCGTTGTCAACGTTGTCAACGATCCGAGTAGAGAATGACAGGGGGGACACCCCTTCAAGCTTTTGCATCCGCCAGACACTTAAGCAGACACTTAAGGGTATTTTCTTCTAGTGTATGTACATATATATGATGTATATGCAGAGATGGACTTCAAGTTCGCCTGTCCGTGCGGTAGAGCAGACAGCAACACCTACACTACCTAGTACCTACATAACTACCTACATACAACATCTAAGTATAAGCCTACCTAGTACACAGGTAATAAACTGACTGCCATATTAGCGCTCCCGCACCGTATTCCGCATCCTCAAGCGCGGCAGGTGATTTAAAAGTAGACTTGCTGGTGCCGACAGTAAAAGATTCAATATGATACTATGTAAGTATACCTAGTAGAAGTAGGTAAGTAGAGATACAATGTTCCTGAATACTGGGCTGGGTTGTGGGTGAAGTCTCCAGCTCATCCACCCCAAGTATTGCTACCTCCCTTGTACGTAGATTGGAAGTCGGCAAGAAACAGAGAAATGACACAGTGTGTGGTCCGTCCACTGAACCCCGGTTTCTACAGATGAGTTCTTAGAAGGGGGGGCTGCCACACGCGCGCATACCAAGATTATGTACCCAAATACATACATACTACTGTAGGTATATATATGTACAACTTGTAGTACATTGAATACTACATATGTATCATACATAGAACTACTACATATGTATGTATCTCTATATGTAAATAGGTACCTACCTACACACATAGTTTGGGCGGCTAGGAAGGCAAAGCAGGCAAGTATGTATGTGTGTATGTATGTAGATAGGTAGGTAGATATGTATGTAGGTATTGAGCAATGAGACCAGCAGGCAGCAAAGGTACTGGCTCCCTCGAAGAGACCAAAAGCCGAACAGTAAGTGCAGATATGCGCGAAAGAACTACGCCCCCCTTCGAGGCAAAGTGGAGGACGTACACTAGACGGTGAAGGTGAAATGCTCCACTATCTATCAAATGTGTAATCCGCGAGTAGTGCCAAGTGTGGTACATCAATTGCATCGTCCCTCTTTAAAGTAGCTTTGAGGAGGGCCGATGCCACATAGCAATTAATGGTGTCGAAGTATAGGTACGGCCTCCTGGACTCCGTAGACCGAAAAGATCTACCATAGCAATTCTCTTGGAGCCATGAACTGAGTGGGTTGCCGGTAGAAGCTTTCTCGTTAAATTAACCCAACAATTTTTTTCTCTATCTCTCCTTTGATAATCCTGGAAGGCTTTGCTGAACCTGACAGGCTCATACGGGTTGTCGTTTATTAGGTGTGGGCAAATATTCAATACTGTACACATTGCGTTAGGTACTTTTAGCTGTTCCCGTCGCATTTACGAGGTCATGGAAGATCAGAATTCGCCGAATCAGCTTTAGTAGCCGGGGAGTAGATGAAGAAATGATTAAAAGAAGAACGCAGATACCAACTGTAGGTCCCTATTGCTGAACAGGCCTGCCATGCCAAAGTAGTAGATAGATACTACTACCACTACTACTACTACTACTAGGTAGGTAAGTAGTAGGTAGTGTAGCTATTACATACATGTATATTATTATTATTACATACTAGATACTAGTATTGTTAATACAATGCTAACTACCGTTATTACTACTAATACCACTAGGTACGAGACCTAGGTATTTGCCTAGGTAGGTAGTTGGCTATTAGTTATCTACCTAGTCTATCTAAGCTACCTAATTCATCTTATTTCCTTTTTTTTTTTTCTCTTTCCCATCAGATCGGAACGGAATCCCCAGCCGGGACTGGGCCGGCCGGGTTTCAGAAGCTTCTATAGCCCATGTCAAGAATGTGCATCGAAAGAAAGTGTTCAAACGCTAAAATAAGCAAAGCAGGGCGACCCGTCTTCACGACCTCCAGGTTCAGGTTGGCTACGCTGCCGCGGTATACCTCCCCCCTAACTTTAATGCTGACAGCTGCTGTAGCACGTCAAAGCCGTTAGGTTGGTCGATGTCGTGCTGCAAGACCCCAAAAGAGATTCGACATGGTTCAGGGTTCAAATCCAGTATGTACACTAATAATAAAAGGGGTAGCGTTTAATGTGGCGAAGTGGTTCGGGTTCCTGAATCCTCTAAGCTTCTTAGTGGCATTCGTTGACAGGCCAGGGAGTCGCTGTTAATGGGGTTTGCAGCTACACTATACTATATGTATGTAGGTACTATAAATCAAAGGGGAAAAGATGAAAAAGATTAAAAAGATGAAAAAGAAAAAAGAAAAAAGAAGATATGTACTGTAGGTACTTACCTACCTATGTAGGTATTGTAGGAATCATAAAAGACGCGAGGATGGATGGATGGATGGATGGATGGATGCACGTGTTGGGCTGGCACGCCTACAGGAGCAGCCGAGGAGCTATACTGTAGTAATATGAGGATTTTTTTGGCCCGGGTCATACATTAAAGATTTATATTAGCTGCCTCCCTACTACTTAACTCCCAAGCTTACCTACCTAGTGTAGTAGTACTATATGTATAGGAGTAGTAGTAGACTACTAGTAGTATTGTATTGTACCTTGTAGAATTCTTTACCGTAATGAAAATTGGTACGCCACTTTTATCCCGAATTTTCCAGCCCAGCCTAACTTTCGGAGAGTGAGGTTGTCCACCATGACAGCTTGGCTACTGCAGCTACCATGTATGTATCTACATTGTCTGATTGTGTACTCGAAAGAATGTCGCATACCATATAGGG